TTTTTTTTTTTTGGGGGGTTTTTTTGGGGGGGTGTTTTTTGTTGGCTGTCTTTTATTAACAAAATATTTTTTTGGGGGTTGTTTTGTGGGTTGGGGGGGGGGGGGGGAATGAATGTACTGCTTATGTTCAACAACAACAGCAGCATCAGCAACATCCCCTCGCTCTCAAGTAGATAGCCTTCGATTCCTGCGGGTGCGACTTGAAGGCCGTTGACTTTGATCAGATTCCAATACAACAAAGTCAGCGTGTCTGTCTCCCAAGCGGTCATGTGTACGGTCTTACCTTGATTCGATCGACAATATACCACCTCCACTTATCGTCACAATACCTAATGTCTCCCGAGCAAAGCCATCTCTTTCTAACCTCTTCTACAATCGTCTCTCTCTTAGCCTTTGCCATTCCTGAGGTACCCCCTTATAATATTCGGCTCAGCCCAAAGCTGCTCTCCAAGAGGAAATGGAATTCCCAATTGCGGAAGGTCACGACCCTTGACCGGTCTTACTTTGCTAGACATAGTAGGATGGAGACTTTGGCGCCCGTCGAAGGAGCGAGCATGCAAAACTCAGTGTGTCCAAATGCGTGATACATGAGGATACTAGCTAGCCATCTGTGGCCGTTGGCTTCAATATGCTTTCTCCGTTCTCGCCCGGCTGGCGTGTTCCCGGTCTTCATGTGTTTGAAGTGAGATTGCACGTTGTTGGCTATGAGGTTGTAGTGGCTGGTCTCGACACCCTTGGGAAGACCTATCGTTCCGCTGGAACTGTTGATGACGGCTGTAGTGTCCATGGCCTCCTACTTGGTAATGATCTCCCTCCAACGCCAGTTTTTGACGTCTTCTTCAGTAATCCACAGGTCTCGCCGCGTATGGAGTCCGTGCAACCTGGCAGTCCGTTCATCAGATGCATTGTGAGCAAAAGCTACAACATTTGATTTGGGCAAGTCAGCCTGAGCCGCGCATTTGATCGAATTTTCCAACTTGTCCGGTGCCGCTACAACCAGCTTTGCCTCGGAGTCTCTCAGCTGGTATGCAAAGTCCGATAACAGGGAGTTGGCAGTAATCCAGTAAAGACACAGCTAGCGACTAGAACGCCGTAGTAGAGCACTAGGAAGTAGAGATCGTTGAAAGAGAAGAGCAGGATCTTATCACTCGGCTTCAGACCTCGCATCTGCAATCCCTTAGCGAGGCGTTTTGACGTAGCTCTCGGCTTGCTTCACGCTGTAATCCTGGTCGGGTACATCTACATCAAAGTATTGCGGAATTGATCTTGAGGCTTCTGTTCCGGCTGTGAAGACGTATGTCGGCACATCGATTGCCGGAATTTCGGCTTTTTTCTTTTGCTTCGTGCATCTTCGTCTTGTCCGGTTTTCAACATGCACCGAAGCGAGGATCTGCTGTCGGTCTGCTGTGAAACCGTGAAGCTTCCTGGAGAAGCGGAGGGGAGTCCGTACAGTACAGGATATCTCACTGCGTGTGCAAAGGGCGCATTGAGAGGGAGAGAATCGTGGCAAGAGAATATGGCCCTGACCTCGATCAAACATTAAGCATATTCGCGCTCTTCGCATGCTCTATCTTCGAGCGACGCTGTGTACATGGTGAGTATTTCCAGGATGACTTGCTGGCGCGCATAACTTCGACCACTGTGTTTGACCGTGATTACCGGCTCCCGTCTGCAAAGCTCTTCCTTGCACATGTGCTTGTCTGCTCGCATCATATCAGACTTGGATGTGAGCAGCAGCATCAGTGTGACTATGCCCAGGCAGATTGCACTGCCCCTGACTCGCTATCATCACGCGCATGATGGGCAGGCATAAAGCACGAGGGAAGACATTCGATCCGGCCACACAGCACCTCTAGTTGGTAGCAATGGCTCGACGCGGCGAGGTGGTCCAATTGAGCGCTTTTGATGCTCTCCGTACACGAACAAGAGTTGATGGGTTAGACGAGACATTGAGCAGTGATATAGAACAATTCGCTTACCTTATGTAATGACTGAGCTCTGGCGTTTATCCCCTAGTAGCCAATCAAATACCCTACCCCTTAGTCGGAACTCCCTCCACTACCCCACAGCATATCTAACCGAATACAGCTAGTAGATGTGGAAGAGGAAGTCCATGAAAACTTGATGGGCTCACTTCTTCCACAAACACCAACTTTGGCGGTCTTCCGATCACTTTGCGATCCATCTCTTTCGACATGTTGACTATGGCATGGACCCGGTGATCTCCCCAGCCGAATAGGAGAGCATCCGAGCACATACAAGGAAGGAAGAAGATCGTCAACACTGGCTTGCAATCCGCCAAACATGGCATCTCTGCGGCGAGGGTCGACACGTGTTGTATCGACAAGCGAAGCAGTGCAGAGTACCTCCTGCACCAAGGTCAGCCGTGCCCGCAAGGGCAAGTAGAAAGCGTGGATGCAGCGTTTTCCTGATCTGGCCACGGAAGGATTTAAATCGCTTCGTAGAGGGTACTTTGTCAGCTCGCTTCTAGAGCTTAAGATAGCTCGTTGACCGGATTACACGTGCAATCGGCTCCAATCAATTCGCAAGAAGGATGAAGGTCGAGGCTCGCTAGAGAGGCTGAAGCAGCTTGCCAGCTATTGGACATATTTATGCTGCTTGGTAGCCGTCAGCGGCAGCTTCTCAGCTGACTTCGGCGCAACACAGGCGGTACATGCTTCCCTTCAACACAGGGGCCCATACACATAAGAGCGTCCGGCGCAGCTTTTACGAGTGCCATCGAAGCCAGCACTCGAGTCATTTATTGCTAGCAGCCTTCTGAGAAGGCACCTACCGCTACGGATCACAAAGCGGTGGGAGAATACTGCCCACTGCAGCGAAATGGCCGATACAACATGCAAAGAGGATATTCCTCCAGGCGTCCGAGACTCTTCCCGCCGCCACATTGAAAATCCAGTAGCTGGTGAAGTCGCCGATGTCATGAAATACTCCTACGAAACGAACGGCGAATACACCGAAGCCTTAGCAACATGCGTCGAAGGCGGAGGTCCACCTATCCACTACCATCGCTCCTACGCTGAACACTTCGAAGCGATAGAAGGTGACCAGACACTCCAAATCAACTACGATGAACCTATGCACCTCAAGCCAGGCGAGAAATACTCCGTGCCCAAGGGAACTTTGCATAAGTTCAGCGCAGGGCCAGGTGGAGCCAAGTTCAAAGTGAGAGTCACGCCTGGACAGCCTGGATTTGAGAAGAGTATTTATATCCTGTTTGGGCTGGCGAGGGACGGATGGTTGGGGACTGATTGCTTGCCAAAGAATCCGGTTCATACGGCTGTAGTGGGGACCTTGGGGGACATATACTTCCCTGGAGCCATGGGCGCTGTGTTGAATGGGGTCACGAGTGTTTCTGCCGCTTACGCGCGATGGAGTGGTGTGCAGGATCAGCTTTTGCGGAGGTATTGGGAATGATGGTCAAGAAGCCGGTACGGTGGATTCGTTCGCCTGCGCTCATAGTCGACCGGCAGCCAGGGCTAGAGGATTGGTATTTTGAGCTACGTTTCAACCGCGGAGTGCGTTGAAGCTCTTTTTGGGAGATAAGGGGACAGCAGAAATGTGTAGGGGGAAGTATCCGTACGGCTAACTACCTGCTAGTCCCGATGCCAGTGGAAACTAAGCTTAAAGAGGCTAGATTACTCGCTTAACCTCACTGCTTCTGATCTTTCGCTTATATCAACTGCATCTACAACTGCATCTCGCGTCGGCTGGCCATGTTACCTCTGCAATGTCACATCGAGAGCATTTATGTTTGGACGTGGTCTCCTCGCCTTCCGGCATCAGGCACTCAGACGACTTCGCACGATGTTGCCCAAGGACGACACTGAGATCGAGACGACCCCGATAAGTCATGAAGAGCGGCCTACACGAGAGGATGCGGATCTAGACATCAAGTCTAGTTCAAGTCCATGGAGCTGCTCACGGTATGCCGGAAGCTTGGGCTTCAACATCGCCCCTTTCATCTTGCTAGCACTCTACTCAACTCTTAGCAAGCTTTTGGTAGCTAACATCGATTCTTCCATGGTCGTCACCACGAATACTTACACCTACATTGGAGTTGTATCAGATATTCTTAACGAAGGCCTACCAAGAGCCGCCTAGAATGTCATCGGCGACAACTCAAGTGGAGCACTAGCCGCTCGCCACGGTCTTTCTTACACGCTCATCATCGTCCAGAGCAGCCTCGGTCTGATCATGTCCATTACCTTTGTAGCTGCCGCTCAGCAGTTCGCAGATGCTTTTGTTCCTTAGGAAGTTCGGCAGGCGTCTTTGACGTACGTTAGAATTTCCGCTTTTTCGGCGCTCAGCTCCGCTATTGAGACGGCCGTTGCGGCATCTACGAGGGCTTTGGACAAGTCTGATGTTCCGCTTATCATCAGCTCTGTCAATTTTGCTGTTGATATCGTGTTGGATATGATCGTCATCTCCAAGTTCCTGTCAACACTCAGGCCGCGACGCAGCTTGCTTGCGGTCAGGTCGCGTCATTCGCAGGACTGGTGTATTTTCCTATGGACAACGAAGCGCAAGAATCCTCCGATAGGCTCAGAAGCTGCAGTCGACTACGGCAAGCCGAGCTGGCAAGCGCTTGTAATTCTTGCCAGACCCGGTGCTTTTACCTTCGCGGAATCGGCCGTTCGCAATGCTCTCTATCTTTGGCTTGTCAGCGGCATCGTCGCTATGGGCTCAGACTACGCTACCGCTTGGGGCGTCTTCAACACCATCCGATGGGGCCTTGTGATGGTACCTGTACAGGCACTCGAGGCAACATCCTTAGCCTTTGTTGGACATGCCTGGGGCTCTTGGAGACGGGAAGCTGGAACCACTAATGGCCTTGCAGAAGCTTCCTCGAGACATCTTTCAAAGATTGCCCGCCCGGCATTCATATCGTGCCTGATCGGCTTGGCGGTAGAAGTGCCTCTATGCCTCTTCCTCTCTTTCTACGGCGCTCGCCGCTTCGCATATTACCTTTCTGGATCTATCCCGGCCTCACTGATCACGGAGGAGATGTGGAAGACGATCGACTGGTGTTACATATTCTACGCTCTTTCGACGCAATTGGCTATGATACTGCTCTCGACGAAGCCACGCTGGTACCTCTACCCCTACCGTGGGCCGTCGCTGTGACTACAGTAGGATTGGAATTAGTCCGGAGGACGCATGGACGTATCACTCTGTTGTGTTTGGAGGCAGGCTTGTGTTCAGCTTCTTTGACATCTTGATTGTTGATGCTATTTGGGCTTGGAATCTGCTGAGGAGCCGTATGAGACCATCGCCGGTGCGTGATGCGACGCCATAATTGGCGTTTCTTTATGTGTTACAGGCACTACAAAAGCTACGTACTTACCAACAGTCTTGCAACCTCAACGCGGACGTCACTGTGAGGATGTCGTCGCGACGATCTTTGTTCCTCAACATCTTCGATCGCCATGATTGCATCGCTCACTCGAGAGGCCATGTCAGCAGTTCGACGAATTTGCTATTGTCAGATATGGCTGTCCTAGCCCCCTATCCCAGGAAAAGCAAGCCTTACGCTCGCCAAATTTGGACAATCGGATATCTCCCATCTGGGAAAAGTCGAGCTCCCTCTACAGTCGACTCCGGGCATTGGAATCGTAAGTAGCGCCGTGCTCATGTCCGATGACCTCGATGAGATAGACCCTGAGTGCTCTGGCAAAGACTTCGCCTACAGCTACTCCGCGATCCAGAACGAACTACTACGGCGAAGGCATCACGGGCAGCTGGGACAGAGGAACGGCAGCCTGTCGTAAGCACCAATGACCGAGAGAATCATGATCTATACTCTAGACTGTAGTGAAAGCCGGACAGCTTGACAGGGACGATTAACGGTAATGTCATGTGTACATCTAACACAAATAACAATGGGCATCAATACCCCAAGACGTCTACTCAGTCCTACTTAGGTATCTAGGATACTAAGGAGTTCAACCTCGCTTCGATATACAACACTGTGTGTCAACAGCTATACCGACATATTAGACTTCCTATACTCTATATTCGTTAAGAGTGTTTCTTAGACGCCGTCTTAGTCCTACTCGTAGGATGACTAGACTAACATACTTCCGGGAGTAGCGATAGCTTTACTACTCCGAATAGAACTATCGCTACTAGCTCTATATCTAGCTCTACCTTAACTATAGTAATTCCTTCTAAAGTAGATATACGTATAGAACTTCTACCTCCTTCTTAGGCGCGCTTCGTAACTTCCTTCTATACCTACTTTCTATATTCGACTAAGGTAGATTAGTATATATAGAGTAGTAGTAGTAGTAGAGGTCTCTATAGCGTATCGCTTAAGGATAAAACGCGCCTACTTAGTATAGCTAATACATAGTAGACCTAGAATACGACAATCTTAGTAACGCGACGATCTTAGCTAGGGATATCTTACTATACGTTAGAGATAGTACTTTACTTATATAGGCTTAGCTATTAATATTTAATAGAAAAGTCCGAAGATATAGATCAATATACGAGGTCTAGTACGATAGACGGCTACGTATAGCTATCTTAAAATTTTCCCTACCCCTAGTTTAGGTATATCATTTCGTCCCGCTTGTGAAAGCCTTCCTAAGTCTTGCGCCGCTACCTACTACCTATGTCCGGACAACCGCTAACATCCCTCTAATCGTTGGTGTCCCATGTATTATTACAGGAGTCTCGAGGACCGTAATCTACCATTCGTAAATCGAAGCTGTCCTGCAATAGCTTATATACAGCGATATCGGAACCTCGCCGTGATGTCCTGCAAGTCCCGAATCGAAAAGAGCCTCCTGCTCGCGGATGGACTTTGCCGTTTTGTAGATGTCCTGAACAGCGTCATCAACTGCGGTACTGGTGAATACGAGCTTCGGGTGTGGGTGGGGTTGTCGCGCATATGAACGACTTGCATGGCTCAGCGCGCGCTCTTGGAATTCCAAGGTCATGCGGACCGTCAGCAAGTCTTTGAAATCACATTTCTCAACCCGTGGCATGGGCTCATCGAGCGGACTCGGGGCATAGAAATATTCGAGAATATCTTGTTCAACGCCGTCTGGAATTGGGACGGCGTGAGTCCTGGCTTGGTGTACTCATACATCAGCATAAGGACACTGCGAGACCATCCGCCGACGTGACATCCGACCTGCCGGATCTTGACAGCGGATGACAGTTTTCGTAGAAGATTTCCGCTCCAACGGTGGAGTCACCTGCAACATAAATCTTGAACGTCATCTCTGCGAACAGGATTGGTAGAAACGTAATTGCTTGGAGACGACGCAGATTGCTGGAGTTTGTACATGCGCGAATACGTACGTCGATCTCTCTCGGAGGATGGCATATGTGTAGGGTCGGTTGCGCAGCTCGGCTGGAAGGTCAGTGAAGCGGGAGGGCTTGCAGAGGTGCGTCCATTCTGACCCAAGTGGAAGCGGCCGGTGCTCGTATTGAAGACAATAGCATCCACGTCATGCTGCCATGACAAGTCCTCGACCCTCCGGGAGGCAACGCGCGGAGTCGGGCTCGCGTGAAACGAACCGGCATTTCCATATTGCTGAGTGCTATGGCTCACCTCGGTGCAGGTCCAAAGCGGGTTTCTGCGCAACCACGGCAATCTATTGTGTTTGTCGAAGCAGCCGCTACACTCGAACGGTTGTACGTTGTCAAGAGCGCGTACGCAGTCTCTCGGGCTTGCGCGTCTCGTAATCACTCGTATGCGGACGATGTCACGAACCCGCAGTGCCATCCGCGACCAAAGAATGGGTGCCGTGATTCCGGTCTTGAGTGGGGCCCAGGGGGCTATATGGCGCGTCAACGTTGTAGGTATTACTGCAGCGAGCAAGTGCTACCTCCTCAAGCTCCTGAGGGTGCACCGCGACGACCGCATCCCCGGACGTCAACAGTGAGTGCGTACTCGTTTGAACGACGATTGGCAGTCATTGGCAGTCGTTGGTAGTAGGGATGCTGTGCATGGCTTCCCGCCTGGATTCACGCGTTATACCTGTGCCTGCGATACTGGCCGGTTGATCAGCCGGACATGACTCGATGCCAGACGTCGTGCTAAGTTCAGGCAAGCCGCGCGTACATCTGATGGCCGTTTCCGTACTGGGAAGCTACCTTGGAGCGTTCACCTCGCCACCCGCTCTATGGTGAGACTGGGGACCGCTGGGGGAATGACCGGTTTCGGCAGGGACCTTTCTGCTCCTTGGCGATGGGCAAGTGCACAGCGAGGAAAAGAATGTGTGGTGTACGATGCGGGGGATGGTGGACAAGAACTTGGCCGGCTCTTTCCTGCGTCGCGAACAGCCGAAATACTGTACCTGTCGGCTCAAGCTGCGAGCTCGGCTCGGCATTGCATTCGTTCTGCCCCTCTGCGATCCGTGCCAGATCTCACTCTCCACATTCTCGCAGGCACTACTGTATCACACTATTATGTACATGTACACTATCACTGTGCTATGATTCTAGCGGACGCTCTGGGGAAAGTGAACCCCGGCGCGGATGCAGCAGCCCTACAGTACCCTTTCCGTACCCGACCCGCGGACCCTTCCTTGTCCCGGGCACCACCTGCAGGGAAGGGACACTTGCAACATGGATGGCCATGTCTCTCTCCCCGCCTATACTCGACGCCATCCTGCACCTTGGCAAGAGGGCACAGCTAGTCGGCGCGAAATAACGCAGTGCGCTGCGCCAGGACTCACTTTTAGCAACTCTTACGCAATTCTTCCCGGCGCTCCGTGGCAACATCCCTCCGCGTTATTGCGTGGCCCGTTGATCTTCGCAAAAAGCTAGACACAGTTTCCCGAAATGGACGCGTTCGGTCATAGAGGGCCTGATCGACAGACTCGACGGAGCCCTCATGGTGTCATCGTGAGGGATCGAGCACATCACAGGCAGCACCCAGAGCACATGTCGCTGCGACGAGAATCGAAGCATTTCCTTTTGGAGGCACGTGTGAGCTCAGTTGGGGCCAGTCCAACGCCACCTGGCACTCCAGGACAGAGCAGTGCCCGCAGTCGGCGATGTTGGCCGCGCTTACCTAGTAGTGCTTGGCCCCAGCCCTGCGCTCCACACCACACACACTTCGGTGCTTCGCTGCCCCACTCTTGGAAGACAGAATAGTAATGACGATCACTACGAATAGCGACGGAGAAGGCCTCTCTGAGATTGATGCGGAGATGGAATTCTTCGATGGCGCGGTTGCCGTGCTATGAGAATCACCCCGAAACAGCCGGTGGACCACCGCCAAGCGAATAAACCTACCGAATATTGAGACACAAGGCAGTCGGCACCCCCACACTCTTCGATCTACTGCCGTGACCCGGCCGTGGCCACTGGATCAGAGACGAAGACGCGCGCACACCAACCGGCCGGCCGTTTGTAAAAGACAGAAGCTGTGGAAGCGCTGTGCGAGGTAAATCAACGCGGTTTTGGATCAACATGACGAACCGGCGGTAACATCGGCCTGGGATAAGGATTGTGGGATGACAGGGGATAGCAGGCGATCCCGGCGCCCCCAAGCGGCCAAGCGAAAACAAGCATCGCTAAGCTTCTGGGCGGCTGAGAGTTTAACTCTAACCTTGCGTCGGTCAGACACCACTCGTCCAGGTGCACGTGGTGGCCGGGGTCGAGCTCCTATACGACATCCCCTTTAGTCACCGTCTCACGCCAGGAACGCCGGCCTCCGACTGCTAAACGCTTCGTCAGGCCAGACCAAGATGGCGCAATGCGCGTGAGGGTAGCAGGTGTCCCATGGCCTGGCGCCGGGATGTTTGATGTTAGGCCTGCCGAGGCGAGCCCTCCCATCATGCATACTCGATTGTCGCATCGTGCATTGCGATCTGATGGCCGTGGCACAATTGCCACATGCGACAGGTCCAGTAGTAGGGGTCATGGTTTGTGCGGCACGGAGATGCAGCCAGCGAATCGCCCACCGCAGCACTGTGCCGCCGAAACATGTTCCAACCTGTCGAGCTTGGGGGCGTCACTATACTGTTTCGAGCGCTAAGGAGCGTTGCGCTACGCTGCTTAAGAAGGATGTATATCCCGCAGGCAATCACGCTCAAAGTGATCCATTCGCCACACCACCAATCTTTCAATCATTCCGCCGACCAATTCGTCGAGTACAAGCCCGATGTTGTCCTCGTGGGACACAGTCGGCTCCGGCTTGCCTCTCTCCGACTCCAGAATCCTCACGGGAGAGGCCCCTCTGGAAAGCGCCCCCTCTCCGCCCGCCTCTGTCACAACACTCCCTCAACTCTTCAGCCACCGAGCAGAACAGGAGCCCGAGAACGTTGCGTTCTCGTGTCAAACTGATAATGGATTCATCCAGATGACATATCGGCAAGCAGATGCTACCGCAGCATCACTGGCCGCTCAAATTGCTCGACTGCATATCCGATCCAACAACAAAGCAACAGTAGTGGCAATCTGGCTCGAGAAAGGCCTTGATCTCATCCTCAGTATCCTCGCCACAACATATTCAGGAGCAACATGGTTACCATTCGACCCCGATGTCCCCGTCGAGCGGGCTACAGTCTGCGTCCAAGACGCGTCCGCTTGCTTGGTGATCTGCGATGCCGAGCATCTGGACCGTGCTCGCGATGTGCAAGCGCGCTGCGAAGCTGACGGGAGGTCACCTCCACACGTTCGCGCAATCGCAGACCTTCACGCAGAATCGAAGACTGTCGCTTCACAGCGCCCCACAGGCCCGGGCCCAAGAGATGCCGCCTACCTGATCTACACGAGTGGAACCACTGGAACGCCGAAAGGCATTGCTATCCCTCACTCCGCTGCTCTCGTCTTCTCCCTCAGCGAGAGGGAGGTCCTCCAGACCAGCAGCCAGGATGTTGTCTGGAATGGTTTCAGCCCAGCTTTTGATATGTTTGTATGGAATACCCCTCGCCAGCGTTTCGGTCGAGAAGAGCACATTGCTAACAACTGCCGTATAGGTCGAGGAAATGTGGGTGACCATTGCAGGCGGCGGTCACCTCGCCATTGGCACTCGCCAGGAATGCAGAGATGTTGGTGGACTACCTGCAATCTGGGAGCAGCGGGGAGTCACAGTTGTGAACGCAGTCCCGACACTCATCGGAATCATGGGCATCTCCCAAATCGACACCGACTCTTATCTGCTGCCACCCTCAATACGTCTCATCAACCTTGGCGGCGAAGCCTGCCCGCTAGCACTGGTCAGTCGCCTCGCAAGACCGGGGCTACGCATCATCAATACGTACGGTCCGACCGAGACCACCGTAACTGCCACTTGGGACGAGCTTCAGCCCGATGTCCCCGTCACGATAGGAAGACCACTGCCATCGTATCACGCCTGCATCGTCCCGATATCCGAGGACGGACTGTCAGTACCACTAGAGCCCCTAGAGCTAAAGGCAGATGTCGAGGGAGAACTTTGCATCGGGGGTCCATGCGTTGCGCTGGGCTACGTTGGAAGGGAAGAGTTGACCGCGCAAAAATTCATTCAGCATCCGCTCCGACCTGACAGCGGAGAGCGATTATACCGCACTGGAGATCGCGTAAGGCTTCAGTCCGACTTGCGAATAGTATTCCTCGGCCGCATCGACACGCAAGTGAAGCACAGAGGCTTCCGAATCGAGCTTGGCGAGATCGAGTCACGCATCAGCAGCCATCCGGATGTGCAGGCCGCTGCCGTCATCTTGACAAACGAAGGCACTGATGCTGCTCGGCTGGAAGCTTTCGTCGTGACGCGGCCTGAAGCGGCTCAAGACGTGGCCTCCATCCACCAGCTTGCCTCGCAGCATCTCCCCTCATACATGCGTCCAGAGGAGGTCTACTTCCTGGATGCCGACGAGATGCCCAGACTCCCAAGTGGCAAGATCAATGCCAAGGCACTTCACGAGGTCTCTGTCAGGAAGGCTGAAGAATTTTCGGCATCTACCCTGACTGACGTCGATTCCTCTGCGCCGTCTATCGTCGAGTTGGACCCCGACAGCCCGCTGAGCATCTTGCTGAAGACATTAGCATCTGTGTTTCCACAAGCTGGTAGGATCAAGCCCGAAGCGGACTTCTTCGACGACCTTGGCGGTCACTCGTTATTGGCCGCTGTTCTGGTGTCGAGACTACGAAGCTACAAAATCGCAGATGGATCCTGCCCATTTGCCTCGGTGGGCATGCCAGACGTCTATGAAGGACGCACTCCAATCGACATTGCTGCGAGGTTCTCGAGATACCATGACAACAGCAGCAGCAGCACTCTTGCTGGATTCGAGGATGGGAATGATGCCGAGGGCACTGGTCCACAAACTGGAGATTGCTGGCCTGTTTCACGAAAACGATTCGTACTCTGCGGCTTGGCACAAAGCATTGCGCTGATCTTCCTGTTCTTCATCCAATCCATCAACATCCTGGTCCCCTATCTGGTCTTTGACTACCTGACAGTCCAACACGGAACGCTCGGTTTTGCCATCCTTGCGAGTTATGGCATATTCGTTGCCCTTCCTCCGCTGCAAACTGTCTTGGCCATTCTCGGGAAATGGATCCTCCTTGGAAAGACGAAGGAAGGCGAACATCCTCTCTATGGCTTTTACTACTTTCGTTGGTGGTTCGCGGAGCGCCTGGCTGCACTCGCCGATCCAAAGCTCATCGCCGACTCTGCACTCTATCCCTTCTTCCTGCGAGCAATGGGTGCTAAAGTTGGCCACTACTGCCATCTCGGGCCTATGCGCGTTGGAGCAGCCTGCGATCTCGTAGAGATTGGCGACGATGTCGTTGTTGGCGGAGATGTGGCCCTCGGAGTTTGTGTCGTCGAGAGAGGCAGACTCATCCTGAGAAAAATTGTCATTGGCAATGACGCTATCATCGGCACCAATTCTGCCATCGAGGGAGGCGCCGTTGTCGAAGAGGGAGCTGAAGTCGGAGCACTCTCCATGGTTCCCGACGGCATGAGGATTCCAAGCTTCCAGCGCTTCCATGGATCTCCCGCTCAGTTTGACCGTGAAGTCAAGGAGGGCGAAGCCGCTCTTGGACGTGCATCCCGGCCCTCGAAGATTCGCTCTGCCGCAATGGCGACGGGCAATTTCGTCCTCGCTACCTTTATGCTTCCGCTGCTCTACACTTTGCCTCAGATTCCGGGTCTCGTGCTCTTCGATTACGTCAACCTCAGACATGTCGGCGACTGGGGACAAGTTGCCCTCTTTGCGATACCGATCGCGATCGCATATGAACTCGTTGTCTTCGCCCAGCTCATCTTTTTCCGACACATAGTATTGGGCAAGCTCCGAGAAGGCAAATACAAGGTGTACAGCGTGTTCTATCTTCGCAAGTGGTTCATCGAGCGAGTCATGGATCTTGCTCTGGTCATTCTGCACCCGGTCTTCGCGACATTGTACATTGTTCCTTTCCTCAGGATCCTCGGTGTCAAGATTGGCAAGCGCGCAGAAGTCTCGACTGCTCGAGGGCTGAACTTCGAACTGCTGGAGATCGGCGACGAGAGCTTCGTCGCGGATCTTGTCATGATGGGAGACGTTGAAATCCGAGGCAATGAGTTGACACTGAAGAAGACCAAGTTGGAGAATCGTGCATTCGCCGGAAACGTTTCACTGCTGCCGCAAGGAACCACTCTGGCCTCCGAGACGCTCGTGGGTGTCCTCTCGATTGCTCCACCTATCGACAAGCCGCTGGCCAGCAATACCTCCTGCTTCGGCTCACCACCAGTTCGCATGCCCGCTCGATACCGGGCCCAGGGCCATTCGGACAATCTCCGCTTCAACCCGTCAAGAGGTCGCGTCGCAGCCCGTCTCACCATCGAAGGCCTTCGTATCGTACTGCCCCGTGCCGTCATGATTTTCGGCCTTGGTTTCTCGCTCCAAATCATTTACGACGGTTACACCGGCATTGGCGCGGTATACACCTTGCTCCTGCTACCCGCATTCTTCTTCTTCATGTTTGCTCTGCCGTCGCTGTTCATCACTGCCGCATTGAAATGGATCCTCATCGGTCGCTACAAGCCGGCGGAATGGCCACTCTGGAGTCTGAACGTCTGGCTGTCCGAGATGATCACATCAACATACGAAACCATCACGGCCACGTGCCTGACGAATATGCTCGTCGGTACGCCCTTCCTCGCGTGGTGCTTCCGGCTCTTGGGTGTCAAGGTCGGAGCTCTCGCGACGCTCCTCCACGCCGACATCACCGAATACGACTGCGTGACCATTGAAGACGAAGCCGTCGTCAACCAATTCTGCGGCATGCAAACCCATCTCTTCGAAGACCGCGTCATGAAGGTGGGAAACGTCCACCTTGGCAAGCAAGCATGCATCAAGCCATACGCCATCTGTCTGCCCGGCAGTACTCTGGGCGCCGGAGCTCAGCTCGGAAGTCTATCGCTCGCCATGAAGGGCGAGACTCTGCCCGCAGGCACTGCCTGGGAGGGATCTCCCGTCGCGCCGCGAGGCAGGAGGAGGAGGAACCTCACTACTACCGCGACGCGGACCTGGGATACGAGCGACTCTACTACTGTTTTCGAGAAGATGAATGCGAACAGTGGCGAGACGACCCGACCTGCTAGCAAAATGGAAGTTTGAAAGGGGGAAAAATCACCTCCAATTTGTTTACGCGATAGCATTTGGGAAATTTGGTTTTTTGGTTTGGATTTAAAAAATGATTCCCCCCCCCCGGCCGAAAAAGCTCGGCGTTGGTTGTTGCGATGTATGTAGTATGAACAGCTGGATTGCGAAAGGAGGGAGCATTCCATGCATTGCATGGACTTGATACGGGCTTCCTTTTCTTGTCTGATATTATGAGACGAATATACATGTTACGAATCATGATCACTAATAAGCATCTTCGTCTTCACAGTTCCATCTCTGTTTCGTGCATAGCATAGCATAAAGCATTTTCTCTCTCCCACGGGAAAATCTGATGCTGTTTGTTTCTCGCTGGGGATTCTTCTCGATCCACGGGACGGTTCAGGCATAGGAAAAATACATCGACGGTTCATGCATAGCATAAAGCATCGAGACGCCACCACCACCACCACCATAGCTCCATCCAGCTAGGTGATACTTACTTACTTGTACTTACCATTTAGCTCCCCGCCGGTCGGTCGATCGACCATAAGGTACATAGATCCACACACACAGGTCATGATCATTCCGAATACTTCCGCCCTTTTTTGTGGAAGTTCTAGAAGCGAAAAAGAAAGGCATGATTTTGTTCTAGTTCTGGCTCTGGAGGCTTCTTGGCAGATGATGCTAGATGTCGTGATTTTTTAGAGAATGTGGTCTTTTGGGGGAATTGCTGAGCGGCTATGATGTTTTGGGGTTGTAGCCAGCTGGATGATGCCGCGATGGAGGGTCGAGCCACTTTGTCATATCATCTCGTGGATAGGTGATGTGATGCTGACAACTCGTGAGAGACGCTCGTCAGACGGCGGTCATCTTTCTGTACGTGCCGCTATGAGGTCCACGACCCGGGATGGGGCTGGGATGGCTTATGAGGGAGGGCAGCAGCACAGTCAACGACGACTATTCTCGCGGCTCTTCACGATGCGTGTTGTTCTATCTGTTCACCATGAACAGGTTCTAGACCCAGGCGCTTCGTTCGATGGCTTTCCGGACAACATGTGAAGTATCTTTGTAGTAAGGACCTGAGTGGTCCCGGAGATGTCGAAGAAGTGAGAAAAGCCCGGCCGAGCACCGCCGAGATCAGGCCACAACAGATGAGGTGCCGTGCCGACCGATCTCGGCCCGCTCCGTAACCTTATCTCACCCGCATAGGACCCTTCTGAATTTTCCAGTGTACCTCCGTCTTGATCGTCCACCGATCACATGTGCACGTGAATGGACGCCGCCGGTCTGTTGAAGCGCCAAGGCTGGCGAGGCTACGGCCATGCGCTCTCGCACACCGGAAACGGTCTCAAAAGACCCTTGCTGGTCAGCAAGAAGGTCGACGTCCTCGGCCTGGGAGTCAACAAGCACACTGCCGTCTCCGACCAGTGGTGGATGCGGGCTTTCGACCAGGGGCTGAAAGATCTTGGGACGGGAAAGAAGGGTGTACTCGGTAATATCAGGGAAAAGGGCATGGTACATGGAGGCTTGTACGGGAGATTCGTCAAGGGAGAGGGTGTGCCCGGGACTTTTGGGGCGCAGGATGAGGAGAAGAAGGAAGTGGGGAACAAGAGGAAGAGAAATGATTTCGAGGATACACGGGAGTTGAAGAAGGCGAGGAAGCTTGAGAAGAAGGCGAAGAGGCTTGAGAAGAAGGCGAAAAACAGCGGTACTTTCGTAAAATCGCCTTTCGAAGAGGACATTGATCGCCAAGCAAAAGAATTCGTTCTGGAAGCCGTGAAGCGAGGCCTGCTACCCACCGAAAGGGACTCGAAGCCATGGAGTAGATCTTCAGCCTCAGTATCGAGTACCTACGGCGAGGCGACGGTGTTGAAGCTCTTCGCGGATGCTGGCCTGGGTACAGAGAAAGCCCCAGCGCAGGTCAAGCTGGACAAATACGGTCGAGCGAAGCTAAAAAGGAAACTCAAGAGAGCGGCAAAGGAATATCTTCGGAGCAGACTGCCGTCCGAAGAGCGCGAGCTAAAAGAAGAGGATGAAGCTGGACGTGGCAAAGACAGGAAGCTGCAACGCCGGATCCAGGAAGCGCATGAAGCCGGAAAGACTACTAGCATGATTGCTTCGGATGAATCGAAGGCGCTGGAAATGGAACTCAAGCAGAACCAAAGCATGACTCGAGATGCGCAGGCCGATGGTGACTTGGCTGGGGACAGTGCTCATGATTCTGCGAACGGAGCAGACGAGACCCGGCTTGAGACGCGAAATAAGAAGAGCAAAAATGTTCCAGGCCTGGGTAAAGTCGATCGATATCCGACCACAGCTGAGAAGAGGGTAAAGAGGTCGCAAGCTCTCGCAGGGGACACAGCACCCGCACTCGACGTGCCACAGATGAAGGGAGTGGGATCCATCGTTGATACGGCTGGGAACGAAGATGTTGCAGAGCACGCTACAGTCAGGGATCCACTGTCTGTCATCGACGCAAACGGCAATGTCAGATACCGATGCAGCGAAGGGGAGGCTGTGCCCCTTGATCCTTCAATATGGGAAGGCATCGTGGTCAAGTCGCTCCCTAGGCCAGTGCGCAAAGCTCGAAGAGAGTGGATGGTACAGAAGCGGGAAGCGCGAAAGCGCGACACGGCTTCGAAGAAGAGCAGAGGCGAGCGGAAAGCTGAAGCTCGCCAGGTACTCGCCACAAAAATCCTCGCGGAATCACGCAAGGCCAAATCGGACGGCAGAAAGGATACTGCAGCGATTGTTGACGGAGTTGCGGACGTGCCGCTAGTCAGAATGGAGACAACGGAAGGTCCCTTCTCGAAACGGGAGGGGGCTCTTGGAAGAAGAGTTGCCAGGAAAGTCTTGGAGGCTGAGAAATCCAAGGAGGAAACAGAGAGAAGAGCGGCGCGTGAAAGGAAGCGTAAGAACACCGAGAAGAAGACCAAGAAGTCGTGAAAGTCGATATCAGCACCGAGATATCTACAAGGATCACTGCAAAGTTTATATGCTCGTGCCCTTCTTTACCTGTGTCTTTCTGTCTGTTCCGAATTCAATCGAGTGACCCGGATGACGTAAGCAGGCTCACTGGATCTAGCTCTCAAGTGAACCAGGACAATCCCCAAAACAACCACCTTCCACAAAGTGCTGATTTATCAAGAGTCTCCATGTCACAAGCGCAAAGCTCGCCGAATCTCGAATCGCTGTCTATCGACGAGCCCCAGACTAATGCAGTCCAATGGGCACTCGGCGGAACAGTTGACGGGGATGAGCAGGTGAGCAGCACAACCTGGGAAAGAAAAGCATCTTGACGATTCACTAACTGTCTACCCTAATAGATATTGATCGATGCTGAGCGATCCGCGCGTTCTATATCCAAGAGGAAGGCGATCGAATTGGTCTCAAGTCTCGCGGGTGCTTTTGAGGAAGGCAGCGTGGTTTGTGTCCACGCTGCTAATGATGTGAGATTCTTACCCACGGGTTAAACTTACTGGATGACCTCTCTGACGGCGCTTCAGGTCTTGTATCCGATACTGGTCCTTGCCATCCTCGCTTCGGGCTGCATATACACCGGGTCGAATCCCGTCTACACGCAGAGGGAGCTGAAGCATCACCTTGATGTCTCTGAGGCGAGATATGTGGTGACTACGACGGACTTGCTGAAACATGTCGCGCCAGTTGTCGGTGAGCTTGGGGGAAAGGCTGAAGTGAGCATCTTTTCGGACCTTTTCAAGGATTCAGCGCCAGCGAACGAGACGTACAGGACATTGCACGACTTGAAGAAGCCGGCCAATGTCTCAGATCTATCCAATCGCCTAGCGGAACTCTCACTAGATGCGACTGCTACCCTCATGGCCACGTCGGGATCGACTGGCCTACCAAAACTCGCTGCCCGATCTCACTCTGCCCTCCTTGCGGAAGCCAAAGCCATCGCATCCAGAACGTCCAACACCTCCTACTCCGTCCGAAAGCTGATATGTCTCCCTATATACCATGCGTTCGCTTTCCCGGAAACGGTATTCACTACGCTTCGTCTGGGTCAGCCAACCTATATTCTGAAAAGATTTGGGGATGCTTTCTCCTATCGCATTCGAGATCACCAGATCACGGACGTCCTGACCTTGCCGTCCATGCTATTGGAACTTGCGGAATCTGCAGAGCAGGATATTGATATCAAGGCGGATCTGCAGACCTTGCGGACAGTTTATTGCGGTGGTGCTCCCTTGGTAGAGGAATTGAAGGAAAGATTTCTAGGGCTCTTTTACGAGACGCCGAGGCTGGTGAATGTTTATGGTATGACAGAGTGCGGATGGATTGCGATGTCTGACGGCGAGCAATCGGAGAATCGGAGATGTGTTGGATCGGCACTGGAAGGTCTGGAGATTCGTCTGAATGAGCGTGCGGCGCTGACGCTTGACGGCGGACGCGAAGTTGGAGAGCTGAGCGTCATGGGAAACCAAATCATGACTGCCTACAAGAACGGTTCCGCTGCTATCAAGGTCGCTATCACGCAGTGTGACTGGCTGAGAACGGGTGATATCGGCTACCTCGAAGACGACAAAGTCTACCTTGTCGACCGAGCCAAAACCATCATCAAGATCGATGGCTTCGCGGTCTCTCCGACAGAATTCGAATATACTATACGAGAGCTATCGCCGGTTCAAGATGTTGCCGTCATCTCGTCAGGACCGGACAGCGTTGATGAGCATCCGATCATCTTCATCGCTCGCAAAGAGGGAGAAGGCGAACTAACCAATTCTCAAGTTAGACAGCATCTGACGGGTCGACTATCGAGATACAAAGTCGCCAAGTGCCGGATTAGATTCGTGGAGAAGATATCACGAGGCAAGGATGGAGAGGCTCTCAGAGAAGAGCTGAGAAAGACGTTGATGTAATGATACCTGCAAGCCAATTCCCGACGGCATGTGAAAAGCCGAGACCCAGTCAAAGTCCGTTCAAAATTTGATTGGGGATAAATGGGGCTACGTTGGCTGATCCCCGGTCACGGAGAAACAATCGGAGATGGTCGGGGCTCTCCGGTGTTTTAATGGCGTCCTATCTCTGCTTCTTGGATTCACGACCTTCTTCCTAATTTCAATCTCGGACCCAAAGAAAACATCGCAAAGGCAGCAATTGAGGAGATCTGCGCAGAGACACCTGGAACTTCACCCCGAAAACCGCTGGACGAAGCTTGGATCGGAAGCGTCATCAGCCTGAACTTCTTTCCCGAATCCTTTCATTGGCCATTATCTCTCAGAGTACTCTAGGGATCGATAGGAAACAATGCGTATCCTCTGCCTTCACGGGGCTGGGACCAGCGCCGAGATCTTCAAAAGTCAAACCTCCGCGCTCCGTTGGAAACTAGACGAGACAGAATACAAGTTCGACTTCCTGGACGCACCGCATCCTTGGAAACCTGGCCCTGGAGTAGGACCTTTCTTTGACGGACCTTACTACTCTTGGTGGACGGACTGGAACGAAAACGGGGTCAAGGCAGCGGTAGACGAGCTGCTCAAGTACTTGAAAGCACAGGATGAGCCGTACGACGCCCTCATGGGATTCTCGCAAGGGTGCCATCTCATAGCGATGGCGATCATGTGGCATCAGAAAGACTTTCCCGGCGAGCCGTTGCCGTTCAAGGGGGCGATTTTCCTGTGTGGTGGTGTGCCGCTTTACGTGCTGGAGAAGTGGATACACGTTCCCGAGGAGACGAAGCGAATCATTCGAGAATCGGGCGATGCGTTGACCAATGTGAGAGCCCAGACGCCTCTCAAGGTCGAGAAGATGCTGCAGACGGGCGAGCGATCGAGCCTGTGGGATATGCCCACCGCGCTATGGGACGGCAAAGACGAAAAGATTGGCCCGACATGGGATACGCCATCTTTTACCAAGACGAATGTCTTTGGGCTAGATGTCTCGAATCTGCCGCAACATGTACAGATTGACATCCCTACGTTCCACGTATATGGGCACAAGGATCCGATGTGTACAGCTTCCTTGATTTTGAGCAATCTTTGTAGGGAGGATCGGAGACAGGTGTATGACCATGGCGGAGGGCATGATATCCCTAGGCCGTCGTGGGTCTCAGAGGATCTCGCTGGAGGCATCCGAAGGGTAAAGGAGAGGATAGCAGAGGGGAAGGGGTTGAGATGACGGATTCGAAGCTAAGGGTGTTTCCCCGAGCCGACAGATACAGAAATATACAGGGTAGTCTCTTCAGCGGCATGGTAGAGGTCTGTGGGACAGAGACAAAGAATCTTGGACGCTTGCATCCCAACGAGATCATTCCGGAAGAATTCACATAAGTCTCTCCAGCGGCAGGGTAGGGGAGCGTGTCATGAAGATCGAAGCACAGAAAAGAGAAACATGATCGTTACGTGAGCTACATTTACTCGGTAGGATCCCCCTTCGCCCTCTTCGGGGACTTCTTTCTCGTAGGTCCCTCGCCCTTGCCCTCGACGGGAGTCTCCTCATCTTCCACCTCCTCTGGCTGATGGACAGCCTTGCGCTTCTTGGCCTTGGCGCCACCGGCCGGCGAGGGCGACTTACTCCTCGTACGGGATCCACCTCCCCCATCCTTCGAGCCAGACATCCCCGAAGAACTGGCGGCCTGCTTCTCAAAATTCGGCGGCGCGGGTGGCTGAGGACGAGTCGCCGTCTTGGGACTCGGCGCGCGCGGATCCGCAGGCGAGGGAAACGGGGAGTCTCCATCCGGCTCCAAATCGCTCGTCACCAGCGATTGGAAGCCCTGATCTTCGTCGTGAATCGCAGTCCAAAGCGCTCCCATGAGCGGCTCCGTCGCCTCCCCTAGTCCCTCGAGTCGGATCAGATCGTAGATGTTTTCGACCTGCCGGCGGTAGAAGTGCAGGCGTTGGCGTGCTTCGAGGGGGAGACCGACTCCATGCGTGCCTTTTCGGATGGTGACTTTTACCGTGCTGATGGCCGGGGGCGTGTTGATACGTCGTGGTGGTGGAGAGACAGCGGGAGGCTGTTCGAATCTGACGGCCTTCTCTGTTTCCTTTCCCTTGCCGGCATTTCCTCTGGTAGTCCTAGTGGAGGAGACTGGCTGCGTCTTCTTCGACGGCGCCCTAGTCTTCTGCGGTGGTGGAAGATCTTCTTTGCGAGCCCAATGTCCGAAACCTCTATGATAGAACGCTTTGGGATTCTCACTGGCGTCGACTTCTTGTTTCGTGTAGGTCGTCTTTGTTCTCGCTGCTCTCTTGATAACTTTGGCGTTTTCCTCAGTTGTCTTCTCCTTCGCGGCCTTCTCCTCAGCGGCCTTCTCCTTAGCGGTCTTCCTCTCAGCGGCCTTCTTCTCAGCAGTCTGCTTCTTCTCGGCAGCCGTCTTTTTCGGTGGCATGGTTGTTCAGCTGAGACTCGATGATCAAGGAAGATCTTGGAGAAGAAACTTGTGTATGGTTGGTGTGTGTGACGCGGGTTGCAATTTGCAAGATGGATGGCAGGAAAGGGAAGGCGTTGAAAAAGCAAGCGAAGAGATAATTGAGATGAACAATGAAGTCTCTCCCCATTATTGTCTCTGAAGCTTCCCCGGAAACGGAAAGCGAGGAGGCCATTGTCCCATTGCACGACCCACATATATTTTCTTTATTGTCCATAGGCAGAGAAATATTGTGACTGAGATTTGTCTCATCTTGTGCATTTTGTGTTATTGGAATTTTGTGCTCTGAGGTAGAATCCACAGCCGCTCAATCAGATGACAATTAGAATGATGGTATATTGTACTTCAGTACGTTGTAATCGCTATAATCATTGAGCCGCACCATCGCTGGGCGACGTCAAGCCGTATGCTGGTTTCACTGCACTGAGTCAGGGAGAAAAGGGCGATGACGCTTGATCAGTACGGCTGAGTTGATTGCACGTATCAAGTAGGCAATCCTTGAAAGGGTATTATTATTGATCTGGAATAAATTCACTAATAACCCGCACAAACATAAGGGAACAAGGAGTGGTGATACTACTCAGCTCTGCATCTGTCTATCACCTCCGAGTTCCTTGTGGCAGCTTCCACTGATGTGCTCCGTTGATCCTGTCTTTAGCACGCTTCCATAGTGAGTTCTCAGACTTCAATTGCTTTATGAACCATGGAGCGCCCCCCTCTAAACGAATATGATCGATAGGACTACCTTCAATCCAGAACGCTCCTCCCCCGACTTTCAAGGTGCTAGCGATCCTTTTTGAAAGCTTTCTTTCTTCTCTCAGGCTGCGAGCAATCTTTACTCATGTCTCTTTCCATCTCTCAAAATGTCAACGATATTCTGTGGAAGAATCTTTCCTTCTCCGAGAGGTCCACTGTGCCTCTGTAGCAGCTGCCTTTAATTGCGATCGCTGTAGTATTTGTGGACGTAGACAGTGTCTCCTTTCCTGTTCCATGCCGCTCCGTCCCCTCGTCGTTGAAGCTGAATTGGAACTCCCATAGAAGTGCATCTCGACATGCTACAGGAGTCTCCAAGCTTTCGCGATGATCATACGGGAGGCCAGGAAGTGATGCTGCGTATTGGTGTACTGGGCCTGGCCCAGTAAGTCCTTGGGAGAGCCTACGACGTATGAGCGCGCGACTTGGTGCTTCCGAAGCAGCCTCATCAGATTCAAATCCACGTTTCCCGTCATTAACGGCCAGTGAGGACATTTTCGCTCCTGCTCAACGAGCTTTCCAACTTCATCCCTCAGTATCCAATTGCTCGCCGCATGTTGCTCCTCGTGTTGACCGAGAATCCAAGCCTCAGTCAAGCCCATCTATTAAGCATGCCGAAATTGCCGGTTGTAGTGTGGAACGAGTTTCTTTACCCCATCCCCGCACGGCTGTGAATAGTCCAGTCGAGCTTGCTGAGAGGGGTCGCAGAAGGCTGCTGCGCAGAGTGCGCAAGGTAGATAGAGTAGGGCTGAGATGCTGGGGTGATGAGGACTGAGGGGCTCCGGGAAATGGAGTTGGGCTGAATGCTGATACTGTAAAGTGCTGGTTGTGGCCAGACAAGTGTTCCGGCGCCGAAGCTGAGGTCGCAGCACCGATGTCTCTCAGCACGTGATCGGCGTGACCTGCCCGTGAAAGTGCCATGTCGTCATCTTTCGTATCGTGTTGAACGTGTGAGTCCCAAAATCGAAAGTCGAGGAAAGTGCGAGGAAGCGACACACGTGCAATTTAGCCGATGTTCCGCCGACGCTAAGATACGCAGGAGTGGACAATCCAACGCCATCACAGAATGCCTTGCAAGGTAGCTTCAAAGCGATGGCATGCACATATCGGAAGATCTCGAGTATAATTCAGTTCATCACTGACACTGAGCGCCGGCTGTGACCTGACAGGAGCCAGTCCCTGATTGAGAGGCTAAAACAATCACTAGGTCTGTAAGCTATCGCTTTTTGGCACTGGATTCTAACTAATTTCTGGCATATAAAACTTTTCCACTCATTGCACACGAGCGCGGTATATAGCGCTCAGAATCGTTCCGAGTCAAAGAAGGACTCCAAGAGCCAATATCAAGACTGCGATAAGACCATACACAGTCTCAGCCCTGATCTCTGCGTCCGCTAATAGACTAGAACCAGCTCGACTGATCACTGCTATAGTAGCACTGGTGTAATTCCCCATGGCAGAACAGTCTCGTGGACTATCCGTCAGCAAAGCCTGCCCACCGACAAGCTCAACCATTCGAGTACTCCAGTTATAGTACGTCGAAGTATCTCGCTGTGTCACACTCGACTGAGATCCGAACAGAGACCAAGTTCTCTCACAGACAGCCCGAACAGACTCCTTGATCGAACATTTCGTTGTCACTATCTCAGCAACATTGCCCGCGCGGACTCCAGTGGCTTTTGCGATTTGTGTAGAAGGTCCTACGGTGATCACCTAGGATTTCATCAGTGTTGGAACTTTGGTAGAAAGGGGAGCTTACAATTGTTTGGATTTCCGTGGAGCAGGCTGGTTCTGCGCATGAGACGCCGTAGGTCGTCGAGCAAGATTCTGTTCCGAGGACGAAGGCATGATTGGAGAAGGTTGATTGGTTGCCGATATAGAGCCAAGTCGCCATGGGAGCGGCGCTTGTCGCAAGCGCACTGACATTTGAAGTGCTTTCTGCTCCAAGCTGCTGGATTAACGCTAACAGCAAGAAGAATGTAGAAGCGGTTGGAGAACAAATCATCTTGGGGTTGGGATGAGCGGTTCAGGAGTCTGAAGCAGATTGGCGAGCGCTTTGTCCGGTAGTCCAATGCCTTTGACAAAGGTGAAGATACTGTACGTGTCACGATAAAACAGGTTCAAGATGGAATGAATCTGTTGTCAAAGGCACAAGAGTAGCGCTGTAACACGTTGCACTTCCTCAGCCTGGAACACCACACAGCTGTGCTTAAATTCATCTATAAACCTCTGGTAGCTGTCCCAAGGTGGCTTCCGGTCATCGACGAGGTTCGTCTGCGCCTCATGTGATATTGGGGTCCGTGCGCACCTAACGCAAGCTTTCGTGCTTTCTTTCCTAAGCTTGGAGTTGTTTCAACAGACAACAAGTCCCACGATCTTGATGCAACCCAGAAGAGGAAGCTCTGTTTTCTAGACAATTGGCCGATCGCTGATGGGTGCTCCTGCAATGTTGAACTTTTGCCAAGGAGCGCAGCAATTTCCGTTTTTGCGGGCATTCCCACCTGGGGCTTTCTTGTGCTTACTGATCTATTTCGCATACAAATCAACGATCTGCCGCTCACAGAACGGAGAAACTGATGGCAGGGATGGAGAGGCTCATGGTTATGGGGCGAGGGAGCGATTAAAGGAGAGGGCTGAGTAAATGCATGTATGTTCAGTGAGCCCTTGAGCCGACATGGCCGACTGCAGATTCGGACTACATGACTTCGACGCCTCAGAGTCTCTCTTCGGGGAAGAGCCGTCAGTCTGCAGACTGAACTCAGAATCTTGCATATCAACTGGCTTTGTGCTCGCTCGAAAAATCCTGGTTGGCTTGCTGATAACAAGGTAACACTATGTCGCTCGCGCAGGCATGCTGACTCGTCGTGAGTAAGATTTTGAATCTCTTCTCCGGCACACCGCTTACAAGATTGGGAACAAAATCATCGCTGAACCCAAGTGTAGTCCAGTCTGCGATGGCTGATCTTTTCTCAGAGTCCGATACATGCGGCGTTTATGCTCCGCCGTGCTGTTGATCTAATTCTTGCGTTCTTGCTTGACACGCCGGTCCCCACTTGGGACCATTTGTTTGGATTTCTACTCCGGTTGTCGATTCGTCGTCTCAAAGTTGTCAGGTTCAAGATAGCTCCACTCCGGCACCTCGCGAATCTTCTTCCACATCTCCTTCTCCAGCTTGTTGGCAGCCTTGGCATACGGAGTGGTCTCGGCGTTGTACCGCTTGCAGTTCCGCACGATGAGAAGTACGTCCTGCAAAATCACATGTTAGCATGGGGATATCGAGAATGATAACTGCGAACTGTTTACCTTGACGAAGTCTTCAACGCTCTCGTACTTATCCTTTTCCAGCTTGTTTTCCATCAACGACAAGTCCATTGGTTCCTTGATCACGTCATAATAATCATGCACTTCATCGCCATTAACGGGTTGAAGAAATGGCCATGCAGACGAGCTATTCTGAAGCTGGGACAGTAGGCTCAATAGCAGACTGTGTGATGGGTTGCGACGCGGCTGTCTCGCAAGCGCGTCCATTTCCGGTGACCATCCCGTAGCCTTGATAGCGGGAATTGCGAGAGGGTCGATCTCGGCACGGGACTTGCCCTCCTTGTCGGCCTTCTTCCACTGCGCAGGCGGCTGATGTATCTCGTAGCTCTTGCTCTCTGCTCGAATCTTGGCATGAACAGCAGCCTTTTGCTTGAGCAGCATCCTGCCCGATTCAAGGTATCTGATCTTTGGAAGCATGGAGCACTGCATTATTGTACCTCCCTCGTAGTCCTTGATGTAGCCCATCCACTTTGGCTTATCCAGCGTTATCTCTTTCGTGAATCCCTGCTTCTTGAAATATCCGATGGCGTAGTTGTCGGCGTATGTAAGGAAGTACATGACGTCGCTGGTCGCCTTGACGTAGTCTTTGAGATGGCTCATAAGATGCGCGCCGTATCCCTTAACTTGCTGATCGCTGCTGATCGCGCAGAAGACGATCTCCGCAAACTGCCTCCCTTTGAACGGTCGGTAAGTGATGCCTCCCACGACCTCACCTGGCAGGTTTGAAGTCTCCGCATAGCTGCCAGCCGGAGGACGCTTGACAATCGCTATGCTCAAGTGTGTCCGGTCATATACAAGTCTCGCGATGTAGTCCTTCGGCATTTTGGGCAACTGCTTCTGAAATATGCACTTAAGGCCAGTGAGAACAATGTGAGAGTGGGGCTGGCCGTCATTGTTCACGACCTGGAAGGAGATTTCGCCATTTCGCTCCTCAGCCACTGCGGGCTTCTCAGGGAAGGCTGCGTGGTTGATTGTCGAGAAAGAGGCATCGGCGGCGGAGTCTGGTTCAGGCGACACGGTCTTGTGTCGCTTCGCATCGTGGCCGTTGATGCCGTCTTCGGCTTTGCGCTTTTCGTCTTTCACGCTAGCCATGCTGGATTCTGATGCGACGAGTGTGAAGATGTGGTGTTGAGGAATGTGTGCGCGGTTGTGGAGATGGAGGCTGAATGCGGAGGTGGCTCCGGGAGATCGGCGCTACATCGCCGCCACGCGCCGAGCCGCGCGGGGCGCATGTGAAAGCTTGGCAGGGCCGCGTTCGAGCTTCGTCGACTCCAGCTGTTCAGTTCTAATGCTGCTTAGAAGCTCGTGAACAACACCCCCGCTCCCACACCCACCGCGACATTCAGCTGAACAGACACCGACAATCATCTCCTCGACCACTCCATGTCTTCTCAGCCGCTCCACGCTCTCTGGGACGCTTCGGCGAAGACTCCCTTCCAGCCAGCCGTCAGCAAGGACGCCCAATTCACCGTCGGATTCAGTCTGCTCGTCGCCGCCTTCATCCTCTCCGGCTTGTTTGGCTTGAGTACGTGCTCCAAGTACGAACCAAGGCGTCATAGGAAACGCGTTCTGATAGCAGCCCAGATCTCTCTCTGAAGAACCTCCCTCTTCTTGGCATACCAGCTTCATTAGCATTCGGGTAATAGGACTGCCCGATGAATACCGCCTGTTCCTCAGCCTAACACATTCTCAGCTTCGGCGCCGTGTACATGATCTGCGCGGTCGGTGTCTATGTATAGATCGAAACCACCTCCGAGCTTCCAACGTTACCGGCGACACGTCGATTCCAAGACCTACGAGATATACCGTCCACGCCGGGACACCAATTCCTCCGAAACTCCTCCTTCCCACGCATCCACCAAACGAAAGTTTCATCCGGTTACCTCTACCTTATTCATCCTTACTTGGGCCACCGCCGGCTTCTTTGCGGCATTTGCGTTGACAGTGTACATTATACGCCTGCTCCCTGTGATACGGGCAGCGATCTGGTAATCCAGCCAGAATAAAGAGAAGATACCTCAGAAATTTGAACAGTCTCGAAACATTCACAATGGCGAACAACGGGCCGCTTTTCACTGCTGTTTCGTCTTCTGCGCGGCAGATCTTGCTGCTACTGCGCTGCATTTCATTCGCCAAGAAGGCACACGTTCGCATCTCGTCAGATGGCCTCCGATTTAGCACCGAGGAGGGCAGTGTCATGGAAGCTGTGATCTTCCTCGAGAAGGCACTCTTCACATCTTACAAGTACAACGAACCTGTGCCCGCTTCATCCCAGGACGATCCGCCAGAAGCTCCGCTCTTCGAAATTAACCTCATTTCTCTTCTTGAGACACTCAACATCTTCAGCATCTCTGATCCAAGCATCTCAAAGCGGCCTGGCGAATACGACTCTTTCGCTGCGCATCGCCTGAATCGCCATGCTGGCTTCAACGCGTTCTCCAACCAAGCTCTCGGTGTCTCTGGCATCTGCACCTTCACCTATGACGGAAATGGTAGCCCTCTCAGCATCAATATGTCCGAAGCAGGCGTCACTACAACCTGCGATCTCACTACGTATGGAGCTGAGAGTGCAGAGGAGATTCCCTTCAACCGCGATAGCCTGTCTTTGAAGACGATCATGCGCTCCAACTATCTGCTGGATACAATTGCAGAATTGAGCTCCATGAGCCCGACAATCTTGACAATTCAGGCCAATCCGACATCTCGGCCAGGAACCAACCTGTCGCTCTCGGCCAGCGGCCATCTTGGCTCAGCGACAGTCGACTTCACGACAGAGACAGACTCTGAGACACCAATTCTGGAGACATTCCAATGCTCTCGCAAAGCTTCTGCGAGCTTCAAATTTGACCTGATCAAAGCTGCCCAACGCGCTATGGCTTCGGCGAGCAAGGTTTCATTACGCTTAGACGAAGAAGGCGTCCTGAGCATGCAGTATCTTGTGGAAATCGAAGCCGGAGGAGCAGGCGATGGTGTTGCTTTCGTCGACTTCCGCGTGGTGCCGCTCGTCGAAGGCGAGGGTGATGAAGAGTACGGAAGCGACAGCTCGGATTGAGTGAAGACATCCCCCGTATGGCTCACTGTACTACTCAGATCATGACCACCTCCCACCCACGAGAGCCTTTCGAACGGTCCTTTCATCGTCCAAGAACACCCACTTCTTTACAAGCGCTTCATCCTATCCGCTGCCTGCCTCCCACATTTTGGGACCAACACTGATTACATCTCCCACATCCACCACTAACACATCAAACTCCTTGCCTACCTCGAAACTTCCTATCTTATTTTTCATACCTCCTATTTGCGCTCTTGCCATCGTCGCCATTATGCCAGTATCATCGTGGATCTCACACATATGGCCCTGAACACAGATATTGTATTTTACGCTTAACTTTCCCAGGCCTTCCATGAGCTCGGGAGGATATCAGCGCCCACCGCGAGGCTGGACACAGGAATGGGACAGACGGCGTTCTGGATTCAACCTGTGGATGAATTTGATCGAACGTTCGAAATCTCTCAAGAAAGCCTCGACTGATTCCTCCCCGTTTCCGCTCGTGGATCCTAGGGTGGTATTTGCCTATGATTGCCCTCTGCCCGCCATTGAAAGCGATTTGGGCAAGAATGTTGGTTGCTTCGACGGGAATGGTGCTGCCGTATGCTATTGTTGTTGAGCCCAGTCTGAGTGTGGTCCTGATTACGTCTGCGTAGACCCTGCTGGCTTTTGCAGTGTCGCTGTAGGATGCTTACAATCAAGCGCGTTCGACACCGCGTTCAGCACTTTTGAACCCTTCGATCTTGACGCAGGAGTCGATATTTGAGTAGAGCTGCAACTCTATCACTACTGTGAACGAAAAGAGCTGCCTTTGGCAAGATCTCGAGATGTTCAAGGCAACTATAATGGACGATTCGGCCAAGTTAGACCCTTGGCTCTGCACCCATGGCTTCGTACTTGATCACCATTTTCAATCACGAAAGGGCCCCTAGGTCGTCTGGCAATGTTCAGGAGTCTATCGTTGTTCCTCCTTCGAATTCCAACTTGCTGCCAGTCACTATAGGTGACCCACTTTTACTTCCAAAGTTGGAAGCTACAAGTAACGCACAGATCGCTACTAGGTAGTATCGCCCCGGTAAGTGAATCTCGGGAATACTATCAACTCAGCATTCTGGATATGCCTGAGAAGAATACTGCGCGCGAACAGCGCCCTCAGAACGCGACGAAGATGTTACTTGAGGGCACGGATTGGACCCTTTGCTTGCAAAGATCTGTACCTGTTAACGATCTCAGATCCGAAGACGTCATCTCGATGTTTGAGCTCAGTCGAGTCGGAGTCCCCCCCGTGCTACATCAATTGATCTCTCCCTCACTATGTATCTGACCTTACCCGTATAACCACAATATCAAACACAACCCATGAATCTAAACCTCGCAAATCTCCTGCCCGCAATCCTGAGCCTCATAGTCCTCACCCTAGCAAGCAATACCCACGACCACAACCAACACCAACATCCCATCACATCCAACAACAACAAAATGTCCAAATCACTAAACGGTACGTCACCTCGCCACCCCTGCACTATTTCGTTGTAACACGTCTTTCTCACGATGAATATAGTCTTCAAACAACCCCTCTCCCTCCACAGCACCTCCCCGATGACCGGCTACCTCCGCAACGGCTACTGCGAAGTCCCCGCCGGCGACTTCGGCAACCACGCCGTCGCAGCAGAAGTCACGGAAGAGTTCCTCGACTTTAGCGCAAGGCAAGGAAACGACCTGCGTCCTGTCCCCGGAATGAAGGAAGGCTGCAAATGGTGTCTATGTGCATCGCGGTGGTTGGAAGCATTCGAGGCACGAAAGAGAGAGCCCGCCGGGGATAGGATTGTTCCCAAGGTGTTTTTGAATGCTACGAATGAGAAAGCGTTGGGTAAGATTAACTTGGAAGATTTGAAGGCTTTTGCTGCGGATAAGGAATAGGATGATACATGCCAGGTAGATTGGGGAGTGTATGATGAGATGAGCACTAAGGAACAAGACGTGTATGGAACGCGTACGAAATGAGATGATGTAGGCAAAATGAAAGATGTGAAGAAGAGAAGTGAAGAACTGTTTGTTACACGCAGGCTCCCTTCCCAGAGGATTCGAGATCCAGAAGCGACGGACGCTCTCGGCATTGTAACACCAGACGTCTCAATCATGACGCTACAGCATCCGTGTGCGCGAAGAACTGCTGCTCTCGAGCTGACATCGTCTTTATTTTCATAGCATTCGTAGCTACCACGCATATTCAGCAGAACATCCTTACAATAGAGTCAGGATATGGAGACTACTCACAGTCAAGCGTCTTTAGGAGCGTTGTTATTAGCGTATCATCTCGTCAAAGGTCGAAATTCCCTTGCGGCATCTCATGGAGGAATGGCTGTGTTCGGAAAGCTTCTTGTTCCGCTTCGCTCATCCTGCTCAATCATCATCATGAATCGTAATACCAACTTCCTCCTGCGCTGCCTCTCCCTGGGCACCATCCTCCTCCCCCACCCTTTTCTCGACACTGATCTTCGCAGGCCCCAACTTCCTCTTCACGCCGCCTCCCCCTCCCCCTTCACCATTCTCTTTCTCCTTCATATCAGCTTCCGACCCTCCCTCACTCCCCACCATCTTCTTCCTCTCCTGCCTCTTCCTCGCCTTCTCCCTCCTAGCCCGATTCTTTCCCAATTTCTCCTCATCCCTCTTCTCCCTCTCCTGCTTCCTAGCCAAGAATTCCTTCTCCGCTTCTTCCTCTCTCACCTCCTCATCCATCGTCCGTAACCGCTCATATTCCCGCCGCCGACTGGCTTTGTATACGTGGAATTCACCACTTCCAGCTCCGGCCGAGGAACCCTGGACGTTGGCTACGATTTCGGGCGGTGCGTTGAGAGTCTTGGGTTTGGGACCGAGGTTGAGACCGATTTCTGCTCGGTCCGGGTTGGCGAAGAGGGTTTCGAGTTGTTGCGATTGTTGCGAGGTGGGAGTGTTCGCGGCGCGTTGTTTCTTGACTGGGCGTGAGGAGCGGTTGGAGATGGAGGTGGGTATCGACTCTGGTATGTTTTCCGACATTTTCGGTTACAGATGCGAGTGTTGGAGTCGGCGGATAGGTGGAAGATGTTGTTGTAATCCGAAGAAAGATTCACTTGGTTGCATGTGACGGAAGCGGCGACGTCCCACACACTCATGAAATGGTCATGAAATATTGAAAGCGTCAATCAAATGATAGCACCTAGTACCTACCTAGCAGGCCCCATGCTAGCTGCTACAACCGAGTACCTTGCTGTCCGATAATTGCCGTAATTGCCGTCTCTACCTGAACGCTATCCTTGAAATCATACCCATAATCATACAATCATCCGACGGTACACAGCTTCAATAGACGCTTCCTCGTAAACCTTTATCCTCCTTTTCAGCCTCTTCAATGTCTTCAAGTCCAGTTACTCCACGGTCGAGCTTTTGCTTAGACCCCATGCCATCTTGACCACCATCCGACCACTCCTCCGGCTCATCGCCTAGAGCATCGGCCATTTTACCCGCATTCATGCCACTCTCATGAGCCCAACGCTCGATGTCTTCGGGAGTCGCTTTTCGTTGCGGAGCATTTCGCATCGCTTGAGCAAGGCTCCCGGTCTGCTGCTTAGCAAAATACTCAACCCCTTCATCCTCGCTCATCTCATGCGGAGTCGCTGGCCCAAAAGTAGTCCCGCCACCGTCACGACCTTGCTTGAGGTACGAGGGCATAGCTGGCCGGAACGGGATTTGGAATTGAGGCGGGGAATCTGAAGAGCCATCACTGAGCTCCTCCTGGATAGGAGAATGTGACTGCCGACCATTGGAAGCCAGGTCAACTCTCGCTATTTGGTGGTCCTCCGCTTCATTGCTGTTGGCTTTTGACGTTGTGGCGGCAGGTGGTAGCTGAAGCTCTTCTTGAAGCTGCTTCTTGTTCTGAACAGTTCGTCTTGGATACCTGTCGTTGCCATGACTACATCCGTCCGTGCAGCCTCCCCACTTCCTAGGGGGCAGCGTCGGGCTATCGTCACTCTTCTTTAGAAAACTCGACAACGTATTACGTCGCTGAAGGTCCTTCGCTTTCTCTTGTCTCTGCCTCTTCAACTCTGACCATGTTCTAAGATTGTTCTCAAGTCTATACTTCCCGGTCTCTTCGTTCTTGGTCATTACGATAAACTCACAATGGTTCATGTTTCGTAGATCCTCGAAGTACTCCACGCTCCAGTGATACCACTTCATGAGGAATACTCTGGACATCAACCCATGCGTGACTAGGACGCAGACAGATGGGAAATCTGCGTCTCCGAATTGCCGCCACAGACTCTCGTTAAAGCCCGAAACCCGATCGTATGCATCCGCCGCGCTCTCTCCATTCGGTATCCTGTAGAAGAAGTGTCCGTAGTCCGCTCTTTCAGCCCACATCCTCTCCATCTCCGCCGAACACGGCTGGAAATTGCCAAAGTCCTGCTCTCGCAATCGTGGCTCCTCATATACCGTGATTTTGCTCCTACTAAACGGACTGGGAGCCGCATCCGGATCGTCTGGGTCATTTCGAGCAGTGAGGGTTTTGAGAATCCCTTCCGTCGTTTCCCGCGTTCGTCGATACGGCGATGTGAAGATCTGGAGCGTATCGTCTGGTCTCAGGAGATGTCGTAATCGGCGTCCAGCTTCTTCTGCCTGTGTCGTTAGTCAGGAACGCTGCTTGCAAGTGTCACAGGATGCATGAAACGCACTTGCTTGTGGCCTTCGTCTGTGAGTTTCACTCTGTGGTCTGGTATCATCTGGTGGATCTCGCGATTCTTGTTCCCTTCGCTCTGTGCATGGCGCACCAGGATTATTAGTCGTGGCTTCACCATGCTGAGATACTTGTACGCAAACTTCAGGAATGTGTGAATGAAGGAAGGGAAGAGAGGGAGTCGGTTGTTCACCGCTGTTGGTGCCTTCGGAGTTGTCGGCGTTTGTACAACTCCAGTCCTGCTGACCATTTCGTCCCACTGCGATGTTCCCGTATGACGTACCTAGTCTCCCTCTTTCGGCATTTGAACGATATTCAGGGACCGTATCCGATGGCGACTAGTACTGCAACATGGTATGTTAGCGAAGGACCAAACAAAACGCTCAACCGAGAACTTCCATCAGAAACATGAACATCACGTTGCTTCCCCCCGCTCTCCCCGCAGTCGTCAACGCTGCACACGTATCCGACAGAATGCGCCTCGTCGCATCGCCGTTGAGCGGAACCAGCACATACTGAGCACGGTAAAGAACAGGACGAGATAGATCGCGCCAGCGCTGAATCTGGCCACAATTGGTCCTGATCGCCCTAACAGGCACGTTGTAGTAGTAATATCGGCCTTGCCAAAGAAATAACCCTAGAGATTGTAACAAGACATCGGCAGCAAACAGAATCCTTGGTCCCTCAAGAGACCAATGCGCGCGCATCTTTCGATACCAGGCCATACGCTGCTCATACGCATATCTTCCTCGTCTTCATTCTCCGTACTGACCATACTCTGGCTAGGGACGTTCCACGAGCTGACATGCTTGAGACATTCCTCTTTGTCCATCGATTGAGAGCAATTGGGCATAACGGTGCAAAGCAAAGCGTGAAGGCCGTCGTGTTCCGGATCTCGGTGCACTCCTTTTCCTAAATCGACGGGGCGTCTCCGTTGGGTAGAGGGGCGGCTTGATAGGTGAAGGTGATGCTCCTGCGCTACTGTCGCGATCTGTTCGTGGACCCCTTTCAGGTTAGCCTCCAACTTGTCGCAAACAATAGTTTCATCGCCATCCAGATCAATGTCGTGGAAAAACTCCTCCATTCTGTCGCGTTTCAGCGGTTCTAGATCCAACAAGGACGCTACATCCTTGAAAAGCGCTTTTGCAGCCATTGCGACTTGGCCAGAGGAGGAAACGACAGATCACAGCCGTCTTTTCTATCTCCAAGAAAGAAAGCGATCACCTGCCGCTACCAAGCTACGCCAAGGCCTTGCCATGGACAACATGACCGGGACCTCGCTCGGACGGTGAAGGATGCTTTGCCTATGTTTCTGGGCATCTACTCGTACACGTGCGTATCGTACATTTGTCGTCGAAGAGGTCAGATAGAGTTCCTGTAGAAACGCCATGAGCCCTTGGCATTCATTCGATCTCATGGTTGGCTAGTCCTGCTGGCACAAGATTCACTAATCCTGTTCGGGCCTGTGCTGCTGGAAACACTAGGTATGGTCTTGTTTCTCGCTCCGATTCTAGTTTGTTGCCAAAGAAAGATGAAGCTGCGGTATATGATCGGCTTCCATCTAGACACGCCCAAAGCTGGCGGAAAGGTTGATTCCGTACTTGCTATCCGTAGACTTCACGTCTTCGGAGGCGACGTGAGGCTGCACTTGTCCCAAATCCATTGACTCCGTAGCCTTTCAATGTAAGCCATGTAATATAAACGGTACACATACGAGGTCTGGATGAGCCAAATGTCTGGCAGTTCGCGTACTGCCCAAGATATCGCAACGCTGCCGAATGACTGCAGCAACTCCCTGGCTAGACGCGCCCGTCAATCGTCTGCAGTCTTCGCCTTCTTCGCACTCGCGGTCTCATCGCTCGTTCGTTTCCGTTTGCCCTTAGCTGCTTTCCCTCCTTTGGCTCGATATGGACCGTCTGGGTCGGCCTTACCACGCTTCTTCGTGCTTGCCGGATTCTCGTCCACGAACGCATAATCGTCCTCGTCGCCGAATCCGCTGCCGGGACTGAGCACTTCTCGAGCCCGTCCCACGGCGCGGTCGCCGACCTGCTTCGCGAGATCCCTCTTACCTTTACCTCCGCGAGCAGGGGCAGGTCTGGTTTCATGTGATCCAAGACTGTCCGCATCGTCGACTTCCAGTCCAGTGCCAGGCTTCTGGTGGGTACGAAGCCAGTTGTGCTGACTTTGTGGATTCTGCAGCTCAATCTGCCGCTCCACTTCTCGTGGAGTCAAGTCTGCCCAATGCTTGTCTTGGAGAGCTTCTTCCTCTTTCTTCAATGGCAGCCGATCGTTGCTCAGCTTTGCGTCCAGTCGTTGCAGATAGGCATCCTCCTCGTCAAATGTGAGGTATGCGGGTGGATTTGACCCCTGCAGGTCTTCGGGTAGCTCTCCTGATTCTGGCGGTACTGCGTGTGATACGGAAGAGGCAAGCTCGTTAAGAGAGCGAACACCTTGCGCGGCCAGTTTCTTGTCAACTTGTACTCTTATGACATGCAAGTCGAGATGGGGAATCTGGCCGCGCGAGACGGCATCGGTGTAGTCGAGGATGAGCTTGTTTGCTGCATCTGGCGTGACGTCGTCGGGGACAACACTTGGGATTGAACCGACGGCCGTATGTGGCGTAGGAAGGGAAATATCGTAACGAAGGTCAGGTGGAAGAGCTGGGCTGGTGTTGAGGTCGAGCAGGAGATCCATTAATCCACTGCGTTGCAATCAGCATGCTTTGCCCTGCAATGGCTCCACGGCAGAGGGTGCTCACTCCAATTCCTCTCGCAGTCGCCGTGCCATGCCCTCCAGCTTCTGTTCGTCCTTGAACAAGCGTTTGTTCTCCTCAAGAACGCCATCGAACTTGTGTCGCATCTTGCGGTACTTCTTGCGCCATGACTTGTAGGGCTGGCGCTGTTGCTGCTGCACTGATGATAAGGATTTGCCGCCGGTCGTGGCGTGAGGCGGCGCATTGCCCTCTGAGTCGGACATGATGATGCTTGTGTGTTATAGAGTGATTGGCAGGGTGTTCAGATTGGAAGTCGAAGTTGAAGATGCGAACTGAGAGACGTCTCGGAAAGCGCGCGGTACAGCGACTGTGGAACGCGGTCGGGGCTGGAATTACGTCTCGCCGACCCACTATGGTACGCCGAAGGAAGTACACCGGCAATTCGGCTGGAGATGTCCACCAAAATTTCCATGTCGTGCATGTGAACGAACCTTCGATCGCTGGTGAATGCAACGACACTCCCATGCCTGCAGACACAATGTCGTCGTCTTCGGCAGCGAGCGCACACTCGAAGAAACGTAAGCGCGATATTATTCCCGAAAACGAGGACGAAAAACTCGAGATCGATGTCAACGCCCCAGAACCCGCTTCAAAGAAGGCCAAGAGGAAAGAGAAGAAGCTGGCAAAATCCTCCTCGCGAAAGGTCGCAACGCCCAAAACGCCTGAAGAAGATACAGCAGCAAAGTCTGAGGGCGAAGAGGATGTCGCGCCCAAGCAGAAGTCTGCGCCTGCAGCTGAGACGCCCGCAAAGCGATCAGCGTACGGCATTTGGATCGGCAACCTGCCATTCCACGCAACCAAAGCCTCTGTGCGCGAATTTCTACGAGATGAGGGCGGAATCGATGAGACGAGCGTCACGCGCGTGCACATGCCTACAGGCGAGAGAGGGCAGAACAAGGGCTTCGCATACGTCGACTTCACCACCCCGGCTGTCCTCGACATTGCCTTGACCCTGAGCGAACGATTGCTATTGGGCAGGAAGGTCCTGATCAAAAACGCAAAGAGCTTCGAAGGCAGGCCTCAGAAGACAGCTGCTGAGATTGCGACCAATGGCAGCGTGAGCGGAAAGGCACCGAGCAAGCGGATATTCGTCGGAAACCTCAGCTTTGACATCACCCAAGACGATCTCGAGCAGCACTTCAGCCAGGCTGGCCAGGTGGAGGACGTCCACGTAGCGACGTTTGAGGACAGCGGGAAGTGCAAGGGTTATGCCTGGCTTACCTTTGCAAATGTCCAGTCCGCTCAGAGCGCAGTTCGAGGATTCGTACACAAAGAAGCAGAAGAGGACGCAGATGAAGAAGATGATGGTGATGAGGTGAAGACGAGGAAGCGTCCGTCGAAGCCAAAGAAACCTGTTAAGTGGTTCATCAACCGCCTCTACGGCCGTGAGCTGCGCTGCGAATTTGCCGAAGATTCGCAGACCAGATATAAGAAGCGCTTTGCTGGAGGCGGCGCCAAAGACAATCGCGCATCAGGGCCCACCGAAGATGCTATCACGGCAGCTGATGAGATGAACGGGACTAGCGGACAGCACTTCACGCCCAGGAGCAACTCGAGACCAAAGTTGGACAAAGATCAACGACAAGCGCAACGTCGCCTAAAGCACGACGCTAGAAGAACTGCTCCCGGCAAAGCACTTGCACACGCACCCAGATCATCTGCGGCTATTGTCGCTGGAGCAGGCAACAAAGTCACGTTTGATTAAGCAAACGCTGACGACGCAACGCAAAGGATCTGGCTACAATAACCACTTGCGTGATGAATTCACGTCCGGCTTACTATCGGGGGCTCGTAATTCAATACTCGATTGTCATCCGTCAGTGCTCTGCCAGTGCAAGGCAGACCAAGTTCGAAATTCAGCCGATGCTCTACCGTCGCTAAACGCCATTCCCACCTCCTAATGACGCCGACGACACGCGAAGGACAGGAAGTCTATTTGTTGGTCACGCCAGCCCCGACAAGCTCGAAAGACACCTTCCGATGCTACGCGTTAGGGCCTTTTCCCTATCACACGGCGGAGAGACACTGTGAGAAGTAAGTCCTTGCTAGAAGGCGGCAGACTCAATTTGTGATGCAGATTTTGCAGAAGATCAACCTTCTCTTCGCTTCCTCCCGTTTCCTGTCGCCCAACGTCCTCTCCACTTCCAGACTCTTGCCAGGGGAGGTAGTGCCTTTGTCTAGTTTGTAGTGATCTTGCGCTCCAGGCGAGTGCCTTCACGTGCCATGCGACAAACTGGAGCCGACGTCGAGCAGCGAGACCAATTTTGGTTGACGGTGCACTTTGTGAGTCTGGACGATCACATGGCTGCTATCCGTAACCTGGCTTACATCTATTCATTCTTCGCAGACCTTCGCTCGTTGCTGTGGCAGTAGTCTGACTTTGCCAATGCTGCCATCACTACTCATACAGGACATGTTGATCGGTCTCATCGAAGTGCTAGGGTGGGATGAGGATACTCAAATCCTGTACGCAAATGCGTTGAGCCGGCCGTGCAACGCGTGCACGAGATTGTTGAGGGAAGAACTTTGGAGGGTACGCGTCGAGCAAGGGCTTGTCGAAGAGAGCGAAGCTGGCGACGACGACACGGAAGACAACGGAGACTGGTTTGATGGGTGAACGATTGATGGAACTGCTGCAATTCCGAATCTAGGCGAGTCTGGCCGCTGAAAGACTGCAAAGACACTCGACAAGAGTCCTTCCGTGAAGGTCAAATGCTGAAAGATGTCCGGATATCCTTTGTGGCGTTAAGGCCCACGAGATTTCATACCGTCGGATTGATACGTCATGCTAAAGCAATACTGGCACGTTTGTCTCGTAATCGGTCGATGGATCATGTAAGCTTGGAAAGCTGTCAACTATTAACGAGCAGCACACCAGCATGTTGTTGATAAGATTTAAACGATCGGTAGATTGGTTGCGAACGGTTGACGGGGGTTTACCATTGACCAGGGCATGCAGCCAGGCATTAGTGCCCCAGCATAATTTCCCAATTGCATGGAAACTCGCGTATGCACGAAAAATCTGCATGACTTATTCCAGAACGCGAGCGAGCTACTCAGGTTCGGGGAAAATACAGGCTACAGGGTGCTGTCGGCGATTACAATGATAGGAAGAACGATACGGCCATAACATGATGTAAAGCTAAGTCGCTGGTCAGTATATCCTGTAAGCTCTTGACTAGTATCGACGCCGGTAAGTCACCGCGCGACTAGCGCGAAAGAAGCCCGTCGAAGCACGGGAATATGTATCGCCAAGGGCCTGGTGGATATAATGGTTCGGAAGAGAGACTTTCGATCTGTTTGGTTGATGCACGGCCCGTGTGTTCCAAGCTGAGAATAGGAGGTAGCAAGTAACATCCGTAGGCCAGCATGAGCGAAGAAATATCGAAGGCGCTTAGGAGACATGGGTATCGATGTCGATTTCCAACGTGAAGATGGAGATTGTGGGAAAAAAATTTCGACATGGCATCAACTAACAAGCAAAAACCTTGTCCACGGAGCTCTATGGTCCGTAGACGTTATTAGCAGAAGACGGATGAGGTGAGAATTGACTTCGATGGCGGCTAGCACTGGATGAGCTGAAAGTAATCCCGGCTCACCCGTCCGGGGTTTCTAATGCAGATGTCGAACCCTGAGCTATCCGACACGCCGTATGAGTGCCCATAGGAGTAGGTAGGTATACATAGTTCGGGAAAACGCGTGAGGCCGCCTACGTGTTGTCCTTTCTGAGCAGACATAGACTATGCTGCCATCGTATGCCATAACATCGCACCACTACTCCCCAGAGTCCTGCCCTCTCCTCGCAGGGGCAAGGATATACGGTCTCTTCTCCCAGAAGCCATCTCCAATAATATCGACATGCTCGACCGCAATTGTCGCCTTTTGTTTCCTCTTTTTGGCCTTTTCCATCTGACTTTTACTATTTGGATCGGGAATCTGCATGCCATTGCTCGGGTTTTCCTCCAGGTTATCATCGTAGGCCCGGTACATCACCGTCCCTTTTCTGAACATCGCCTCCTCATTGTTATAATTGATGCCGAACCTTTGGAATAGTATTTCATTCTTGTCGCTGGATAGGGTGCCCTTCAAGAGATCTTCTGCTTCTGTGGTGCTCATGCCACCTTTCAGTACCAGGTTCCAGAAGGTGGTGTTGTAGAGGTTGTTGATATGACAATCCGCCTGTCTCCAGGAAAGATAATCTCTCAAGATTTTCCGCTTGGGATAAGCAACACATCTGCCATCGAAAGTGGGCCATGGCCGCTCAAGCTCCGTGCCGGGAAAAAAGCACGGCCAGAGCATACAGTACTCTGCTGTGAACTGCGTCGCCACACTCGTGGCCAGCTTTGCCGCCCGCCGCTCGAAGAGTGTGCAGCTTTCGTGGAACACGAAAGAGTACTCGTCGCTGTCTCCATACGCAAGCACCACATCAACAAAGCTCCGGACGACTTCGGTGGCCGCAGCGTTCATCAGTTCAAGGGCTCGTTTGTCGTTGGGTTTCTGGAAGTTGTGCTTTTGGCAGAGTTTGCTGAAACCGCGGCCGTCGATACGCACGACGATCCAATTTGATGGAGATATTGCATCCCATGTTTCGAATGATCTGACATATTCGTACTGGCTATTCGCCATGGTCGTCTCCTCGGTACTTCGCTCGCGGTCTTGACAAAGGAATCATCAAGCACTTTGTGACATGTCCAGAGAGAGTATTCTTACTCATGGGATGAGTTGCTTCCTCCGCATGGATAGTCGAAGCTCGGATGTATGCTCTGATAGCGAGGCCAGAAATTGTAATTTTGATGACTGTTCTGCGGTCGAAATAGACGAAAGACCGTCACATGTTAGCTCCATGGGCCCAAGCTTTGAGCTAGCCTTTCTGGGGAAGTCGCGCTGAACCTCAAGCTTCTGCCCTTCGCGTTTGCGGACTATTCAACACACCCCACAATATCACGCAAATGGTCAAACCGTTGGCCTTCAAGGGCGACAAGAAGCCTCACAAGAAGCGAAAGCGAACAAACGACAACGCGAATGACGACGACACGCCCTCTTCGAAACAGCTCGTGAGCGCCGCAGACGCAGCAGCCGACGACGACGAGAATTGGGTATCCGCAGATGCCATCGGCGACATATCGGGGCCAGTAGTACTGGTGCTACCTACAGAACCTGTTTCGTGCGTGGCCGTGGATCAGTTTGGCAAAGTCTTCACGAGCAAGATCGAGAACATGGTAGAGAATGAGCCCCGTTCGGCAGAGCCGCATGATGTTAGGCAGGTATGGGTATCGCAGAGGATTGTGGGCACAGAGAATAGCTTTACGTTCAAAGGACACCATGGGAGGTGAGAATATCAGCAAATGCACAGTAGCGGGAGTGGACGCTGATGTGAGGAGCAGATATCTTGGATGCGACCAGCTAGGTCTTCTCTCTGCCAACCGAGAAGCGGTCTCACAGGAGGAGACGTTCATGTGCGTTCCTTCCTCCGAAAAGCCTGGTTCATTCGACATTCAAACGACCAGGTCAACATACATCTCCATCGACGCAGACAGGACTCCTGCGGAGATTCGCGGGGATGCCGACAAAGCTGGGGAGACTACAGCCGTGCGAATACGAATGCAGGCCCGCTTCAAGCCCAAACATAAGGTTGAAAAGGCGGAAAAAGTTCGCGCAAAGATCAGCCGGAAAGAGCTGGAAGACGAGGTGGGGAGGAAGCTGGATGATGACGAGGTGAAAAAGTTGAAGAAGGCCAGGCGGGAGGGAAATTATCATGAGACCATGTTGGACGTAAAGGTCAAGGGCAAGCATGATAAATTTGCCTGAAGCTACCGTCCCCATGGGTCGATTTCTGCCAAGATCAGGATATCTCAGGCAACGTGCATGACTGCCGTTCTTCTCCGGTGCCGTTGTCTGCCGCCTGGACAGCATCAAGAGACTCGCCGACGGTATAGGCCGCCGGCGCTGGCTGGGCTTACGACAGCACCTGCGGATGGAGCCTTGCGCTTTCGTCTATCTAAGCTTGCATGTGCGCGTCGTCGCTATAAGACCGATCATCCGCTTCTTTCTGGAGTCTTTGGCGAACAGACGGCAGTGTCTCAAGGTCGCCTCGACCCCATTCCGGAGTTTGTCTGCCTTGTGGCAGTCCTAGAACTTGGACCGGGGTTGCCACTGGGCTACTAAACGGTGCTGACAAAGTAGCACTCACGCCAAGCGACTCGCTCGTATTCCGTATTGCTTCATGGGACCACGGTTCGTTGTCGATCACTGGTCTCTCGGACTTCTTCGCCTTCGTTCGATCGCGATCTTCGGCATCTGCGGTTGGTGCTACCGCCGGCGGTGCCTCTGCCGCCCGTACTTCTACCTCAGATTCCTCGTGGACGACCCGGACAGTAGACGCAGCCACGGATTCCGGCAGCTGAGAAACCTGGGCAGTTTTCCCAGAGCGCTTGAGTCTGCGCGGCGCTGAACGCTCATTTTGGTTGGTTTGCGGGCTCTCTTCCGGAGCACGAACGCAGAAACACATGCTTCGTGGGATCTTTGATGTTGTCGTTAAAACACGAGAACCTATAAAAGCCAGCAGATCGGCGGACCCATTCCATTCACTACGGGAGGTTACGCGATCTGCCAGGTGAAGGTCAATTGCAAAGTCGCATCTGTTTGCTGTGATCTCACAATGCAAAGCAGCGAGAGTTCACCGGAACAAAGGTCTGCGGAAGATCTGTGATATCCTTTCTAGGGTCCTCTTGTGTATGTACCCGCCGAAACATCTATCTCCCCAGAATTGAATCATTAATCGTAACCATCGTGCTCGTCCCCGTCTACTCTCCGAACCAAATGCCCGCTGCGCTTCCATTGAAAGTCAGATGCGTCACATCATGCTCACTTGTCCTGTAAGCTTCTAGACGAGGCTCCATCGCCTCCAAATCTAGTTTCAAATCTTTTCTATACGTTGCGCCAAAGTAGTGTGCTTTGGCCCCGGTCTTCCTGCCGGAGCGAGTCCGCAGCTCGGTCTGTTCGCCGGCAAAACCACCGCTATGCTTCTTCCCATTCAACTGTAGCCTGACGCCCTGCACGCTCTCTCGACTAGGATCTCTGTCGTGGAAATTGTGCGGTACGAACATGACGCTGCTGGCACTCGTGTGCATGAGCGTGTTAGGTACGTCGCCGCTGTGGGGGATGTGATGGGATCCGACGTTGAAATAGATGACGAGGTCGCCATCGTATCCCGAAGCACCGTGCTCCAGACTCTCGTGATCGGCCATGTTGTTGAAATTGATGACGGGGTCATGAGGAGTCAGATAGTTCAGGGGATCCGCTGATCGAGGCTCGTGTTCTTTATTGCGGAGTACCCAGAGGTCGTGCTCAGCCCATCTAGCACTGTCACCAAGTGTGGTAGAATTGAGAATGGTGAGGTGAGGCGTCGCGCCCAATCCTGTGCCAGAGGTGATGCGATAGCCTCTTCTCTCCCCGAATGCATTCTTCTCATCTGCGGAGTAGACGATGTAGAACTCCCCCGAGTTCTTCGGCCAGTCAAGACCGATTTCAGCGTCGACAGGGTACTCCACGAGATGCATGGTGTTGCGCTCTTTCACCTCAGGTAGGTCCCAGTTGTAGCTCTTCGTTGTAGGCTCCAAAGCTAGACGGATCATGTCGTTTCTCGGGCCAGCAACGTCTAGGTCTGCTTTGAAGTTGATCACCTACAAGCAACGGGTCAGTCAACCTCTTCGTAATGGAAGTGTAGAGCCACTGGCGCATATTACATGATCGTGTACACTGCTGGAAACCGCCTCACCGATGCGGTGCCCATACTCATCTTCGCCCTCTGTCTTATTGGCTCTGTAGAAAGCAGCGAAAATGTAACCAGACGCCCGGACTTTGGTCTCAATTGTGCCGTCCATGTAGAAAATATAGTCAATCGCATAGTCGTAGTTGCCCACGGTCGAAACTGATCGGACAACAAGGTAGGTGTTTCTCGATGCTGTCACGGAATACTGGGTAGTGTGACGTGAGAGGAGATGGTCGGCAGTGTACTCGAAGATGCAGATGCTGCTAGGCAGCTCATGGACCTCACGGAGCATGTGATATTGAGTGTCCATGTAGTCGGCGTAGGCTGGACAGTCGTATCCGGGAACAAGCTCGAACATGTTCTTACCCATGCCAAAGAATGTGTCCAAGAATTCTTGGCCGCCAGCCATGGGATCGTCACCGGCATAATGTGCCATAGCTTCTTGAAGACCTAACTCGTACATCACTCTTTGCCCTTTGAAGCGAATGTCGAACAATGCGAGTCCTGTCGCTTGAGAGGTTGTGATGTAGAATTCGAATCCAAACCACGAAACGAATTTTTCTTTCCGATCAAGCTTATACCTGGTTCCGAAAGGCTGAACGCTCACAGGCGGCGGCAACTCTCTTCCTGGCGGCGAAGAATCGAAGTCCTCGGTCTCCGTCCAATCTCCGTCAAGATTTGCAGGTGTTCGTTGGAGAGTGTCCAGAGCATTTCGAAATTCCTCAACGCTCGCGTAAATCTTTCCATTGTAAAACCACTCTTCGACACTCCAGTCAGACTTATCCGAACTTGAAGCATTTGCCTTGAAGTAGAGACCCTGCGGCAGAAGCGTTCTACCCCCGGAGCCTTGGCCGGAGCGAAAGAATTGAAACCAAAGCACGAGTCCCGCGCGCGTAACGGTGGTCGTCCTCGGCCAACACTTGAGAGCATCTAGGCCATCATCACCCATAGCAGCCCCTAGAAGCTCTCGGGTAATGTCTGAGACGTTCCGTCCCACGGCATCGCCGAATTCAGACAAGGAAAAGTAGTCTAGGATCGGAGACTTGACCATGTTCTTGCCCGAGCGGAAGGGGTACTCCAAAGGAGTGACTGTGGAACTCTCCGAGATGGGCAACGGACCAACAGCGTAGTAGACCAAGTATCGTTCGTTATTGATGCTCTGGCCAAGAACCAGCTTGGCCCATCTCTCTGGAGAGTGATCGTCCCCGTACAAGTATGAGATCGCATCCGTCTTGTTTGGTCTGAGCGTCTCGACTGTGTACGTGAAGTTTCCTACGCCATTCTCTGGTCTTGTGACCAGATTGAGATCTGGAAGCTCTGCTGCCACAAAATTGTAGACCTCTCTTGTTTCATCTTCCGTGAGTTCAGACCAGATATTGGGCTTGGGAGCTTTGAAAGAGAATGGGCTCTCAGCAGTGGCAAAGCTCCATGATTGCTCTGCCAAGTTAGATACGGGGAGGAACACCCAGGATATGATCGCTGTGAAGAACAGAATCGAGCAAATGATGAAGAATTTTCTGTTTTCGAGATCCATCGCGAGAGTTGGTTCTTCATGAACGGACGAATTGAACGCAGTCGAGAGAGAGTCAAACGCGAGAAGGCATTCCGCCTATTTTGGATGAGGCCGATGGATGCACATGACTGCGAGAGGTAATAACTGTTATCGATGTCGCTGCATGATGCTGATATCTCTACGAATCGGGCATCGCGTAAACTTGTCACATGCGGCCTAGCTGTGCGGCTAAACTCAAAGGGGTCGCGTGGCCAGTCTGCAAGGTTGTTCCTCGCGTCTCTCCTTCTTCCACAGTTCTACCTCCTAATTAACGACCATGTCCACTTCGCTTTCCACCCCGGAGCAGCTGATCATCAAGTGTGACGGCCTATCGTGTGCTGCGAGACATTTGTCTCGAGTCGGTCGCTCTGGGCCATCAACCATACGATACGTCTCCCTATCCTTGGTAGCCCACTCGACAAAACTCGCAGCTCTTTCCTTTCGAATGCTCTGGTAAAATTGGAGCAACTCTGGCAGCGATGACCTGGTATTATCCGACCTTGAGAATAGTCCAAGGAGCCTTCCAAGAACATCGCCATCCTCGACAGCGACAGCGACAGCGGCTCCAGACACTGCATATGGTACAACGGGGTAGCATGAATCTCCAAGCAGTACCATATTAGCCTTTAGTCCAAACGTCAACCTCCTCCATGCCCCAAATAAATGAGCAAGCACAAGTCAGCGGTCAACTCAAGGCAGGATCACAACCTCTTCATCCCATAATCTTCCACTCTAGTGATTTGCTGACATGACCAAGCAGCCCACTGAATCTTGGATCCCAATGCTCGGACAAACTTCCTCATCTCATCGATATGCCCTTGGTCTTTCGATACTATCGGAGACAAGTCATCAGGCACATCTGTGAAAGGATGAGTATTGCGCTCATTTCGTACGGCTCGGGCGCGGGGGCAGACTACCTTGCAATATGAGCAGCTTCTTGAGAAAATGTCATGATAATAATAAGGTAAATGCCCCGCCAAAGCATCGAACAAGTTCTCCAGGACGAGTTCACGTCACGAGGTAGAATCACAGAACGGGTTCACTCCTCAAGCAGAAATCCTGGTCGTATCTGTACTGCCTGAACTCTGTACCTCGCAAAGGTACAATGATACAATACGTACGTAGATCTCCATCGGATCCGAGACGATTCACTCGACCTCTGTCCCTTCTCAGCTACCTTAGCTCTCCTATTCCTTTCGGCTTCGGTGCCGACCTCACTCCCTACGACTGCAACGGACTCACTTCCAAAACAGCCTTTCCAAAATTCTTTCCAGCCAACATCCCAATCAGTCCATCTGCAGCATTGTCGATCCCCTTGGTGACATGCATCTCCGCCTTGAATTTGCCCTCGTGGATCCATTTCTGCACATTCTTCTGATGTTCCTCTGCGTATTTGGGTCCCATGTTTTCGTCCATGACGATGAAACCTTGCATCTTCAGGCGCTTGGCGACGACTTGCATGAGGTTACGGACGGGATAGGCTTCTTCGGGTTTGACGTTGTATTGGGAGATCATGCCGCAAGCGACGATGCGAGCAAAGGTCTTTGCGTGGGTGATGGCTGCTTCTAGTTGTTCGCCGCCGACCTGGAGGGCTGTCAGTGCGTGATGCATGGTTGGAAGGTGTGTGGATAACTTGCGTTCTCGTAGTAGATGTCGATACCCTCGGGTGCCAATCGCTGGAGTGCCTCAAGCGGCTTCTCCTTCTTGTAGTTGAAGCCACCGTCGAAACCGAGCTCCTTGGTGATGAATTCCAGCTTCTTGTCATCTCCAACGCTACCGATGACCTTGAGACCCTCATGCTTGGCCAATTGACCAACCAGCTGACCCACGGCACCAGAAGCAGCAGAGATGAAGATAGTCTCGCCCTTCTTTGGCTCACCGATGGCGTAGAAAGAGCTATATGCAGTCAAGCCGGGCATGCCCAGCGCACCAATGAACAGCTTCGGGTCGAGGTTGTATGGGTTCTGCAGAACTTCAAAAGTATCTGCTGTGTCCTTATCCACCGCCGTGTATTCTTCTGTAGTCGTGCTCGCAGCGTGTACCAAATCACCAGGCTTGAACTTCTGGTGATCGCTCTTGATGACCGTTACAATGGCACCGTTGGTGATGGGCTTGCCGAGACCGAACGGAGGAGCGTAGCTCTTGATTTCGGGGGCCCTCATGCGGCCACGCTGGTATGGATCGAAAGAGACATAGTGGACCTTGACGGTGATACCGCCCTTGGGAGGGGCCTGTTCGGTGTCGAAGTCGCGGCTTTCGACCTTGAGGTGTTTGCCAGCCTCTGGCCAGCCCGTGGGGACCTCTGCGAAGATGAGTGCCTTGTTCTGAACCATCTTGTTCGTGCTGAGAGTATAGAAACGAATTGGGTATCGGAAAAGAAACTCGCTATTGCAAAACAGAGGTCAGGGATCGGAAACACTGTTGGAGGGAGGGGAGCTTTTTATCAAGGACAACCTGACGGGCGAGATTACCAAGCTTGGTCGCCAGCAAGTCTCATGGAAGCACCAACGTCAACACGACGCGGACAGAAGATTCCATGACGGTGGCAGAAGGCGAATTAATAATCGGCATTCGCTCGGGATTAGGTCATGGTCCTGATGCGAATCTCGGAGGGTCATGAGAAGTGGCAAGAGGGCCGATGGAAAGCGTCTCACGTCGTGCCGGGCGACTCGTATGGTGGTTGCGCGTGCTGAGTTGTTGTGCTCTCAGTGCCCCTCAGCGGGAGTATTTCTCGATGGAGCCTCCCCTCCGCGGCGTCGACTAGAGGCCATACTACCTTACCCTTCTCAGCGCCCGGTCCGGGGAGATAGCAGCTGCGGGCGGTAGCGACCAATGTCGCCGGAGACAACGTGCTTTGGGCAAGTTCACGATTTCGTGGACAGAATGTCGTGCGACATGCCAGAGCGATGGCAGCAAACATGTGAAGAATCAAGATGACGGAGGAATTTGTGCCCTGTCATCATGGACAGGGATGTAATCCATTCTTCGGTTCGCCCCGAGCCCTATGAAGCCGACCAGAACGTCGGAACCCATCCCGTTCTCTGAACGCCATCCATCTCGTTCAAGAACACGCATTCGGTACCATGGTCGACCAGAAGACACCGCTGGAGCCCCCTCCGGCATACGACGACCAGTCCCGAGCCAAACAGCCTTCTCCCAATGCCAGACCAGGTGCTCCGGGCCCCGTCCCACCGCGACCTCTCGACCTACCGGCGTTGACCATGATCCGAGGCCGACGAGTGATTCTGGCATCCGCATCACCTCGCAGAAGACAACTCCTCGCACAGGTGAGCAAACATCACGTCCTGCATGCTGTCACTGGAAGCTGAGCGGCGCAATGACAGCCCGCTTGACAGATCGGCCTGACGAATCTCGAAATCATACCCTCGACGCTGCCCGAAGACAAGGACAAATCGCTTGCGCCGTTCGAATACGTCCTGCAGACTGCGGAGCAGAAGGCTCGCAATGTGTATCAGGCCACCATTGATGATCCCCAAGGAGAGCCTGCGCTGGTGTTGGCCGCGGATACGGTAGTCGCGACGCATTTTGGTCAGATCCTGGAGAAGCCAAAGAGCGAGAGGGAGCATTTCGCGATTCTACAGATGCTTCGGGATCAGAACAACGGTTGGCATAAGGTCTATACAGCAGTCGTGTGTATGGCTCCTCTGGAGAGCTTGATGGATCCCGGCTACGCCATGGAGACGCATGTGGAAGAGACGCAGGTCAAGTTCGACCAGGAAGTCACAGATGACTTGCTTATGTCGTATGTTCGGACGAGAGAAGGCGCGGATAAGGCTGGAGGATATGGCATCCAGGGCCTGGGAAGCATCTTGGTCGAGAAGATCGATGGCACGTTCGACAACGTCGTCGGTCTGCCGCTGAGAGCTACTCTGCAGCTCATCGAGAAGGTGGTCGTTGATCCGGCGGTCCCCGAGGAAGTCGATGAGGCTATTTGAGGTACGACCAAAGACGAGCGCGTGCTCGAGGAGAGGAGATGTATGTATGACCTCGAAGTAGACGGAATGTGAGGTAGAGCCACCTCGCTCTGCCTGACGACTCTAAGATGTAGAGACAGATGCCATAGCGATAGGTAAAAGTACAGAAAATGCTTGCTTGCACTGAAGTTCAGTTCATCCATACCATCTGGACTAATCTCTCCTCATGATACTCCCCGCTCCCTCCCCGTCGTCAACGCCCTTCATATGCGCCGTCAACCTCGCAAAGTACTCCTTACTATAAGCCGAATCGACCATCTCTTCAATCCTAGTAATCTCCTCCCCATCCTCCGAAAACCAGAGAAAGAAAGAGTACTCATTCCCAAACGGCCCGACGGGCGATGTCGCGGAACTCGTAGCGTGGAAGCAGCTCTTCCTGGCCGCGACGTCGTAAAGGATGTTGTCTGCCGTGAACTAGAAGATGGAGAGTCATCAGAAGAGCGATCGATGGGGAGGCTTGGGAGGGAGGGAAATAAGAAGTTACAGTCCAGTCGTGTAAGAGGTCATAGACGTGTGTTACGTGTTCTCTCGCTTCGGCGTTGTTCTTGGGCGTTCGCCCGAGAGTTTTGGGCAGGATGCGTTGCGTGCAGGCAGCGGAGCGATGGGCCATGATGTCGTTTATGGTGCCTGTGTTGAAGCCTGAGATGAGTGTTTCTGTGGCTTTTTGCATGTTGGTGTGAATTGATTGGGGAGAGGAGGAAGACATGGTAGTAAGCGGATTTTGGGGAGAATAGATCGTGGTCAAGCGTTGGATTTTCTGGTTTTGCTGGAAGAGGAGCTGTCGTTTCTTTGAATTCCTGTCTACGTTGTTGCGTTCTCGTGGTTGTTGGTCTTCTTCCAGGTATGATGAGAGCTCCACGTGAGCTTCTCGGACGGATGAGTCTCGATGGACTTAGCTGTCTATCTCCGCTGCGTCTGTCAGGCTGACAAGTTGTCGGCCGATAGAAATACGGATGATATAGCCATGCTGCGCTTGACAAGACGTGAAGTGAAAAGCCTTCTGCATTGCTCCACAGCATTATTTGCCTGTCGCCCCAGATCATTTAATAACGGACGTTAGTAAGAAACTTCGATATCTCGTCGTCGTCGTCGCCCACGGATGAAGAGTGAGACAAGGGCTTCTAGTCCGCATGATGATGATGATAGGTGCTAGCGGCTGCAGACCTGGGTTTGTATGTCATTCCGAGACAGCAGGCCAAACATCCTCGTCGCACATCTCCCATGGTCGCGGAGAAACTCTACGTACCTGGCTGTGCTAGCGCAGAACCCTTAATTTGCACCTTCCAGACCAGGGCTGCTCTACCTACTCTCTCTGCCCGATTGAACGGCAGAATTGCCGCATGGCAGGAATCAGTTCGCAAACGAAGACGCAGCGAACAGCAACTTTTCCTACGCGAATGCTACTCTGTTATGACTGGTGTCTTCATCACGCGCTTTCGATATCTCTAGCGTTGCATCCATGCAGTCACATGTTACACCAACCACAATCGGCTCGTGGCGGTACCGGGGATTGACATCCGACGGTGTCAGTCCCGATGCAGTCTGGCACTGCAGCCACGGCCTCCTAAGCTTGCGCCGCAATACCTAGGGGAGTCCAGGAGCAATACGGAGTCTCCAAGCTGCACCCGGGCACCCCTCATCAGCAACACGACCGTCGGCATAGCGGGATCTTGCACGCCGTCCGCTCGATGTGATGGGACAGCAGTCTCTCTGTCGGTAAGCAAAGGGATCTGTCGGCCTGCTTAGTACTGGCAATGCCATCATATGCGTGTTCTAACAGGCCTAACAGTCAAGGCACAGCAACGAGCCCTGAACTGAACGGAACAAGCTCAAACTCAAGCTCAAGCTTCACTCATACGAACACCTTGTGCACCGTGCCACCGTCCAAGAGGGATCTGCAGCGTGGCACTGGGCGTCGAATCAGACTCATTCCCACCGAGCTGCCCTGAGCGTGGTCTCATCGCTACTATTAGGTTTGGTCTGGGGCCCGCCGTCATGGCCGACCACCAACAACGTCTCTATCACTCCCTCCGAGCCGAATCGCCAGTCTCACCTCTCGTCTCGCCATTGTACAGCGAGTTCTCTCGACTGCCGCAGTCCCACTCCCTCTCCACCGCGACACCGCCCCGACTGGCGACCGAGCGGAGCAACGATGCATACGACGTAAGCCCCATCACCATGTACAGGGCCTCCACTATGTCGCGCAGCGGCAGCGTATCGAGCTACTCGTCCGCCTACACCAGCACCTTACCGAGCACCCCTGCCAACGTCTTCCCTCCTCCGCAATACGTTGCTCCTTTTGGTGCTGAGCAGGTGGTCAGCGAACGGAAGCGACGCTGCAGCGACGATGAATTCGGACGACCCAGCACTGTGACCTCGGATCGCGAGGAGGTGCAGTTCTCTCCCGGTGCTCTGGCGTCAGTCAATCACTTCCTCGATTACCTCTTGTACAGCTTCCTCGGCAATGCGAAGTCGACCACGCTCACCGCATTGAGGCCCGCTGTGAGGGATGTGCTCAAAGGCCGTTTGGCCGCGGAAGCGATAGCGAGTGCGGAAGACGAGTTACAAGAGCTTCTCGGCGGAGGGGAAGACGAGGAAGAGGAAATGGACCACCGGCAGACGGTCGCGGAGCGAAATCGTACGTGGGACACAGAGTTGGTATGGAAGCGCACAAGGCTGCGAGTGATGGTGTACACGCGTCTGGGTGAGGTTGAAGACGACGATGAGGAGCGCTTCCTGCAAGAGGATGAATTATTCCATCACGGCGATCGTCGCTTCTCACATGCTACGGGACTGGTGTCGTGGGCGGCGGCGATCTTCCTGACATCGGTGCTCGAGTACATAGCGGAGCAGGCCCTGCAATGCGCGGGACGGGCTGCCGATTCCCGGTGGGAACGTCAAAGCAAGAATCCCCCCCGCGTGTCCATGTCAGCTTCCGGCCTTGTGCAACACCTGGATGGCGTGACCGTCGAGCAGTTCGACTGCGAGAAAGTTGCACTGCACTCGACGCTGGGCCGACTTTGGCGCACGTGGAAACGCAGCAACCAGAAGACATTTACCACCACCACCACCTCCACCACCACCCGCTCACCGACGCCAGCGGCCGGCGGCAACCATAACTTCTCGCGCCGCTTCAGCAGGGATCTATTCGGCGCGGCCGTGAGTCCTGTCTCCGCAATGGATGAATCTCGGGGACCCTCAATGGCGGCCCACACTAAGGAAGCTGATGAAGCTGAGGCTGAAGACGCCCTCCAGGTTGCGCCGCCAGAGATCCCCGAAGAAGAGTACCCAGAGCACGTTCTCGCCGCTAACATTCGGCTTCCGCTCAGCAGTGAGAAGCAGGATGTGGACGAGATAGAAGTTCCAGGGCTCGCCAGGGATCCGGACGATCTCGAAAGTGTCATGAATCGCTGCATGAGCCCCCAGCTTAAACGGCGCAATAGCGAAGCAGATTTCTCTCCCTCGAGACTTCAACGCATGCTGGGGAGCGAGTTGCCATTATCTTCAGAGAATCGGGACCCCACTGATGGCGCCGTCCTTGAACACTCGCAGAAGCCAGTGCTAACTCGGCAACGCTCCAGCTCAGCGCCCACGAGATCGAAGCGCAGATACGTAGAGTCGAGAGAAGTAGGCGCGGACAGGTCGAGCGCTCAAGCGGAGATCGGCGACTGGGCTCCGAACTCGTTACCAGACGCCGCTGCGACGGACGCCGACGATACCAAAGCTGAAGCAGAACCTGGCCGAAACGTGAACAAGCTTCCAGTCAGCGAGAACTTAGACAAGAGCAAAGATCCTAGGGGTACAATATTTGAAAGCGCGGCACCTGCAAGTGCAGCTGCGGCTGCGGCGGCAGCAGCACTCGTGTACGGAGCCAACACGAAGAAGAAGCTGTCGAGAGAGAGCTCACCAGCGATCGGCATGGGTATCGAAGATCGGGACAGCCAGAAGCTTCTTGCGAGGGACATCAAGCGGATGAGTATGCCGTTGCCAGTTCCACTGCACGAAGGACAACGGTCCAGGAGGGTATCTATGGGTCAGCCTCGCGCGCCGGCAAGCTTGGTCACGACGGACGGCGCAGAGAATAGGAGGTCCACGGATACAGCGGGAGGTAGCTCGACACGAACGCTCAGCCCAAAGTCGAGAAATGAGGAGGCAAATGCGAATGTGACAAAAGGACAGCAGGCGGAAAGACCTGTCGGCATTGGTGTTGCGCATACTTCGGACGAGGCAGTCTCTGCGCTTAAGCAAGACGAGCGGCACCATCACGCAAGGGACAGTTTCACGACTCCATCTCCCCAGAGACAGTCCAGACTGATCATTGGGAGCTCCCCGTCGGAGATGCTGTCACCTCTGGCTACAAGAGATAGCGCACCTAACGAGAACCTGGAGACTGGTGTACCAGCCACGACGCCAGAGAGTTTCTTGGAGAAACGTTCCCTGTCAGTGTCGCCAAAAGCACAGCAGTCGGAGGAAGCGCCGAAGAGCCAGACGGCTGTAGCCTCGCAGCGTGATGGCCCCATTGCGGTGCAAAGACAAATGCCAAATGCACTGACGACATCGGACACTGCAACTGCCTTACAACCATCTTCAGGAGTTGAAATCTCTCCATTGCAGCAAACTTCCTCCACAGCAAGTGAGAAGACCAGCTCGTTGATGTCGCACGCGAAGAAGCCTTCGAACTCAGAAACAGCGCCCTCTGTGGTTCAGGAGCAACCGTCCGTACAGAAGATGGCTGTCAAGAAACAGCAGGATATCAGAGCGAGAGGTCAGGAGGAATTCCCGCTCACGAGCGCTAGCATTAGGGGACCGGAGGACTTCGAGATGTTCGTGCAAGGTGGAGATACGGTGAAGTACACCCTTACACCGGAACATGTGAGGGATGTCGAGGTGAGCAAATCCGACTGCTTATCAACTGATCTGTCCACTGATCTAGATCAGACATCTCCAAATACCGTGCCGCTGGCCAAACTTCGCGCACAAACTACGCCAACCCCAACGACCTCGGAACGTCCGCCGTCCCGAGTCGGACGAAGCCTTGCAGCCAAGCAAGCGACTCCCGCCATTCCAGTGCCACCGGATCCGGAGGAGGAACGCGAACCGAGGGGCGAGGAGAGGCGGAGATCCAGCAGTCGACCGCCTGTACGAAATACGAGCGTGCACCGTAAGAGTGGACTCATGGCGCGTGAGCCGCAGGTCGTCACCGATTCCACAAGAGATTTTGCCGACTTCATTCGGTCGACTGGGCCGGACAAGGAGCAGGAAATCTATCCCATCATCAGCAATCGAGCCTCTCTGCAATCTGTACGACAAGCTTACATCCTCGGCTCAAGATCATCTTCGCCGGGTGCCAATTCCGTCAGGAGCCAGAATCGAATATCTGCGAAGGGTGAATCTGTACCTCCTATGCCACCTATACCTAGACGGAAGAGTGATATGCAGCCTCGAGGAGCGACCTCTACCACTGACAGCGGAACATCGGATCTTATCGATTTCATCAGGACTGGGCCCAATGAGGTTGGTAAGGATGGCGAGCCACGAGAGCATCGAATTTCGAGGTCGGTGGCGCCATTCCGCACGACGATGGACTCGGATCAGCTTCAAGAATGGGGTGACCACATTGCCGCGCAGCCTGACTTGAAGCTGAACACAAGCGTTCCAAGCGTGCGCAGTGCCTCATCGCCGAAATCCTCTTCCTATACCAATCGAACTTCGGCCAACTCGAGATCCGCGCTCCTGAACAGCGCTAGCAGTGCATTGGAAGTCTCGCAGCCGGCGTACAGCGGACAACAGCAGCGGCTCCCTTCTAAGGCCACAAGCCAAGTTGGTCCGCCAGAGCCGGTCGTCAAGCGGTACCGTAACAAGGACCCTTACGCGATCGATTATGACGATGACGAGGGTGACGATTTCCTGACTGCTTTGCCAAAAGGCAAGCGTGAAGAAGAGAGCCTGATAGACTTTCTGAGAAACACTGGCCCCTCGGAGGCAGCTCAAGCAGCTAGCAGCAGCAAAGCTGACACTCGAAACCCCCCAACTGTTGGACCTCACCGGAGTGGTGCATCGGGCTTGCAAGTGCTCGGCGCAGACGCCGTCAGCGCTGGCAACACCAGCCCTTCAGCACCCAGTCGTGACGGACACCGTCCGCGCACCAGCATCAGCGGCGAAGTAGCCGCCAAGAATACCACCACCACGGTCGCAATCGGGCCCATCAGCAAACAACCTCCTCGACAAAAAATGGAAGCCCGAAGCGGCACCAAAAGGGAGAACGGCACTGGCGACCTGGCAGATTTCCTACGCAGCTCCGGCCCTTCTCCCGCCGCCGCCACCGCCGCCGCCACGCCGCCACCTTATCTCAAACAAAATTCATCCAAAGCTTCGATACAGAGCGGGAAGACGAAGAAGAGCGAGAAGTCGACGAGAAAGAGTGGATCCTTCTTCGGGAGCTTGTTCTCGCGAAAGACGGCTCCCGCGGCGGGCAAGGCGTATTTGGACATGTGAAAAGTGCACAAACCAGGGATCTGATGAGTGAGATCACGGGCACCTTTTCGAGAAGGCGATCTTCTTTTTCCATCTTCTCTGGGGGATTGTTGATGTACGAATCAAGAGGAGGTGCGGGAAATGAAGGGTTGGGGGTTTTCTTGAATCCCACGGCGTTCTGTGCTGGTTCTGTTTTTTTCGCCTTCTTCTTCTCTTCACGAGATGGCGGGCCGGGTGGCCATCTATCTGTTTTACGCCCACGCAGACGCAAAAGCGTGCGTGGTTTTTTTCTTTTTCGGGGGATGAGTATTTGCAAGCGTTTCGATCAAGGAGATGGAATGGAATAGATGATACCTTATTAGATTGCTTAGGCTTCTTCTGCGGTGGTGGCGAAAAAGTGGGTTTCCTCGGGATGGATGCGACGACAGGGCAGGGCGGTCCAGTGGCGGAGGGCGATGGGGTGGAAGCAGAGAAAGAAAGAAAGAATCGCCGTCGTCGTCGAGAGAGGATTCGAGATCGGGGAAGGTCCTTTCTTCTGCCTGCTTGTGTGCCTGTGTGCCTGTGTGCCTGTGTGCCCTCGTTGGCGGAGAAGGGAGGAGAAGGGAGGAGAAGGGAGGAGAAGGGAGGAGAAGGGAGGAGAAGAAGAAGAAGAAGAAGGGACTACTGTACAGATTTTGTTGTTCTATATGTACAATGCGATGCGAGAGATGACGTGCTGACAGACATGCTGACATGCTGACAGACAGCGTGTGTGTGTCTGTGTCTGTTCCATCTCATATGCTGAGGTCTACTTAGTCTCTTCCACTCCCAGTCTGTTCCATCTCGTATGCTGAGGTGAGGTCTAGACTCTTGCCTTCCCATCCCAGTCTTTGCTCATGCGAGAAGACTAAGGTAAGGTGGCTGACGGGGACTAGCCCGATTGTTGTCTTGTCACGCTATGCTATGGATGTGTGTGCGACTCGTGTCGTGCCTCTTTCCCCAGACCTGAACAATCACACCTAGATAGATAGATGGATAGTTCGTACGGGTCGGAGACGAACGGGTCTCTCTCTAACTCTGCTCTACTCTACCAGCTATACCACTGCCTCTGAATCTGAATCGGTCGGTCGGGCAGCGCTCTCCAGACCTTCTCGCGCAATTGCTTCTGCCGCTTGGCTTCGCGTTCTTGGTACTCGCGGACGCGAGTCGCTTCTTCTTTCAAGACCACGCTGATGCTCGTCCAGGGCGTGCGCATGATGTTGACTCGGCCGCGCGCGCGGTAGTCGGGGAGTTTGCCGTACTTGCCACGGCCGACCCAGGCTTGGTCGATGTAGATCTTGCTGAGGTCCGTCACGCGGTGCCGCTTGCCGTCTTTGAGCTGGATGTCGATGGGCGCCGCGGTTTTGCGTTGTCGGCCTTTGGCTTCTTCCAGATCGCCGTCCGCGAGACCCGTCACGTCGGATGAGGTGTCGTTCAGAATGTCCTTGTCCTTGTCCTCCGCCGCCGCGGCGTTCCCGAGTCCCATTCCGCGCATGACGACGGCTTCGTCCCGGGCGAATTCCAATTGTTTGAGGATTTCCTGCGCGACCTTCTTCTTGCTGAAGCGCATCTGCACAATCGCTTCGTCGATCGGCTTGCCTGCAATCTGTCGCGCGAGCATCCCCAGCTTCTTGACCGAAGTCTTCATCTCGTAGCTCTTGTTCAGATGTTCGCGTTCCGTGCGTTTGACGAATTGCTTCGGCGTCAACCTCGCTCCCTTCCGCACCATCTGGATCACTTTCTTCCTTTCATATCGCTCCCGGGCGTGCGGTTTGGGCATCAAGACCCGCGCGATGTTCGCGGGGTCCCGCACGATGCCTCCGACTCTTGTTACTTCTTCCTCCTCTGTCCCCGTCGTTCCGTCTTGCTGCGAGCTTGCGCGTCGTTCGTCTTCGAAGATGGAGCTCGCCGCAATGTCTCCCGGCTGGCCTACTCCCTCTGGTATCTCTTGCTTGGCGGGCTTGTCGGGATGTTTGCGTTTGTATTCTTCCAGGACCGGATTGGAGCGTTGATTGCCATCGCTGCTGCGGTCTTCGGATGCGAGTCTGCGTTGCTGGTGGGGAACGGGAAGTCGGAGAGGAGGATTTCGCGACAGACCTGGTGTCGTTTGGTCAGCTTTTCTGCCATACATGGTGAGATGATGAGGTTCCATGCACACATACATCTTAACGGCAGGCGCCAAACAGGCGCTGAGAGAGTCATGATGCTGAAGGAGGAGGTGTATCGGTCGCGCGAGATGCTTAGGCAATGTCCCCCAGAGGATCACGGCAGTACCCGTCGAATGCCAAGAGCTCGGGCGTGTCCCGATGTCCAATCGGAGAGGATTCAGTAACTGGGCATGATCTCTCGGTGGCCCTTAGCTTCTGAGTGAGCCTGCTGATGGATGATAGTCGCCATACATCTTCAGGACATGATACTATTATTGATGACAAGCGAGGGGGAAAGCCATAGAGGGACAGGAGATAGTTTTGATACATGTAAGCAGGATAACTGAGTGGTACGTAATCGTGTTTCAGCATGCGCGATGTCGCGCAGGGATGGTTCGGGATTTTACGCAGTCTCCTGCTGTCTGCACGGCAAATGTTGGCATCTTTTTGTCTCTTGCTTGACGTACCGTACGTATTATTTTGTGTTTCCCTCCGGTCGCACTGGCTGCCACTGCAGTGTCCGCTGCACGACCCGGGTTCCGCGGGGCAGCAAGCCGAGGCGTGAGGAGGCACACAACACAACACTACCCTACCCTACCCTACCACAGCTACCTACTGATTATTATTGACCGTGTCTACGACGAGCGCGCGTGCAGAGGAGAGGATTCGACATCTGGCCGGCCTCGTTGGGTCTTCGTGTTCGAGACGTCTCGGTACGCTCGGTCGGGAGCTCTCGCAGGCGCAGGCGCAGACTTCCCCAATCTACCACATACCTACACCTCGATCACGCCACTTGTCCTTCTCTCCCTCCATCGCATCGTCGTCGCGCTGCACGTCTGCTCGAGCCAGCAGTCCATGAGTGGAGTGTTGACCCCAGGGAATGTCGTCCTAGCCCAGATTTTCCTCGAGGGCCCTGGATTTGTGATTTGTGAGGGAGCCACGTGGAAGCTAGGTCTCCTCAGATGCTTTGTCCGGTGTTTGGCGTTGCGTGCATGAACTTCCCGCCAGAATGGACATCAATGCCCTGCTGTCGCCCGAGGATGGCTCCTCCCCCTCGGAGAGCAAGTCGGACAGCAAGTCGGACAGCAAGTCGGACAGCAAGTCGAGGTCGCCGTCGGCGCAGAGCTCGCCACAGAAGAGCTTCGCGCGCGTGCGGCCTGCCCTGAGCGGAAGCAAACGCAGCGCGTCCGGATTGAGCCAGGAGATTACGCGCTCGCCCGAAAGAGTCATCGTGTCGCCGCCTTTGGATGCAGCATCTGGGCCAGGGACGCCGTCGCAGAGTGCCCAGCCGTCGAGTTTCGATGCGCCGCCCGTCTTGCCTGTGCCTGTGCCTGTGCCTGGATCTGGGAGCATCCGGCCGCTGCCTCCGACCAGCAATCCCGCTGCCGAGTCAGCGCCACTGGGACATCACCACCACCAACACGGAGCGTATGCGCACACCCACCCGCAGCAACATCAACATCAACATCAACATCCACTGCAAGCGCAGCAGCAGCAGCAGCAGCAGCAGCAGCAGCGGCCCGCCGTCGCACATCGCCCGTCGTCGACGCCGCAGATGGAGACGTTGGCTGGTGAGTACTGCACGCGGAACACGGCTGATCCTCGGCACTGACACGTTCTCTTCCTCCCTTCCAGATCTGGCTTCGATGCAGCAGCGTCACCAAGCGACCCGCGCCTACTCCGCAAACCACGTCCGCGGCGAATCATCCCATCGCTCGCCGCTGCACACCAACCTACATGTAAATTCACACTCACACTCGCACGTCACTGCCGCGCCGCCCATTGCACGCTCCATTTCGCGCCAGTCCCTGGCCGACCTCACCATGGCCGAGGGTCCAGCGCAAACGCCGCCGCCACGCGACTTCATCTCCAACGCGCTATCCGATGACGAGTCCAAGATGGTGACGGACCTTTTGAACTTCCTGACAGAGAACTCGTACGCCTACGATCAGCATGTCCAACTCATCAACCTCCTCCACAAGGGCTTCCTGGCACATGTCTCTCCCCCGGCCGAAGGCGCGGTTCCTGCTCCTCCAGGCAACCCTCACACCTATGCTCTGCTGACCGAGATGCGCCAAGCTCGCGAGGCCATGGACACTCGATTCGCTGTCGGCGAGGACATCTGGATTGACTGGCTGTCGGATGAGATCATGCTGGCGAGCACAGCCGAGGAACGACTCGCTCTGACAGAGCTGTTCCAGAAAGCAGTGCTCGACGAGCCTGCTTCGGTTAGGATGTGGCAACTGTATGTCGATTGGGTGGCGTCCAACTACAAGGCATGTCACGATCTGGAAGGTGCCGACTACACGAACTGGACAGCCGAGGACGCAGAGGTCTGCAAGGAGCTCTTCACTCGCCAGACGTTGATGGAAGTACTCCAAAAAGCCCAAAACTTCACCAAGTGGCGTGTAGACGAGAGTCACGTCATTTGGAATCGATACGCAGAGTTTCTCCAAGAAGAGTTTCCAAGCAACCCTTCGGACACTGACATTCAGCAACTGCATATGCTGTTCGTAGATCGCCTCCGCGTACCCCATGTGGCGAGAGACGACACCATGTCGCTATATTGGCCCATTATATCCAGATTCGAGCGGGACAACTACGAAGAGGCCATGGTGAGGCTCAATCGACATTCTGCAATCGAGTCGGCAAAGATGCACACGAATCTTCGCGGAGATCACGAGCTCAGGTTGAAGCGGGCCATGGAGAGCGGGGACCACGAAGCCATTCGCCGTGAATTCGACAAGTACCTCAAGTCCGAGAAATTCCACCACAAGAGTCCCGGACCATTCGATTATCAGCTACGCTGCGCTCTATACGAACGTGTTCTGCTTCGCTTCCCAACTGATACGGAGCGGTGGCTCGACTACATTGACTTCATGATTCTGGAGGACAAGAGCGGGTCGCAGAATCTGGTGTCAGTGATTGAAAGGGCAACTCGCCACTGCCCGTGGTCTGGAGACCTTTGGGGACGTCGAATCCTTCGCCAGGATGTGGAGCGTCAGGCCAGAGAGGACATCGAGAACACCAAGCACCGCGCTACAAATGCAGGCCTGCTCGACGTAGGGGGTATGGAAGAACTTGTGAAGATGCTGCAGCAATGGTGCAGCTACCTGCGGCGTCATGCGTTCGGTCCAAACGCAACCGACGACGACCTGGACACGGCGGAGGTGGGTATAACCGCAGCACTCGAAGACGTTCAGCAAGCAGGCCAGAAGATTTACGGAAGCGATTTCCAAGGCGATCCACTATTCCGGCTGGAGAAGATTCAAATCAAGTTTCTTTCAGAAGCTCGGCGGATTCCAGATGCGCGACAGATCTACCAAGCGCTTGCGACACGTCTTGGAAGTTCGTCGGACTTTTGGCGCCAGTACTACAGCTGGGAGCTTTGGCTTTGGGGATATGACCGCCTCAGAGATGCACGGAGAATCGAAACTGATGATAGTGCTCCAGAGCTAGCCTCGAAGGTAGTGACTCGGGCACTGCAACAGCGAAACTTGGACTGGCCAGAGAAGGTGCTCGAGATGTACCTGGCGCATTTTCAGCAGCATGAATCCGGCGCAAAGCTAGCGGAAGCTCTGATCGCTGGACGTGACTTTGCGAATCGACTAGCTATCAGGAGGGCAAAGGAAGCAGAGGAGGCAGCAGCGGCAGCAGCTCAGCAACAAGAGCAATACGCTGCTGTTGCTCAAGAGGCCGAGACTGGAACAACAGGTGGAGAGAAACGCAAACGTGAAGACGAGCATCTGACCAACGGAGACAGCCACAAAAAGGCCAAGACTGGCGACCAAAAAGCTGCCGCTAGCAACGAGGAAGCCTCCGCGTCTGCCAGTGCTCAGATCAAGCGGGATAGAGAGCACAACACTATCACTGTCAGAAACCTTCCTCTGGACGTGCCAGAAAATGACATCAAGAAGTTCTTCCGTGATTGTGGTGAGCTACAGTCAATCAACATCCTCCGAGACGACGACCATGATACTGCCTCCGCGACTGTCGAATTCGAATCAACAGAAGACGTGCTCGCGGCCAAGACTCGCAGTGGAAAGCAACTTCAAGGCCGTGAGGTGCACATCGTAAGCGGCGGGCAGAATACGCTCTACGTTACCAATTATCCTGCAGAGTATGACGAAAACACTATCCGTGATCTCTTCAAGGGCTGTGGCGACATCGTGAGCATCCGATTCCCCTCGCTGAAGTACAATTCACGCCGTCGCTTTTGTTACGTTCAATTCCTCACGTCCGACATGGCAAAAGCGGCGGAAGCAGCACTGGACGGGAAGAAGATCGACGGCGCGCATGCGCTATTGGCCAGGGTCTCTGATCCTAACGAGAAGAAACAGCGCTCTGGTGCCCAAGTCGAGGGTCGCGAAATCATCGCCCGCAACATTGATCGAACGGCCAGTGAGGACGAAGTAAAAAAGCTTTTCTCGCATTACGGAACGCTGGAGAGGGCAAACTTGACGAGACTCACCAACGGCAAATTCAGCGGTACAGCATTCTTCGTCTATGCAAGCACGGACGAAGCTACGGCTGCCGTGGAGGATGCAAACAACAAACCCTTCCGGGATCGTATTCTGCACGTAGAGTTTACCAACCCCAAAGGCCGCGCTGCACCGCACGAGCGAGCGAGGAAAGAAGACTTGATCGTCAAGAAGCCAGGTGCTGCTTCGGCTACCTCAGAGCCCAGCGAACGACGAGGATCTGATATCTCAATGAAGGAGTCGGAAGAGAGTGAGTCCTGGCGATTCAGCAAAGAGCACAAGATTGCGGTCTTCAACATCCCTGATACCGTGACCGATGCGCGCATTCGGACCGCACTGGAGCAATATGGGTCTGTTGTAAAGATACAACTGCGCCGAGAATTAGGCGGCGCGATCGTCACGCTTGAGGAGCCGAAAGACGCTTTCCGCGTGAAAGTGGGCGTAGATGTCAGCAGCCTTGGACCGGAGGCGAAGACGGGAGATGTCGGAGACTTTTTGACACAGAAGAAGAAGAAAGCAGCTGCGACAAATGGATCTGCTCCAGCATCATCGACTGGCAGTTCTTTAGCTTTCGTTCCCGCGGCGGCTTCACGGCTAGGTCGGGGTCGAGGAGGACGCAGAGGCGGGCTAGGCTTCAAGCGTGGTGGGTTTGCTACTGGGGCCAGAAACGACACAGGACAAGTAGCCTCCAGCTCTAGTTCCAATGCTGAGACGGGCACGAAAAGCAACTCTGACTTTCGGAGTATGCTAGAGGCAAGTAAGAAGAAGCCTGAGCCTGAGACTGATGCAGGCCAGTAGTTATGGCTCTGCCACGTCTGGTCAAGATCAGTTCCACATAGTTCTTCAGCACGAAAGGGAATATGTAGTAATAGCGGGAACGTTACGCACGAGTTCATAAAGCAGTCTGTATTGCCTCACACGTTCACACGTTGGTTGAATTAGGAAGTGAGGTTGGCTCTTCGGCGGCGATCAGTCCGAGCGTCAGAACTGCATCCCGTCTTCGACGTCAGGACTTGTCAGAGCGCACTTCCATTGGACGAGAAACATCGATTTCCATCTTCGTCCCTCCTTTCACAACACCGACAACAACGTGATCTGGCACTGCCCATAAGACGAAAATCAGCATGGCCTCGATACTCGCACCAACACGATCGGCGTTGTCCTTTCAAGGCCTTCGGCTCATAGCACGGACATCACCTGCGACTTTGAGAAGAGCTCTCTCGACTCTCCCCAACAATGCACATATCGTAAGGACTAATCAGCAGTATTATTACGAATCAGAACTTAATGAGACTCTTAGTATGTACACGACCAACCAAACGTCTCCTCCAAGATCCTTTCCCTCCTCCCGAATGCGCCCCCAATCGCCTCGCTGGCCATCGGCACTTCGAAGCAAATTCCGCCAACGCCAGAAGACTTCATCGAGAATCCCGAGTTCTTCAATATTCTACACTGGGTCATCAAAGACAACGCGGTCAACGATCCCGATGTGCAAGCTCAGGCAGCTCTCTACGCGTCGCAGGCGGGCTCAGCGCTAGGAAGTGGAGGCGTGTTCTTCCCTCAGCAACGACAAGCGAATATGAAAAAGCGGGATCGCAGCAGTAGACAATTCGGCGGCGGCGGTGGATCAGGCGGCGACGGTGCTGGTGGAGCGAGTGCGCAGGGTGGGATGGGAGGTGCGGGACGAGGAGGCTATATCCACGTGAGCGACCAGCGGAATCCACCTGATTTTGGGCGCGTCGCTTGGCCAGAGGACATCTTTGGCAGTCTGGAGGTTGATGGGAATGGCAAGTTTGTGGATGGGCATGGACGATACCAGGAGTCTGGGACGTATCGGGTGGTCACGAGAGAGGGTGTGCTGGGGTTGAGTCCCTTTTTGAGGGAGAAGCTGGTTGAGAAGCTGAGGGAGTTGGATGCGCAGGCCAGACACAATCAGTGATACGGCATCGGCTTGGACTTTTGGCAAAAGCGTAGTGAGCGTTTTTGAGTTCTGGACGCACCGTGGCATTGGTATATTGACTCCGCTATTCCTGCTTACAACGTCACGAAGCTGTAACAAAATTTTCAGAGGCTCAACACGGCTTACGACTGCAACTTTCCGAGCAGGCGGATGGCGGCGCCAGGGAGCGGGATTCAAGCTTACGGCCATTTGCGACGCTCACTTTCGTATGTCTCTCGAAATGGGCATCAATGTCAGCGAGTCTTTGCGAGGCTCAGGAGCAAGGCTTCTGCTGTCCAGGCGCAACAATGAGGATGGTACGCACGCCGAAACCTGACCACTACGATGGGAATATGCTGGTGGCGCCTCACTTTGAATGCACGCCCGAGCTGACGGCCGTCGGGAGGATGTACACGAAATACGGCGTGGGACAACAGAAAGAACACTGGGTCCCTCTGGCGCAAAGTGTCAGACAGCAGGTCAACGCGATATACTCCGACTACAATCTTACGGATTGCAGCTACCACGGGCTTTACATTGCTGGGTCGGAAAGAGACGTGCAGTACCTCGATCGAGACCGGATGATGATCTTGGTCATCGAGCTGGACGGGCGCGAGCTCCGTCGCTGGGACGAAATTGATGCGGATATGAGGAGTATTCTGGATCGGCATGAGCTCAGCGGACACGCTGGCGTGTGCGTCCGATATTACAAGCGCTGGAATCCACCGCCTCGCCAAGCACCGCCTCGCCAACGAGGTGATGCCATACCGATCAATAATAATGCTCAACCAACGACGCCTCCTGGGCTGACGAGGATTCCCGCCGACGGTATGTATACCGGTTTCAGACTGCCTCTAGATCCCGGTCCCGCCTCGCTGCAAGAGGACTCTGGTGCATTCCTGAGGAGCCAACCTCCGAACAATGCTCAAAGCTATAGCCTCGGCATCAATTCTGCGAATGCATCCCAGATGCCCCGTCCTGCGATAGACCCGCCGCAGTTCACGCCCGCTCCGCGATACTCAAGACCTAATCGATCCGCTTTGACCGCAGGAATGCTCGGCTGGCCGCAGAGTGCCTCTAGCAGACTTGTCTCGAGCGCACAACACATTGAGAATGTACTGGATAGGCCCGGTGACGCTGATGAGGGTAATACAGAGGAGAGGAGCAGTGAGATTGCGCAGCCGTTGCCTGCGATCGATACTGAAGGATGGGGACCGCTTATGTAGAATGGACGATCTTGGGACGATCATGAGTGTCATGAGAGTGAGATACGTGGTGGACTCGGGTATGTGATGTCTGCTCTGCTGTAATGCGAGCTCGAGCACGGTACATTAGCCTTTTGATACCAAGTCATCTGACACAGCTCCCACGACTTTTCTTGTCCCCTTGGCCGGGTCCTTGACTTCACCTGCTTCTTCCCTCGTGAACTGGCTGCCAAAAACACACATTTAAGATCTCGTCAACTGCTTCCCCCGGGAAAGAATGTCTGCCGTCGATTCCTGAAAAGAACATGAAGCGATACGGAAGTCTAGAAGTCCGAAAGCTCGTCGTCACCACGTAAGTAAGCATTTCTCCCACACCCCCCGCGAGAGGCGATTCTTGTCTCTGATCGATACCTGTACCGTACCGCACAGCAACGCCGTCTTCCTCGCTCTACTATCCGCCTGGTATCTCCTCGCCGGCAGCTGGTCGACCGAAACCATCACCCCCGAGCCCGACATGGGAGACATCCACGAGCCATCATCATCATCAGGCTCAGGCACCTTCGAATTCGAAACCGTCATGGGGATTTTCATGCAGGATGATCCGTCGACGGATTGGACGGGTTTTGAATACGTACGTATCGTCTCCCCCCTCTCTTTCCCCACCCTCCAAATCCCAATTAGAATTTTCTTTTCTCATTCTTATTTCTGACTAAAAGACGAACAACAACTTCGGCCTCATCAACCGCTCCTATCCCACCGATGACCCCTCTTCCTCCTCCACAACAACAGCACCCTGGCTCCGCTTCGCCCAATACCTCCACCACCTCACCACAACCTCGCCCGCAAACGTACAGTACAAACTCCTCTACCTCGGCCGCCACGGGGAAGGTGCACACAACGTCGCGGAAGCGAAATACGGCACCGCGGCGTGGGATGCGTACTGGTCGAAGCGTGATGGGGACGGGGAATTATTCTGGTCCGATGCAAGGTTGACGGAAACGGGGAAGAGGCAAGCTCTCGCGGCGGGGGAGTTTATGGGGGAGATGATTTCGTCGACGGAGGAGACGGAAAAAGGGAAAGGGGGGAAAGGGGGGATGCCTGCCCCTCAGGCATACTTCGTCTCCCCCCTCTTTCGATGCCTCCAAACCGCAAATGTGACATTTGGAAGTTTGAAACTCCCTGCTGGATCAAAGCCTTTCAGGCCGATTATCAAAGAGCTCCTAAGGGAAGTCTTGGGCGAGCATACCTGCGATCGACGCAGCACGAAAACTCTCATCTCGACCAATTTTTCCGAGTGGCGGTTTGAGGCGGGTTTCACGGAGAGGGATGAATTGTGGGAGGTTGATCACAGGGAAACGGCGGAGGAACATGATGTGCGGACGAGGGCGTTTTTGGAGGATTTGTTTGGGATGGAAGATGAGGAAGATAGTGGTAGGGAGGGGAAGGAGGACGGGATGGTGTATGTGTCGCTGACGAGCCATTCGGGGGCTATTGCGAGTTTTTTGAGGGTTTTGGGACATCGGGAGTTTGCGCTGCCTACGGGGGGTATGATTCCTGTTTTGGTCAAGGCGACGCGGGTGCGGTGAGGTGAGGTGAGAAGGAAGGTGCTTGTGGATGGGGGTGGAGATTTTGAGGGTCTGGACGTTTGATTGCTCTTTTTCTGCTCGAAGGTCATATTTTGGTCCTGGTGTCCTAGACATGGAACTTGCGTTCTATGCCGTATTTTCCCCCGGGCTGCTATGCTGTCTATGTCCCTCGTGCGCCGTTGTCATATAGCTCTTTCTAGCGACTGTAAATTGCGTTCTAAGGAAAAAGAGAGGGCCGGTGTAGTGCGACTGGAAGGTCTGATTTTCGTAATCCAGGTCTCTACACTGTCGCTACCCTCGTCGACCTGTATACGATGCTCTTTCATTCCTCCTCCAAAGTCTGCGACCTTTTACGTCGTACTGAATTCTCTCATGGCAGCTCGGTGACTCGGCAGATCAGAGAAGACTTCCTACCTTAGGACTCGCGTTACGCCCAGATAATAATAATCATCACCCCCCCACACCGGGGTGCCTGTTTCAGCGCTTGACGCATAAATCGCTGCGGATGACCCATTTCTCCCCGGCTGTGACTTCCCTGCCTTCATGCAGCAAGCATTCTCTCCCGTGGCGGTGCAATAAGGCCATCCCCACGTCTAATTCGGCTATTACGGGCGGGGGCGCAGCTTCTCGCTTCCTCGGAGCTTCGGGGTAGAAGACGGTTTCGCCGCCTTCGCAGCCGGTCGCGGGGGAAGTCAGGTAGAGCAGGAGCGTCCAGGTCGTCTTGGCGGGAACGGGAACGGGAACGGGAACGGGAGAGCTACATGTAGCGCGAGCGGATGGGAAGGTGATGTTGTTGGAATCGTCGACTGGCGCGTATATCAGCGTGGGAAATTATCAACTGCCCCAACCAAAAAATCGACTTACAGTGCTGGTCGAAGAATTGGCCTTTCCCATAGCGGTAGATTCTGATGTTACTGTTCAGTCCCAAGACCTCGCCGCCCCACAATTCGCGCTTCTCGGCGTCGGTCAGAGTCGTGCCGTCGATCACGGGATTCGTGACGAGCGCTTGGAGAGCTGTGGCCGACCACAGCTGCTCAGCGAAATTCGGGTCGTCGATTTGGTATCGATCGTTTACTCGGACTGCCTCGCCCTTCTTTGGCTTTCCGGGAGTCGTGACTAGCGGCAAGGATGACAAGAAATTTACATAATTCTTGCACAGGCTCGCCGTCCAGAGGCGTGGAATTTTCAAGATTTGGTCTTTCAGGAGACATTGAATAGACAGATCGGAGGAAGGAACCAGAGGTTGGAGAGAGGGCCATTTAGGAACGTCCCTTTCCTGAATTGTTGCTGTGGCCTCGGTTGGAGTAGTGTGGGATTTTGTTCTCGCTGACTTGGCCTTGGGAGCCATGTTGAGGACTGCGCTACCGGCGAATGTAGTGGTTCGCAGCTGTGATCTGGCAAGCAGAGCTCGCGAGTCGATTGGTCCGAGCAGGAAGGACCAATACGAAGCTCTTGCTATCCGCTGATGCGCTCCGGAAGAGCGACGAGCTCTGAAAGCCTGAGGACTGGCACCCAAGCACACCCACAGAACTTTGCCTCTACGCTCATCCCTTAAAGCTCTTATTTTTCGCTCTCTTCCTCCCTGTGTGTGCTGATATCTCTACAACGCCAAGATGCACCATCCAAACGCTTCTGGGTTCGATTCCGCCTCAGGCCAGACAGGTATCCAGATTAAATTGAAACTGACCACGGACGATCTCTTCGACTTTGACCAGTACTGCGGCGAGAATTCGATGATCGCGGCACCTCCTGAGGTTGCGGACTCGAATCGATCCCAAGTGGCCGGCCAGTTCCAGGACCTTCCGAGCGTACAGCAGCTCGACTCCAACTCATTCAAAGGAGCGGATGGGAATACTTATCATCAGCCAAGTTCCGAGCCGGTAGCAGAACGCCATTCACTGGAGCAAGGCTCTACGTCGGCCTCGAATCCGTCAGGTATGTTAAACCTCCCCAGCGAAAGTGGAAGAAGAGGAGCAAGCCGAAGAATCCGGAGCAGAGCGGACGAGACGAACTAATATCCCTTTGGCCTGCTGGAGCTTTTGCTCATGTGTAGCTCGTAAACTGGCGAGCATGTGACGGACCGGATGACTCTGGCTTGGCTCTCCACTCGATCCCAGCGGACCGGGTCGCGAGATAAGCGAGCGGAAGATGGATCGGATCGGGACGGGACGGGACGGGACGAGACGAGACAAGATGGGCCGCCGAGCCACGACTTTCTTGTCTGAGGATGCCAGTCGGCGTTAGAGCAGCAAGCTCCGGCAGCGCCAGACAGAGGGCGGCCCTGCGCTACTACATTCACCGACGACTCGACCAGATGCGCTAACTTTTGTCTGATCTCTAGAAGAAGCATGCGACAACCCACGACAACTCTCCCTCTCCCGCTCACTCTCACGCTCACGCTCACGCTCACTCCACGCGCATCCACACCAGAATCAGTACAAACCTCGACAACAGCGACCGCCTCTATACTACTCCTCCCAGCAGCACCGGCGCATTCCCTCCGGCGCCTACGGTCCTGCCACGCCCAGTAGGGAAGTCACCGCCAGCCACTTCCACCACATCCTCAGTCCCTTTGGCCTCGCCCGATTCGGACTGTCGCGGAAGGACGAGCAAACCGTCGCACCTCACGGCCCCATCCACGTTGGCGAGAAGCAAACTTCACAAACAACCAAGCGAGCAAGGAGATATGCAGAGGGCAGGCAGAACTGGACTTACTTCAAACACGAGTCGGAGACGGAAGGCACAGTCGACAACCAGCCCAACGGCCCATCTACTGCTCCTGCATCCCAAGCACCTCGCACGACTGCCCTCACCTTCGCGCCTCCACACCCTGCCCGCTTCACCTACGTTACCTCTCGTCCCAAGGTATTCCCGGCCTCCGAACTTCGTCGCTTGGTCAAGGAGAGCAAGGAGATCAAGAAGAAGTCGGAGTCGACAATGACAATGACTGCGGCCGTGCCTATGTACGATCTTGCACCCCCCGGCCGGGATTCTACCCCCGAGCGGGACCTGGCCGATTCTGGGCCGTGGATCGACACACCGACCCATATCACCACCGATCATGGCCTGCCCAGCAACATGCGCGACAGTAACGACCACGCCGCCCAGCCAAACCTCAACACACCTGCTGACCTCGACGGAGCATCGACCCCGGCAGTCGAGACCACGAATGTCCCGGAGACCGCCAGAACGGTCGTCGACAACAGCTCTCTGCTGTTCAACGCCGGTCTAGATGGGGTGACCTCTGCCCAAGAGTCCGCAATGCTCGAGGATGGCTTGCCCTCAGAAGCGCCCGCTACACCATCCCTCGAGGCTCCTGCTGATTCCGAAGCACCTGCCACCGAGGTCGATGATACGGCGGAAGATGAACGCAGCCACCAGGCCTACGCCATGCTCAAATTCGCCGACAGCTATGCCTACATCACCTCGCTCAACTTGATGATCATCCGGGACCAGGGTTATGCAGACCGCTGGCGGCAGGAGAAGAGAGAGAAGAAAAGGCGTCAAAAGATTGAGAGTAGAGCTCAGGAAGCACTCGAGGGGTATCGCCAGGAACCGAGCCAACCATCTCAACCCGGAGACGACGACCGGAGGAATCCGTCCTCGAGGTCCGGAGACGGTGACGCACTTGAAGGCCGTCCCGCACCAGGCCTACTCAGCAACTACAGTGAACAGGGCGGCGCGGTTGCCTTCAATCCGCCTTCGGATGATGAGGACCACTTCGACTATGGCGAATTCGGCAAGCCCCGGCGCGCTCGTCATAACGGCAACTCATCTTCAGCGGCTTCCATCGCCCCGGCGGATCTGCATTTGCATCCCACGGACATTACCGACACGACGGAGTACTTCGACAAAGGTCTCGAGTCCAATCCTGAAGTCTGGGCGGCTCTGCCTGTCCATCCTGCCCGGCCCGAGGACATCAAGAAGATCTCCCGAGAAGGCCATATGATCTTCAGTTATGATGCCGCCCGTGAGAAGTGGGTATTGAAGGTGCTTGGTAGAGGCGGCGTCTTGCACAATAATACCCACTACGGACCAAGCGAGGATCCCATTGAGCTCAATCATGAAGACGAGATTTGGGTCGCTACCCTTGGCATGACTTTCTTGCTTCCAACACAAGTGCCGGATGAGGAAGGAGTCATGGACAGTGTGGAGGGCGTCACTCAAGTAGACAGCGATGAGGATGACGAGAGGCCCCTTGCAGAGACTCGTGATCGGCCGAAGACTTTCAAACTCAAGTTGAATAATCCGAACAAGAAGAAGGACAAAAAGCCCGAAAAGCCCGAGGAAGAGATAGCCAAGGTCGAACCAGCCAAGGGTAAGTCGAAAGCGAAGGGCAAGGCCAAGCCCAAGGAGGACCAGAAGAAGTCGGAGGCCAAGAGTAGCGCGCTACCCCAGAACGAGCCTTCGCCGGCGCCCGACGGAGTCGAAAGGAAAGTAGAGAAGGGCAAAAAGCCAAAGGCTGCAGCACCCAGCACTGCTCCAGCTGGTGCGAAAGAAGAGTCCGGAGAAGCCAAGCAAGAAGCCGAAAAGGGCGACCAGGCGTCGCCGCCCTCCGCTCCCGTGCCTATTGACGCGAACTCGGCAATCTATGGCCTCCCGCAGGACGAAATGCCAGAGAAACGAAAGGGTCCGGGCCGGCCACCTAAAAATGGCGTTCTCTCAAAGCGTGACGAGGCGGGTGTCAAGCGGAAGCAGAAGGAATATGAGCGACTAGGCGTCGTGAAAACACTCAAGGAGGTACTCGACGAAGTCCGCAGGGAACAACGGGCCAAGGATCTGGCTGCGAAGGCCGCTGCTCGCGGTGAAACAGTTCAGGACACGCCTGTCCCAAGTATTGAGCCCGGAACGAATCGCGACATTGATTCTGGCATGCAATCGGCCTCACAAGAGGCGAGGGGATTGCTCAGCGGGAGTCCAACGGCGGGAGCAGATCGCGGATCACCAAAGCCACGGCCTCGGATGAAGTCTCCCTCCCCGATCAAGCCCGAACACGAGTTCACGGAGGAAGAGCTGAAGAAACCCACGATTACCTATATCTACATCATCGATGAGATTCTCCAGAGCATCGAGGGCGGGCAAGCAGACCTACAGACGATTTACGACAAAATCCAGAAGCGCTGGCCGTTCTTCAAGTACAGGGTCAATTCGATTGGTTGGCAGAGTAGTGTTCGACACAATCTCCTGTCTTGCGAACGCTTCAAAGAGGCCGGAAAGAGTGGCAAGGGCAAGTTCTGGACGATCAACCATGAAGTCGCTCTCGACAACAAAAAGAAGAGACCAACTCCGCCGCCAAGACCACCGCAAATGCCGATGGCTAATTGTATGCCGCCGAATGGCTACGGACAGGCTGGATTTCCAGGTTCGTTTCCTGTCAACGGACAAGCTCCGTATGGCAGCAATGGACAGCCTGGGCACGGATATTACAGCAGCCCATACGGCTCCGGAGCTAATGGAAACTACGGGGGCCCACCTCCTGGTTCTGGCCCCATGCATCAGAACAGGCAGTCATCGAACGGTGCATACCCGCGGCAGCCATCGCATCCTCAAGGCCATGTTCCAGGACGTCAGCCTAGCGAGCAAGCTCCACAACAGAAACCGCCGCAGCTCCCATTCCAGCAGATTGTCGATGAGATTCTTAGATTCAGAACAACCTGGCTTCAAGGGATCCCTATAGGTACTCCGGAATACACTCAACGCGAAGGGCCTTTTAATCGAGCCATGGAACATTATTCGACGCTTTTTCATGGTGGTGCGAGTAGCGAAGTGACAGACGAAGAGACCAAAATCGAGCCCTTTACGTCCATTAAAGCGATCTTCGACCGGCATCCTGCGCAGACCAGCCAGAACCAAGCGACCACGCCAGCCGTCGGCAAGGACAATCCAACCACTGCATCGAATACGCAGCAGAGTATCGCCCCTGCTGGTCAAACATCAGCGCCCGCTGCTCCTGTCCAACCACAATCAATGCCGCAGACTGCTGCCGCACCAGGTGCGATGGTGAGCAATGGACAGACGATGCAGATGCCAACACCGACCGTCCAGGGGCCAAGCTCAATGCCTGTCGGCGCTCAGATCAGCACACAGGTTCAGCAACAAGCTGCACAAGCGCCGACAGCTTCAATTATTGATGCAAACCCCGCTGCACGGGCACCCAGTGCATTCGCGCCACCGCCTCCCGCAGGTCAGACAAACCAAGCGCCTCCTGTCACAAATGCAACTGTAGCACCTCAGATGCCGGCAACCACTGGGGTCCAAAGCTCTTCTGAACCGTTGACGAGTACCGCAGCACCAGCCGTGGCAACGCAGAACGGCACGCAGGTTCAGAACAACGATCGAGCCCCCATGCCCTCGACCGCCGAAAAAGATGGCAAGGTGGAGCAACGTGCCGCAACAGCCTCTGCCGTCCCACCACCGGCCACCGCTGTCGTCTCAGATGCTCAGAATCAAGATGGTGATACGAAGCCGGCGCCAAAGCCTGTCACAATGCCCTCCTTCGCAACGCCCTCGCAAGGTCAGCCGGTTTCGGCTCAGGTACCGACGATGCAATCTGGAGCTCTGCCGGCCGAGGCGACACGACCAGTGTCGGCAGGTACTAAACGAGCGGCAGAAGGTTCACCTACTGGCGAGGAGGAATCGGAGGCAAAACGACAGAAGACATTGCCATAGACTGGCAAGCGCTTCAATTCGACGAGACGTTCCTTTGCTGGACGCGGCTTGTTTGCTCAAGCAACTGGCGGGCTATTCAGACGTAAGAAAGAGTAACGCATAATGTTGGGTTCTGGGGGTCTTGTGATGATTAAATTGGACTGCTGTTTGGATTTAGCGAGCGAGGAGTTTCGGTGTTTTCGTCGCCTCTCGTCAAGGGAAGAAGTCACGCATGGCATTGACATTGCATAGAGTACTTGTGGAATGGATGGATGGCGCTTGCTGTGGTTTTTTTTTTTTCCTTTGAGCATTTGAATTGATTCGTTCCGTCGCTTGGTTGTGCGAATTGTGCATGTCTTGGAGGAGGAGGGAGGGAGGGAGGGAGGGAGGGAGGGAGTGGGTTGGAAGCAAGATACGGATCATTCGGATTGGGTAAGGTATATATATATATTATTACGTCCGCTATGATGAGAGATTTGGAAAGATTGATAACTCTCTCCCATTGTGATGCTTCTTCTATTTGGCATTTCTAATTTCTATTTCTATTTCTATTTCTCTATTGGATTGGGTCGGGTCTGCTATCTAATCGGGAGGGAGGGAAGGGAGATTCTGAGACGACGTCGTCGTCGTGAAGTAAGGTTAAGGTACATGTCGATAAGGTAGTCTGTAGTCTGTGTTCTGTTCTCTTTCGCGGACGGAGCGAGAGCGGAGCGGAGCGAAGCGTCTGTTTTTGGAACTTTTATTTTTCGGTTTCCCGAGACGGGATTTTTTTGTGTCTGTCCGTCCGTCCGTTCGTTCGTCCGTCCGTCCGTTCGATTCACTCACTGCGGCGGTGGCGGCTGCTGCGGCTGCTCTACCTAGGTAGGTAGTCTTGCTTTGTGGATTTGATGATGTGTTTCATTGGAATGCCACCACCATCATCATCAATGGCGGAGCGCTTTGCTTTGCTTGAAGCGTTTTCACACGATGCGTACGGAGTTCTTTGGCGCTGCTTGAGCTGCTCGGAGGAGTCGCAATGCGTGCAGCCGTGAGTGAGGCGAAGGGCGAAAAGGTGAGTCCCGGAAAGTCTGGCCCTCAAGACCTCTCCATGGGGGAGTTTGTTGGCTGTTACGCATCATAGTGCCAGGATATCAAATATCAATATCGGATCTGAATCCGAGGATCATACTTCTTCAGGGCACTTTCCTCCTCCTCAAGCTGTTGTAATGTTCTCCCAGCCCAAAGCCGTGCTTGTAGTAGCCCAGCCACATTGCCTTCTCCTCCGCTTTATCATCATTATCATCATCAGCATTGTGGCAGCCCGATTCAATCCTTTCGACGCGTCCAAAGTCCTGCAGAACGTTGATATCCGTCCCATACGTCTTGGCCAGAGCCATGAGTTCCAACTGCCCGCCCCATTCCCCCGTATCCCTCACCTTGTGCACGTAATCCGCCAATGGCTCCTCGAGAAAGGGCGCAAAGTCCTCCGGGTGGGCTGCGATGTAGTCGGCCGCTCTGGCTCGGACGGATCTGTATGCGATTTGTTGCGGCGCGGGGTTCTCCTCGTCCGGTAAGGGGATGGAAAGGTGGGAGAGCTGGTCGGCGATGGCGGAGTAGAGGCAATGTCCGTCGGCTCTGATTTCGCGCTCGATGAGATTATGGGATGCCATTGCTGCGAGCATGCGGGTTCGTTCTTGCTGTTTGAGATCCGGGAGGTTTTTGGCTTCTTCTGCGGCTTGGCGGGAGAGGTGTTCTTGTTCGGCGGCGCGGCGGGCGAGGCGGTCTTTTTGGCGGTTGCGTTTCTTCGCTGCGGTTTGGGGTTGCTGTGATGGAGAAGAAGAATTGTCCTGAACCCCTGCGGGAGGACTGACGGGTTCTCTGGCCTCATCCTCATTGTCAATTTTCAATGTGAGGTCTTCCAATTCCTCAATTGGAACATCCCCCCCATCTCCATCTCCCTCTCCCTCTCCATCTCCGACCTCTCCATTCAACCCTCTAACCTCCCTCTCCTGCCTCTCCTTCAACTCCGCTTCCAATCTCTCACATTCCTCATTCACGCCTTTCCGCGTCTTCTTACTAGCCTGCTTCTTCTTCTGCGTAACGCGGCTCTGTAAATCCCGCTGCTCTTTCCGATGCCGCGTCTGCAAGGCCTCCATCGTCCCTCAACAAACCGTGGGATACACACACGCGCGCTAACCACCACGCCAGAGAGCGAAATCGTCCTCCTCGTTCTCAGCGCGTTATCGTCGGGGGCATTGCTGTTTCTGGAAGCGGGAGGAGAGATTTGAACGATGGGATGGAGTGGGTGTGTTCTCCTTCCTGAGCGGGTTGTTGGTTCCCCTGTGGACGTGAAGTTTGACAGGCGCCGGTAATTGATAGCGCAGGATGATCTGCTCTACTGTGCCGTGTGTGTGTGGTGTGTGTGTGTGTGTGTGTATCTCTCGCTCGCTGCGCTTCCCAGAATAATCTGGACATCCCACGTAGGTAAGGTACAAGCCGAGCAAGCCGAACACCGGATCTAACCTTCTCTCCCTCTCCCGGCACGAGATAAGATGCCCGGGGCCCGATAAGATGGACGGGAGCTTCGACGTTGAGCACGCCGCCGGAGCTTTTTTAGCCTTCGAAACCTTCTGCACGTCAACACAGATCTTGATATCTAGTACCTTGTTTGGTGTGGTAGTGTCATCCGTTACCTTCCAAATCGGTAGTGTCACTTCCCGCGTCCTTCCTCTTTCGTCTAGTCTAGTCTAGTCTAGTCTCTTGAGGCCTATATAGGCATAGAATAGAAGGCAGAGCCTCCACTCTATCTTCACTGGCTGCATGTGCATGCATGATCTCTGGCATGTGAATGGCAGTCATCCTCCAAAAGCGTAAAATAACGGGGATCTTAATGAATGCTATCACAGCTATGCAAACCTTTCTGATCTTGCTTTTAATAATCTTCCACATTCGCTACCGGGACAGACGGACAGACAGACAGACAGAAATGGCAGTCATCCCTTCCAACAGAAAAAGCGTAAAATAACAGGGATCCCATTAATGAATGCAATGCTATCACAGCTATCACAGCTATACAAACCTTCTCGTGTTCTGATCTTGCTTTATAACAATCTTCCAAGTTCCACATTCGCTACCGGTCGAGCCAGACAGACAAACAGACAAACAAATAGAGTCAAGTAAAGTTCCCTGGTTCATTTCCCTCCCGACCGAACCAAGTCAGGCACCACAGGCACCAATAATGAGCGGTCGGTTGCTGGAGATGACTGAACCCGTGGTTCGGATTGCTTGGTGCCGCGAGAGCGGTACCGGTTGGTTGGTCGGTCTATTCGTCATGAATGATGGGAGCCACAAGGAGCTATCGAATCTATCGAAGTTTGATGCATGGACAGGTACACGGCTTCGCGGAGCTCTCGCATCTCATCTCATCTCATCATCCATCGGCTCGTCGGATTCTTCTGTGACGGGTGCGTGGGTACGTGGGTAGCTTCGGAAGGCCGTAGTGTACTGTGTGGTGCTTTGCTCATCAGTTGGGAGTCCCTCGAAAATGATGAAGTACAATCATAATGAAAAGTTGATTAATCGAGAGAGAGAGAGAGAGAGAGAGAGATGATGGTGCTTAGAACAATGATGAGCAACCTGTGAATCTTCCCCGTCTGTACAGATATACAAAGCTGCCTTCATATGTGTTAAAAGATAGTAGTCCGTCCTTACATTTGGATTCGTGACCTCCTCGTGCACAATAATCCTCTAGAAAATTCCCTTCCACCTGTATCAATCAAATCGCTCAAGGTGTGGGTGGACCAGCAAAGACAAAAAAAATCGCCACGTGACAAAGCGCGCGCGCGACTAGAAAGTGAAGCGCATCAGACCCGGGTTCAGCACGGTCGGGAGGAAGAAATGCCCCACGATGACAGAACTGAGCGGGTAGATGGAGATGAAAGCGTTGATCCTCCAAAAAGGCGGGGCGAACTGCGCCAGGACAATCATGACGGCGCTGAAGAAGAAGCAGAAGACGAAGGTGCCCTTGAAGTTCTTGAGCAGCTTGGGCACTTCCTTGAAGAAGGTCGTGTTTTCCGCTTCCTTGCTCGTCGCGCCCCAGGACATGTCGATGCTGAAGAGATGCGAGAGGATGGCCTGCGAGACGTGCAGGGATACGCCACCCAGGAAGATGCAGAGGAGTGGCACCCAGGAAAAGTTCTCGATGATGGCGTGGAAGAGGCCGCATTGTCCGGTTCGGTAGCGCAGGACGGCGAGGGAGAGATTGCCGAGGCCGGAGAAGACGATGATGATGGCGAAGTACACCTCGAAGGAGTCGATGTAGTAATGGTCTAGTGCACCGTTGAACCATCCAGTGAGGAAGTAGTTGGCGACAGTCAGGAGCCAGGCAGAGCCAAGCGCGTAGTAGGTACCGATATAAGCCATGATGGTGAACTTGGATGGCAGGGGCATGCGGGAACCAAGGAAGCGCAGGAAGAGCTTGGTGAAAGGACCGCGGGTGAACCAGTAGCGGAATGGCTGGAAGATGAGCTCAGAGCAGCCGTAGGCGTACTTCTCCCAACGAGCCAACTCGTCGTAGACGGTGAGCGAGACACCCTCCTTGAAGCCGTCACCGGTGTAGGCACCCATGCGAACGAGGTATCCAGCAGTCTGTAGACGCAGAGCCATGTCGAAGTCCTCAGAGACAGTGTCCTCAGACCAGAATTTCTCGTGCTCATCGTGCTCGCATTCGTATCCGATGGATTGAACAGCAGCCCATCTCATAACGGCATTGTGGCCGACGAAAGGAGCAACATCACCGTTGGCGACGGCAAAGCGGATGGCAGTGTAGATGAGGTTGGTGAAGAAGGTAATGCCGCGCTCGAAGAAGGAGTCGGTAACGTTCATGACACCGGAAGAGTATTGGATGATGGCAACCTGTGGGGATTGCTCCATCTCGGAGACAGCGTCCAGGAAGCAGTCAGTTGGCACACGAGTGTCCGAGTCAATGATGAGGATGTAGTCGCCCATGCGGACGTTGCCGTCAGCCCAAGTGCGGCCTTGGTCCTCCTCGACAACCTCAGCGAGAGCGTCGCGGTAGGCACCAGCTTCGTCTTCCTGGGTCCAACCCTGGTGACGCTGAACCTCGACAAGCTTCTCCTCAACGCGGTTGCTGATCCAGAGGGCGTAGTTCATGTTCGAGGCCTTCTTAAACTTTCCGCGGCGGACGAAAGCCTCCTCGCCCTCAGCAGGCTTTGGGTTGTGCTTAGGACGTGCGACCCAGCCAATGTTGTGCTCGTCGTAGAAGTCCTGGCGAGCTCGGGCATCGTCCTCGGAGATGAGCTGCATACCGTCGTCGTTGACGAAGATGTTGGCAGTGCCGCCTTGCATTTCGTAGGTGGAGATGGCAGCCTTGATCGAGCGGACAGTGGGCTCAATGACACTGACGAGACCCTCCTTGTAGACAGGCATCTGGATGGTGACGTGAGGCAAAGGTCCAGCATCGCGGCGGAGTCGCTTAGGCTTAAGCCCCGAGTAGAACCTGGTGTTCATGTTCATCTGCGATATAGGACCAATGAGCTGAGAGATGTTGTTGACCAGGGACTGGAAGAAGAACAGAGCCAGCCAGCACTGCAAGGGGACAACGAGGATGAAAGCCAGGCGGATGTAGTTGTGGTCGATGATGGTCTCAACGGCGACCGCCTTGAATCCGGTTCCCAGGCAGAAGAAGGTCAGGAGGAGAGTGAAGCCAGAGAGGACAGCCTGCCATAGGACAACGCGGCGAGGCTCCTCAATGGTTCCACGCTCAACGGCGTCGTCATCGTCCGCGGAGACCTCGTTGACCGTGAAGTTGCCGTCCTTCTTCTCGTCGTAATCGTCCGAGGTGGCATCATCCCAAATCATCTCCATGAGAGCCTTCTCGATCTTGTGTGCACGGTCGAGGAGGTGTCTCGGCTCGTCATCCCAAACGACGAGGAGACCACGGTCTGCGATGAACGCGGCGAATTGATGCTTCTGGCAGCGAGGCAGGTATGAGATGTCTGGCAGGACTTGGAGACGAAGACCATTCTTGAGTGGCACGTAGGGCCGCTGGTTGTTGTGAAGAAAGAGCTTGATGACACGCGTGTTCACGGTCATGGCGACCTGTGCAAGCAACATCAGTTTTGAGGCTTTGGAAGTTAAAGCTGTAAAAGCACCTACTCGAACGTTGAGAGTTTCGACAGCCTTGAAGAAGCCATACGGCTCGTCAACCATATCACCGGGGCAGCAAGTGTACTCGCTGCGGTTCTTCTTGAGCACGACACCCTCATCGACGCCGCCAGCAGTCCACAGTCGCTCCATTTGCTGTTGGTATAGCCAGTTGACCATGACATCGCACTTGATCTCGTTCAGATCGCCCATCTGGGAGTTGCGGTAATTCTCCGCGGGAGCAATGGATGCTGGACGCGACCAGGCAGGCGTCGCGGTACCTGGAGTGTCAGCAAGAGCAATGGCATTCTCCTGCTTTTCGGTGACTTCTGGGGATCCATGGGCAGGCTTCCCGTCCTTCTTGCCCTTGGGCTTGACGTAGGAGAGAAGACCCATTATTGTTGTTGTTGTTGTGGCTGCTGCTGGTGTTCGGTCTTGTTTCTGTTTGTCCACGTCTGTTGTGCTTGTTTGTTCTTGAGTGACCGGAGCGTCTGAGCTGCTTCAGTGACCTGATGGTGAGGGGAATGAAAGACTAGAGCAGGCGGTTTGAAGATCACACTGCAAGGCTCTGGAACGAAAGGACGTAGACACGAAGGCCTATCGTCAGGTATGAGGACGGCAGACAGCGCTGATGAGGAGAAACAGGTCGAGCTCGAGCTCCTTGCCTACCTATATGAACAATTTTTCTGGACGTGGGTATTGCTCGCCGGCGTCCATCGATCGATAGAACGCTAGATGCGCCGTCCGCGGGTCTGACAATCTTCTACGTCTGGAGCGCCACCGACCGTGAGGCGCCAGCGGAAGTCTGAGGCGTCCGATAGCAGTGTTCGACGATGTCTAGTGGTCCCGTCCATTGTGGACGGGGGGGTTCCTTGGACGAGGATCTGGTAGCGCGGCAGCGGGCAGGATGGAGCGGAACCAAATGCGTCGAAGGGCAGTGAAGCAGCCGCTGACGCTAATGCTCCTCGCAAGCCGAAGCGGGCAGTCAAGACTTCCTGTTCCTGTTTGAGCAGAGCTGGTGGCAGTCCTGTTGCAGGAGGGAGCTAAGCTGATATTATGGCGGGTCGTAGCTCAAAGGCGTTAAGATCCCGAAGCTTAATCCCAGCAGCTAACCTAAACTCAATCGTGGACTGGCGTATAGGCGGACGGTCGGCGTGCCAGGTCAGCAGCACGAGAAGCTGGTAAGTTGGCACGGGGTGGGGGATGAGCTGTGGGCGGAATGACGCCGACCGCTCTCAACACCTTCGCCCTCGAGTGGTACCGCCGCTGCTGTCTCACGGCATTCGAGTAGCGCCGCGGCTGGTCCCGAGACATGGAGCAGCGGCGAATCCAATGTGAAACCTCGCATACACCAATCCCACCTGGTGCCCACCTGGTGGGACCAAGGACGGGGCTGGCCTGGTTCTGGCACGCCAACACCACGGTATGACCCTGTTGTCGGGTCTGTGTGGCTGAGCTTCAAGGCCCGGCGAGCGGTGATGGCAATGGATGGGCTGTGGCACCGGGACAGGCACGAGAGAGCAATTGCCCCAGCCAACAACAAGCGGCGACACAAGGCACTCTCGGTAGGGCTGTGGCGGACGGGCGAGACGATGAAGGCCAGACAATTCATGTTCGCCGAGGATCACGCACGGTGGAAGGCGTCGAAGAAGGCACGTTGATTGTTCTCGGTCGTGCGACGGAAGCACAAGCACACCGCACAGTGGTCGAAACTCTGCTGCGAAATCACCAAATAGTAAGCTACCGGGCTTGGTCGGGCGATGTATCGATCGTGCCGAAAGCTAGAGGACGTTGCTATCTCTGCTCGGCGAGCAGCAACGGCGGTGCATCGAAGGACGGGGTAGGGGCGGCGGGATACCGGTGAGGTGTGTTGGTATGGCTCTCTCGGACCGTGTAGGTCGGTCGGCCTGCCTTAGCTCTCTACTCGGCGAGGTGAGAAGAGTACTACTGAGCGCCGCAATGGCAAAGCCTATTGTGTGCCGCCGAGTTGAGCGGCCGAGGAGCAGGTTGAGCTCTTGGCCACATCCCGCGGACGGCACGGCAGCAGCTGGTTTGCAGAGCGGCGGATGGCTGCAGCAGAGCGTCTCCATTCCGAAGGCCAATTCCAGAGTCATTTCTTCAGCTATGCGCTGTTCCTGTTCCTGTTCCTGTTCTCGGTCGCGGCAGCTTGCAGTGAATATAATATGGTGGCCACCGTCTTGTCGCATCGTCGGGCCCGCGAGCTGGACCTCGAGATGCAAGTCAATGGCACCGCCAATCCGTATGCGATGCGTATCCATGCGAGGTGGGTTGGGTTGTTGTGTTGGTAGAGACAGACGCCATGGGTGCGGAGTTGCGCCCGTGTCTCACCCAGGACCCTCCCCGGGAACATTCACCGAGGCTCGTAGCCGAAACTTCCTTTCCGGGTCCATCTTCTTCTCCGTGAGGTGAGACTCATATGTGAAAAGCGATGGATGTTTCGTTTCGGCGTGGACAAGAAGAGGACGAGGCGACGTCGTGATAGAGGTTGCAGGCGATGACGCTGAGGGCGATCCGGTACAACTGTCCGGCGTCGGTTGTGGTGGCGTGCAACTGCGCAGCTGAGCTCATACTGTGATGATACCATGGAACTGGCTGGCTGCCATCCGAGACCCGATGCCGGTAATCCGGTCGGACCGCCTCGCTTGCCCATATCCCTCATCCATGTGATCGGAACAATCAGGCGGAGATCTTCAACCGGCCTATCACACATGTCCGACTTGAACATTTACTGAGGCAATGCTGGGCTGTTGCACGAGGCTACAGACATCTGGATAATTCTGCACCATCACAAATTTTGCGAAATCGCATGGGCATTGGGGAGGAGACGTCCGCACGCACGGCCTGATGCTTCACTGCAGGATTGGAGTAAGAATCGCGCAATGCGCTTGTCGGGCGACACTACGGAGTCGGACATGTGTCATGGACACTTTCGCGGTGCATGACACGGCTTGTCAACCACTGCAGCAAGAGTGAGGAGCGAGCGTATCGGACCGCCTTTTCGCGGTTGTGGCATAGATAGCTCAGCCCAACCTTCCAATACTCGAATCTCGACCCTATCGCTCAGCTCTGCACCACCCTAATCGCACCGACAACGACGACAAATGGAGAGGCTCGTCCTGCAGCCCCAGTCTCCGCATACCTGCGTCCAGCGAGGACACCTGCGTCCAAGGTGAAAGCCACCTGCGGCCTCCCAACGAATCGCTCGGGGTCGAAACTTCATCGCCACGACCTGAAGACCCCCAACGCCGCAAGATAGACCCTTTGACGTAGATACGAAACACACTCATTCAGCCAGCCTGTCGAGCCTGTCAGTCGAGATTCTCCCACGCGCTCAGCCTTGCTCGGCTTCACATTACCTGTAAGAAACCACCGTATCGATGCGGTGAGAATTGGTCGAGAAGCTTCGCAGCATCACTTTCTCTGCGTTCTTCACCTCTTTGGCGTCACTGTCGCCCCACTCCAAGGGCACCTCGCTGTCCGCATCCGCGTACACGAGTACGTTGAAGGTGCAGTTCCCATCCAGCATCGGTAGGAATGAGACAGAGGCGGTGATCTGCCGGAACAGAGCCTGGATTTCCTGCTGGATCTCCGGCTCGGACTTCTCGCTTGCGGGAGTCGCTTCGTTGGCTGGAGCGGAATTTTCTTTGTCCTTTGTGTCGGAGTTGCGCTTCTTTCCGCCGTCCTCGTTGAAGATGTTGACCTGGTGTGATGTAAGTGAACCTTCGGGATGATTGCAGGGTTTGTCTGCGCAACTCACATCGAATTGCCACCTCTCGACATGCTCTCCGGTCTCCTTGCTGGTGACGACAATGACCAGCTTCGAGATCTTGGACTTTTGCATCCATTTGTTGAGTTGGCTCATGATCTTCTTGATGTAGGCCTTCACCTGGTCATCCAGGGAGACCATCATGTTCAGGCCATACTTCTTGACGCTGCGCGTGCTGTCAGCGCCCTGTCACTTCTTTACACTTCTTTTGTTCTTACGCTGTGAAGTCTTCCGGCGGATAGACGCCTCTCTGGAATAGGATGGTATTGATCGAGTACTCGAAGAATTCGGTGACCACCTTCGAGCTGCCCTTCAGCGAAAGTTTGTGCGTTTGTGCCTTGCCCGATGAGGATGCCTTGGCAGCCGTCGATGATGACTTCGCCGCCGACGAGGATGTCTTCCGTTCCGATGGCATTCTGCGTGATGTTGCTGTCCCCTTGGCGAAGCGTGGAAGTCGGAACGTGGAGCTGCGACGCCTTGTTGATGTCGCGTTGGCCGGGTGCCCGGTTGAAAGTTTTGCCGACCCCGAAACCGACCCTCTCAAGATCGAAGAGGAGCTTTCACGAAGGGTCGACATGCCATCAGACGGACCCCAATGCGACCATGTCTGTGGGCAAACAGGAGCATCGCTGGACTCTTCAGTCGCTCAAGGCCTCACAGTGCGACGTCTAGCTTCCAATTCGCCTTCTCAGGCGCGCGCAAATCCTTGAGCACCACCGCTCGCCTTGCTGCATCCCCCAAAGTCCAATCTCCCTTGGAGGAACGAGTCTCCAAAATCCCCATTGAGCGATTTCGAAACTTCTGCATCGTCGCTCACGTCGATCATGGCAAGAGCACGCTCAGCGACCGACTCCTGGAGCTCACAGGCACGATTGAGCCTGGAGGCAAGAAGCAGTTTCTGGATAAGTTGGATGTGGAGCGAGAAAGAGGTATCACGGTCAAGGCGCAGACATGCTCCATGATTTACAATCACAATGGAGAGGATTACCTCCTGCATTTGGTGGATACGCCTGGACACGTAGACTTCAGGGCGGAAGTGAGCAGAAGCTATGCCAGTTGTGGCGGCGGTACGTCTGCACGGCAATGAAGTTCATCTTCCTATGCTGACGTCTACTTGTAGCTCTCCTCCTCGTCGATGCCTCTCAAGGAGTCCAGGCGCAGACCGTCTCCAACTTCTACCTGGCGTTTGCACAGAATTTGGCTCTAGTGCCTGTACTGAACAAGGTGGACCTTCCCTCTGCCGACACTCAGCGCGTCCTGGAACAGCTTCGAGACACTTTCGAAGTCGACTCCTCGAAGGCCATCTCTGTCTCCGCGAAGACCGGGCTTAATGTCGAGAAGCTATTGCCGACCATCGTGGATCAGATACCGGCGCCGGAAGGAAGGGATGACGCGCCGCTAAAACTTCTGCTGGTCGACAGCTGGTATGATAACTACAAAGGAGTCATACTTCTTGTCCGGATCTTCGAAGGCAAGGTCAAAGCTGGCGATCGCCTGGTGTCGTTTGCCACGGACCTGGAGTATATTGTTGGTGAAGTGGGCATCATGTATCCGCTGGAAACCCCTCAAACTTGTCTCCGTGCAGGTCAGGTCGGCTATATCTATTTCAACCCTGGCATGAAGCGCTCAAAAGAAGCCAAGGTCGGCGACACGTATACGACAGTCGGCAGCCGAGACAAGGTTAAACCACTGCCTGGGTTTGAGGAACCGCAAAGCATGGTCTTCGTCGCTGCTTTCCCGACAGACCAGGGAGATTATGCTCATCTCGAGGACAGCATCAACCAAGTCACTCTGAACGATCGTGCTGTAACGGTCACTAAGGAAAGTAGTGAGGCTCTGGGCGCGGGGTGGCGGCTGGGCTTCCTGGGAACGTTGCACTGCTCTGTCTTCGAGGATCGCTTGCGTCAAGAGCATGGAGCGAACATCATCATCACACCTCCCAGTGTGCCTTTCAAAGTCGTTAGAAACGATGGCAAAGAGGAGATCATCAGCAACCCGAACAAATTCCCGGAAGGGCAAGAGATTCACTCACACGTGGCTTCACTGGAGGAGCCATACGTCTATGCGACCATCACCACACCAGAGGAATACTTGGGAAAGGTCATTGAAATGTGTGAGGGGAATCGTGGGCAGCAAGAGTCGTTGTCATTCTTTACATCTACTCAAGTCATCTTGAAGTATCTCCTGCCACTCGAGCGTCTCGTAGACGACTTCTTTGGCAAGCTCAAAGGCGCTACCAAGGGCTATGCTTCGCTCGACTACGAGGACGCCGGCTATCGCAAAGCCAACATCATCAAACTCCAGCTTCATGTGAACAAGGTGCCCGTGGACGCCGTTGCTCGAGTTGTCCATCATTCCGAAGCTGCTCGGATCGGAAAGCAATGGGTGGCCAAGTTCAAGGAACACGTGGACCGACAAATGTTCGAGGTTGTGATTCAAGCTGTTGCCGGTCGACAAGTGGTTGCTCGCGAGAGCTTGAAGCCGTTCAGGAAGGATGTGCTCCAGAAGCTGCATGCTGCAGATGTGAGCCGGCGGAGGAAGCTGCTGGAGAAACAAAAGGAAGGTCGCAGGAAACTTCGAGCCGTTGGCAACGTGGCGATCGATAACAAGGCCTTCCAGGCCTTCCTTGCCAAGTAGAGCCTGGAACTGGACATCGATTTCGGGGTATCGGCGGTCGTGCCGACGATTCCCATCAACATTGCGGCACTGTTGGACTCGCGGCAAGCCGGCTCGGTGCGTGGAGACTCCGGGATACACGCATGTTCAAAGACGTCGCGAGCAGACGGGACTGCGCATAAACGATCGCATCAGACGTCGCCCTGTCACCTAGTGGTGCGCTAGTATGGCTCATAAATGCTGGATGCCGGCCTGTACACTCCGGATGGCTGGCGATGACCGGCCAATCTGATATCGGCACGCTCGCCGGCTTCCTCAATTCCTCCAAGCTCTTCTTGATATCCCTTGGATTTTCTGTGCTGGTGGAAGACCATCGTGGCGTAGATGAACGTCGTCCAGTACGACAAGCTGGTCACGTCCATCAGCATGTCGGATTCGGGAGCACATCCTCCACACCTGACTTACACTGTGAGGACGTGTGCCGCGTGCATGGGCCCTCTCATCCATGAAGGCTGGACGGCGGACCAGATTGTGACCCAGATCGCAACACCGGAAAGCGCACTCCACAGTGCGGCCTTGCAGGTCTGAAGCGAGAGGTAAACCCAGGGTTCCAGGAGGTGATAGGACCATAGCACCACCTCCATTGGCTCCGTGCAATAAAACAAGAAGGCGAGAGCACATCCGACACCGTATCCACTGTGATCAAGTCAGTGGATCTTCTTGCTGCTGGAATGGCTCCGGGATGCTGGCTGGACTTACGCAGGGACATGGTGCAGGCGGCCGGCAAGATCGAGCGCAAAGTATCCCAAGTGTACCAGCTCGATCGTGACGAGAAGGATATGGCAGAACCAGCCCGTCCAGACGCAGTAGCGATTGTACAGACCATGTGCATACATTATAATAGCAAGATTTTCAAGAGGAAATTGAAAAGATCTCAGCGCGCGCTCACTCACTCACTTTGACTGTCAACGGACATCGCAGCTGTCTATAAGATGTCTGCTACTCTTGCTCTGTGCCTCTCATGCACAGCCTCTGAAACATTAGTTTCCTGGTGGAAGCCTCACATGAGAGCCAAAGTTAAAGTCGTTGTTGTGGGCGGTTATGTGTGGGCTTTCTATGGCTGAGTGAGAGTGAGTCTCGAAAATGGAATCCCGTGACCGCGCGCGTTGGGCGGTTTCTATTTTCCGCGCTTTTGCTGGCGAACGAACGAACCTATTTTTTTTTACGCATGCGTGCAGGGTTTGGCATCCGCATCTTCACACGCAGCGAAACACTGTTTCGCTTTTTAACAGCATGCTGATGTCTGAGTTCGTGCCTCGTTGATTTTTTGTTTTGGTTTTGAAAGGCCAATTCTGGACAAAATTCACGAAGCACTGATGATGAGGCAGGAGAGAAGAGCGTCCCAACGACGGCGGCAGGACATGAATCTATCTACAGCAGACGTGCCTGCTGCTCGTCCAGAAACTTCTTCGGAATCGCAACGTGCACCGCACGAATGAACTCGGCAAACCCCTTGCCCAACGCATCGAGAATCCTCGAACTCGTGACTCCGCGTCCGAGGGGCCCGTAGACGACGAAATGGACCGCTCGGATCCCGGGCATTTCGACGCGTTCCAGGTGGTACCAGTCTTGCCAATCGGAACCCATCATGGCCCGGAATTTCTCGCGCGTCAACAGCGAGCGCAGCCAGGCCCATGCTTCGTCGGTGTGCACGAAGAGGCCGCAGTTGACGTTGGCGCCTTTGTCGCCGGAGCGCCCGAGGGCGAGGTCGCCGAGGGGCGCCAGGACGGTCTCGCCGAAGGAGTGCAGGTCTGCGGGATGGCGGGTTTCGTAATCTTCGCGGGCTTCGAGAGGTTCTGTCTGCTTGGGAGGTCCTACGGGTAAGGTTTCGATTTGGGGGGAGTTGGCTTTGTCGAGGATGATGCAGACGGCTTCGTCGAGCGCGCTCTGCTCGATCAGGCCCGGGTAGAATGCCAGGAAGGGTTTGGGGATGGCGGTCCGGAAGTCGAGAGAGGAGTGGAAGCCTGCGAAATGCTGCATGGTGTTCGCCGCGAAGGCTGGCAGGACTCTGGCTACGACGTCTTGATCCTGCGCCTGAGCGAATACTCTCAGGTATGTGGTCGACGCGAATTGGCAGGATGGGTTGGGCTCGGGGCGTCCGATCCACTGGAAATCGAGAATGTCGAACTTGTCCAGCAGACCCCAGTCCTGCAACTTGGACCTCATCTGGGCTTCATGGAGGGCAAACTTTTTCGCGGTGGCATATCCGGTGGCGTTGAACAGGAGCTCACACTGGAAGCCGCCGCGGTAGAAGATGGCCAATTTGGTCGTCGCTGGTGGTGGGTGACCTTTGGTGCCGGAGACTTTAACTCGATCCTTGCCCGCGTCTTCGATGCGGATGTGTGTTGTGTCTGCCTTTACATCGCTGTTGAGGTAGATGTTGCCCTGCAGTTCGTAGAGGAACTGACACTTGACAGTATCGGCCGTCACGAACCCGTTCAAGGCTTCATGCTTGGTGACGATGCAGTCTCCCTGAGCGTCGACCTCGACAATGCCGAATCCAAGATTGAGAAGCTCAGCGATGTCGTACTTGTCAAAACCCGCAAAGTTGGCTCCGGTGATGTAGCTGGAGCACTCAATCAGGTGTCCCGCGACCAAAGCGCCTGCTAGAGCGTCGAAGTTGTCTTCCGCCCAGCCATGCCACCACGCCGCGGCACCGATCACGGGAGAAGCGTCTGCCACACGGCCACAGATGATGATGTCGGCACCCGCCTCCAGCCCACGACGGATCGCTCGACCCCCAAGATACGCATTGGCCGAGACAATCTTGTTGCGCTCCTTGTCTGCTAGGAAAGCTTTGGTGTCATTGGCCAAGTGGACGCTGGAGTTGCTCTTGTCGAGATGCGGCAGAGCCTCCTCGTCCGTGAGAATATCTTGCATCTTCCGCATGAGGTCGTCGCCTTGCACATACGCGACTGTCAAGTCCAGATGTTTCGACTTTACGAATTCGTGGACTTTCAGCGCGAGACCTTTGGGATTGAGAGCACCGCCGTTGATTACGACTTTGATCCGCTTTTCGTGGATGAGTTCGGCGGACTGCTCGATGCCATCCCAGGCCGTTGGGATCCAGCCAGGGTGCTCGCCTCTCGACATGGCTTCGGCATCGTTGCCCAGATTGATCTCTGATCATTTGTTCAGTGGAACGTCCAATCAATCGACCGTGGACGCCAGCCACATACCTGCGAGATAGTCTCCGGTGATGACATCGACTGGGCCGTACTTTGCCTGGTTGTACATCTAGATTCAACGCCATCAGTAGGTCTCTTCGCGTGTCGCAAGACCATCGTCTCCCGGCCATCACCGGGCTTCAGGCTCATCGGACAGCGCCAAACGACGATGACAATCGTTGCGATGATCCCTGAACGTGTTCTACAGTGATGCTGGATTGCAAAGGCTTACTTGATATCCTGGATCCGGCACTGCACCTGAGCAGTTCGCAATCCTCACTGGTCTTTGATACGAACCCATGATGGAAGCTCGAGACAAGGCAATTGGGCGAGTAGTCTTCGATGCGATGGGAAGAAACTATTGTCAAGCAGCACTTGACGAATTGACGAAGCAAAGCAAAGGACTGTACAGGTCCCTTCTCGAGTGTTGCGACTCGAAGTCACCAACTCCGCTCGCTCCTCACTTCTCGCCTCTCTTCCTTCGGACAGCAATAGCTGCTTTTACCGACACCTCCACTCTTGTGCTCGAGTTACCGAGAGAAGTTGTTTCATGAAATTGGCAATCGCTGGCAACTTCGTCTTGCAGAGTTGTTCATCACGACACTTGTGCCTGTTCACACCGCAACTACACCATCGACCATCAGGCAATGGAAGTACTAGGGAAACCCCTCGGTCCGCTGTTTCGACCTCATGTGGGGCAAATCCTTCAGCCCACTCAGTGGGTGCCACACTCAGCTCCCACGCGTATCTCCGGCAATGATTGACTATACAACAACTGACTTGTCCGTCTCGAGTCACTGCTATCCACGTCGCCCAGGCCGACCAAGTTCCTCCACGTGCCGCTCTTTAGCAACTGTTCATGTGAGAAGTTGACTCTTTTCTATTCCCAAGTGTTGACCTCCGAACAAGTTGCCGCTGAACTTGCCTCTCCGAGAAAAGAGCACAGCAACTTTCCAAGACGCCAGTAAAACCATGGGCTCAGTCGGCGAGAGCAACCCGGGTGACTACTCCGTCCCGAAAGAAGCACAGAAGCTCTTCGTGAAGGAGATTCTCAATAACCCTCTGGTCCCTACCCTACCCTGGGAGATCAAAGCCGCCGGGAAACACATCTCCTTCGCAGGCAATGACCTGCCCAGCCTGCCGATCAACTGGCGCTTCGCGGAAAGCGCAGCGGCCCTGAAAGCCTTCGAAGCGAGCATGCTCAACGTGCTCCGCAAACGCAAATACGCAAGCCCCATGTCCGAAGCGGAAATCAACACGGATCACGCCTCGTTGTTCGTCATGTCGCCTTTCCTGCTGCAAGTCGTGAATCCGGAAACCGGCGGCGAGGCGCAGGACGTCAACGTCTTCGCGCCCGGCAGGATGGAAGAGCTCGGCTTCCCGAATACAGATCTCCACCGTGCCGGCTCGACGCCGCAGAGAGCCCTGGCGACGAATATCTACCAGACCAAGGATGGGAGGTTCTATCATCTCCACGGGAGTATGGATCCCGAGCCCACTCTGACGGCTCTGGGGATGGAAACGGATGGACCTGGGGATGAGGATCGCATGACTGTGACGAAGCGGTTCGAAGATGTGGTCGCGAAGATCGATTCTCAGGAATTGGATTCCCTGATGAACGATCGGTATCGCCAAGCGGGGACGATTTGCTATTCTGCGGAAGAATACAGGCAATCGGAGCACGGACAGGCGAATGCACACGTGGGACTGTACGAGTTGTCACGGTCGGAGACGCACACGCAGCCGGCTGCTTGGTGGCCCGAGAATGCGTCGATGCCCTCTTCGCCGCAACGGCCCTTGGCAGGGTTGAAAGTGGTCGATCTCACCCGCGTGATTGCCAGTCCGGCCATTGGGAGGTCCCTGGCGGAGATGGGCGCGAGTGTGATGCGAGTGACGAGTTCTCAAATCACCGATATGTCAATCCTGCATCAGGATCTGTGAGTCCCCGTCCCGCCATCCAGCCAAAAACCCCCCCCCCTTTCCCCCTCGGATTTTCGAATTTCATTCACACAGACACTTTTCTGACGAACGAACGACCGATGAGCTAGGAACTGGGGCAAATGGAACTGCTCCCTACACCTCAAACACGAACCAGACCGGCGGAAACTCATCGCACTGATCCAGGAAGCCGACGTCGTGATCGAGGGCTACCGCCCCGGCGTGATGGCGAAATACGGTCTCGCGCGGGAAGACATCTTCGAGCTCGTCAGGGAGCGTGGCAGGGGGATTGTCCACGTCAAGGAGAACTGCTATGGCTGGCACGGTCCCTGGGCCGGCCGCAGTGGGTGGCAGCAGATCAGCGATGCCAACTGTGGCGTTTCGTGGGCGTACGGACGAGCTATGGGAAATGACGAGGCCGTCACGCCCGTCTTTCCCAATAGCGATTACTGCACCGGCATCGTCGGGAGCGTGGCGACGCTGCACGCCCTCGTCAAGCGCGCGGAGCAAGGCGGCTGCTATGGTGTGGATGTAAGCATCCCCTTCTCCCTTCTCCCTTTTCCTTTCCCCTTTCCCTTTCCTACTCACTCACTGCTGACTTTTTTCTTCTCTTTCTCCTCACGCAGGTCTCCCTGAATTACTACTCGCAATGGCTCGTCAACTCCGTCGGCGAATACCCCCCCGACGTCTGGAACGCTCTGTGGGCGCGCTGCGGGAACCCTGCTTTCCGTCACTACCACAACATGGGCTACCTGCTGCCTGCCATGCTGGGACTCTTGCGGACACACGCGCCGAATGCGCTTTTCAAGCCTGATTTCTTCCAGCCGAGGTTTTCGAAGGCTGTCGGGTGTGAATTTGTCAGTGTGAAGCCGATTGCACGGTTCAAGGATGAGGAGGTCAGGTTGGGGTATCATGTCGGTACGCGAGGGAATGGGAAAGATGCGCCGTATTGGCCGGAGGATTTGAGTGTTGAGGTGGTTGTGTAGGTTGGCGAAGCGTTATGATAAGACATGGCGTCGAAGTTCTTCACTAGACCTGTCAACATCGGGTTCTCAGATCCGCGACCATTGCCATAGTGTTATTTTGGTCACTGGAGATGACTCGCTCGAGGAATTTGTACGTGTCTTTCTAGAAGGCCTCAGGGTGCGTTCTTACAGGCCCCATGAGGCAAATGAAGAGCAAAGATCAATCCAAGTAGCTCATGAGATTGGGTATCAAAAACTGGGTTCATTCGAGCTAGCCGGCTCCCGATCCCACCGGAACGCCTCGCGATCATACATCGAACACCTGCCCAGTGCTTTTGACTATGCTTTTCGCTTGAAGATGCGTTTTACTCGTCATCCTCTTCCTCTTCCTCCTGCTCGATGGTGGTCTGGGCGATACGGTCCAAATCACGCTGGCCGGACTGAGTGATGCGGCGGCCACCCTTCTCCTCGTCCTGCTCGAGGACACCAATCTTCTCGAGGGACTGCATGACCTTGCGGTCAACGGAGCCGGAGGCGTCGACATGGTGGGATGGGCGCGAGCCGCGGTTCTTGGTGCCTCCGTGGACCTTCCTCAGACGGCCGACACCGACGGTCTTGCGCATGTAGATGTGACGGGCAATGGCAGCGGCGCGGACGTAGTACCTGAGAGCGCAATTAGTTTTTCTTGCATGGAAGCTGTAGAATCAAGTGTCGTATCTTACCAGTCCTGGCTCTGCGGTGGAAGCTCCTTGGCGTGGGAGGTCTTGACGGTGTCGGACCAACCTGTAGACTACATGTCAGCATATCTGACACATTGGTCCCCCGTTCAACACGGGATTCAGGTCTGGCATTTCGCTTGTGGTGTCTGTGTGCATTCCTCCTCTTTTTTCTTATTGGTGCTCACGGACCTGGAATTGGGAGCTTTCCCTGACGCTTCAAGAAGGCGGCGTAGGCGTCGATGAACTTGTCCGCCTGGACATCGCGAACGGAGACACCAGGCATGATGGCGGTATTTGGCTTGAGACTCGGTGGATTTGGCTGTCGAGCTGGTGTGGTGTCGTGGGAGTAAGGTCTTTGCGCAGCTGTGAAGGTGCAAAGCCGGCGGTGGGATTTCGTGCGTGGTATTCATGATGCCCAGCCGCTAGGCGGAAAGTTTATCCGCTGGCCGAGCGGGCCTGCACGTGATCGTCATTCCTTCGATCTGAGTCGTACGTCGGTTCAAGAACAAAGCAAAATACCATCAGCAATAATACCCGATCGCTTCCGACATCGTGGGATGTTAGCAATTGACTTGTCTATCGCCAAAATAGCCGAATTTGATCAATCGGCCCCCAATCTGCGCTGCTCCCTAAGGCAACGAAGTGGTCTGCAGCGTCGCCGCACGCTATCTTGCTATTTCGACGCTTTTCACGCGAAGTCACGACCGAAAAAGACCAGTTGCGACAGGTCGCCTGAGGCAAGCACATTGAGGTAGCTGCACACCCGATTGGCCGATCGACATCACTTCTAACATTTGCTGCCAAACCGGATCTCATGACATATTCAACAACAAAAGCACTATTTTCCTCATCTCAAATAAGCACTTGGCAATGCTAGCACCACCTCACTGTATCCCGTAGCACCATTTACCGTCAATGGCCGAGACTTCCCTTTCGTTATACCGAAGATTGCAAGGTCTCTTGCCATATGAGTCGCGGAAGTGGGCCCTCGTATGGTTCTTGTCCGGCTTCCTGGGCGTCGCTACTTTCGCCTGGGCAACGAATATGGGGAGATCTCGTCTACCAGCCTTTCTGAGGAAGAGAGACGGTATGTGGTGCAAATCGTTCGGAATGGGTACAAGACTGACACACTTTGCCCCAGCGACATCGACCGACCCAGGGCTGCTCGTGAAGGGCACTCGTTTTGAGTCCTATCGCACTCAGTCTGGATATCTCTATCCCAAGATCAGGACCTTTTATCATGAGCATCCACAGAAGAAGAAACTGCCTTCAGACCTGCCATTGCTAGTCTTCATGCACGGACTTGGTGGCTCTGCGGCTCAGTTCCAACACATTTTGGCGTCAATGGTGAATATTGCACCGTGTCTGGCGATTGACCTACCTGGCTGCGGAAGGTCTGACTTCGAGCCAAAGGACGATCAGGCCTACACGACCACGGCGTTTGCCGAACTTCTTTACGCCGCAATCGACAGGTTCCGACACAAAGATGCCAGCCAGAAGATCGTTCTGATAGGTCATAGCATGGGATGCTCCATTGCCGCTCTTCTAGCTTCTTCGAACTCTCCTCTGGCACATCTGTGCTCTGAGCATGTACTCGGGATGATCGCTATCTGCCCACGCTCCACGGCCTTGAGTGAACAGGACTTGACTGGTATCCTACGTCTTAATAGGATATGGTCTCCAATTCTCGACCTGATGCGCTTGGTGGACAGGCGTGGTGGTGTCGACAGCGCCAGTGTTCTACGCGTGGTTGGAAAAGATGCTGATCAGGAGACTAAGAAGCTGCAGCTGCGTTTTAATCAGCAGTCACGCTCTGCCGTCTTTCAGAAGGTCTTGAAAGGCGTCTATCTACAAGAAAGGGCGACTGCAGAGAAAGGCGAAGAAAGCTTACTCGGCCGTCGAGTTTGGAGCGGTCTGAAGAAGCCTCTGTACCTTGTGGCTGCTGAGGGCGATAAGCTGGCACCTCCCAAAGAAGCTGAGCAGATCAATAACTGGCTGAATCCAGATGAAGAAAGACACGATAGCAAGACTGAGGCATTGACGAACCGCGACACGAGCACCAAGCCGCGCGAAGAATTGGAAGAAATCGCGCCCGACCAATTAGCACCAGTGCAATCGGCGGGTGCGGATCCTGGAGAATCAAATCTGCCTGCGGTGGCTGGAGATGCTGATTTGATCCAAAAGCGTCTCTCCAAAGACGATGGGTCCCAAGTTCCCAAGGAGGAACCTAAAGGCACCAAACCTACAGCAGTCACCCAAAAAGAGATGTCAACGAAACATGCCTTTGCTCTCAAAACAACGGTCTTCCCAGCGCCCGCTTCTCACGGATTGCTGTATGCAACCAGTGACGTGAGGACGTTGTGCGGCTTCATCGAAAAGTTCCTCGCGAAATATGTCGACGACAGACTGTCGCCGGGCTGGCAACTGCAACACCTCACCACGAGTGGCAAATGGGACGTCAAGAATCTCGAGAAATGGCGGAAGATTGATCAATGTTCTGAACCCATCGGCGGAATCTTCCGTGTCATGAAGACCATGAGGGAAGTGGATGAGATCCATACGCCGAAGGAGTTTGTGAAGAAGTTCGGCTGGAAGGTGATTCCAGACGGTGTGGCTATGGTAGTCGACATCAGCCACGACGTTCCCGTTTACGATAAACAAGGCTTGGAGAATGCCGGTGTAGAATATCACAAATTGCCAACGGTGTCCAAACAGCCGCCTACAGAGGACGAAGTGGAGCAGTTCAACGATTTGATCGACACCTTGCGACGCAGCACGAAGATCGCTGGTGCTGGAACGACTCCTCGTCCTACCATAGGCCTTCATTGCCACTACGGATTCAACCGCTCTGGATACTTCGTCGTCTCTTACCTTGTGCTACGAGAGAAGTGGAAGCTAGAAGATGCACTGCAAGAATTCGCGAGCAAACGACCGCCTGGGATCAAGCACACATATTTCATCGACGATCTCTATGCTCGCTACGCGACGAGGATGGAGCGGCGAAGGACTATTGTTGGTTAGAGCAGCAGAGAGCACGGTCTATCAAGAGACGCAAGCCATATGGTTTTTGGTGCTTGGGAGGGAGTCGCGGCGTTGATACTCGCGCCATTCTGAAGAAGGACATACCCACAAGTTCTCGCAGGGTGTGGTTCTGAGGCATGCCGGTAGCGGGATGATATGAGCGTTTGTACCTTGGCGAGTGAGGTGTTCTGTCTTTGCCGAGCTACTACTTATGATACCCACAGAGCAACGGATAGCGAATGAAGCAATATGACTGATTGCATGCATTCCAGAAGCTGTTCAAGCATGTCTGCGTACACTGGAGAATCCATCTTGTCACCGCGTTGCATTTTGATGCACGACTATTGAGAGAATAGCCTTCGTGCTCTCAATTACAGGCGCTCTAAATCCATTTCGCGCTGTGCTGATCTCGCACTCTAGCGCGAATCGGGGTCTCCACTTGGAAGGAATTCCAACAATCGCTGACTGACCTCACAGGCCCCGGGACTGCTTTCCTACGATGCTTCACTCAGCTCTTCGCGTCCCATCCCCAGACATTTTCTATTGCAAAGAATCGTTCCACCAACATGTCTCAAGAAATCGTCCTGTATGACTTACCAAGCAAGCCGCCCTGCCAGGCTTGGTCTGGCAATACTCTGAAGAGCAAGCCACCTCCTCCTCCTCGTCTAACCTAGTGCTGGACCTATCCATCGTAAGAGAGACATATAGTAACAAGAATTTCTTTTGCAGCGAGACTGGCTCTCAACTACAAAGGCATCCCATACAAGACGCAATGGCTCCCTTATATCCGCTTGGAAGGGACTATCAAAGCAACGTAATCATAAATTCCCTCCTCCTCCCCAACGGTCTCCTTCCCGAACTAACAAATCTTTCCAGCGGTCTCCCGCCGAACCCAAAACCCAACTGGGCCGATTACACCGTCCCCATGGTCCGGTTCCCAGACGGCAGCTTCGTGATGGATTCCGCGCAGATCGCCCCCAAACTCGAAGCATTGCAACCTGAGGCTCCCTCTCTGCTTCTGAATCGGAGCCTGGAAGAGGAAGTCCAGAAGGCTCTGAACGAGGGGTTCATGCCGGTTTTCCCGTCGCTTTGTCGGAGGCTGTGTGAGAGGGTGGTTGCGGGGGAGGATGGGGAGTGGTTTGAAAAGGTTAGACGGGATCGCTCTTTCTCTTCTCCCCCTCAGAAATTATTTGTGGAATTCTCAGGGACATGATCGGCTGACGTTTTGTTTTCATTGTTTGTCATAGGACCGCGCTGCGCGTTTCGGCATGTCCCTCGCCGAGCTCGAGGCGCAGAAAGGAGGCGATTCGGCTTGGGAAGCCGCTCGACCGGGGCTGCAGAAGCTCTGTGCGGTTTTGAAGAAGTACAAAAAAGATGAAGGGCCGTTTTGCTTGGGCAGTCAGCCGAGTTATGCGGATATGATTGTTGTGGCCATGTTGCATATGTTCAAGGTGAGAGCAGTGGTCGTGGAAGCAATGTGTGGGTGTGTGTGTGTGCTGGCTGACTTTTAGGACAAGAGGATTGGGGACGATGTTTATGAGAGGTTTGTGAAGACGGGAGGGGAGGAATTGGGAGAGCTTTATGAGGCTGCTCGGCCTTGGTTGATGAAGGTGGATTAGGCAGGAATGCCTGATGGCATGCTTAGGGGACCGATCGACTGCCTTTTGGATCTTCGCTCCACGCGGGACAGTTCGATATCGGTGCAAGAGATACATGTCGTCGTCAATTCATTCCATCTCCTTCCCAATCTCAAACCTCCCGCGTAGACCGAAACCCAATATTCCCCTCCTCCTTCAACCCCCACTGATTCACCTCCTGCCCCGTAATCACCCTCCTCTGCAAATGCACCTCGACGACCTTCCTCCCCTTGCGGAAATCCTTCAACCCATTGTCATACTTATCGAAATACAACGCCCACTCCCCTTCCTTCTCCTCCACCGCAACAAACCCCTCCCAGCCATCAAACGTGAGCATACTATCCTCAACGTCCTCATCCGTCCAATCGAAATCCCCCACGAAATGCGCAATACTCCCGCTGCGACTCGCGTGTTTCACCTCCAGCGTGTCCTTATCCACGTACAGCCAGTTCAACATGGGCGGATCCACGCTGATGGTGCTCACCAAGCCGCGCGTATAGCTGCGCTCGTCGTCCGGGTAGGCGAGGTAGAAGCCCGTGAAGGGGTGATGGTTCACGTTCTCGGGTAAGCGCGTGATGCCGCTCTTGGCTTCGACCCAGACTTTGCCGTCGTGGATCGTGACGATGCCGTTGTCGAGCTGCGCGCCTTTGTTCTTGCGCAGCTGCGCGTCGACCCACGTGTCCAGGTGGAATTTGAGCATGCGCGTTTGGTTCGAGGCGTCGGCGTTGACTTTCTTCTGCTCCGAGACGCCTTGCGCCACGCCGGTGGTTACGGAGATTCCGGTTCCTGCGACGATGGGGAGGCCGATTGCGAAGCCGAAGAGGACGTCCATCGTGATTTCGGACGCATACGAGAGCTGTGTTGTATCGTGTGGTATTGGGTTGAAAGGAAATGACAGACCTACCGTTAGAATTCATCTCGAATCATCTTGAATCATTGGGGACTGAGAAGTTGGACACAGATGATGCGAATCCTGGCAATGAAGCTGAGTGTGGAAGTGGCGTCATATCTACATGGATCCGAGGTGGAGCTAGCTCCGCCTGACTAAGGTGATCCTGTTCCCTCGCCACAGTACACGCGCCACAGTACACGCGCCACAGTACACGCACCGTAGGCTAAGGTACATCTATCGTTCCCTGCTCTACCCTTCTCATAAGAAATACCAATGGCAGCATGCAATCGCAATTGAGCTTGCTGCGCCGATCGAATATCTGGTTGTGATTTCTAAATGGAGTATCGCCTCCCAGTACCCCTCCGCACGCTGATAGCCCAGGCGCAAGAGCGACGACAAAACGCCATGCGTTTCCGCAACGTTTCGTCGTCGTCCTTTGTACGCACTTCGATGCCTCTTGCAACGAGAGTCAGAGCAGGAAAGTGCTTGCGTCGATCCCGCGAGCACGGAGCGCTTGCTCGCCTCTCGAGTTCAGACACCACACCATCATGGCATCCGAGAGGACCTTTGAGCCCCAATACCGACGGCAATTTGGCCTCGATAGCCTTCGTGAGGTACTGCCACGCCCTTCCGTGGCCGGAGAGGCCCAGATTGCCAGTGTACAGCTTTCCACAATCTCCTCTGGCACAGCTGATCTTGGCTTCGCACCAAGGGTAGCAGGTATAGAGCCCGAAGAAGACGTGTACCATTTCGTGGAGAATCACGCGCAGCACTCGTCGCATGTTGATTTGCATCTCGACGTGACTCTTGTTAAGTATCAGCAGCGGAGGTACCTGCTTGCTTGTGGATCCATGCGTGCGGCCAAATGCTCCCTCGTCAATGTGGGCCCAGAATATATGCAGTTTCGACGATGGAAGCTGCCCGGCGAAGAAAATGTCACTGAAAATGCTGACCACATCGTTCAGAACACCGGGTTGAAACGTTTCTGGGACTGAGCGTTGAAGCACATTGGGACGGTGGCGCTCTTGAAAAGTCTTCCAGCGTTGAATTGATTCTGGGGGAGTTGGCCTCTCCAAGTGGGTTGAAAGGGTGACGGCCAGATGCCAGGCATCATGAGATTGCCAACGAAAGCCACGGATAGGGCTGAACTCTTTGTGATCATCAGGGTGGATGAGAGAACGATAGAGGTGTGGTCTACATTCAGGACAGTAGCAGCCCTGCAATTGCGTTCTCCGCTGGTGTCGCTGCAGCGATAGTAGCAAATCCTCCTTCCTGAGTTTCGCTCGGTAATATTCGAGGGCCAACCTATTGCTTTTGCGCTTGATCTTCGACGACGGTTCTGGTTTGCATGCCATGAGTGCTTCGATGGTAGTTGTGTACGGATTGGTCAAGGAGCACGACGTCTGATATTCTGGCGACATGGCTGAATGACTCAAGCTAGCCATTGTGCTCATTCTCGCTGCCTCGTATTGTCGCCGTTGGGGATCGCTATTGTTCTTCGATTTAGGCAGTAGAGGCATGATCCGAATAGAAGCGTTGTCTAATTGCGTTCTGTCGTCGCTTCCGTGTGCTATTTGTGAGCAATGATAGGCAGGTCAATCGGAAGCTTCAGTGCAAGCGCGACGGATTGATTTTTTGACCGAACACTCCTGCTGCTTTCCATGTGATGCAGCGTCTTGACACGTGCTTTTCAAGAACGATGCGGTCAACGCAAACACTTGAATCCATATGAGACGAAGCCTCGCCTGGACTCTCACTTGATAGACAACATGCTCTGTATTGGCAGTCACAATTTCTCTCCTCAAGTCCGACGGAAGGAGAGTTGAGATGTTCATCTCAAAATTCTTCTCATCTGTCTAGTAGACAAGACGACACGTGCCCAGAGATGCCAATCTAGATGATCGAGCCCGTCACGCACTGTAAGTGAGCCATACCATGGGAACACTTCAATTCGAGGCAGATCGAAGAAGTGACCAACCCAATTGAGAACCGGCTCATATCTTCGACCGCTTGCGTGGCATTACTTCCAATTAGTTATGGCCCAGACCAGAACGGTACTTGCAGCCTGATGGATCATCGTAATTTGCAGCCAAGGTCTGACGACCCGATCATCGGCATTCGTCCGCATCCGCCCAGGATACCGGTATCGTAGGCTTCCAACCCCCGGTCAGGCGAGGCATCCTCCTTCACAGAGCTTAGATCCAATCCCATCCCAAATCCAGACAAAGCCCCTCACGCCTCCTCCCCGAATTCTTCTCCTTTCGAAGGCCCCTCCTCATAAAGCTCCCTCAACCTCTTCCTCCTCCCCGGCCCCGTCCTCTCCCCCCTCCTCTCCTCAGTCGCAATCCTCCACGGCCGATCCTCCGCCCGCCAATCCACACACGAAAGCCCCGCCACGGGAACCGATCGCATCAGATCCGTCTGCGGCACGCTCTTCGTATCCAGCGCGAAATTCCCATAGTAGTGTCCGTATTCAATGTGATTTCGGAAGATGATCCGTGCGGGGTTCGCGCGGATCTGGAAGATGCGCGATTCGCGCATTGGCGGTGGGGGGGCTTGGAAGGGCATGCGTTCTGGTTGTTGTTGTTGTTGTTGTTGTGAGGGCGCACGGGGGATGGGAGTCGTCGTCGTCGTCGTCGTCGTCGTCGTCGTCGACATGGATCGCGACTGGGAGACGCCGAACGGCGAGAAAGTCGTTGTCGGCGCTTCGGTGCTGGACGGGGTTGCTGCCTTGCTGGTGCGTGATGTGCGTTTCACTGCTTCGGGTTCTTGCTGCTTCTGCTTCTCGACCGGGGCCTTGCCCATCCTGAATCGAATCGGACTCTTGTGCACGCAGTGCCGGGCTGCTTCTTCATCCTTGAACACCACCAGAGCGGCATTCGGGGCGGTGAGGGGATCGTATTTCAGGCTCTTGAAGTATTCGACTTCGCCGAATTGGGAGATTAGGCGTAGGACTTCTCGCGATTCCCCGAGGTTTGAGAGTCGCGGCGTGATTAGAAGGTGGACCTGTCGATTTGCCGTTGGGCGAAGTATAGACGCCATGGTGGCAGGAAGGTTATCAGTTGGTCAAGCAGCTGCAGTGTTGCACGTTGCTCGGAGCCCAATTAAGAGCATTGGAGGTTGAAGCTGGGGAAGTGAATGCTGATTGGATCAAAGGAAGCGGGCGCTAGCGGGAGTCCTCGAGTCTGGCTCCTAGGGGTCGAGGCTACATACAGCAAGCATACAACAGACTGGAGACAACAAAACGCCGACTAAAACATTCGACATCCGACAACAACGCGCCTCAGGTATCTTGCAATCCGTCCCAACGCCAGAAGAACAACAACAATCTCTCGGTCCTACACAGTCGCATGCGCAGCCATGTACGTAGCAAACTGCTGCGGATTCCGCGTCTGCATGAAGACCGTCCCCGGACCCGAGAACTTGCAGACCAACCCTTCGCCCGCAGAGAAATTGGAAATGATACCGCCGGATGCCACGCGCTCCATCACGTAGTTGCAATTCCACGCGACCAAGTGGCCGTTGTCGATGATGTATTTCTCGCCTTCGCGCAACTACATGAACACACATATTAGCGAAAGTTCGGATTGCAGTGGCTGTTCCTGGCACTTACGTCTTTCCTGATAATGGCACCCATACTCTGGATCCAGCAGATGCCCACGCCTCCGATCTTGTAGATGAAGAGTCCTTCGCCGGAGAAGATTGCCTTGGAAAGCTGTTGCGCCTGGTAATCCTTGGTAACGCCCTGTGTGCAGGCCAGAAATGCATCCTTGCCCACCGACCATGTGCCCGCGCCCTCTTGCAGCCTGATGTTGGTGACGTCTCCCAACGCGAATGGCGCAAGCAGTAGCTCTCCCGGGCCAGTAAAGTGGGAATGGCTCATTTCTCCACGAGCCAGTAGCTTTTTCATCGAGAACTTGAAGTTTCCCTTGACGGTGATGGTGGGCGACATTGCGATCATGGCTCCCGGTTTGACAGTGAGAGGACATCCCATCGCCAATTGGAGCGTGACAATCGTATTGCTGTCGCGGTGGGAGATTCTGTAGGAGCCGCCGTTGAAGGTTCCTACATCGTCGAGCGTTGCAGAAGCGCCAGTGAAATGGCCCGGCGGGGGTGCGCCGCCAGGCATGCTCGAAGTGCGCTGAAACGAGGTGCCTCGGGGAGACGCTAAAGGAAAAGAAGGGGTCTCGGGCTCCTTTGGCTTCTCAGAAGGATAGTTTGACGTGGAGGTTGGTGGCGCTGGGTAGACGGGAAGAGGTCTTTCGGATTGTGTGCTTGGGAGATTGGTCTGAATTGGAGAGACGCTAGGTGGTGGTGGAGCGAACGTTGGGGGAGGAGCGAAGTGCTGTTGTTGCTGAGGCTGGGGTCTCGACTGCGGTTCTGTTGAGGAAGATGGAGGAGGAGGAGGAGGGAAGTACTGCTGTGGTGCTAGCCGGAGGTCAGTACCCGATGGATTTGGAGCCGAGAAGCGTTCTTACCTCCATTCTCTTGGCCTCCAGGAGGAGCTGATGTTCTCTGTCAGCCATGCATAGCTTCTCCTTTGAAGGCGAGTGTGTCATGCTCACGAGGAAAGTACTGGGCTTGTTCCGAAGCCATATTGCTATGAGATCGATCTGCTCTTGCTGTCCGCTCTTTTGTCTCCCAGCTATGCTATAGCTCTTTACCACTCCGAACGATTCCTGATGATTCTGGTATAATGCAGCTCTCCAAACAGGTTTGAGTCGTTCTCTCGAATCGTTGGTCTCGTTCTCTCGCCGGGATGCTACAATGCTGTGAAGAAGTCGAGAGGCGCGTCGGGTCGCGTTTCGACGGAGAGCAAGAGGCAAAAGAATCTGAGAGCTGGTAGAAGTAACCCCTTACCTGTTTATAGGGAGTGCAACAATCAGCATCTCTTGGCCGCATCTTCGAGGCCAGCCGGGTGCATGTGCTGCGACGGCTCTTCTCCAGCTCGCGATTGGCTGTGCCGCTCTGCAGGGCGCCTAACAGCTGGCCCGGCGTCCTCCAACAGGGCATGTCGGCGCTTAGAAGCGCGTTTCTTCGATCTCCACATGTTGTCTGAGGAGGGCATGGGCAAGATTGTCGTGTCTGATGCGCAAGACTCGTCGCGTTGGTGGAGTTGATGCGGGAGAGAGAGTGTGAACGTGTGTGTGGCTTGTGGTCAGCGCCCGCTTAAACTTCGGCCTTGGAGAGGTGGGAGACTTCACTTCACCTCAACTCTATTATCAACCTCGTTCATCAACACCGTGACTGGACATTCGAGAGACGCTTGAACAAGAGGAGTAAGAATTCTGTTAGGTAAGAAGATGTTTAATCTGGAGTTCCCCGAGATGCTGCTTTCGTCTAAACGAATGGAACCACGCGACACAAAGGAAGTCAAAGGCTCTAATAGCAGTTCCTCTATACACAATGGTATGTACTCAAGCTACTATGTCCTATGAGGGTGCATCTCGCATCGAAACCATGCTGTACGTCTTCTCTCAATTCCGAAAGCATCTCTAACTTCCTCGCGGAACTTCAACGCAGCGCTTAGTCCTCGCTCTATAGCCGCTACTCTCTACCACACCCATCGGACAAAGACTTTGTCCCTCGGGGTGAATCCTCGTGCAAGACGCCATAATGCTTTATACAGTGAATGTCAGAGAGAAGTATTCACTCTCAATAGTGTTGTTGCTTTGCAAGGCAAGAATAAAAACACCACCTTAGATCGCTAGACAACCCCTACACAACAAATCAACACAACATACGATGGCACCCAACATATTGCTAGAAAGCCTCCGAGACTCCCAATCCCCATCCATACAAAAATTCGCACAAACGAACTACATCCTCAAACCCCTCGGACACGGCGGCTGGGCCACGGTGTACGCATCCCTCCCCCGAGACCTCGCTGACGGCATCCTACAGAACTTCACAAAATCTCAGAAAACCCCCGAAAATCTGCAAAAAGCTCTCAAGGAACTTGCCCAAGCGCTTCAGGCAGTCAAGATCGCCCACGATCCCGCTCCGGAGAGGGAGAGGAGTCCCGCCCTGCAGCGCAATCTGACCTCCGAAATCGACCACCTCAAACATATCCGCGCCCTAGGCCCCGCGAAGAACTTATCCGAGATGCTGGATCACGACGACGACGACAACGACCGAAATCAAAATCGGAAAGCTTGTCGTTGGTGGTATACCCTGAAACCCCTGAACGGCGGCACACTGACAGAATTCCTCGAACGGGGCTACTTCCCCCAAGTGCAAGCTGATTTCCAGCTTCTCTACCCACCGCTTTCATTCGCGTGGCACACCGTCGCCCAGTTGCTGGAAGCTCTCTGCCTGTTCCATTTCGGCACGAACGAGACAGACGCCCGGCGATTCCACGGCGACGTCACGGCGGCGAATCTCATGTTCCATCGCCCGGCGGACCCGCACGCACCCTTCAGGGACTACCCGAACGCGTACATCACGGACTTCGGAGCGGCAGAGGCGGTCCATCTGGACGTTGCCCCGCCCCGAGAGGCGGAGAATCTCTTCCTGAAACAGCGAAAAGACATCGTGAATGCCATCTTCCACTGCCAGAGACTCGTGACGCCCGAAAAACGCGACGCATTTTTCCAAAAAGAAATGGAAAATCTCAATCGTGCTGCTTACCGCGCGTCAGAAAGCGATGTTCTCAAGGCGAGAGTGACGCGTCTCGTCCGGAGTGCGAAAAAGAAGCGGGACGAGGTCTACGAGCCGCTGTCCGAACGCACGGTGAGTTACTTCTCGCGTCCTCTGGTGACGAACGACGAGTTTCTGGGCATGTTCGAGGAACTGAACAAGAAGCCTCGAGTTCCATATTGCGTGATCTTGTAAGGACTTGATGAGGGACGGGTAAGGGACGAGGGTGTTGTATGACAGGTGGCCCTGCACTTCCATTCCGTGTGGGCTCTAATCTATTCCTTCGACCCTGTAGGACTGGAAATCCGCCGTCTTGACGCCACGGGAGAACATGATGTCCAGCTCCTCGTACGTCCGTCCTTTCGTCTCGGGGATGCGGACGTACGCCCAGATCAGACTGACGGCCGACAAGCCGCCGTAGAAGAAGCCAATCTTGCCACGCATGTCGGCCTGGTCGGGATTGATCATGTAGGGAATCGCGACCGTCATGACGATGGCCAGCATCGCCTGGACGGCGGTGGCGAGGGCAATCGTCTTGCTGCGGACCTTTGTGGCCGAGACTTCGCAGAGGATGACGAAGCAGATGGGGCCGACGGAGAAGTCGTAGCAGAAGTTCCAGACGAGCATGAGGCTGGACTGCGCCCAGATGACGCCTTTCTTTTCCGTGTAATTGGGGACGCAGTCGAGGATGCCGATGATGAACATGAGTATGACCAGAAGGAGGAGACCCGTGTTGTAGATGAGTCTTCGGCCGAAGCGAATGAGCAGGACCCATGAGAAGAGTGTCCCAACGAGTCCGACGGCCAGGAAGCCCACGCTCATGTTGAAGGCTTGCTTCGTCGGTAAGCCGGCTTGTTCGAAGAAGTACGTCGCGTACCCGACCAAGTAGACCCCAGAGACCACCTGTATACTGTAGACGCCAATGGCGATCTCAGTCCTCCTCAGGTTGACTTTACTGAAACAGTCCCAATAGGTAGTGCCAGCTTCGAGTTCGGCTTCGAGTCGGTCGGTCTCTACAATCATAGCAAGAGTTGGTTTGACGTCGACCTTGGGAGATGCTAGGCGGCGTAGAGACTGCTCGGCATCTTCTAGACGGCCTTTTCGCACAAGCCACCTGCGAAGATAATTAGCTCAGTCGCATCATCTCGTAAAGCATTCAATACCAAGGAGATTCCGGGGCGAAAGGCCAGCCGATCAAGATGACCAGTGGCCATATCCATTGGGCAGCGAATGGTGCACTGTAGGCCCAGTGGCTGTCCAACTGACTCGTTCCGGCAATGACGCCGTTCGCGATGAGTTGTCCGACAACAAAGCAGACATTGACGTAGCTGGTGAGGAGGCCGCGAAGTGCGACAGGACACACTGGTGCCGTCAGTGTGGAAGTCGGAAGCGTTATAGTGATTCCGCGTACCTTCAGAAGCGTATGCAGGAGCAATTACGCAATAGGTCCCCAGTATTAAGCCGCCGAGTAGCTCACCGACCAGCAGAACGGGCAGCGAACGGGCAAAGAACTGAATGAAGATGAAGCCAGCTGTGAAGATGACACAGGCACCGAAGGTCTTCTTCCTTCCGTACCATTCCATGGGATATGCAGCGAAGAAAGCTCTGTGTGAGTCGCATCAGCAAAGAGTTGTTGTCATGTACTGTAGTAGTCGTAGTCGTCGTATCGACATACCCAACAACCTGTCCAATGGGATTGCCCATGCTCAGACCAGTCTGCCATGGCGCACTGATGATATAATTGCCCTGATACGAATATCCAAAGTCCCGTTGGAACGCGGGCGTGGCGTAGAGATTCCCAAGGAGTTGTGGGTCAAAGGCCGTCATGATCACACCGAGGGAGAAGAAGATGGACCAGCCGACGGCGGTTGGGTAGAGCTTGACGGCATCGAGAAAGGTCAGATCACGTTCTTGGTCGGCGGCCTGGCGTGCTTCCTCCCGTGCGGTGGCGCGGATATGGATGTCACCCTTGAGCGGATCATTCTTGAGAGTGGTGTTGGTGCTGTCTTCTGCCATTGTTCTGGAGGGCTTGGGGATCAGCGGATCGGTCTCGTTCGGTATTGAAGCATCCGTCTGAAGGATATGGGTGAGTATGCTCTCCCGTCTGCGGCGGTGTCTTGGTATTTACATGTGAGAGGGAGGAGGGCGCGGGCGTGGAAGAGGAAGCAGTAGCCATGGCATCTCGCATGCGGCTTACCCTGCCCTGCCCTGCTCTGCCCTGCCCACGGCCTAGAAGTGTCCAATCAAAATGGCTCTCTCCATGCGATGCTATCAGTCGGTATCAGTCAATAATCAATCGGTCGTGTGGATGCAGTAGTAGAGACAGCACAACGAGCTGGAGAGAGTGGAGGTGCCCGCTTCTTCCCGGAGCCCCGCATTCTCCCGATGCGACCACCACCTCATTCATTTGATGTTGCCAGCATATACTTGCACAACAGCACTGCAGCAAGATCACGGCAAGCCCTGCATGTTCTGGCTATAATACGTTGCAAAACCGCGCCGCGCCAACAATAACTCTTCTTACAAGAACAGCACTCCAAACAGTCTTGCGTTCCAGCTCGCTCCTCATTTTGGGGCCGATATAAAAGCGCACAGAAAACATCTCCACGGGGCTAGAGAAGAGATGCAAGTCGGCTATATCCATAATATCGACGGTAGTGTCTACGACGGGGAGTCTCGGGAAGGATCGCTGTGGTGTGAAATGGACTGGTGGGGGAAGGTTGATGGGGTTGTTGCGCAGGGAGAGCAGATAGCTGCTCTGGAGGTTGTGCAGGGGAAGATGGCTCCGAGGAGAGCGTTGCAGAAGAAGCAGGAGAAGGGGAATGCTGGAGTAGATTGGAGTGAAGGGAGTGAAGGGAGTGAAGTTTGCGGCTTTGTCGAGGGGATGTGTGAAGTGATGAGGTTCTGCGTGATATCCTTCTCTTCTCGTTCTTCTAGATTTTCTTCTGTAACGGAGTCGGATTACACGGCCATCCGTCTTGCACAGTTTAGCTGTCGGGGTAGAACCGAAGCTATATCCTCCTTCACGAGTCCTTCCAACTTCCGCCGACTTCCCATGCTTTGGCCTGGAATCATCATCATCATCAGCTTGAGATCCTGAAATTCGCATAGCATGGACTGTACTCACCGCCTTGAAAATGCTCCCCTCATCCCACCTCTTCGCAACAACCTGCATCCCAATCGGCAGTCGCCCCTCCCCACCCTTCACCTCTCCCCATCCCACAGGCATGCTCATAGCGGGGTGCCCCGTGACATTAAAAGAGCAAGTATTCAGCGTATTCCCAATCGCAGGCTCAAAGAGATCCATGATCCTCTCACTCAACCCGTTCGGATTCCCTTCCGTTTTCAGGGTTCCTTTCGGGTGAGGCGGGCCCACGGTGGGATTGATGGGCGTGAGGAGGACATCTACTCGCTCGAATGCTTCGTCGTAGGCGGCTTTGAGTTGGTGGACGTGCATGTGTGCTTTTCGGATGAGGGAGGGGCCGTATTTGTGTTCGAGGTGGGCGGCGTTCATGAGGACGTTGACGACTGCTGGGTTGCGGTTGGAGAGGATGTCAAAGAAGTCTTGGTCGATTGGCAAGGGGTCCAGGTGCGGGAGAGGGTGGCCTAGCATATCGCCGGGTTTGTTGGCGACGAAGTGAGGCATTTGGGGTCGTGTTGCTATTGTCCAGATTGCGGCGCCGAGTTTGTGGAGGGGGATGGAAATTTCGTGGACTTCTGCGCCGAGAGATTTGAAGCGGTCTGCGGCTGCGCGGACGGTGTCGCGGACGGATGGGTCGAGGCCGGGTACTTCGAAGGCTTCTTTGAGGATGCCGATTCGTAGCCCTTTGGCGGCAGCTGCAAGGATCCACTCGCCATGTTGCTGCTTCTGTGATATCCATTCGTTCAAATTGTCGAGGTAATTCTCGACTTGATCGAAAGTAGGAGACTCTGGCGTCATGCGAGGATCAATGCCATCGTACCCGGCCATGACCTGAAGCAAGAGAGCCGTATCCTCTACCGTCCTTGCCATGGGCCCGGTGTGGTCCATCATGGGGTTCAGCGAGGCGATGCCGGTGTACGGGATGAGACCGTGGGTGGGCTTGAGTCCGTAGATACCGCTATAGCTGGCCGGGAGTCTTATGCTGCCTCCTTGGTCACCTCCCACTGCCAGGTCAGCGCCTTCGCCGAGAGGATAGTCTCGGCTGTCTTTGCCATTCTTTCGTGCTTCTTCGACATCCCCGACGCTCACGAGTGTACCACAGCCGCTGCTGCTTCCTCCAGTGGCGTATCCCGGTAACCACGCATTGTGTACGACTCCCGAATCGGAGGTGAAGCTGAGTGCAAACGCCGAGAAGTTTTCGCAGGTTGCAGTGCCCTTGACAATACCCCCAGCATCGAAAATCCGCTTGACCACGGTAGCGTCGATGGTGCTGATGGGATGTTTGCCATCTTTGAAATGTTTCGGAGAGCACCCGAGGCCATGAGGCAGGCCAGCTACTGACACGTTGTCCTTAAAAGCGACAGTCCGGCCCGCTAGGAGCCCACTCTTGGACTCTGGGTCGGCGGATGTAAGCGTCGTCCTGTGAGCCCAGCCGTTCAATGGGTTCTCGGTAGGGTCGGGTCTGTAGTACGTTCTCTCCCCTTCCTGGACCGCGGTTGGAGCCAGCCTTGGGTCTTCATACTCAGGTAGATCCTGGATACTTTGACAGACTGCATCGAAACTGTTGGCAAACAAGAGGAACGCGGTCTCGTTGAGAGTTCCGGGCTTGATGGAGAAGTTGCTGGCATGGCAGATTGCTCTCAAATCCTCCAGCGTACAGGTTGGCTCGCCCGTGGCCAGCGAGACGATGGACATTTTGTTTATTGCCGAGACTTGGAGGGAGAGACGGATTGAACGAACTGCTTACCTTTTGTTTACAGTCACCCGCTCCCCGGCGGAGACGCGTCGTGGCCGTGGGCAAGAATAGTCACCATAGAGACGTGATATCCCAACGGTAGTAGACGAGACCAGAGCAGCCGCTGGCCGAAATGTCGATTGATAGGCAAAGCTGTGAAAGAGGAGGTGTTGCTGGATGTTCCTCGGAGTCCGGGTAAATCTCGGCGATAGTATCTATCTCTCCTCATCCCTCGCGCCCAACATTGCCAATCCGTACGATTTACCCTTATGCACGCACTGCTAAGCGACGCCTGCAGTACATGTATCGATAACAATGAGCTCTGTCGATAACAATGAGCTCTGACGGGCACTCAGGCCTGTCCGCTTGGCCTGTAAAAATGCCTATCGCTTCCACTCGCGGCCTGGACGTCGAGGCCATCGCCCGATAACCACCGGTACATGCGAGCTACAGGCGCGATAGTACGCCGAAGAGACGCGTCTGTCTAGTCTGGAGGTAGGTATTTGTGTCATCGTGTCCTTTTACTGCGTCTTCACGTCAAACCACACTCTCTCACTCTCTCCCCAATGGCGTCCACTACCTCAGTTACAGACACCTATCGACTCGGTGTGGATGTGGTACGTATTTTTGGCAATCTGATGTCAGTATGCTACTGCTAACACTGCTTCGAACCTAGGGTGGAACGTTCACAGATGCCTGCGTCTTCTCCCCAAAAGGCGTGATTTATCGAGCCAAAGTCCCTTCGACTCCCCACGATCAATCCATCGGCGTGAAGGACAGCATAGACAAGGTGCGAGCCATCATCGAAGCAGAGGAGAAGTTCACGGGCAAGTTTGGTGCCCTACACCATGGCAGCACCGTCGCAACAAATGCTTTGCTAGAAGGCAAGGGAGTGCCAGCTGCCTTGATTGTTACCCAAGGGCATAAAGATGTCCTCGTTGCAAGACGATCGCAGATACCTGGTGGCCTTGCATCGTGGATAAATTGGGACCCGCCGGCTCCGTTGATACCCTTGGAGCGGACTCTACAGGTGCCCGAACGAATTGGCGTGGACGGCGAGGAAGTCCGGCCGGTTGACAAAGAAGCTCTACGAAAGGAACTACTTACCGTCAAGGGCAAGGTACAAGCAGTCACAGTAAGCCTGCTCAACTCGTGGGTCTCGGGCGAACACGAAAAGCAGGTCGGTGAGATTGTCAAAGAGGTGTTGGGCGATGAAGTTGAAGTATCGCTTTCACACGAGGTATTGCCAGAGCTTGGCGAATACGAGCGGACTGTTACTGCAGCCGCCAATTCGGTGGTAAAGCCAGAGGTCAAGCGCTATATGAAAGGTCTCAGCAACAAGCTCAACCAAGATACGCCAACCGTCCGGATTCTGAAGAGCGATGGCGGCCTCACCAACCTCGATCTTGCAGGTAACTTGCCTGTTAACATCTTGATGTCTGGTCCAGCTGGTGGTGTGCGAGGTATCACAAGCATCATTGCCAATGCAACAGAGCACAAGAACCTCATCACTCTCGACATGGGAGGCACATCGACCGATGTTGCCTTGATCGCCAACGCTCAGCCTTCTCTACGTCGAGAGACAATGGTTGGCGATCTTGCCGTTCGATCTCCTTCAGTCGACGTGCGAACAATTGGTGCTGGCGGTGGTAGTCTGGCATTCTACTCGAAGCTCACCGACACACTTCGCGTTGGACCAGAATCGTCGGGAGCCGTACCCGGACCAGCCTGTTATGGACGCGGAGGCACGCAAGCCACAGTCACTGACGCCAATTTAGTCCTAGGATACTTACCAGAGACTCTTCTGGGAGGAGAGTTCAAACTCGATGTTGCTGCTGCCATAGCTGCTGTGGGCAAGCTTGCGAAAGAGATGGGCAAGACACTGTATGAGACCGCCGAAGCTATCATTGACCTCGCCAACGAGGCAATCTACGCTGCATTGCGACGTACGTATACCGACGATGAGCATCACCATAGCATTCAACGTGTGTGGAATGCCTGCTAATCCGAGAACTAGTCGTGTCGGTCGAGCGTGGACACAATCCTGCAGACTTCGCTCTGGTTGCATTTGGTGGCGCGGGTCCAATGTGTGCCAATGGTGTCGGGAAGCTTCTGGGAGCATGGCCAGTCATTGTGCCTGCTGCACCAGGTATCCTCTGTGCTCAAGGCGATGCGACTACCAAGATGAGCCATGAGCTGTCGACATCTTTCATCCATTTGCTCTCGAAGACGACAATGGAGACGCTTCGAGCGGAGTATGGTACGCTAAAGGACAGATGTCAGGCGACTATGATTGAAGCTCTTGACTCCAAAGATCCTACGCTCGAGACTGTCTATGCAGCGGCGCTACGATACAAGGGCCAAGCACTCGAGCTCGGAATCACATTATCCGAGGAAGACCTTGCACAGCCGATGGAATCGTTTGGTAAGATTGCTCATGAGAAGTTTGACAAGCTTCACGAACAACAATTCAGCTATACACTCGATAACTTTCCACTCGAGCTCACCCGACTGACTGTGACGGTCGTCGATGCTTCCCCGGATATCGAAATTCCCCGAATTTCTGCAGCGGAGACGACAACACCTCCCGAGTCGGCCATCATTGAGAAAAAGACAATCGTCGTTCAAGGCAAAGAGCATGAGGCCACATTCTGGAACCGCTCAGCCATCAGCAAGGCAGGGTTCAAGGTACCAGGGCCGGCTGTTGTCGTTGAGATGGACAGCAACACTCTCATCGCTCCAGGGTTCGAGGGTGAAGTTGATGCTGTCGGCAACATCTGCATCTCGCCGACACCCGGTAATGAGATGCCAAGTTTCAAGAGCAGGTTTGAAAGCACTGTTGAAGACCAGACGCAAGAGCAAAAGGAAGAGGAGGCTAGGAAGGTCGTGCAGGACATACCTACCGTGTGAGTATACTTCTAGGATGACCTGGATTTGTTTTGGCTGATAATGGGCAGGCCTACACTGATTGCAAGCTCACTCGCCTCCATCCGCCAGGAAATGGACACGCTCATGCTGCGATGTTCGATGTCCCCTGCTATTCGGGAACAGCAGGACGAATTCAACGTCATCACCGATGCCGCTGGCAAGATGCTTGTTGGGCAATTCGGATCTTTCATCGGCCAGTTCCTGAAGATCTGGAATCATAAGCTCGACAAGGGCGAGGTCGACCAGATTGAGGAAGGCGATGTTTTCATCACGAACGGTAATACCCTTGCTACCCTTGGCAGAGCTCATCGAGTCTAACATGTTTGCAGACGTCTACGAGGTGGAAGGGGCTGTGTCACATCTAAACGATGTCATCGTCCTCTTGCCCATCTTCTTCGAGCACAAGCTCGTCGGCTGGGCCGCCAACTTCGGGCATTTCACTGATGTGCAAGGTCAAGTACCAGGCTCAATGTCCATCAACGCACAGACGATCTTCGACGACGGACTTCAGATCCCGACGATGAAACTGTTTGAGCGCGGCAAAATGAACCGCTCCATCGTGGAGCTCATGTGCCGGAACAGTAGGCAGCCAGAGTGGCTACGATCAGATCTTCTCGCTCTTATCTCCGCCTGCAGGACCGCGGCAACTAGAGTGTGCGAGCTGTGCAGCAGATTCGGTCCAGAAGTCTACGCTGCTTCTACCGACACCTTGCTCGAGCGGACGAGGTCTGCTGTGAGTAAGATTGTAGAGGAGCATATGACTGACGAAGAGTCGACGTTTGTTGACTTTGTCGATGATGATGGACACGGAAAGGGACCTTTCGCGCTGAAGTGTACGCTGAGCAAACCTGCGAAGAACCGATTGAAGTTCGATTGGCATGGAACGAGCCCTCAAGCTTCGAGTAGTATTAATTACTACTTGAGCGAGACGATGTTCAAGGTATGTCGATTCCATTCCTCATTACTGGACAGACTTCCTGACCAAGAGATAGATGTTCGTGGGGTACTACTTGCTCACAGTCCATGCACCATACACCATCCCCAACGATGGCTTCCACGATCTCGTCGACGTCGACATCCCCCTCGGATCCATCATCAAACCAGTCCGTCCCGCTGCACTCTCATGCCGGACGCACTTCCTTGGACGGACAATGGATATCATGCAAGCTCTCTTCGGACAGAAGAACTCTGCTTTCATGACGGCTGCTGGCTTCAGTGATTCTCCCCACTTCTTCTATTCGGGCTTCAAGCCGAACGGAGAGTGGTATCAGCTGTACCAGATCGCTTTTGGCGGTGTTCCCGCGAGACCTAAAGGCGACGGACCAGATTGCCACTGTCTGTTCCCGGCCATCAAGAGTGTACCGACTGAGAGCATCGAATTGAACTTCCCCGTCAGGCTAGAAGTCAACGAAGCTGTTGCAGACACAGGTGGTGCTGGGTTCAACCGAGGAGGTAATACCTTTCGTTCTCTTTTGTCATTCCTTGACTTTTCAAGATTTTGACTTTCGAATAGGAAATGCCCAACGCACAATGTACAGATTTCTGTCAGCGGGAGAGTTCAGTCTGCACGACGACAGATGGCTCACAAAGCCGTGGGGAGTCCGTGGTGGAAAGCCCGGCAGTCGAAGCAAGAAGGCAATCCATCGCGTCGATGGAACTGTTGAACTCCTCCCTTCAAAGTGCGATCACGTCAAAGTAAAGCCAGGGTAAGCTCCCTCCACGTCGATCTCACGCGAGATATACAACGAACTAATCCCACTCTCCAGCGACCTCCTCGAATGGCAAACCTGGGGCGGAGGCGGCCTCGGAGACCCCCTGACGCGTCCGGCCGAAACGGTCGCCCTCGAAGTCCGCCGCAGACTCGTGACCATCCCCGGAGCGAAGGAAAACTACGGCGTCATCGTCCACCCGGAAACTCTCGAACTCGACTTCGCGGCGACGGAAATTCTACGCGCGGATATCGAAAAGGCCGAAGCGGGAGTCGGCGGCGACGACAAGGCAAAGGCGGACTTGTTGTATGATCGCGGAGGCACGGTCGCGGAGTTGGTGGCGCGGTGTCGGGCGGAAACGGGCATGGATCCGCCGGTTCCGCAGTGGGAAGAGGAAGTTTATGGGCCGCATGTTGCGTTGGAGTATGTGCAGGAGTGGTATCGGAAGGGGAGGGAGGGTGGGTATCAGGTTTGGGGGGTGTGATGGGCTGAGGTTGGTGATGATGATTATGGGGCTTTTATAGGAAGGAATACAAACTTGTTGTTTTTATAGCGGCACGATTCGATTGTTTCTTCTCTATGATGGTTGGTGGTCTTTTTCTTGTTGTTGGATGTGAAGATGGCCAGCTTGCTGACCAACGAATAAAAAAGGTCCATTCGCATCCTCTCACCAAGACCTTATTCTTTTTCGCGGTAGGAAATTTCTTACAAAGAAGGGAAGAAGTAGATGGAGATCCGAAAGCTGAAATACGTATTCATCCATTCATTCAGACAGCATAAAGAAGAAACCCACGACCCGTCGTCCAAAAAGACCTCGGCCGTATCGCTAGCAGCATCAACGGCCATCCACAATAAGAATCCAGTTCGTCCGTCCGACGAGAGAGAGCAAGGGTTCGCAAAGAAAGAAAAAAAAGCATTTGATCATCATCATCAGCAGTCAGGTGGTGTCGCTTCTAAAATAATGCATAGCACATCCCGCCGCCATCCGACGAGTCAACGGGTGTTTGATCAGTAATACAACAACAACAACAACAGACGAAAATATGTACGATAACAAGGAAAAGAAAGCCCTTTGTAGGCCTCGCGCTTTTTCTGGTTCGAGGCATATACTATACTATACTACTCTTGCTACTGTACCACCGCCAGCTATCTTACCTTTTATTAGCTCGTTCAGAAGTAGAAAAAGCAGGGAAAGCTACGGGACGGAGGCAACCAAGCAAGACTTCCTTCGCCTCTTTCTCCCTCTCTTCCCCTCTCTCTAGACGATTATGCTGAGCTGCCGGGAACCGCGTATTACCGATCCGGGAATTCGAGAAGGGTCCTTGGCTTTCTAGTACTCGGCTGCCTCTTTACATCATCACCACCACCATCCATCGAACATGACTACCTAGGAAACACACTTTGTCCTTCAGAAATTCTTCACAGCCTCCTATACTTCTCGTCAACAATTGTCCACTCGCACGATCTGGTCCTGGTCTTCATAATGTCAGGAATGGCACAACGACATGCTCCAGCAGCTCCCCAACAACAGCAGATGGCTCTCCGACTCGACACACATGCCCTCAGCGCACGGCACTATAGCGACAATACCTCCTCCTCATCATCATCCTCAGAGGAAGAAGAAGAAGACACCTCAGCATCCAGCGATTCGGAAACCAGCGACTCCTCAACGACGACGACAACAACAACAACAGCAAACTCCCCCGCCCGCGAAACATTCTACACACCCTGCAGCAAGGCAAGGAGACACGTCCACTGGTCCAGCGATTTAGTCGAAATCATCAACCAAGCCGAAACGAAACCACATTCGCTTCGGAGGTCTCCTTCCAGCGTCATGCGAAAATTACGATCGTCCTTCGTTCGCACAAGTAGCGGGTCCTCCTCCAAAGGAACCCCTCCTTCTTCGGAACCAAAGCGAAGGAACAACTACTACTCTCGGAAATTGAATAAGCAAAACGAGGAACCGAGGGCTTCTTCTTGGTGAAGGAGGGTTGCGAGGAGCTTTCATCCAATCGGGGATTTTGTATGGGTTCTTGGCAAGGCGTTCCGCTCCGTTCCGGTCTTATGCGTGGATATATACCCCCCGGGTCAGAAAATTTCGGGCGTTCAAAGACAGGCTTCTCTCATCAGATGTACCGACGACATCTGACAGACACAGACAGGTATTTCCTTGGGTCGCTGATCGGTTGAATTATGCGAGTAACAGTTGTGCAGAGGATTTTGTTGAAGATCCCCGCTCGCGTGATCTGTGGTCGCTTTTGGAACGGCGCAAGGCGGAACTTGGTCAATTGTGGAACGGAGACGGAGCTCGGATGCTCGCTCTTCCAGCTGTACATTATTTATGCTTGCTTCAAACAGAACGGAAAGTGTCAACAAAATTGACAGTTCTGTAGACACATCAGCAAACAACCACACTCATCGCTTGGAGCTTAGCACGGTGTGCAAAAGCGAGGGCGATCATCGGTCTGGAGTCCGCCTTGAGTCCTCGTGTAGCTGTTGGTACTCAAAACAGAGACAAATGGCAAGCTTGATCTTCCCTGAAAGAAACGAAGGGCCAGCGCATGTGGTCCTAAAACTGCGCAGCAACCTATTTCGGGTTGGATGACCGGAGTGAAAAGGTGAAGAATTGTGTATCTTGACGCATCTTGCGACAAGCAAGAAGCTCTTTACAAGTGTCATCCAGGGTATCTCGTGAAGCGAATGATATGGCTCAAGCAAGCACATGTCTGATCAGAGACTGCAGTCATAAGACGTTGACGAATGTATCCATATTTCCTCGGCACCGCTCAGCCTTTTCATCACAGCGGTATCGAGGCTTGAAGTCGGACGTAGTTCGGCTCGTGATCGATGACCATGTTCGCAGGTAAAAGGACATGCTTCACGGCTGCGGCTTCTCTCGAGGATAGAGGTTTGTCAACGTGGTAGGCTGTTCAACCACTGAGCAATGCCTCCTTCTTGGCCTTCTCACTGTTCCGCAGCTCGTTTATCTCCTCCTTGCTCATGTTGTAGGTACCAGCGACCTGGTTGAATGGGTTGTCTGGGTGCTTCTCGAACTCTTTGCGGATCTGGTCGATCTTCTGCTGTCTCCGGAGACCCTTCTCATCCTTCATCTCTTCTAGCCTTCGCTCTTCAAATTGTGCGTAAGCCGCCTTGAATCTCCTCTCAGGATGACGATCAATTTTGTCCTTGTTGTCTGTGGTGAGGGAGAGTGCGTCGAGAGCGTTGTCGATACCGGTGGCGTTGAGGGCGTTGATATCCTTCTTCGAAGAAGGCATATCCAGGCCGGAGAGATCGAGGCCTCGAGACTTCTTCGCGGGGGCCTTGTGCTTCGCGCCGCCTTTGCTGGGCAACGACTCCTCCTCTTCCTTCAAGAGGGCGTCTTTTTCCGCTTTCTTACGCGCTGCCTCAGCTTGTTTGGCAGCTGCAGCGTCCCTGCACCGGTGTCAGCCAGCATGTCCTTCTTCTCCATACAAGCACTCTGAATTTCCAACGGACACTTTGCTGTTATCCTTGGCACCCTTCTTCCATTCTGCAGACTCGGCGGCTTGTTTCTTTGCGTCTTTTGCTGCTGCTTTTTGGGCCGCGACCTCCGCCTTCTTCGCGTTTCCCGCCGCCTTCTTCGAGTTCTCGCCTTTCGCCATTTGGAGGACCTCGATGACCAGCCAAAATTTTGGATCCAAGTTCTAGGGTGTTGCTTAGGTCTAGTGTCGGTAAGATAAGGGAGAAAGTGTAGAGTGCAGGAGATTTTGCATCTAAGAGAATTGTCAAGGCAGCGACGCATCCGTAAATGAAGCCTGAGCGAAAGTGGGCTGTTGCGATATCGGCTAAAGCCGGCTTTTGCGTGCACGGACGTACCGTCGGTGAATGACTACCTTCTGAACAACATTCACTCCACTTTCCAAGCGATTTCAGCATCAACATCACATGCAAATCTATCTTGCCTTGAGCAATCGCTTCACTTCTCCCTGGATGGCTTCGCTCATGTCTTTCGTGGTCGCCCTACCACCAAGATCTCCGGTGCGCACCTCCAATCCCCCGTCAGCCTTGGAATCGAGCACTTTGGCGACAGCTTCTTCTACGATATCTGCCTCTCGGAACAGGTTGAAAGAGTATCTATGAGATCCGTCAGCACTACATATACCATGTTAGCACTCGATACTAACCTCAGCATCATTGCCAAACTCAAGACTTGTGCGACAGGATTCGCCAATCCTTTGCCACTAATATCTGGAGCAGATCCATGAACAGGCTCGTAAAGACCAATGGTGCCTCCCACGGTATTCTGTCCCAATCCAGTGCCCGGGGCGCCTGCCAAGCTCGCACTCGGGAGAAGACCCAACGATCCGGTCAGGCCGCCACTCTCGTCGGAAAGGATGTCTCCAAATGTGTTGTCTGTCACGATCACGCCGTTGAACGCAGTCGGCTTGGTGATGAAGAGCATCGCCAATGAATCTGCCAATTGGTGCTGCAGCTTCACTTGTGGGAATTCTTTCTCGAACACCTCTGTCACGATTCGCCTCCAGACGCGAGAGTTTGCAAGGACGTTGGCTTTGTCGACGCTCCACACCGGGAGCGGAGGATCGTGCTGAAGGGCAAGTGCGCCTGCAACTCGAGCAACACGCTCGATTTCTGGCCGTGAATACTCCCACGGATCGCAAGCGTAGTCGCTCTCCTCGACCTTGTTTCCGTAGTATGCACCGCCACAGTTTTCTCGGATGAGCATAAAGTCGACTCCTTCGATGACTTCTCGCTTGATCGGGGACCGCTCGATCATAGTCTTGCTTGCAAACTTGCACGGCCTCAAGTTCGCAAAGATCTTGCATCCAGAATCAGCACTAGCCCACGATTACTCCCACATATGCGACCTACCTGCATCCTCTTCCTAATCCTCAGGAGTCCACTCTCGGGGTTGGGCTGTACGGTACCCCATTCTGGCCCTCCAGCGCTTCCGAAGAATACGGCATCGACGTTCTCGCACTTCTTCAGCACTTCTTCTGTAACAGAGTCTTGATGCTTGTCGAGCGAACATCCACCGCAGAGGTCGAGATCACGCTCGAACTTCGAACCGGTTGCTTCTTCGATGATATCGAGGACCTTGAGGGCTTCTGTTACGACTTCTGGCCCAATGTGGTCTCCGGGCAATACCAAAATCTTACCTCCCTTTGCGGGAACAAGATCTGCTGTAGGGCCATTGAGAGCGGCGGCGTTTGGTCCGTTTGAGGGCATAACGGACTAATCGTTCGATGGATCTCGATGCGGATTCACTTGGTTGTTGCCCCTGGCGCAAGCTTTGGTGATTGACTTTATAAGGCTCTTCAACAAGACAAGCTCGTAGAGCTCTCTCCTGTATTTATCCCCAAGACGCCTCCGGAAGGAATACCTGTGGACATCAAAAAGATCGACTTCTGTGGACCTCTTCTGCCTATGAACCAGGCGAAGCTTCCCCGCAGATCGCGTTGGAGCTGCGATATCGGCGGAGTTCACGCGAGTGAAGCATAGCGTACTGACAGACACAGATGTTGAGCACGGATACGCCTTTCTGTGCAAGCAATGCACGAATTCAGACACCTATATAACTTACAGAATGGCGACTTTCATGCTTAATTCGTGGACAGTGCTTCCACAAACTCTCAATGGAAAGGACAAGCGAGACATGTCTGTCTAGCTACGGCCTGTCCCCGCTAAGTCCTCTCCTTCGTCTTTCTTATCGCTTGTCTGACGTTGGTCCAAGACAACGTGCTCGAGATCATTCTTCTACTTCGCTGCTGCAAGACAGAACAACAATGAAGACATTCCCTCTCTTCGCATATCCCACATCAATCTTTCCAAGAAAAACTAACCCCTACTTGCAACAATCCCGGCCCAAGACCATGACCCACACGCAACAAGAATCTCAAAATCCGCCAGGCTACTGCAAAAGACACCAAAAGTTATCCAAACGCATCGACCAGCGCGCCTGGCCGCGCTTCCGGAAAATCCCAAAGCTTCGTTCATCTGTCCGGTGGTGCCATTGCCCTACTCCGGGGAGAGAGATCCGAAACTATCGCAGCAAGCACACGTCGCGAAGAACTCTATCCATCCAACCGCGTCAAGCGAAGCAGGACGAGCAGCCAAGGTAGGCATAGTGGTAGTGGTAGCCTTTGCCTTGGCCTCACAAGCAAGACGAAGACCGGGGGGTCCTCTTGCCTCGCGGAGCTCTCGGAGCTCTCGGTTGCGATGGATTGGGATTGGGATTGGCAGGTTCAAGGAAGGCCTGGGGATGGACGGCATTGGTGGAGACGATGGGGGTGTGGGTGTGTGTAAGTGAGTGAGTAGGCTAAGGGAGAATTCGACGGACGCAAAGGTCTCCCTGTTCAACTTATTATGCCGATGTTGCGTGGAATGGAATGCGTGGGCCGTGGGATCTATCGAAATGGAAGCTCCTCCCTAGGGTTCCATTCGAAATGGAAGCTCCTCCCTAGGGTTCCATTCCAGGAGGTAGTGCAGCCTGGGTCGGAGTCATTGGGACCGGAGCACATGTGAGAGCTGGGAGAGGCAGAGGCAGCGGGAGGATTTTTGGGGGGGGGGGGGGGGGGGGGGTTTAAGAATAATAATGGGTATAGGAGGTGCTGTGCAGTATGTTGTGGGAAGGATAGGCTAGGCTTAGGCTTAGGCTAGGTAAGTCTCAATGAGTTAGTTGAGTCGATATGAAGATGCATGCTGGTTTGTTTAATGATTTCTTTTCGCCCCGGTCTCTAGATTCTTTCTTCTCTTGCCACACGCACGCAATTTCTGGTTTCCTCCCACCAAGCACAACTCTGTCCTGTCAATCTCTTCGGGCTGACGACTGACCATCCATCATACCAATGTCCCGCCTCAATCTTTCCGACTCAATTTCCCCATTTCATCAAGCAAATTCCGCCTCGATTCGCAGTCGGGTCGTCGTCGAGGACATTCGCGATCGGGATACTCCCTCCACGTGAGGTGGATCGTGATTATACGAGGGTAAGGTAAGGTAAGGCAAGTAATGCTGCTTGCTTCCTTGGTCGACAGTCTTCCGACCGTACAAAACGAAGGGTAGGTACACTTCATCGCTGCTTAGCCCGTAGTACCCTTCAGACCTAGACCCTCATCCTGCCCTGCCCCTCCCTCCCTCAAGACGACCCGGCAGCGCAAAGCGCCCGGAAAGGGTGCGCTTCGGTATTGAAAACCCACTCGCTTAGATCGACAACGTCCGGCTCCGTGAAGGTCAGGTACAGATACTTGAGAACTTCGGCGAAGAAGAACCTATTCAACAATCAGCATGCCCGACATCCTTTCCCGTGTCGATTGATTTGTTAACTCACGAATCGAGATTATTACTCATACTCCCCCCATCCCGAATATCCACATCATTCACCGCGGCAAACGCAATCTCCGTCTTAGCAGTCGCCTCCACCGCCTGGAAAACCTCCCACGCATACGCCGCCCACCGCGCCTCCCCCGTGATGCGATGCGCATACCAGAGACTCTCGACAGGTTCCGGCCGACTGAACCAGTTTTCCAGCCGCGGAGGGGTATAGAACCCCCTGCGCTGCGCGCTCTTCCTCTTCGCGGCGTCGTTTTCATAATATCGAATGTAAGCCTGGTCGGCTTCGTTGAACCAGCCCCAAGCCAGGGGGCCGAGGCCGGTGGCCGTGGTGTTGTACGTCTGATGACAGCCGTGCGTGACGTCGATTCCGAGGGCGGAAATGCGGGGGAGGTCCAGCAGGGCGCCGCCGAGGAGGAAGTTGCCGCCGGCGAAGCAGGAGAAGTCGTCCATGAGTTGCTCGACGGTGCCGTTGGTCGTGAGACGCGAGAGGAAGGTCAGATGCGGGAAGCCGTAAGGGTGGAGGGCGATGTGATTCATGGTGCTCTGGACGGCCGTGAGCCAGAAAGCTCGATACGCTTGCGTCGTGTTGCTCTGCGGGTTATACTGCACGCTTTTGATGAGGTATTCCAGGAAGGAATCCACACCGGCTGCCCAACCTCCGTCGAACGTGAGCATTTTCCCCGTGTCGATGTCGAATTGTGTTCCGATGAGGCCCGGGTAGACGGGTTTCGGGTCCGGATGGATAAGGTACGAATTCGCCCGTTCCGCGAGTCGGCGGTAGGTCGCGTTGCCCGTCAGATCCGACATCCTCCAGAATTCAAGCAGGTATGACCCGCTAGAAGCCGAATCGGTGGAATTATAAGTCTGATTTGTGACAGGGTCAACATAAGTATCCGGAACCGGGGTGTTGGTAGTGAAGTTGACATAAACAGCAGGAAGACCGGTGGGAGTGTTGAAGCCGTAGGCTAGTTTGTCGATGAGGATGGTGGCCTGTTTGAGGAGCACTTCGATCTGTTGGGTGTCATAGCTGCCTGGAAATTGACCACTTTTAAGGAGATCATAGGCTGAGATGAGACCTCCGAGGTAGCGGATATTCGTCTCTGCGTGATACATCAGCGCCACAACTCATTCTGTTCCTCATGTAGTGGTATACGTACCAAAAACCTGCACCGGCTCGTCAGTCTTCGGTAGAGAGAAATCCACCTTGGAAATGAAATCCAACATCTGCTTCACCACATCTTCCAAGCCCATGATGATGGCCGTATCAATCGAATCAATGATAGTCAAACCCCAGCCATAATAATCGTTCGTCCCATTCGCACTCAAGGGCATCAATTCATCATACCCAAAAGCATACTTTACGTACGCATTATAGCCATATCGGAAAGCATCCTTGATAGCTTCAGCTTTTTCTTGATCGCCGCGGACGTTTCGTGCTTGGACATTCTTGCATTTGCCGATAGGTGGAGGGCCCGTTGGTTGGGGGAGAGTGACGTTGGAAAAACGGGGAGGGTTGTTGCGGTCGGGGAAGGCGGGTGTAGGTGCTTGAGCAGTAACGAGTGAAGGCAGCAATAAAACGAATGACAAGAGCTGGGCAAACATATTGAACCACAAGTTAGGGAAGAAAGGATCGACTTAGGACCTCGGACGATTGAAAGTCAGTGTGGAAGCGACAGAAGCCTGTGTTATATCAATGCGCACGCACGAGATTGCAATCCAAGACAGTCGCTGGTTCCGCCGTGGGACGCGGCTGTTTGCTCGAGATCCTGGGGTTGAACAGGGGATGGTGGCACCATCGCGCACAACGCCTGTTGCTTTTCTCTCCTAGATGATCCGATCGTCTGGGGCCTGTGCATCTGGATGAGAGATCTACCTCTCTTACGCTCTAGCAAGATCGCAATTGCAAGAATACACGGAGAGCTTTACGATATTGTCTGTCGCGCTCGCACATCGACGCAAAGGATCAGAATTTGCACGTGAAGTCAAGCACGAAGCTGAAGATCCCTGCCGGCATCACAGGCATATCATCGTCAAGCAATCGAGCAAGACTGATGAGTCGAAGTGATGGTGATCCCTAGCGGCGGAAAACCCGATGGGCTGATGACAGTGTCTGTGTTTGGATAGCGCTGTTTCGCCTTCATCTGTCTAAGATCAACATGCTGGTCGCCAGTCCGTCCAGTCCGTAGGTACAAAGCTTTCCGTCCCGCTCCAGACTCCATGATAGCGATCCCCACGGCTGGCTTCGAATGCGGGTCACGTTCGGCGGCAGATCAATCGATACTGCGTCAGTGATTGTACTGTTCTCGACGTGCGCCACGGATACTAGGATCTGGTTGGCGACGCTCCAGTATGCGATGTCGAGGGACGAATTACTCGCAATGGCGACAGGATCGCCACCGAGTAGAAATCGACTGACTTCTTTGGATGAAGCGACCTTGGCCATCTCACCGTGTGCGCTCTCCAGACGCGTAGTCCAGGGGAAGCACCAGCTCATCATCGCCTTCGCCTTGTGGTTGAATCCCAAGACCATCATGACCCAGGTCTCCTCGGGGGTGGGGTCTCGAGACCAGTAGTGCTCGCCGGAAAAGGCTTGGAGTACTGCCCAGAGTGGCTTTGCTACGCCACCCAGCCAAGTCTGATATTCAACAAAGTCGTCGAGTCGATCACTGACATCCCGCAGCGAGCCGATACAGTTGTCGCAGCCAGCATCTCCATATGTTTCGTTTACGGTTGTGTTGAACTTGCGACTGAAGGTCGGGTCAATGCCAACCGGGTATGCATCTTCCATGATGATGTCTGCTCCAGCAGCGTAATTTTCGAAGTAGTAGTTCTGGCAATTCAGTACCAGCGCGGTCGGATGGTACGGGTCCTGCTTTCTCAGGAGATCGTAGGCTAGACGTGTGCTGTTCAGGGCATATTCCCAGCCGTCGGGTTCGTCGGCAGTGTACCAGGTAAGCAGATTCGAGCGGTCCTTCACCAGTGGGATCTGCTCCGCAACCGAGGTGAGGTTGGTGTATGAGCCCCTCATGTCGTACTGATACCACAGATCCAGCGAATCCATCCAGTCATACAAGTAGCCCAGATGGCCATCTGTAAAGGCGCAGACTGGATTGAGGGCGTTGAATCCGTAGTCCTTGTATGCCGAGACGTTGGCGAGACTGTATTCCAGGTAGGTATCGCACTTTGTGTAGAAGCCGAAGGGGAGCAGTGGTTGGAAGGTGTATCCTGTGGCGTTGTTGGACACAAGCAAGCCACCATCAAGATTGTCTGAGTTGGATGAATTAGCCGAGCATCGGTACAATTTTGGCGAGGAAGGAAGCACCCACCAATCTTCACCGTGCTCCCGCTGTTCTTCTTGGGCAGGTAGTACAGGTCCGTGGTGACCTCCCAGGACTCCTGCTCTGGGGCTCCTCCCGACCTCGCGGTCAAGGAGACGTTATATGGCTCTAGACGCGGCTCCAAGTCTCTCAAACCGAAGCTGAAGACATTTCTGGTGGTGTTGAGCAGGGCTTTGTTGGAGACCAGGGCACTGCGGAAGCCGTCAATGGTGATTTGGAAATCCAGCTCGTGGGAAGAGTCGTGAAGGCTGGACCAATGACTTCCAAGGGGCTGTCCGTGGAATGGGGATAGGGCGGCGTTGACGATGAACTCGCCCATGTGCTCGCCACTGTCGTAGATGGTATGCCTGGTGTGGAGCTGCAGATCTAGCAGAGGCTGCTTCGAGGATGGCGGAGGCCCCAGCCGCCCGCCCGGATCGAAGTTGGGCGACCTGTGATGTTGTGAGAAATGCGCCATGTCTCCCGATTCGTGTAGTCTCACTCACCCGGCGTCATACGGCTTTCCACACCAGCGATTGAGGTCGGTATGGCTTCCGGACTTGCCTCCTATGAAGGGCGCTTGGGCGGTGACGGTGGACAGGAGGAAGGCGAAGGTGGTGGTGGTGGTGGTGGTGAGTAGCAGCGGCAGCATACATGCGGGCATATTGCCGTAGCCGTGGCGCGCGTGAGGTACATGCAGGATGTGGATGATGGTGTGCGTCTCTCACATGGCGGCGGCGGCGGCGGCGGCGGCGGCGGCGGCGGCGGTGATGGGTAGCGGAGGAATAATATTGTTGTGTCAGTGCTCGCGCCGGGAACATCTGGCACACGCCGCCCGCAGGCAGCACGCAAGGAAGGCAAGGTTGAAGGCAAGGAAGGCATGCTGGGGATGTGCAGGACTGACACACTGACATCAATGATGATGATGTTGTCGGCAGGGATGCGGTCGGCGGAAGTGCGGGGCGGCAGGGCGGAGATTGGGTAAGGGGTGGAGGGGGTGCTTCGTGCACGGGCCATTACACGCCAACCTCATTTCCTCCCCATTTCCCGTCTCATCATCAAACTCGTGAGACATATACGAAACGCTCTTAATCATACATCTGGCATTGCCTCCCCTGCAATGCAATGCAACGCAATGCAATGCAATCAAGCAATCTATCGGCTTGACACCAGCCTGCTCATGCGTCAGCTGACTTGACCTCGTATACACATCACATACACATTCCCACGCGCCAAGCATACTCATACAGCGTCTGCCAGTACCTTGGCCGTCGAGACAACCTCGCCATGTGCCAAGACCTACTACTACTATCCTCCGAGTCAGAGGCGCATCGGATACCTCTCATGGCCTTCTGCTCCGGACCCGACATAAACTCCACATCACCATCGCCTCCAACAGGCGATCCTTCTCCCTCTGCACTCCCACTCGCTCTTTGTCCTTCTCTCCATCCGTTGGCACACTACCACACCAAAAAGCCTCAACTTCCCCATTGCTGCTAGCGGCTTGTGTTCCGTCACTCCACAACTGTCTTCTGCAGGGGCGCAGAAAGAAAACCAGCCCGTACAACGCTCACGATACGTTGGCCAACATGATGCGAAACCTCCAACATCATGACCCCCAAGCCTCAGCTTCACAAGCTGAAGCACTGTGCTTCCGATCATGGCTTGATCCAACTGCTGATGCCGCCATGGTGGTCCTCTCTCAACGCTTGCAACACTCATTCGCTTGGTCGTGAACACCAACGAGAGCAGCTCGATCCAGGCCAACGTGAATCGGTCGACGTCCGCGTGATCCTGTCCTTCTTCAGTCATCGCTGAACAACCCGAGAGTTGGCGGAGGCGACACTTCATCCCGCGAGTGGCGTGTTGGCAACGAGCGGCAGAGTCGTATATCTACCTTACACCTCTCATGGTCTGTCTCTTCCAAAAGTTCATCACTTCAAACTCTCGTTTCTCAATTCGTTGCCGCAGTCATGGCCGCCATTCCAAAGCTTTTCCTCCTTTCGCTTGTCTCGCTTGCTGTTGCCGGCCTTCCAGGAGCGAACATCGAGGCCAGGCAGGCGAGCAGCTGCTCGGGAAATGACCTTCTAGGGTACCAATGCTTTCCGCTCGGCCCCAGCAGCTACGCCACTTCCTACTGCTCCGGCTATCCACCACAGGGCACCAGCACGGTCACCTCGTGAGACTCTTCTTGGCTTATGCCGCAAGACTCCAAGCTGAACCGGAATTAGGACGCCTACGGTGACTGTCACAGCAACAACCAATGTCGCAACCATTTTCGATCCAACCACGACGATAACCGTAACCTCGTATGTCAACTGTTAGGGAGAGTGGAGAGGACATTACTGATTGAGCACGCAGCTTGGCATATGAGAACACCACGCTGTGCGTGTAATGGCACCCCGGTCCTGACTATCTTGCCGTTGAATGCTAATTGACATAGCAATGCCACGGACTTCCAGACAGTCACAACCGGTACACAAACGTCGTACTTGGCTACGGATACAAGCACTCTGACTATGTAAGGCCATGAGCCCCGATTCGTCTGTGAGACCTGCGACTGACTGACATTACGTGAAGCACTTCGACGTCGTACACTTGTGGCGTTGCAACCACGACGGCTCCCGCACGGAGAGGCCTTCCATACCGCCGACAAGGCTCTACGACTGATACTATTACCGACACTACCGCTATCAGTAGCTGCCTTAGTTCGTTCCAGGTCGCCAAGGGTACCGATGGAGTCCGCGGGGCTTGCGCGTGTCGATTCCCCGATGTCGCTACGACTACCACTGTACCAGTGGCGATTGCAGCTACGACTACTGTTACGGTAACTGCTCTGGTGAGTTCATTGTCTGAATTGCTAATTGGTACCACACGATCTAACAAGCTCTCAGACTTCGGCGACTTTGACCACTCAGGGTGCCACCACAGAAACAGACGAGGCCACGTCCCAGGCGACAGTAACCAGCACTGAATTCGTCACGCAATCTGTAAGCTCCGACTCCTCCTCCACTGCGTCGGGAGATACTAATCCCACGGCCCCCCCAACGACAGATCCCACCCTTCGTCTCAGGCACCACGACCGTAACCGTCACCTCCACCACCGTCGTCACCAGCCCCTCGCCCATCCCCTCCGGCTTCCGCCTGTTCACAAACTACACCGACGGCTCCACCGCCTACGCAGACAACATCCGCATCGGCAGCGGCTACGAAATCATCTTCACCAACGACACCACCACCCCGGGAGACCCCTTCTACGTCAACTCCACCGGCCAACTCCTCAACGACGGCCTCTTCGCCGCCGTCGCCGCCGAGGCGGAAAACTACGTCATCCCCTTTGTCTTCCTGCTCCCCAACGCCGCGCCCCGCCCCGGCACCTTCCTGCTGAGTTTCAGCGTCTGCAATGGCGTCTTGCAAGCCAGTCGCGCGGGCGGCGGCGGCGGCGGAGGAGGAGGAGAGACTTACGTCTCCGGCCTGTGCACGGTCGACGGAAACGCGGTTCTGGCCATCGGAAGCGCGACTTCCTTCCCTTCCAACGCCACCTGTGCCCTCGTCACCCTCTACCTCGAAGGCGGCTCTCTGCCGACGAGCGGCGCGGTTACAACTGCTAATCCGCTCGCTCCCTCGACCGTCGGCGGCTTTTCCCTCCCTTTGCTGCTTTCCACTTCGACTCCGACGGATTTTTCGACTTTTTCCTCTCTTTTGGGAACGGGGACTTGGCCTGTGATACCGACTCCGACTTTGAAGCTTAGGCATAAGAAATTGAGGAGGGTTCTTTAGAATGGTTTCAACGCCGGAGAGAGGACAGCGGAGACCGGAGCATGTGTGTGAGTGAGAGAGAAGAGCGTCGAGAGGTGGAGGAGGTGGAGGAGGAGGATACACACACCTTTCCTTTTCCTTTCCTTTCCTTTTTCTTTTGAGCTTTTCTACCACTTACTACCACCACTTACTGCCATCATTACCTTTGTCCCCTTCCTAAATTTTGATCTTCTCTCCTGCAGTTATGAAGACATCAAAGAGAATCATACAGATGCTGTATCTATCTAGATAATCAAGTATCCAAAACATGGTTGGACCAAAGAAAAAGACCCAAACAACAACAACAACCCAAAAAAAAAAAAAAATTTCCAAGGCGTTTCCCATTATTGAAAGGTTTTCCCACATTGGAAAGTGGATAGAAAGAATCAACTTTAAGGAGTGTATCTACAATGATGAAGTGTCAAAGAAATCATACCTAGATACCAATACGGTAGATAGATAGATAGATAGATAGACATCATAATCAAGAAGAAGACGGCAGAAAGGAAAAGAGAGAGAGAGTATATCTTTTAGAAAAGTCTTCATATTATAAACAATGAAAATTATCTAGTTAATACAAATTTTCTGATGCCTCAATTCTCGGGCAGTTTTCAAACCAAAAGGAAAAGAAAAGGAAAAGGAAGTGAGTCGTCCCAGTGCAAGGTGACGCTCAGTCCGTCCAGAATGACCCGCAAGGGTTCCATGGCCCCCATTGCATCCATCCATCCAATATCATTCTGGCACAATTCATACAGCGGCATGTCATATCATAGCGGTCTGTTCCCGCAGCACATGCCCTTAAACAATTTCCTCCTGCCTCTGCCTCGCGAGACGAGTCTTGGCGCTCTTGTATGGGTTGACAAGATCTCCCAGGCCGAACCAAGGAGTGTTGATGGGGGATTCGCCGGTGTAGATGAAGATGTCGTAGAGGGCGCCGCCGAAGAAGCAGCCGATGAAGGGCGCCACAAGGGGGATCCAGAAGTAGTAGTTGTCTGCGGTCCAGACTTCGTTGCCGTAGCCGACGGCGTAGGACATGAGGCGGGGGCCGAAGTCACGGGCGGGGTTGATGGCGAAGCCGGTTTGCCAGCCAAAGGCCGCGGCGATACCGAACTGCGAGTGTTGTTAGTAAGTGGGTTGTGGGATGGATAGAGCGGAGCATTATCTCACCATCAAAAAGAACAGGCCGAGTGGAAACCAGGCACCGCTGGCGACGAAGCTGCCCTTGTTGGAGTCGTCCTGGAGAGCGAAGATGACAAAGTTCAAAACGGCAGATGCGATGAATTGCTCGAGGAAGGCGCTGCCGGTGACACCATTGAGATCCTTGGTAGGGTATGTAGCAAAGATGCCGGCGGTGGAAGTGTTACCTGTGACGGTACGAATGTTGTGGCCTTCAACGGCGTTGATGCCATTGATGTAGTTGGCATAGACGACACCGGCCGCGAGGAAAGCTCCAAGGAATTGCGCAATCCAGTACAAAGGGAGACGTCGCCATGGGAGCTTGCGCAGCATACAGCTCGTCAGGGTCACGGCGGGGCTTTTCAACGCCGTTAGCATGTTTTCTCGATATTGTTCATCTGCAGTGTAGACTCACTTGAGGAATGCACCACTGTTACCGGCAACGTAGATACCCAACATGAGACCCAGACCAAAGCACCAACAGATGCTCTGCCAGTCACCATAGCCGAAGCCGTCCGTAGCATTTGGCTGGTTCTTGCTCAAAGACACTTGCGCAATACCACCAAGACCTTGTCCAAATCAGCGTAATTCTCGCTCGCGTTGCGTGTGAGCGGGTACGTACCGAACAGAACCAAGATAAAAGTACCCCACATCTCCGCGAATGGCTCCTTCAGCAGGATCTTGACCTTTGACCACCAGAGATGGCTGTGCTCGGCGTGGTTGACCTCATCAGGGAGCTCAGCATGGGGCGCCAAACCCAACCACTTTCGTGGTCCATGGACAGCCAGGGAGGCCTTCCTCGCGGCATTGGGGAATTCGCCTGGAAGTGAATCCGAGCCTGGTGTGTCCTGCTTTTCCGATTGGAATGCATTAGGAGGTGTCCTTGGAGAGGCTTCGGACCCGCTGCGTTCGCCCTTAAGGGTCTGCCCATCGATAGAGGGTAGGTGCCTGGGGTGGTCCATGGTGGGATGAGTGCTCTGCTTGGGAGCTGGGGGTATAGTAATTGGACGTGGGATAGAAGTTTGCTTAACGGCGCTTTCCATGTGACAGGTGCAGCCTTCCGGACGGCAGGGCAAAGGAATAGAAGAACAAATAAGACCCAAATGAGAACCTGGATAATGCTGGAACAAAGGTGGAATAGAACGCTGGCTTATAGGTGTTCGTGCCAACGGGGCACTGACTTACGGAGGGAGTCTATTCTGTGGAGGCTGGAAGTCAGCCTAGCCAAATCGATATGTCTTGAGGGTGCCATCGTAGACAGGACAGCCCCATGAGAACGGCTAGGAAGGAGCTTCGAGTCAGAACGTGAGCATCCATGATCCCATAGGGTCGCATACCATCTTGATCGAAAATCTTCTCAGTGGCATCGGCCGATGTGAAGAGGGCTAGCACGACGTCGCAGACGTTGAGGACCGCCGTGGCTTTCAGGCACAGAGCGCCGCTGACTGGATGTTGCAGAGGGAGATGGTCAACCAGATGCAGGCACGAACTCTCTGTAGTAGAAAGAAGACCATTTCAGCCTAGATATGCCAGCTAGGTTGATGTTTGTGATGAGAGCATGCAGCCACCCGTCCGGGGACGTGGAATTGCGAAGCTTAGAGGAGGAATTGTCGAGTCAATTAGCGCACGAGGGTGACGTCCTGATCGGCTCTCAGACGAAAGTGCAGAGCTGACGGGAGGAGATAAGGTAGAGGAGAGGAGTACAGCTGGTGGCCGCGGTGGACAAACCTTGGAGTCTGTGCAGGCACCGCATGGGTCTCTGTGCTTTGGCGGCGAAGTAAGCAGAGTCAGGACTGACTGCATCGAGGATCCGGTGCACAGTGGTTGATAGACCGCGAATGTTGATGAACTGTTGGGGCGTGCTTGCATATGAGAGCCATGATATTCAGGGGAGTGGTGCCATCGTCTGCATGAAGCGGACCAATGTCTTAACTCATGTATCTCCTATGGTCCTGTTGTCCATTCTCGTTCACGTGGTCTTCTCGCGAACATCTCCAAAGGGCATCATCATGATGATGGTATTGGATGGTTGGAGGCGCTTCCGGATCGGCATTGACCATGAATCGCGGGCCTCGCTAAGTCGAATTGAGAGATGAGCTCTGTCCGTCCGCGCTCAAGTCAACCGGAGGATCGGTATTCGGGCGTGCGACCGATGATGAAGTTGTTGGACCTGCAAGCGTATCCCGGGCCGAATGAACGATGGTGATTGAGAGAATAATGCGTGCAGTGAGTGACCAGAAGAGGTGCGGAGAGAGAGGAAGTGAGGTCGGAGGAGTTGGAGCGTGCCGAGAGCGAGCACGTGACCGATCGCAAGTCGGCGTCAGAGGAGGGCGTAACCGCAGCCGGCTGGACGCGTCTCCAGGCGCGCAGCAACAACACCACCACACTTTGCCAATGCTGCAAGACTATTGACTTCAACACACGACTGCCACACATACTGCCCGACTGCTTGTGAACGCAATGAAATACTACCCACTCTGACGACTGCTGTGACCCGTAACGACGCGTCAGCAACGCCATCCTGAACGCGTCGTCCAACAGCCACTCTACGCGGTCGACACCGATACACCTTCTCACTCAATCAATGCCGTTCCGAACCCCGCCAGCGACATCGACACCCGTACATCACTGCACGGCCCGGTTCGCGCGTAGCAGGTCGTCATGCATCTTCCGAGAACACAGATATCGCAGCTCTATACACACCTAATACGCAATACACATCCCTCTTCTTCGCCGGTCCTGGTATTGACTGCTCTCACCGTGGACAGTCTATGCGCGACACGAATACTCGCCAGCTTACTGAAGCGCGACTTCATTCCCCACACGATCATACCCATCTCTGGATACGCGGACCTGCAAAGAGCGGGTACTGAATCTGTACTGCCTTTGACGCGGCAGCGAGGTGGAGATGGCGGGACAGTGGTATGCTTGGGCTTGGGCGGTGCTGTCGCATTGGATGAGGTCTTAGGTTTCGACACTCAGGCTGAATATGAGGAGGCTGGTGCACAGGATCATGGCGTGGAGGTGTGGGTAGTCGATTCGCATCGTCCCTGGAACCTGGAGAACGTATTTGGCAGCTCAACAATTGTACAACAGGGAGAAACTGGCGCTGCTGCAAGGCGTGCCGGCGTAGAGCAAGGACGATTGAACCCAGGATACAAGCCCGGCAAAGGCGGCATCATCGTTTGGGACGACGGGGATCTTGAGGCGGAACTGGCAGCGGAGAAAGAAGCCTTCTTCGCTCTCCGCGAAATGCCTGAGATCACAGAGGATGACTTAACATTGGACGATGGAGAACACAACGACGATGAAGAAGATGCAGAGGCTGCGGATGAGACAGAGAGCAGTGGAAATAAGCGGAAACGCAGTGCATCTCCGCATGGATCAGACACAGAGTCGAATACAGAATTCGAAGGGAACAGGCCTAGACGCAGAAGACGAAGCAACTCAGGCGACTCTGTGGCAATACCATCGTCGCCTGGAGGCAACCCTCTATCGGCACAGCTGGAGCCAGATTCGACGCCTCCAGCCATGCCCTCTTCACCACCAAAGACAGAGCTTTCGTCGAAACAGATGCGCAAACGATTACTAAAGCTGAGACGAAAGCACGAAGCAACAATCGACAAGTACTACGACCTGGGATCGAGCGGCGCTGAGCCTGTCAGCAGCATGGTTTATTCGTTGGCTTCCGAATTGGGTCGAGAAGACAACGAGCTACTGTGGCTTGCGATTGTCGGCATCAGCTCTATAACGCTGATGCCTTCCGGTCCAAAGGACAAGCTCAATCAGATCCGCGCAATTTTGCAGGAAGAGGTCAATCGCTTGAATCCTGTTCCTGGTGCCGAGCTGCAAAGGTCTCAGAGTGTAGAAGCCGTAATACCCACAACCGCCCGAAGTCCAACGGATACTAGCATCCGACTGTCGCCTGAACCTCGCCTTCTCCTCATTCGACACTGGAGCTTATATGACTCGATGCTTCACTCACCATATCTCGCAACGCGCCTTCACGTATGGTCAGATTCAGGGCGAAAGCGGTTACACAAACTGCTAGCAAAGATGGGCGTCAGCTTACAGGAAGCTGGCAAGGGCTATCTTCACATGGATTCAGAACTGAAACGAACTTTACGAAAACGAATCCTCAAATTCGCAGAGCAATACAGTCTCGACGGCTTGGTACCCACTGACGGTGGTCGAAATGGTTTCGAGGGCTGGGGTTTCGTTCGATCATGGGGTTGGCTGGGGACGCTCAGCGCCGAAGACGTTGCCATTGTTGTCGGCGCCATCTTAGAGGTTGGCACCGACAATCATCTCTTCCCAGATCTCAAGCTCGACGCTCGCGGCAGAGCAGCAGATCCGTCATACAATACCCGAGTTCGCAATCTGCCAACACCGCCACACTCTTCTGACGATGGCCTAGGAGACGATACTCCTACCTCGGATGTACCAGACTATGTCACCCAGCGCTTCTTCCGAGCATACGACTCGCTTGCGCCCACAAAAGGACTTCAGACTCTCCAAAAGAATATCTCCTCTGCACAGAATCTGTACAAAGCCATCCTCCGCGTCGGATCTGCTCTCATTAGTAAGAAGCAAATTCGCCATCTCCGCGCGTTCCGCATGGGCGTTGTAAAAGAAGGACCAGATGTCCCTCTTTTTTCCCATCCCGGTGCGCTGGTTCGTCTCGCAGCATGGGTAGGCGAAGCAGTAGCAGTACTCGAAAGCGAAAAAGGCCGCAAACCAGGCAAGAATAAATCTGACGAAGCCCTCGTGCTCGGATGTCTCGATGAAGGACGCAGCGTTTACGTCGTCGTCGGCCTGGGAGGTGGAAATGGCTGGAGCGGAACGGGGAAGAAAATCCGTTCCAAGGCTGAAATCAAAGAACGAGAGGAGAAGAAGAAGCGCAGAGCGGTCGAGAAGGCTGCCCAGAAAGCCGAACGATTGAGGAAGAGGGAAGAGAAGAAGAAGCTGAGGAGAGAGATCAACGAAGCCAATGGAATTGTGGATTCGGATGATGAGTTGAGCGAGAGTGAGCCGGAGACGGAATCCGCCTCTTCGGATTCCGATAACAGTGAGTCTGAGTCTGACGATTCGGGTGATGAGGAGAGAGTCGCGAAGAGGAAGAGAAGAGGTGGACTGAACCGTTTCGGCCAGGCCTTTCAGGAGGTCGTCGAGGAGACGGGCGCTCGCGTGAGAATCGATTCCTTCGAGCACAGCGTTGTGGAAGTGCGCAAGGATGATCTGGGAGGTTTCCTCGAGGCGCTGAGTTTGAAGACGGTGGTCGGATGATGTGGGAGAGAACGGACTGGGTTTCGGCTTCTTACGCGAATGAGTTGGCGTTTGGGACGATGTTCACGATGAGGGAGGGTCTGAAAACGTTTTGTTCTTGTCGGCGGTGTGATTGCCATCGGCATCGGCATTGCACAGGGAGAGGCGTTCGTTCATTCATTCTCTGTTCTTTGGAGAAGCATCGCATGCACAGTACAACCACCTAGATGAATATTTGAAACCAAGAACACATGGGTCGGGTAATACCAATTTCTCTCAGGTAAAGCATGCTACAGATTTGCCGGCCCGTCTAGGTACCAGGTACAGGGCAAAGAGGCTGCCCCTCATGTCAATGATGAGGAGGCGTGTTGAGTTGGGTGTATCATCGCGGTCTCAAAGACAAGCCGCGTAGAGAATGCCATCCGAAATACGAATAAAAGTGTCGGTGGGTCGAGCCTTTTGCAAGTCCATCTGACTCCCGATCGCCGGTCTAAAAGCACCTGAAAACCATGACATGTTTTCCGCCATGCCAACGCCGTCCCATATGCATGCCAACGTCGCGTTTTTACCATGAATTCGTCTTCTTCGTTCCCTTGCCAGCAGGCACCTAGTCGTACTGGAAGAGCACGGAGATACTCTCTCCATGGTGGACGCGGCGAATGGCTTCGGCAAAGACGCCCGCGACCTCCAGAACTTCGAGCTTGCCAGGAGGCTTACCGTAATGTGCTGCGAGCTCGTCCATTTTCCTCACGTGCTCCTCTTGAGGCACGGAGTTGGTGACGATGACCTTGTCCAGACCCGAATGGAAGATCCGTTCGACACCGTCTCCGCTGAGAACGCCGTGAGTAACGAGAGCATACACCTTCTCGGCGCCTTCTTTCTTTAGAAGCTTGGCAGCTCTGGTGATGGTGTTGGATGTGTCGGCCAGATCATCTACCAGGATACAAGTCCTGCCTGAAACTTGCCCTACCAATAATAGCGCACTGCTGGGTTGTGGGCCAGAGCTGTCCTGCCGAGCAGGGTTGCGACGCTCCTGCAAGAGAACCGGTCAGGAATCCTAATGTACAGCAATGTCGTGCAGAGTGATTTTCACTCGCACGACATCGGCGGCTTCAGCTTACCTTATGAATCAGCGCAAATTCCATTCCTAGCGAATCTGCGATGCTCGTTGCCCGCTTTGCACCTCCGGCGTCTGGACTGACAATGACACAGTTGTCTGCACCGCCCTCCTTTGGCAAGATCTCGTGAGTAATATACCGCTTCAGCATGTGTCGTCCGTAGAGATTATCCACGGGAATGTCGAAGAAGCCCTGGTATTGCGGGTCGTGAAGATCCATAGTGATGATGTGATCTGCGCCAGCGCAGGTCAGAAGGTCCGCAATGAGTGTACCGGCCTGAGCTACCCATTGCTTGTATCCACGCTGTGGCTTGAACTCAGGAGGCGCTCCGACATGGCTTGGATTTGGACCGGCGGAGGTTGGTGCAGAAGTAGGCGCTCCATTCTGTGCCGACTCGACAGAGGCGTCTGACGTCACGCTTTCCAAAGTGTCCTTCCTGCGCGGCATCTTCAACTCTCCATTCACGCGCAGACCATTCAGCTTCTTCTCCAATCTCTCATCTTTAGGCTGGCTGCTGGGGCCCGGCGTAGTAGGTCTCGACTCGAACGTGAACTTGTCGTCTGCGGCCTTGGCGGGCATACGTGCGAGCGGTGCGCCGACCTTGTTATAGGGCAGATCGCTCTGGCGCGAGTACGGAAAGAGCGGGAGGACCGCGGTGACTCGCTTCGCGCTGGCGGTCTTGCATGCGGAGATGGTGATGAGGAGCTCCATGAGGCCATCGTTCAGGGACATGCCACTGCCGCCACTATGTTTGGTAGAGCATGCCGACTGGACGATGAAGACGTCCTTGCCGCGCACACTCTCGCCGACCTCAACGCGGGTCTCGCCCACGCTGAACTTGGAGAGGTGGATTTTGGCAGGTGGGATACCCAGGTGTGTACAGATTTGCTCAGTGAGCTGGGGGTGGGAGGAGCCCGAGAAGAGAAGGATGTTGCGGACCATTGTTGCTGCTGTGCTCTATCGTGGTGTCGAGGTCAAAGGAAAGAAGACAACGAGCCGAGCAAGTCCGCGTCGGTGGTGTCGCACTCAAGAAGCCGCCGATGACCAGATGGTCTAGAAAATGCCCAGGTCCAGATAAGCGGTTGGTGGTGGGGCGCTCAAAACAGTCGGATGCTGGTGGTGCAGGTAATGCGGCTTTTTCGAGACGTGGTGTTGTGAGGCCTGGAGTCGATTAACCGGCGCGCCTTGCTCGAGGTCCTACGGATGCGATAAGGCCGTGAACTGCGTCAGATTAGATCAGCATGGTGAGTGATTGGTGAATGTCGAGCCGTGCCTGCGCACCACGCTCAGACTGTGTCTTCGCGAACGTCGAGGCGTGGTAGTGGTGGGGTAGTGAAGCGAGGGCATCGTGGTGAAGTTTGAGAGCAAAAGACACATGCGGTCCGATCCATTGGATTTTTTAGAACCCGGGTCGGCTCTCGGCAGCTGCTGCGCCCGCGTGGTGCACGGACCGCACATCTCAGATTCACCTACGCATATGTGCATGTGAACGTGCAAGAGACTCCACATTACCGTCGGCGCGCTTTCACCATAGATTCACCTCAGGTCTATTCGTCCATGACATTACCTACTTCAGAGATAGGAGACGCGCCCGTCGTTCCCATCCTTTTCCTCGGAGATCCAGGTATCGGGAAGTCGACCTTACTTTCGTAGGTGCATCGAGGCACAGAAGAAGAGACATCGGTCCTTTCAAATCTCCCAATACAGAAACTGATATTCGAAGCCGTCTCGCGGTCGGACATGCATACACCAAACCGCTCCCTTCTCTCCACGACCTCGATGAACCCCATGTCTTCAACATCAGGCTCTACGATCGTCCATATCGATTCGAGCTCTACGATACAGCGTCTCCGACTAATTACACCCTCCTTCGTCCTTCTGTAATTGTGATGTGCTATAGCATCGCAGATCCTGCATCCCTTTACAACCTCAAGACGCGATGGAACTACGAAGTAGAAGAGCACTTCAACCATGATGAGAGTATCCCGGTGATCGTCCTTGGCCTGCAAAGAGATGTACGAAATAAGGAGGATTATGATGGTCGTGTGCGGCGTTCCGAGCCAATTCTGGAAGGCGAGAAAGAGATGGACAGTGCGCCGCTGAATGCCAGGACGTTTGTGTATCCGCAGGAAGGTCTGCGAGTTGCACAAGAGCTGAGGAGCGACCGCTATTGCGAGTGCTCCGCACTGACTGGCGAGCTCTGCAGAGAGGTCATCGAGGATATTTCGAGGACGGCGGCCAAGACCACGACGGAGAAAGGCGGACGAAGCGACGGGACTCACTGTGTGATGATGTGATGACAGATAGTAAAATCATATCTGCGAGTGAGATGCATCCCAGTGACATTCGAAGAGCATGACGAGAGACGCCATCGCTGATGTGCTGCTATCTGACTTCTCACGAGGCCACTTGTCCAATCAGGATTCACTCGGGACTAGCGCATCATCGCAATCCGAGAGGGACTGGACACATTCATTGATATCCTGGAGCGGCCAACACTTTTTCTGTGCGCAGAGGTTGCGACTTTCGTTAGGTCTCCGGTATCTAGAGCCATAAGCAGCCCACGAGTATTGGCGAAAATCCGGGGGACGCATCCAGAAGAAGCGCGATCCCCGATGGCAGCAGAAGCGAGGCCAACACCAGCTCCGGTACTCTCACGCACTGCAATGCCGAACTGCTGACATCCTTCAAATGTAACACCAACTTCCAGGCTTTCCTCTTTCCGCGATCTCTCACCAAATCCTATGCTTGATAACGCGCGGCCACCTGGGTGGAAAGTCAACCTCTCACGAACGCCTCACTACGCTGACGAGCACTCCACATGAGGAGATGGTTATGGGTTCTCTTTCGAACCCACTCCATGCGAAGTCTGGCTCCGTAAATCGGGTAGCACCAATCTGGACCGCCTTCAGACGTGGGTGCCACCCTAGCAGCTCGAACACGGTATCCTTCCAGTCCGACCATGCTCTGCAGTCTCGACCTTGGTTGGTACATAGCTCAAGGGCTAATTTCTGCTGATCTGCAATCTCGTAGTCCAGGGCATCCTCTACGAAGATATCTTCGCCACGAAGCGCAGGCGTGGGGCCCCAAGCCTGAGGAGCCAGAAAACGACCCATTCTAGCTGGAGCGACTTGAAGCTGTTCAACCCGGAATACATAGCCCCAGTCTCATATCGCGCTCGGCGATCGACTTGTCTGACGGCTGCTGGTCTGTGCCGGACGTGGGGGGGGCGTTCGGATTGCACGGTGTATTGCCAAATACGGTCGCGAATCTCTGGCGGCAGTGTGAGAAGCGTTGCATTCGAGTGTGACATACCAGACTCTGATCTGACGGCATCTCGTCGAAATTCAAACTAGGCTATACGAGCACGGACGCTCTCTTCACGTGCACCGAAGTAACCGCGACTGCAAAAACTCCGCGAAGCTCATTCTTGCGGGGAGATCACACATCGACTCGCATTTTCTTTCCCTCTAGATACCGCTTGCGGAATTGTCATGCTTTCCCTCTTCATATCGATTGAGGGATCGTCATACCGCCCGGCTGACGCGCGCAGACCGTAACATCCACTGTTCGCTTCGGAGCAGCATAATCCCGCGTCACTCTTTGCTTGCGGCTGGGGCAATCAAGGCGCCTTCTCCTCTCGAGCAGCACACCATCGCGGCAATTTTTGGCCACTGAATCGTGTCAAATATGAAAACGTCCACGTCGCGAAGACATCGACATGCGTACGTATGTACACACGTGCTAGCTGTCTGGTGGCTACATTGGGGCTTGTGGTCGTGGTATTCTTGGCATGGCTGATGGGGCATTTTTACAACGACGTGAGAATTCGAATCTCAGAGACCAGAGGAGACGACAGACAGCACCCGATTCCATACACTACAACATTGCAAGAAGAGTCGCATGAATGGAATGAGATGGAATGAAAATTATGAAGATGTGATGATGAATTAACAGTAGTCAGAAATATTACAGACAGTATCGAATACCCTGCCCTTCACACACACACTCTCTCCTCCTCGCTCGCTGTTGATCAAGTGTAAGGGTATCATATCAATGGTGACAGAGGAGAAGTGATGATCCAGGAGTCATCTGGGAGTGAGTGAGTGGAGACCGGGAGCTCTTTTCGCTGCACCGAAACTGCCCTGGACAAAGTCATGTGCGCCTCGCGGTCCAGCCAGCTTTGGCAGTTCGACTCGCGAGCAACAGCACTCCGCTCAACAAAAGCGAGACGGCAGCGAAAATTTGTCCGGCAAGAAAAGGCTGTGAGATCCCCATGTCGGTGCTGTACCGGATCAGTGCTCCGCCGATGGGAGTTCCGACCAGACACGCAATGCCGATGAAAATGAAAATGCCACCTGCTTTGAGCCCGAGACGGTCGGTTGCCAGACCGTGGTTCATGTGACTGTTCAATTCGTCGAAAGGTGCCCGTGTAGGTTTTGGTTCCATGCACAAGGCGTGCACTGTAGGTGCGTAGAGCACTTGAACTCCGGCACTGACGAAGCCGTAGAAGCACGCGAGTACGATCAGGCTGACTTCGTTCTGTTGACTCGCTGCCCAGAGCCCGATGACTGCGCTGCTGAGCAAGACGCTCGGGATGACCGTGTTGAGAGGTCCAATACATCGGTCGCTGATGAGAGCAGGGACGAAACGACCTGGCAGACTGGCAGACAGCATATAGATGAGCAGGTTCGTGGAAGCCTTCTGAGATAAGTCCAGTTCCGTTGAGCCATACGAAATGATAAAGACGAATGGGAAGTAGACTCCGAGAAAGGCGAGGGACATCCCAGCTCCAGCAAGAAGATATTCAGGTTGGACAAAGGTTCGCCATCCGGTCCGCGGCGGCATCGTCACGGGCATTGGCATCATCGCGCTGCTTTCGAAAGATCCAAACTGGATTGGAGAGGCTCTGGACGCTCTCTGGAATCGCCGCAGGTGCTTGTGCTTCTGGTCCCGCATTCTGTATACTAGGGATGGCGGCACCATAGCTACTGCTGCCACGCCTCCAAGAATTCGCATCGTGGTGGCGAATCCCATTGTCCTCAAAAGGTGTCGGGCGAGTAACACATATGCTATACCACCAATAGCGCTACCGGCCGCAGCTACCCCCATGGCCATTCCCACATGCATCTCGTCAAACCAAGTCATCAACGCCACAACTCCCGAGCAGAACACCATCCCCATTCCTAGTCCGGTAATTAAGCCTTGGACGAGAAAAAGCTGCCAGAACTTAGTGCACCATGCTGTGCAGAATATGCCTACGAGCATGATTACGGTGCCGGTATGGAAGACAAGCCTGAAGTGTCCCTTGTCGACAAGCTTTCCGACAGGCACTCCAAGAGCAAAGACCAAGGCCAGTTGCGTGCTACCAATCCATGCGATGGTTGAGGGGCTCGATCCAGGTAGGTGGACTGTTTCGTAGTACTCTTGAAAAAGCCCAAATGCATTGTTGATCCCCCAGCAATTGAAGACGATGAGGAGACCGGTGATCGCGTGTAACCAGGCGATTCGACCATTCTGCGGCTTGGTCTGATAGCCTGGTGGCAGTTTCTCGAGAGGGATGGACCTGATGGGCCCCATGTGTGGGTCATAGATAGGAGGAGGGGATGCAAAAGATGGAAAGCGAAGGCTTGGCGTTGCTGTGTCGCGCAATGGCTCGTCGAGCTTTTGTCCTCCGCGGTATGCTTTTATAAGCGGCGGTGTCGATACTCGAGTCCTCGTCACAACGGCATCTGGCCGCTGATATACGTATGCATGTGTTGACTGGGACGGGCAGTAGCTGATAGTATCGGAGTGTATAGCAGCGAACCGGTGTGCCATCGGCAATGGATGCGCAACGACAGGGTCTGGAGCCTCGACAAGCTGTCTCAAGGAGCAGACACTGATCGAGTCTTCGGGTGATAGCGTGTCAATTCGTCTACGCGTCGGATTACACGGTTGTAGATCGTCTAAAGATGTCTTGGATTTCGCTGGCTGATGCGGCTGTTCGAACGTTCCGAATTCTTTTGGGCTGATGTCATGGTCGATATGATTCTTCGTATTAGTGAAGAATTTGCTGTAGAATGGAGAAAGCGGCGTCTCTAAGTGGCGTTTCGAGCATCTTGAGTTGGATGAATATGCTGAGATTAACCAGCTGATCGGATACGCAACGTCGCTTGGCTGGAGTGGCATTATAAACGAAGACGTATCTGCCTGTCCGGGCGATATGGGGGCCATGGAAACGAATCGAGCCTGCTTTTCGCTTTGATGTGATGTGTATGAATTGTGTGAATCTCCACGTTTGTGTCTTGAAGAATTCTTGAAGTTGGTACAAAGCCAGCAACTTCCATCTAGGGACAGCTGATGTGTCTCTTGTTGTGATAGTTGCCAGGGATCACTCTTGGACGGCCGCAAGCGCTCTGGAGTCAAATCGGACTCCCAATCCGGTGCTGTTAGGCGCGAGATCCGGGAGCTATCACCTACAGCATTATGTGAAGCGAGAGTCGTCCACGGGTCGTCCTTTTCTCGGTTTCCTTGCTTGTGCTTCTTGGTACGCTCTGATTCGTGAGTCGCTTGGGTTGTGCTGTTGCTACCTCCAAATTCTGTTCTGGCTCCGAATACCTTCCATTCCTTCTCCTCTCCGTCATAGTCTGCAGCGGCAGCAGTTTTCTTGTCTTCCATCAGTGTGGGACGCAACGTCGTTCTGTGGACTCCATCGACCCAGCTCTGAACGCTTCTTGGAGCCATCGACAGAAGTCAAGGACTGCAGTTCCGCTTGGATCCCGTAGCAATGCTGTTGGTGCCAAGCGTGAAGGATTCGAGAGCAGTTCAGTTCGAAAGTGAGCACCGCGGTTGAATCTATGTCCGGCTGAAAGAAAAAAAAAACGATCAAGATGCCGTGCAACCAGCCATGTCGAGCCCAAATAGCGGCCAGTGTCAAGATCTGTCTCCTGCCAGAATCAGGAACAGGACTCGAGATCGATTGAACAGATTTCACCGACGTGCGGCGTCCTCAATAAAGTGCCCAAGGTGGCCTTCGTGCGGTCGTACAGACAAGGAAGCCTATTGAACCCGCACAGCAGCTACCAAACAGACCAATCAGCACCTGGGTCCCCTTGCTATACCAAATGCTTTACGATGAACTCACGTGTGTTGCCGAACGGCAGAGGAAGTTGTCTTGCATATAAGAGTCATTCATGAAACGGACGCCTTGCGCTCTTGACCATTTGGGAGTACCAGTGCCCGATTGAGTTGACGAAAAAGAGCCCGGCATTTTGGAGAGTGGAGCGTCAGAAGAGGCAAATCTTCCATACGGGTCCCATAAGTGTCGTCCGGTGATGTGAGGGTCACCTCTTGTTATCAGGCACACGACGCAGACTGAAGCTGAGCAACTTGCTGTCGTGCTCAGTCAGCGATGTCAGCAATGTCAGGTACGGCAGCAAGCAATTCCATTGCATTCGACCCTTGATGCAGATGCATCTTATACGAGCATGCCAGCGGCAGCAGTTTCAGGCGGATGTATGTGAGCGTTACAAGGTTGCACAGTGCGCTGCTCGGAGGTGTCCTGGCTCTTGTCCCTCGGGTATGCACCAGCGTGAGCTGAGCACAGAGGACCTTCGCAGATGGCGTCAACGCATGTGGTCATATGATATAAGGTAAGGTATGTTATAAGGAAGAGAACTTAAGAGAAGAGGTAGCAGGCAGACCCCAGACACGCCAAGGCTGTACCCCGTGACCGGGATTCCTGTTCCCGGTCAACCCGGCGCCCGGTTGGACTTCATCAGTCGTGCCTGCCATAAACGTCCGAGTCAGTCCCTATCGCACTTGCCGCCGCTTGCCCTCTCACCGCCTCTCACCGCCTCTCACCGCCTCTCACCGCCTCTCACCGCCTCTCACCGCCTTTCGCTCCCAGCCAATGGACACGCACATTACCTACTGATGAGACGATGCAATAGAAGCTTCCAGTCCTGAGGTACCTTACATGTGACTACGCACATGTATAACGTTGAGCTCATGCAGGTCACCTCCAATATCCTCCTCACTCTCACCGGCCGATGCGCATACCGACATCTTGCTCAAGCTCTCCGACTGCGTCAATCTTGCCGCGCTTACTGTATCGACGCTGAGCCCTCGACTGCGGCGTCCCGTTCGGCTTGCCGCATACGACTTGTTCGCGAGGCCAAACCGCGAGCCGGGCATTCTGCGGAAGATCGGCCCTAAGCACGGTAGACACGCGCAGATGATGCCAATGGCAGGCTCCAGAGAGTACCACACTATCGCGCTGAAAGCATCCCCTTTTCCTCCTGTCAGCAAAAGATGGCAGGTACACTGGCGGTGTCGGAGCTTACAAGTGAAGTCGACTCCTTCACGAAACTTAATGATGGCGACCAGTCTTCCGATCGAACATGCAGCAGTGCTACTTTGCATCAGCAACCCAGACGAGTTGACCAGACCATATCCACTTACAAAGCTCCCAGCAAGAAGATCCCGCACAAGGCCAGCTTGTTACTCCAACTCATCTGAAGCTTCCACAGGATCGGCTGAGGGAGAAGCAAGATCAATACGTCGGCGATGACGTTCGGAATGGCAGATCCCTCGAAGAAGTCGACGACGTCGAAGCATTTCCCGACCGTCGAGTATTCCCAAAACCTTTCGATGGGCTCACACTGCAGGAATGTGGCAATATCGACTCCCGCCCACCAAGCAATCACGACGGCTGCTACGACCTTCACAGCCAACGTGAGCCTGCGATCAATGCCGAAGAGGCGCTGATACATCATCAGGATGCTCAATTTATTGAGCGCGAGTGCCGTCGTGTAGATAACCTCCAACGCGAAGAGGCTCCGCAGATAGCCGTGGCCTCCATCTTGGACCTCCCAGATATGCTTGCCCAGTCCTAACGATGTCGCTGCAAGTCGTCAGCCATCACGTCCGGGCTTGGCGGCTGCTACACTCCTCGACACTTGCCGACATAGTTGTTGATGTTCATTCCAACGCTCAAGATCTGGGAAATCGAAAGTCAGCTCGGCCATGTAGCAGCAACAAACCCCAATACAGGACAAAACATACTAGAGCCGCCAAGATCAGCCAGTCATCCCACCAAAGCCCGGCAGAGCTGAAATGACGCGCCACGAAGCGCAGCAGAACCGCACTTGACGCCGTTAGTATCATGATAATCTGCAGGGCATTGACGATGGGGCCTCGATCGCCTGTTGGCAGCGGCCTTGAGGAAGGCGGCTGCATAGGCGGCATGCCAGCATGCGATACCAAGACGCTGCACAATATGTACAGCAGGACTGACAAGTCAAAGGCAGAAAAGGCAGCAGAGCGCCGTCAGCCATGCCAGCCGAGTTCGCTGCAATTGTACACGATGGAATATCTCTTGGATATGGGGGAGGCGCCCCTATGCAGCTTGCTATGGAAGCCATGCGCGGCCGTTGGGTGCAACACTAATCTTGGGGCTTAACTCTAACTTGACGCGCAACGGGCGTTGTCAAGCTGCAGCATTTCAATTCTACGGAACAGGACATGATGCTTTCACAGGTTGGACCTACACGGAATTTTCAACACATGTGTATGACCTGTGCGCATGGCATGAGTCTGCTGGCTTCCGCAGCCCTCATGTTGCCGGATGAAGTGAGAAGAAAGGAAAGCAGCCTGGGTTCGCAAATGGGGAGCACAGGAGCGTTCGTCGATCTGCAGTAGAGTTTCGACTGATAGTTCTACACAACCACGGACCGCCGAGAACATCTCTTCCAACCATGAACCTCACCGAGAACATCTCTTCCAACCCTGAACATCACCGCGAAAAAGACTGCACGATCTGGCATTCCCAGCACTCGACGAATCGGCCTCCTTTCCACGCTTGATTGATTCCCGCGGCCGCTGTGCTGTGGCCTTTGAGAGGGCGGAAGGTCGCTCTGAAGACCAAACGGATCACTAATCACTAATCACTGATCACTGCCGCAGAAGGCACGACGGAATCGCAAGTGAGACGTCATTGACCGTTACAGATGCTGCGGGCTGTTCCGACCAAGAGGACGACGGGTTTATGTACCTCTCCCCCGAAGTTGCTCCGAGATGCTCGTGCGAAGTTGGCAGTTCCACATGTTGTATGTGCCGCGAATCGGAGTTGACATTACAGACGACGCGAACCTCACAGGGGCATCACCCAACACTCGCCTTACTGAAGCAGCCCATACTCGATAGTTTGGAAGGGGTTCCTACGCCCCAGAAAGGTCCACATCAAGCATCTGGCAGCTCAACAAAATCCTCCAAGCCTATGATACCGAGACCAAAGACTGTCGAAGGGGATCCTCAACGGCACCTGTTGCTCGACCACCATCAGGCATGGATTCAAATCCCTATGTCCCCAATACAGTCACGCCTCGGCGTCTGCATTCCTCCGAGACTCATACGGGACACGTCCAATACCTACTGACATGTAGTCTATGGACGGAACAACAGCAAATGATCCACCTGAAGAGCAGCGGGTTGGCCTCACCTGTCGCTCTCCTACACCTTCCCGCACAATGTTTTCGCGTCTACCGAGCGACGGTATACGAACGGTATATCTCCTAAACAAACCCCTCAGCTCCATTCTTGGCCCTAGTGCCATTCCATTAGATTACCTAGGCAGGAGCGCTCGAAAGAACTAAAGAGATCCGTGGAAAATGTAGGTATGTTAGACAGGCGAACAACACTCGGAAATCGAACTTCGCTTCACTCCGCCCCATCTCTATCTTCGAGGTCAATAATAAAATAAGGTGTGTGCACCTTTGAAGAAGAAAATTTAAAAAGAAAAATTGGCTGAGAGCACTCGTACGAAGCGCCCGGACGACGTTCTGTGCCATCAATTCAGTCCATACACTACACTACAGTAGCGTAACGTAGCCGCTATGTAAGCCAGCGTGAACGAGCGCCTCGAGTACGAAGACATCACTCACCAGCCGCTCATCTTCAACGACCAGGACGCAAGAATGGAAATCATGCTCAACTTGTCTGTTGCTCCTCCTTCTGGGAAGCACTACAGCCTTAACAGCACCTGCACCTGCACCACGACCACCTGAAAAGAATTGAGGGTCCGAGATTGAGGTGCGGAGTGTGCAATCGGAACTGTTAGAAGAGTCGTCCGCATCAGCGATCGGGACAATAATGATTGGAAAGTCTCCCTTGCACTATCCGGCGACTTAGCACCATCTCCAGCAACCCCAAGTGCAAGACTTCGGGGCAGAGCTCTTCGCTGTCGCATGGATTGGCAATTTTTCGCCCTACATCCTCGACGTCGAGATTCCAAAAAGGAGCTATGTTGGTAATACGGACTGAAGAAGCGCAGAGCCTGGAAATGATATAGGGAACAGATGTGGACGAGATGTTGTTCAAGTTCTGTCGACCTATACAAGCAGAATGATTCCTCTGTGCTCTCATTCTCGACGCAAGGCGGGATTAGGTATTCGTAAGGGTACTGCTGTCTCGTTCTCGTTCACCTGCTTCCGGCCACCGTCAAGTCGTAATCCTGTGATTGGGTTTATTTCTTCTCGTTGGAGCCTCCAAACCAGCTGGAGATGCCGCTCTTAGCCTTCGCAGCGCCCTGTATCAGACAATATCAGCACAGGCATACCGTGTTTCCGAACCCAGTAGTGTATTATCCAGCTGCTTCTTCCTCCCCTCCCGCCCATCGGTGTCCCTGTCCACCCGGAGCGCAAGACAACTTCCCACTCACCTCGGTCACGTTCTTGTCAAAGGAGTCGATGGCAGCGTTGGCGTTCTTGCGGGCATCTTGCGAGGTCTTGTCAAGCTGGTTGGCAGCATCCTTGCGGTATTGCTCGAGCTTTTCATCAACCTTAGACGCTTCGCTCTTTGCGTCGCGGATGTACTGATTCACCTTGGCGCCGGCTTCAGAGATCCCGGCTTCCGCGTCCTTCTTGACTTCCTTTGCTTGTCCCGGGAGGTGGGATTTGATTTCGGAGCTGGCCTTTGCGGCGTCGGCTGTGGGGACAACATGTTAGTTGAGCGCTCGTGGTGCTGGTGAACACAGGGGATGTAGCTGACCCTCAGCCTTCTTCTGGGCGACCTTGGGGTCACCGCCGGCCTGGTAGAAGTAGTAGCCAACTCCGGCAAGGACGGCAGCTCCGCCAAAGGTGACAGCGCGATTCGACATGTTTGCTTGTTTCAGGAATGTGGTGGATGTGGTTGAGTGTGGCACACAAGCGATCCGGTGAGATGGAAGGAAAGGTGTGGTTGTAAGGTGATGATTCAGGGACAAGATCAGGTCTTGAAAGTAGTAGTGGTGGTAGGTAGTGGTGAGGAGTAGGGATGGCGCGGTGGCAGGGAGCTCCTTCTTGCATTCACATGCAAGCTCTCCACTCCGCAATTGGCTGCAAGCAGCAACGACGCGCCATTACATCACTTCTCCAGACTCCCGGCACCGCCAAGCATCCCCAGCTCGGATTCGGCTGGGAAGGATCAGCTTCAGGGCTTCGGCGGGGAGGAGCCCGGTGCATGTCGCTCCAGGTCATGTACTTTCCTTGCTGACTGTACATGCCTACGTTATTCGTCTCTCTTCCACCAACAATATCACGGAGATGATGTCGACGGCGATACCTCCTCACGACCACCCCAACTCCTACATTACCACCGACCCTGTACCGCACTCGGCGTCGTCTTCAACGCCCAAGAGAGAGACTGGCCGCGCCAACGTCGATTCAGCTTCCTTCAATATCACCCTCCGTGACAGGTGACAATTCATTTACTTCGTTTCTCCTCACATGTATTGCCATAATAGTATATTTATTTATCCGAGATAATGTCTGGATCCGATTCCGCTTCAGCCTCACTTTCTCGAGTCCCCAGTCCCTCCAAAGTCAAGGCCGAGCATTTCATATCCCTGGTCGATCATACCATTTCCAGGACTCCCTCCATCCACACAGACACTGAACGCTATGACAGTGACACTCCGCTTGCCTCGGCCGCTGCTCCGCCTGGGCTCTACCACAAATTGACCAACAATTCGCTGCGCCAGACGGTACGATCGGAGTACAATAAGCAGAAGTACGCCAAATATGGCCAAGATCGGTACCACGGACAAGAATCCAGTCAGCAGTCCGTTGAAGATGTTGGGAAGGATCCTGCGGTCGGCGAGTCCACCACCGCTGCTCAGAAGAGCTATCTAGAGCGCGCTCAGACGAGAGCTCGGCAGCTTCTAAAGCGCAAGAGAACACTCGGCAAGGGCGATGCTGATAATACGGTAGTGGATGTGCTGTATGAGAACCAGCGTGGATACTTCTTCTTCGGCATTCCGAAGTACTCTTCTGCTTCGCTTCTGCCTATGGATCCCAAGCCCTGGCAGAATGGCCAGTTCCGAACAAGCGCCGTCGACATTCGCAACGCGCAGGTGCCTGATCCGAGCTGGGAGTGGGCATGGAAGAGTTGGTATGTGGACATGAGTCGTGACGTGGACGAGGAGGGCTGGGAATACAGTCTTGCTTTTGTTGGCCCGAGGGCTGCAACCTTCGCCTGGCACGGCAATCACCCTTGGTTTCACAGCTTCGTCAGACGGCGTCGATGGCTGCGTATGCGCAGACGGAAGGACTCGAAGCATCATACCAAGGAGAAGAGCCACGAAATGGCGGAGGACTACTTCACGATCCACCCAAGGACGATGCGGCCGGGCTCTCCTAGTGAAGGAGCGTCGAGCACGTTCGCACAGGCGCTGAACAAGCTGAGGGATCCAGTAGTAGACATTGAGAAGATGGAGATTAGCAACATTGGTGACTTGTTCCTGGCACTGCGCAAGTCGACGGTGGATCGCGAGAAGATCCACGCGATCAAGAAGTTCATTGACGAGGGTGGAGAAGAGCTACAATATCTGAGCGATCGCATGGGCGACATCATGGGAACCTTGATGTTCCAGTCGTCAAGACGGCAGCTTCTGAGCGACCTGATGTCTCTCCACGAAGATGCGCACAAGACACAGAAGGAGTTGGCTGCACACGAGCATGAAGACGACGATGCCAAGCAAGCAGATCATGACAGATCGAAACGTCGTGCGGAGAATCTACTCAAAGCCGTCTACAGTGCAGATGCGCTGGTCAAGAAGCTAGAGTTTTGGTCAGACATCAAGGAGATTGGTGATGCGACAACGGCAGCAGAAATGGCAGAAGAAGGTCACGACCTGCCCAGTTTCAAGAACAAACAGGAGCCCTCTGCAGCTGCCAACGGCGGGACCGAGCATCTTCTGAACGGCAAAGACGACGGCAATAAGACTGCTTATGAGACTGCGGTGGAAGCACCGACGAAGAAGCACACTGGGTTTTCTTTCGAGACCGAGTCAAAGAAATCGAAGGGCAAAGGGAAGATGACGGACGCTGATAGCGAGTTGGACCGGTACACGACCGCATCGGAGGCGCCCTCGGAGATGACCAGCAAAAGCAAGACCAAAGGCAAAGGGAAGGCGCTGGGCCTCGACGGTGTCGCAGAGGAGGAAGGAGAAGAGCGAATGGTGCACAAGTTGACAGGCACGCGAGGCGATCGACGCAGTGTACAGATCGTGGACCCTGTATCGGAGGATATGAGTGAGCAGGACCTCACGCTTGTTGACGACCACGGAAGTGCAACGGGCTGACGAGCTGTCGCAGATGGCGGCGACGATGACGAGGAAGGATTCTATGATGCTGATGAAGCGGATTCTGACGAATACTCTCCCCGGTCGTTGGTTGATCGTGGTGAAGCAAAGACTCCAGATTCTATTGCGGGTTTCATGAAGGAGATACGAAAGCCGAAGAACTGGGCTGAGCAGGCTTTTGGAGGATGGTAATGAGGAGGAACAGATAAGGGCACGTATGATTTCTGATTTCCTTGTGCTTGGGTTTGGTTACATGCATTCAGCGCTGGAGTTCCGAGCACAGCAGGGCTGGCGATATACCCTATTTTGGTTTTGCGGTTTCTTGTTTCCTTGGGTGCTCAAAAGAATATGAGATTACATATTGCACAGGACTGCGACGGTACAGCAGTGGAAGCATAGCGAAACAGAACATGCACATTTCTTTGGTCTGATCGACTTTCCGCCGCGATTTTTTATACTGAACAGTCCCAGGTCCTCACGAAGCTATCCTGTTGCTCTTGCGAAACTCATACAGACCTTCACCTGCTGTTTCGACACATATCTCGCCGTCTGCGAGGCCCTCTGGAAAGCTCGCGCTGCTTTCGAAGCCCGTTTGACATGTGAAGGATTACGCGCGCTCTGATTGGCTGCACGGACCAGGATCCAAGCTGACTTCACGCTAAAGTCTCGAACGCGACTTTTCGACAATGCGAACTCTTCACAGCCACAAACGCGACAATAGAGCGAGAAGAAGGAGCGTGGGTCATTGTACGTGCGAGAAGCTCCGCGTAGTATTGTCGTGTCGCCCCGCGCGACTTCCGGCGGCGTTTCGGCGTCTGGAAAGAGAGCATTGGGATACTGCTTTGGAGTTCTGGAATTGATGGGATAGAGAGGACGCGAAGTGCTTGCGCGAGGATTCGCTGTGAGTTGTCTGGGATGATGCGCGAGTAACGCTTGATGATGTTTCTGCTACGGGCGCATCTACAATAGCTTACGGGATACCTCGTGTGGGTCTGGGAGTCATGAAGCTTCTTCTGTCACTATTGTCACCGGAGCTCTTTGACTATTGTTTGCTATTCGAGTGGGGTTTTTGTGGTCGTCTGGACGTGTTCACGCGTATGGTCTCGGCCGGTCGGAAGATGGTTATGTCTGCGGTTGCCGTGGAAGGTGTGCTATTGTCTGGCGGCCTCGTGCTCCGTCAGTTGGTGATTCGCTTGGGGTAGTGTGTCATTGGTCTGGTCTTCCACACGATTCCTATTGAACATACGGTATTGTTCGAACCTCCGTTACCATATGCGTTGGTCATTTGCTCGGAATGCCGTGGTATCGCCTGGTCATGCCCACGATTGCTATTGTGAATATGCTATTGTCCGGCTCCCTGCCCACGCGATGGTTGTTGATTCGCTTGGGATTGATCGATAGCTTGATCATCCCCATAATTGCTATTGTGAATATGCTATTGTCTGACTCCCTGGTCCCACGGAGGTTGTTGATTCGCTCAGAATGCGGCGGCATTCGCCTCCTGAGTCGTTTTAGGCCGGCTCAATGATCGGATGGCTATTGTTCACGCTGGTGAATGGCCTCCTCATGACCATGTCAGTGCGTCATCTGGTGTATGCACGGACGAAATTCCCTATTGACTACCCCACAAGCATATTGTTCCTGGTCAGCGCTATTGTAGCTATTCTGCGTGACCTATTGTCCTAATGACTATACCATAGTCACACCATCTTAACAATAGCGGGCCGTGGACAATAGTCACCTCATGACAATAGGGCAGAGATTCTACTTAAGAGGTCTTCTTTTCCCCTTCAACCTGAACTTCTTCTCTCCACTCCAACATTCGATCGCCGACAGACCAACCACCACCACCACGACAGAGAGCCTTTTGGCACCACCGCCCTCCGCCTTGTCCGTCGAGATCGTTTGCTCCTTTTTTTTCTTTTTTCTTTTACCAGAACACCCTCCTCCTTCCCGCCGTTTATTTCCAGACCCTTCCCCATCACCATGTCCGCAGCCCCCCGTTCCCCCTCTCCCTCCTCTTCCTCCTCTCCAGAGCGGGCTGGCCCTGCTCAGTCTGCCAGTGGTGCCCTCCGCTGCGCAGACCGTCTCTGTTCGACGGGGATGGAGATGAGTGCGGGCCAGTCCCGCAAGGTGATCTCGGACTTCTTCGGCCGCAACAAGAAGATGACGAGCACGAAGGAGGTGAAAGACCCTCAAAAGGGCATCCCGGCGGCCGTCTGGCACTTGATGTGCCGCAAATCCTACCAGCGGGCCAAGTATTTGGCGGACAAGAGTGCGCTGGCGCACTGCCATTTCTACCTCGACAACCTCACCAACCAGTTGGTGAGGATCCAGCTCTGGAGACCGGAGGCGACGTTCCAGGTGCAGCTGCAAGCTGCCGCCAAGAAGCGGCTTGACGACTACCACACCACTCTCCGCCGCAACGGGAACGACCAAGCTGCCGCGCAGGCCTCCGCCACCATAGCGGAGAAGACCAACAAGAAAGGCAAGCCGGTCCCTCTCACCAACGTCCAGGCTGTCAAGATGAACCACGCCGAGCACATCGACGCCCACTTCGCTGGCGATGGCAAGACCATCAAATTCCTCCTCGACGACTTTCTCCCATGGATCTCGCAGCAAGTCGAGAGCGGCGACATGACCCACCTGCCTCCTGTCGAGTTCCTCATCAACGACCAAGTCCCAGGCGAAACCGTCAACGACCCGGCCAACAACTACGACCGCTGGTGCAGCTACACCGACAACGCTGACGAGGAACCCAATGATGTGGCCGAGAATACTGCCGCCAACATCAGCGCGTCGTCGTCCAAGAAGCGCAAGCTCGATGCCAAAGATGGCGCCGAAGAGTCCTCACCAACTCCAGCCAAGAAAGCCAAGGTCGTCCTCAAAGTCACCCGCAAGCAGCCTTCGCCCAAGATCACCATCAACCCGCGCAAGTACTCCGCTGTCCTCACCAACTCTTCTCCTGAGCAAACCGCCGACTTCTCCACCCCATCAAAGAAGCGTACGGTATCCGCCAAAACCCCGTCGCCAACCATCACCATCAACCCGCGCAAGTACTCTGCTATCTCCACCAACTCTTCTCCCGAGCAAGCCAGCGACTTCTCCACCCCATTAAAGAAGCGCAAGGTATCTGCCAAGAATCCGTCGCCAACCATCACCATCAACCCGCGCAAGTACTCTGCTGTCGCCTCCAACACTTCCTCCGAGCCAGCCGCCGATCTTTCTACTCCATCAAAGAAGCGCGAGGTATCTGCCAAGACCCCGTCGCCAACGATCACCATCAACCCGCGCAAGTACTTTGCTACCTTCTTCAACACTTCCTCCGAGCCAGCCGCCGATCTTTCTACTCTATCCAAGAAGCGCAAGGCCGACTCTGACGACATGGACCTTCTCAATCCACCCAAGAAGCGCGCCCAGCGCGAGAGTACCTTGCCGGTCTCAATGCAGCGTGCAGAAGCTGTCAGCGCCTTGCCACTCTACATTCCTCCACCACCGATCGTGCGAGAGCCGCGATTCAACACACCAGAGCTGCCACTGTACATTCCTCCACCACCGATCGCGCGAGAGCCGCAAATCGTCACACCAGAGCAGCCAAAGGCTAGAAGCTCCACCGAGTCGTCGCCAAAGCAGCAGACCAACAGCGCCAACAAGCCACCCATCATGGCACGCGGCATGGTATTCGCCAGCGCCAAGACGTACGACTACGATTCCGATGACTACGAGTCTGATGATTACGAAACCGATGACGAGTAAGCTGACACAATGTCAGCCGAGGTCACGACGAAGATCACACTTCTCTCATACCGCATGTTCTTGTCCCAGTCGCTTGCTGCTTCTACAGCTGCTGCGTCGAGACAGACACTGCCAAACCACACTTGTTCCCAGCATCTGCCTTCAGCTTCCACAGCTGCGCGTCGCGACGGGCCCTGCTATACGACATTTCTTCCGCGGCATGAACTTCAGCTCCCCAAGCTGCGGTGTGCGACGGACACGAAACCACGACCCATTCTTGCTTGCTTTGCTTCTTGCTCCTTGCTTCTTGCTTTTTGCTGTTTGCTTCTTGCTGTTTGCTTCTTGCTGTTTGCTTCTTGCTTTCACTGCTGTTGTTCTCGAGACTGAGCGATCGTTCTTTCTTGGCGGCTTGATGCCCACATGCTTTGTTTGAGATGTTACTACGATGCGATGCTTCTGATGATGCTGCGAGCGACTGAGCGAGAGATGCGAGAGATACGATGAACCCAGATGGCAGACAGATACAGACACAGACTGTACATTTAGTCTTGCAAATGAAACTGGCGTATACGTACTGTACACTTCTTCTTTCACTTCCATTTCCTCCCGTTCCTTTCTACCTCTGAGGCCTCGTCTGCCCAATCTCCTTCCTTCCCATCTTGCCCGTGGGCAAGGGCCGTCTCGCCTCCGCCATGATCAGTTCCTCTTCCTTCTGCAGGTTAACCTGTCTCGCAGCCTCTATCGCTGCGATTCCGGAAACAACCTCCTGATTTTCCTCGGCGCTTTCACCTTCCTTCAGCATCAAAGCCTGTCTCTTCTTCTCCAGAGCCTTCTTCCGGTCTGGCGTGATCTTCCACTCCTCAGGGAATTGATGTATCACCTTCTTCTTGTGATGTCTCGTGTCCAAGGGAACGCCTTCAAACTTATCCGACCTGCTTGACAGGCACTCTCTCATGAGTAGCTTGATCCTGTCGCCCAGCCATCGCTTATTCTGCGCCGGTTCTTCGAAAGAATCGCAACTCATCCGCACCGTGTCCGTTTCTGGATTATATCTCGAACCACACAGTTTCTTGAAATGCAGCGCTTGCTTGTCATCGAGCCGTTTGATGTCCGCCACCTTGAACATGACGACGACTTTCCTGGTCGCAGGATGTGGTTCGCCAAAGTATGTCGTGTATCTCCATCTTAGAGGCATCTCTTCTTCATTCGGCGGAACGAATTCTTTTCTGTGTTTCTGGAGCAATGGCATCTCCCAGGCTGCTACACGCGCCAGCTGGCGTAGTTCGCGATGCTGTTCGAGTTCGCCGTAACCTGTTGAAGAGATATCGGAGAGGGAAGGGAGACCTGGCTGGTCGGGGTCTTCGTCCATAAGGGCAAAGTCTTCTTCAGTTGCCTCATCCTTGCCTTGAGATCGTCGCTGGGGAGAGGCTGATGAGCGGGGAGTGTGGGATAGATGTCTCCGTTGCTGAGTATTGGTTATCCATGTCGACTTCTGGCACTGTGAACTCGCGGCGAAGTAGTTGCTTGGAATGCAGTGTCGGTGACATTGAGAAGCATTACGAGCTACCGTATGGCAGACTCGCTTCAATGGAGCAGCCATGTTGGTGTGATTTTTTCGACGCTCGAGATGTCGGGAGATCACCTGAAGTCGGTGTTGGTGGTCTGTGCTCACCCCCGACCTTGCTCCGCAGCTGTTCACATGCCTCCAACAGCATGCTTCACATTCCTGTTCCACGAGACGACATGTAACAAGCACACTCGCTGAAGCCTCGAAATGGCTCCATCAAACCAGAAGACGTGTTTCGTCACAATTGGAGCGACCGCATCCTTCAGCAGCCTCATCCAGGACGTCCTTTCGCCTACCTTCTTCAAAGCATTGGAACTAAACGGGTTCACAGAACTGCTCGTGCAGTACGGTCAAGATGGTCAAGAGTTTTTCAATTCGTGCATGACGATCGCGAAGAATACGGAGAGTGGGAGTGTGCTTGAAGTGGCCGGCTTCCCTCTCGACAGTGTGGGCCTGGCGAAATACATGATGCGAGCCAAGGGAGGCAAGGATAGGCAAGAAGGCGTGGTGATCAGTCATGCTGGTACGCCGCAATTGTAACGGCCTCAGGGAAGTAAGTATGCTAATTTCTGTCAGGCTCTGGCACCATCTTGGACGCGCTGCGCATCTCTGTTCCTCTCATCGTGGTTCCAAACGAGGAGCTCTTGGACAATCACCAGGTTGAACTGGCGGAAGCTTTAGCTGAGCAGGAGTACGTGGTACATGGTAAGCTTGGGGCTCTAGAAAAGGCAATCGAAGAGGTTGCGATATTGGCACGAAGAGCAAAGCAGTGGCCACCGCCAAACAGCGGCTATCGCAGGCAGGTAAAGCAGGGGCTGAACGACATCATCGACGATGAGATGGGGTTCCTGGACTAAGTGTCTTTAAGTGGGAGGCGTTTGTGCTGGCGTTCTCATCGTGCATATGGTAGGTTAACAGGCAGTAGCACGTTACAACCGTGCGAATCCTGAACACCCATCTTCACATGCGAGAATGGACTGGCACGCGCTTCTTCCCCTCGACTCCAGGCTGCAGTTCCGCTACGATCACTGCATATAAACCTCGAACTCCTCGCAACAATCAGGGATTCTTCATGCACTCAAGCACACAACCACCGCCGCCGCGATGAACCACCTACACATCTTCGGCCATGCGCCGTCGCCGACCAACCGCAAGCACCCAAGCAAATCGCCTCTCCGGCCATGAACGAGGCTTCGCCGATGACGGTGCTGAGTTTGCCGGCCGAACTTCAAGTGGAGATCGCGAACAAGGTCCACGAGGAAGACATTGTCAAGCACTTCGAAGTTCCCCTTTTCGATCGCAACCGCTCGCTCGTTGGAGCAAAGCGGACGTGAGCAGAGGCTGCTTTGCACGACTACTCTCCCTGGCGCTTCTGTCACGCCTCGCGATCGCGACTCCCGCGCTCTTATCACTCTCAATGAGCCTAGGTCCACACGGTGGAGGCGGGGAGATCAAACGGGCGATTCAAACAACTAGCGAGAACAGCCTTCAGGAACTATGTACCACATCAAGACTGCACATTCGTTGTCGCGTGTTTCCAGCATCGGCTATCACTCCAAATACTTCGTCCGGTCAACACTGCGAATTTGCGGCGACTGCAGATATGAGTCTTACGAAGTCGTTCGTTCTCTCGTGGAATGAATTGCGAGTGTTTTATGGATCATTAGACAGGGTGAAATATTTCAAACAGACACGGCGAAGCAGAATGGAAAGCTGGGAGACCGGTCGGTCGCTTGAACGTGAAGGTTGCATTGGACATGGCTTACGCTCGCTTTCGTCTAACCCGGACAACCAGAAATGGCCTAAATGACAATGCTCACAGCATTCCAACTCGGGCTCAAAACATCATATAGAATATCATCCGAATCCCAAGTATCCATCCCATAACCCCTGAACTCTTCCTCGCTGTCAGCCAATACTCTGTAGAATTTCGCGGCTGCTTCTTTGGTTTTCCGATTGCTCGTTCCGGCTTTCGTCTTGTAGAGATGGTATTTGGAAGCGGCGTAGATGATCAGACTCTCCTTATCTCCTGGCTTGGCTGAGAGAAGGTAGGGGATATGGGAAGCTAGAAGCCATTCTCGGGGATGGTTCATGGGCAAGGCTTCGACGAAGTCCTCTTCCGTGAAGCGGTCCAGTTCCGCGCGCGAGGTAGGAACCGGGCTGTAGAGACAGGGCGGCTTATTGATGACAAAAGACTGGTAATAGTTCTGCAGGTAATTGACAGCCGTGTGTTGCGGCGAAGCAATGTGAATGCACATCGTCACTGCATCGACCAGTTCCTCGAACGTGGTGATGGTCGGGAAGCTGGAAATACCAGCGCCACCTGTATCGCCTGCTCCACCTGGTGCTTGCATGGTGTTGCACCAGTAGGCAATGCTTTGATCTTCTTGGACAGCAGAGTCGGAAGGGTAGTGTAAGGAGAGCATTTCGGTGACGAAAGAGCGAATCTTGAACCACATGCTGTGAATGCATCTCGCATATGCATAACTCTGGTATTTCTTTTCGTCCCGCTTTTCGGGGTCGAAACCGCGAGATGCAAGCTCTTGAGGCACGTAACCGGCTTTGAAGTCGAATTTGCTGTATTCATTCCTGATGAAAGTCTGGGCCTGTTCCAGGGAGAAACCAATCAGACCGACAATCACGTTGGGGACCAAGGAGTTCCTGGCTCCGGCGTTGATGGCTAAAGTCTTTTGCCAATGAGGGTACAGAAGCTGGAAGACGGGGTGAGAGTCTTCGAAGGAGCGCTGGGCGCCTACAATGCAGGATTCTTCGATGAAATGCGTGTTGATGAGATGGACAGTGACTTCGTGACGGAGCCAGTCGCTGCACTGGACGCAAGTCTTCGCGTAGCGCCAGGCCCAGTCTTCTCTTTGCTCGGAGAGGGAGAGTTCCTTGTTGTAAACTGTCACGGAGTTCTGAGCGCTTCCTCTCCAGTCGAGAACGATGGCGAGAGGGCGAAGTTGGCCGTCTTCTGGAAGGTGGAAGAGACACACAGATGCTACACCGTAACGATAGCTTTTCTTGGTCTGCTTGCCAGAACCAGTCTCGTACGTCTCCTCGAATTCAGAAATGATCTCTTCTTCTTCAGTCATGCCAGCAGCTTTGCGGAAGTAGCTGTAATCTTGGATGTACAGCGATGCTCGATCATTCTTTGACAGGTCCTGAATCTTGGCTTTCATCTTCTGGTCGCCTTCAGTATTACCAGCATTGTCAATGAAGTGTTGAACCCAGAAGTCAGAAGCAAGCTCGATGGTGGCAGGATTCGGTCCTGTGAAGAATTGTTGCGCAAAGCGTCGGTCGGTATACCAGTCCTCGATATCTCCAATATTGGGCAAGTTGAAAATATCATTGCGGTGGAACAAACCACCACTGCGCTGTCTCATTGCCCTGTTGAAAGCTTCGACGTCCGCGATCTTTCTCCCTTGATCAGGTCTTCCCATCTCTCCCAGAGCAAACTCAGCTTCATCTTGTGCTATGTTAGCGCCTGCTTGGCCGATGAAAGTCTTTGGAACCAGTTGAGGGAGCAGTGCAGTCATCTGTGCCAACCTCATCTTGTTGAAGGTATCGCCTTGACCGAGACTAGATCTCTGCATCTCTCCAGGGTTCATATCTGCGTACGCCTTATTGGAGGCCATGTTGAGATGTGGTGGATAACCATCCGTGGCTGGATCAGTGAATCCGAAAAGATGCCTCTTCTCTTGCATCGACAATGGATAAGGCATCGACGGCTCGAAATTGGCGACATCCATAAAGGACTCATAGCTCTTCTCGATCTGCTGGTAGACCTTTGTCAAAGCCAGTTGAGTTCCGCGGTAGGTGCCTTCTTCCAAAATAGTTGGTACGTTCTTCCTAGCAACATGAAACAATGCCTCTGGGTTCGTGTGAAGAGCATCGCGGTCGTCTTCGGAGAGGTCGAGGCTCATCGGAACTTGTTTGGTATTGACGAGCTCCGTGAGAAAGATTCCAGTGTCCCAGAACGGGATCGGCACTCTTTCGACATCTTCTGGCCACTCTCTGTCATCGCTAGGGGTCGGGTTGTCCGCGGCGCCAGTCAAGACGCCCGGGGTGAGCGCGATGGTACGCTTCTTCGAGATAATCTTTGAGACGTTCTTCGGTATTGCGAGATTGGCCATCTCGGAGTGTTGAATGCTGTGTGTTTAGGCGTACGCAATCACCGTATTGTGAGTGCAAAAGGATAGAGTTCGAAACTAGCGGGTACATGGGAAACCTGCGACTTATATATGAGTACATCCTTCTCACCGTTCGCCTACCTTGTAAGCCTCGTGCAAGGGCGTACTATCATTACACCAATAGCGTACGCCCTCACACGTCCTCGTACGTCCTCGTCTTCATAAGCCGCCTGGCAGACAGAGGCCGCACGGGGAGGAGTTGGCGGGCTGGGCGATCAAATGGCCGAAAAGGCACCAGCGTGTGCGGTAGAGAAGATGCCATGAGCAAAGCATAGGCTGTCGCCTTTCCGAGGGATTAGTTGCCTAGGTCTTTTCGGTGCGAAGTTGCGGTTCAGCTTTTGGAAATGGTGTGAAGGATCGAGTGCGTGAGAACTCAGCTGGATTCCTTGCCCGGCAGAGCCGAGCCGTAGATCAGCCCTGAAGGCGTGCAGCGTGGCTGTCGCTTCGTTGTATGGCGGGCTGAGTCCTCGTTCACGGAAAGAAACTCCGGTCAATGACGAGCACCATGCTTCTAAGCCACCTTCGGTTGCAGTGTCAAGCCGCCTGCAGCTGCTGGTAAGGCTGACGAGAAGATGGCAAGGAAACTGACCGACAATGTGCATTTTCGAATGGGTTTGTATTTGTAGTGGAGAGGTCGTCCTAAACAGGCTTGGGGCCTCTGTCATATACACAGTATCCTCCATCTTACACGTTCGCGTTCGTAGTTGCCGAGAAATAAAACAAGTGAGAAGCGAAGGTTCGAACACAATGTGGAACGCCCGCCCAACTCCGCGCTAGAACAACGAATCAGTGGGATTGCAGTCGCTGCCGTCCTTCTCACTGAAATCCTATGCCAGTTCTCTATCCTGACGCATCCCCTCCAAAACTTCTTGCAGTCCTCCATTCTGCAAGCGCGCGAGGACAACGGACATGCCCTTGCGCGCCTTTGGCTGGCTCTTCTCCGTCCGCTGAAGGCTGATACTTTCGATTGCGGAGCGCATAGCGCCAGATGTCCAGCTGTTGAACCATCCTTGTCTCACTGGCTCTTCATCCGTGGCCGACGGCCCTCCAGCGTCAACAACCGAGGTGGCCGTAGCTTGCTGGCCCCATCTCTGGCGTCGCTTGCGAATCTGCTCTCCAATCCTACTCTTGAGCGTCACGCTGACTGATACATCGGTACGGTCTTCGTCCTTTGGTGGTGTTCTGGATGGCGAGACCATCTCCGCTCCAGAGTCTGCGGCTAAGGCCGGCTTGCGATAGGTGTGTCTCTCAATGACCGACAGCACGTTGTTCCAGTCAAGATTGCGACTTTCTGTCTCCATCCAACCTTCCTTTACATCAATAACGCTTTTCTCCAGGATGAAGCTCTGCGTGCTGCCATCCTCGCCAGCTCCAAGAGAGCTCCTGGGGAGGAGCTTCAGCACGGCCGGTGGCAAGCGGCTTCGCTTCAAATGCAGGCGAACGGTCGTCAAGCGTTGGGTCTGAGGATCAAAATTTCTGTCGATGGTGTCGGTCGATGAGACATGCTTGCTGTAAGGGTTTGGATATCGCAGAAAATAGGCCAAGGAGACGGCGGAAAACCCGTAGTCGTAGGAGTAGTCGGTGCTGTAGAACTTCACCATGGTGTGCGATGCTTCCTCTTGCGGCCTCCGCCCATCACCAGACGATGGGAGTGGAAGCGAAGTAGATTGTCTCGTGAGATGCGTGATGCGATGCAGAGAGGAATAGAATGTATTCACCAGTGGCGGAGGCGATGCGTTTTGATGACCAGACTGTCGCGTGCGGAGAGGAGGCCCCCCAGCCTTTAGCTATTGCCAAACAGGCAAGACGTCATCGGAGCGGCTCTGCCCGAGTGCCGATCTCACGCGACGTGGGGCCATTGAATGAGCTCTCAGGGAACGTCAACCTTGCAGTCACAAGCTGTGGGCGAGATTTTCGGCCACGAATTCGATCTCCTCTGGGAGTCGCGCGAGTACTCGTACCACACCTCGATATAATCCTGGACGACATCGACGCTCAGCTTGCACGACTCACTACCAACCGCGATCCACGTGAGGAGTCACCCCGCACAATGGCCTCAGAAGATGCGGTGGGCGGTCCTCCTGCGGTCACGGAAGACATTCAGGACAAGAAGAATTCGACCCAGAAGATTGACCCATACAATGTATCAGGAGGGGTGGACGAGCATGGAAATGTTAAGGCAATCGATTACGATCGTCTCATCGAGGAATTTGGCGTACAACCTCTGACGGACGACCACCTGAAACGATTCGAGCAAGTGACGGGCAAGAAGGCGCATAAGTTGATGCGCAGGAGGGTATTCTTCTCGCACCGCGACTTTGACAGAATCCTGGACATATACGAGAAGCATGGCACATTCATGCTATACACAGGGCGAGGGCCCTCAAGTGGAAGCATGCACATCGGCCATGCTGTACCATTTTTGTTTACCAAGGAGATCCAGGAGATGTTCGACGTACCGCTGGTGATTATGTTGACAGATGATGAAAAGTATCTGCATGCTCGGAACAAGAACAAGGGTGTGCAGCTGAAGGGCAACGCTGTGGAGGACTTTCTCGAGTTTGCGCACCAAAATATCAAAGACATCATTGCACTTGGGTTCGATCCGAAGAAGACTTTCATCTACACCGACTACGAATACCTTGGCGGTCACTTTTACTGGAACACATCAGAATTCGAGTCCTTGGTCACTTTCAACCAAACAAGAGGCGCATTTGGATTTGGCGAGAGTACCAGCATCGGCATGATCGCATACGGCGCAAAGCAATGTGTCGCGGCCTTCCCGTCATCTTATCCCGAGCTCTTCGGATACAAGGACTACCGGCCTCCTGAATACGATCTGTCCGCAAAACGCCGCCACAAGGCTCTCTCGAAGATCCCTTGTCTTATCCCCTGCGCCATCGACCAAGAGCCTTACTTCCGCGTACTCCGGGACCGCTGCGATCGCATGACCGACACTCATCCCAAAACATGCCTTATTCTTTCCAAGTTCTTGACAGCACTCCAAGGTCCTGGCGGTAAAATGAGTGCATCGGACCCCAACTCAGCCATCTTCTTATCGGATACGCCAAATCAGATCAAGAACAAGATCAACAAGCACGCATTTTCCGGTGGAAGAGAGTCTCTCGAAGAGCATAGAAAGTTTGGCGGCAATCCGGATGTTGATGTTGCATATACGTATCTATCATATTTCTTAGAGGACGACGAGGAGCTCGCGGATCTGGAGAGGAAATATCGAAGTGGTGACTTGCTTACAGGCGAGATGAAGAAGCGTTGTATAGAGGAGTTGCAGAAGTTCGTGAAGGACTTCCAGGAGCAAAGAGAAAAGGTCACGCATGAAGTCATGCGGTCGTTCATGAAGCCTAGGAAACTAGAATTCAAGGGCAACCCAAATCCTACACAACCACAAACGGCTTCCACTGCAGAGGCAGCGAACGGTGACGCCTCAAACGGCGCGTCGGAGGGTGACAAGGCATCTGGTGGCAAAGAGGGCAGGGGCACAAAAGGCGAACGGAAAGCTGCCAAGCTCGCGGAGAAGAAGGCAGAGAAGCTGGCACAGCGAACGAAGCCAGATGAAGACGCACAGTAGCCATCGCATCGATAGACATTGGTCGATGCAATCGAATCGATTTAACGCATTGCACGATGATTTATCCCATGAAATTCCACATTCCTTCGTCCCTCCGAATGCATCATCGTCTCCTGCCTGAGGCATTAAGACGGCATGTGATGGGCTCGGGCCGCAAGGAACGTGAACGGTAAAGTTTGGACCTGGCACTTACTACCTGCTTGTGCTCCTCTCTCCACAATTCTCTCCCTCCCAATCACCAAAACCTCCTCTCACGCGCAACAACCCTCCCACCATCTCGAACTCCGTCTTAATCATCAAGTGCACACTGGATCATCGGAAAAAGACGCGCCTCACGAAGTAAACACGCGCAGAAAACGCGGGTCGTGTTGAGGCGAGAGAGTTCCTCGGCGTGTACCACGCGCAGCAGGCGCAAACTGCCACCAAGGCCTACAACAAATTGCAAAAGCTGTCCTTGAATATGGACAGTGCGAAGACGCTCGGCGCGGGCGACGGCAGCCTGCCCGATCAAGCGATGCTCGACACACCGGATTACACGGACTCGGAATCCAATCCCACAGGCACGGCAAACAGCGTGGCCGGGGATGCGACTCAGAACGATGGCCGAAAGCGTCGGTGGGAGGGCAACCAGCTGCGCAAGAGCATGTTCGGCAAGAAGCACGATAGGCTAGGCGAAAGCAAAGAGGACGACTCGATTCGACGATTTCGCTACTTGCTAGGCCTCACCGACCTGTTCCGCCACTTCATTGACACCAACCCAAACCCCAAGATCCGAGAGATTATGGCGGAGATTGATCGTCAAGATGCAGAAGAGGCGAGTCGAGCGCAAACTGGCAACAAGCGCAAGGGCGGAGCGGGCGGTGATAGGAGGCGGCGAACAGAGAAGGAGGAAGATGCTGAGCTGTTGCGTCAGGGCAAGCAAGAGGGCAAGGCAGAGCACACCATATTCCGAGAGAGCCCGCAATACATTCAAGGCGGCGAGATGCGTGACTACCAAGTCTCCGGTCTCAATTGGTTGATCAGCCTGCACGAAAACGGTATCTCAGGCATTCTCGCCGACGAGATGGGTCTGGGAAAGACTCTGCAGACCATCAGCTTCATTGGCTACTTGCGATTCATGCAAGGTACTACAGGCCCACATCTCATCGCAGTGCCCAAGTCGACGCTCGACAACTGGAAGCGAGAGTTTGCCAAGTGGATCCCCGAAATCGATGTTCTTGTGCTGCAAGGTGCCAAGGAGGAGCGTCACGAGCTTATTAACGATCGTCTGATCGATGAGAAGTTCGACGTCTGCATTACTTCGTACGAGATGATTCTTCGTGAGAAGAGTCACCTCAAGAAGTTTGCATGGGAGTACATTATCATTGATGAAGCCCACCGCATCAAGAACGAGGAGTCGTCGCTTGCTCAGATCATCCGCATATTCAACTCAAGGAATCGGCTGCTCATCACCGGTACTCCGCTCCAAAACAACTTGCACGAACTTTGGGCTCTCTTGAATTTCTTGATGCCTGACGTTTTTGGAGATTCCGAGGCGTTCGACCAATGGTTCAACAACCAAGATGCAGACCAAGACACTGTGGTCCAGCAACTCCATCGTGTCCTCCGTCCTTTCCTCCTGCGCCGTGTCAAGAGCGATGTGGAAAAGAGCTTGTTGCCGAAGAAAGAGATCAATTTGTACGTAGGCATGAGCGAGATGCAGATCAAGTGGTACAAGAATATCCTGGAGAAGGATATCGATGCTGTCAACGGAGCGGCAGGGAAAAAGGAAAGCAAGACTCGTCTGCTGAACATTGTCATGCAACTCCGAAAGTGCTGCAATCACCCCTACCTCTTCGACGGCGCCGAGCCCGGTCCGCCGTACACCACCGACGAACACTTGGTCGACAACGCAGCCAAGATGGTCATGCTTGACAAGTTGCTCAAGCGTATGCAGGCACAGGGCAGCCGCGTCCTCATCTTCTCTCAGATGTCCCGTGTTCTGGATATCCTTGAGGACTACTCAGTCATGCGCGGCTACCAATATTGTCGTATCGATGGCTCTACTGCCCACGAGGACCGTATTGCGGCGATCGACGAGTACAACAAGGAAGGATCAGAGAAATTCTTGTTCCTCCTCACCACTCGTGCGGGTGGTTTGGGTATCAATCTGACAACTGCCGATATTGTTGTCCTGTTCGATTCCGACTGGAATCCGCAGGCCGATCTTCAAGCTATGGATCGTGCTCACCGTATTGGTCAGAAGAAGCAGGTGATGGTATTCCGTTTCGTGACCGAGAAGGCCATTGAGGAGAAGGTGTTAGAGCGCGCTGCGCAGAAGCTCAGACTCGATCAGCTGGTCATCCAGCAAGGACGTTCACAACAGCAAGCAAAGCAGGCCGCTTCCAAGGACGAGCTTCTCGGCATGATTCAGCACGGTGCGGAGACCATTTTCGAGCAGAAGGAAGGCTTTGGTGCCAATGGAATGACCGAGGACGACCTCGACGCGATCTTGCGCAAGGGTGAAGAGAAGACCAAGGAAATGACGTCGAAATACGAGAAGCTTGGTCTAGACGATCTCCAGAAGTTCAGTTCTGAGGCTGGAGGTGCCTACGAGTGGAACGGCGAGAGCTTTATCAACCGCAAGAAGGAAATCGGGCTGAATTGGATCAACCCATCAAAGCGTGAGCGCAAGGAGCAGTCGTACTCCATGGACAAGTACTACCGCCAGGCACTCATGACTGGTGGACCGCGGCCGGAGCCAAAAGCCAAGGTGCCCAGAGCGCCCAAGCAGATGGCCATGCACGACTACCAATTCTTCTCGCCTCGTCTAGGCGATCTCCAGGAGAAGGAAACTGCCTGGTTCCGCAAGGAGAACGGACTCAAGGCTCCGCTTGCCGATGGTGACGAGGACACGATGGAGGAGCGTCTCAAGGATCAGGAAGTCGAGCAGCTCAACATTGACAACGCGGAGGCATTGGCAGAAGAAGAAATCCAGGAAAAGGAGCAACTCGCTCAAGAAGGCTTTGGCGACTGGAACAAGCGCGATTTCCAACAGTTCATCAACGGTAGCGCCAAGTTCGGACGAAACGACTACGAGAACATAGCCACAGAAGTCGACTCCAAGGACGGAAAGGAAGTGAAAGAATACGCCAAAGTCTTCTGGAAGCGATATAAGGAGATCCACAACTGGGAGAAGCACATCTCCGCCATCAAGGAGGGTGAGCAGCGTGCAGCCCGCGTAATAGAACAGCGCGACATGCTCAAGCGCAAGCTGTCGATGTACCGCGTTCCTCTCCAGCAGCTGAAGCTCAACTACACTGTCAGCACAACGAACAAGAAGGTGTACACCGAGGAGGAGGATCGCTTCCTTCTCGTCATGCTTAATAAGTATGGCATCGACACCGAAGGCCTTTACGAGAAGATCCGAGACGAGATCCGCGAGAGCCCGCTGTTCCGTTTCGACTGGTTCTTCCTCTCTCGGACACCGCAGGAGATTAGCAGACGCTGCGCAACTCTTATTACCACCGTGACTCGCGAGATGGAAGGCGGCACCGGCAAGGAGAATAACAAGCGCGCAGCAGATGATGATGACGAGGATGAGGACCACGATGCCGCCCCGGCCAAGAAGAAGGGACGTCCAGCTGGCGTGAAGGTAAGTCCCAGGAGATGCCAACTCAATCAAGAGGATGCTAACTGAGTTCGCAGAACAAGACCGTCAACGGCGTCAAGGGCACGCCCAATGGAGCATCTCGTGCTGCTAGTGTCGACACGACTGCTTCTACTGGCGCGTCTGGTAAAGGCAAAGGCAAGGGCCGCAAGCGGTAAGGTCGCGAGATCCTCAAACCAACTCCAAGGCGTAATGGGATGTGTGGACGGTGTTTATCAAAGTGTGCTATTGGATTCCCGCCTGCTCAAAGAGAGCCCAGCAGGCACACGTTTACCACGGAAGTGTGTTTTGACTTGTACTTTATGTTGAGCATGGTAGAACTAGAGAGGCAGGCAGGCAGGCTACTAGCAGAAGCATGAGACAAACGAAGGAGTTGAAGTAGTTATGGACAGTGAATCCGACCGCGAAGATAACGAATTGAATGCGAGGTAAGATGTAGATGTGACCGATTCGACCTCCAGAAGTCTCGTGAAGTAAGGTAGTAGTACCTGTGTCCTCTATAAAGAAACACCTGCATTTCTACAGTAATTACAGCTTTTGACGATTACTGAGGTAGGTAGGTAGCTACATGTAGGAAATGCGGGCGTTATCTGAGCAGCGCGGAGTGAAGGGCCTTCCCGATCAAGAAGGAGCAGCTTCCCGCAGGCAATGGAAGGGTACGAAATCTGCCCTCTGCCTTGCCGGCGATCAAAGCTGCAACATGGCTGCGAGGCAACCTCCTGAAAGGGACAAGAACATGGCGACAATGTTGAAGACTCTGGCGGCTTGCTTGGCCATCGTCTCGGTCAATGCACTGGTGGTGAAAATTCGAGACGATGCCCATGCAGCTCCAGTTGCACGTACCAAGAATGGAACGTACGAGGGATACTATCTATGCCTCTGCGTATCGCACGGACAACTTCTTGGGAATATACCCTATTGCGCAGTGAGTTCCGCCCACAGATGTCCAAGTTGTGCTCTGGAATCCCGGCTCACGAGGGAAGGTTAGGCCTCCGGTAAAGAATCTTCGCTTTCGAGTACCGCAGCCCCTCGATATCTCCTGGAATGGTATCCGCGACACCGCCGAGTTACAGCCCCGAATGCATGGGCTACGGCAGGGACACCTGCAGTCAGGAGGCCAACTGTGCCTCCAAAGATTGGTTGACGCTCAATGCTATTCGCTCTAGAGGATCCGGTGACAAGCTTCCCGTTCTGGTCTGGTGAGTCTTGATCTGTTTGCGCGAGGAATAGGACGACTTATTATGCGTATAGGATCCACGGCGAAGGTTTGGTAATCGGGGGATTGGGCGGACCGCCGTTATGACCAGACCTCAATTTTCCAAGAGGCGAATGAAGCTGAGATGCCCATCGTTGCGGTCTCGCTCAACTATCGCTTGAGTGCGTCGGGCTTTTCTGTACGGTAATGAGATACAGGAAAGCGGCAATACCATGAATTGCTTCCGAGACCAGCGTATGTCGGACGCATGGACAGAGGTATTTGTTCAGGCTGACCTGTTCTACAACATTTAGGCTTGGCCTTGCAATGGATTCAGGAAAATATCGGTGCGTTCGGAGGCGACCCTAGTCGAGTGACGATTCAAGGAGAGTCGTCCGGTGGTACTTCCGTCGCAGCACATTTCATGGCGTATGAAGGCCGAGACGACAAGCTGTTCGCACATGCCATTGCCGAGTCGGGTAACATCGCTGAAGTCGCACCGTATACAACCGCGGAGAGAGAGTTCGGAAGCGATCATTGCCAACATCTTGGCTGCGGCCGGCTGTCAGAATGCCACCGGTGGCAGTGTTCTAGATTGTCTCCGGGAGGCTCCAGTTGAGACACTCAACTCGATCATCAACTCCACCGTCACAGAAGATGCTTGATACGGTCTTGTCGTCGATGGAAATTTCATAGTGGGCAGTGGCGCGTCGGCATTGGAAAACGGCAACTTCGTTCACGTTCCATATCTGGTCGGGACCAACAGCGATGAGGGCACAGGCTTTGGCCCGTAACAATTCAATACCACGGCACAGGTCGTGGCATGGCCCTCCTCCCAAGGCTTCGACAATGCCACGGTACAAGATCTAGCCATACTTTATCCCGACATTCCAGGGATAGGTGTCCCCGCGACTCTCTCCGGCCGTCCAGATTCCAGCATCGGGCTGCAGTTCAAGAGGTCGTCTGCAATGACCAAGGACCTACTCATGGCTGCTCCCAGGAGGCTCTCTTCGATGTGGTTCGCAAAGCACGGTGTTCCATCCTACGCGTACCGCTTCAATGTCGTGGTCAGTATAGCCTCCTCATTCGAGTAGTAAAAGCCCCATTCTCATCGTCTCACAGGTCAACGGCCAATCTTATGTCTACGGTGCTTCACACTTCCAAGAAGTGGCCTTTGTCTTTCACAACAACCAAGGCCTCGGATATCCGCACAACGGCAATTCAAATCTATTAGGCGGAGAAGACCGACACAAGTATCTCAAAGTCGGAAAGCTCATGTCTAGAATGTGCATCTCGTTCGTGAATCATGGTGACCCGAATCAGCATCTTGGAAGTAATGACAGCCCTTTCATCCTGCTTATTGCCCTATCTCTGGTGATCTCCCGCAGTACACGCAGACGAACAGCCAGTCTATCCACTCGAGGATCCGCAAGCCTTTGTGTTCGAACAAAACATTTCCTCGCACGCCGAACCACATCCGCTAAGAGCTAAGGGTATGAAGTATATTTGGTGATTTCATTATAGCCAGGAAGGGGACCGAGGGTACGGGGCTGCTGGCTTGCGGTGCGAGTGACGTGGACTGAATGTAACGGGCAAAAATTCTGCATGCAGCGGCCATTAGGAATGCTATTGTCCGTACCACTAGTGGACTCGCGGAAGTGGCCCTTCAATATTCGCTGTGATTTCGCCGACTGTGTCAAGCGAATCCGAGTCGTAGCGATTCCAAGCTGCACAGATATCCGAGTGTTGTAGATAGTCGCGGAGCACAAGCGTCTTTGCCATTCGAGAAAACGCTGCCAGACTCATTCGGATTGTTGGTAAGAAATTTTTTGGCTGCTGGTGAATCCGTTGTTTTTAAAGGTCTGCTGCAGGTTCCAGATCGACGACTTCCATCACCACAGATTTGCGCTTTTTTATGAACCCGGTGCAGCGCAACAACATTCTTGGACTTTCAACCTACAACGTCTGGAACGGCCTCTTCAATTCCCGCAATCGCTTTTCCTCTTCATTGATCATCCAGCATCCACTGTGATCTCTCCGACCAGCGCGACTAGCTCCAACTCGAGCTCTTATCGCCTTGAATCCCCCCTCCCCTTTCAAAACTCACCAGCAACCGCCAACAATGGTCAGAAACGCCGTCATCGTGCTCGCCATCGTCACAGGCGCCGGGTTCCTCGTCCTCTGCGGCTTTGCCCTCACGCGCTTCTACGTCTTCAACGCCCCCGCGCGGGACGACCTCGTGAGCGCCCGACAGGAATTCAGTCAAGCACAGTACATGCGGGAAGTGCGGCTGCGGAACCAGGGAATCATAGCGGGAGGGCTGGGGCGCGGGAGACCGCATCTGGCGCGTGCAAACTCGGCGGCAGAGGTCGGGGATGCGTATGTTTACGACGCTCGGGATCAGATGAGGAGGGAGGTGTAGGCGGGATATTCGTGAGGGTGGTCGCGCTATGCGGTAAGTTTTCTGGGTGTCCTACGGAGGCTACAGATACTAACAATATTTCAGGGGGAAACTCGATCGGATCCGTTCAGGAGAGATGTGGTTCGACGAGTTTGATCCGGTTCCCATTCCTGGCGCACGGGTAACGAGTAACGCGAATGGAGGAAGCGGTACCATCCGGGCTGCCCGCGATCTCAGCAGTGTAAATCGGGCTTTCTCTGAAGGGACGCCAGAATCTGGAAGAAGACAGCTGAAGATCCGAGTGGCAGTATGTAGCGGCGACAGATGTGTTACCACAACGGAAATAGTCAAGCTGGCGCTCTCCAGAACAGGCTGATATGAATGAACAAGTTCTTTTTCTGACACTCTGCAGACGAGCCCCAAAAGCCTCACGGTGCAGGAAGGGAGCCCGACAATTTATTGCCACAACGTAGAGGAGCCGAAGTCGGAAGATCTTCATTTTCGTGTGCCTGGACAGAAGATATCGCTACGATGTTCATTTGCTTGGAACGCCCGCATCCTTCAGAAAGGCCACAATGTCATCGACGCCTTGTGGTTCGTTGACCCAGTGTCCGCCGTCTGCATATTCACACCACCGAGGCTTCATACCGATGCTAGCCAGCGTATCTCGCAACTCCTCTCCAAATGAAATGTTGATCACGTCGTCGTCGCGGGCGTGGCACAGAAGGATTGGTGTCTTGATAGCCTGATTCGCCGTTCCGTCGACCCCCTTGACGGCCTCCCTCTTCGGCAGCCAGCTGCATAGGCCGATGAAGCCTCCAAGCCGCTCCTGTCCGCCTAGCAAAGCGTGGATCGCGACTGCGCATCCCTGGCTGATGCCTCCGAGGAATACATTTTCGTGTCCGATGATGGCAGCTTCCCGGGCGACAAGATCTTGAATCCGGCTGATGGATGAGGCCAATTCCTGAGCGTCCTCGTTTTCGTGAGGGTCTTCGGTGCTATACATGTCGAACCACTGGGATGTTTCGCAGTCGAAGCGTGTCGATTGGAGTAGCTCAGCCGTGGGAAAGACCCATTTCACGCTCGGGAACCTGTCGGGTAGCGTCTTGGGACCCGAGTCCTCACTCTCGAAGAATTCGTCGGCAAACTCTTTCGCGACGCTGTCTCTTCCATGAAGAAAGATGATGGTGTGAGTGTGCTCTGCGGCCGGCGAAAGGGTCTCCATTTGCGGTGCGTGCGTGGCCATGTGAAGCGTGTTTTCACGTCGGAAGATTGTGTTGTCTTTCAAAGAATGCTGGTATAACCTAAGGGAGTAACGAGTCGGACAGCGCAAGATCGGGAGTAGCAGCCGTCGAGGGAAGCTTCCAATGTTAGCGGTAGCTGTGGTCTGTCACGGTAATTCCTTCTCGACAGGAAAGAGATCACTGAGGTCAGATTAGTGACTTAGCCTCGTCTTGTTCGAAATGCTATGCAGATATCCAGGCAGATGCGAGCAGCGCCAGTGGCTTATATATGACCATCCACGGCCGATTTTGGTGAGGACACATTTGGGTGAGGACACATTTTGGTGATTAGTAGCTGTGGTGACGGTCAGCTGTGAAAGGAGATCCAAGATCCGGCTAGTTCGGCTACCCAAGCGGCTCACGGCTCTGGCCGTTCCTCGGCCGACCCTTGGACCCTGAGAGGAAACCTAATACTTACAGGCATGTGAGTCTTCTAGAGTGGATACAGATACGAACACCATCCTATGATGACTCTCGCAAGAACATGAGGCTCCGGCCTTCCAACCTCCCCAAATCACTCTCCTCCACCTCACTCGCCTCTCGTCCCCGCACACGACTATCACAACGGACGACCCCACCAACCCACACAATCTCGACCCTCTCCTCCCCCACCAAAATGGACCACCACCCCCCTCCTTCGGAAGACTACACGACCTGGACCACAACCGCCCTAATCCACCGCGTAACCGCCCTAGAAACCCAACTCCGCGCGCAGCAGCAGCAGCAGGACGCAACCCACAAAGCCCTCAACAAAAAACCCCCCCAAAAGAAGAAACCGAAAACTTTCGATCCGGACAAATACCATACGCGCCTGATCGCGCTGAAATTCGCATACCTCGGCGGGAAATATAATGGGTTCGAACACCATAATAAGAATTTCACGCCGCTGCCGACGATTGAGGAGGAGTTGTACAGGGCGTTGAAGAAGACGAAGCTTATTTTTCCGAGGCATAGAGATGGGCAGAGCGAGGAGGAGGTCTGTTGGGAAGGGTGCGAGTACAGTAAATGCGGCAGGACAGATCGCGGCGTCAGTGCTTTTGGACAAGTTATTGGGGTGAGGGTACGGAGCGCTCGGCCCAAGGTCGTCGTCGACGACGAGCAGGAGGAATTGCCGGATGCAGAAGAAGAAGAAGAAGAAGAAGGAGAGGCAGAAAGGACCGGCGAGAAGAAGCAGAAGACTTTTGATTCTGTACGCGACGAATTACCATATATCCAACTCATCAATCGAGTGCTCCCACCAGATATTCGCATTCTCGCGTGGTGTCCTCACCCGCCACGGGATTTCTCTGCGCGCTTCAATTGCAAAGAGAGGAGGTATCGGTACTTCTTCACGAATCCGGCTTACATTCCGTTGCCCGGCGGGAGTGCTGCGGGTGCAGGGGAAGGGTGGCTGGATGTCGAGGCCATGTCGCAGGCCGCGAAGAAGTATGAAGGGCTTCATGATTTCCGTAATTTCTGCAAGATCGATGGGAGCAAGCAGATATCGGATTTTTCGAGGCGCATCTTCCATGCAGGGATATATCAGGTTCCGTCCGGACGGGATCAGTCGAATGGAAAGGAGCATTCGTTGTCACCTAGGCTTTTCTACTTCGAGGTGCGTGGTAGTGCCTTCTTGTGGCATCAGGTGCGCCATCTCGTTGCCATCCTCTTCCTTGTCGGCCAAGGATACGAGAAGCCGAGCATAGTCGATGAATTACTGGATATCCAGAAGACGCCTGCAAGACCCTTGTACGAAATGGCGAGTGACATTCCTCTGGTGCTCTGGGAATGTCTTTTCCCAGATCCGGAAAAGGTTGCCATTGCAGACCATGTGAACGGCGATTCTGGTTCCTTCGCTGGATATGAGGACGCTCTTGACTGGGTATATGTCGGTGATGAGCGTGGTGGGCGCGATCAGTCCAAACGAGCCACGACTGCTGTCGAAGATGGCAAACATGGCCGAAATGGTATCATGGAAGAGCTGTGGGCGCTGTGGCGGAAGCGTAAGATGGATGAAGCCCTCGCTTGGAATCTCATGGAGGTCGTCGCTGCGCAAGGACGGCAATTGCGCATAGATCCCTCAGAGCTCCCGAGTAAGAGCGAAAGCGCCCGTCTTTTCGATGGAAGCGAGCGGCCTCGCACGGTAGGTCCTTATGTGCCGGTTATGCAGCGGGAGCGGATGGAGACACCGGATGTCGTGAATGCTCGATATGCTGCGCGCAAGGGCCTGAATTGGACTGCCAAATCTGCAGATAACATAGACATAGACGAGTAATATGGAAAAGGCATCTCAAGGCTTCGGTTCATAAAGACAAGCCCTGAGCGCCCATGCATGTCAGCATATGCTGTGCGGCTGGCGAAAGAAAATCTCGACAGCTGAGACTCACCTCGCTCCCCTCCAGACCTTCTCCAAAATCTCGCGTCTCGGCAGGATACTCTGCACGACAAATCAATCACCATCAGCAATCCCGATCCTGACCCTCCTTCCACCCAATCATTCCCACCAAGAGGAAAACGAACGAACGAACTCACCGGGAACACAACCACCACATCCTCCTCCCCCTCCACCACGATGCCCAGATAAAACCTCACCTCAAACCCCTTGAACGCCTCATACAGAAAAACATCCTGAATCGCCCGCGTGGGGATGAACCGCGTCTTCCCCGTCCCCAACAGCCAGCTCGAACTGCTCGTGCTCGTCTGCACTCCCAGCCCGCGAATCACGAATAGGCTCTCTTCCGTGTAGCCTTTCCGGAAAATTAGCCAGGTCGTGACGACGCAGAGGAGAATCCGTCGGCGGAGGGTGAGATTCGTGGTTTCGTAGAACCAGAGCAGGAAATTTCGGAATCCGAGGAGCCAGGTCGGGAGGTCGTGGGCTTGGTCCTGGTGGTGGTGATGATAGTGAGACGCGAATTCATGGAGCAGGACGGCGAGGACTAGAATTCCCGCCACGAGGCGGAGGAGGACGGATGCGTAGGTGGACAGTCTCGCGGGGAGGGATTTGCTTTGGCCGCGTGTGGAAACGGTGTAGAGGACTGTTGTCGGCGTTGGTCGTTTGGTCGTTAACATCGCTTCTTCATTGTTCCTTTTCACTTTTTGTTGATACGAGCAGGGAGCGAGGGGAGTCTCGAGGAGTTGAGGTCGAGACGGACAGGGTCTAAGTTCTGATGATTGGGTCGGGAGTAGCGGGCGCTAAGGATTGTTATGCATTTCGCTATTCACCGGGCGCAGTATTGTGCACGGGGTCCCTCGGTCTTAAAAGGAGTCTCCACTCCCAAGTCAAGACCGCTGCATACCTTGGTCTTCGACATTCACATAAAACCAGGCGATGTGGAAGTGGTCGAACCAATCCAGAAGAGAGATTCCAATGCACGAAAGGCATCATGTCATTTCATTTCATGGCATGCCTTGACTTTTCAGATGCAAACATTACATATTGGATGCATCGCTCTCCTGCCTCACAACGGTGAGGATGCTGGTTCGGGGTCCTCTGACCCGCGGAGTCTATCATAAAGAGCTTCGATGCGCTTCTTCGGGTATCATACAATCCAAACACGCACCCGTGAACTCCTCGCTAAATATGACACAAAGGAAGGTCCGGCGTTACTGCATGGGCCTTCAAAGGCGCGCCTCAATCGATGCCGCTATCCAAGACCGCCTTCCTCATCATGCCCATGGCTCGCCCAGAAGTCTGTGGGAAACACCTTGGCGCCACCTTATAGGCCCGACAGAAGATTTTCCAGTTCTCCAGGAAAGGAAGCGGCGGAATGCGCTATAACAGAGCAAAGCGGCGCAGACAGAGAAAGCCAGAATCGGGAATAACTCGAAGGGCGACATCTGCTTAATCGAGTAAGGCACATGACCGCCCCAGCCCGACGGAAGGTAGGCACCAAGAGGCCCTCGGTCGATGGTCAAGCTGGTCCCAAAGTGCAAAAGACGCCGGTTCTTATCGAGCGCGATCACCCGCAGATATCGGTGTAGGTGGACGTCTGTCGGCACCTCGATCATGGTTTCAAAGTCCGATTTAGCGACTCGGGCAGCATCTTCCCATGTCTTGTCGTTAACAGAATCTTCGCTCGAGCACTGCAGGATCCACTCGACAACTTCTGTTGCTCCGCTCCACGAGACCCAGACGACAGCATCATCATCACTGATCTCCGCTGAAGGTGGCTCCTCTGGCAGGCCGATCCATGGAAACTTGTACGTGCGGTAGCTCTGGATGTCTCCGCGCTCCCAAGAGGTAGTGGCTCCGTAGTGAACATCGCACAGCACGTTGCCATCGCTTTCAAACTCGGTCCAAACAGCATTGAGACCATACCCGACAAGGACCTTCGGATCTTGACCACCGTTCTGAGGTAGGATCTGTAGCGAGCCTTGCGATGACGAGCGCACGCCCTGCGGATTCTCGTAGGACTTGATGACTCGGACAGTATATTCAGGCTTCGTGCCATTGATATCGAGAACTTTTTGCTCATTCAGACCCAGCTCTTGACGCTTTTTTATGGGACGGGGGCTCGGTGATCGAGCAGCTGCGCTTCTTTGAATCGGGTACGTGATCTCCAGCAAGAGGCCTCGAGAGATCGGAAGGCCATATTCGTAGTGCTGATCCTCGGCAGCGTTGTCAAAAAGCGTTACGAGCCTCGTCTCGAAGCCTGGACGGGCGGGTGGTGGGTTATACATGTTAGGGAACGTGTCCGTAGGAACAAATCGCGCGTCGTGTTGCCATGCGAAATTGAGCGCTGAACCGCCGCTAGTGTCCATGAAGTCGTTCATTCGCCCGCCGAGCGTCCAAAGAATGTCACCTGTGCTACCCTCGATGTAGGTAATGCTATGCGCGTATCTTGCGGAGACCAAGTAATTCCCAAGCTCGTCCTTGGCGATACTGTTGATGTGGAACCAGTCAAAGGGATCATCTCTCGAACCGCCCGGGCCAATGCCGTGGTACGTTGTGGAGATATTGACATGCTCCGAAGCTCGCCATTGAAAGATGAGGTTGCCAGTTTCGATCTCGACCTCTTGAAAGACACAGTCCCATATGTATGAAAAACCTGGCCGTTCGTCGTCGTGATGATAGTCTTGGATGCCGGTGAGATCGTATTCCATGATCTCGTACATCGTCATGAGTGCTGTTCCCTCGGGAGTGACCAGGAATTCATGCAAGTCGGCGGACAAGCCCTCAGCTGCGCCAACTCGGTGGACGATGTCGTATGAAGCATTCAACATGTAGTAGTATCCTGCTCCGTGACCACGTATACGATCGTCGCCAAGCCAGAACGTAAGGTAGTCCTCACCCTGGTACTGCTGCAATGAGAAGTCGTAAGCCTGACCACCGAACTTGTTGTCGAAATGTTTTGTCCAGATCAATTTGCCACGACCGTCGAGGATCATCGGTCCCGCATTTTCAATGCCCCAGCCCCGGGGAGTGAGGAAGTACAGTAGGCCGTCATCGCACCTCTCACTCCACTGTATGAAGTTCGTCTTCGGTTCATTGAGTCCAACAGCGGTGGTGTAGGTGTTTGTCGGGTAGTAGCCGAAGGCACCGCTGTCTGCGAGTTCATCGACTAGGGGTCGCTCTGGAGGTCGTTCTGAAGGGCTCGCGTTACTTGCGACAGTGGCAAGCAGACAGAGCGGTAGGTGCCATAGGAAGGCCTTGATTGTGTTCATGAAGGCGGCTGTCGATCGGCGAGCAGGAGTAACGCGGATTCTGTCCACGAAGCTCCTCCACAGAGGCCTCGTCGGCTGGCGAGTAGCATGTATCGGTCGAAGAAAGCACAGGGCGTGCGGGATCTTGACGTATCCAGCAGTGGGTCAATCCATCATCGGAGGCGGAGTGTGCTTCAACAGCATGTGAGTGGTGCAGTAGTGGTGACGTGGAGTTAGAGTCGGGCGGTCTTGCGATGATAGACCGGGGTCGGCCGGGGCAAAAACCCTGTTTCTGTCGAAGGGAAGTGGAAGAGGAATCGGAGGAGGTTGGGGGGGAGATGGCGAGAAGAGGGTCGCTTGGCTCTGGTGCGGAGGAAGGAGGAATTGTGTGCTGTAGCAAGTATGGTGGTAGTAAATTTTACTCTGCGGAAGATTCTTGTTAGGACTGGTGCTGTGTGGATCGGCGAGTGCACTGCAACTTGGAAGCTTGAAGGCGGAGCGGAGGAGATGCAGGTGATGGGAAGAGGCGGCGGCGGCGGCGGCGTTCAACTGGCATGCGCGAGCACAAAGAAGCGGCAGTCGCTGAATGGTCGGCTTGCCCCGTTTGAGCACCTGCAAGGGCAAGATATGGAAGGCACGAAGTGAGGTGCGCGTCGCGGCGCTGGCGTACACCATCGCACAAGGGAAGGGGCGTCGTCATCGCCCTGCACACTGTACGCGAACATTGAACCCAACACATCCTGGCCGCCGGAATTCATGCGCATGCTGATATCTTGGACTTCCACACTTCGGATGTCGGCACCCCAGGCCCTATAGCTGGAGCGTTAACACGTGGTAGCGATCGCGTGGGCACTTACGCAGTCATGTTCTCCGAGGCACTGGAGGTCTACATTTCAATTTTGTTTTCAGCCGCCAACACCATTTCGAGGTCGAGACAACTCATCATCATCATCATCATCATCATCATCATGGCCATGCAGCCGCATCACTGACAGATTGCTGAATGCTGACAGCATCTCCGATAAAGCTTGCCCGAGATCTGTTTCTCCGCCGCAAGGACACGGACGACATCGGATCCTCGTAAGAAGTCCAATATGGATCGCAACGGGGTTTGGAGAACCGCAGAGTCCGAAGCCCACGAGCGGAGATGGCAGTGGCCGACCGCGACCACTGCCGATGCTGCATGCTCTGCCGTGCGTCTTGGTTGGGGACGTGGCAGGTCTATGAATTCATGACGCCCCCATACAAGCACAAGAACCAAGTGCGGTGCAGGTTGACATCCGCTCGAGCAAACCTAATAACTCAATCTTGCGCCTCCTCGGTTGGCGCTCCGAGAATTTAGCGGCCCGCTAAGAGTCAGGTTCTTCACCTCACCTCCCCGCGCGCGCCACGTCTCCCCTCCTCTCCACGTCGTTAGTGATCTGACCAACAAAAGGGCTACAAACAGCCCCACCCGTACGAGCGAAAGATCGCATGCGCAGGCGAGCGTGCGGCTCAATTGTGCAGATGGAGCAGCGCCGTGGACCAAGATGACGAATACTTCCCCCAGCCCCTAGTGGCCGTGCCGCGTAAGGCCTGTGCGATGCAGTCTCTGTGAGACATGGTCAAGCGTTCCAAATGCAATTCTGCTCCGTTCGAAACAGCTGAATACTGTATTCTTCGGCAGGACTCACGCGGTCTTACAGCCTCTGCTTACCTTGTGTGAACCACTCTGTGGTGTGCGAGAGGCGCAATGGAGGATTCCGTATTCCGTGGAAGAGAAGACTATTTCAAAATGGTAAGCTACTTTAGATGTCGATGTTCATGACATCGAGCACGGTGCTCGCTTGCAGAAGGATTGCTGTGCGTTTCGCCTGTCTCGCGGACTGACGTCTGAAGGCTCGGAGATAACGCTATCAAAGCCGGGGGCCTGTCCAGGTCAGGAAGTTGCAAGTCTGTCAATTGAAGTCTGTCTATTGATGTCCCTATCCACTGAAGCGATCATTGTCTACTCTCAGCGAGTCAGTGTATATCGGTGTTGAAAAACATTAAATATCCAAGATGCTGCGAAGTGCGAAAGAATCAGTCCCGAAACCCGTTCTCGCCGCTCTGTAGGCACTGCTTCTTGCTGCATCAATTCGACACTCTTTCGCGTCTCAGTCGATGAAGTCTCTTCCTTCGCCATACTCTAGCACCACCCACTGACAGAACTTTTCGAATTCCGCCGCCCACTCCTTCATTCTCTGCGCGCGAATTCCTTTCCCAAAGGCACCATCCTTGATACTCTGCGACCATTCCTTGGAATTGCAATTGTCGAAATTCGCCCATCGGACGCTATTCTCGGCCATGTTCGCCAGCCCGGCCAGTCCGAGATTCTCCCACGCTTGCAAGGTCTGCCAGAAATCGTGCGACATACCGCTCGTGCCTTGACCGAGGATGGCAGGGTCGTCGTTCGAGAGGGAGCAAGGAACGCCTCTCGCGAGGAGAGCTGGAAGGGTGTTGTGCATGATGGACCCGGTGAAGCGGAGGACTTCGTTGGAGACGGGGCAGGATTCGACGAGGATCCGTTTGTCTTTGACCATGTCACACAGGAGAGGGTGTTTGTACAATGTAAGGCCGTGTCCGATGCGTCGTGTCCCCAGTAAGATGGCATCGTACATGTTTTCATCGACGCTGTCGCCGTCACCGAGCGTTTCGCCGGCGTGGAAGAAGAAGGGTATGTCGATGCCGTTCTCTGCCTGTGCTTTCTTGAACCAGAAGAGTTCCGGCAACAGGTCTGCTAGGGGTCTGCCTAAGTCTTCCTGGCCGACGAGATCGAAACCGCCAAGTAGTTCGGGAAATTCGAGTTTCATTGCGATGCAGTGTTTCATATCTTCCACGATCTCTTTCGTGCCGCCGTGACGGATGGCCGTCCAGATCAGTCGGCCGCCCCAGAAGCCTTTGCCCTCCTCCGAGTTTTTGAAGTTATCGATTTCCACTTCTAAAGCATCCAGAAAGTCAAAAGCATCGGGACTGGGCTCTTCAGACTCTTCTTTGAAGTAAGGTACGGTGAAGTCCGTCCGGATATCGACCCACCGTATGCCATCCGCATGCAGACTCTTCAGCATGTTACGGATCAAAGCGCGGTGGATGGGCTCGTATCGGTGGAGACCTTTGACGATAGCGAAGCAGGAGATGAACTTGCGCCAGATATCATTTGGACCCATGTGATGCGCGATGGATTCTTCCTCTGTGATGGTGATCCTTGACTTGAGCCACTTCTTGAAACCTTCCTTGCCGCCCTGTGGAAAGCTTTCAGCGGCCACAGCGATGGGTATGCGATCGCAGGGCGTATACGACTCGGACCACAGCGGTGGGCCTGAAGACGTATTCTCCGCTTTTGCGAAGCGAAAACCGAACATTTCGTTTTGTCGTAGCTCGGCAGTATGGAGAGACTTGTCTGCAAGAATACATATTCCAGGAGTGGCGAAGGCTGTCTCGATAAGCCAGTCCATATCACCAGTCGCATCCAGGTGACAATGGAGAAGTGCTCCTTTCGGCATTTTCTTTACAATTTGCCAGAGCTGGCTTTTCTCCATGCGCTCCTTTGCAAGTGAGAACATCATCCCCGGGAAAACTGGTCCTTGTGTCGATTGAGCCAGTTCGTCGTCCATGCCTGGCGACCAAAGAGTCTGCTGCTCTTCAAAGCGAATCTGGACGATAATCGCCTCCGCTTCTCGAGCCATTGGAGATGATGTCTCGCGAAACGCATGATCGCTGCGTTGGCTTTTCTCCCGGGCAATGAGTGCGTCCCTCCCGTCAAGGTACTTCTGAATGAAAGGCTGGTCAAGGCTGGGCAGGCCTTCCTTTTCAGCCCAAGCCTCATCGCTCAGTTCTCTGGCCTGACTGGAGGCCATTGTGGAGGAAATGGAGATGACAAGTGGTTGAGAGAGTAAGGAGAAAGTTGACCCTACTGCTGCACAGGCTGGTGCCTGCGGTGAGCGTTTTGGGCTAGTTGCGGAGCGCTTGGCACGTATCTATAACGACAGAGCATTGGACGATTCCCTTTGCAAGCTGTGACTATACCGCTCCAGATACAGTGATACGGTACTGCGGTGATGGTGCCGTGTAAGGTAGTGATGGCAGAAGTGAAGTCTGTTATCGGCGTTGTTATCGGCGTCGGATGGTCCGAGCTTTCCCCGCGTCGTCATGCCCACGGCCGCATGTGACATCGCCAGCTGCGAGACAATCAACCTACATACTTTACTTTGGTAAAAACCCAAAGGGGTTCTGGTTCTTCGCACCTTCTCTCGACCCCTACGACAACACCTTAGACGAGTCACACACCACGAGATGCGCGCGTAATCTGACAGAACGATGCCACGCCAACTCTACGACGCGATAAGAGTGGGAGCATGCGCGTGTTTGACCGCCGCCAGGCAGACTGCTTCCAAGTAAACCGAGTTCTGGCAAACCTCCGAGTCCACTCTACTACCTCTCGCTCCCTCCTCGCCTCCATCAAACTCTTACGACTTATCTGCGCAGAAGATGTCGGCTTGGTGGCAGAACAAGGTCCTTCGCTATGGCCTTCGCTATGGACTCGCGAGGACGGGTCTGTTGGAAGACGAGGCGCTGGATCTGGACAACTTGAACATTACGCTCGGAAAGACAAATGTGATAGATCTGAAGGATGTCGGTCTGAACATCAAACGTATCAGTCAGTTGGCCCAACTACCGCCGTGCCTGCGTCTCGAGACGGCTCGCGTGCTAGCATTGCGTCTCATCATCCCTGCCGACTTCTATCAGTCCAGCATCGTAGTCGAGGTGGATGGGGTCGAGATCGTAGCTCGACTGCAAGAGGAGGATGTTACAGCGCAACAATCACAGCGCAAGCCTCGCGCTAGATCACCTGCTACCTCTCGAACTCCCCAACATCGCAAGACGAACCGTCGGATACCTTCGCCGCCTCCGTACGATCCAGGTGGCTCGGAAGATGAATTACATATACCTACTACAGAAGAGGTGGCTAAGTCCTTCATGCGAGAGGAACCGCCGCAAGAACGGAGAGAGTTGGAAGCTTTGGCGGCAAACAACGCTGCAGTGGAGGAGTCATTCGTCAGCGAGAGTAGCGAGGGTGGTGATATCGGTACTGGTGTTGGGGTTGGAGTCCCTGGGTTCCTCACCAACTTCCTGCAGGGAATCGTGGACAGATTCAAAGTGGAAGTAAAGAACGTGCAGGTCAATGTTGAGACGGATATTGGAGGAGAAGATGGACAACCCATGCCGGTGACTCTCAGACTGACGGTTGGTTCAGCCGAGCTGGATCGGCTACAGAGCGCCGCGAACGAAGGGCAAGGTGATGCTATACCAAAGAGGAGGTTGAAGATCCGCAACTGTTCTGTTGCATTGCTGTCCGATGCAACATTGTTCGCTGAGATGTCTGAGATACCCTCGCGAGCATCGCCTGCCGCCACCAGGTCGCCGGCGGAGAGTCCTCGTGCCAGCCGAACTGCAGATCCCATTTCTCCGGAATCGCCTCTTGAAGGTGTCCCAACCTCTGCTAACAGACCTTTCAGTCCGATTGGAACATCCACTGGGATATCTACTGGGCCGCCATTGTCCATGTCACTGCCGCGCCCGCTGTCGCACATGGAGCCTTACACTGGCATGGACAACGCTGACCAATTTGTAGAAACAGAAAATGAGGAAGTTGATGAGGGTCAAGCCAGGTCTTCAATTTTGGACATCAAGCCCGGTGACGATAACGTGAGTTGGGGTTCTCGGAGAAGCCAGGCTAGCGCGCCGTCGGACGACTTATGGAAGAGCATGGCCAGCGAAGATGACCTCCCAGACTCACTTATTATTCAGCCGGGGCGAAGTGGCACACCTAAAGCGCTGTCGTCTCACGGCAGTAGTCCATTCGCGAACAGGCGGTCAGGTAGCATGCCGCTGAATGAGCCCGATACTACGAGCTCAGGATCATGGCCAAGACTTGGAGATCGGAATGTGCGCTCTCAACATAGCGGAGGCTCGTGGCCCACTGCACAACAAAGCCAACACGATGAGTACGAACCGCTTGACGATGTTCTTGCGACCAGCACTTCGCAGATTACGGACAATAAGCTCACAGCCTTCGAGCGCGATCCGCAGGGTCCGCTACCCGAGACACCTCCAGAGCCACTAGGAGAAGTTGGAGATGACATGATGGAGTCCAAGCTGTTCAGTCACGATGAGGCGGAGAGCATGTACATGAGTGCCATGACTGGAAGTCCGGAGATGAATATGCCTGGCGGCTGGAACGCAGATGCTCAAAGCGACAATTCGTCTTCGAGTAAGCGGTCAATGGCGCCGAACGCGTCAAACCTGGATGGTAGCATGATGTCTGCAACCTCAACTCCGGATCTCAACCGACATTCTGAACATGCTACTCCCCGAGCCCAGAGTCCTGATCTTACCTGGAGAGTTGCAGGCTCCCTTCAGCTGCCTGATACCAGCAAAGTAGTACGGGAGGTTCTGTTCGTAGACACCGTATCGGTCAGTATTCCTCAATCTGGTACGAGCCGTCACGAAGAACAGCGCCATTCGCAGCAGCCCCAGAAGGCTCGTCATTCCGTCTCTGCGAGCCGTATCGGTCACGGTATGCCTGGTACATTCTCTGCGTACTCTGAGATGAGTAGCAGCAAGTTTCGGGACGGGGGCTTTGCACATCGCGAGTCAAACAGCATCCTTGGTACGCCTCCAAAGATTGAGCCGTCTGTCCAAATAGAAGTCGCGGTGGGCGTCATTCGGGCACAGTTAGACGTCTCCGCCAGTAGGATACTCTATGCAATCGTCTCTGGAGCTGTGTCTTCTTTTAGCAGCCAGGGATCGGAGCATTCGAAGCAGCCGACGGGAACCCCACGAGAAAGCAAGGTTTCAATGTGCGTACAGATCGATGGCTTCCACGCCTGTTTCCGTGAGGACATCCCGTCGGGCGCGACACTTGCAGGGGGGGATGATCTCGCCAGCGCGCTACTCGGCTTTCACTGCCAGCGTATTGACTTCTCCACCCTGGACGACACCAAATTGAGCATTGGATTTCTACAAATCACGCTGGGGCAGACGGAACTCTTAAGCTTTATTCACGAAGTTGACACGACCGCAAGCTCACACATACTCACACGCGGATCGCCTGTTGTTAAGATCGATGTCTCTAGGAACAGATTTGCAATGACCGGACGACCAATCGTGGAAATCGCAGTGCATACCAGTAGACTCGCTCTCGATCTGGACCTCTCTGCAGTGGACGAGAAGTTCGATTGTTTCGGTGGTATCAGCGGCATGCTTGAGCTCGGATCTTCGATTCTAACTGAGGGCGAAACCACATCTGTCCGACCGGCCAAGCCATCGAAAGGAGTTCGATTCGCTGAAGATTCTGAAACCCCCCGATCTGGCGCCGAAATCAAACTCAACGGCCGTGTGGATGGCTTGTCCACGACATTGCGAGGCCCTTCTTGCTCAATGAGTTTGCGTATGCCCACGCTCAAATTCGTGTATCGCGAACATGGTGCTTCAGCAGCGATCGATCAGGTTTTATTGAGCGGTCCACATCTACCATCCGGCGACTCGAGTCATCCGCTGTCGTTGAGATTGGCCAAGCTGCGCGTGGAATACTACTTCGAGCCTCAGGATGCGGATTTGGAGCGGCTTCTGTCCTTGATAACACCTTCCAAAGACAAATATGACAACGACAACGACATCCTCATCGACACGCTCCTTCGTCAGAGACGTAAAGGTGCCGTGTTGCGCGTAGTGATTGACTCCTTAAAGGCACAAGTGGACAATTGGGACTGCGTGTCGACGTTGAACGCCCTGGCCGATGATCTGGCCAAGCTTTCCGCTGTTACCAAATATTTGCCAGAAGATGAGAAACCGGGCATACTCACACTGCTTCGCCTGAAAGCAACAGAACTTGAGCTTCCCATCAACGAGAGATTCGGCAACCTCGGTGTTACGGCTCAGGAGCTGTGCCTGGCGCATGTTGGTCTGCCAGCTCTGCTTGCTTTCTCTGTTGGGGACTTGGTCGCAAGTCAGGCTGGTGGGCCACAGCTGGTTCACTCCCTCATCCCATGCTCTGGTTCCGAGAATCCACCGGTCTTCATGGCGCGCATTCTAGGTGACGAGGCAGAGCCGATTGTAAAGCTCAAGGCATTCAATCTTTGTGCTGAGTATAGCGTGCCGGTTGTCCTAGCTCTGACAAGCATGGACGAAGAAATGGAACCGGAAGAAATGATCAACGCCATGGCCCAATCAGTTGCCAATTTAATGGTCGCTGATTCTCTGCCGAAGCTCCAGCGCAGCCCAGAGAGCGATCTTTATAAAGCGAGCACAAAGCGCACAATCATCGACCTTCTTATCCACGACTCTGCGATCGGTCTGAGTCCCCAGAATCTGCCTTCCAAAGCACTTGCCGTGCTCCACGACGTCCATCTCTCGACTAAGATTCCTCCGGAAGAAAAATTGTGCGCGCATTTAGACCTGCGCAAGTCGTCAATATTTGTATGCGACCACCAGCCGGAACCTCCCACGACTTCGGAGATGCCCAAAACCCTTGCAGAGCGGCACGTTCGCCTCTCCAAAGTTCTGGCCAGTGAAGGTTATGCTCAAATTGGCACCATTATGTCCGCGAAGATCGACATATTTGCTAGAGACAGTGCAAGTTTAGAGTCGAAGACAGTTGAGGTCGACATTAAGAACGACTTGCTGCTGCTCGAAACGTGTGCAGACTCCTTGCATACGCTTGTTGCAACCCTTGGCGCTTTGGCTCCACCAACTCCGCCTAACAGAGATCCAAAGTATCTGACCGAACCGCTGGCGATTGAGGATCTTCTGAATTCATTTCCAGGCGAGGAAGTAGTCCGGAGAACCCCTCAAGCGCCTCCGCAGCTGCTTTTCGATGCAGAAAATGATCTGGAAGACCTTGGATCTGATGTGCCACTCGGAGGATCTATATTCGACGCTGATCCCGATGACATGATTGCAGAATCGGCCATGACGGGAAGTCTTTACGGTCCCATCAATGACATATATGGTATGGCTGAAGACGGCGAGACTGAGAGCCCCGCTGCCGGAGACTACCCGGAAACCGCAGAAAGCCTTCTTGAAGATGATCCTTTCGAGATGTCTATGTCTCCCGATGAGAACTTCAGTGATGCAGCATTAAAGCGAGACCTCAATCGGAATCCCAAGCCTGCAATTGCCGGAGAGGCTGTGGAGTTGAGGTCTGAAAACTCTGAGTTAGATTCTCGTGAAATTTTGGACGGCGGATATGATGCTCTGGGAAGTGCGCAGCAGGCTCTTGGAAATCAGCACCGGTTCAATGCACCATACATTGTACCGCAGCCATCACAACGAGTCCCCGCGCACAAGGATCTTCCGTTCAGACTTCGCGTGAGAGACTTCAATGTAATCTGGCATCTCTACGATGGCTATGACTGGCAAAGAACGAGGGACGGTATCGTAGAGGCTGTTGAAGAAGTTGAGCAAAAAGCCGAAGAGAGAAAAGCTCGCCGTCGACGATCGCGAGATGACCCTGCTGACGACGGATCAGTCATTGGCGACTTCCTCTTCAATTCCATCTACATCGGTGTGCCCAGCAGCTATGATGCCCAAGATCTCCGCCGTCAAATCAACCGCAACATCGATGAAGAAGTAAGCGAGACGGCGAGCGTGCCTGCATCAGGAACTTCACGGCCTACTACATTCTCCGCATCGGGTCAGCCACAACCTCGTCAGCGGAGACGGCTGAAACTCGGCCGTAGCAAGAATCACAAGATCACATTCGAGCTCAAAGGGGTCACTGCTGATGTTTTGGTCTTTCCACCTGGAAGTCGTGAGACTCTCAGTTCTGTGGATGTCCGGCTGAGGAGCTTCGAGATCTTCGACAAAGTGCCTACATCGACATGGCGGAAGTTCTTGACCCATATGACGAGCGACGAAAGCAAGAGAGAAATGGGCAAGCCCATGTTTCATATTCAGCTGGAGACCGTCAAGACAATCGAGAGTCATGCAGCTACAGAAATCAGGATGCACGTGTCTGTGCTCCCTCTGAGGCTGCACGTAGATCAGGATGCCTTGGATTTCATCACACGTTTCTTCGAGTTCAAAGACGACAGCGTGTCAGGTCCCACTCCTGACAGCGAAAAGCCATACCTTCAACGTGTCGAAGTTGACACTGTGGATCTCTGTCTAGACTACAAGCCGAAGAACGTGGACTACGTCGGCCTGCGCTCAGGAAAGACGACCGAATTTATGAACTTCATTACTCTCGAAGCTGCCAACATTCGCCTGCAACATGTCATTGTGTACGGGTTGCAGGGTTTCGAACAGCTTCATCCCAGACTCAACGATATTTGGACGGGAGATGTCAAACGGAACCAGTTGCCTACTATCATGGCAGGTCTCGCTCCTGTGAGAAGCTTGGTCAACCTGGGAAACGGCGTCAAGGAGGTGGTGGCTGTTCCCATCGCGGAGTACAGGAGGCATGGTCGTATTGTCCAGAGCATTCGCGCTGGAGGCGTGATATTCGGCAAGACAACTACGGCAGAGCTCGCTCGGCTTGGCGCGAAAGTGGCAATGGGTACGCAGACGCTACTGACCACAGCAGAGCACATGTTGTCGCCTACTGCAGCAGCGTTATCGAGTCGTCCTGGCTCCGGAAACAGGTCTTCTGGGGACAACTGGCATGACCCTACGTCAGCATCAGATGAGGACGAACCGGAGCAGAAGGCGATTTCAGCGTACGCCAACCAACCTCTTGGTCTTCTTTCTGGACTCAAGTCTGCAAGGCGCTTCCTTGAACACGACTTACTCACAGCCAAAGATGCACTGATTGCCGTCCAAGGCGAATGGATGGAGAGTCGAAACCCGAGCGAAGCTGCAGGAGCTGTGGCTAGACACGGTCCAACCATCATCTTGCGGCCACTTGTCGGTGCCGCAAGGGCCACTGGTACCGCGTTGTTGGGCGTCGGAAATCAAATCGATCGCGGTAACCTGAGGAAGGTTGATGATGTAAGCTTTTGCCCCGAAGACCACGTTTGCTGCCATTTGCTAATGTTTCCGTGTAGAAGTACAAGCCGCGTTGAGCGAACCACACAACGTCGGCAATGAGGCCGCAGACGCATGAGATGGGTTTGGGAAAGAGGTGCATTGCTTTGCATAGCGTTTGGAGTTTATGGCAAATGGGTGCATGAAGAAGCGTTGAGCGAAGCTGATACCCCCTCATGATCTCTTATGACCCACTGATAAAGCATGCGCAGGAAGGAATACTTTCTGCTCCTTCTCTCAATGACATCAAGTTTCAGAATGTTTTGCTGGACGCAGGGCGGTTCTGGCGGACAGCCCGTGCTATCCAGGTTCATTCGCCCAATTCGTTCAACTCTTGTTAGTAGCCTACAAGATGCATGTTTCTTGAGCAGACACAACATCGTCGACCAAAAATATCTGAAAGCTGGCCTACCGTCAAGAAGAATACAGCACCTTCGCCAAGATTCACTAGCGGTAGTACCCAGTTGATGTTCGGGTATGGTCTAACATCCTCGTTGATCTGATTGAGTACTCGGGCGACAAGTCCATTATCTGCCGACCTGTGAGCAACACTATACCCACCAGGCGGAAGGATTGAGAGTATACATCCAATGCCGCCCACGAAAGCCATCCTCACAGCATTCATGGTTCCTATACAATTCACCGATGTCCAATATTTTTCGTCAGTCTTGTCCTAGTTTCGTTCTTTCGCCTCTTCTGTCCGATTCCCGCCGGCACGATGGTCGATATAGGATGGTTCATCGCAGTATAGCTGCCACCTTTCTCAATATTGTCAACATTCAACGTGCTTATCAGAAGAGTGATCAGAGGGCTTCGCGACATTCACGACTGTTGCACGTCTGGAAATAAGACTTGTGCGCGTCGCGTGTATTCAAATCTTAAAAGGGAACAACCTGTCTGAGATTGCCAACATACGGCCGTCGAGAATATACACCATGCCACTATTGCGTGAGCTGCAGTCTCGTGGCGCTCGCTTGTTGCACGCCAACACGGATAACAAGCCCATACTTCTTGTCTGGCGGGGTATATCCGCCGTCCAAGTCGACAATGGAAACGCCATGGCTGTCCACGACGAAGAGATCACATGTTGTGGGGGGCAGCCAGATGTCCAAGACCTTTCGGCTATCGTTCCGTCCTTCCCACCTGGGAAAGATCTTCTAGACCACGTTATCACCGCAAAAGACACTAGTGCGGCAAGCCTGTAGCTCTTGTGTGTGCACATGAGCGGCTCTCACAAGTGCACGGGAATGTCCCAGAGGCCCGCATGCCTGGTAGCTCTGTCTGCCATCGGGAGTCACTTCGACCTAGGCTGCAGCGAGCATGTTGTCGAAGCTTGTAGCTATGGAAACATCTGCATGTTATCAAGGCGGGGCATAGATTTGCAGTGGTGTCGCTTCAGATTGCTGGTGAGGGAAGAGCAACGTACCGCGATTATGCGGTTTGCACGCTAAGAGGCTCGAACCTCGCATCCAGACATGTGCTCGTGGATCGAGCCGCCAAGCTCGAGACACTTCAGGGTGTTTCGTGTGATCCGGAAATAGCAGCTGTGTGGGAATTAAACAGACGATAGCCCGATCTTCAAGTCATTTGGAACACCACCATGCTCTGGACGCAACTGACTATCATCCAAGGATATTTCTCGAGACAATCTATAGACGAGCTAATGCTGCTCGGTCTCCGCCTTTGACGCTCAGCTCGAGGGTGTCCCCGTGATTGTCGAGTGGAACGAAATGTCTCTTCGTGCTGACATTGATCAAGTCCTCGCGCGTAATCTCGTTTGTCTGAACAGCAGGGTTATAGCCCAAACGTTCCCGACCGTCACGGACATTGCGAATTTCTTCCCAAGTCAGTGCCGACCTACCATCGGCGCGGCAGAGGACTATGGCATTCGCAGATCCGTCGAGACTCAGCGTAATCTGTAAGCAATTCAATGCCTTGGAGGGTGGATCGTTGGCCCAGCCACGCAATTGCCACACAAGACCGCATAAACCGTATGAACCCGTCGTGCCAGTAAATGTGTGTTTTACGCCTTCCGATATTCGTGGAGCAACCTCGAACTGTTCTAGGGCCTGTTTGGTATTCGAATCAGAGCTGTTCCGGATTTCCAAGACTTGAATGTCTCTTTGCTCTATGCGAGCTTGTCTCAAGGCTGCATTGACAGCGGTCCTAATCGTTCGCGGGAAGTCCGGGCCTCCGAGCGATTGTGAATATATGCTGCTGGTTGACGAGTAGCCGGACACCGTCACTGCGCCATCTTTCAGATATGCATGAGATGTCAAGAAGAGATCCGATACCAAGATCATCCCGACGATTGACAGCTGTGCCAGATCAGTACATCTGTCAGTTCTCTTGACAAGTCATGCTGCACGAACCTCCGATCGTTGCTCGTCTGTGTCAATGCTCAAGAGAAGCACACATTCCGACTGCTTCGACTTCACAGCTTGTGCGGCAGTGAACAGTCCAAGGGTATTATCGACCTGACACACAGGCGCACCGTGCTTGCCGAACGCGTCCAAGCATTTTGGAGGAATTCGAGTCTCGTCCAGAAAGCTGGCGACGGTCAGATCAACACAACCATAGGTTACACCGGCATCCAGGAGGGCCTTTGTGGCAGCAGAAATCGCAAGTTTGTCTATTCGGGTCCGTGTATGTTTGGATCCTCCAGTGACTCCGATGCCAGCGATATGAGCTTGTGACACTCGCATGGTTTCCAGGTACGATTGGGCAACTCCAAATGCTTTTCTGATTTACGACAGACCCTTTGATGCTGTGCTGGTTGTTGCGATGGATTGTCGAGAACGCCAACCTGGACGGCACCTGCAGAAGCATGACATTGCTCGGCAGAGATTCAGGGCGTGATGAGGTGACTTCCGGCACGTGTGGGGGTCCGCTAGTGAGCGCGCTAGTGAGCGGGGCAGCCGATTTACATATGCTGATCTGCAGCGGAGGATTCGTGGGGTACTGCACTACTGTACTACACTACACATGACCAGCCACCGACGTTACCGTCATTCACCACGCATCTGAGACGGACTATCCCGTCCGATAAGCATAATGTCTTGCGACGAGGCCATCATGCTCACCCTGCTCACGGTCCGCCTGTCCGTGTGCCTTGGCGATCAATGGTGATCCTGGCAAATATTCTCTCGCTCGTGCTAGAAGTGAGCCATCAACATGTGCCAACGGGCAGTCGGAGAGAAATAGTGTTCCCTATACAGACGTCTGAAATCGTCTATCAACAATGGAGCCAACTCCTCAGAGTCAACCTCAAGACGACGAGCGACCGCCGTCAATTGTCTATGGGCCATCGCAACCGATACCACTTACCCTGACCTTCAGCCAGCTTTTGGATTACCACGTCGAGGTCAATGGCGACCGACCAGCAGTCATATCACATCCTCAAAATGGATTGACGCTATCTTTTCGCCAATTACGCCAACGGAGTATTCAACTCGCCCGAGCGATGTCAAAAGATGGCATTGGCAAAGGAGACCTGGTAGCCATCTCTCTGGGCAGTCGAACGGAATATTTCGAGACTTTCTTCGCTGTAGCGAGACTGGGTGCAGCTCTGGTGTTGCTCAACTATGCGTACGCAGAATCCGAGATGTTGGCGTTGCTGAAGATTGTTCGTACGTGCTTCCATTGCTTTGATCTGAAAATGGGCAGCTTTTGATTAATCCTAGGGCCAAAGATGCTGGTAGCCTCGACCGGATTCGCCTACTACGATAACACCAAAGTGCTTCCCAAGATCGCCGCCGAGATACCCGACATCGAGAAGTTTGTCATTATGGAAGATCTCGAGAAAAAATACCAGCTCTCTCCAAGCGAGCCACTGGAAAGATCTGAGGGATACGAAGAATACATCCAGCAATTTGAGCCAACCGAAGACGTTTCATCATTACCAGAGGTCTCTATTTCTCCACACGACATGGTGAATGTTCAGTTCACGTCTGGTAAGTTAGTCAATGGGATTTGAGCTCTGGCTGTACGATTGCTTACCACTTCGTTGCTCAACAGGCAGTACTGGTTTGCCCAAATCTGTTGCCCTATCACACTACAACATCATGAACTGCGGACGATATATCTGGCAACAAACGAGAATGACTGAACAAGATCGAATCTGCTTACCTGTCCCGTTGTTCCACTCTTTCGGCATGATAGTCGGTATGTTGAACGAATCAGGTCTGAATTTCCTGCTCAGCTAACAGTATGCTGCAGGTATCAGTACCAGCACCGTTGCCGGCTCAGCGCTTGTCCTACCACACGAGATCTTCAATTCCAGAGCGACATTAAGATGCATAGAACAATACAAATGCACAGCTATCTACGGCGTACCTACGATGTTTGTAACAGAGATGGAGCAGAAGGAATTCGATTCCATCGATCGGTAAGTTGGCTTCCAACAGCGGTCAGATTCTCCGAACTAACGAAGTCTCCTCTTCAGCTCTACAATCAAATTTGGCATCATAGCAGGCGCAGCAATGCCACCCGAGCTGCTCAAACGCATCGTCACCAAGTTCCCAGTACCGCGCCTCTACACCTGCTGGGGCATGACCGAACTCAGCTCCTTCGTGACCATGATGCACGAAACAGACCCCTATACCAAACGAATCAAAACAGCCGGACGCCTCTTCCCTCACTTCGTCGCCAAGATCGTCGAACCCAACACAGGCAAAGTCTTACCCTGGGGCGAGAAAGGCGAAATCGTCGCGAGTGGATACGGACAAATGTCTGAGTACTTGAACAACAAAGAGAAGACCGAGGAAACGTTGAAATACCACGTCGAAGATCTGGAACCCGGCGGCGTGGGCGCCCTAGATGGCGAAGGCAGAATTTTGCGGAAATGGATGCATACGGGCGATGAGGGCTATCTCGATCCAGAGGGATACTTTGTCATTTCCGGGCGGATCAAAGATCTGATCATCCGTGGCGGTGAGAATATCTCACCGATGGAGATTGAAGACCGCATCATCGAGCACGAATCCGTCGCTCAGGCATCGATCGTAGGCGTTCCCGATGAGAAGTACGGCGAGGAGCTGGGAGCGTTCGTGGAGGCCAGGGAGGGGTATGCGAAGCCGACGGACGAAGAGCTGAGGGTGTTTGTGAGGGAGAAGTTGGCGAGGTTCAAGGCTCCCAGATACTTCTTCTGGCTGGGCAGTGGAGGACATGTGCCCGACGAGTGGCCCAAGACCACGAGCGGGAAGATTTCGAAGCCGGATTTGAGGAAGTTGGTGGAGAAGATAATCGAGAAGAAGTAGATTTATTTTCGATTGTTACAATTTCTGTCCACTCACCAGACTGTATGATGGGAACATCTACGTCGAATGGCCACATTTGTAGCCTTCAAGTGTTCTGGAAAAGAGGATAATGTTGACTGAACTGCTATTTACACAAATTCCAAGTCTCAAATAGAACCAAAGCGAATGCTTCTCAACAAGAGGTATTATTCAAGATGGGAGGAGTCCAGCTAGTGATGCCCATTGATGCCGTTAACGCCATTGGCACCGTTGGTCACGCCGTTCGTGCCGTTGGTCATGCCGTTGGAACCATTGGTCACGCCGTTCGTGCCGTTGGTCACCTTCGCTCCACCAGTCTGCTGCTTGATGTACTCCGATACCTTCTCGGCAATACCGAAAGCCTGTAGAAGAGAAAAATCTGTAAGCAAATGACTTTGATTATTGGTGTGACAGTTGTACTTACCGGCATCTGAGTGTGTCCGCTGTGCAGCGAAGGCATGATCGAACAGTCGACAACTCTCAAGTTCTTGCAGCCATGAACCCTCAGGTACTTGTCGACGACAGACGTCTTGTCCTCGGCCTTGCCCATCTTGCAAGTTCCACCAGGGTGGTACGAAGTCGAAGCATACTTCTGCACAAATGAATGCCAGTCTTCGTTGGTCTTGTTGAGGTGGTGGCTTGTGCCGCGTGGCCAGCCGCCCTTGACAATATTCTTCGTCCCAGCACCTTCCATGACGACTTCGTTCAGGAAGCGAACTCCCTCAGACATCATCAGCAAGTCCCTGCGGTCGGAGAGGTATCTTGGGTCGACCCATGGAGGCTCGAAGGGGTCTGTGGTCTTGATCTTGACCTCGCCTCGCGACATGGCGCCACAAAGGAATGTGCAAGCCGAGAAAGCCCATTCACCGGACTTAGGAAAGTCGGTGTACTCTGGTGGTCCACCATAGCAGATAGTGTTGAAGAACTCCATGTTTGGCTGAGTCTCGGTAAGATCCATTGGATCACGGCCCTCGCGGCGTGGGAAGTTGCGCCATTCCTCACTGTCTCGCTCGAGGCGGTCTGCCAGTCTTGCAAAGCCGAAAGCGCCGAACGGGAAAGTTGATAGCCAACCAGACTTCTTCTCTTCCCATTCTTTGTGGCCGTTGGTGTACGCATCGGGATCGTGGTTGACGCGAGCATCATCAGTGAGATCAGGTTCGCTGAGCTCGTAGTACATGAAGATGAGTTGATGGTCTTGTAGGTTCTGACCAACGCCAGGAATGTCGAGCTGTACGGGGATGTTGAGGCTGTTGAGAACCTCCTTAGGTCCGATTCCAGAGCGCATAAGCATTGCTGGAGAGCAGTAGGTGCCACCGGCAAGAAGAACTTCTCGGCTTGCATTGGCTGAGTAGCGATTGCCATCATTGTCGAGGTACTCAACGCCCTTGGCCTCAAGTTCTCCGTCTGCTCCCTTCTCTAGGATGACTTTGTCAACAGTCGCGTGACAGATGATGGTGACGTTCTTCCGTTCGTAGTCCTTCGTGATGTAGTCGGCAGCGGTGGTACGAGAGCCTTTCCAAGTGGTCCTCATAGCATGACCACAGCCGTTGGCCGCTTCTCCTGTGCTGAACATGTCGGGTCGGTATGGTAGCCCTTTGGACTGGAAAGATTCGAACATCTTGTGTGCGATCGGGAAGGGCGCCTCAGCTGGTTCGATGCGAAGAGGACCATCAAAGCCATGAGCGCTCTCCTCATGAGGGAACCATTTCTTAGGAACGAACTTTTCGGACTAGTGATGGCGTGTCAGATGTGATCGTGACCTTGTTGCGATTTTCCTCACCTTCTTCATGGCTCTGAACATCTCATCGCCACTCCACTCCGGGAAACCCCAGTCATCGTAGTCCTGCTTCACTCCTCGAATACAGATGGTGCCATTAGAGCCACTGCTTCCTCCCAGAAACCTTCCTCGTGGGAGTCTGCATTCTCTGTTCTGCAGGCCAGCCTGTGGCGTAGAGACAATGTTCCAGTCGGTCTCTCCGTAATGGCATTTCGTCCATGCTCCTGGCATCTGGACATCGTCGAGTTCTGCGCTTGGCGAGCCTGACTCAATGATCAAGACCTTGAGGTTGGGGTCCTCTGACAAGCGTCCTGCAACAACAGGCCCACATGTTCCACCACTAAGTATGCATGTCAGGCTCGCGTGCTGCCATTACTACTGTTGGAGCCGACTTACCCTGCAATAATGTAGTCGTAAGTGTCCGGCATGGTTGCTATTAACAAAAGTGATGAATTGGGATGAAGCAGTGTACGTGTGTATGATGATGTGCTTGCACAGATCCCTTTTATCCAGCTAGGATACTTTCGCGGACATGTTCATAGCGAGGGTATCGTCCAGACCCGGAGTACTAGAACAGTACAGTACCTGCGAGCTGTCGAGCTACACGATCTGGAAGCGGGGACAGCGGCATGATCTGCGCCACGTATAGGAGGTTGACACTCGAGTACCAAGGCAAAGGACCAGGTTTGGTGATTCTCTCGGATATCGCACCGAGCCCAGGTCGTTCCGTCCTTCCCAATGTAGTATACGCGTCGTGAATTTGAAGCTCTGGATCAGCCCTCGCAACAGCCGCGTCCGCTGCGTCGATTAGCGCAGAGCCGAGAGTTCGCGTATACGACCACCATATCGTACGCTCGAACACGTTGCATTTGGAATGCGAGATCTGATCTCCTGTAGAAGTGCCAATATCCACTTTCATGCCGTTCCAACTCATTAAGAACGTGGATCACGGAATCTTGGAGCTATCCAACCGGTGGTGACCTGTCCCCTACGATCTCTTCGCTTTTTTCTGCGAGAGCTGTGCTGTGTGCTGCCGTCATTGTAATGGATTGGCAAGAAGATCTCCCTGTTCGAGATGTGCTTGCGGGGCACGGAAGCAAGTGAGGTCGAAGGAAGGCAAACCTTCTCCGCAACCCCGGAAACTCTCCTCTCCAGCTCGATCCCCACTTCCGTCTTGACCTCGTCTCGAGAGAAGTCGGGTACCTGTGCTACACTCACATGAGCATCGTACAGACCACAACGCTACGTGACTTGGGCGAAAAGGCTGACCTCGGGCGTTGCCGCGCCTCCTCTTGCATCACGTTGGTAATGCCTTCGTGTGGTGACCCAACCTCACCTCTCCGAAACTGAACTCTTGCATGGCTAAGATTGAGCCAGGGTTGATCATTCATCTTACCAGTTAAACACCGAAAGCTTCCTCAGCAACAGCAACAAAGACCCGCCCTTCCATTGCGGTCTCATCATCCGCCATTATGGCCCCCGAGAAGGGAACATACGGAGCCAAGATCATCGCTCAATCGCTTCATGATCTAGGCGTCAAGGCCATTTTCGGGACGCCAGGATTACCAGTAACTGAAATCGCCCAAGAAGGTCTCTTCCTAGGCATCCGGTTCATCAGCTGTCGAAATGAACAAGCAGCCGCATACGCCGCCTCAGCCTATGGCTATCTCACAGGAAAGCCGGGAATATGTATATCAGTCGGAGGACCGGGGATGTTTCATGTCATGGCTGGCGTAAGTTCCTCCCTTTCACCCATCCCGTGGAAACTGTATTGACACACTGTTGGAAAGATTCCTCACGCCGCCGCAAATTCCTGGCCGCTAGTAGTTCTCTCTGGAGCATCAGAAACCCATAACTCTGGCAAAATGGCTTTCCAAGAAGTAGACTCCATTCCGATCATGAGAACACTGGACGCCAAATTTGCAGCTCGTCCTCCTACTCCGGAGATGATTCCAACTTTCATCAAGGATGCCTATCGGTTTGCGTGGTTCGGCCGTCCTGGACCGGCATTTGTCGACCTGCCTGCCAACTTGATTATGGGCCACTTTGAGGTTCCAAGGCATAAGATTCCCGCCTACACCGAAGCTCCTTTGTCAGTTGCACCACCGAAACAGATCCAAGCTGCCGTCGATGCGTTGAAATCAGCAAAGGCACCACTGGTTGTCATTGGCAAGGGAGCAGCGTTTGCTCGAGCCGAGAAGCCGATCAACGCTCTCATAGAACAGTAAGCCACTCTTCTCTGTCTTGCCGCAATCTCAATCTAACCGCGTCGCAGGACCGGCTTGCCATTCGTCCCAACGCCCATGGGAAAGGGTGTGATAGCCGACTCTAGTCCTAACAACTACTCAGCAGCCCGATCAGTAGCGCTGAAAGAAGCAGATGTAGTCTTAGTTCTTGGCGCGAAACTAAACTGGATTCTCTCGTTCGGTTTGCCACCCAAATGGAGCCCAACAGTAAAGATCATCCAAGTCGACATTACAGCCGATGAGCTAGGCAAGAACGGAGGTCACCCGACATTGAGTCTTGTGGGAGACGTTGGCCTCGTGGTCGAGCACATCGTCTCCGGCCTCTCCGGATGGAAATGGCAATCTAAGTCCACCGACTTCCATCGCAAACTCCAAGCCTCGAAAGCCAAGAACGAAGATAGAGCCGCCAAGAAAGCTGCCGCCGATACTCTTCCCATCCCCTTTGAGAGAGCTTTCGATGTTATACGCACCACCCTCAACGGTCTGTCAAAACCCGAAGATGGGGATATTGTCTACGTCTCCGAGGGCGCAAACGCAATGGACATTTCCCGCTCAATCTTCACAATGGAACATCCCCGTCTGAAACTCGACGCGGGAACGTACGCCACCATGGGCGTAGGATTGGGATACTGCATCGCGGCATACACAGCATACAACCTCACAGGCGAAGGTTCCGCCGGCAAAGCCGGCCGCAAGAAGATCGTGGCGATCGAAGGCGATAGCGCGTTCGGATTCTCGGGCATGGAAGTCGAAACCATGGCTCGGTACCAGATGGACATTCTCATGTTCGTGATGAATAACAGTGGCTTGTACAGAGGCGACACTCCGCATGAAGAAGTCTGGAATGAGCGTAGAGGGCACACCGTTGCAGGGACAACGACAGACGGCAAAGGTCTCACGGCGTGGTCGCTTGGGTATCAAACGGATTATGGCAAGGTCGCGGAGATGGCCGGAGGCATTGGAATCACCGCTCGGACACCGGACGAGTTGAAGAAGGCCGTGGAGACTGGATTCAACGCCAAGGTCCCGGTCGTGGTGAATGTCATTGTGGATCCTCAGTCCGATCTTCCAATGGTAAGAGTTCCTCGCGCACCTGCACGGCAATGTTTACTTTGGCCGAATACTGACTCTTCTGACAGGATTTCTCATGGCTGGATATGGCACCTCCGAAGAAAGATGCGAAGTTGTAGATGTAATAGTACGGCGTGCTCCGGGAGTATATACAGCTATATACCATACCACGGCAAAGCCCCGGTTTACAATAGACGCCGATTTGAGAATCGACGAAGATTTCGTATGCTGTGGCACGGATGCAATGTGCAATACGAGCCGCATCAGAGCTAGCCTTTCAGCATAAATTTTCATCAGCTGCAAAGTGTTATGTTCACCCGACATTGGTTGCATCAAATGGACCGACAGTGTCTCGAATTTCTTTCAATCGAGATGATGCAGATGGCAGCTCGCTCCTCGCGCTATGCTGACATATACGACGGAGATGCGATGCCACATTTTGGCAGAGAGTGTTTGCCAGGGAGATACTGAGGAGATCGGGTGCGAATAACTGACTTTGCCCTCGCTTTCGAGGTCTGAGCGCGCTTGATGACTTCGACTTCCAACGAATAGTGATATCCTGGCAGTGCTTGCACATGTGCTTGTGCTTTGTGCCGATCGCTTCCAACGCCTTCAATCTTCCACGTAGCCAATATCGTTCTGCAGTGCCCACATATTCCAAAGCTTTGTCGGGCTCTCAGAGGGTGTGAAGATCTGGTCCTCTAGCGGTATAGACTGTCTATCTGATACCGAGAATTGATCCTGATCTGCCACTTTTGGCGCCTCCGGTACTGGCTCTGGTATTAGCATTTCCTCAGCATAGCCAACCGTCAGACCCTTCGCTTTGGTGGACCTCTCCAGCTGTAGGATGAGCGAATCGCAAGCCGACCTGACAATGTGAGAAGCTGATGTGTAGGGTGTGAATCCTGTTACAAGGAAAAAAGGACCTTGTGGGGTCCTGGAAGAGATTCCGTTCGCTGAGCGATTGCCGGGTTGGCATCGAGACAGCAATTGTGGCACAGTAGCTCTGGTAGCAGCATGGAGAAAGGCCACACTCTGCTTCCAAGAATGCTGTAACTGGTCGGTCTCGAGCGCCAGGAAATCTGCAGCTGCAGTACCATCTTCGTCAAGCTCCAGACTGCACATTATTCCCTGCAGTGCTGTGCCGCTCTTTGTAGCTTCTTGTACCACCGACTCAATCTCTGCCTGAGTCCATTCGGCCTTCGTGTGTATCGTGACTCCGACTTCTTTCCCCATTTTACCAAGCAAAGCATATACGTCCATCTTCAATTGCTTCAAGGCCGACTCTTGTGCATTGCTCGCGGTGAACGCGATCGAGGACAGGTTCTGCCTGCGCAAAAGCATTTCGAGGTAGAAAAGCGTAGAAGGATGGAGCGCTCCAGATGTCAATATGAGAAGCGCGCCTGGACTAGGCCGAGGCGATACCTGCTCAGCATTGGCGCCTACAGGTCTTCGTGGAGGCTTCTGGGGAATCGTGATGGGATTGCTCGGGAGTCGTCCATGGGAGAGCGTTTCGGAGCTTTTGGAAGCATGAGCGGACATGAAGGACGGGGTGAAGCTGGCGGCTCTGCTTTCGTTGCCGTTTGTTGACCCATTGGTGGAGGCATTGAGGTGGTCCGGTTGTGGTGGCTTCTGCTCAGGTTGGCTCGATTGGTCGGAATAGATGCTACTCGACCGACTCATGTCGGCAATCTTTCTGAATCCTACAGGCGGCATGGCAGTTTCGAGAGGACGTGATTGTACAGAAACGATTAGTATTAACCCAAAATGAAGAAGAGATCCAAGAGAAGAGTATGAGCGGGAAGGAAGGAGAAGAAAACAACCACTGATGAATGTGAAACCACCAAGTGTTGCACCCGAACAGGATAAGGTAGAGTTTATGGGGGCGTGCGTGGTGGATGAATAATAACACGAGATCAAAAGGGTCTCCCGGCGGGGCGGGCCTCGAACAAGGATGCGTCAATGTCTCCATCAAGTCTTCATCAAGTGTTAGTGGCATCATGTCACGCCGGTGTTCAGGTCCAAGGAAAGGTCCATTTTGGCCCTTGCACTGGCCTTCGCCATTGTCCATCGCATCACCCATCGACCCCGAACCTTGGTCAGGGAGAAGGGACAACTCAATGGATTGCTTTGCCCGGTAACACACGCGGCTGATTTGACGATAGCATGTGCTACCACAATACTGTGCTGATGATGCCAGGACGATTTTGCCATAAGCCGCGAGTCTGCCACTTGGAGTTGAAATAACAGATCCCGACTTTAGATATTGTTCCTCACGCAGGATGAATTTCTCTCCGTCGTTCAACCAGCTACATTCTCGGCGACTCTCTCTCCATTGGCGCCCACTTTCGCCTCGGCCCTTTCTTCCACCTTGCTTGGCGCTGCGAAGAGCTTCGCAATCGCCTCCACCGTGGTATTCCCTCCACTGAGAACAACCCCTATGTTCCAACCCTCCGATCCAGCTTCCTTCTCAACCAGACGCCTGAACTCTTCGTTGTACAGTATCACCGCCAGCGGCACGGCAGAACTCGGCTCTATGAACAACTTTGCTCGTTCCATAGCGAGTCTCAGCGCAGCTTTGATCTGCTCTTCCGTCACGCTGTAAACGCCAACCAGCTTCTTCTTGTCGGTGATTATACTCCACGGAATCTCTCCGACGGGTGTTCTTAAACCATCAGCGATCGTCAACGTCTTCACCTTGGTGATCCGTTCACCCTGTCTAAGCCCGAGTTCAGCATCATTCGCACCTTCAAAGTTGGGCTCGGCGCCAAAAACTTTGATCCCAGTGCCATGCATCGCAGTACAGATCCCACTCAGCATACCTCCACCTCCAATCGGCGCTATCACAGCATCCAAGCCCTTCTTCCCCGGAATCCCCAAAGAAGCATTTTCGGAAATCAAGCCTTCAGCTTGTTCCTCCAATTCCAACGCCTGAGTCCCCTGTCCCAGAATAATATCCGGATGATCGTAAGGCGGCACCAACGTAGCCCCCGTCTTCTCGATGACATCCCTCACCACAGCTTCCCGCTCATCACTCGTCGAACCCGAAAAGATCACATTCGCGCCCCAGCTCTGCGTTCCGGCGATCTTGGACGGGGTGGAAATCGTAGGCATCACGATGTGTGCTGGGACGCCGTGGGTTTTGGCTGCCAAGGCTAGGGCTTGCGCATGGTTGCCTACATGTACCAACAAATACTCAGCAACAGCATCGTATGGCATTCCTTTTGCCCCATGTCCTTACCGCTACTATGCGTAACCACACCCTTCCGCCGAACATTCTCCAATCCCTCCTCTTCAATCAACCGTCGCAATGCATGAAACGCTCCTCTTGCTTTGAAAGCGCCTATCCTCTGCTGATTCTCACATTTGAAGAAGAGCTTCACGTTCAACCTCGTTGAGCCACTCGAAGGCTCGCCTCTCGGCTGGCCATCTTTCCTTTCGCGCTGCGGAGTGCAAGCGATCTGGTTGAGGGTTTCGCAGGTCACCACGGGCGTTCGGTGGACGTAGGATTCGATTCTATTGTGCGCGGCCTTCACGGAGTCTCGGGTTAGAGGAGGGCACGTCGATATATCTGCCATTGTATGCCCGACTGATTCGAGGGAGGAGACGTGGAAGTGGGAGAAGTTATCTAACGCTCTACCTCAGCTGGGATTGTTTAGGCTGAATGTTTTCCCGCCCTCCGAGCTCGCTATTGTGTCGACTTCACTCACCCCACTGGGCACAAAACAACGTGATCTGAAAAGCGAAGACGTGATTGAGCTTGCTGGTTTCGTTTCCCGTTTGACGGCTATGGTAGCTCTCACGGTGAACGTAATAATACTGTTGTCGACATGCTACTTTGGCTAGTCTATGGACAATTTAGTTCCATTCTCCTTCTTCACGAAGTCGAGGAATGGCTTGAGCTCCTGAGTTTCAGCACCATTGACCAAGAACACAGGCGGCTTGCCGTAAGGCGCAGATACGGTAGCCTCCTGACCGCCAGTGTACACCGCCCCAGTCCACACGTGCTCATACGTCCTATTGCTGTTTCCGGGAAAGTACACCGAAACCTCAAAGGTCTGTTCGTCGTACACAGGCGCAACGTAAAGGTCAGGTCCAAGGTAATAGCTCTGGTAGCTAATGTTCCTCACTCGGAGGTCGTCAAGATGGTACATGACCGGTGGCCTGAGCAGCGGCCAGCCTTTGGGCTCGGATTCGGTCTCCAAGATGTGTCGTCTATATTTGGCCAACGACACGAAAAGGCGCGCGTTGTATGCATAGTACTGGTACGTTGTGGTGTTGCTGTAGAATTGCGTGTTGACCGATGGTATGTTCCCTTCATGAGAGCGGAAGACGGAACTGCTCACGGCGGCCAGTTCGCCCCACCGCCCGAGGAGCTCTGGTGAGCGAGTGATGTTGAAGCCCAGATATGTGAGGACAGTCGTGTAGCCACCAACATCAGAGTGCAGCTGAGAATATCCAGAAAGACCCATGTGTAACATTATAGTCACGACGGATTTGATGCCGTCGTTCAGTCCCCAATTAACATTCTGGTCGCCCACCCAAAAGAGATTCATGTTCCTATTTGAGGACATGGCGGCTGATCGATGAAACAGTAAAGCTTCGGACTCAAGACTGAGATCTTCTACGACGCCTCGCTGAAACTCTGCCCATTGGGAGGGGTACGCATTGTGGTAATAGAAAGCGTCGCTGACCGTGTCGTAGATGTGGGTATCAGCAGTGACAGGGGTGTACTCGCCAAAGTCAGACATGAAGCCGCTGATGTTGGAATTCCAGACCTGAGTTCGGAGAACGTCTTCAAACCAAGAGCGAAGCGCGGGATTGGTCAAATCAATGATGCCGGCCTCAATGCCCGGGCCACTTGATATGACTGCGGTGTCGTTGATCGTAGTGTTCTGAACAAAGTACTTGGCCGCGCTTGCTTCGCTGTATAGATCTCTACGATATCCAGTCGCCTTCGTGGAAACATTTGCCAGAAAGACGTTGATGTAAGACAGCGTGCGAACGTCGTGCTCATCTCGAAGATTTTGCACGAATTGGGTCCAATTCGGATATAAGGATTCATCGTTCTCCCAATTCCACCAGAGTCGGGAGATGTTGATGTACGGCCCAACTTGAGAGTGGGTGCCGCACCAGTCTTGTAGCCAGACTGCAGCAATGGGACAGCTGACGTTTTGACTCAATCCTTGCTCCACGATCCGATTGACCTTGTCTTGCCCTCCTTGAATGCCAAGGATTGCCCCATTGTCCACCCACTTGGGGAGAGCTGGCATGCGGCCGGTATATCTGGTCAGAGCTTCGACGGCATCGAACAAACTGCTGCTTTTCGAGAAGGCCCCATCTACGCTGAGGAAATCGTAACGGATGGTGACCTCGTCCGCTTTAGTGAAGTCAAAGTTGGCGTATCCAGTGCTGTTCTCCGATAGGTAGAAAGTTCTACCGTCTGTGGAGACATAAGAGGGTACTGCAGTATAGGTTGTATACCAGTTACCTCCAGCGATCGATCCGTTGGCGTTCCCTGCAGATGTGATAGGCTCGTCGCCACGCCCAACGCCTTGCTCGCGAGAAAATACGGGAATGCTGTAATTCTTCAATGAGCCGAAAGACCCTTGACCACCCAGTCCATAAAAGTCCTCGTCTGCACTTGAAGTGTAGCGGAAGTACAGCTTCTTCAGCGGGCTGGAAGGGTTTGAGGACGGTGAGATGTTCAAATGGAAAGCCACTCGGTCGTTGAGGTCGCTCGGGACCCAAAACGTCAGCTGGTACGGTGCAGTCGCTTTGCCGCAACTCAGTAAATTCCCACTGACTTGAGCCCCGATCGTCCCATTCCAGGTCACTTGCTGAATGTTGGTTATGGTCTGATCCTCGCAAGTATCCAAATCCACCTGGGTGATGTTAAAGGCTCCGCTAGATCCCGTCACAGAATCATTTCCAGCACTGGCGCTGATGAATGGCTTGCCCGAGACAGTGCTCCAAAGACTGTCATTTGCCTTCGAGATCTGCAGTTGGCCATTTCTCAAGGCGAGCGAGAATTCATTACCAAGGTTCCATTCCCGGCTAGATATTGTCGATAGGAAGGTCTGCGTTGAGACTGCACATACAAGAGAGCTGAACGCTACGATAGATCGCAGCAAGCCCATCTTGGCCGAGGTGATGGAACAAGAGCAGGCTGGACTCGGAGCCATGAGGGACGTGGCTTTTTATTTGTTTTCGGACATTGCTCCAACTTGCAATGCCAAGGTACAGAGGCCTGCAATAGCGATGAGGCTGAATTTCGCTTCGAAAGGAACCAGGTACGAGCAGCGAACTGGTGGAGAGCTTTGTGAGACGGAGCCCAGTGGTGTCAAGATGCTTGTCAAGCACGCAAACGCTTGGCCGTAATAGGAAAGTCGAGCAGTTGGAGTAGGAGGTACCAAGAGATGTTACTTCGCGTTAGTTGTGACGAGAGAGAATGCCAATTGTTCAACGCTCATTTTATCGCTCGACCACCTTGGAATTAAGAACACCGAAGCACTTCAGCACGCTGATATGATCTTGCCGAGTTTTCGGTAGATATAGACGCCGAAGCGAGCCAGATAGCAGCATCGAGACAAAGCAATCCATGGTATTGGAAGGCTACTGCTCTCGTCACCCAAAGACCATGGGCATCTCCGTGGTGATTACGCCGGAGGAAATGACCTGTAAACGCTATCCAATTCTCACCGAGAGTCTTAGCGAATCGAGTCCACGGCGAGTCCACTAGTATTCCAAAAGGAGCGGCTTACACTACTCCAACACGCCGCACTTTCTTTCCAAATTCCCGAGCAAAGACTGGGCTTGTACTGAGTTGTATGGCCCCGAATAGACGTACCAGCCGTTGAGATGTCTAGACATAGTCGTAATGTTTTTGGTGCGCAAGCCTTATTTTCTTCCAGGGCAGACATGGCAGCGCGCCATCTTCATCCACGCCACTGACATATTCAGAGGCGATATGCTTGTAAAGAGGCGAGTCAAGGCATGGACCGCCACGGTTGATAGCACCAACTAGGTGGGTGCAGATGTGCTTGAGGTTACGAGCAACTGAATTCAGGGCCTTGGCAGCCATCGTCTCGACCCCTGAAAACCGCATGTAACGTTCGTGGCCGACATTCCGCGCTGCATCCCACACTGTGATAGACCCGGGAAAGACAAGTTTGATGGCTCCGAAGTCCTGAACGTGTCGGGGAAAGAAATATCAGAGAGCTGCGGAGGAAGCAGTGTTGTCAGGCATCAAGGCGAAAAGCTTGGCTCACGGCAGGCGGAAGGGACTGGCCGTCGTCGGCCCGCATGGCTCGTGCGCTGAATATCGCAGACTCACTTCTCTTTCGCGCTTGCTCTGCTTTTCTCTTTCTTTCTTCAAGCGCCGTCCTCACAAATGCCGTGTATCTCTGCTCACACACCGACAATGCTTCGCGCATGTCTTCTTTCGCAGATGGGAAATTCGGAGTATTCTTCACCTTTTACGCCATCTCGACTACCTCTCGCTCCCTCGGGGGTGATGTAGTCGCGGCTCTGGCATCTGCCCGTGAGGGCCTGCCGTGACACTCACGGTTGCACTTTGGCATCAGAAATTTCAGCCCGAGCCGGCATCTGGACGCTCCGCAAGGGGTGAAAGGATGGTTGGTTCGTGGCTATGGGAGCCGGTGCGAAGATTGGGTGTGCCTGTTCGACTGGCACGACCACTTTAGTACAATACGCGGCATACCTGAGCCTCTGCCACTATGCGCCTGTCGCAAGATATGGGGCGGCAGAGACCGAAGGTATCACTCGATTCCGATTATTCTTGTGAGGACGGCGCTTCACCTCTTTTTTCTCTTCAGGTGAGTTTATACTTCACGCTTGGCAAGTTCAAGGATACTACTAATCCGTCTACCTTCAATGATCCTACACCTAGTGCCATTACCCTGACTACATTCGCCTACGCCGATTTCGAATCATCCAGCACTGGCATCTTGCTCTTGTTGCCTTCCGTCCTGGAGCTCTCCAGTGCGTACATGAGATCGGTCCGCATCGTGTACTTCACCCCGCCCAGCACATCCGCGCCGCTGTGGAGCAAATCACGGTGTTGAAACAGCAAGACTCTTCCGACCTTTGGCAGTACGTCGTATTCCCGCTCTGGCTTATTGAAGCTTGTCAGGGAGTGGAAGGTGGTGGCACCTCCCATCAGCGCCACTTTGGCCAGCTTCTTGCGGTCTGCCGGCTCCATCTCTTCAAGCTCCTCGTTCGTCGGTCCTCCGGCGTTGTTTAGGTACAGATGCAATGTAAAGTATGATCTCTCTTTCCTATCTGGCGTCTCGTAGCTTCCGTCGCAGTGTGGTCTAAAGTATTCTCCACCTACTCGTCCAGTCAGCAGTGAAGGTGAAATTCAGGAAGCATACCACTTGCCTTCATACTTCAAGAATCGCATCCGCTCATTTGGCCTCGAGAACTTCCACACCTCGCCTCTCTTCGCCGGGCCATTTCCAAAGATTCTCGGCACGTCCTGCAATCTCACAATCTCCTGCACTTCCGCAATGTGCTCAATGCGCTCCCAGACCTTCGCCACAACCTCTCGTGAGTCCCAGATGATGCGGCCGCAGTTGCGTGCGTCAGTCATCAATTGCTGCCTGCCACCTCCCACATTGATCATCGCCCGCTCCCAATGCCCCTCCGCGCTGGCCTCGGCCGCTCGTAGCATGTGCGTGCATTCCTCCTCGCTGAGAACATTGTCGCAAATCACGGCGTATAGGCCCTCATATTCCGGAAGAGGTGTCTGGGTGAAATCGATCCGGTGGACGGAAATTTTCGGTGCTGGGGTTGAGAGGAAGCCCTCTGGTAGGACGGGAGTGGGGTTGTGGACCATTATGTGGCGGTTGGGAGAATTCGAAATGTGTTGGGATTGCCGGAGATCTTGTTGCGGTGCAGGTCATGTGCAAACTGGGAATGTTTTTTTTGGTCTTGGGTTGGGTTGTTTGTTGCCTGGGGGGCTGGGAGGTGACTCAGGCAGGGAGCTGAAGAGGCGCAGTCGGTGTTCTTTCAGCTCAGACTCATTGAATGGGTAAGAGTCATTAGACAAGATCTGAATTGGTGGTTTCTAGGTAGCACGAAATTGACGAGTTAAAAATGGCGGCGAGAAACGAAAAACAAAGGCTGAAGGAGATGGAGCTAAGAAATGCAGAATGCATATGCCTGACTTGCCAGGCAGCCACGCAGAACCAGTCTCACCGGAAGCTGGCCCAGAGGAGAACAATAAGCTAAGGACATTGCCAAGCACGATAGCTCTTTGCTCACCTTCTTCCATGAAACGATGAACTCAATTATCTCGAAGGGTAGGCTATAAATCTGCGAGGAGCGACGAGATCCTTATTCACATGAGAGATCCGTCTACTGGCCTTCCAGCCTCTTGTCAGGACGTCCTTGGATTCAGAGCAACCTTCGCTCCGTTCTGACTGACACAAGTCAGAGTAATCTGCTCAATCCAAGGCTCGGAATCGCGACTTTCAATCCCGCCAAAGGCCTGACATAATCTGACTGTTGTGTAACTTGCTTCTGTCAACGCAAATTGCTGTCCCAGACAAATCCTCGGGCCTCCATTGAAAGGCAAGTATTCCCATCCAGGTCTGAGTCCTTTCTTGCCGGTCTCTGCGTTGTCTATCCAGCGTTCTGGGCGGAACTCGTTGGCATCTTCTCCATAGTAGTCCTTACGGCGATGCATGGCGTAGAGACTCCACACCATGAGTTCGCCCTTCTTGATGAAGAGTGGGTGGCTGCCATCTGGTCCTCCCCCGACGGGCAGAGTGGTGTCTTCGGTGGCTTCACGGCTATTCAAAGGTACTACCGGATGGAGGCGGAGGGATTCGTTCAGTACCGCTTTCAAGTACTTCAGTTCCTTGAGTTGTTCGAAGGTCGGTAGCGCACCGTCCAGCCGAGCCACTTCCGCCTGTAGCTTCTTCCAGATATCCGGACGCTTAGAGAGCATGAACCACGCGTTCGTAAGCAAGGAAGCTGTCGTGTCACGTCCAGCGAGCAGGATGTTCAGGAGCTCGCTTCGAATGCGGATGCGATCCGGGGTCTGCCGCACAAGCTCATCAATGAACACGTACCGATCAGCACTGGATTTCTCCGCCAAAAGTTGATCGCGCTTCGCAAGGCCTTGGTCGACAAAGTAATCAACAAAATCAAATATGAACTTTCTGTCGTTTTCAAAGCGCTTGGTGGCGGTGAAGAGCCTCGCCCAGGGTCCCCATCTGGCGCTGTTTGCGATAAAGTCCTGAGAATAGTTGAAAGCTTCCGCGAAGCCAGTTGCGCTTTCCGTGGTGAGAGATTCTGTGGACTCTCCAAAAAGGAATTCGGTAGCGGAGTCGATCGTGAGGCGGAAGAAGAGCTCCGAGAGGTCGACCTGCTGGTTGTGTGGAATTGCAGCAATGAGGTGGCGAACGTGTGTTTCGAGTTCCGTAAGATTTCCAACCTGGCTTCTGGCGAAGTTGGGTCTTAACATGTCGCGCGAATGTTGCCATTCTTGGCCGTCGGTGGTGAAGATGCCAACTCCCAGCAAAGGCCTAAAGCCGTACTTTCGCCGTCTTCCCAGGCTCCATTTCTTATGTTCCAAGGCTTGGATGGTCTTGAGATTCTCCGGTTCAGTCGTGAAGTGGAGCTTTCGGCCCAAGAGTTTCATCTGGAAGGTATGTCCTCCAAGTTCACGAAATCGTTCGACTCCGGTCTCAAGTAACCTATGGTTCTTCAGAGCTTTCACATTCGCAATGAACATATCGATGCCGAGGATTGGGTCTAATTGAGACATTCTCCTGGCTGGAAGACAGCCCTTGTCGCGTTTGATTGCTTCTCTCTGTCGCCATAATGTAATGGCGTTGACGGCTTGGTAGATGAGATAGAGGGTAAATAGTCCGATTGCGGCCTGTGCGGTTGCTGGTAGTCGTGAAAACGAATCCATGGCGTTGGGTGGACTAGTGAAAGTGCGTCCCGGGGAGAGTAAAAGTAGAGCGACTCCAAGGGATAATGTATGAAGGCTAGAGAGAAGATAGGGATACCGCCGAGCTGTCAGTTCGGCATGTCCGTGAGCGTGACGGAGGAACGTCCAGCCGCTGTCACGATATCATCAGTGCTGGAAGCGAGCTGGAAGCGGAGGCGCAGAATGCCGGTGCCTGGTGGCTTAAAGGGTACAACTTAACCGCGGTTCCTAGTCGCACACGTGTCAGTAGCGCCTGTGCTCTCGGACGTGATGGTGGGGTATGTTGTGTCGTCGGCCTTGATAGTCTGTAAGATGGTAGAGAGGACTCTGCAAAAGCGAAGCTTACTGTATAAGAAAATGGCCCTATTAATCAGCTATAATTTGAAAGACTGATTCATGACCTATTGAGAATACTAGAGTTTTGCCCTCTTCCTCTCTCTAAATAAGCTTCACGGCGTGTCTTCACCAGGAACGCAGCTCCAGCGCTGCTTACTAGATGCCGGTGTCGAGAGGGTGGGATAGGCGTGGCAATTGTCGTTACATGGATGCCTGCGCTGTTCGAGCAGAAATCCCTGTGCGATTAGGAAGCCTGTTGCCCTCAGGATTGTGATCCCATCATCATCATCATCATCATCATCATCTTCGTCATCATCACCATCATCATCATCAATGAATATGCCTTGGTAGCGGCGTGGTCGGACTGTTGGGTGTTTTTAAGGTTGCCGACGGCGACAAGTTTCACGGTCGAGACTCTGTGGAATGTTGTGGTGCGCCTCTAAATTCAGCCCTGATCACGAGGTAAAAGCCGTGGTGGACCGTGCTCACCATCGACCTCATGTCCTTCCCTCGTCCCTGCAAGGCTTTCATGAAGGCCACAATCACAAACTGAAAGGAACGTGTAAGAACACACCTTCAAGAGCGAGAGACATCCTTCGTCATGCCGTCTCTATCGTCGACAAAAGCTCCTTCTGAGCGGCACTTGGCGGGCGGCGTTCTCTCCTGCCGGCGCCTCAATCCTTCGTGAGACTTCGTACAAGACGTCCACGGCTGAAGGCTACATAACAGAAAAAAGGACATATAGCGATCGATAGCACGCATTGATCAAGCATACCTCGCCCACGAGAGTGTCATGCATGCCATTCGGAATCGTCCCTCAGAAGTAATGTCGACCGAACCACCGAGAGACATTTACGCTCACCAAGATGTATATCCATTCATCAACCTTTCCAGATTTGCCGGCGAGCTCAAGGACAAAAGTGATTCGTCGCCTCTTCATAGTTTCTGGCTGGTTTCAGCTCATCTCAGTCGTCCTCATAACCGGTGCCTTATCCAGAATAGGCCACTCCACAGCCCTCGCCTTCGCCTCTTGCGGAGCCAGCATCGCCATCGTAGCCCGTCGTCAAGCACTCCTCAACACTCTCGCAGAGGAAATGAAGTAAAAGCATGACGTTCCCATCCTGGCCATCCCAACAGATCTCCCCCAAAACATCTCTGCCAGAGGACAATGCATCATCCAGAATCAACGAAACCTTGGGTCCAATCCACATCCATTCTGATTAACAACACCTCCCTTCACACCATACAATCAGCACTTTCCAAGACCACAAGACCATAGATTCCTGGTCCGAAATCGTAAACTTCGGCCTCAACGTCCCTGCTGCTCTCATCCGTGCTCGTCTCCCTACAATGCTCTCCCACAACACGGGCATCCCGCTGAACGTGAACAGCACAGCTGAAGCTCGCGACGATATCTTCGCATCCGCGTACGCCGTGGCGAAGACAGAAATGCTCCGCTTCCATCAAAATCTCAGCTTTTCGAACTCGCTGGCACGGGTATTTCGTGTTACAGTGTTCCTCCGGAGAGCATTTGGGCTGATGTGGTGCAGAGGGAATTCCAGCAGACCATGGAGAATTACAGGACGTCCTGTCCATACTCAGCTTTTGAAAGCTCGTAGCTGACGCACAAACAGGCGATGAGCTCTCGGGGGGAGGTCCTGGAATCAAGTGGCAACCCGTCGAACAAGCGGCCAATTCAATCGTAACGATTTGCGCCGACGACAGGTTCAATGTCATGAACGGAAGGTATATCAACGCCGAGCAGGATCTAGCGGAAGTGTTGAAAAGAGCCGAGAGTGGAGCCGTTGAGGTAGAACTTGTACTGACTGAAGGTGGATGAGCTGTGAAGCGAGCAGCGTTAGCAATAGAATAGAAGTATGGCGATGAGTGGAGTTGAAAGATAGAGGGTATTGAATTTTCTCATCAGACTTCTTGCTGTCTGACAGTCGTCGCAAATGTACAAATTGCCAGCAACACCAGCTGGGTAGAGGCTATGAGCTCGTATACACAGCAGCTTCATCGAGCCCAAAGAACGCCTCAAGCGCCAAACAAGGATGGGATCCTTCACAGATTCCGCCAGCCTCCATGATCGTTGAACACCGAAAGAAACTCCGCCCATAGCAAGTCAAGTCATACAGTCAAAGCAAGCTCCAATCAAGCCTTGCTCTTGTGCTTCTTCTTTTTCGGCTCGGCCTCATCATCGTGCTTCCGCTTCTTCGAGTCCTTTGCTTCTTTGGCTTCCTTTGCTGCCTTCTTCGCCTCCTTTTCAGCTCGCTTGGCCTCCTTCGCGGCCTTCTTTGCTGCTTTGCGGGCCTTGCGCTCCTCCTTGGTCTCGGTCTTGCTCTCGCCATTGACAAGGGTGTCATCAGCCTCATCTTCGTCCTCGTCATCTTCTCGCTCGGCGGCGGCAGTGGCATCGACCTCCTCGACCAGCTTGCGCTTCTTTGGCGATGAAGGACCGTCGCCGTTGGCAAGTGCAGGCTTAGCGTCGGCCGAGATACCATCCGCATCAGGGTTGTATTTCCTCGCCTCTTTGATTTCCCACTTGCCGGGCTGCTTTTGTCCTTGTGGTCCAATTGCAACACCACTAGTCTTCAAAGGCTTGCCCTCCAATCCTCGTAACCTTCTCTCGACCATGGCGCGGCCTGAAATTCCAACGCTGGCCTTCTCTTCTTCAGTCGGCTCTTCCTTGTCGCCTTCGCCAATTTGTCCCCAATCGCTCAACGCATCAACACGCAGTCCAAGAGTTGCCTTGGTAGCCAGCATACGTGCGATCTTGCCCTTGTTCTTGCCAGATGCTTGGCCAATGAGGGACGCGTGGTAGATGAGACCGTATTTGGGTGTGTCGTGCTTTGTCTTCAGCGCCCGGAAGAGCGCCTTCTCAGCGCCGAGAATCTGAATGGTAGAGGCGGGTGACTTGGCGAGGTTCATGAGAGAGCCGGCGTGTGCGATCAAGCGAGCACCGACGAGGTCGCCCACCAGTGTCGTGAGGTTGGGTGCGATCGCTTGCATACGTGCGGAGAGGTACGAGGATAGCTGCTGTCGGTATTCGGTGAAGCCAACAACCTGCTCGGCAAGCGCTTGAATGTTCTCCAAATCTTCATCGGTAATCTCGGTACCCATAGAGACTTCAGCAGCACCCTTGACAGCGCCCTCAATCTCCTCCGGCAGAATGTCGGACAAATCTGTGTTGCTAGCATTGGATCGGAAGCCCATCGAAAGAATAACGCGGGAGTATGCCAGGTTGTCGTTGATGATACGCGCCATCTCTGGAAAGTGCCAGCCATACCACTCCTTTACTCTCATTGCGTATGTGTTGAGCTCCTTGTCCAAGTCGTCCAGCAGCGCAATAGCTTGGATGATCATGGTGTCCACCTTATCAGGCGAGAATTTGAGTTTGTGTCTTGATAGGCTGTGTGATAGACCGAGCGACATTGTGTTAAGATCTTCCGGCATGAGACCTGGGATGAGCGAGGGTAGGTGTTCACGAATAGCGCGGTAGAGGTCTGCGGTGGTCGAGTCGGAGATGGGCGTGATCTGAAGGCCGGGTAGCTTGCTGATGGCATTACCAAGCTTTGGGTCTGCGACGGCAAGAGAGACTTTCTTCTCGTCCTTGATCGACTTGAGCATGTTCGCAAGCGTTGGTGTGACCTAAATATCCGATTAGTCCTCGTTGTCGCGTGTGCCCGTTGCCGCGCAGCATTTCCGCACCTTGCCATCTGTCAGAGCAGCAGCCTCTTCCAGCGCAGAACTGGCGCTCTCAAATTTGTGGAATTGCTTCATCTTCAACAGACTGCACACGCCTTCCGCAGTCTCGGCCTCCTTTGCGAGATCATCTCGCTTGAGAAGCTTCTTGTCTTTGGCCTTGAGCAGCGCATAGCCTGCGGAGGTCTCGGTGAGGATAAAGAGAGTCATGGCGCCAGTATCGTGCCGCTAATCCTGCGGCGAGGAATAGTACTGGCGGTAGAAATTGGGCTTATTCGATATGGGTGGGTAGAGGAGTCGTAGTGTTTGTAGCAGAAGAGCTCCCATCCACAAATTCGAGAAAAAACTCGGCTGGTCCGAGCTTTAGAGTAGCTCCGGTGCGCTAGTGAAGCAGTGCCAAGACTTCAACCTCGACGGCAGTGCATCCGTAGAACGTCTCCATGTATACAGACATAATGTGAGGAAAGCTCGAAACAGGCGAATCGCCTAGACGACACCGATTAGAGGTATGCCACCATGGCAGCCCTGACTGCAAGCTCAGAACCCAACGCCAGTCGGCCTCAACCACGCACGCGACCTTCCGCAACGGACTTCGCCCGTCAAGGAACCGCATCACCATCGAGCCCAAGGACTCCCACAGTAGGTCGCACCATCTCAGGCAAATTCAACAGCCCAGGCGCTTTCCGCGAGCAAGACGATATCGTCATCTACGAACTAGGTGCCAGACACTTCTCGGCAGGATTCGCAGGAGAGAGCAAGCCACGATGCATAATACCATTCACACCAGACGACTTGCGCAGAGTAGGAGACTTTCGACAGTATGATGCGGAGTATGTACGGAATCGGAGGAAAGCGGATCTAGGGAAGGAGTGGGGAGAGGGCTACGTTCTGTACAATCTCAATCTGGCGGAACAAGACCTGGGCATAGTGCAGGACAGGCTAGAGCGAGTGTTGCGGAAGATCATGGTGGAGCATCTTCAGCTTGACACGAAGCCGCGAAAAGCCATTCTCACTGCTCCTTCTATGCTACCTACCCCCTTGGTAGAGACAGCGCTGCGGGTTCTGTTCGGCCACTTCACTCAGCCGCCTTCAATCTCCCTTCTCACACATCCAGCCATGTGCTGCATAGCTTCTGGCTTGCGACATGCTCTTGTGATCGACATCGGCTGGGAAGAGACCGTGGTTACTGCAGTTGGAGAGTACAAGGAGGTTGCACAAAGGCGAAGCATCAGAGCCGGTAGGCGTCTGACGCGTGAGATGGGTAACGTACTCGAACAGGGCATGCGTGCCCAGGGACTGGACAATGCTCGCGTCACGTTCGCGGAGGCAGAAGATATTACACAGCGTGTGGCATGGTGCCGGCCACGAGAGGAGTCTGTTGACGGTGATGGACATGAAATCGAACTGCCTATACCAGCGACAGATCCACCTAGGCACTTCATGCTCCCTTTTGATAAACTGGCGGACCCTGCGGAGAAAGCTCTATTTGCATCGGAAAGTCCCATTGACGACGATCATGAACTTCCGCTTCAAGTACTGGCATTCCGCGTTCTGTTCTCTTTGCCACAAGATTTTCGAGCTCTATGTGAGAGTCGTGTCATTCTCACGGGCGGCATTAGCAACATCCCGGGCCTCAAGCAGCGTCTACTGCAGGAGCTAGAGCACCTAATCGAGACCCGCACTTGGAATCCCATCTCGAATTACGGCAGTGCCAAACGGCCTCTTGGAGAGCGATCAGTCAACCTTGGTTGGCCAAAGGTTCTGCAGGAGAATCGTAATGGAGTCGGCAAAGAAGGCAAAGATTCTCCTCCCGTGCCGCTTTCACCAACCAAAATGCCCCTTCAGGAAACCATTCCGCACGCGGACAGGAAGCACGACGATATCAAGGATCCCATTACGATCAAGGCGGATTCTGAGAGCAGCAAGGGAAAAGAGAGACCAGTATTTGGGACGATGCGGGGTGTAGAAACACTCGGTCCTTGGGCAGGCGCCAGTCTGGTCGCAAGCCTGAGAGTAAAGAGCGTGCACGAGATAGAAAGAGAAGACTTCTTCAGAAATGGGCTGAGGAATGGCGCCGCGGATTTGTGACTTGTTGTATAGAGAAGATACCCCTCAATCCAGATACATTTCGTTCCTGAGATTTTTCAGATTTTGCAGGAAGCCATATCCTGAGCCACCTTCAGGCTGAGTAGGCTGTGCTTTTGGCATTTCCATGTTTCCGTACCGGTAATCGTAGCCTCGCGCTGAAGACGCGCCTGTTTTTCTGCTGCTCTCGCCACTAGCCTTATCAAGTGCTCTTTGCTTGTCGTCAACAAGCTTCTGTAAATTTTCAACGATTTTATAGCGTGCCTTCTCCTCGGTCGTGCCTTTCCAGACTTCCGCCAGAGTTCTCAATTCGTCAACGCGAATGGTAGCAGACTCGAGACCTTCAGCACCAGCTGCTAGCAGGTCGTTGACCTCCGTACGTAGCTTCTCAGAGTACTCCTTCCCCTTCTCCTCGCGGTCCCGGTTATCGTCATTATCTGGACCCGAGACGGAGATGAAAGACGATGCGATGGAAAGTTCTGATGGGGCCAGAGGCCATTGCATTGCAGCACCAAAGGTTTTGATGACAGAGTCCAGTCTCTCACGTACTGTTGTGAGTGTCCGGAGTCGTTCAAGAAATTCTGGTTCACCCGTTCCGAAGTCGGCTGCCTTCTCTGCCGCGGCCTCTTCGTCTGCATGTCCATTCGCGTCAACATCTGTTGGCGTCTTCTGAGGTACAAATAGTTCAATGTCCTTCTTTAGGCCATTCTTGAAGGTATCTGTCAAGCCTATTGTCTCGCCTCTCAGCACTTCCACCTCGTAAGCCAACCTGCTCCCACTCCTGATGATCTCGTCCGTCAATTGAGTCAAGGTATTTGAGAGTCGTGAGGTCTGGGCGGTAAGCTGGGACAGCAACGTCTGAAGCTGAGACGAGACTTCGGACAGTGGTACAGATCGGCTGTTCCTCGTGGATGTGGAGCCTGGTATTGATAATGGTGGGAGGGTACTGTTTAGATAGTCGGCTGGGTCGAAGTCGGGCTGCAGGAATGGCTGTGTACCGGTATCCGGGATATGTTGCGACTTGGGCTCGACCTTGGCGACCAACGGCTTGGGCGCAGACACTGCCATATCGATGAACGAATGCGAATGGAGCACGATGGGAAAATCTTAATAAAGCACGTGAACGCGCGTTGGAGAGGTGAAGTTGGGGAAAGGGGGAGCATGGACCGTACTGCGCCACTGCGCCACTGCAAGGGACGCACTAGCCACGCTGCTGCCTTGCTGGACTTCACATTGGGAACATTTGGGTCACCAGCACACGCGAAAACGTAAAGAACTCACGTCGTTCGCCCGCTCGCTCTTGGCCGCCATTGACGCTGTCACTGCCTTGCTGCCTTTCCTTCTACTTACCACCACTTGGTGTCCGTACTGACCGCATGCGTCGTCGGTAGGTCCACCACTTCGCACACATCTGCATCCAATCCATCCTCCATTCAGTCATCTACAAACTTGACGCCGCCTACTGTAAACGCCAAACATCGCCATTGACCACATGCACGCGCGCTTTCATCCGCTGCCGCAGACGTGCTGCCTTCCCTTGTTCGCGCCAGCCGCACATTCACTACCGCCGCATGACACAGATTCAGGCAGCGAGGCCTCATTGTGCCCCCGTTTGACGCATAAACGAGAAGCTCCGCTCCGCTTTCCACTTTGCTGAACACACATCACCAACAGCTGGAGACAACACCAACTTCTTAACTACAACAGACCCTAACCTTCAGGCCCGCTCTACAACACGTGCCGGCCTACTCTCTTCGCACAAGACTCACAGTCCGCCAGCACTTTTTCAGACTCGCTTCCAACCACTACACCATTTTGGTCACTCGAGCGCACAAGTGCGGATCTCTCCCTACAGCATTCGCGGGCCCCACCATGCCTCGCCGCCAGTTCGTGGCAGATCTCCGCAAGGTCCAGGAGGGTCTCCTGCCTGAAGGAATCACAGACGTAAAGGCGGGCGAAGATGATGGCCAGCTCGTCTTCACTTTTGTTGGCGCGCTCGAACCATGGAAGATCACAGCTCTGGTGCCTGAGCTGGCGGACTATCCTACCTCACACGAGTACATGATGTTTGCAGACGACAACGCGCCTCGCTTCCTCTCCACCGCGCTGAACAGCGTGCGAGGAACCGGCCGCAAGACTGTCTTGGAATTGTTGCACATTGTATCCACCACGCTTATGAATAAAGTCGTTTCGGATAATGATGGTGACTCGCAGATGGAAGATGCCCTCTTGGATGATGCAGAGCAGTTCGACGACGAAGAAGACAGTGACGGGGACATCTACGATTCCGACCACGAGGCCTTCGATCTCAATCCGCCTGCTCACAACGCTGCTTATGCGACACAAGCTCCAAGCGCAACACCTCGGACCGGAGGCTCTAACCGCCAATTCCGTGCACGAGTTCGCGCTGATCTGCGGGAGGCGAAGCAAGCCGGCTTCAAGGTCGGATACTTGGGCCATCTTCTTGATGGCTACAATGCATATGTAACTGTCGCCATCCGCATTGCCAAGCTTGGAATCTCGGAAGAAGCTATGCAGGCTTGGCAAATAGAGCCATCAGACTACCTCATTCTGATAATACAATACCCGAACGGGTACAAGACCAACGAGGAACTACAGCGCTATGACAGCATTCGACTGATCTCCAACTCGGGTATCAGAGTTGTCACCGGAAAGAAGTACAAGCCGACGCTGCAGGAGGCAATCAAGGCCTTCACCGCCGTGCGAAAGGAATCACGCCCAAGCACCACTGCAAGCGATTTGCCCGGTCCCGAAGCAACGGAGGAGTCGTCCATTCGAGACACCTTCATCTCCAAGCCTCTGGTAACTCTCCTTCAAGAGCGACTGGTGCCACTGTTACGCTTTCGTAGTACGGGTATGGATTGGCTTGGAGCAGAAGGATGGTATCGCCATCACATGGAGGCAGGAGCGGGCGAGGAGAAAAGTGATGCTGTGCCTGATGAGTACTTTGCCGAGGAATCTGTACCTGATTCATTGCCTCCCATCATGCACCAAGATCATTACAAGACGCGTGGGATCACTCAGTACTCTTTCCCGCTTCTCGCCATGCAATATCTGCTTCGGCATTTTGTCCGATGTACAGAATTCTGCCTTGTGTGCCACCGGAAGCTCGACACCGAAGTAGAGGCGATCAAACCATACGTGTGCGATGACAGCCTTTGCCTCTATCAATACATGTCCCTTGGTTTTGGGCCCAGTATTGAGTATGAGCTCCTGGCACAACCCTTCGTTGTGGACCTTCTCATCTCGTTTTGTTACAATAGCGCTGCTATGCTTAGACTGAAGGACTTTCCGGATGGTCTGTCTCTGCAGGTGCCGCCTGTCGACTCTACAGCGCACATAGCGACGGACCATTACTCCCGACCATATCCTCCTGCGGGATCGCCTGCTGGCAAGGGCGCAACGCCGAAAAAGAAGGAGAAGGATCATGCCAGCTACAAGGTGGGATTCGACCGCTCCAAGCTCGAGATCATTTTTCACGATTCTTCGATCAAGTGTCCGGTGCGGACGGGTAGTTGGATCGTGATACAGAGCGTCGCAATCGCAGACTCGGATCTGCATTGTCGCGTTTCAGACACCACCTATTTCCCAACCATCTCGATCAACGAGCCGGTCATCGTTCCTAGCCCAGAGAACGGTGTTGCTTCCACCAAAACCCCGACTTTACAGACACCAGCTGCTACCCGACCGGTCAGCCCAGCCACCACCGCTCCAAATTGGACTCCTGCCGAATTCCAGATATACGATCAGGATTTCATCTCGCTTGGTAAGACCGAGAAGTGCGTTGCAATCACGAGATTGCTGGACACATTGCCGGATGTCATGCAAATGAGAGAGCATCTTTCGGCCCATCAAACCGCAGAGCTCAAGAGTTGGATCGAGCGGATTTCGCCTTCCGCGTTGGCCCTACTTCGTTGGATCATTGCCAGCAACCGCGCATGCATCATGCAGGTCGACGGCTGCGTAGCCGGCGATAAGGCGAACGGAAGCAAGACCAATCCCACACCTTCGGTGTTCAGTAAGGATCAGGAGAGATGTTACGGCATGAATAACTACATGCAATTCCGATTCGCCATGGGTGCGCCCGACAAGGAGCAGCGCTTCATCAACGAAGTCCGCAGCACCACGGAGCGACTCCAGCTGGACCATCCGACCATCTTCGCATTTCACGGTTCCCCTCTCTACAATTGGCACATGATCATTCGTGAAGGTAAGCCGCTTTGCAAAGACTACACTAATCGTACATGAGAGCATGAGACTAACGGAATGACAGGTCTTCACTACAAGAATGCCGACCATGGCCGAGCTTACGGCGACGGCGTCTATCACGCAAAAGACGCCAGCACTTCGAGTGGCTACTCTGGCATGTATCGATACGGTGGCGCCTCAGATAGCGGCAAATGGCCTTCGAGTGTCCTACGTATCTCCAGCGCACTTGCGTTGAACGAAATCGTCAATGCCCCGAGCGAATTCACGAGCTGCAACCCATATTACGTCGTTACGCAGCTAGATTGGATTCAGACACGGTACTTGTTTGTTCAAGTTGATCAGAAGGACGGCACCGTCGCCATTGGTCAGGAAAAGCAGCCATCGAATGCCTACCCGCAAGACCCTATGCGGACGCCTCAGGGAACCAGCAGCAAGATAGTCATCCCAGCTTCCGCCATCAAGTCTCGTAACGTAAGCTCATCTCCACGAAACTTTAGTGACGAAACATACTGATTCCCCAATAGATGACGCGGCGCGCGGATGACCCCCCAAAGAATCCAGGTCCTCTCAAGAAGCTCAAGACGCTATTGGGCAGCAGAGCTGCCCAGCCGGTCGTAATCGATGATGACAGCGCAAGCGTAGCCACCGACGAGGAGGACATTGCCATCTTAGAAGAAGAACCACCCGAGGAGAAGCGTGCACCAGCTGCCTTTGAGAACAAGATTGTCACCATCAACTCCGGCCCCAAGACCGATTTCCAACCGGGTGCTTTAGACTTCAGCAAGCTTCCCATCATGCCGCTGCCTAACTACGCTTCTTCAGGCACCACGAAGCGCCTCATGAAGGAGCTCCAGAACCTCCAGAAGGTCCAGGAGTCCAGCAACCTAGCAGAGCTCGGTTGGTACATCGACGTTGAGAAGATTGAGAATGTCTACCAGTGGATCGTGGAACTTCATTCCTTCCACACTTTCGAGGTCAAGGGCAAGCCACTGCCACTTGCTGAAGATATGAAGAAGCAGAACCTCAAGAGCATCGTCTTGGAGGTTCGCTTCAACAAGGACTTCCCATTCACGCCACCGTATGTGCGCGTCATTCGGCCTCGTTTCCTCACTTTCCAGCAAGGCGGTGGAGGCCATATCGTCATGGGTGGTGCCATGTGTATGGAACTGCTGACCAACACTGGCTGGTCCTCAGTTTCCTCGATGGAGTCCGTTCTGATGCAGATCCGCATGGCAATTGCTTCGGAGCCGTTTGCGCGTCTGGATCAGTCGGGCCGTGGCGGCAGCATCGATTATGGCACTGCTGAAGGCGCGGAAGGGTACGTCCGTGCTTGCAACACCCACGGCTGGCAGGTTCCTCCTGGCTTTCGGGAGATGGCGTACGGTGCAGGCCAAGGCGATTCACTGTAGAACCTGGCTGCTATAGCTGCACCGGAAGCCTTTGGCAGGCGGCGCCGCTGGTCATCAGACGCAGGTTCTTCATGTGCTTCTTCGGAATAGCACTCGGTGCTGGGTCCTGCGCTTTAGGGAATCGGCTCGGTTTGGAGTTACTCTGCATGGACATGGTTATGGAAAGAGCATTAGCGTGAGTATAGCATGGAAAGCACAGCGCGGCGTTTAAAATTGGAATGGAGACCGGAAAAGGTCCGAGATACAGCACAGTCGCACACCATGATAAGGAAAGCATAGATAATTGTATGATAATGAAAATCAGACAAAAGTCTGACAACAAGATCATCTCCAGTCAATTTCCACAATCCCTTTGCCTCAGTCATGGCCTCATGGAGTGTTTTGCCTCTGCACATGGACGGTCGATCCATGCAAACGAAGATCTCTTAGTGATGAGCTACAACTGGGGTTGAAGAGCGCCCTTGTCGCTTGTTAAAACGCGGCACGCCGAACAAAGTTCTAGATGTCGTAGTGCTGCCTATAGAGCTGTTCAGAGTTACATGTATAGAAAGGAGAGCTGACACAGAACAACAGACCAATAGAATATAATTTGGCGAAAGTGTGCTGACCGTCTCTCACGAACTGACATTGCGCTTTCACATTGGATGGAGGGCTTTGCAGTCCTGTCGCAAATGCTTCAGAATGGCTGATCTGTATGCTCTACTAGCACGTATGTCATATGAGACACAGCGCTTATCTGCTCTCTTAGTAAATTCATCCTGCTCTCGTCGGATTGATCATTGTGACGTTCAACACGAACATCTCTTGGAGGGTTTGCCTTCCATATGCATCTAGCCATCACGTTCGCCATGAGCTCTTCCTCTCCTCCGCAAGTAGCGCATATTGCCTATGGTTCCGGATTCCGGCTGGGAGGAAATTGGCCACGCAATATCCGAGCTCTTGATGTTATGGATTCGATATCTCAGCGACTTAATTCCCTTTCCCAAGCTCGTTGAGATCATGATCATGGTCCTGAAAGGGTGCAATTCCATGTCCAGATTTTGTGAGATCTGATGTGTCTTGTCATCTGGCACGCAAAGCGACACGACGTGTAAAGATATATGTATAATTATACAGTAGTGTACAGGATGCATGCTTTAGTTGCAGGAGCTGAGACTTACGGGGACCATTAATCACCATCCGAGCTCGCCAGAGATGTCTTTCTCCTTGGGCGCAGCGGCTGGTCTGCTTAGGAAAGATTCAAGGAGGATGCCCGCGGCGACACCGACGTTCAAGCTGTCAACGCCGACGTTGCCCATATCTGCGGGCTTGGCGCTGCTTTGGATGGCGACAAAGCCATCTGCACGCTTTCTCAAGTTCTCTCTCAGGCCTTCGCCTTCCGCTCCCAGCATCAGGATGCAAGGATGCTTGGCCAGAGGACTGTCCGCAGCGACACTTGAGGTCGTCAGCTTCCGCGTCTTATCCGCAGATCCGGCTGATGAGGCCTCGGCTGCGTAGATCGACCATCCATTCCTTCCCGACTCGTAGACGAACTCTGATGGTTTGGGGAGTGACAACAATCGCACGGCTTCACAACCACCCGAGGAAGCTTTGGCGACGATTGGTGAGGAGAGGTTGGCACAGGTGTTGGTGGCGACCGCCACTGCGTCCACACCGTAGAAGTGACAGGTGCGAATGATGCTGCCCACGTTGGCTGGGTCGAGGATCCCATCCAGCATAACGACAAGAGGGTATCGCCACGTCTTGGCAGCAATCTGCATCTCATTCGAAGTCCCGTTCACTGCTGCCTCCTCTGCGCTTTGCTTGGCAAGCTCCATGCGAACAGACGACTGTTTCAGGTCTGGCTTGCTGAGATGCAAGACCGGAGGAGCAGGCAGCTTCGACACCTCCAATACAACTCCGTTATGCGGCCGACCGTCGGACATTCTGTCAAGTTGTTGGGTAATCACTTTATTGACGAGTGTGACATTTGCGTCTCTCGCAAGAGTTGCAAGGTTTGCCCTAGCTGACTCAACTTGATTGACAGGGCCGGTGGGCTCCTTTGCGAAGTCCTTGGGAAAGATATGCGGATGGATGTAGAGCTTGTACATCTTCCGTCGACGGCCTCGGAGAGCAGCTAACACTGGGTTGTAGCCGTACAGGAATTCGCTGGCGGCCGTGCTGTAGGGTATGGGCACAGGTATATGATCCTGGCTTGACTGGCTGGTCTGTTCGGGCTCGTCTTGGCTTTGCTTCTGAGGAGTCTCGGCTACCTCTTCGTTTCCGAAATCAACCTCTTTTCCGTATTTTCCGAACTCGAAAGCCTCCGAAGCGTAATAGACATCCATCGTGCCGTCCTCCTTCTGGTAAATCGTGCTGCTAGTTGGGCCAGCCGGCGGACCGACTCGGAAGATACGGTCATCGGCCTTCCTCATGAACATCTCAGCCACAGAGTCCTCCGCCTCAGTCTTGAACGTGCCCGTCTCAATTGCCACATTGATTGCTCTGATGTGGCCTCTGATGTTTGATTTGAGTCTATCAAGAAGTCTCCGAGGTCCTCTTGATCCTTCGAGTCTCTGGACATGGACCATGTTCTTGCACAAAATCGTTATAGCTTGCAGGAGCCTCTTGCGAGGATGCCCTCCAGGCCTGTCGGAACCCACCGCGAAGTCCTCTCCTGCCTCGCGTTCGCCAAATGGCGACCTTTCGACCGCAGTTCGTTTTGAACCGGCCTTTCTCGCCTCACCATCTACATGCAGAGCAGATAGAGGCATTCTAGGTATCTTGAATACTCTCTCCGAGGTGGTGGGTGTAACGACTCTCGAAATGGCCAAGCGTGGTCGACCTGGTCTGGCATCTGTCGTCTCCTGAATGTCAGATTTGAGGCGGTTGTAAACGCCTTCACGAGTAGACTGTGAACGGTCATTTCTCCCATTGCGGCCGCCAGAAGGGGGCCGATCACGTGGCAAGCCAGGCTGGTCCCATTGACGAGATGTTCTCGAGGAGCTTGTCTTTCTATCCGAGATTGACTGTCGATCAAGACGTGATGATGGAATTCTCGAAGGGGTGTTTCGTCTGTCCGGTCGGTCATTGCTCTCTCTCCCAGCTCGCAGACCCTTCTTGATGGCCGATGTGGTGGAGATGGGGCGGCGCCATGTCGTATGGTGGGATCCGAAATGAGCGTTGGCTTTTTCCCGGATGCACAGCGTCCTTCGAAGGACAGAATGGTTCATTGCCTTAATCCATACGGTTATTCCATACGGTATGTAGATTTCTCCTGCTCTAGAGTTCCGAGTTTGATATTGGAGGTCCAAGCTCGGTAAATCTTCGGGGCTTTCAACGCGACTTCCTCCCATCTACAAACCGTCCACGCGCTCGCGTTTCCCCGATACATACACCTTGATCGCCCATGTTGGCTCTATAACACAGTCTTCCGCAATCATCTGGCCGCGATGGCTTTCCAATTCGACGCACGCGCAGATTCCTCGGACGAAGAGACCGGCGGCGGTATCGATCTATCGTCATGGAAGACTGGTGCTGCTGGTGCTGCTGGTGCTGGCCCTGCGCGCAAGACACCTCAAGAAGCTCCAGCTCCTATTGCCCAAATGGTAGCCCCTCAAAGAGACGACCGGTCCCAGACCAGCGAGACTCCGAACCTAGCTGCCTTCCAGAACATTGGTAAGGGCAAGAGAACGTCGAAGTCGAGAACGCGGTCACCGCCACGGCCGTCCTTTCAAGCCGTCAACAAGCCTTTAGTAGAGCCGGATGATGAGCCGGTGTACGACTTGGATACCCCTGAGCCAGCATCGGGACTCGCTGGAGACGGAGACGCAGAAGAGGAGGACGACTTGCAAACTGCCCAGCGCCAGAAGCTCTTTGTACAGATCTCTCGAGATGAAGCCGACAGAGACGACTTCGAAGACCTCACAGGTGGCAGCGAAAGTGTTCGTCGTGTGCTGAGCGCTGTTCCCGTAAAGGGCGGAAAGGTGTTCTACACGGTGCTGTTTGACGACTTCCACACTGAGAAGGTACGTGTATTGGATTTCCTTCACTCCCCACAAGATTGATGCTTTGAGCTCCCACTGCACATCTGTATGACTCTGATCTGGAAGAGGCGCCTTGGAGACTGGCAATGGCATCGGCGCTGCGAGGCACGACCGATGGTGATCTTGTTGTGCGGTAGAAGTGCCAGCGGTTTGCAAAGGCTCCTGCTGCCTAGCTGGTTGCCATGCAAGACTCACCTCACTCACCCACTTTCAAATGCTCCTTGCACGTGTCACGAGGTGACATGTGAGCCTCACATAGCCGTATCACCCTATACAAGGCCCACTTTCTTCACTTTCTTCGCTTTCTTCCTTCTTCGAACAAACACAACCGAAACACTTCCACCACCACCACCACCAACCCAATCGTGCACCCCTCCACCGATTCAAGACTGACACTACTGCGTAGCTCCGCCGAGACGACCTGCTCGATTTCGAGAACGGCGAAGAAGCCCTCAGCGACTTCAAGGCGAATCCGCCCTCTGAAGACGAGGGATCACCTCCACCACCGGCAAAGACTACGCGAAACCGGCGTTCAAGGATGTCTACCACTCGGCCAACTCGGTTGGGTACAGCACGTAAGAACGCTGGATTCGTGAACACTGTGGATTTCGTGGACGGCTCCGATATCGAAGCTTCCGACGATGGGATTGCCGTGGCCTCAGCTCGCGGTAGGCGGTCGCGCAAGCAAGACAACTCGCAATACTACGACGAGCTAGAACCAGGAGACGACGAAGAGGAGGAAGAGGAGTCAGATGATGAACTCGCACGTCCAACTCGCACCAGTACCCGCAACAAGGCGAACAAATCCGAACCTTCCAAGAATTTGCGCAAGCGGCGCTCAATGAGAGACGCCGAGGAGGAGGAGGATGAGGATGAGGAAAAATATGACGACTTGGATCTTCTGAACTCCGACCTACCCGGTGTGAAGACGCGCGGGAAGAAGCGACAGCGTCGTTCTGGAGCCGACTCTGAAGATACGCGTCATGCCAGCATGAGACAGTCAGCACGCTCAACTAGGCACCAAGCCGACATGAGGGAGAAAGACGAGGGCGATATCTTCCGCGACGCGTCCGAAGAACCTGTCCCAGTCAGACCCAAGGTGGTTACTACCCGCGAGATCTTCAAGCCTCTTCCACGCAATAGCGACTTCCGACTGCGACACTACCAGTACTGCGACACCTGTGGTCAAGGGTCCAACTTCGCTCCTCTCATCGACTGCCAAGGCTGTTCCTTGACCTACCACAAGTCTTGTCTCGGACACCGTACTGGCCGCGAGCACCTTGTCACCAAAGTCGGTGAAGAGGACTTCGTCCTACAGTGCCGGCGTTGCGTCGGCATTCCGCGTAAGAAGGATCATACTGCTCCAGACCATGGCAAGTGCCAAGAGTGTCACCATCACGGCGCAAGCTGTCGACCATTCCGTCCTCGCAAGACGGCGGGTCAAGAACAGAGGGAGCGCGACGATAACGATGGCGTTGACCCGACATACTCGGTGGATCCGCAGCGCATCAATAATGCCGACAATGTGCTGTTTCGCTGCGTTGGTTGCTTTCGTGGCTTCCACTACGAGCACTTACCGTCCCGCTCCGATCTTATGGACGTAGACATGGAAGTGGATGCAGAGCAGCGATTCAGAGAGTACAGCCGCGATTGGAAGTGCAGAGAGTGTGTTGACATGCCTGCAAAGGTGTCTGGCCTCATTGCTTGGAAACCTGTCGAGGAGGACGCATACGATCCTGCAGACGGATATGAGGGTCTCAACGAGGAAGACAAGGTCTACCTTGTGCGATGGGAGGGCATGTCTTACTTTCGCGCGCGCTGGATGCCGGGAGCCTGGGTTTGGGGTGTTACTCCAATCGTGACACGCAAAGCATTTGCCAAGCGCGACGATGCACGGCATCCTAAGATGAGGACGGAAGATGCAATTCCTGAAGACTACCTGCGGACGGACATCGTCCTGGATATTAGGTTCACCAGTATCGTTGACATCCGCACCGAAGAGATCGACAAAGCCCGCATTCGCGAGGTCAAAGAGGCTCTTATCAAGTACAAGGGTCTCAGTTACGAGGATGCTGTGTGGGAAGCTCCCCCAGGTCCCGAAGATGGCGAACGCTGGACAGATTTCGTCATGGCGTACAATGACTGGGTGGCAGGTCGCTACACCCGCCTCCCAAAGAGCGCCACTTTGAAGACACGACTTGAAAAGGTCCGCAAGCAAGACTTTTCAGGCCTCGAAAAGACCTCTCAGCCGGACACTATTGAGAGCGGTAAGCTCATGGAGTATCAAATCCAAGGGTTGAATTGGCTCTACTACAAATGGTTCACTCAAAAGAACGCCATTCTTGCCGATGAGATGGGCCTCGGCAAGACGATTCAAATCATAGGGTTCATGGCAACACTTGTTCAAGATCACCAGTGCTGGCCGTTCTTGGTAGTGGTGCCAAACTCCACCTGCCCAAACTGGCGGCGTGAGATCAAGCGCTGGGCGCCTAGTCTTCGCGTGGTGGCCTATTATGGCTCTCGCGAGAGCAGAGAAAAGGCCCTTCGTTACGAACTCTACCCAGAAGGTTGCAAGGACGTGCGCTGCCACGTCGTCGTGACCAGTTACGACGCGGCAGCTGATGAAAGCTGCCGCAAATTCTTCAAAAGCGCTGCATGGCAAGGCCTGATTGTGGACGAAGGCCAGCGTCTGAAGAACGACAAGAATTTGCTCTACACTGCCCTGGGTGCGCTCAAAGCCCCCTTCAAGGTTTTGCTCACCGGCACACCACTTCAGAACAACGCTCGCGAGCTCTTCAACCTACTACATTTCTTGGACGACAACTATGATGCCGCAGCACTAGAGAAGGAGTATGAAGACCTGGACCAGGAGAAGATTGGTCAGCTGCATGATATGATCCGGCCATTCTTCTTGCGCCGCACCAAAGCGCAGGTTCTTACGTTCCTACCTCCCATGGCACAGATCATCATTCCAGTCAGCATGAGCCTGGTGCAGAAGAAGCTGTATCGAAGCATTCTCGCCAAGAACCCTGACCTCATGAAGGCCATCTTCAGCACTGAATCAAGCTCGAAGCAGAGCGACCGAGGCAGTTTGAACAACATCCTCATGCAGCTGCGAAAGTGCCTGTGCCACCCCTTCGTGTACAACAAGAGCATCGAAGACCGAAATGTGGACATTGCATCATCCCACCGAAACCTCGTCGATGCAAGCAGCAAGTTGAAGCTCTTGGAGGTCCTCCTGCCGAAGCTGCAAGAGCGAGGACACCGTGTCCTGATCTTCAGCCAGTTTCTCGAAATGCTCGACATTGTGGAGGATTTCATGGATGGCATGCAGATGCGTTACCAGCGTCTGGACGGCGCGATCAACGCACTGACCAAGCAGAAGCGTATCGATGAATTCAACGCTCCCGATTCTGCGCTCTTCGCCTTCCTGCTCTCAACTCGAGCTGGTGGTGTTGGTATCAATTTGGCCACCGCAGATACTGTCATCATTCTTGACCCCGATTTCAACCCACATCAAGACATTCAGGCTCTCTCCCGAGCGCATCGTATCGGACAGAACAAGAAGGTGCTTTGCTTCCAGGTCGTCACGCGAGCCAGCGCCGAGGAGCGCATCATGCAGATTGGGCGCAGGAAGCTTGCTCTCGATCACGTGCTCATTCAGGAGATGAATGAGGACGAGGCAGACCAGAATGATCTCGTCTCGGTCTTGCGCCACGGCGCAAGCGAGCTCTTCGAAGACAGTGGGGATCAGGACATTGTGTACGACAATTCCAGCGTCGAGCGTCTGATCGACAGAAGCCACATGGAAGATACGAAATCTGGTGCTGACAAGAGCGCTGAGACGCAATTCTCGTTCGCTAGAGTTTGGGCCAATGACCAGGGCGCTCTCGAAGATGCCGCGGTGCCAGAGGTCGAGGAGACTGCGCCGGATCCTGGTGTCTGGGCCAATATCCTCAAAGAGCGTGAGCGAGTCGCCGCTGAGGAAGCTGCTGCCAAAGCAGAAGAATTCGGCCGCGGCCGTCGTGCGCGTACGAACAATGTCGACTATACTGGCGACAAGGTGGACGGTGCCGACGGCATCGACATCACACCTATCAAGAGCAAGCGCAAGCGTACTAAAGAGGGCTCAGAGAGCGACACGGACTTCCAGGCCGATGACAGCGACGGCGACGACGATCCCGAAGACGGTGAGCACCTGGAGAATGGTGAGTTGAAAGGTTTGGATCATGATCGTACTAAACCCGAAGCAGGCAAGAACAAATACGGTAAGGCATCCCAGAAACCCGCATCGCCTAAGAAAGAGGTGAAGAAGTTGCGCTCCACGAAAGCCAAGGCACCAAAGGAGCCTCAGTCAATGAGGAAGTCTGGAGGGGCAAAAGGCAAGAAGTTCAACAATGCTGCTGCAGTTAGCGCGGTTACGCCGGCCAGGTCTTCTGCATCAACACAGAAGATGACTCCGGTACAGCCGCGCGGCAAGAAGTTGCCTCAGCACGCCAAAATCTCATCGCTACAATCTTCAGCGGTAAAGCTGGGTAAAATGGTGGCGCAGAGTGTCATGGCCAAACAGGGTCAAACTCAGTCTTCTCCCGTGACTGAGCCTGACTCTAAGCGACCAGGACCTTCTTGGGACTTCAACAGTCTCGAGGGCAAGGCGGCTGATAAAGCCGGCGTCCTGGAAGACAATTAAGCACTCCCACGAACATCATGTCCCTGGCACTTGGCACAATTCTCAGGATGCAGGACACCATGGGCTGACACAATCACCAAAACAGAAGTCTTTCGTCGAGCCGTCGTACCCAAGCCCGATCTCTCGCGTTACCAGGACAGGTTCCCAGCGAATGGAGCCACTAACCAGCCAATTACCATCACCGACGCGAACAATCCGATCGCCCTTGGAGTCAATTGTCGCGCATGCAACACTTACCACCCCGTCGGCAGCTGTCCTATCAAGTTGGCTGGGGCGGAGCACTGCAACCTTTGTGGCATTGCACATTATGGACATGCGCGAGTCTGCCCTCACATCCAGTCGGAGACACAGGTATGGTCGCCCTCGGAGTAAACGCGACCAGTGGTCATTTGCTAACGCGGTATAGGTTCGCGCGATGCTCGAGGCGCTCAAGTACTCCAACGAGCCTGAGCATCTCGTCAACGAGGCGAAACGCTACTTGCGAGGATTGAAGGGTAATTTGGTTCAGATGAAGAAGCAAAAGGAAGCCAAGGAACACGCCATGAGAGAGACGTATGCTCGCGAGGCTTTCAATCGGAGCATCAACCCGGGCATGAACCAGGGAGGTGGATGGTGATTCTGCTTCTTGACATGGGAGTTGAGTTGAGTTGGTTTGCAGCTTTCCTTGCAGCTTCTTGCACGATTCGATGATACCCCCTGAGAAGCAAAACGAGGGCCAGAAGCCCGAATGAATTGAGCTGAGTTTAGCGCTTTGATCTGACCTATTCTCTCCTCCTCCATTCCTCTCACTAGGTCAACCGCGACTTCAAGAGATCCTTGCTAACTAACGACCCCATCCTTTTCCGCTTCTATAGTCCCGTCACTCTCCAGTTCGCGCTCTAAAACCTTCAACCCGACCACGCACGCATCCTTCTCCCGCTTCTCCTCGGGAAAGTCATCCATGCCCAAGAAAAATAAACGAGACCCACCAAGCTCCGACGACTCCACCAGATAGATACACCCCTCGAAATGCTTACATTGCTCGTTGCATGCATGCATGCATACATACATACATACATACATACATACATACATACATACATCCGAAGCCCTCTCTCATCTTGCGCGAGGATGCCGCGTTGATGTCGCGTGATGTCGTGTGCGCGTGGTGATTGCGTCTTAAACGATGCGGGTAAAAAAGATGTCATGTTGGTTTTTTGTTTAGCGTAATTATGGATAAGAATAATAATAATAATTAATCAAGAAAAGAGTCTGTTCTGTATACCACAACCATACACATACCATATATACCACACCGGCGGGCGAGCGAGCGGGCGGGCGGGCGGGCGGGCGGGCTAGAAGGGTTTCTTCCTTGTTCTTTGTTCTTTGTGCTTGTTCTCATGTGCATGTTTCGTTTTCACATGTTGGCTTGGAGAATTTCTAAAGGGGTGGGGAAATTTTTTTTTGTTGGTCCGGTCGCGGTGGGGAGAGTCGGGGTTGGGTGGAAATACGAAGTCGGGAGGGAGGGAGGCTAGGGTACGGGTGTCTGTCTTTCTTTGCGTGTGTTGTCAGGGATGAGGTGGGTACCTAAGGTAGGTAGGTAGGTAAAGAAGAAGAGGTAGGTAGGTACCGTATCCTATGGAGCCAGCCGAGGAGAGGAGAGGAGAAGGGCAAAAAAAAAAAAAAAAAAAAAAAAAAAAAAAAAAAAAAAAAAAAATCTCTCGTACGTCTCCGTGATGATACTATTATCTACTACCACTACTGCCGGATGACTTCCTGCATGGAGTTTTCTCGTACCGGGAAATCGTTCCGGATGAATCTATCTACAATCTACAAGAAAGCAAACAACATAGCCGTCAAGGCGACGCTCATAGCAGACGCCCAAATCGAAGTCGGCAGTCCTATCGCCCCGCCGGTCTTCACACTGCTGCTTGTTGCGCTTCCCGATTCCGTGCGAGTTCCATTGCCATTGCCATTCCCACTGGCAGTCGTGGTGGTACCATTAGCAGAACCCAACTGTTTCGCGGGTAGCGTACCCAGAATCACCTCCAACGCCCCGAGATCTTGTCCGACACCGACGTGTCCATCGTTTGTGCCCGCTTGGGTGTACCAATTGCTCCCGCAGCGTCCATTGACACACTGTCCCGCAGCGGCCTGGGCGGAAGCGTCTAGAATGCTGTTGATGTCTTGATGGAAAGTAGCGGCAGAGGTTCCTCCGTTGTAAGAGGTGCTGGAGTCCCCCGAGAGAGCAACTGTGCGGGCAAGTGCGCGGGCCAGGATGGATTTATAGGCGTATTGGTCGACGTTGCAAATGTTTCGAGCCTCGCAGGCGGTTTCTTGGAGGATGTTACTGTCGTTTCGGGTGAAAGCGTCGTGGGCGTGGACCACGAGAGAGGATGTCAAGCCGTTCCAGAAACTCGTGTTTGTCTGCAGCATAGTGTTAGCAGACGTCTGCAAGTGGTGCTCTGTCTGTCTTATGAGAACTCACCACATTCCCCTGATATGCCGCAGCCCCAAGAAACCATCCCAGATTCGCCGTGAACTGGAGATGATTGATACTGCTGCAGTTTGAATTCGTATCCGCTGAATCATAGACAGCCCCAGTGCTCTGGTCCAACAACCCAATCCCTTCCGTCCATTCCACTCCCTTCTGCGCCCAATCGCCGTAAGTCGAATTCCCCGTAAACCTCCCCAATCTCGCAGCAAGCATCACAAAAGACCCCATCGAAGCCGTATTCTTGAGATCATACCCAACCTTGAACGAGAAAATCTGCCATCGCAACCCTCCTCCACACGTCCCTTCATCCCAGCGCAGAGCGATGGAATTGAACGCATTCTCCGCCAATGCCAACCACGAAACCGACGCGTTGGCGGGAGACGGGAGATTGGATTCCGCGGCTGTCATGGCCGCGTTGGCCCAGACGGCCACATCGTCGTTTCCGAGACTTTTGCTCCGGTTGGGGGGCATGTAATTCTCGTCCGGTCCCGTTTGGAACAGCAAGGCTTCCTGGATCAGCGGCACCACAGTCTCGTCGCCCGAGAGGGACCAGTAGTTGGTGAGCGAGTCAAACATCAGGCCGGCTTCCCACCGGTAGTACGGAGCGGGAAGCAGGCCTGGCATTTCCGCTCCCGTGCCATTGCGGTTGTACACGCGCAGGAGGTCCTGCACGATGGTTTTGGAAACGTCGAGGACAGATTGAGTGTTGTTGAGATGCAGCTCGAGTGCATTCGTCGTCAGGAAGAGGCCCGCGAAGCCAGTGGCGAGAGTCTTTGTTACGCGCATGCTTGCTGTTGCTGGTCCAGTCGTGGGAAGCGCGTAGAAGATGGGCAGGAAGCAGGACGGCGCATGTTTATACAGCCAGGCAGCAGACCTAGGCGCCGTTTGTGTGACACAGCCAATTCCATTTTGAGAGTCTTGTCGAGAGTGAAATGATCCTTTGATCCTTCGTGGCGATGGGAGAGAACTTGGCCCTGAATCGAGTGGATACTGTTGAGGCAGGAGCAAACTCTCCGCGGGTGGCACGGGAAAAGTATACTTGGCGCCCGCGTGGTTCAGTCACGTGTTTTAGGACGGGAGGCACTGAAAGGAGACGTGAAGTTCTTGTTTGATATCTGCCATCCGTTGGCTCTTGGTAGTGATGGCATCCCATGTGGTAAATAATACTGCTGTGCAGGTATGCAAACGCCCGTTTTCCATCGCTCAGCCTCTCTCGGCGAGCTTCCCTTCCCTTGCCCGGTGCATGCTGATTGGGTATCAAATTCAAAAATGCTCGCGCCACGATAAATCTCCATCGCTAAATGCAAAGTGGTTCAATGTCTCTCTTCTCCTTCCCCCTCAGATTGGGCGTGTCGCGGGGTGTCTCCCTGCCCCGAATGCTGGGACTGCTTCGGAAGCTGGGTGAGCGATCAAGCAGCTGCGCCTCCATCTTCTGACCCATGGTCATGCCATCTCTCGGCGGTGCGATGGAACGTCCGGTGGTGGTGGTGGAGACAATGGACAACTTGCGGTTGATTGCTGCCATTGCCTGAGGGTTCGTCGCCTCGGATTCCTCGTCCTCCACCGCAATATGCATCCACCTGCGAATGTCGTCACTCTTGTGGAGAATCTCACTGTCGTCTTCACCCGCGATCTCAATGCCAGACTCTCGGAGCACTTGTGCCATCGCTCGATTGTTCAGCTCCATGATTCTCTGGGGCTCCTCTGCTTTGGTCACGCGCTTGGCGATCCACGGGAATAGCAGACCGAAATCGGATTGGTTGAAGTGTTGGCTCTGCTTGACATAGAACATGTGCGGACTTTCTTTACGAGCTGGCGGCTTCCCTTCCGCTGGGCTTGTCTTGGCACCAGAAAGCTTGCTCTTCGCAGAGGTAGCCAAGGACGGCGTAGTCAATCCACTAGCTCGGCTGCGTTGTCGTGTGATGCTTCGCATGGGTGATCGTGACAATTCCGAAGCATATCCGGAATCCTTTGACGGGGACTCGTCTCGTAGTCTGGCCCAGCTGGGGAGTAGCCTGCCTCTGTCGCGCATCAATCGGGGAGCGGTCGACGGGCGTCGCGAAAGTGTCGGTGGCGCCACAATGTGCTTGTTGATGTTCAGATTGTCTTCCCAGTTGTAGAAGGCTTCCGACAGGACAGAGCAGATGTTCGAGCCGGCTGGCCCACCCACGGCGTATGATGGGAGTGGTCGGTCCCAGAGCCATGCCTGGTCGGGTGATCGCAACGGCAGACACCACATATCCAGCAGAAGCATCGGAGACTCGGGCATGATCTGGGAGACAACGGCGGCATCCGAGTTGGGGACGATGAGTGGTTTGCCGGCTTCGGCCGGTCGATCCTGGTGATAGTAGATGCTCTTGAGCAATTGCACCACGGTACACGCGCCGAATGAATGTCCAGCCCATGTTACCTTGCCAGCGCGATGGATGTCCAGCATGCCATCGAATTGCCACAAGACCTCGACCCGTTCCTTCCGCTTCGTACTCGAGTTGATGTCCAGGTTCTCTATCGCCTGACCAGCGTCTATCTTCATGAGCGCTTCGTATGCCATGCTGATCTCCCACAGTCTTATCCGCAGCTGCTCGTCTCTTGCCTCATACACGTCTTGACATGGCTCATGGCTGATCTTGGTGGGGTTGACGATGTGAGCGTCGGTGTGGTTGGTGGCGCGCACGTATTGAATCGGACTGCTGCCATCGCGGTGGTCGAGGGCAATGACAATCATCCCCTGACTGGCCAGGTCGCCGCAGATGAAGGAATACGCATTGCGCGATCCGGCGAGCCCGTGACTGAAGAAGGTCACGGGCCATCTCCCATTGGTCGTGGGAGGATCCAAAAGCTTCGCATTGCGTCTCGCGGGAAGTGTGATCCAGTACAGCTGTTGCGGCATGAAGGAGATCAAGTTTGCGACCCTCGGCGACTTGACGCCGAGAAAGTTGGCAAAGGCGCGAATGGTGGCTCGCTGAGGTTGCGGAATCCATCGGACCGGTCTGTCCTGCTCACCGGGTGCCTGCGGTGCGCATGGGTAGAAGATGCGGAAGGCAATGGTGGGTGCGGCGCCGTCGGGAGCGTGTGAGGGCGAAGGCAGGTCTGAGGCCGGAATCTCGACATCGACGGTCCCCACTTCATAGCGTCCGTTGTACTTGGGGAAGGAGACGATCGGATGCCATCCCGATAGCAGGCCGGTCATTGCTGCTGCTGCTGCTGCTGCTGCTACCGGATATTGCGGAGAGGGAGAGGGAGGTGCAGCGCCAGATTGGTGGGGTTTGAAGGTGTGGGACGTGGGATTTGGGATTGGTTGGCAGGCGTGGAAGGTCGCGGAGATTTGGTTAGCTCTCCTGAGAGTCAGCTGGGAGGCGCGTGCGGGAAGAGGAATGCGTGAGGAAAGGGTAGCGACAGTGATCGGAAGTAAGAAGGAGGAGAGTCGATTAGCAGAGCAGAGCAGCAAAGAGGCGGAGCAGTCTGGGCGAGGGCAGTAGTGTGCAGGGATGAGAGGAGAAGAGGAGCGGAAAAAGCAGGACGTCGTGTGCCCAGATCGGCATCGGCATCGGCATCGGCACTTTGTTCCCCGGAACACTCACTGCACAGCATGTAGTACAATTGTACATGGACGTCACCAGCCGGCAGACTCCGTTCCCAAGGCGCCGGTCTGGCCTTTTGCCGGCATTGGGCTGGCCGCTGGGAGGGGACGGGAGGGCGACGGCGACGGCGACGGTGCCAACAAGGTGCGACAGCGTGAATCATAATTATTATCAAGGTGTCTCTCGTGAAGAAGCAGTGAGGATCGGATCGGATCGGATCGGATCGGATCGCGTGAAAGATGTCAGAAATCCACACATCAGCCATGGACCCCATGAACCCGCTCCGCCGTCCCGTACCAGGGCAGTAATAAGGTATCGTACATGTACCGCGTCGGCCAGAGGATGATGTGAGAATCGGCGCATCATCCTCATCCTCATCCTCATCCTCATCCTCATCCTCATCCTCATCATCCTCGTCCGCGGAGACTGTTCACCACAATTTCGCTTCAATCAATGGCCCTGCCCTGCCCTGCCCTGCCCTCCTGACTTGGCAGCCAAGAGAGAATATTGACCGCGTACTGCGTGACCGGTGCGTCCGGTGCAATGCGGAACTGCCCTCTACTCTGTCAATCTCCGGCGGTGAGCTGCTCATCTCCCAAAACAAAAACAGCATGTCACTGCCCATAAGGCTGACCCGAGAGTTCAACTTCCGTCTCGGCCACCCACGCCCAATCTCTCGGACCGCATGCCGTCCAAGCATATCCTGGCTCCCCGGAACGCTCTACCTGCTCGACCTACTCTTTTCCACCAGTGCATGAAACCACACGTTTGCCCCCTCACTCTTCCCAATGGATGTGCGCCGCAAAAGCTTTCTTGGCCCAACTCCTCCTCTGCTCCTCGCTGATGAGGGCACGGTAAGACGTATGTAAATCATTGAAACGCAATTCCCGCCCTCGTATTCCGCCCACCCTCTTCTCCAGCTACCACCCATCCTCTTCCATGATGACTTGCTGCCACTCTCGGGCTTCCTGACAGCAAGCGATGCTTCCTGGTGCAGAGTCGGCGCACTGGTTCTCTTTCCAGCCGTTCCCCCGAGAATCAGCTCACGGCAAACCTCGCCAGAGCAGTCAGGTTTCCATTGGCCTTGGCAGTATGCCCTCCCGGAAGCCATCATGGTTCGGCGGCCAACCGAGACGTGCCCAGGCAGAGCCGAGCAAGTCACCGACTCTTTCACCCGAGCTACATGGCACGCTCACCTCGACCGTAGAGGCGATGCCTTCGGATCAGGTATCGTGATGTTCTTGTCCAAGTCGTCGGGCGGGTCTGATCGCGACGTGTAGATGTCACAGCTATCCGGGAAGAGCTCTGCGTCGTCGCCGAGGTGGCACGACAAGGCACCTCCGACGGTGGTCTTGCAGCGCTACACGGTTCTGTCTCAGAGGTCAGTTGCACTCCACGATGCTCTCGGCGGCGTGAGCGCTCACCGATATCAGCTTTCAGCCCAAGCAATTCTATTCGCCGGCCATGTGCGCGTGAGCCATTCCATCCATTGCAAGACCCCCCACCTACTCGACCTTCTGTACTTGTGGAAGCTCGGTCAGCGATCACGAGCAATGATGGCATCGCTTGGGGTTCGTCTACTCTGAACATGCCCACGAATCCGAGGATACGCTTCGCTCCGCTCTCGACGAGCATGCGCATATCCACATGGAAGCTGCGGCCGGGGTCTGACCGCCGTCACGCTCCCCAAAGTTCTGTCCGCGCGCAACGAGCTGTGGAGAGTAAAGTAAGTTCAAGAAGAATGCTGTGGGCGGTGGGGGCACATTTCACGGCATTGGTTGGTTGGGTGCAGAGGGGCACAGAGCAGCAGAGAGTACTCATACGTAATGATGCTGGGGTGTGAAGAAAGCCGGGTCGACTCCTCGACGTGGAGTGCCATGCCATAGCCGAGCCAGAGTGGGCACTTCTTTGTACAGCATTGCCCTCAAATCAAACCTCCCCTCGGGAAGTGGATACTTCTCCCTCGGTGCAGTCGGTGCAGTATTATGGCGAAGACCGCTTCGACGAGGAGGATATAAACCTGTCTGTTCTCGGTGCCGTGAAGTTGTAAGAAGTGCTCGAGAACGTCGCACGTCCATCACCTGCCATGATTGTCTTCTCTTCTCTTCTTATATATGAGTTGTAGCAACCTCAGGTCACGGGTATGTATCCGACATGGTGGCTTTCCCGAAACGGCAACCCGCGACGAGGACCACACCGAACCATCTCCAGCATCGACACTGAGGTGGACTGGCTAGATCCACGACTCCACGCGCGATAATCTCTTGCAGCAAACACCTCCAAGCGGTTCGATCACCGTTCTGCCGTCCACATACCGACCGGAATCGAGGGCCGTTGGTCCCTGCAGTCGGTCACACGCTCACATGCTCGACTTCGTTGATCCCGGTCACTGCTCGACGTCACGCCAATGCGAGATACTACCTCGCGCCAGTCTCCCGCATCTCATCACAAGAGCTCTCATCAGAACACAAGGAACAGCACAAACAAAGACTCGGAGCGTGGTACCCTCTCGCCGGTGACCGCGCGTAATAACCCCCTATCCAAGCAAGTAGAGCAGCACTCCCGATTCCGAATGCGAAGAGTCGGCACGATGTCACGATCGCGCCAAAAGCGAGCGAGTCGCTGTCTCGCATCCACGTGGGACAAGTCCGGAGAATACCATGGGGTTCGGCGAAACTAATTGCCCATTATCTGGTCTATAGTGCGGAGGCCCGCACATGAGCCATGCGATCCACTTTCCCAGTTGGTGGTGGTCGACCGACGGATCACACGCTGGGGAAAAAAGAAGGGGACGACGGCATTTGGAGGCGGAGGAGGCGAAAAAAGGGACGAAAGGCTTGGGTTTTATAAAACGCAAAGGGAAGACCTGTGCTTTCTTTGGTCTCAGAGAGGGTAGGTCGTCGGCCTTATTTTTTTTTTCCTTCTGCTCTCCCTCGAATTTCTTCCTCGCTGCGCGGCAATGCGGTCTTTCCTTCCTACCGCTACCGCTACCGCCCTGCTGGCTGCGGGTGTGGTGAACGCTTTTGATTATTCGCGCTTGGCTGCTAGCAAGAATAATTATGGCGCTCCTGTGCGTTTTCACTTGACGAATTGCAACTGGAGAGTTTCGTTCTTTGCTGACGCGTTCAGTTCCCAAACACCACGTACCCAGATTTCGTCTCGGAGAACCCGGCGGTTGTGGCGGGTAGCAACAGCTTTCAGACCAGCCCGCCAAAGTACCCTTCGCCCTGGGTTGAGGGTCTCGGAGATTGGGCGGAAGCCTACGCGAAGGCGAAGGCCTTTGTCAGTCAGTTGACATTGACTGAGAAGGTTAACTTGACTACTGGAACCGGGTAGGCACTTCGTGGACTCTAAAATCTGTTGCAGTGACGTGGTCCGCTGATCGATGAATTGCTAGTTGGGAACTCGAAAGCTGCGTCGGCCAAACCGGATCGATTCCTCGCCTCGCTTTCCGCTCGCTCTGTCTGCAGGACAGTCCCACTGGCGTCCGTTTCGCGGATTACAACAGCGTTTTCCCCGCCGGAGTCAACGTTGCTGCAACATGGGACCGCAAGGTGGCTTACGACCGGGGTCGGGCTATGGGCCAAGAGCACAAGGGAAAAGGTGTCGATATCCAGCTTGGAGTACGTTGCCAAATCAGAAGAAGGTCGTGGGAAGCTTCGGTATACTGATCATAACCACTAGCCCGTCGCGGGTCCTCTTGGTAGAATCCCAGTCGGTGCACGTAACTGGGAAGGTTTCTCACCTGATCCGGTCCTTACTGGTGTCATGTTCGCGGAGAGCATCAAGGGAATCCAGAGCGCTGGTGTCATGGCTTGTGGAAAGCATTACATTATGGTACGACCCTAGCCCGCCATTCCTCTAGCAGGATTCAAGAGTACTGACACGCTGACTCTTTTGCAGAACGAGCAAGACCACTTCCGTCTCGTGCCTGACTCCAGCTCCTATGGCTTCAACATCTCCGAACCTTTCTCCTCTAACCTCGACGATGAGACTCTGCACGAGCTCTACCTCTGGCCCTTCGCTGATGGCGTCAAGGCTGGTGTGGCGAGCATCATGTGCTCTTACAATCAGGTTTGTAGAACGAAAATGCTAGTCTTTGGCGACTGAAGCACACGCTAACACACAGCTCTCCCTGCCATAGGTCAACAACTCGCAATCTTGCCAGAACTCCTACCTGCTTAACCACATCCTCAAGGGCGAGCTTGGTTTCCAGGGGTTCGTGGTTTCGGACTGGCTCGGCACTCACTCGGGTGTCGCCTCTGTTCTCGCGGGTCTCGACATGACCATGCCTGGCGAGACCGACTCCTACAACAGCATTGAGACCTGGTACGGCGGCAATCTCACTGTCGCGGTTCTCAACGGCACCATTCCACAGTGGCGTCTGGACGACATGGCCACTCGTGTCATGACGGGATTCTTCAAGGTTGACATGGACGTCGAGCGCGACCCGATCAACTTTTCGTCTTGGACTACCGACACTTACGGTTATGAGCATTACTACGTCGAGGAAGGTGCTTTCACCCAGGTCAACTACCACGTCAATGTCCAGGCTGACCATGCTGCTCTGATTCGCAAGCACGGTGCTGATTCTACTGTCCTTCTGAAGAATGTCAACAACGCTCTGCCTCTTACTGGAAAGGAGTCTTTGACTGCCGTCTTCGGTGAGGATGCTGGGCCAAATCTCGCCGGACCAAACGCATGCTCCGACCGTGGATGCGACAACGGGACTGTGGCCATGGGTTGGGGCTCTGGCTCGTCTAACTTCCCTTACCTCGTCACCCCCGATAGCGCCATCCAGGCCGAGGTTTTGTCCCGTGGAGGCGCCTACGAGTCTTCCCTGGACAACTACGCTCTTGACACCATGGGCAGTCTCGCTCGTCGCGCCAACGTGTCCATCTTCTTCGCCAACAGCGATTCTGGAGAGTGGTACCTCGAAGTCGACGGCAACCTGGGCGAGAGGAACAACTTGACCTTCTGGCAAGGTGCTGATGCGGCGCTCGAGCGTGTTATCGCGAACTGCTCCAACACCATCCTCGTCATCCACTCGCCAGGCACTCAGGAGTTGGAGAAGTACAAGAACCACCCCAACGTGACCGCCATCCTCTGGGCCGGTATTCCAGGCCAGGAGACTGGTAACTCCATCACCGACATCCTCTACGGTCGCGTCAACCCCTCCGCGAAGCTCCCCTTCACCATCGGCAAGAAGCGGGAGGACTACGGCGTCGACGCTCTCTACACCCCCAACGCCGCCGTCCCTCAACTCAACCTCCAAGAAGGCAAGCACATCGACTACCGCACCTTCGACGCCTTCAACATCACCCCGACCTACGAATTCGGTTTCGGTCTCAGCTACACGACTTTCAACTACAGCGACTTGAAAATCACCAAGACCAACGCCTCCGCTTACGTCCCATCTAGCGGCACCACCACATCCGCCCCGACGTTCGGCAACTACAGCAAGAACCCGGCCGACTACCTCTTCCCTTCCAACTTCAGCCGCGTCTCCCTCTTCCACTACCCCTGGCTCAACAGCACCAATTTCACCCTCGCGACGGGAGACCCCCACTACGGCCTGCCCGGCTTCATCCCCGCCAACGCCACCTCTTCCGCCCCGCAACCCATCCCCAAAGCCGGCGGCGCCCCCGGCGGCAACCCGGCCCTCTACGACGTCCTCTACACCGTCGCCTGCACCGTCCGCAACACCGGCGCCGTCGCCGGCGCCGCCGTGCCCCAGCTCTACATCTCCCGCGGCGGGCCCTACGACGCGCCCCGCGAGCTGCGCGGCTTCGACAAGCTCTACATCGAAGCGGGCGCGAGTGCCACGTTTGAGTATGGCGTCACGCGCAGGGATGTTGCGAGTTGGAGCACCGTGCAGCAGGATTGGTTTGTCAGGGACTCCGAGAAGAGGGTTTTTGTTGGTGCTTCGAGTCGGGATTTGTTGTTGGAGGGGGTTCTTGGGTAGGAATGAATTGGAGGGAGGGGGGGGGGGGATGTGATTGCGCTGTTCTGTGTCGTCTCAGAAGAGGTGATTTGGTGAGAGGTCGAAGAAAAACAAAACATTAAGATGGCTTCAAGACCTCGCGAGGGAGGCACGGCAAGGTTGTCAGTCAGCCTGACGGATCGCGGTGCCACTTGCCAGGCAGGAGGAGCGGGCTTTTGACGCAGACTGAAAGAAAGAAAGAAAGAAAGAAAGAAAGAAAGAAAGAAAGAAAGAAAGAAAGAAAGAAAGAAAGAAAGAAAGAAAGAAAGAAAGAAAGAAAGAAAGAAAGAAAGAAAGAAAGAAAGAAAGAAAGAAAGAAAGAAAGAAAGAAAGAAGGAGAGAATTGTAGGGACGGTAACGTTCTCTCTTGTACAACCATAATTCGTTGGGTATCGTCTCTATCTTGCTCTGGGCGCCGTCGCTCGCTGTGCAATAACATCCACAAACCCCACCGTAATCGGTCTCAAGCAGCCGCGGAGACTTCCATGGCATGACCATTGACCATGCTCATCCCGAAGCCGCTTCGCCGCTGCTTCAACCGCTCCTTTCGGCTCGTAACGACACCCTTTGTCGCGTCCTTGAAATCGTACAAATCGACGTTGTTCTCAATGCCGCTCAGATTGAGAGGCCGCACGACTTTCATCGCGCCTGTACCGACGCTCATGCTCTGTCCCATGATGATACACTCACTGACACCTTCAATGTCATCCTTCTTCATCTTCGCCGCAGCCTCAAAGAGATGGTCAGGGGTCTTTTCGAACGAGGCGAGCTGGAGGACGGAGTCGCGCATCTTCGCAAGACCGAAACGGGTGATGCCCAAGATTTCGCCCTTGTAAGTCATGACATCGGCCAGCAGCTGCATGTGTCGAGGATCAATGTCCATACCACCCATGACGGAAGAGATTTCGTTGATGATCGTCTTTCGAGCAGCTTCGATGCCTAGCACGTCCCTGCATTCCATGATGTTGTTCGATGTGGTGTGGTAACCGTTGACACCTTCGGTGGTCATGCATGCCTTGAATCCGTAGCCTTCGACGAGCACACTAATGGGTTCTTTGCCCTCCTTGTCCTTCTTGTCGTCCTTTTTGATGATGGCTCGCTGTGCGTCTGGATAACCGCTGATAACAACTTGGGCCAATTTCCGCTTGAGCTCATGAAGCTGCACAAACAGAACCTCTGAATGATCGCTGTCGACGTTTTTGAGCTTGCCTGGGAGTGCACGGCGCGAGCTCGGTTTGTTGTCTGGGACATTAATCTTCACGCGGATATGTTGTGCGCCTGAAGCGTGCGCGCTGACACCCATCGCCCTGTAGCCTTTTGTGCGCTCGATTGCTTCGGTGATTTGCCACATGTTGATCCGCAGACCAAGACTCTCCACCTGCTGCCAGTTCACGCGCATCTGAAGGTAGCATCCATAGCTATGCCATACGTCCTCGATATAGTCCACAATGTCGCCGAGATAAGTCTTCTCAATGAGAGCTTTAGCGAATCGTGCAGCCATCTCTTCGTATTTGGAGTCCAGTGTGCAGGTGATGACGGGCGTGCTGATTGTTTTACTTGCGTTGATGATTTCCTTGATACGAGGAACACCCTGTGTGATGGACATACCGGCGACACCAGCAAAGTGGAAAGTCTTCAGGGTCATTTGCGTACCTGGCTCACCGATGGACTGCGCACCGACAGCACCAACAGCATGACCAGCCTCAACCTTGGACTTCTCAAATTTCCTCAAGCAAAGTTGTAGGAAGCGATCCAATGCAGACTGTGTTAGCTTGAAGACAGACGCACAGTCTGTCCATCGAGCATGCGCTTTCTTTATCTTTGATAGCTGCTGCAAAATGTGTTCTGCAACGTGGTCCAGGAACTGTCGGTTGTACTCCAACTGATCGGCGTTGAGACCATGTTCGTCGATTTCGTAAGGCAGTGGCTTTCCGTCGTCGGTAAATCGGTCCAGCTTGGCTCGTTCTCTATCGAGGACCTCCTGCACATATGTCTCAATCTCACCTGCGGACAGTCCGCATTCGCTGTTATCCCACGTGCTCGTGATGGCGTGCATCCAAGTGCGGTCAAAATTCACCGGTTTGGCATTACCTTCCATGTCCACCGGATCAAGCCCATCGTCTCCAAACTTCATCTGGACGACTCCTGAAGAGGAATTGCGTACCGTCAAGTCATACTGAGCACTCAGATCCTCCAAACTCTTCATCAGGCGACGTGACATGTAACCAGTCTCTGCGGTCTTGACAGCGGTATCGACAAGTCCTTCTCTGCCGGACATGGCATGAAAGATGAACTCGGTCGGGGTGAGGCCGCTGAAGAAGCTATCGGCGACGAAACCTTTTGCAAGAGGATCTTTGCTCGCTTTTGGGAAATGCGGAAGGGTACGGTCTTGGAAGCCCTCCAAGACTCGCTTGCCTCCAATGATCTGCTGTCCTACAGCTGCGACCATCTGAGAGACGTTGATGTTGGATCCTTTGGACCCACATTTGGCCATTGTCAGCGGTGCGTTGAATTTGCTCAGCTCAGCGAAACAAGCGTCACCACATTGTTGTCGGACCTTGCTCAGAATACCCGAGAGTAGGATTTCCATCGTCTCCTCTTCGTTGCATCCAGCGCTTCGCTCCAGCTTGCCTTTCCTGTACTTGTCGATGATCTCATCACACTGTGCGTAAGCTGCATCTACCAGCATTTGCTTTCTCTTGTTCAGCTTCTCACTGGGGTACACATCACTGATACCGATTGAGAAGCCCTGTTCGCCCAGCCAGCGAGCCGAGAGTTTTGCAAGCCTGGTCATCGCAGCTGCAGCATAGTCGGATCCAAAGTCACGCAAGATCACGTAGAAGACGCTGTCTTTCTTGCCGTCACCGACAGTGGCTTTGTCAAAAGCGCCGCACATGACTTCGCTATTCCTGATGACAAGGTAGGAATCGCTGTCAACCATATCGGGAATATCGCCTTTCCGCTCAGGTGGAGCGTATTGCTTGAGCTTCGCTTCAAGGTTGACGTTGACTGGGTACTGGCTGTGTGGCTTCATCAAGATATTCCAAATCTGTTTGCCAGTCCACAGGCGTTGTGGTTTCCAGATGGCGGGTGGCGGAATTTCAATGGGATATTCTTTGCCAGTGTAGGGGTCTTTGACTTGTAAGTTGTTGTACATGAATCCGACGACCTGAGTGAATTGACGCCGGCTGAAGAATCGGTCTTTTTGTGAGATAAGGTAAGCACCTGTTATGAAGTCCTGGATAGCTGCGATGATGGGAGTCCCGTTCTTTGGCGTGGCAAGGTTGTGCTTTACGCCCATCAGTTCTGTGGCTTCTGTTCGTGCCTCCTCGGTCTGCGGGACGTGCAAGTTCATCTCGTCGCCGTCAAAATCTGCGTTGTAAGGATTGCAGACACATTCATTCAGGCGAAATGTTCGCCACGGTCGAATCTTGGCGCGGTGAGATAGGATAGACAGTTTGTGTAGAGAAGGCTGGCGATTGAAGAGGACGATATCGCCATCTTCGAGATGCCGCTCCACGGTATCGCCGATCTCTAGTTGTTCTGCAACTTTATTCAAGTCACCCTTCATCGCCACCATGCGCAGCACGATTCTTCGGCGGTCTCGACCCTTGACAATGTAGTTCGCTCCGGGGTGGACTCGGTCGCCTCTCCGAATGCAAGCCTTGAGTTTCTCAAAATTGTGCTTCGTCACGCGCTCGGGGTAAGTCATGTTGACAGCCACCCGCGAAGGGACTGCAACTTCATCGATAGCCAGGTTTGGGTCGGGAGAGATGACAGTACGTCCAGAGAAATCGACACGCTTTCCAGAAAGGTTTCCACGGAAACGACCTTGCTTACCCTTCAGCCTCTGGCAGAATCCACGCATGGCTTTACCATAGTTGCTGTCTTTGCCAAGACCAGGCAGGGCACCATCGATGTACATTGCGATCTGGACTTGTAGGAACTCCCACATGTCCATGACTTTGTGAAGCGGCTGACCAGCTTGGATTGCGGCTGTCATTAGGCTGTTGATCTGAACAATATCACCCAGCTTGTTGGTAATGTCGTCTTCAGTACTGGCAGATTCTTGTGCGACTGAAGGGCGGATGGCGATTGGAGGCGCGGGAACATGTGTCCAAAGCATGTACTCAGGCCTCCCTCTGTTATTTGGATCCATTCCAAGGAGCTCGATGTCTGCATTGGGCACCTTCTTGAGGATGTTCAGCACTCGAAGGGGCGTAAGGTCGTCGGCAGCTCTCCTCATGTGGCGTTCTACCTCTGGGATGAACTTCTTGGCCTCTGTGAAGGTGCTCTCAAAACTCTCCATGTCGGCAGGTTTGGTCTTGGACCTGGCGTTCGAGTTGTAGTAGGCGGCATATTTGTTGTGGAACATCTTGATCGGATGGCCAGGGACCTTTCTGACCGGGCCATTGAGAGCAGAGCAATGCGGGCAGACTTTTACTTTCCTGCACTCGCCGGATATCCTTTTGATAATAACATCCTTCCGCAGGCCATCCAAGCCCGGCCTTCTCAGAGTCTTGAGGTAGTTCCTCTTCTCTTTGTCGGGAAGCAAGACCCGACTGCAGTCCTTGCATACGCAATTGAGCGCTTCAATCGTCCTCTTCAAGTAGCCGTAGTGGAAGCATGGTAGTGCCAGCTTCACGTGACCAAAGTGCCCGTTGCATTCCTTTAGCCCTTGACCGCATGTGCCACATATTCCCGTCTTTGAAGATGTCCCCAGGCGTTGATCGAGGGGACCGTGCTTGGTAATGGAGCGGCCTCCACCCGGACGATCCGAGATGTCATAGAGATTGCGGTCGGCGACAGGTACGACTGATTGAGCGACAATGTCGGGCGGGCTGAGGAGGCCAAACTGTAGCGACTTGATGCGCTTGGGGATCTGGTCGATGACCTGCTCCTTGCCGGAGTATCCTTCTGTGGCGTCCGTCATGGCTGCGAAGATCTCGGGGGCGTGATGCTACCGGAAGTCGATCATGGTATGTGCAGTGGTGTGGGTGAGCGAGGGCAACGTCGTGGTCGGCTCTGTCAAGATGAGTCTGAACGAATCTGCAAATCCGATGTGGGGACGGTATTAGAGTTTCCTTAGCGCGTCGAGGTGCGTTATCGTTCGGCAGCTCCCGCGTTATCGGAGCTGCCGAACGATACCACTGTGATACCGCTGCCTGCGGGATCCGGCGCTCGTGAACTCTCTCCTGCTGCGCATCGCCCACCTCACCAGTCGCACGTCGAGTCATCATCTTCTCACATCACGAGCGATTTGACGAGCGAGAGCTGGCGATACACCTCCCGCGAATCCCAAGCTCCTACCCACATCGGGCCACAATCAGCCGGGCGACAGCAGGCAGCCGAAGGCAAGCAGTCAACCGAGTGAGTGGTCCGCAGAGCTGCTGCCCCTCACCCGTCCAAGTACCACCGTCGACTTCACTCTTCACTCCTCACCACACCACGACTCTTCCCTTCACCAACACTCGTACCATCAGTCACCTCTCTTTGCACTTTCCGCATGCTGGCAACACAACACGTTCCTTCATTGCCCGCAACATCCAGCTACGCCCTGACGCAACTGCCTCACTTACCCTCTCCGCCTTGCCCACTGGTCTGAGCTCTCAGCCGGACCCAAAGGAAAGGAAGGACAATAAGAGCGCACGATGCCCACTTTCAACCCCAACTTCTACGACCCTCAGCCGGCAAACAACATGGCGTCCTCTTCCTTCCTTCATCCTCCAGCAAATGGTACACACTCATACCACACTCATACCCTGCGTCTTACTGCTTGCAAGCTGACACAGGCCCCGATGCAGCTGTCGAGATCACACTAACGCCCAGACGCGACACTGACCACCGCCGTACCCTTTTCTTGCGTCCAAACGAGACGGTCGTCGTCGGTCGCTCCTCGAGATCCGAGATAAAGAACTTGTCGGCCACCAGAGAGAACGCTCTCTTCGACTGTCCCGTCGTCTCCCGTGTTCACGCCGAGCTACGGGCTCCAGGATGGCCAGCCTCGCGGGAGGTCACCATAACAGACCGCCAAAGTCTTCACGGCACCACCGTGAACGGAAACAGACTGAGCCCAGGGCGCAGCTTCACACTGAATTCAGGTGACGTAATTAAGCTGGGCGAAAGAGTTACCAGAGGTGACGGTAGGTCCAGTCACGCAACTACGGCGTATTTCAATTCTGGGCCTAACTGCTGCGCTCCAGACACACACGAAGGAGTCTCGTTGACCTTTACACGTGTCGACGACGACATGGCATATTCTAACTATCCCCGGGATCGCTCGCCCGCCTCCAATACATTCATCGTGCCGTCTGAAGATGCGTCCGACTTTGAGAGCGACGCCGAGTCGGAAGACATAAATTACAATGACCGTTCTTCAGCCAAGACTACGCCAGAGCAGCCGAAGCCTGCCAATCCTCAAGGACGCGATTTCATTGACCTTTCTCGAGAAGACGATGAGGATGACGAAGACGAGTATGAGCCCATGGCAGCGGTTCCAGACTCTTACCAGCCGTCTCAGCTCCCACAAGAGCCCGTTGTCATCGACGACAATGGAAATGACCCTGAAGACCTGGACGATGAGGATCATGAACTGGTTATGTCTGAGACTTCCGTCGATTTCGTGCGAAAGCCTGAGCAGGAACACCCACTGGGATTCCTCGATGGCGAGCCAGAGGCAGCAAATGAAGACCGTGCGGCGGCGATCAATACCGGGCTCGCGCAATTTTTGTGTGAGCGCCATGCTCGGTTGCAAGAGCGGGCTCAGGACAAGGAGTCCGATTTTGCAGTCCCTGACTACAATGTCGTTGCGGCTGATGTACTGTCTGACAACGCCTCAGAAGCTTTGGACACGTCTCAGGTTGGGGTCGGAGCTCAGGTGGAGAACAATTTCTGGTTTGCCAACCGACCTGCTTCGCCAGAGCCGGGCGAGCAATCTGCAGCACGTCAGCCCACTGAAGGCGCAAGATTCCCTACATCCTCCACGGCACCCACCAAGGCTTCGAAGCCGAGATACGATCCAGTGCGTGAAGAGCCAAACACCTCAAATGATCTACCAGAGCCATCTCAGGCCGACAATTCATTTCAACACGATTTCTACTCCTTCGCGCCTGCCCTGGCTACTCATTACTCCAATGCTGGCGCATCTGGCTGGCAAACGAGATCTTCACCTGCTGTCGCACCTTGGCACCGCCCGGGGCTGACTTTGGACGCATTGCAAAATGCATATACGCTCTCGTCCCTTGCTCCGCGCGAGTCAGCGCAGTCGGAACGACAGCCGGAGCGCGGTGACACCGCAGCAAGCATGATGGGCTCGTTTGCGTCGAAGCAAAACAATGAGCCTGCAACATTGGGGCCGACTCACGCATCTGCGTACAATGGGAAGATCTCCATAACTCAGCTCCTTGAAGAGCAGGGTGACGCGCTCGATCAGGCGCACGAGATGGTCAAGGAGGCGAACAATGCTACCATGGCTGGTTTCTCGTCGAGCGGCACGAAGAGAAAGGCCGTCGAGACAGAGATTGACGGCCACGTCGAGACATCGGCACCACCCTCCAAGAAATCGAGACCAACTGCAAGCGCTCAAGCCTCAACCGCACGGACGCATCGTCGGCGATCTACGGGGAGAGGTATTGTGCGTCGCATTGCTGAAGGCGCAGCTGGTGCATTCCTTGGCGCAGCTGCCACTGTTGCTTTCTTGAGTAGTCCATATGCTGAGTTACTGATCGACTGGTTGGACTGAGCGTGCTGTAAGGAAGCACCGCCTCTTGCAGTACTCGCCACGAAGACATGTTATGCGGTCCAGGAGTTAAGGAGTTACGTTAAAGGACAACCAGACATGAAGGATTGTGCTACTTGGTATGGTTCAGCTTTCCTGCGATACGACACTGAACTTGTTTGGGGAGCGGACAGCGATACGAATCTGGCGCATGGAGGGCATTTGTGCTTGAAGGTCCCTTTCCGACCGCTAGAAGTCATGAGCGACGTAGTAGGTTTGAGTATGATTTCGTCACCGACACCAAATTGATGGATGTTTGAAAGCATCGGTCTCTCACGCGACGCATCTCGATTTTCCTATGCCAGTGCACATACGGTATCGCTGGTTGTTGGTTGTTTGCCTGCTCTCTGCCTTGCAGGGGGGCCTAAGCGTGGCAATGTTGCTCTGCCAAATTTGAGATCAGCGTATGGCCTTACGGATACACATGCTAACGATCTGCAAGGTTGCCTGGGGAAGATGGGGCTCGGCTGGATGTCAAATTCAAGAAAAACGGCAAAGCTGCAGTGAGGGTGACCTCACGTGGTACTCGTAGCAGGTACCTACCGTACATGCAAGAAACCGAAAGGAGTCTCTTTGGTATGCGGGAATTATCTGTTTGGCACTTCTGGCTGGCTGGCTGCGCTGCGCCGCCTGTTCCGCTTCGTTTCGCTTACATATGGGAGGCCGCCCGGGTTTTTCCAATATGCCTCGGTGAAAGAAGGGGCTGTGCGGGAATAGCATAGCATGGCATGGCCTGAGGTTCATGTGCAGTTCACTGCCAACCACTCGACGAGCCGAATGTTGCTCTGGAGAGACGCCATGGCTTCTTTGCTGCGCCTACCTACGGCTGATATACTTGCCGCTGTCAGATATTGGTCTGATGGACTGTCTGATGGACAGGAGGCGCAGGGCGGGCGGCTGGGCGGGCGGCCTTCATCATTCACCAGCTTTCGATTGTGAGGTCGACCATGATTCCCCCCCTCGAACAGCACAGCACGTCAGAATGATGTTTTTTGCTTGAGACTTCGCTAAGAGTGCGAGGGCTTCTGAAGGGCGAGATTGGTGGGTGGCAATCAACCAAGGGCGGCCCTTCTGGATCCTGCGCTAGTTGTTGGGCACATATGAGTGAGTAGCAACGAGAAGTGTCGAGTTGAGTTGCCTGTTCCAACCCGTGCAAGATTTCCCCGTTACTATACTATACTATTCGTCTCAAACACGCCTCTACGAAAATCGGCGGCGACACTGTCTGTTGACGGAATAGAACAGAAAGGGGGAAAAAAAAAGAGCGATCGCATATCTATCCCGAACATCAAAGTCTTCTTCATCGTTCGAATACAATCAACGCGACAAGAGACAAGAGACAAGAGATAAAGGAAGGTGAAGGAGACATCTTAACGATCCCGGCCGCAATGTGCCTCCTCCACGGCTGCCTCGCGGGAACGAAATTGGAGACCTGTCCGAATTGCAGCATGGGAACGTGAGCAGCTCCCCCCTCCCCTTCCCCTCCCTGGATCCGATGCTGATAGATGGATGGCGCACAGATCTGCTAAGAAATGCACGACTTGCCACGGAAAAATGTTCATCCAACGGAAATGCGTCGACTGCGAGCGGGAGAAGAAAAAGGAGGAGGAGGAAGAAGAAGAAGAAGAAGAAGAAGAAGAAGAAGAGCAACGGAAGCGTGGCCGGGCGGATAGTCTGCTGCAACCGGGTGCCGTTGGCACATGATAGGCATGCTGGGTTCTGTTGCGTTGCGTTGACGGGGCGCGGGATGGGATGCGTGATGTCTCAGGAGGCCATGGTGGTACAGTACAGTGGAAAGCAAATGAGACTCTGCTCCAGGTTGCAGTTGGCAGGACCGTCATGCTCCTGGGAATTTCGTGAGTCGACAGGAAAACACCGTGTTGCAGCGTTTATTCCTCGCAAAGAGCCTGAGGCCTGCGAGGAGGTCGTCGGAAGCATATCCGATCGCCCCTTGCTTCGAGCAACGAACCGGTAACACTGAACAAGACTCGGCGACAGGCCCGTCCTTTGTAGAATAAGGAAACAGGTCTTTCACAAGCAATGTCGTCGCCTTCTACTCGGTCCAGCGTCCTGATTATAGATATTGGATCTGTTTCAACCTTGTTCTGCGAAAGCGCAACACATCTCATGACACTCCGTTTTGACGAGAGTACGTTACCCCCATTGGCTCCGAGAGGGTTTGCCTGAAAGGCATCTGTGTCGATCTCCACCCGGTTGGAGCCCAGAAGGCGACTGCGGTGGTAGTGTGGTGTTTCATGAGAACTGAGCAGCCGAGCGAACTTCTCAGCGAACATCTTCTTTAAGCGCCAGCGCTTCAGCTCTTGGCGTGGCGCGGTTGATAAGGTCTCGGAGGCCGCTGTCGGCTGTCTTGTCCTGTTTTCAAACATAAGATTGAGAAACTCGATTGAAGTCGACAGGACGGTTGCGTCGTTCTTCATTTGACTCCTCTGCAGGAAGGAGCAAGCTGCAAAAGACCCTCTCGGAATCCAACATCCAGGGACTTTTTCTCCCAAAATGCCGAACAACAGTACCCACACCCGTGTCGATTCAGGCATCTCATTCCACGGCTGCGCGAACGGAAAACTTCTAGTGCCATGCACAAAGTGCAGTCTGAGACGGCAAGTCGCCCCTTTATGACAGTCTCGCAGAGCCATGGGCTGACTATTGGCTTTTCAAAGACATGTGGAGAAGCCACCAGGACCAGCATGCGAGAGTTGTGGCCGCAACATGTTCGTTCTTGTCCAATGTCCTACTTGCCAGAGCAATAGCCACGACCAGAACGAGACCCGAAATGTTCCGATCATAGCTTCATGAAGCTTCAGAAGCCTCGGACCGAAGAGGAGGAATGCCGAAAGGCAGGGGTAGCCGTCCGCATTTGAGGTTTCATTTGGGAGGATCATGATGCCAGCCGTTCATACGTTGATGTTGTCGATGCCGTGGAAGGCGGCCGAAGTAATGAAAGCAATAAATTCTTCTCGTGCTGTATACATAACGACGGGAAACATTCACATACATATCTTGCCTTCCTTTCCAAAATGCAATTCCTCGGCCACCTAATGCTTTCCAAACTGATCCTCCGTAACACCCTTACCCATCGCGCTTGTCGATGAGATGCCTCCCTGCACCATCTGCAGCAGCCCATCAACATAGTTCGCTCCACTCCACTTCTGATGCGTCACAACTTCCACGCCCTGCTCCATCTCCGGCTCTTGGACCGTCTCGCCATACGCACGCATTCCGCGCTTGGCGAAATCACGTGCGAATGAGTTGGAGATGAGTGCTGTGCTGTGGAGACCGGCGAGAGTGATGAATTGCCAACAGTATCCGAGGGTTGCAAGACGCTTGATGTAGGTTTCTTGCTCTTCGGATTTCATGGCGGTCTTCCAGTTGAAAGAGGGGGAGAGGTTGTAGGCGAGTCTAAGCAAAACATGTTAGTTGGCGATTCACACTGCGGAAAGACGTGCAGGAGATGACTCACTTTTGCTCGGGCCAGACTGCGTGGACACCATCAGCAAACTCCTTCGCCTGAGCGAAGTCGGGAAGCTTGCTCTCCATCCAGATCATGTCGGCGTATGGCGCGTAGGCGTTAGCGCGCATCACGGCGCATGGGCAGCCACCCTGATATCTGTAGTAACCCTCACGAGTTCTTGGGGCATCCCAGTCGAAGTGGACATCCACACCAGTGAGTCCCTTGGCAATAGCGCGGGCCTCAGAGTTGCTCTTGCCCTTGGACAGCTTGTTGAACTCGTCAATGAGCGCCTGCTTGTTGACGTGCACGCCGGCGTTAATGGTATCGGCAACGGCCTCGTGGAAGAGTTTGAGGCCGGCTTGAGCGTTCCAGGCGTCTTCAACGGCTTGCAGTTCAGCGCCATTCTTGCCAGCTGCCTCGGCGGCGATCATCAGGTCGTTAAGAGGCTGGAGGGCCGGGTTTGTTGCACCCTGGACGTAGGCGTGATCGCGCGGGTCAATGGTGCTGGTAATGAGAGTGGCGGCTTCGGAGTCGGTTCTAGCGACAGCCAAAAGATCCACACCCATGATATCAGCCTGAGCACGGATTGCTACCAATCGGTTGATGTGCTCATTGACTGGTACAAGCACTTTTCCTGCCATGTGGCCGCACTTCTTAGTTCCGGGCATTTGGTCTTCAATGTGAATACCTGCAGCTCCCTTCTCGACGAAGAGCTTTGTGAGCTTCATGACGGCAGTCAAACCGCCGTGACCAGTATCCGCGTCGGCGATGATGGGACGCAGGAAGTCGGTGTTGGAGACCTTGGAGCGGTCGCGAGGCTGAGTGGTAAGGCGCTCTTCACGTTGCTTGCGGTCGTGGAAGAGCTGTGCCATGAAGAGATGCTCCACCTTGTTGGGTACGGTGGTATACGGGTAATCCGCAAGATCTGGACCTGGCTCGTTGGAGGCTGATGCGGTGCTGGAGGATTGCCAGCCGGACACATAGACAGTGTCGAGGTACTTGGCCATCTGGGTGACCATGACCGGGTCAAGACAACCATAGGTGAAGCTGGCTTCCCTGTTCTGCCTGCCGTCAGCTCCAATCGTCCTGAGGACGCTTCTGTGTGTCGACTAACCTTGAACCTTTGCTCAACGGTGTCCCAGAGCTTCTTGGACATGTCGTTGCTTGGGTACGAGATCTTGATGGTGCCCCGTTTTGTGACGATCTGCTCCGCACTGTAAGGGCGACGTGTGTAGCGCCATCTTGAATCCGACCACCACTGCTTCAAGTCCTTCACCTCCTGCTCGAACTGTTGCTGCTCTGCGTCGCCGGACATGGTGGAAATGGGAGGGAGAACGGAAGAGATGTGGGCGACGATCTGCTTGAGACGGTCCGCCAGGATGCTAGATTCTCGAGGTGGTGGAGATGTCTGGTATTGAGTTCGTTGCTTCGAGCTCGATGATGAGTCGTAGGAGAGAAATGCACCGTCCAAGACGATGTTTTCGTCTTTGGGAGAGGAACGATGTCGGACGTCTCACCCAACGTCACTGGGTGGCCGAGGCATATTCAGAAGCTTCGAAGAACGATGTCGCCAGAGCGCATCCGGTCTAGCCCGAGCTTTCACCAATGAATGGGAGTCATGCCGATGCAAATGATCCCAGGCGGATTGTTTGACCGAGGAATGGTTGGAGGGGCACATGCAATCGAGCTCGGGACGAGACCTCGGATGAACGGGATTCTGGCGTATCGATGGCCCAGGCACAGCTCAAAGGTTGATCCCGTCGCGGGCGCAACCGCTCTGGGGGAATTTGGCCATCTTCTCCCGAGGCCCGGTTCTTTTTGCATGTGAGTGCTCACGTGTCTCCAGCTTCCACAGCGATCCCGTGATGACGCCAGTACGCGCTGTTATTGTTGTACCTTATTATTCGGTCTTGGCCATCAGCTCAGCAGCAGCTCCAGCAGCAAACGCGACGGTCACTCGTCCCAATTGAACTCTCATCACTCATCAGGCGCGGAGAGGGCTCCGCTGCCACCGCAGCCTCCGGTTTTCTCCGCATAGTCCGGGAAGTCATCATGATGAAGTTCGTCTCCAGCTCGAATGGCGGCCACACACCCGCTGCCGATGAAGAGTCTGTCTTGGGGACAGGCATCCGACCATGACTCTGCTGTGCTCTTTGCGAATGCAGTGGTGATGAGGTCCACGAGACAGCGAGTCGTCTTTTCGTCTCTGCAGCTCCCCACCGCTCTCTGTAGCGCGTACCGCTGGCTCGTCATCCCCTGGTCCAGCAGAGGCTCTGCTGGAGGCGTGAAGAAGATCTGTGGGCAGCAACGCGTGGGTCCAGTGCCACTTAACTATCAATTAGGTTGAACATGAACTTGCAGCTCATCCATCCTTGCGCGGTTTGCTTTTGATGTCGAAGCACTCTGCACTTTGCATCGAATACGTGCAGCAAGTTAACATGCAGGCTTGATTGGAACCACTTGGGAAAAATTTGCTGGCGCAAAGGAGATGGCGGAATTCGATACGAGGCCATTCGGATCTGCCGACCTAGCGGTCACGTGTCAGCATCACGCACCGCCAAATCATCCTCACGGCGATGGCGTCTGCTTGCCATGGATAGATACATATCCGTCCTACATTATAAGGTAATTGTCTGGCGCGGCGACTGCATCCCGTCGTGCGTGCATCAATTCCGCACTCGCAGGGCGGAAAGAGCGGCCGGCTGGGCACATGAACTTCGGTTCAATGTCTCCACTCTCGCGCTTGTCAAATCGAGTAGTGGCAGTGGCAATGGCAGCTACTTCAGCCAACCGTTCACCGCAAAAAAAAAAAAAAAAAATAACAATCGAAGCCTCTCTTTCCACTCATCCACCACTGCCTTACCTGTGCACACACTTCGCCGTATCTTACGTCCTATCTATCTATCTTCCTGAGCTTCTTTTCCCCAACTCCTCCCCCCGGCACCTAGCACCCTTGCGCCATCTCTCCCCAATCATCATCACTCGAGCTCGTCCGGCGCATATCACTACTTCCCGATCTTGACACCGCTCATTGCTAATATACCAGCGACAATCACTGAGGGGTACTCTTTCCATCATTGACTTCGGTCGTTGTTTGCTTCAGTACTGCAAACCGACAATCGATGCTCACCCGCTTGCATATGAGCAGCCGCAACGATGGATTATGAGAAATCGGCGCCCAAGGAGAACGTCGATGTATCCGCCAGGGGACCCATGAGTTTCGAGGAGCTCGAGTCACCTACCTCTTCCCGCGACTCAGATAGCATCTCAATAGCATCGAGGCCTTCATATTACCCACGCTATGCCGCTGCCAATACCCTCCAGAGGCATCTCTCCCACACTTCTTCCGTGGGCGGCGTTGCACCGACCACCGTCAATCGGACCTGGACTCGCGACACGGCTGGAACGAGCGGGACTCACGATCCGGAATTCGAGGTCGACTTTGGTGAAGACGACAAGAGCAATCCTCAGGATTGGTCTCTCTGGTACAAGGGTATCGTCATCATGATCTTCAGCTACGCCACGACCTGCACAGTTCTGTACAGCACTTCGTATACGTCTGCCATCCCCGGTATGACTCGAGAGTTCGGCATCGGCGAGAACGAAGGTATCTTGGGTGTCACCACGTACCTGCTGGGTATGGCCTCGGGGTCCGTGGTACTGGCGCCTCTTAGTGAGATGTACGGCAGACGGCCCATCTATCTCATTGTCATGGCGCTCTTCGTCGTCTTTGTAATTCCCACGGCTGTCGCGCAGAACATGGCAACGATTTTGATCGTTCGTTTCTTCGGTGCGTTCTGTGCTGCTGCCATGATCAGCAACGCTCCGGGCACAGTGAACGACAGTAAGAGACTCGTACCTTCTACGTCCTTCACGCCGAGGCTAACGTATCTCTCCACAGTCGTCGACGAAGACCACCGAGCTTTGGCTTTCAGCGTTTGGTCCATCGGTCCGATGAACGGCAAGTCGGATTTTGTTGAGAAACAGTACACAGGCTGACAGTGACCAGGCCCCGTGATAGGTCCTGTTGTTGGAGGCTTCGTATTCCAATATCTCGGGTGGCGGTGGACGAATTGGGTAGTCGTCATCGTCAGTGGGGTTGCTTGGATTCTCGTCGCTCTTGTGCCCGAAACATACGCTCCCTCAATCCTTCGAAAGAGGGCTCGAAAACAACGAAAGGAGACCGGCGACGACAAATGGCACTGCCGCTACGACGATACCATGGAGTTCTGGCAACTACTGAAGGTCAACCTCAGTCGACCGTTCACCCTCACGATCAAGGAGCCGATTTGCTTGTTCTGGGACGTTTATATCGCGCTCGTCTACGGCTGTCTCTACCTCTGCTTCGTGGCATACCCGATCGTGTTTCAAGACATTCGCGGCTGGTCGCCAGGATTTACCGGTCTTTCCTTTACGGGCATTGGTGTTGGTTCCATGATTGTCATATGCAGCGAGCCACTCATCCGACGGATGATCAATGCGCATGTCAAAGATCCGGAGACAGATCGACCGTACCCGGAAGCAATGGTCAGTGTCGTCTGCATTGCTTCGGTCCTAATCCCCGTCGGTCAAATCGTCTTTGCGTGGACTTGCACTCCCAACGTGCATTGGATTGTCCCAATTATCGCCGGCGTTCCGTTCGGTATGGGTAACGCAGGTGTCTTCATCTACGCCTCGAACTATCTGGTTCAGTCGTACGGGATCTACGCGGCATCAGCTCTCGCCGGCAATGCGGTGCTAAGAAGTATCATGGGTGCGACACTTCCACTGGCCGGCCCTTCACTCTACGCAACTCTCGGTCCGAACTGGGCCGGCTTCCTGCTTGGAATGCTAGAAGCTGCTTTCATTCCAATTCCGTTCATCTTCTACAAGTATGGACACAAGATAAGAAACAAGTCCAAGCTGATCCGAGAGATGGCGCAGGACCAGAGGCGCCGAGAAGCGAAGCAGAGACGAGGGGAGGCCAGAATTGCTAAGCGTATGGAAGCCGAGGCAGAAGCCGGTGCGGCTATGGAGACCGGAGCCGCGGTAGCTGAAGTTCTGGATGAGGAAAAGGCCATTCGGAAGGAGCCAAGGGAGACCAGCGAGAGTCGGGATTCGGATTAGGAAGAAGTTGAATTGTCGTTACTGCGTTGATGGGCTTAGCGAAGGCGTCTGGGCGGATTTACATGATCTTTAGGGGGACCAAAATTGGTTGTTATGGCATTTGCGGCGAGCGGGCGGCACAAATTGCATGTCGAAAGGTTCAGGGCCGTAGCAGGGGAAAGCGACAGTCTGTCCATGGCATGCCATGTGGTGCAGTCTAGGTCTCACTGACCCCTTCGCCAAGATAAATTAGGAGGATCGATCTCGGAGAATGATAGAGTGAAGTCAGACGAAGAGTGAAAGGAGGTGAAGGGGTGATCCTTTCACCTCCGTGTCCAAAAGCACAGATCACATGCTGGCTGACTAGCGCCGGCATACCCTTGTCAACTCCCCAACCTCTTCTCCTCGGACATTGACGCGACATTCATCCTTTCTCATCAATCGCCAAACAGACGCACTACAAGCAATCTCCATGACTTCCCTCAAGACCCCTATCGGAGTCTTTCAACGCGTCAAAATGCAAGCGGCACCATCAAACGCCTACGCAATGGACTACATCCTGCACGAAATCACACCGAGCTTTTTCATCTCCCAATCCGTCAAACTCAACAAACTCCTCAACACGGTGGTGCAGGAATCCACGACAGCATCGGATCCAGAAGCTGGTATTGACTACCTCCAACTCACAGAGATTTTGTCTTCGCTTCTGGAAGAGTCTCAGATCTACAGCAGCATGAGTGCCGTGGAACTCCAGCAGAGAAGTGCACAGGCGCGACTCTTGATCACGAGGCTGCGGAGTATTGAATTGGCCATCACGGGTCGGAAAGCGAGGGTGTCGCCCATGGCGGGCAGTCGCAAGCGGAGCCGGACTCCGGATGATGAGGATGAGAGTCAGCAGCAGCAGGCTTGTCGACTTCGCGTGGAGCTGGAAACGGAACAGGCGGAAGATGGGATGCCTGTGTTCGAGGGCCCTTTCGCTGAGATGGCCCCGACGACTGAGTACAGGCATCGCGATCAATGTGCTTGGTGGATGGAGCCATATTATGATTGATCTAATCCCACTACTGAGACCAATTCTCGGGTACTTCCCCAAAGGATATCTGGACGGAAGTAGAGTCACCCGATACCATTGCTCAAGCCTTCGCATGCTTCCATATCGACACATAGTCTTTACCCTTACCGGCCTCGTGCGTCCGTTCGGGCATGAAGTGGTCGATTCTGTTGAGAGCTCCTGGGCTCTTCTCTCCGCCCGCTTTCTTCAATACAAAGCCGTCGTCATCATAAGTCACAGCCTGTCCAGGGTGCGCGAAAAGCTGCACATACAAATCCGAAGAGAGACCATGCGGTGGGCCTCCTGCTTTCGGGTCCTTTCCTAGCGGCCATTCTAGACAAACCAAATGTCCATTCGGCGACAGCAGTTCGCTCATTCGCTTGGCCCACGATGGTCGCAACTCCGGTGGAAGCGCGCAGAGAAAGGTATAATCGAAGATCAAATCGAAGCTCCCGCCATCTGTGTCGGAGAGGAAGTCATCGTTGAAGAAGTCGTTCCGCATGAATTTGACTTTGCCAGCTCCAACATTGGAGTCCTGCGGCGCGTACGTCTCACTATCCTTGGATTCTGCCTGCAGCTTTCTAGCTGCCTCGATGGCATTCTCAGAGGCATCGAGCCCGTAGGTATCATATCCGAGGGAAGCAAGAAGCAACACATCGTAGCCTCTCCCACACCCGGGCACGAAAGCTCGCTTGCGCTTCTCGCCCGACGAATGCAGTGGCGAGCCGAAGATGTCCGAATGGCTTGTAGTCGTGTCCTTCAGAGCTATCGACGGGCCACTCCGATCCCACGGGGTAACCTTCTGAATAGACGAAAATCAAACACACATGTCAGTCATGGATCCCCCGGCTCCGTCTCGATTCTACATCCACTCACCTGCTTCCACAAAGCATCCCAATGACCCGGATGTGACTCTGCAGGTTGGTCCAAGAATTGTGACCGAACCTTCTCTCGATCACTCTCCGCCATGATGAGATGAAGCCGGGTCTTCCACACGCTGGAGGTGCTGCCAGATTATTGCCTGGTCAGCACGATGGAGCATGGAGAAGGGGAACGACGCATGCCCGAAGCAAGCACGATGGAGTTCCTACTCACCTTTGGTCGTAGCGCAAACCTACGTTCTTCCGCTTGGTAACAAGCGAATATTATCTTCCTGCCTGTAAGTGCGTTGGAAGATGATCGTTTCGGCTTCTCCAAGGAAAGGGCTGAAAGTGAAGAGTTTCCAGTCCGTCGGCAGATGGCTGGGATGTTTGATTCGTTCGTGACTAGGACAATAAAACAATCTTGTATTCACGATGTTGACCATACCCACTCATCAATGACGCCTCGCCTCGCCCCTCCCATTCACTCATGTCATTATTCAAAGTCATCAGGTATCCGAGATCGGCCAACCTGCAGGTTGCTTCAAGTTGCCGACGCACCGCTAGCACCTGCACCTACCTTACAGCACAGCACAGCACAGCCAGCAGCACGGCAACTCGGCACGCCACAAAAACCCCATCCATTGGTCACATGCAGTAGGTAGCAGCTCGAGGGTGGATGGGAACACTAAGAAACGTGGAGAAGGTGCCGTGTGCCGTGTGCCGTCCAACAGCCTACAGCCTGGGTAGGCGCAGCTTCGAATGATTGGCGTATTTCGTTGAAATTCCACTTTCTTCCCTTTCCGCCTCGTTCCTATTCTCCGCATTCCGCATCTCTCTCGTTTGAACCCATCTATATCTATATACCTGTGACAGACAACAGACGCTGAGCGGGGGGCACAGCGTGATACGATTGGATTTTTTTTCCTTCGGGTCATTGCCAACGAATTGAGAGAAGAAGAAGAAGCAGAGACAGGAACCGATCTGAATGCGAACCTGAGAGAGAGAACCGGTGCCTAAGTCCCTGCTGAACTCTCGTGGTATCCCTGCCAAAAAAATTCCGTACAAGGTGTAATAACCGCTTAAGTCACAAAGGGAAAGAAAGAGCCAACGACATGGGCCACGATGCACAACCGGGAGATGCCAAGCACGAAGACAAAGATTCAGAACCTCAGTCGCCCGCCTCCGACGCCTCACAGAAATCGCACCTCCCGAGCAGGCCTCCCACGGCACACACCGCCGCGCCCTCGGAAGCGGACATCACGGAAGCAGTCCCGGCAGACAGCGAGGATATCCTCACCCTGCCCCATCGCGGCGGCCGACACGAGAGCCACGAGGTGCATTCTCCCCGTTCGTCGACTTCCTCGCAGAGGACGGCGAGCGACAACGACAACGACAATAATCATAATGAGGGCCCGCACGACCACCAATTGCCGCCGCACCGCACGCGCAGCCGCGCCACGTCCGCGACCCGCTCCCTCAACCGCGTCGCGACGAGAGTCCCGCGCGCGGAGCGCAGAGGTCTCCTGGCCCGCTTCTGCCTCCTCGACGAGGTGACGAATGCCTGGGACTACCCGCGGAAAATGAAGTGGATCCTGACCGCCATCGTGGCCTTGGCCGGCGCAGCGGCGCCCATGGGCTCTTCCATCATCCTCCCGGGGCTGGTGGACATTGCAAAGGCCTTCGACAGTACCGCGACGATCGTGAATCTGAGCGTGGCCATGTACCTGCTCAGCATGTCGATTTTCCCGCTCTGGTGGAGCAGCTTCTCGGAAACGCTGGGACGGAGGACCATCTACATCGTTTCCTTCTTTCTCTTCCTGGTGTTCAATGTCCTCGCGGCCGTGAGTACGAGTATAGGCATGTTCGTCGTCATGCGGATCTTGTCCGGTGGAGCGGCAGCCTCCGTGCAGGCGGTGGGAGCCGGCACGATTGCCGACGTCTGGGAAGTCAGGGAGCGCGGAGCCGCAATGGGTTTGTTCTATCTCGGTCCTCTCTGTGGCCCGCTACTCTCGCCCATCATCGGTGGTGTCCTCACGCAAACCCTGGGGTGGAGGGCTTCGATGTGGTTCCTGGCCATCTTCGGTGGCTGCCTGTCGATATTCATCGTCTTTTGCCTCCCTGAAACCCTGCGACAACGAAAGCCAATCGCGGCAGAAGCAGAGCGGGAAGCAGTCGCTGAGGTAGCGGGTGAAGTCGACGAGAAGGGACAGCCCAGACCGCAACTCAACCGCACAACCACAAAGCAGTCCGTCAAGGTCAAGTCTAGGAAGTACCTGGTCATGGCCCGACGAGCTTTCATCGACCCTCTCCACATCATCGTCTACCTCCAGTTCCCCGCCGTGGCCATCTTGATCATGTACGCATCCATTGCGTTCGCATCGCTGTACATGCTCAATATCTCCGTCCAGCAGACTTTCTCCCAAGCACCCTACCATTACGGCAGTATCATTGTCGGTTGCCTGTACATCCCAAACAGCGCCGGCTACTTCCTCTCATCCATCTTCGGCGGACGATGGGTCGATCGCATCATGCATCGCGAAGCACGTAAAGCTGGACGCTACGACGAGAGAGGTCGTCTGAAGTTCATCCCGGAGGACCGAATGAAGGAGAATGCCTGGATCGGAGCTTCCCTATTTCCAGCTTCCATTCTCGCCTATGGATGGTTTGCACAGTACAAGATCAACGTCGCGGCCGCGCTGGTGTGCAACTTCTTTTTCGGAATCGGTTCCATGCTGGTATTTGCGCTGGTGACAACCATGCTGACCGAATTCATGCCACGGAAAGCCAGTAACGGTGTTGCCCTGAACAACTTCGTGCGGAACATCTTGTCTTGCGTTGGGACTGTGGTAGCTGAGCCGCTGATCGTGGCCATTGGGAACGGCTGGCTCTTCACCGGCCTAAGCGTGATCGCTGCCACGGCCGGGTGCGCCACTATATGGGCTATGAAACGCTTTGGCCCTGTCTGGAGGGTGGAAATGGATAAGCGCATGGAGAAGGTCATGGGCGATTGAGACTCACAGAGAGATTTGGTGTCTACATGGCCAACCAATTTCTCCAAGACGGGGACCGCAGTCAAGAAGACAAAGAGTGCCCAGATTGCCACGGGCACGAGGGGGAATAAGAACGGTAGACTGCGTCGGTCAAAGTCAGCAGGTGATGTGGAAGGTGTGGAGCACATCAACTTACACAAAGAAGAACGTGGACCAATAATCGAATTCGTTCGGATGTGGAGGATTCAGGGGCCGTTCGGCATATCCAATGGTGTCGCCGTTCCTGTACTCAGGCTCGAAATCCGGCCACCGGTGCATCGTCAAGTTTGACGTCCGGTCTGTCTTCTCGTGGTGGAGAAGGGTCATATTTACCAATGGAGGTGCCTGAACCGAAGCCGAGTGAAGGCCCTTCGCGGTCACGTTCATCTTTTCATCGACCGCGAGCTGCGTCCTTAAAGGCCCACCGACGATAAGATCCATCAGCGCCGAAACATTCCTGTCCTCTGCAAGCCTGACGACGTCCGGCCACAATGCCTCGACAGCACTACAGTTGATCTCTGGCGAGAATTGCTCGAGAAGCTGGAATCTCACCTGGAAGTCTGCTTCTGCCTGCATGACCTCTGTGGTCGTGCGGATCCAGTGCATCCTGGCATCTTCCACCATCAGATTATACCGATCCAAGTACGTCACCCACACCATCATCTTGCCACTCTCCAGCAGAATCAGAGTCCCAAGGTCAACCTGTAGCCTTCTCTTTCGCCGTTGCTCGCGCTGTAGAGCCAGAGTCCACTCCATGCTCTCCAGCGTCATGGTCAGGACAAGGGGCAAGTGTCGTTGCACGATCTCGTGCAGGGGCTGGCATGTCTTCTCGGGGGTGTGCGTCGAAGGGTTGTGGTGTCTGACGTTGCAGTCGCGGATGATGGAGTGGATTTCGGTGCAGATCGGCCACAGGAAGAGCGCGAGGTAGACGAGTTGCCAGGCCCAGAGGAGGTTGAGGAGCACGAAGATGGATTTCCTGAGCAAGTGTCCCAACATGGCCGATGTACTGGAAAGCGAGTCTTCTATTGTGCACGAGTAGTTGAAGTAGAGCCTAGATCGACAGGGCGGAAGTTCCAGTACCCTGGATCACGGCTTGTCGTAGCAAGAAGTCGCCATGGCGCTCATGGAGCAGGAACGAACGGCACTTGCATTCGCATTCGCATCCGCTATTCGAGATAATACCTCTCACTTCTGATTACTCCTCATCCATTCAATCCAAACACCGGGATCTGCGCACACCGCCAATGCCTTGGCGCGCTTCTTCGCCTGCTCTGTATGTGCCCCTCGTTCTTCGTTGCCTGCTGCTTCCTCCTCGCTCACATCCGAATAGTCCGTAACAATGATGTCGGCGTTCGGTAGCACTTGCACCGTAGCGCTGCTCACACCTTCGGCAGCAAAGTCGGTATAGCTGAACGAGAGTGTGGGCTGTGGTACTGTAGTTAGCCCAACATTGACAGCCAGTGCCTCCTGCTTGGTCGCGGTGTCTTCCCTGCCAGATTCGAGAACTTCATCGAGAGACATGGCATCGTACTTGCTATCGCTGGCAAACCCATTGGCTTGCATGCCATTAAGACCATTTGCGGCGTTTGGCGCCTTGAGCGCAGATGGATTTTCTCCGAAAGTGTTCCGCACGAGAGCGCCGAAGCTGGCCCACTGCCGCAGCGTAGGAAGCACCTCTACGAGCTGTCTGGGATGCGAAAATGGCATTGTCTCCAACCTGAACCCGTAGTCCGGCTTTGAAACATCGAGCGTGTACTTGTGCAGGACTTCTTCCTCTGTGTCGCCCTGGATGGATAACACGCTACGGGCTGCTTCGATGTCCTGCTGGAGCTGTTTGACGGCGTGATTCAGCAGCATGAGATGGTATTGATTCGCGACAAAATACTGCGGAGGCTCTAGACCCACCACTGCTAGGATTCTGGACGCGTCCGCGTACGGCATCACTACAGGAGGGTCGAGCTTCGCAATAAAACGGAGGTCAGGCAGTCTCTGCGCGTTGTCGATGGCCATGCTGCTCGAGTGATCACCCGAGCTTTCCGAAATGTAAGTCGGTTGAGGTTCTTGCCAAGGAATGCCTTGCACAGATTCGGAGCTTGGTAATTCGAACGTCTCCGGCAGCCACTCATCAGAAACGCGAAGGGCTGGATACAGTGCGGCCGCTGAGCCTTCAACCTCGATGTGAAGAGCGTACACATCTGTTAATCCCTCGTCAGCAGCATCGAGCTTCGCTTCACCATCGATTTCCATCCTGGAGTTGTCTTGCTTCGTCTTGGTTGAGCCCACGCCATTTGTCCAGTACTCCAGTGCCAAGCCTATCCTGCGATTCTGGTGAATCACCGGCTTTCCGCTCTTCTTGCAAAGAACTTCCCTCTCAGCTCGCTGTTGATCCTTTTCCGTCTCCAGGGCTGTCCTTATTTCAAGCTCATAAAGCCTGCCCAAGCTCTTGTGAAGCTTGCTCAGCGCCTCGAAGCAGTTCACGTCCTTGGACAGCCTGTCCAGCCTTGCGAGAGAATCCAAGTTTGTCGCGAACCTGTCCAACGTCGAGTGCAAGAGGATACCGTCCGACGGAATGAGGTCTTGAAGCAGCACCTCGCTCGCAGCCCTCTGGTGCTCCTCCAGCACGTCTTTGACTTCCAGGTTGGTCTTCTTCACCACATGGTTCTCCATAAAGACGTCGATCACCACATGATTGCCCGCGACTGAGAAATCACGGTTCCCCACTAGCCGCTCTTTCTCCTCTGGCGAAAGTGTTTCGCGATCAATGGTAGTTGCAAAGCCGACCCGCCTAGATATCCGTGCAATGCTTTCTTCACTGACTCGACCTTTGGACCTTCCAATGCTCTTGAGAACCTTCCTCATCTTTGCTCTCCTCTCTTCATCCTCGTTTCGCTTTCCGCCCGTAGTGAAGCCGAGCTCGCTCATCGAAGGCATCATGCTTGAGGCGCCCGCCGGTGTCGACATGTTCATTAGTCCTGGCGTGCCTGAGCCCATATCGACTCCCAATCCTGCGAGCGCGGAAGGCGTGCCAAAGCTGACATTGTGCGCGCCAGGCGAAGAATTGCTCGTATTTCCCGTCTGGCTGAGATTCGGCATCATCGGCGTGCCCCCAAGAGTCTTACTGCCATGGGAGCTCGCGGTCGGATGGTTGGTCGGGGTCTTGCCTGCTTGATCTTTTCGCGTAGCTGCAGGCGACGGGATGCTGCGAGGCGCGGGCGATGAGAGGCCAAGATGTGAGGGGGTCGTGACATGACCAGTGGCCTTTTTGGAGGCCGAGTTGGGTTGCGCCGGATTGGAAGGCGTCGGCGTTGACATCGTAGAGGTAGTTGATGGCGATAGTGGGTACCGTGAGATTTGTCTATTCCCGGGAGATGTATGCGCCCGTTCTACCTCCGTGGAGTTCAAGTCATGTCGAATGGGAGAGACAAGCAGGTTTGGTGCAGGTGGTAGCAAGATGGAAATGTGCTTCGGGGACGAGGTGCGCGGAGCTTCTGGTCTAGACGCCGATCAAACACGAAGTCACGTTGGCCGGAATTCACCTGGGTGCAAGATACACTTCTAATAACTTAGAATAGCTCATTACTGTCACGGACACCCGTACTCTCGAGTACAGACCTCAGGCAGTCATTTCATCTTCACGGACTCGCTTTGAATCACCTTGCTGGTTTCAAGCCCAACAGCAGACTGTTCTGAGCTCCAAATTCGAAACTTGGGGAGTGGATATCATTCACAAAGAGACAAAAACAAGCGCGCAGCTCTGTTCTATGTCCAAGGTGGTGCGCGTGTGCTCTCTTTCTCGTGGTCCCATTTCAATTCATCTCTTGCTTATGGCTTAGCGACAGGAACAACCATCTCGAGTTCCTCCGTGGGTTGCTGGGACTTCTCGAACACATCTGCGCCCTCGACTTTACCGCAGAGCTAGAAGAACAGTCAGCACCCGGAAATGGCCTGTAGGATTGTGAACTGCTTACCGTCTCAACAATCATTCCGGTGATCTGGTATGGATCTCCGTTGGAGGCCGGTCGGCGGTCCTCGAAGTAGCCCATGCCCTTCTCTGCAACCTCCCGGTTCACACGCACTGATGAGCCACGGTTGGCGATACCCCAGCTGAACTTATCGTAGGATGCAGTCTCGTGGGCTCCAGTCATACGTGCCTCGTTACCCTCACCGTAGACCTTCATGTGCTCGACATGGCGCTTGGCAAGCGATTCCATGGCCTTCTCGATGGCCTTCATGCCACCAGCCTCACGCATCTCCTTGGTGCTAACGTTGGTGTGCAGACCGGCACCGTTCCAGTCGCCCGGGATTGGCTTTGGAGCAAATGTGATCTTGGCGCCGAACTCCTCGGCGACACGGTGGAGTAGGAAGCGCGACATCCAGAGCTGGTCACCCACTGCAGTTCACGTTAGTTGAGCTCGAAAGAGCATTAGCATGGCAAAACTCACATTCAATGCCCTCGCAGGGGCCGACTTGGTACTCCCACTGAGCCGGCATGACCTCGGCGTTGGTACCGGAGATGTTGATACCGGCGTACAAGCAGGCCTTGTAGTGCGCCTCTACGATGTCTCTGCAGAAGACCTTGCCAGCTCCAACACCGCAGTAGTATGGGCCTTGAGGAGCTGGGAAACCATTCTTTGGCCATCCGTACGGCCAGCCGTTGGTGTCCAGAAGAGTGTATTCCTGCTCCAGACCGAACCAGAACTCGTGCTTCTTGTGCTGTTCCATGACAATCGCGGCGTCGTGGCGGAAGTTGTAGGCGTTTGGCTTGCCGTCTGACATGTACGTCTCGCACATGACCAAGATGTTGTCACCAAGGCGGAATGGGTCTGGGTACATAGCAACGGGGCGAAGGTAGACATCCGAGTTGTCACCCGGAGCCTGGGAGGTCGAGGAGCCGTCGAAGTTCCATTCTGGGAGGTCCTTGTAGCTGGTAGGTACGCTCTTGAGGGTCTGGGAGCTGAGTGTCAGTCCAATGCCCCAAGAATGGTGAAAGCCAAAAGCAGGTCCAAGAGGGCGCCATGAAATGCGAGAGCTTGCAGAGGACTTGGGCATCTCAGATCAAGCTCGTTGCGCTTCTAGCGCTCCGCAAGTCCGCACTCGGAAGCTGTCAAGCCACGCGCTTGGAGTTCTTCGGCAGCTTGGCTGGGTGGCTTCCGGACTCGATTTTTGGGGTCGCGTGGAGCCGGAGAAATCAGGAACAGCAGCAGACTTACCTTGCACTTGGAGCGGACGCCGTTGGATGCGTCAATCCAGACGTATTCGGCAATGACGGAGCCCTTCTGAGGAAGCTTGAGGTATTTCTCAAGCTGTGCTTTGTTAGCCTGCGGCCGATCTGCTTGGGCGATTTCGCAGAACTCACGTTGGCGGTATTCGAGAGGTAGACGCTGTTGTCGGCCTGGTTTGGCTATTAGCTCTTCATTGCCCGAGTCCTTCTCTCCCGGTCGTTGCGGTAGCTCACCATCTTGACTGTGCGGACTGCGGATGCAGCTGAGTTGATGGGTACTTGGTGCGAAGCCTGAGGCCACGTATGTTTCTGGAGCAGAAAGTGGCGTGCAAGGTGTTAAGGGTGGTGTGAGTGTTGGCGTCGAGGGCAAGGGAGGTGAATGGTGGATGGTGGGCAGCAGACGCGGCGAGGGTGAGTGGACTGTTTTATTCTGCCGCTGGAGCGACAAAAGCACGAGCCAAGCGTGTCACCTGTGGCTGAACGAACCTCCGCCGAGCTCTCTCTTCCGCAGGCCAGCACCAAGACGAGGCGGGCATTGGCACAAAGTATCAGTGAGGCGGTCGAATGGATCAGTCTGGATGCCGATAGAGATGGGCGCGCGCGCAGGTAGATCTCCGTGGACACGTCGATGTGATTGCGATTGGGAAATGCGATTGCACGTTGCTTCTTTCCCGCACCCGCCCCTCCTCACACATCACATCCAGGACATCTACACCTGCCCGACTTTGTTGTCCCCCCCAGGGATCACGCTCCCGGAAGGCCTCGCACTGCCTTTGTCGGCTAGCACATCCGAGCTGACCGGCCTAGGTTTCACCACGCTCGTCCCGACAGTCAGTAGACAACAGTCAAGTGGAAAATAGCGCACCCAATGTCCACAGAAACGCGCAGGCGACACGAGCACCAACATACGAACGGGTGTTCGCTGGGTGGGGTCAGCGAATCTGATGCACCGCGATTGGTGAGGGCATCTCTTCCATCCCGAGCTGAGCCTCGAGCGACGAGAGCTCGAGGCCGGCCCACGTCACCCCAGCGATGATCCTGCCACCACCACCACCGGTTTAGATAATAGAAGGGCCGCCGTACCGGGAGAGAGTTGCCAAAGCCTCCAGGAACCGCTTCGCTCGCGTGCTTGGACCATGCAGCACAGTGTGCAGGTCGTCCGGATGGGCACACGACTCGGAAGACGCTCCAAGTGGGATGATACGTCGATACGTGCGCCACAACTCTGTCCCCGCAGACGATAACGATGCAGGGACGCTGCCGCTAGGCCCGATCCTCTCCGCCCTTATCGTCCTCCCTTACCCAATCATCGCGGCCCGGTCGGCAACTGCGGTCGGAGACTTTGAGTAAGAGAATGCGAGTGTGGCGGTGCGCCTGGTCCTCGCTACCTTACCTTATTCCTGAAGCTCTAGAGTTGCCCGTGGGCCAAGAGAGCTCCGGAGCTTGGCTGCCTACCATCTCACACCTACACACTCAACACACTCTCTCAACCTCTTCAGGTTCGGCAACGTCTTTCAACTTCCCATCGAATACGCAGCCTCGCAACACGAGCTCCACTGAGTCTTTGTCACGCAACACTTGTGCTTCCAACAATGGTGGAATGCCTGGGGTCTCCCGATCCGTCACGCTCCAAGATCGCAGTCTCCCGGTGGGCAAGCGGGTGATAATACGACCAAACTTGTGAGGCGAAAGGCAAGAGTGTATCACGAAGCTATCAGGCATACCATGTGACCATATTGGCTCTCAGTGAGAGGCCTTCATCATCTCATACATCTTGTTCATCTTGTTCTGCCGCTCCATCTCCCACTCATTGAACCCCATCATCTTGTGGACATTCTCCACCGGCACCTGCTCATTCTCCTTCGAGTTGAGACCCGCGTACGCCTCTTCGACAAAGTCCGCCAGCGGCATGCCGATATTGCCCCCTTTCCCTTGGAATTCTGGCTGATGCTTGTCATCGTGAAGTTCGGTCTGCACGGCCGGTGGGAGCAGCTCGACGATCTTGACATTGGAGTTCATCTCTTTCATCTGGAGGCGCATGGCGAGAACCATGTGATGAAGAGCAGCTTTCGAAGCGCAGTAGTTGGGACAATACACAATTGGGATGAGAGCCAGGCCAGAGGTGACGTACACCAGGGCCACTTCCTTGGGAGCTTGCTTCTGGAGGAATGGCAGGAAGGCTTTGGTAAGGTGCATATAAGAGAGGTACTGGAACATGTCAGCAACCTCGACGGTAAGCGCTCGAGCTCCGAGTGCTTACGTTCGTAGTAAATTCCGTCTCCAATAGGTCTAGGTCAACCTTCTCGGGCTCCTTCCAGTCAAGGTGGCGCTGTATACCGGAGTTCATGAAGACGCAATCGAGGTCTGCATGCTTGGAAACAATGTCGCTAACGAACTTGGGGATGGCTTTGAGGTCCGTGATATCGAATTGAATGGAATCGACTTTGCCATCCTTGCCGTACTTCGAAACGAAATCGTCCAGATTCTCCTTACGGCGGCCGACTATGACGACCGAGCAGCCTTCGTCGAGGAACTTCTTCGCCATAGCCCAGCCGATGCCGCTGGTGGCGCCCAGAACCAGCACTTTTCCGTACTTGAAACCCATCTTGGCTGCGACGACTTCACTTTCTCGATGTATTGATCTGCTGTTGAATCGTATCGGAGCTCGTTCTGAAAGTCGTGGCTTGCGAGAGGGTTATCGCGCTGTGATCTTTGACAAGAAGATTATGACTCTTATAGGTATTGGCAAGAGCTATGGAACGCGTCTTCTTCTACGAAATCGTGACCAAATATAACATCTACCGTGTGCCTTTCTTCCAGATTCATGATGTCATGCTCCGGACCTTCGGGAATACTGAGGTCTGTTATCTGCGGCATGCGACATCGTCCATCACTCTTCGACCACACTGTATTCTGTCCTCGATGCCTTCCATCAATGTCGTGGGAAGTTGGCCTAATAAGCGATGCACCTAGAAGACGCGAGCTCGGCATTATTGGCATGCGTCGGACGGAAACCATGATCAGACGCCGATCTCGTGCGTGCACCACTTGAATCATTGTATGCGTTGCAGATTTTCGCCTGCGTGGGAGGTGGGTGGGCACCTAGGTATTCAGCTAGCCTATCCAAAAGCCGCCCTATTTGCCGGCGGGTAACTTCTAATAGTAGGACCACTTCTACCGTGAAGTAGTAGGTAACCTTCTCTCTTCCCTCCCTCGATGCGGTGACACCGCAAGCGATCCCCAAACAGAAATGGCCGGAGACAACAGAGACGCGCCGCTGGAAGACGCAGAAAAGGCCGAGTTCGCTCTTGACACGCTGGACGAAGGGACGCGGAATCCATCCCTCGCCAGTGCGCAGGAGGGAATCAAGACCTCCTCGCCGGCTTCTCGCGAGCAAGACGTGGGAAAGAAGAAGAACGGCGATGATGGCGTGGAGATGCGCCAAGTCGCCTCGCACGGCTCGCAACTACCTCTCAGCAAAGCCCGGACGATCGCCTTGGTGGCAGTTCTCACAGGAGCCGCATTCCTCAACACTCTGTCGATTCAAGTCTGCGTCATCATCCTGCCCACAATAGGAGCAGACCTGGACATTCCCGCCGCTCGGCAACAATGGATCGTATCATCGTACTCGCTCACGTTCGGATGCTTCCTCCTACTCTGGGGCCGACTCGCGGACGTGTACGGGAAGAGGATCATTTTCATCTATGGCAGCGCGTGGGTGAGCGTCATCACTCTGATATGTCCGTTCCTCCCCAACGAGATTGGCTTCGATATCTTCCGAGGGCTACAGGGACTCGGCGCGGCGGCGAACGTGCCCACCGCCATTGGGATTCTGGGCGTGACGTTCCAACCGGGAAAGGCGAAGAACTACGCTTTTGCTACGTACTCGGCGGGTGCGCCTTTGGGAAGTGTATTTGGAAACATTTTGGGAGGTGTCGTGGGGCAGTATGCGACTTGGAAGTGGGCATTCTGGATTCTGGCGATTCTGGCTGCGCTCGTCACACTCGCTGGCTGGTACCTGATTCCACTACCTACGGCACCCCCGGCTGAGTCCAAGGTGAAGAATGCGGTGGACTGGGTGGGAGGAGTCCTGGTGACGGTGGGACTGGTCATCCTGCTTTTCGCACTGACGGAAGGTAATGTGGTCGGATGGAGCACGCCGTGGATCCCAGTCTTGATTGTGGTGTCCATACTCTTGGTCGCTGCATTCGTGCTCTGGCAATTATATCTCGAAAACAAGACCACCCGAAGGCCGCTGATGAAAGTTTCCATCTTCAAGAACCTTCGCGTGTCGGCTGCAATGCTGGTCATGACCTTCTTTTTCGCCGGATTCAACAGCTTCCTCATCTTCGCCACCTATTACTTCCAGGACTACCAAGGACACGACGCCATCATGACGACTGTGCGCTTCTTGCCCACCGGAGTCGTTGGTGTCATGACAATCTTCGTCACGTCCCAAATGCTGGCCCGTATCAAGGTCAACTACATCATGATGTTTGGCACGCTCTGCACAGCAGTTTCCAGTCTGCTGTTCGCGGTGCCAATCTCACCAAGAACGACGTACTGGGCCTATGGTTTCCCAGCTATGTGTCTGTCCGTGTTTGGTGCAGATACGGTCTTTCCGTCACTTCTGCTATTTACCGCGCATTCCCTTCCCCGAGAAGACCAGGCCATCGGCGGCGCCATCATCAACGCAGTCGGTCAGATCGGTCGTGCGATCGGTCTTGCCATCGCGACAGCTATTCAAGTGGCAGTGCAAGAGAGCAAACAGGGCTCTCAAAATGCAGCGATCGGCGGCAAAGAACTGTGGAATCCAGACTTCTTATCCGGCCTTCGTGCTGCAGAATGGTTCAATTTCGCGATTAGTTTAGTAGCATTCGGAATAGCGACAGTGGCATTCAGAGGCGCCGAAAAGGTAGGCGCGGCAAAGAAATAGACCCCGAGAAGCATAGCATGCCTAATACAATCCTTTCAACCAGTTTGCAAAGCCGTGTCTTGGTAGCTGCGAGCGCTTGCTTTGTATTCCTGCAGTTTGATGGCTCCTGCAGACCAGAGCATCAGAGCATCGACGACCGGAGGCTTCTGACGCGTTGACCTCACGCGTTTCGAGGAAGACGACTTCACCGTCTTTGCGGCTTTTGTGACATATCCAACAATGTTAAGCCATGCTCCGACTTGCAGGAGTTCGTGATTGACAGACTCCAGCACGTTGGTGATATTGACCAAGACTTTTGGCGTGCCAGTCGATGCTGGGCAGGATTCTTTCAAGACGAGTGTAGCGTTTTTGCCCTGGTACTCGTGTACGCATCCGAGGAAGCGGATCTTGGTGCCTGGGCTCTGTAAAGGCAATTGTTCGAGCAGTACCAGGCGCATCGGCTCTGGCTTCATCTGTCGCTCGTCGGTGGAGGCCATGGGAGATTTGCGTCGACGGAGACGCGTCTTGGCATGTTCTTCACGAAGGTAAGTGAATGTCCATGCGGCGGTAAACAGATCGGCCGAATAGGTAGGTGGCGTGGAGCGCACGTGACCGTCACTGTGGGCCGACGTCACGCTCCCGATACGGTATCACCAAAGACATCCTCCCGCGAGAGACACTCAACAAGGCAGCCACAAACAACTTCAGATTCCAGTCCCTTCCTTCGATCCAGCCGTGCCGCAACATCTCCTAGGCTTCTTAAATTCCGCCTCTCAACACCATAACGCGCTCGATCTTTGCTGCCGCCCGCATCGACTTTCAGAGAAGGCATTTTCCTGACGCCCAACAACTTGCGCCTGGCTTTACTGCGGCTATCACATCCAGGCCGAGTCCACTACGAGCACACAACAATAGCAAGAGAAGCAGTAGAGGCAAGATGTCGGGCTGGGGCTGGAACAATCTTTTTGGGGGTAGTGCTGCTGCGAAGAAAGATGCACCCAAAAATGCTATCCTGAGGTTACGCAGTACGCTTGAGATGTTGTCGAAACGAGAGAAGCACCTACAAAACCAGATGGATGAGCAAGACGCGATAGCGAGGAAGAACGTCAGCGCGAATAAAGCCAGTGAGTTTCACACGACCATCTCTGCAAGGACAACATGTATGCGGGAAGGAGGAGCTAACGCATTTTGATCTGCAGTTGCTAAAGCCGCGCTACGAAGGAAGAAGGCATTTGAACATCAGCTCGAACAGACAAGCGCTCAGATGATGACAGTCGAGCGGGAAATCTCATCTATTGAGACAGCGAACATCAACAAGGAGACGCTCGATGCCATGAAGGGCGCCCAACAGGCAATGAAGAAGATTCACGGAGATCTCTCGATCGAGAAGGTCGATCAGACTATGGAAGATCTAAGAGAGCAGCACGCTATTGGAGAGGAGATTGCGGATGCACTTACACAGGGCAACCAGATGCAAGGAGTCGACGAGGATGAGCTGGACGAAGAGCTGGCAGAACTGCAGCAAGAGGAGCTGGACAACAAGATGATCAAGACTGGCTCTGTACCTGTTCACGATCAAATACATCAACTACCAAGCCAGCCAGTTGGACCGGGTAAGTTCTCCTTGACGTCTATGTCGAAATCTGATATGGCTGACTCGCTTGCAGTTAAAGGGAAACAGGTGCAGGAGGACGACGAAGAAGAGGAGCTACGCAAGCTCCAAGCCGAGATGGCGATGTGATTCTGCACACACCTCTTCTCTCTTGAATGAGGATTGCTTTTGGCGTAAGATGCATTTTGATCTTGACATGACATGGGCGGAGCCTATACCCCTGGCCCATTGATGAGCTCTTCAGCGTACAGTACCGACGAATTCTACACCACAAGAAGCCTTTCAATCCGAAATTAGATTCGAGAAGCCTACTTGCAGCACTTTTCGTCCTGCTAACCGATTTGCGAAGTCCACTGCCACCTTGGCACGATCTTGTATCGGCCCGGCGGCATCTGGTGCCAATATGCTACCCAAAATGCCTGCAGTAAAGGTATCACCGGCTCCAATCGTATCGACGACTTTACTCTCCGGCTCTGGAGACGACTGCGCGCTATGCAAGGACCCATCCGCTGTCGTTAGCACCGTGGCACCTTTTGCTCCCCATGTGCAACATAACAAGCTCGCGTTGCCCAGGAGCTTCGCTTGCTCCTTCAATAGCGCACCAGCATCAGAGTACCCAGCCGCCTCTGCCCATGTCTTCGAAAAGAAGACTATGTCGGCCTCTTCAGCCATCTTGTCTAGCCCCGGCCGATTCGGTTTCTCAACTTCTACACTCCGTGTACAGTCAGGGTACTCCTGCTTCAGCCATTTCAGACACTGAATCGAAGTGTCTACTTCTCTTCCTTCGAAGTGAAACCAAGTACGCTTGTCGTCTAATTTGGCAATCTTCTCCTTAAACTCCCCAAATTCCATCTCCGGCAGTTCATTGAAATTTACAATCGTCCTCGACCCACAATCGTCTGCTTTGATGATATAGCTCGAAGCCGGTTCGTGATGACTCTCCCTATAGATACAGTGGTCCGTGTCCACCCTTTCTCCGAATGAATCTTTAACGAGTTTTGTTCCTTCGCTGGATTTGGCTGGTAGAACGCAGAGGAGCACGAGCTCGATTTCGTCTAGAGATCGGAATTGCTGGAGAACTTCCAGGGTGTTCGCTACGTTTCCACCTCGCCGCCTTTCCAGAGTGGTGGCGCGGAGTTTGTGGTCTTCTTGGGGGAATTTTGGGACGCTGGGTGGTTTTGGTTAGCCGTAGTCCTCGCCCTCCCTCGTAACTCCGCCGTGAGAGATCGCACCTGAGGATTGTATCGACGTAGCATGCTCCTATCATCACCAGGCGACGGATTTTTGGTGAGATGTCCATTCCGGTTGGGTTGGTGGTTCCGGTACTGGTGATGAAGATAATGGTCGAGCGAGCTCTGAGTTGAGAAATGCAGGAACTACCTTTGCTACCCTTTCTTTCGAGCTCCGCCTGTGATGTAACCAGCAACGAGTTCTCTCGGGATGATGCCGGATTCGAATCAACAAAGTCCAACGCATTCACGAAATGATGAAGCGAGCAAGACAGACGGATTCCTATCTATGCACGGTGGTCAAGGAAGCTTGGAACGGGATTTTGGGCATGCGCGAGACTTAGATCACCTGTCGGGCGCCGCCTGCGATTTTCTACGCCGATAATGGCGCACCCTTCTACGCGTACCGGCGAATTACACAATTCGATAGAAGCGGATTTTAGTGTCGTGGAAACCTTTCGAGGCGAGATACTGTCTCTCTGGAGAAGATTTCAGCGCTCCGCTCACTTGGAGGACCGGACATGGCGAGCTCGTGAATCGATGTGCTGACGTTCTGCGACACTGCGGTATCGTGCAATACCTTGGAGATACATGAATCAGATTGGAGGGCAAGAATTTAACATCAATTTGTTGCGTCGATGGCATTACTCACCCTTCTCGCTGTGGATCTGCACATCCCTCGCACCCCTCCTGGTGGTTGGGAGAGAAAGAAAAGGCCTCGAAATCCGACAGAGGAAGCAGGCAGAGAGCGAAGGACGTGATGATCGACATAAGGGACCTCACATGGCTGCAGCCCTTGATGAAGACGTCGATCGAGAACGAGCTCCGACATTGGGCTGTGGGAAGAGATTCTCAATTGTCGTTGACTGAAACGGAGAAGCTCAAAAGTCGAAAAGACAGAGAAGTGGTGCGACCTTTATGGCGTGGATTTCGCTGGGCACAGCAGCGACGATTGGCACCTTTTGGGAGACCCATGCTTACTGCAAGTCGGCTTTCTCGTGGTGATTACACCTAGTTGCGCAACAGTGATAAGTAGCCGCTCGGCAGGATGCTGTTGGCAATGTAATCGTTCACATGCATGTCCGTTCACTTTGTGACGTCAATATCGAGACAAGCGCGGGTGAGCGCATTCTACATTTGCTGCGAAAGGCAGTGTTTCGTATCTTGCGACTACAGATCGCCATTATTGCGCTCTAGTCTTGTTCCATGAACTGGTGATCCTCAGAAGCAGCTGCCGACGCTTGAGTGAAGTTTTGCGGGGCTTTTTGGCATTTATACGTGCAGTCTCGATGCAGGAATCTCGAAGCACCAATACTTCTTGGAAGACATTCCTCGACTTGAACCTGTCTGCTACTCTTATTCACAAGCGCCGACTCCCGATCGGGCTTCTGTCGACCCTTCCACCAGCGCCAGAACGCCATGCTATGCCATACCCATCCATCTAGCTTCATCGCTCATGCCTGCGGCTGTTAATTCCGCTGTTCCCGCTCTCGCTCACGCTCGACCTCAAACTTGAAGTCAAAGTACGGAGGATCGAAGTGGTGCACACGCACGTAACCGTCCTCGCCGCCACTGCAATAACACTTGCCAGTTGGGTCCACAGCGACGTAGTTCAAAGGACCGAAATGACCTCTCACTCGTCCAATCTCCTCCTCGAAGATCTTATGGTAGAATCTGGCCTCGAACTTTCCTTGTCTTGCGGAGGTAGTGGTGACATCCATGGCAGCCTGACCACCTCCGAGAATCACGTAGTTGGTCGGTGGTGGAGTGATGGCGGCGCTGTTGAGAGGAGTATCCGCGACATACGTCTTCAGCACGTCGAGTGTGTTCGCATCGATGAGCTTGGCGGACTTGTCTTTGCATGCGGTGATGAAGTATGTCCGGTCATTACTCCACTGCAGATCGGTAATTTGCATGCCATCCTCGTGTGGGAAGGTGTGGATGAGTTCTTCGCCGCTCTTGGCATCGTACTGAGACACACTGCCGTCCTCGTGTCCGGTGATGATATACTTGCTGAGGTAGGAGAATCCAGCAACAGTAACCTTGGGAATGTCGTCTACGACGATGCGCAGGACCTGTTCGTCCCTCTGCTCCGCATCTGGGTCCGGGTTGATGTCGTAGACCACAACTGTGCTCAGCTGGCCGGCGCGCTTCTCCGTGACACCGAGTAATTGTGTCCCATCTTCTGAGAATTCCACACGCTTGATCGCAGTTCCAAACTCCCACGTCTTCAGTAGCCTGCCAGTCTTAACCTCCCATAACCTGATCGTATTGTCTGCTCCTCCGCTTGCAAGAAGTGTTGTAGTGGGGTCAACGTCGACTGTCCAGAGCGCACCCTGGTGACCTTTGTACGTGCCGAAGCGCTCACCGTTTGCGCTGTACCAGGCGCAGATGATGTGGTCTTTACTGACGGAGAAGAGGAGATCGCCTTCTTTGGAGAATCTGCACCATCAGATGTTAGCTCTGTCTGGGTCTTGTTCCTGGCGCAGAATCGCATACTTGACCTGAGTGAGAGCACGCTCGTGCCCGGAGAGTAGAACGGGTCTCATTTTGGAGTTGCTGTGTGTCTGTGGTGTGGGAGAGCTCGCTGGTGGTATTTTCGATGCTCGCCGGCGTGAGTCTTCGAAATCTTGGCGATGACTCCGCAGTCACGTGCAAAATCCCGCGGGACATGTGTGATTTCAAGGGACGGTCAATCAAATCTCCATCAACTCAGACTGAATCGTCCTGCTGTCTCGGAGTCAATCTTGTTTGCAGCGTGTTGTTTCTTCCTGCTCGTCGCAACTTCAACAGTCTGCGCATCACTCGTTTATCGCTGACCGGGTCAACTTCTGGCGAACTGGCGTTGGCGCGTACCTTGAGGCATTAGACTATCGCTATTGAACGACCCGCGTACCACAGTCATCTTTCGCCTAGCACTCGGCCGCCATGAGGCTTCCCAGCCAGCGTCACTGCACAGCGATCGGCAGGAATCGCGTGCCCCTCACTGCGAATTTCCGCTGCCGACCTTTCCCTACCACACAGCACCTCGCTCTCCCCGTCCTACCACACCCTCGTCAACCACACTCTGCTCTCCATTGGCCCGGGTTGTCGAGCGCAAGAGCACGAAAAGTACTTCATGGTCCAGCGGTCGGCGTGCGCTTCTTCAGTCACACCGCAGCCAACATGACCGCCTCCAAGATCGACGGCAGCGCCATTGCCAAATCCCTCCGAGAACGCATTGGCAAGGAAATCGCCGAGAAGAAGGCCAACAACCCTCGCTACCAGCCGAGCCTGGTCATCATCCAAGTTGGCGAGCGTCAGGACAGCTCCACCTATGTTCGTATGAAGATCAAGGCCTGCGAGGAGGCCAACATCGAGTGCAATCTCCAGAAGTACGACGAGTCCATCACAACCTACGAGCTGCTCGAGAAGGTCGAGCACTTCGCCAATGACTCTACCGTCCATGGAATCCTCGTCCAACTGCCCCTCCCGAAGCACATCGACGAGTACGAAGTCACCTCGGCCGTCCCAGACTCGAAAGACGTCGATGGATTTGGAGGTGCCAACATTGGCGAGCTTGCAAAGAAGGGCGGAAAGCCCCAATTCGTGCCATGTACGCCCAAGGGTGTCATGGCCCTTCTGAAGGAGAGCGGTGTTGATCCCAAGGGCAAGAACGCTATCGTCATTGGACGCTCCGATATCGTCGGTGCACCTGTGAGCTATCTGCTGAGAAATGCCGATGCCACAGTCACTGTCTGCCACTCCAAGACTGCAGACTTGAAGGGAGTCGTCAAGACAGGAGACATTGTCGTGGCAGCTCTCGGCAAGCCTGGCTTCATCAAGGGAGACTGGCTGAAGCCGGGTGCTGTTGTCATTGACGTTGGCACAAACTCCATCCCGGACGACACTAAGAAGTCTGGTCAGCGGCTTGTAGGTGATGTCGACTGGGACTCCGCTGTGGAAGTTGCAAGCCAGATTACTCCTGTTCCAGGTGGTGTTGGCCCAATGACTGTGGCCATGCTTCTATCCAACGTCGTAGACTCTGCGAACTCCTACGCCGAACGCCAGAAGACTCGCAAGATCGTCCCGTTGCCGCTGAAGTTGAAGCAGCCTGTCCCGTCCGACATTGCGGTGTCTCGTGCTCAACATCCAAAGCTCATCAACAAGGTCGCTGCAGAGGTTGGCGTAGCGCCCCACGAATTGGAGCCGTTCGGTGCGTACAAGGCCAAGGTCTCGCTTGACGTGTTGAAGCGTCTGCAACACCGCCAGAATGGTCGCTACATTCTGGTTGCTGGCATCACACCTACTCCTCTTGGTGAGGGTAAGAGCACAACCACCATTGGTCTTACCCAGGCCCTTGCTGGCCAGCTTGGCCGAGTTGCCTTTGCCAATGTCCGCCAGCCTTCCCAAGGACCTACCTTCGGCATCAAGGGAGGTGCTGCCGGTGGTGGTTACAGTCAGGTCATTCCGATGGACGAGTTCAACTTGCATTTGACCGGAGATATTCACGCAATCACCGCAGCCAACAACCTCCTGGCTGCTGCAATTGACACGAGAATATACCACGAGGCCACTCAGCCAGATGGTCCCCTGTACCGCCGTCTCGTTCCTGAGAAGAAGGGCAAGCGCGAGTTCCCAGCCGTCATGTTCAAGCGACTAAAGAAGCTTGGCATTGACAAGACCGACCCTAATGAGCTCACCGAGGAGGAAATCAAGAAGTTCGCCCGACTCGATTTCGACATCGATACTATCACGTGGAAACGCGTGTTGGATGTCAATGATCGTCATCTCAGAGGCATCACGATCGGTCAAGCTCCAACTGAGAACAAGGTTGAACCACGAAAGACCAGCTTTGACATTTCTGTTGCTTCCGAGTGTATGGCCATTCTTGCCTTGGCAACCGACTTGGCCGATATGAGGGAGCGTCTTGGCCGTATGGTCGTCGCCTCCTCCAAGTCCGGTGACCCTATCACAGCTGACGACATTGGCTGTGGAGGAGCTCTGGCAGTCCTCATGAAGGATGCTGTCAAGCCAAACTTGATGCAGACACTGGAAGGTACTCCGGTGTTCGTCCACGCAGGTCCTTTTGCAAACATCAGTATCGGCAACAGCTCCATCATCGCTGACCGCGTTGCTTTGAAGTTGGCTGGCACTGAGCCTGAGGAGGAGGCCGAACGCAACGAGAAGGTTGGATTCGTCGTTACCGAGGCTGGTTTCGATTTCACTATGGGTGGTGAGCGCTTCATGAACATCAAGAGCCGTGCGTCTGGCCTAGTGCCAGATGTTGCTGTCATTGTGGCTACCGTACGCGCCTTGAAGGTCCACGGTGGTGGTCCGGAGATCAAGGCTGGCTCTCAGCTTCCTGAGGTATACCGCACTGAGAACGTCGAAGTTCTGCGCAAGGGCTGTATCAACTTGGCCAAGCACATCCAGAACGCCAAGGCTTTCGGTGTCAATGTCGTTGTAGCCATCAATAAGTTCGAAACCGATACCGATGCCGAGATGGAAGTCATTCGCGAGGAAGCTCTTAAGGCTGGTGCCGAGGACGCCATTACCGCCAATCACTGGGCTGAAGGTGGCAAGGGTGCCATCGAACTGGCCAAGGGCGTCATCAAAGCCTCTGAGAAGAGCGAGCCTGAGAAGTTCAAGCTCCTCTACGACCTCAACGGTTCCATACAGGAGCGCATTGAAGCCATCGCCAAGAACATGTATGGCGCTGCGTCGGTCACTTTCTCTGAGACAGCACAGAAGAAGGTCGATGCCTACACCAAGCAGGGCTTCGCGAACTTGCCAATCTGCATTGCCAAAACGCAGTACTCACTCTCCCACGACCCAGCACTCAAGGGTGCACCAACTGGCTTCGATGTTCCGATCAGGGACGTCCGACTTGCCGCTGGTGCCGGGTATCTCTTCGCTCTGGCTGCCGACATTCAGACCATTCCAGGTCTTCCAACTGCACCTGGCTACCTGAACGTCGAGATTGATGGCGAGACCGGCGAGATCGATGGCCTCTTCTAATCTACTCGGACATTCAGGACGGATTGCTAGTTGGCGCTTGATTTGCTTCTTCGATTTTGCCTTTTACTCAAATGATACCACGCCACTGTTTCACCACGGGAGGCAATGTTTGCATCGTCGATTCGGCGCATCCATTTTAATATGGCAAGGGCACGGAATATGAAAAAACGGAAGGGATAGAAACGACCGGGTTTGTGTCACTCAACTGACTTACAGCGCGGCGTTGGTGGATGAATGGGTTGATTCTGGCCATCATTTTGAGATAAATGTGGATATAACGAAAATCTCTTGAAACGATGCCATCTCCAATGATCTTCCTCACTCCTAAGTTTAATTTACATTCGATCCAAGCGCTGATCCCCTTAGCGTTGGCACTAGGTGAGCTTTTTGTGTTGTTCTAGCAGTCGAAGGTATGGCTTTGATACGAAGCTTTCGAAGCAACGGAACGGGTCCTTTTAGACGGCGTGAACACCGGTCTGCCTCATTAAAAATCCATCCCGTCTTCCAACTGCGCTCTCATAGCACCAGCGGGTGGTACGTATGCAAAACGCGCAATGAATTCGGCGGGATCCGGTGCTATTTGTTGAAAGGGCCTGCTGCCTGCAATATCGTCTTCGTCTTCGCCCTCCTCGCCGTCGGACAAGTTGAATCCGTCTTCCTCTGGCTCCACATACTCGTCGCCATCTTCTTCGTGTTCCTCCCCATCGTCATCTTCATCTTCATCAGAAAGCGCGTAGTTCGCGGGATCCCAATGCTCCCGCAAGAACCAGTCGCCCGCATGAGACACGTAACGTTTGATCATGACCGTGATTTCTCTCCAGATGGGATCGGTGTGCAGAGACTTTTCGAAGTCTTTGTATGGCACGATGTGACGGAAACTGGTCTGCGTTTCCGGCGAGGCTGCTGTCAAAACGCTAATGTGGCATAGCCAGAGTTGCAGACCATCGTTTGCGTGTTCGCGGATGGCGTCGAAGAAGGGCCGCCAATCGGTCAGATTGCTCTCGTTTCCGACAGCGATGGAATCCAGGAGAAGTCTGGTCAAGCTGGGCAGCTCGGATAGCCATGCACCGAGGCAAGAGGCGTCTATTCTTCCGGTGTCGAGGATGAGAGTCTGGAGCTTTGGTAAGGACGGTACCGACTTTGTCGCTGGACTGAAGAGTATGCTGAGAACTTGGCCGCTGAGCATCAGATAGCGTAGCTCGTTCATCGATCCATACAACAGTGTATTGGCTACTGCAGTCGACTCCAGCCCAAACGTTCTTCTGTAGTCCCACTTGCGGCCATGCAAGTGACGAATCTCGAGATCAAGATTCAGTTTCTGCAGCTTTTCCACATCCACATTCTCCCACTGGTGCACTTTCGTCCACACGAATTCGTCCTCGGCGCGATAGTGCACAGATAGCTCACGGATATGGCATTTGGCTTGGGACAGACTTTCGAGGGCCAGCGTTAGGAGCGTCTGGGCTCCAGGCCCGCAATTGATGAGCTCCCATGTGGTCTTCCTCGACTCGCTCAGCCGAAAGATACAGACCTTGGGCAGCTTGGACAAGATCCGCGTCCACACAGCCAGCACCCTGCCTTTCTCAACGGCAGTATTGACTCTTCGACCCAGGACGTTCTGGATCGCCTGTACCGAATCTCGGGCTCGCTCGGGGGGGAGAGCACACCGACGAACATGGACATGGTCGAACACCACGCGCCGCACGAAGGACGAAATATTGTCAAAGCCTTTGGCGCTCCTTTCCAAGTCTCGTAGTTGGTCTGGGTCTGGCTTGAGGCGCAGATTGTGGAACAGCTTGCTCTGTACAAGTCGCAGACGGGCTATGTACGGATGGACGGCTCGCAGGACCTTCAGGCTACGAACTATGGTGGGCTGACCGCTAGAAGTGTGACACGTATCGATGAAGTGTTCGACAATGAGAGTCAAAAGCTCCGGCGGTAGCTGGAGGAGAGGTGACGAGGAGACTCCGTGGAATGCGTACTGAGCAGCCTCGTCAAAGTAGTTTTCGGCGTCGGAAAGATCAAATTCGTCATCTTCAGCGTCCGTCATGGGGTCGTTGGGTAACGAATCTCTTCGTTGGTATTCTGTATGTTTTAGTGTAAATCCATCTGGTACGTGTCGTAGGAGGTGGCATCGTGAGATGATTGCGAAGGTGAGCAGACGTCACGTGTTGAGATTGAACCTATACCGGAAGGCAGTGTTGACGTCGGAAGTCCTGGGACGACTTCCGGGGTCAAACACACTGCGCCGTCACGTCGATGACCACGACCACTCATGGCTACTTAGCAGAGATGACTGCGGTCAGACTTGGACTCCGAGATATCTATAGCATGGACTCTTCCAAGTCTCGGCTCTAAGCTATGCTCTGACGTCGGAGCACTCCTACAAGATCCTGCAGTAGACGCAACAACGAAGGGCTGACTCCCAGCAAGCATCGTAACGAGGAGAGCAGAGTCGCATGCTTGATCTGAGGCGCGTTTGTCCCTTCGTCGAATACAGATCCCCATAGTATGTCCGTTGCGAATGAATTGCTGTACCAACCCATCGTCCGTAGGTCGATCCAAGACAATGATACCGCAGACTGCTTTCTTGACTCGGTCGGGATCCTCTGGAGCACCGGAAAGAAGGTTGAATCTGTGATGTTGTCTTTGTGCTGTCGAAAACGGTATATGGTACCCTCAGAACATAGCTAGCTCTGGACGCTTTTCAGCCGCAGTCACCGACCTTGGCATGCATTGCTTACTAGGGCATCGTGGATAACGCATTCCTGATGGATCCTGAGCTAGGTCGCATTAGTCGAATGCTGATGAGACTGGAGAGGCGTTCATTTCCACCTGAAAAGGCACCAAATGCCATTCGCCACTGTTCTGCGCAGGGATCAGGATTCCTTGTCGAGGACGGCTGGTGTAGTATTCGGTTCCTTCCCGCGGTGTCAAGGCAGGGTGATAGGGTTCGAGATGTTTGACGCCAGCGCTTCGCTATCTAGGTCCTGTGTCTGTGTCTTCCTCCGTCAGTAGCTGTAGTAGCGAACCGAGAACGCAGGATCAAAAACTTGGTAGCCTGTAAAATAAATAAGCCAAAGCTGGATTTGTTGGGATCGAAGCCCCGATTTCTTTGCTTGCTGCTGCTCAATAGCCCTGCTGCTTGATCACATCGGGCTGATTCAGAAACTCGCAACGCTTCTTCAGCTTTTGCGCCTCGACCCCTCTTCGCGCAGCCGAAGAACCGTTCAGGCCCGAATAGCCCTCGTTTTGACTACCGATGATGTAGACACCGAGATTCTCGTCTGTCAGATCCGCCTGCTTCCATCCCTTGAGGGTAGTCTTGTTCTCTAGAGACGGGTTTCCAGTGGCCACGAAAGAGCTCCATGATCGACTCTCTCGGTCTCGAAGTGCATAGTCTGTGGCATTAGGGTAGAATGGGAAGTCATAGACGTTGTAGTGACTCAAGTTGCCGAACCTATATCGCTTGGGTTAGTCCGAGAGACTGTGGATCGTATGGGTCGTCTTACATGTATGCAAATTCAGAGGTGTGGACGGGTCCTTCTCCGGGAGATCCTTCCGAAGCCAAAATATCTGTCACGAACGTCTGGTTCTGGTCGTACAGGTAGAAGCTGTTTCCAGACTTCTGCAGAGCTTCTCCGAGGAAGACCGCTTGACAGACAAATACAATGTCTCTGAGGATCCGCGCGGCCCGTAGGGTCTCGGTCGAAACCTCTACAGAGCCATTGGCGGACCGAGAAGGCGGGAATTCCGAAGATGGATATAGGTCGAGAAGCTTGTTGAGATTCGAGAGGGTGAAATCCGGTAGGTATTCCTTGAACCACTCATAAGTACCGTTTGGCGTCTGACTGGATAGTGAGACAAAGGGAACAGCGTCGTTGTTACACCAACCCGCGATAGCAGATACGTTGTAGACGCGCCCAGTCCCGATCAACTCAGATGGAGCTGCAGGAAGGAAATCGCCGTCGACGACAGGAAGCCATTCATCCCCGACGTTTTCGGCCGGACCAGAACCATGGGTATCAGTTTGGGCTTGCAGAAGCTCCTCCATGCTTAACGCTCGGAAGCAGGACACAGTCGCTGCGGAGTCGATATCGGTAGTGTTGCATCCAGTGGCATTGGCAACCTTGTTCATAGCTTTGCGGGTAAAATTGCCGGTGATTCCACCCTCCAGTGCCTGGCTTTGAGCTATGAATTGCTGGAAGGGTGCTGGTTTACTTGCGCCATATGCCACCGTTTGAATGCCCATGGCGAGACCCCCAGAAGACTGTCCGTGGATGGTCACGTTGTTGGGGTTGCCGCCGAATCCTGCGATGTTGTGCTGAACCCATTCGAGCGCAAGTCTCTGGTCCCGCACGCCGGCGTTCTCAGAGCCTTCTTGTTGGAGAGAAGCCGACTGTGCGAAGCCGAACACGCCTAATCGGTAATTCAGAGCGACGCTGTGGCGGGATATGTCATTATCATGTCACTGGGGGTCTCATTTCGGACAAACTTACTGCATGACGGGATGTCCATTTGCAACAGACTCCAGGATGAGGCCACCAGGGTGAGCAACCGGATCATCTTTCGACGCCGCGATGAAGCTGCCGCCATGTATAAATACGAGGACAGGCAAGTTGGATCCCGGGTGAGTGCCATTGGGTCGGATCACATTAAGTCGTAGGCAGTCTTCCGAGATGGTCGTGATGTTTCCCAGATATAGCGGAAGCAACTGGGCGCCTGTTGGCTGAGGACATGCCGGGCCAGTTTCCGTGGCTTTGATGTTCGTGCCCGGGGACGGCTGATATGGTATTGGAGGCTTGAACCTGTTGGGACCTCCCGTGTCCTCCGCATACCGGATTCCAAGGAATGTCTCTACCTGGTCGCGGTAGAAGCCTTCATAGACGACTTGATTACCATCCTTTGCCACCGGCGCCGGGCAGGAAGTGTGCGCGAGGGCGCAACATGCGGCGCATACGATGGATGTGAGGGCCCAGCGCATCATCGCACCAAACGAGGCTGGAGGAGACGTCCAGATGCGAAGAATCCAGATCAACGGGGCGGAGTCCATACTATATCCTATTCTTTAGCTTGGTCCTACGCTGGCCGACTATCTCGGCCGGCGTATCTCTCTTGTGTCCCGTGCGGTGAGTAGATAGCATTAGATGATGGGATTGAAAAGCCAGTACGATCAGGTCCATGGGCTGCGCTGCCCAAGCATCTCCATCCCTTATTATTATCACGTAATTATACGACCATTCTCAATGCTTTCCGATGGACGCGAGCCCTTCTATCGCTCAGGCGTCCAAAGCGCGTATTTGTCCGATGTGCGAGGACGGTGTCAAGTGTATGAGAGGTCCCACTGTGGGCTTCCGGCTGAATCTTGCTTAGATTAGATTGCCAAGTAATCCGGAAGCGCTATCCGAATCCGAATCCGAAACAGCTCCATCTCCTTTCTTCGGAAAGTACCCGCATCGACCGACAAAGTGCACAACCATCCGAACAATTACACCCGATTTGCAGGCCAGAACCGAGAAACTGTTCCATCCAGGAATGGCGCGGTGATGCCGCTTTTCTCTCCCTTTTTCCGCCTTCCTGGACGCTGGACGCGCCGACGAGCTCGCAGAACGCGCATGGCCATCCAGACTTCTATCCTCACCATCGTCCTGCTGGTCATCATCCCGCTCTATATCATCTACAAACCGCCGAAATTCGTAATCGGCTACTTTGCCAGGAGCTTTCCCGAGGTCTTGTTTCAGGTGGACACCACCAAGAAGATTGTGGCCCTGACTATTGACGATGCGCCAAGTCCATATACGCGGCCAATCTTGGACAGCTTGAAGGCCAATGATGCGACTGCTACCTTCTTTGTCATTGGGAACCAAGTGCCCGGGAATGAAGATATTCTCAAGGACATCCTCGCGTCTGGAAGCGAACTGGGAAACCATGCTATGCACGACGAGCCGAGCATCTCACTGCCAAGCGAAGAGCTGCAAGCCCAGATCAAGCAAGTTGATGGATACATTGACAAGGCTTACGAAGGTCTCGACTACCAACGCTCCACCTACCACTTCCGCCCCGGCTCTGGAATCTTCAGTCGAAGGATCTTGGACGTCGCGATCAGAGCAGGATACAGGACCATTCTGGGTAGCATATATCCACACGACCCGTTCATCGGCGTGTGGTGGATCAATGCATACCATATCTTGAGTATGCTCAGACCCGGCGCAGTCATCATCTGCCACGACCGTCGGTCTTGGACCGTTCCAATGCTGAATAAGGTCCTTCCGAGAATGAAGAAGAAAGGCTATGAGGTGGTTTCCGTGTCAAGATTTCTGGAAATGACAAAGATTTGAACGAGTCGGGCAGCCAAAGTTTGTTCATGGCTGGCCTGTGGAGTCCGTGATGGCCCCATCTACTACGAGCTCTTGGCCTGTAACGTATGATGCTTCGTCCGAACAAAGATACACAGCCGCATGTGCAACGTCCCAAACGGAGCCCATCTTGCCTGTAGGAACTTGCTTTTCTCGGACTTTGCGGTATCCTTCTTGGTCGCCTCCAGCATACTTGTCTGCAAGCACAGAGACCAACGGCGAGTTGATCAGCCCAGGCACCACCGTATTCAGCCGCACTCTGCCCTGAGTTCTTTGCGCATAGATGACCGCAGTCGTCTTGGTGAACTGGATGATGGCCGCCTTGGTCGCCGCATACGCCACCTGTGGCTTTCCAATGTACCGCAATCCAGCGACCGAGGCGACATTCAGCACGGTACCGCCGCTACTCTGCTTCTCCATGATTGGGAGTACTAGATGGCACATCAGGTACACAGATTTCAGATTCACATCGGTCTGGGCGTCCCAAACTTCTTCGGAGAGCTCGGCCGGTCCTCCTGGCTCGGATTTGCCCACATTGTTGACCAGAACATCGATGCGGCCATGCTTGGCCATGCAAGCGTCCACGAATGCTTTGCAGGCTTCCCTCTTCGTCACATCCTAGCTGCTGTCAACGTGGAGAATTCGACATCCTGCAGGACTAGACGCACCGTCGACTGCGGCATCACATCCACCACGCTCTGGCCTGCTTTTCTCGACGGATGATTCTTGACTTCTGGCTCGTTCCGGATCAATTCGGCAGCTTTATTGGCCGCTTCCAGATTGATGTCGCAACCAAAGATGATGGCGCCCTGGCGTGCCATTGCTGTTGCCATTGCAGTGCCATTTCCATAGCCATCGCCGACAGCGCCAAGCCCTGTCAGGACGACGACTTTGTTCGAATAATCGAAAATGGGCATGGTAAAAAGGGCCTGTCCGAGAGAGCGTGTGTATAGCAACTTCAAATGTCATGCACTAATGCAATAATGTACAAGATACGTTGAAGCGCGACTGCACAGCGAAAGTAAGGTAGATTCGACGACGCGGGGGTCTCGGAACACGCTCTGGTCAAGGAAATCCGACATCGGCATTCGCTGTCAAAGCCTACTGTACCTATGGATTGGATACCACGAATCTTGACAGTCTAAGGTACTCTCACGATCAACGCGCACTGGTTCATTGATCATCACTTCATCTTCTTCATGGAACTACATTTGATACATAGACGATTGTCTCCAACATCATCCTCATCATCATCGTCGTCAACAACATCAACATCAACATCAACGTCAACACCAACATCCCCATCTCTCCCCCTTCGCCAAAACAACTCCTCATTATTTCCAAGGAAACGCACTCCCCCTCAACACCTTCCTCAACTGCATCTCACACCCCAATAACCCCTCCCTGACCTTCTTCGCTTTCAAAGGTCCCCATCTCGAAGTCGAAGTAGAAGTACAAGCAGAAATAGAAGCAGTCGACGACATCCTCAACCTCCCCCCGCCCTCTCCGTGCTCCGCGCCTCCCACCCTCTCCATCGCGGCCGGAAACAGCATGATGGGAATTTCCCCCTTCATCGGCGGCTGCTGTCGATGCCGATGCCGCGCCGTCAGAGGTCGAAGCGCTTCATCCCAAGTCCCCCGCGCGAGGTGGAAATCTTCCAGGTTCAAGTCTTGCAGTTTCCGCTTGTGGGACGAAAGGAAAGTGCGGATTTCCGCCGCCGTGGTGGTGACGTTTGAGACGCACAGGTTCTGGAGGCGAGGGAAGTGGAGGGGTGTTGGACCTTTCGGTGGCGGAGGGGGAGGAGGGTGATGGAGGTGGGCGGGATGCTCGCCGAACAGGAGAGGCTTCGCCTGCTGCTGCTGCTGCTGCTGCTGCTGCTGCTGCTGCTGCACTACGGAGGAGGAGGGGGGAGATGCCTTGACCGGAAAGGCACCTTTGCCGCCCAACCACCGGAAGTGCAAGGTATGCAGATTCGGCTGGAAATTACGCAGAAACGTCTGGAGGAGTTTGAAGTGATCCGGTTCGACGTCCGCGGCCGACGGTGGTGATGGGGCGAGGAGGGTATCGGCGTGGATCGTGAGCTTGCGGATGCGCGCCCAGCGACTTGCGGATCTCGGGGAGGCGCCAAAGCCCAGCATGGGGGAGAGATACAGGAGTCCGCCGGGATGGATGGGCGCGAGGGTGAGGGCTTCCAGCGCATTGAGGCTGTTCTTCTCAATGGCGATGCGGAGGGAGATGAGCGCGTAGTCGACCGTGCTGCGTCGGTATCTCTGCGCGGCCTGGTAGCCCGGACAGCTGATTGCGAGATGTTCCAGGTTGACAAAGGCCGAGAAGGCCCGGACGAAAGCAGGCACGTTCGTTGCGGCGTGGAAAATCGGCGGGTATTGCCTGGTGAGGATCTCCGTGGTCCCTAGATCGCCGTATTTCGGCCTCTTCAACGAGCTCGACTCGTGCATTGGAGGCGTATACGTAAAGCTCAGCTCCGCTCCCGTCTCCGGATCCACCAGCGGAGGGAGAAACGTCTCGCTTGTATGTGGAAACTCGAACCGCACCGTCTTGACGTAGAAACCCAAACGATCCAGCGCAGCGAGCCGAGAGGGCTTGGTGAAAGTATTCGTCTTGAAAGTAATCTTCAAATCGTTGAAGAGCGCCGGCGCAGCCCGCACGCTGAAGTCATGACAAGCAAGTCTCAGACTCGCGAGGTCATGCTTTGGAAGAAAAGAGAGAAACGTCTCTCGACATCGGTCTTCGAGCCAGAATTTGAGGAACGTGCTGCTGTCGCACAGGACAAAGCTACAGACGGATGCGTAGCTCTCGGATGCTGTTCGATTGTACCTGCGTCAGATATCTGGACAAGAATGAATGGGTGGGTGGGTGGGTATGCCAACGCGTACATCGCTCACTCGAGGTATCGATCTCTCCAAACAGAAGCCTGCTCCCTCCACTCCGTGAGGTACCAGCTGACGTGGCGGACGCGGCCGAAGAGACGGCCGACAAGGAAGCTGATGGCTTGCTAGCCAGGACATAAGGCGACGACCTGTCCTGCTTGCAATTCATGGTGAAGAGGAATTAGAATCATGAGGCGTTATCCAATGCCAACAATGAAGACGCGATGATGATCGCGATCGTGATGGTAGCAATGTAGAAGCATGTGAAAGTGGGAGAAAGTCGGGATAGGAGCACACATCGCGATTGCGGGATCCTTCTTTTACCATCTACCTGCCTCCATGAGAGGTTCTGGTCAAAGTGCTTCTGTCCTACAGTGTGAGCTGCATGAGCTGTGAGTCACTGTGGCCGATTTGCTGGCCGAGACTGAAGGAAAAGTAGCAGTGTTCTGCAGGACTAGGAGATGGTAAGAAAGAGGTTCACGACTACATCGCGAAAAGAGAACGTTATAGACGTGATGTTTGGTCGGCCGAGGGGAAGAGGTTGGGGCGGCGAGCTCCAGGCCTGCCGTTGTGCGTTTCGGAGCTGCAGGAGACGAATGGGAAAGCTCAGCTGCGTTGTGCCAGCGCTAAATCGCGGCATCTTATGCACGAGAGCTGCAGCTCTGCTGCGAGACGAAAGCCGTACCCAGTGAAGCGAGCTAGAAGCGCGTGTCGTGCTTCAAAAACGCGTTATTTTGGTCGTCATTGTTGTTTCTGGAAGGCTTTGTGGCGTTGATCAAGACGTGGTCGCGGCTGTGCTTGGCACAAGTCGCGTGCAACTTTGAACTGACTTCACTCCTTGCCAGCATTCGATGTCCCTGCGCGTCAGAGATCTAACCCAGCACGCGGTCCATCTCGTTCACTGTTCGACGCGATCCCGAGAATATAGCAAGCTATCGATTATGTTCGTATGTTGTGTTTTGACTCCTCGCAGAATCCACGAATCTTGACTCGCTGGAGCTCTCTGAAAGTCGGCACGCCTTAAGCAAGATGGTTTCAGTGCCTGAGGCATGCGTGTCGCAATAGCACAGATTCCTCATTTCGCTCAAGTGCTCAGGATGTCGTTGCTCAGGATGTCATTGCTCAGGATGTCATTGCTCAGGATGTCATTGCTCTGGTGCTCGGTAGCGTACTGGGTGTTGCGGACGACCACGGCACTGGTGGGATGACCCCAGTGATGCCGTGAGTTGGAGCAACGGTCCCCGAGGCCCGTGGCATTTATCTCGTGAGCTCGGTCTTGACACGGTCAAACAGGTACCAGATGACATCCGAGCAGGCCCCGTCCGCCCCAATTCCGGCGTGGCGTCAGCCTGAGATCTTGTGCTTGGGACGCCGAAACTGCCGAAGCCACGCGCAAGACCTTGACCGCGATGGGCCGCTGTTGAACATCAGCCCATGCAACAGTGTTATGTGCGCATTCAACTCACATTTTCGTTCTGCTGCACCACCTCAGCCACTTTGCTGAGTCTTTCGTGGTTTGTACAATCGACCGATCCGAATTTGACCACTCTATCACCAGCGCGCATGCCTGCTTGCTCTGCCGGGCTGCCCGGCACGACAGCATTGACCTTGGCGAAAGCAGGTTCCAGCACCGGAGCTGCTGGTCTGCTAGCAATTGTTTCGTTCATGGATGTCCTTGACATAGCTCCGTTTGTGGGAAGCCCCTCCTGTTTCCCCGTGGCAAACTGCTCATGAACAGCGTCCTCCAGCTTGCTCATCAGTGCCTTGTGGTCATTCTTCAGTCTTATGATCCGTGCTCTTGTCGTTCGTATCTGCGCTACATCGATATCGGCACGCGGGAAACCGTCGATGGTGGTAAGCGAAGTGTTCATGTTGACGCCATGCTACTCCCTGATCAGTATGCTGTTGTCCCACTGCCTCAATATACACACCGAATCTAGCACCGAGCTGAGCGCCGACAGCTCGGCCTCGAGATCGTCCTTTTGCGCGATGAGGTCCCGGAGCGACTGCTTGGGGCTTGTGCCATTTGCGGTGGGCTGCGAGGTTGGACCCGACGAGACCGTGGGTGCGTGGATATCGTCCATGATGCGAAGGCCCATCGGAGGATTGGACGACGGAGGAGGGAGCAAAGAAAGCGAGTGGAAGATGGAAGAAGAAAGTTGCACCAACAGAGTGAAGGCGACAAGCCCCACGCAGTCGCAGTGCCAAATGCGGGGCAGAGGTATAGTAGCAGGGAGGATTCGCAGGCTGCTCAGCTCGCAGGAGCGATTGTCCCCGTGACTGAGTGTGGTGCACTCACTGAAGCTTCGAGTGATGCCTGAGATTGTCGCGGAGAACAAGTCGAAGTGGTATATTCTCAAGAGATGAACGTTGTCGGGTGCTGAAGAGATGCGACCAATGATACGTCGACGGAGCGAGCTCCTTGTGCCGAAGGGCCGGCCCGTTCGGTACGCTCGGCAAGGATCGAGGGAGCAACCTAATAATGTGATGAGTGGAAGCATGAACGTTTCTTTCTCTTTCTCTTGACATACTCTTGGCGCCCGACATCTTCCTGGTTTGCAGCGGGAGTGCATGTCGGTCGCAAGGATTGCATCTCCAGACGCCTCTCAGACGGCATGCAATTCTAATGTCGCGTCGCCTGTTCGCTCTTCGATCACACTGACGTCGAGGCCGCTAATCCGGATGCATGTCATTGGAGCTTCATCCTCCCCCTGCACGATCTTCCGCTTTGTTTACTCGATTCTGACGCTGCTATGTCTCCACGCCGATGGGGGAACCCAGTGAAGCACAAAGAATTGCCCTCGCGTCGACGCCATCTGCCTCCGTTTTCGTTCGGGGTGCACTCGGCTCGCATCGTCGTCCGGCACGAGCGCCTCTTCATTGGCAGTGACAAGGACGAAACCATTGCTGGCCATTGCGCATCATCGCCACGCAGACAAACAGGTCTGGTGACGGTCGTTCTTTCCTGCTCCCCCGCGGACCGTCATCATACCTCATTCTGACGACCAGACTGTCAGACGGCGAGACGGTGAGTTGCAGCGCGCCTGAGATATATTACGCCTCTACCCAGGACTGTCCGCTTATTCCTCTGTTCCTCCAACTTTCCTCTTCATCTTCTTCCTGCCCAATCAGTCCCAATTGAGCCCTACAGCAGAGATGGCTTCACAACACATCTCGACTGGCCTCGAGAAGACTCAGCAGACTCTCGACGGCACAGTAGAAGGTGCCAAGGTGGCTGACCTGAAGAGAGAAACGAAAGACTACCATGACCCCAAGAACAGACTCACGACCGACTATGGCGTCAAGCAAAACACCACAGGTATGCATTCGCCAACCTATTCCTCCAACACAGTACGAGACTGACATCCGGCTAGACGATTGGCTCAAGGTTTCCACCGAAGACAAGACTGGCCCATCGCTCCTCGAGGACCATGCTGCGCGTGAAAAGATCAACCGATTCGACCACGAACGCATCCCCGAACGTGTTGTCCACGCACGAGGCTCAGCTGCCTTCGGTACCTTCAAACTGCACAAGAGCCTGGAGAAGTATACCAACGCTGGTGTTCTGACCGACACGTCCCGGACTACTCCAGTCTTCCTCCGCTTCTCCACCGTCATGGGAAGCCGTGGCTCTGCCGACACGGTACGTGATGTTCGCGGCTTCGCGATCAAGCACTACACTCCGGAAGGCAATTGGGACGTTGTTGGAAATAACATCCCGCCCTTCTTCATTCAAGATGCGATCAAGTTCCCAGATGTCATCCATTCTGGTAAGCCTGAACCGCATAACGAGGTCCCCCAGGCGCAGACCGCACACAACAACTGGTGGGACTTCCAGTTCATGCACACCGAAGCTACCCACATGTTCATGTGGACTATGAGTGATCGCTCCATCCCTCGGTCCTACCGAATGATGCAGGGGTTCGGTGTCAACACCTACACCCTTTTCAACGACAAGGGCGAGCGCTTCTTCGTCAAGTTCATCTGGACGCCCCATCTCGGTGTGCACAGTTTCGTGTGGGACGAGGCACTGAAGCTGGCTGGTCAGGATCCTGACTTCCATCGAAAGGACCTCTGGGAGGCCATCGAGAACAAGGCATACCCACGCTGGGACTTCGGTGTCCAAGTCATCCCGGAGAGCGACGAGCACAACTTCGAGTTCGACATTCTGGACGCCACAAAAGTGTGGCCGGAAGATTTAGTGCCAATCGAGTATGTCGGTACTTTGGAATTGAACCGCAACCCCGACGAGTTCTTCCCACAGACCGAGCAGGTCGCATTCTGCACTGGTCATGTTGTCCCTGGTATTGGCTTCTCGGACGACCCACTGCTCCAAGGCCGTAACTTCTCCTACCAGGACACTCAAATCTCTCGCCTCGGTGTCAATTTCCAAGAGCTGCCAATCAACCGCCCCGTCTGCCCGGTCATGAACAACAACAGGGATGGTGCCATGCGTCACACCATTACAAAGGGAACCGTCAACTATTGGCCGAACCGATTTGAGGCTACAAAACCAGCTGACAAGAGCGAGCATCCGTATTTGGACTACCCGGAGAAAGTGACGGGCATGAAGAAGAGGCTGAGATCTAAGAAATTCGCTGAACACTTCAACCAAGCTCAGCTTTTCTACAACTCGCTGTCTCAGGCCGAAAAGTCGCACGTCCAATCTGCTTTGGCATTCGAGCTTGACCACTGCGAGGACCCTGTGGTATACGAGCGCATGTGCCAGCGCCTTGCCGACATCGACCTCAGCCTGGCTCAGAACGTTGCCGAATTGGTTGGAGGAACGATTCCCCAAAAGGCCGGCCGCGCGAACCATGGCAAGAAGGCCCCGGGTCTGTCCCAGACTGAATACCCAGGCAAAACTCCAACTATTGAGACTCGCCGTATCGCCGTCATCATCGCCGACGGTTATGACGCCGCAGCGTACAACGGCATCGTGGCCGCCGCAAAGGCTTGTCAAGCGCTGCCATTCACCATCGCGCCGCGCAGAACCCCCATCTACGCCGCCGGCGAAAGCAAAGAGACCGGCGGGGGTGTCAAGCCAGATCACCACCTCGAGGGCATGCGAAGCACCATGTTCGATTCCGTCTTCGTCCCGGGAGGTGCCCAATCCATCGCCACTCTGAAGCAGAACGGTCGTGCTCTGCACTGGGTACGAGAGGCTTTCGCCCACCTCAAGGCCATCGGTGCCGTCGGCGAAGCCGTTGAACTCGTGCGCATGGCCTGTGAGCTCGAGGGTATGGAATTCTCGACCAGCGAGGCGGTCACGGACAGCTATGGTGTTGTGACCGCCAGCAAGGTGAAGCCGAACAGCTTCAAAGAGACGGTCAAGATGGCCAAGGGAGCGGTTGATTTCGTCGACGCCTACTTCTACGAGATCTCGCAGCACAAGAACTTTGAGCGCGAGTTGAAGGGATTCCCTACGATGGTAGCTTATTAGAGTTCTGCTGATTGCATAGATGGTCAATTCGAGTAATGAAAGATACCAATTTCAAGGTTGACATAACATCTCAGTGATCTTTGTTTGAATGTTCAGTCCTATTGAATGCATACGTGATGATGAAGTGAACGATACAGCATGGAAGTGCTTAGTGATGTTCCTGAAGTTTGGCCATTGCTTATGATGCCTTTGACAGACAGCTACCTTAGTAACAAACGACGAATGGACGACTAGACGGGAAGTCAAAATTCAAACGATTTGAGAACAATGCTGAAATACCTACTACAGAGCAAGACATCCCATCCCATCCCGTCCATCAGCAACACACAAAACACCATACATCGCTTCCCATGCCTTGCGCCGTTTCGTTTCTGGAAAATTCTTCCCGACGACGCTATCAGAGCACAAGAATCTCCTTCCACTCCCTCTCCTCCAAGAAGAATAGAGAGCCCTAAATAGGAAAGACCATATAAGTAAGCGTCCCCCCCCAAAGGGAAAATTATCATACAAAAACATCGATCGATCCCCCTGAGATAGATACATACATCATCATTCCTTCCTTCCAGCCTTTTCGCAAGCAAGCGAAATTCTCAATCAAGAGAAACCGGTGCCTGTCGTCTGACTCATGCTGCGAACTACACTCCATATCTATCTATGGAGCGATGGAATTGCTCAGAAATCTAGCTGTGGCAGTGGCGGAGGACTGGCTGTCGGAACGAGACTGCTTGGTGACGGGGTCGATGATGTTGTTGTTGTTGTTGTTGTTGTTGTTATCATTGCAAAGAGCGTCCGCAGCGGAGGGAGCCGGAGAGCTTGGAGGGGTTTCTTTTTCGAGCGGTTGTTGTTGTTGTTGTTGTTGTTGCTGGACCCAAGCGGCGGAGAGAGTGGGTGCTAGGTTCAAGAAGACGGAGTCGCGACGAGCGGAGGGTTGCTGTTGCGGAGGAGAAGACATGTTGGCTTAGCTTCGGATGATTTGTCCTGGCCTTGTCGGTTCCAGGAAAGGGAGGGGAGGTGTTATTGGTGATGTCTTGGCGGTTGTTGGCTACTTGTTTGCTGTTTTTTGGCAGGCCTGGGGCTTGGCGAGTCGGTATGTCTTGACCTCAGGCTTTGGACGTGGTAGCACTACTGAATGCAGGCAGGACAAGGCTGGCAGTGGAGGGAAGCTTGCCTTTGAATAGATGGCGGCGCTGCTGAGTGATATGTAGACCTCGAAGGACGAGCGGGTGCGGTCGTTCTTGACTGCTGGTCGTTTGATCGGTCACGTCAACGGCTGAAAGCTGGGGCACCTGCGCATAGTGATACGTGCATCGAAAGCGTGTAGCAGGGTCAGCAACAACCAGGCTGTTCGTACTTGTCGTCCTAGTGCTTGCTGGAATGCACACATTGGCCTATGAGATGTCCGTCGTTCGTCTGGGGTAGCTTTTGCAGGTGAAGAGTACTTCATCTCCGATGGACGGTCTGATCATGATGAATGAGGACGGGGAGGGACTACTCTGCTGACGACAAGAGTCGCCAGCAACAAGTACATACCGTTGCTCTCGTGGCCGCAGACATCTAGAAGATGATCGACGTGTCGCGTCGTCCCGGGGCGCGGCGGAACCAAGGTCAGGTCGCACACTAGCTAGCTGCAGATCGACGTCGGGGGGTCGATTTGCGACGAGATGTGAGAGCATCACACATCACATGCACATGGAGTAGTCGGCGTGGGCGGGGAAAGTCTTGCACGGCTCCCTCAGCACATCAGCTCCTCCAACCCTTCAAGCGAAGGAGGGCGTGTCGTGTCGTCGAGCAGCGCCATTCGTCACGGTTGTGCTTCTGGCGCTTGAGGCGGGCGACGATACATGTACTTACTACTACTGGCAATGCTGTGAGGGGAGCACGTCATGTGAAAGAACACTGCACTGCAATGCTGCTACATGTATTCATCAGGACGCGAGCCGCTTGTTCTACGCATGTGAGGAGCGTCTTTTGGACACGGCAATGATGATGAGGTGGTCGTCGCATTTGTGATGAGACGCGTCGCTCCCGACGGGTCACGGCAGGATGTTGACGGCGCAAAGCTACAGGAGGGTACCTCATTTAGCTTCGAGTACTCAATCGCAGCAGCGGCACACAGAAAGAGCAGGATGTGATGAAGTGGATGGATGCGAATCCCGCGGAAGCTCCGGGTGCGCGCTCCGAGGGCGTCGGGGTCGTGGGCCGTGGGTCGTGGGTCTGGGTATACTACAGCATACTACCGTATGAGAGCCGTTCGATTCAAGATTGTGTGCGGTGGTTCGCTGTTGTCGTGTGCTGCGATGCTGATGCTGATGAGCTTGCCTTGTACATGCACTTGTAGCGGTCTGGCTATCAGCCCTGCTGTGCATCATCGGCTATGCCGTGCAACATGTACAACCGAGCTGTCATAATGTCGAGTGCCGGGCCCGGACGCGCAAGGACGAGACGCGATATGTGGTGCGACGTCTCTCTGCGGCCTTTCGTTGTTGTTGCATCCATCCCTCAAGCCCCATCTGGGACCCGCAATCCATTGCGCCGTCTGCAAGGGCGGCTGCTGCTGCTGCCGGCGGCGTCGACTGTACGGTGAGTAGCCTGTGTGATGAGTGAGTGAGTGAGTGAGTGAGTGAGTAGGGGCAGTGGGTGAGGCAGCGGGACGGCTAGCAGCAGAGCGGTACAGCACTGCACAGGAGCATTCCTCCTCACTGCTCTTCACTACTGTCCGTCTATTGCGCCGAGGACTCGGCCGGCTCAGCCGGCTCCGTATCGGTGTTGGTGGTGCTGATACGACACTGAAACCAGTGAGGATGAGGATGAGGATGATGATGAGGATGATGATGATGATGATGATGGGGATAACGATGATGCGGACAACACAAGAATGGCACCAACACCAACACCGTCAATGCCCAGCCCACGCGCAGGACGGGGGACGCTGCTTGGCACGTCTCAGCCTGGAAGTTTGCGCCTCATCACCGCTGTGGCCACTAGCTTTTGTGCGAAGAAGAGTGAGTGAGTGGAAGGGCATGGCAGGCGGCGCTAGGGTACATGTACACTGTGGCAGACGATCATCATCATCATCATCATCATCATCATCCTCATCATCCTCATCATCATCATCATCATCATCATCATCAACATCCTTCCTTCCTTCCTTCATCACGTCGTCGAAACGAAACGAGCAGCGGCGCCGCGGACTCGTCGAGAGGGGGAACTCGGGAACCTTTTGGTCTTGTGCTCATCTCACGCTGTGCTGTGTGTGGCTGCACACTGCGCTGCGCTGCTGCTCTCACGCAACAAAACGCACCGCCCGGCTCCCACCAGGGTTGCCCTGCGCCTTTTTCCTGATGACTGGCATCTCTCTCCCGGCATTATTAGTTAGCTCCCTCATGATACGCAGCCAGCGTCGGGGAATGGCACCCGCGGCAGGCTCCGCTCACCCTCACTTTTCACACCCTTCACCCATCCTCTCATCGCGCCCAGCACCACAACTTACGACGTAGTCAGTCAGTCGTGCGCTGCGACCGTCCGCAGCGCAGCGCAGCGCACATGAGAACACCACAGACGGATGCCCGCCGTTACAGGCATGTCTCGCGTGGCATTTTGACACTCTGCTCCTTGCTTGCCCAGCATACCTCTCGACTCCGGCAAGCTGCCTGAGATGAAAGCATCCGTTGCCTTGAAAGCCTTGTCGTACAAATGCTCAGAGCCCGGAATTCGTTTGCGTCTCAGGCCGTACAAAGTATTATTACTCGTGCTCCAAGCACCTCTTCTCGCTCATTCACTCACCTCCCTCTGCTCCTCTGCTCTTGCCCCGTACATATAACACTGCTTGGCCGCGCCTGTCTCTCCCGTCTCTATACATCTCGCCTTCTGTTCCATCCTGCTAGACCTGACAGGCAACGGTATGTTTCTTTTCTCTCCACACCATGCTTGCTGGAGCCGTGGCTAACGCCCTTCACAGCGAATTCTCTCACCAACGGCCGCCACCATGTGTACCAAAGTCACCCACGAATATACCGCTTGCAAGCATACCGTTACAGAAACCGTCGCATGTGCGGTATCTCGCCGGACCACCTGCCACACCGTCAACCAGCGGAAGGTAGTGCATCACCAGAAATGCTACAAATGTGGTGGTGGATGAGGTGCTGGTATGATGACTGCCGGTCCTGCGTCCGTGAGAATCCGTCCCGCTGACCCACTCCCAGTACTGTTCACGAGCCTATGATTTAGCGTCGCCGCGAATGCATTGTTGATGTTTGGCAAAGGATATTGGAGGGCCGGGCGCAGAACTTGCTGCTGCAGCATGGGGCGCATGAGAGAAAGACGGGTGTTGCAGTCTCACGACTCTCAAAATTGGGCGGCATTTCATGTGATGGCAAATGTAATCCTGTATTCTATGGCCATGGGCAGAGGGCCCATGACGAGCCAGTAATCAGAAGAAGAAACGCCATTTGTCTCTTGTTTGGACCCGGCCCGTCCTCCCACCAGCGTCTCTCCAGCAGGTATCTCGGATCCAGCGGGACCGCTTCCACTTGTTTGTGCCGTTACACAGCCTGTTGAGCTGGAAGTACAAGACCGCGGGACACAGCACAGCACAGCACAGCACAGCACAGCACAGCACAGGACAGCACAGGACAGGCAGGTGTGGAAAGATGATAAATCGCACACGAGAGCTGCCGCATGCATTCCATGCACGATGCACATCACGATCCTAGGTGATTGCTGCTGCGGTCCCACCCAGAGAGGATCCGATCGGAGCAGGGTACTGACATGGCCGGAGACTCGAGGCTCGGGGCTGACGAATCGACGAGTCTCAGTCGCGGTCGGAGCGCATCATCATCAGAGCGAGGCTCATGAGGATGCTGTAACAAGTGGGACGCTGGGCCGGATGTCATGGCCGATGCCTAGATTGTGTGTTTCAGGCCGTTGTGGCCGCGTTTGAGATAAGAGTAGAGAGAAGGTACGTACTCAAGTACTGTAGCGAGAAGGAACCGAGATGGGGAAGCCCGAGATGCAGGACTCGGGCGGGACGGGAGTTTCGACTCTTGCTGATGTAAGCCGCGAATGCCAAGCATCGTCCGCGGACCTCATGTCTTGTCTTGTCTTGTCTCCAGAGCATAAACACATACCACAGCACCACTGCCCAGCTCGGTCACATGTCCATCGACATCAACTGGGAAACCCTCACCGGTGGCCCTGACGGTGCAGCTCTCGCTGAGACGATCAGAGGCTTCATTCATGATCGCTTCCAGGCCATCCCGCTCCCTAAGCTGATTCGCTCTGTCTCCGTGCACGGCTTTGAGTTTGGACAGATTCCGCCCGAGGTCGTGCTCAAGGACATTTGCGATCCTTTACCGGACTTTTACGAGAGCGACGAGGACGACTCGGTCGCTGGCAGGGCAGACGATAGCATTGCGGTCGCTGCGCATGGTGTACTCCCGGATCTCCGGCGGCCGGAGTCCACCAGACACACGAGAACCGCTGATGACTCCCACCGGCCGTCCGAACTGGATATCATGAATCGTAGCGGTGCGCCCTCACTAGGCCGAGGGACGACGCCAGGAGTATTGGGGACAACCTCGAATCTTGGGTACTTCCACATGCCACTCTCTGCGGGTCTCCCAGGTACGCAGACGCCTTTAGCTGCCATGGCGGGAGGGCATTACGTTGGAGGTGGCGCTTCAGCTCCACGTACTCAGCGTCGACATGCCGAGTCGTTCAGCTCTGCCTCGCCACCTTCCACGGCCACTCCTGCCAGCTCCCAAGACCATGCGTACTTTGAGCAAGCCACGAGCACTGCGCCTATGGACGATCTTGACCACCCAGCTTCGACAAAGCAAAATGAACAGCCCGACCGCAGTCCAGACGATTTGCAAGTCGTGTTTCATGTCACGTATGCGGGCGATATCAAATTGTCTCTTACCGCTGAAGTGTTTCTGGACTATCCGATGCCCAGCTTCGTGGGCATACCGCTCAAGCTGAAGATTACAGGTCTGACTTTCAATGGAGTTGGTATCCTGGCATACATCAGGAAACGTGCGCATCTCTGTTTCCTGAATCCAGAGGATGCAGAGGCTCTGGTTGGTGGGGAGGTGGTTCTTGACAATCGGGCCGATACAGCAAACTTCGACGAGCTTGCTGCACCTTCGCAGCGAGTTGGAGCGCTGCTAGAAGACATCAAGATTGAAAGCGAGATGGGAGAGACCGATAGCGGCAAGCAAGTCCTCAAGAACGTCGGCAAGATTGAGAAGTTCATACACGAACAGGTGCAGCGCATCTTCGAGGATGAATTTGTATATCCCAGCTTTTGGACTTTTCTGGTGTGAGCGTGGAGATTCACGGCACATTGTTCAATATGGCTTGCCTCGCGCCTGCCGTCAGATGGCTTGCAGCAAATGGCTAATTTCGGCTCGACCTGCGGCATTCGAACATGCAGCTACGCGAGAGCTTGGGCCTGGAGGCTGGGGTGCCTTGTAGCAACACATCATCCCGTTTCCGCGGAGACGGCCCGACGCAGTGCACCTCACACAGCATTGTCAACGGTACTACCTTGCTTCTTGCTGTGCCCGCGGTCAAGACAACAACGAATGTTACAGCGCACTCACCGACGCACGTCGCCGCTGTCAACGGCTGCGAGATTACCACTTGTAGTACGTGATGGCGTGAGAACAACCTTGCTGGAGCATATCTTTCCACCCCAAGCCTGCGAATAGCGATTGCAAGACGCGACGGCACGCCGAAATCACGAGATTTGCATTGCGATTGGCAAATTTTCAAAGACTGATGACGATTGAAGTCTCGTCTTATTCTATGCCTCAGAGAATCCACATTCTTCCATCAACCCCTCAGATGAAGTCGGAAGATGCTTCTCAGCAGCCACCTTCACTTTTGCTCGAGGCTTCGCTTCGCACAGCTCACAATCATCAGCCTGCCACGACATTCCAAAAAACAGTGCAGAAGACTGGATGGGTCTTAGCTAACCTGCCACACGATTCGTTCATACGTCCTCTCGGCGACGATATAGGCATCGCTATGGCTGAGAAGAGGTGCTGGAATCTCTACAGCTCTCCGTACCACCGGCCTCCCATGAATACGTAGGCTGTCTTGAATAAGCAACAGTCTAGGCCATTGAAATATAACTGAACAATGGCAAAAATTCCTTCTCGCCACGAAACGATAGGACCGACGGACTACGAAGACGCCAAGACGGATGTCCGCTATCCCGGCAGCATCAACCGCTGTATCACAATTGACATCTGCGACGCGAATTCTGATGCTTCTTGTCGTACCTACACTGCTACTCATCTGATAAACCCTACGTCGACATTCTGATTGCGCGGTCGGAGGAATCCATGTCGCAGTTGCTGGTCGTCATCCTGTCTTTGCGTTTGTGCTTCCGACGGTATGGAGACTTCCCTTCGTCACTGTCGGGCCGCGTAGAGGTCGTAGTCCCTCATCACGGAGCCGTTGGCATTTCTGCTCTTACATGCTTCAGAGTTCAGACCGTCGCCATCAATTGGTCAACCACTTTCCCAAAGCTTTCCCTTTCAAGACAGTGCCAAGTGTGAAGAGCTGCTCGGGCGATTTACCTTGTCCAGTTCTCTCTTTCCGCAGTCCGCTTGCTAAGGTAGCTAGCTAGCTCTATGCACCTGCGAGGTTCAACTCACCCTCACCCTCACACTCACTCCCTACGCCGGGCACCACCACACGCGAATGTAATGCAGCAAAGCTGATAATTTCACCCCTCCGCGCGAGTCACGCGAGTCTACCCCGTAGTGGTCGGTGGCAAGAATGGAAAAAAACATCTACGGTGAATAATAGGTTCCCGCGTGATGATGATGATGATTATAATAATAATACCTGCCAGATCGAGGCAATGCAGATGGGATGCTTGGCGCTATATGTACTGCTGTATCCGTGTCAGTCAGTGCCAAGTGCACCATCGAACAAAAGTATGGCTAGGGCTAGTAAGGCTCTCGGCTTCTTCACGCAAGCCTGCACCTTAAAACCCCCAAAAAAGCCGACGTTTCCCCCCGTGTCGTATGAAAAGAGATTATTCGTCTCTGCGACTCGATAGATTTTTGGAAACATGCAAGTCTGAAACTGTAATAATCTGCCGACGCAGGAGTTTTCGGAGCGTAGCTTTCGCCTATTTTGCTTCCCGAGACTAGGCTGAGTCGACGGGAAAGTTGGGAGCAGAGCACAGGTGGACGACGGAGGGTATTTCACAGACCGGTTGAAGCACTTGATGAGACAGGTATGTCGTGGGAGATTCGGAGACACCGGGAATCCGTGCAATGCCTACTCGAGGGCGCGGTGTGCCAAGCATCATGCGACACTACTTCCTACATTGTATTCCTACAATCTATTCCTCCTGCAACGATTGCAAGCTTGCAGCTGGCACTGTCGACACTCGAAAATGTATTCCCTGAGCACATGCCGACATTCCTCGCAGGTGTGACGGCCTCTGACGAAGCGCCATTTGTCGTGGGTGCAGTTGTGGGTTTCCCGCAGGTTCTCGATGGCTTCTGCTATGAGGTTGTGCCGTTCGTCCAAACCGGGCGAGGCAAGTACCGGTTTCCCACCAGAAGGTGCGATTACCGGATCGGTCTGCTCATCAGTTGCGGGCTCTACGAGGACGGTTGCATCGTCCTCATCTTCGGTGTTCCAGTCCTGTTGCCATTCGGAATGCTCTGAGAAGTCAGACTGCCAGGCCGAGGACGCGGTGCTTAATGCCCGTGGCCTGACTACCGATGACGACGACGGGCCATTGACAGTCGCCTCGTGAAAGCAGGAAGAAGTAGGACGCGTGGCAGGCTGAGTGTGAGCCACACGACGTGGTTGGAAGAGTCTTCTCTGAGGGTGCCGTTCCACAATCTGCGTCGCTCTTTCGACCAGACGCTGCTCGTCCCACTGTGGGCAAGCGCACGCGTGCCATCGCGCACCGCAAACATAGCAGAATTGAGCGCCACATGGACAACTGCATCATACTTATGTTAGACATGCCACAAAAGCCATGGATGGCAAGTTGATACGTACGTCATGTGATTACAGCCCGTGTTGAGCTCGACAAACCTCGCACATTGGTAGCATCGCTGCCATTGATGTGCATCGGCGGTCTCAACAAGCTGCTGGAGGGCCGCGTCTTGCGGACAATCTCCGCTGTGAGAGGGCGATTTGCACATGATGCAAGTTGTCTTGGTGCACCTTGGACAAGTCGCAATCTCTTCATTGAGGGCTGTCGAGATAAAAGTTTGACAGGTCCGATCATGACAGTATGTCCGGTTCTTGGTGCTCAATTCCTCATACTTGGCCTCAAACTCCTTGGCCACGCTTGAAGGCAGGAAAAACCTCACAAAATCGAGCGGAATTTCCTGGTTGTCACACCTGGGTGGAAAGAGAGACTCGTCCTTCATCGACAGCCGAAACAGCTCTTCCAGACACGGGCGGCAGTATTCATGATCGCATGGAACACGAGCTACTTCCTCAAATTCTTTCGCATCCCCACAAGCTATGCAATTGCGAGGGGCTGGCTTGCCCTTCTCCTCGCGCGAAGCAGCCCATGCAGAAGATTCAGCCTGGCCACTCTCCGCATCCGAACCGCCGGAACGAATAATAGGCACTTGCCACACCGTCGGATTCATGTAAATGGTAGCAACCTTCGCGAGCATCTCGGCATTTGTCCATGGATCCTCGAAAGCCTTCTCCTGCATCTTGCGGGAATACTGTGTCTCTTTGCCAGCGGCGGGAGCGTGTTCCGTCGCAATCCTCAATGCGAGCTCGCGATCTTTCTCCGCCTGTTGTTCCTGTCTATAGGCTTCGTAGATGAAATTGCCGTCCCGCTGGACCGCAATGGAGATGCTCTGCGCCAACTTGCGGTCTTTCAGGATAGCGTCGGCGCATCTGAGATCTTCCATGTAAATCTGTAGAGCCAGCTGAGCATCCGTCACTGTGCCCTCGCGCTGCTTGCCCCGCCCGTTGGAGACCATCCCTTCGCTCTCCTCAAGCTGCATCTCAACAATGACGCTCAGCGTGAGGGGGTCGATGTTGACGTCCAGAGAGGGAGTCTCAGAGACGACTGCCATGATTGCGATTTTCGTTTTGGGGTCGAATGCGTGGCTGATGGTGGACGAATTTGAACTCAGTGAGGCTTCTTGATGTTGTTTGAGGAGAGGTCAGCAGCGGAGCAGTACACTCAATCTTGCATGGCTGGACGATAGTAAGTTCGCCATGGCCGCCGCTACCGCTGTTCATTGGTCACGACTCCTCACGTGCGACTCCTCTGTTGAGCAGCCATCCATGCCTTACAAGAGTAAGCTGGAACCATCAACCAGCTTCTTGACAGCTGTGCAAGTCGCTGGAGAAGCGTTCTCTAATATGTTTCGTTGGCCTTTTGGAGGACACTGCAGTGTTGTGATAGCTCCACCTGGTGAGATAATCTTCACAACCAGGTATCTACGCAGAGACGCCACTTCCAATGCTTGTGGCGACAGTGACGATGACGGTATGTTTTTAAGATTGTGAGGCATTGCGCTTGACCAGACTTTCAGGAAGTGATAAATGGCCGTTTGCAATGTGGCACCAGCTGCGGCAGAATATTATGGGCGTCCGAGGCTGTTCGAAGTCCAGGCATGGCTTAAGTCTCGATACCAAGCAAAGCCCCTGTGTCGTTCTTCCTCGCGTTGAGGTGTCGCATAAAACAGCACGCATAAAACAGCACTTCATGGGATAGGTGCATGTTGTCGCAAAAGTGATTCGCGACCCGAATTGCATGCTCAAGTCCTCTGGTACATCCAAGCGGTAGACTCATCTTCCCACGGCAGTCGGCGCGGATACGTCTCCCATCCACTCATGCCTCCTTGCCACTCGAGAAGGCCCATGACCTCCGCTTCCAGTTTCCAGCCGAGAAAGACATGAGCCTTGTCGGTGTTCCAGTTTCTTGCAAGGCGTTTCTGGAGCAATGGCATTCTCACGCCATACGGGTCTTCAGCAAAGCAGCGATGAGCTCTCTCGAACTCGCCTCTCTGCGTGAAATTCAGCTCGTCTAGCATGAAAGGCGGATTGAGTCCTTGCACACGGATCCTGTGGCTAGGCCATTTGATTGCGGGTGCGTGTAGTTCCAGGAAGCGGCGTTCTTTGAACGCATGTGTCACCACGGTGATGTTACTGGGGTAGGCGCCTGTGAGTTGCCGGAAGCGGATGATGCTGAAGATCAGATTCTGATATGAGTCGGTGGCGTATGTCTCGAGCGCGTAACGAACGCCGGCGGGAAACAAGACAGCATTATTGTCGACGATGTGCTTCAGGATGATGGCGTAGCTCTCTGCTTCAGCGCGCGGAGCGTTGGTGGTCCTTCCTCCGGAGAAGATGAGGAGTGCGCGCGGGTCGTTGTGAGTAATGGTAGCGGCGGTGAGGATGTGCTGGATAAAGGTGTCATGCTCGCCGGGCTTGTTCAAGAGGGGGTCTGAGCGCTGGAAGGGCTGCAGGATCCACTGGTTCTCGTCCGCCATGCTGGTGCCATCATCTCCCATGTAGACGCCATGACAGCACACGACGACCAGCTCGGTGATCTTCTGAACGTCGGTGCTCTCGACGAAGCCGGTGACCTCGGTCATGATGTCAACGTCGATGTCGATGTCAATGTCAATGTCAATGTCGATGTCGATGATGATGTCGATGATGATGTCAATGTCGATGTCGATGTGGTCGGGATGAGTCGTCTGGCTGGCAGATCCGGAGTGAGTGAATCCATATGGCCAACTACTTGTGTGTGTGTGTGTGTAGGGTTGATTCTTGCTTTGGGGGCGAGCAAGCCTGGCAGAGGTGGCAGCTGCGGAGGGGTTACTGGCCGTCAGCCAGCCGGACGCAGGCAGTCGCGATCACAGGCCAGAAGGTGCAATCTGAGCGACAATATACAGATCAAGGAACGTTGTTGGCCGGAGTGGTCGAACGGGTGTTGAGCGAAGGTGCACAGTGGGACATTGGAGGCTCCCACGGATCAGCGAGCCGAGACGCAGCTCTGTCACGTGTCTGCGGTGCGGCGGATGCTTTGTTCTCGGCGGCACGGCAATGGGCAGGTGGTATTCAACGGTGGTATTCCGGTCGCTATTTCGATTCAGATGCGTTGCATGGCGTGGCGTGGCGTGGCTGTGTCGGAGAAAAACGAGAGTCTAAGGTACCTTACCTTATGCACAGTTCTGTGTAGTGTGTGGTGTGGCTCGCGATCTTGCCCAATAATCGTTGGCTCGGCGGCAATACGCGCTGCCAAAAATACCCCGGCTCGACTTGATACTGTACTGTACGCCTGCGCTGGCAGGGAGTAGAGAACAAAATCGGAATCGTCTCCTCTCGTCCTTCTTCCCTCATCATCCATACCCAAATCGACACCACAAGCGACCGCGGGAGGCAGACAGAATCGTCGGTGGACATTATCTTGAAACGCTGGCCGACCGCTTCAGGAGGCGGAATTGGAAGCAGCACAGCAACTCGTCGTCTTAGTGGCTGAGGCCGCATGCACACCAAGACGAGACCCTGATCCAGCAGCGCTCACCTCTCACCTCTCCCCTCCGTACGCTGAAGCTGAAGACGACATCTCGCTCAGCACTTCCTTTTCTTCACCACCCTTTGCCTTTGTCCGCCCGCCATCACCCTTCCGCCCCCTGCGTCCCGCTTTCTCCACCGCAGGACCGCTTCGATTTCATTCTCTGCGCAGCCGACGACGCGTCCGCCCACGGGACCACACCCCCTCGTTATAACCGCCTCGCACACTGAATCCACCGTCGTCGTGGCCTAGCGAAGAGCAAGCACATCCACACGACCATGGCCTATCAAGGAGGCGGAGGCTACGATGAGGGCCACATGCACGGCCTGCCGCAGGGCAACGTACGTACACTGGCGGATTTGGTATGAAACAAACATTTGGACCGGCCTGCTGACTAGCCTCCAGCAAACCTACCATCAACCACCAGCACATGACAGCGACGACGAGCAGGAGCGTTCACTGCTGCACAACCCACACGCCGGCCCCTTCCAAGGCCCATTTGACGAGCCCAACAGCCGCGCAGGCACTCCAGGCGGCCACGATCCGAAGGGATATACTCTGGAAGAATCCTATATGGGTGCAGGGGGCCCTCATGCCCCGCCCTACAATGGCTATCAAGAGTACAGCGGCGTGACACTCGAAGACCCGGGCTATGCGCCACCAGATCGCGTCGCGAGCCCATACTCCCACAGCGAGACCGGTAGCACCGAGGCATGGAGGCAGCGACAGCAGCCTGGTGGTGCAACTGGCGCCATGAAGCGCAGCGCGACCCGTAAAGTCAAGCTTGTCCAGGGTGCAGTCTTGAGCGCAGACTACCCCGTCCCATCAGCCATTCAGAATGCCGTTCAGGCCAAGTACAGAAACGACCTGGAGAGCGGCAGCGAGGAATTCACTCACTTGAGATATACAGCAGCCACCTGCGACCCGAACGACTTCACGCTGAAGAACGGATACAATCTCCGACCCGCCATGTACAACAGACACACTGAGCTCCTGATCGCCATTACCTACTACAACGAGGACAAGACTCTGACCGCTCGAACCCTGCACGGTGTCATGCAGAACATTCGCGAAATCGTGAATCTCAAGAAGTCGGAGTTCTGGAACAAGGGAGGTCCGGCGTGGCAGAAGATTGTGGTATGCATGGTCTTCGACGGTATTGACCCTTGCGACAAGGGTACGCTCGATGTGCTGGCCACCGTTGGCATCTACCAAGACGGTATCATGAAGAAGGACATTGACGGAAAAGAGACCGTCGCGCACATCTTCGAGTACACCACACAGCTGTCGGTCACCTCGAATCAGCAGCTGATCAGGCCGCTCGACGATGGCCCTTCGACTCTGCCACCAGTGCAAATGATGTTCTGCTTGAAGCAGAAGAACAGCAAGAAGATCAACTCTCACCGATGGCTGTTCACGGCGTTCGGTCGTATCCTGAACCCCGAAGTCTGCATTCTGCTGGATGCCGGTACCAAGCCTGGCCACAAGGCCCTGCTCGCGCTCTGGGAGGCCTTCTACAACGACAAGGATCTCGGAGGTGCTTGCGGTGAGATTCACGCGCTTCTCGGAAAGGGCTGGAAGAATCTGCTCAATCCGCTCGTGGCCATTCAGAACTTTGAGTACAAGATCTCCAACATTCTAGACAAACCCCTGGAATCAGCCTTTGGATACGTGTCGGTGCTTCCCGGTGCTTTCTCAGCCTACCGATTCCGAGCCATCATGGGCCGACCGCTCGAGCAATACTTCCATGGTGACCACACGCTTAGCAAGCAGCTTGGTCCGAAGGGTATTGAGGGCATGAACATCTTCAAAAAGAACATGTTCTTGGCCGAGGATCGTATTCTGTGTTTCGAACTGGTCGCAAAGGCTGGCAGCAAATGGCATCTGACCTACGTCAAATCGTCAAAGGGTGAAACCGATGTGCCTGAAGGTGCTGCCGAATTCATTGGACAGCGTCGACGATGGCTGAACGGATCTTTCGCCGCCACACTCTATTCTCTCATGCATTTCGGCCGCATGTACCGCTCTGGACACAATCTCATCCGCATGTTCTTCTTGCACATCCAGCTTATCTACAACATTGCCACTGTTACTCTCTCCTGGTTCTCTCTGGGTAAGCTTCACTCACCTCCTTTCTTAGCTTTGCTTTGCTGACCAATTCTAGCTTCCTACTATCTTACCACTGCCGTCATCATGGACCTGGTCGGCACACCCAGTAACAGCAACGGCAACAAGGGTTTCCCCTTCGGCAACACCGTCACACCAATCTTGAACACGGTCGTGAAATACGTCTACCTGGCCTTCCTCCTCCTGCAATTCATCCTGGCTCTTGGTAATCGTCCAAAGGGTAGCAGATGGTCGTACATTGTGTCATTCGCCGTGTATGCGCTCATCCAGTTCTACATCATCGTCGACTCCTTCTACCTGGTCGTTCACGCCTTCACGAGCGGTGCACCGATCCAAGTCGACAAGGGCGGAGATACGTTCCTCAAATCACTATTCAATCCTGGTGGAGCTGGTATTGTTCTCATCGCGCTCGCGGCAACATTCGGTCTCTACTTCGTGGCTTCCTTCCTCTACATGGATCCATGGCACATGTTCACATCGTTTTTCCAGTACCTGCTCATGATGACAAGCTACATCAACATCCTCATGGTCTACGCTTTCAGCAACTGGCACGATGTTTCCTGGGGAACCAAGGGTTCAGACAAGGCCGACGCTCTGCCTTCCGCGACTACGCAACCGGGCGCAGACGGAAAGGCCACGGTCATTGAGGAAGTCGATCTCCCGCAGGCAGACATCGACAGCCAGTTCGAGCAGACTGTCAAGCGTGCCCTTACGCCCTACGTCGCCCCTAAGGAGGAGACGAAGAAGTCGCTTGAGGACTCGTACAAGTCTTTCCGTACCCGACTGGTCACTTTCTGGATCTTCTCGAACGCCTTGCTTGCTGTTGCCATCACTTCTGACAACTTTGACAAATTCGGCTTCGCGACCGGCGCGACGACGAGAACGGCCAACTTCTTCCGAGCGTTGCTTTATGCCACGGCGGCGTTGTCGTTGTTCCGCTTCATAGGATGCATGTACTTCTTGATTAAGATCGGAGCGCTCGCATGCTGCAAGAGACGGTAGACGGCTGGAACCGATGCCTTGCTCGACGACGATGAAATACCCCCATACAAGTCCGAGAAAAAGTTGTTGCCGCGTTTCACGTTCTCCTTGGAAAGATCGACGATCCCTGCAATCTGATCGATGCATTGGATGGTCCTGGGCTTCTGGATGGGAGAAATCTTGAGGGCGTTCTGAGCGGAGTCGCTTTTTCCTCCTTATGATTGTACTAAAGCACCACCCATCCCTCAGCAAGGAGACTGCCGTAAAACTGTTGTATCCGGCAGTATCATTCACGCTTTTCTGTAGTAGTGTGCTAGAATATATCAGTCTGTTCTAAAGTCAAGTATGCCCTTCAGTACGTGTGACCGTTCTTAGTGTAGGATGATTGGCAGAGCTCTCTACACGGTGCTTGTTGGAGAAACCATATCGAAACTGCCGCCATCGAATGGGCCGCGACCCGCTCTCTATTGCATCTTGATCCTCGAGCGCTAATGAATGATTGCGTTCTTGCAGAGGCGTAGATTGGACCCTCACGTGCTCTCGTTCCCTGTTCGTTTCTCGGGCGGAAGTATTCCGCGCGTGCTCCAAACGTCACACCAAAACTTCGACTCGTCTTCACTTTCTCACTCCATACAACAACATCCACGTTGAACAAATCCACATTCTCGCGACAATGGCAATCACCATTCTCCCGCCGGCACTACCCGTGGAACCTAAGCGCCACGCCGACTCCAACAACCTCGAAACCGACACCTCCGACGAAGAACGAGAAGATGCCGATGAAATGGAAATCGACACCCTCCCCTCCACCCGCACAAATAACTCACAGATCATCACACCCGGCCAGACCATCACTTCCGATCCGCAATGGATGCGCGGCCACGGGACATTCACCTCCACTTCCGCTGGCACGACAGCAGACGCAACCGCGATCCGCTCCACCCTCGCCGGAACCCTCCAAAAGACGAACAAACTCCTGAGCGTCGTGCCCCTGCGAGCGCGCTACACGCCGGAGATCGGCGACCTGGTAGTCGGCAGAATAGTAGAAGTGCAGAGCAAGCGATGGAAAGTGGACGTCGCGGCGCCGCTGCTGGCGAACCTCTTGCTCAGCTCCATCAACCTGCCCGGCGGGATTCTGCGCAAGCGAACGAGCGTGGACGAGCTGAATATCCGATCCTTCTTCGCCGAAGGCGACCTGCTCGTCGCGGAAGTGCAGTCGCTCTTCCAGGACGGCAGCGCGAGTCTGCACACGCGCAGTCTGAAATACGGAAAGCTGCGGAATGGATGCTTCATGGCGGTGGCGGGCATGGGCGGCGGTGCGGGCGTGGTGCGCAGTAAGAGGCAGATTTTCACGCTGCAGACGCGGGAAGGCGGGGAGGTGGATTGCCTCTTGGGCGTGAATGGGTATATCTGGATTGAAAGGCATCGGGTGGAAGAGGAAGGGAGTGCGAAGGTGGGGCTTAACCGGTTGGAAGAGACGGTGAATTCGGCCATGTATTCGAGTCAGAATGATGAGATTTCCGCGGGGACGCGGAGGGAGATTGCGAGGGTTGCCGGGTGTGTGAGGGCGTTGGTGGAGGGGAGCGTGAAGGTGGAAGAGGACACGGTGAGGAGGGCGTATGAGGCTTATTTGGAGATGGCAGAGTTGGAAGGCGATGGGGACGTGGGGTACCTGGGTGGAGAGAAGGGGAGACAGATCGTTGAGTTTGTGATGGGGAGGGGAGGATGAGACTGTGCTGGAGAGGGGAGAATTTTCACTGCGAATGGCGCGGCATATGTCTCTGTTTGAGGCAGGCTGTCTTGCAGATGCGAACAACTTCACATCTCAGCAAATGAAGAGCAGTCGCTCCGGGCATGACATTCCCGAGATGAAAGTCCCGGCATTGTTACGATCAGATGAAGCTCGGCGGCTGAGAGGACTCTATCACGAGATGCAACATGCCAGCGAAGCCCTCCGCAAGAGTCCAATCCCGTTCAGGGACATTTTGAGGTCTCGAGGTCGGAAGCGAAAGCGGAAGCCCGAGATCTCGTCGTGATGGAAGGCATGAGAGCCTAGGAAGAGGATCGGTATGGCGGACAGAGGCAGCATCCATCTTGCCTCACGTTTGTGTACGTGGTGGATCTATCGAGATTCCCTAAATGTCCTCGAAGAAGGGTTTGGCTGGAGCGGCATCGAATCCGCTCTGAGAGGCTGCATGAACCCAAAGGTTTATACGTACGCATTTCTGCCCTTCTCCATCACGGCCATGCGCATACTGTCTTTCCCAGCCAGAATCTTCCTCTCCAAAGTCCTGGCTTGGCAGTCCACTCATGACGGAGAGGTAACTCTGACATGAAAATTATCATGACGGCTCCATATCAATGCCCCATGCATGGCAACCATTTCCCAACATCCTTCCCTCTCTCTCTCTCTCTCTCTCTCTCTCTCCGCATAATCCCATCCCAATTCCAATTCCCTTCAATCCCCCGTATCCAACTCCAAATCCAACTGCACGCCACTACTCACCCCATAATCCTCCAGCGTCAACTGCTCCTTGAACGGCCGCTCGCCCTGCCTCTTGATCAGAATCTCATGCGGTTGCCGTCCGATGTGCGCGGCCACCATGGCTTTGAACGCCTTAACGCTGTCGCTCGCCAGGCATGGGATCGCGGCTTTGGTGCCCAGACGGTCGTTGATGTGGACGATGATCATGGGTTCGGAGGAGGTGAGGGGTTTGGGGGGTTTGTCCTTTTTTGGCTTCTTGTCCTTCTTCTTGGCCTTCGTCTTGTTTTCTTCTTTTCCGGTCGTGGTGGTGGTGGTGGAGGATTCGGGCTTGTCTCCTCCTTCTTCTTCTTCTTCTTCTTCTTCTTCTTTCTTTGCGGCTGGTCGATAGCTATCCCCCCCTCCTCCTCCTCCTCCTCCTCCTGCTCCTCCGTCGTTCCCACGTCGCGGAGACCCATCTCTTCTTCTTCTATCCTCATCCCGTCCCCGCTCCCGCTCCCGATAACTATCCCTCTCCCTCTCCCTCTCCCTCTCCCTCTCCCTCCTCGGTGAACGATCCCGATATCCCCGCTCCAACCTGCCCCCGCCGCCGCTGCTGCGCTCTTCATCCGCAGAGCGAGCTTTCTTCGTGTCTTTCCATTTGAAGCCGCCGCCTGTTTTCGCCTTCTTCGGGTGAGGTTCGCGCGAGGGAGAAGCGGAACGGTCTCGGACTTCTTCGTCGTCGGAAGCCATTTTCGAGACCCGCCCGGTATTGGTGGTGGTGGTGGTGGTGGTAGTGTTGTCCGCGCGGGGGGATGAGTGGGCTCGTGAGGGTGTGAGGGTGTGAGGTTGGAAGTGGGCAGGTAGGAGGTGATTGGCTGAGATGGAGGAGGCGCTAAGAGATGATCGTCGTCCCTTCCTTTCGACAGCGATGCACGGGCGAAGATGGCTCCGTTAATACCTCAGGCACCCAGTTTAGATAATAGTTGTCTCCATTCGCTTTGCCAGCTGAGGAGAGACGTGGGAAGCGCTCGGTTGTTTGTGAGTTGAGAACTATCGCATCTGAGTCCCTCTGATTTACGTCGGTTGTTGTAGAATCAGCTTGCAAGCACGAATGAACGAAACTGAGCCTTGCGATACTCGTAACTTGTCACGAGCAGCTACTTTACAAGACCCATACCATTCGAAGGAGAAGAGTGAGAATGCGGAGAAGTATTGCCAATGAGTAGCTATACTCTGGCTGGTTACGTTCTCTGGATGGTCACCCAAATTGACACCCATCACAATCCCATCCACCGCAGCCTTCCCACCATGCTTCATCCACGCTGCATGTCTCAGTGACTCTCTCCGCATCTCATCGCCATGGATGTGAGTCTGATGCATTCAAAAAGCCATCCGTCGGCGCGTAGACTTCAGCTGACCGGGTCCACGTCCAGGCTTCTGCAGCTTTCCAAATCCCTGGTGAGTCTAGATCCATCCCACCATGTTGCACCACGTCGCGGAGTAAAATCCGGTGCGGGATGCCGTATTGAGGCTGTCTCGACTTGATGAATCATTGACAACATCCCGGCGTGTATTCCTGCAACAGAGCCGTTCCGTATGGATGTGTCACAGGGTACGTTGTTGACGTTGAGTCGTCAGGGTCGTAAATTCGTATGGGTCGATTCTGTGGTCACTTCACTCCGGAGCAATCTCGCTCACGGAAATCGCAGGTACGTTCCCGCTGAGCACCGCATCCAGGCTTTGCGGAGAAAGTGCGACCAGATTCGGCTCGATGGTGAGTTGGTCAATGGCCGTCCTCAGCATGTCTTCCATCCACTGCTCCTCTTCCTTCTTCAGCTTCATCTGGCGCTTGGCCATCTTACTCCGCTTGATCCTCATGCCGGGCGTACCTCCCAGGGGCCCGACAACAGGACTGGCGTCAAGAGATGATTCCGGACTTGATGGATGCGGTGACGATGGCTGCGAAAGCAGAGTATCGAGTTCGAGGCATTGGTGGATCAGCTCCTCAACGCCATCTCTCGTGGCAATGGCCTTGGGCTGCATCATCTCAAAGAAGCCGTGGCCATACAGATCATCATCCTCGATTGCTCGCTCCAGAGAGTCGAGGAAGAATGCGAAGCTCGGTAAGGTTGGCCCCTCGATGGTAAAAGGATAATGGCAGTCGCTCAGCAAGCACGCTGCGTACAGTAATCTGATGGAGAATTCCGAGTTGAGGGAATGGTCAACCACGCAGGCAGGGCAGCCTCGTGTGTAGCACCAGTCTCTCTCCTTCTCTGAGGAGAGGAAGCATTGAATCCAGACAAACGCGCTCCGTGCTTGGCCAGTGAAGGCGTACTCGAGATCCTCCAGCCGGGTCGCATGGGTGGCAGCAGCAGCCACGCCGCAAGCCTTGTCGAAGAGCTCTACGATGGGCACCAGAAGAGCGTGCAGGACATCGCGGACGATCAGCCATCGATCGCCGTCCTCGAGGTGAGCGGGCGTGTGAAGGTCGCAAAGCCTGGCTGGTCAGCAGTGGTCATGTCAGTAGGGCTGACATGTGACTCACTCATAGTTGTAGTGCTGTGCGAGATGACGGCGCAGAATGGTGAAGCCGTCGGAGTGCGTGAGTAGGGCGACATGGTCGACCTCCAGCAGGAATGGTGAGGCGTCTGGCACAGTGCTGGATAATGTGGCGGTGGGCATGTTGTCCGAGATGCGGTCTTGGGTGAGTTCTGTGGGAGGGGCGACAGTCATGTCCCGCGCTCGAGGGGACATGGCAGGTGTTTGTCGTCTCTACTACGGATGCGCGTGGTGATTACCTCATGGTATCGGGCCTATGAAAATGAAGCGAGGATTGCAGACGGTCGCAGTGTAGGAGGATATCCACTTGCCGGCGCTCCGCTAGAAGAAGCGCGGGTTGGTGATGGATCTGTCAGTGAAGGATGCAGGAACGGCGAACAGCGACAGCGAAGGTGGACGTGGACGTGGGCGTGGGCGTGCTGGGGGGCAGCGTGGCTTGCGGGAGCCCCGGGAGCTGGCATGTGAAGACGGCACGGCATGTGAAGGAAGAGTGGACGAGACGACTTGTATTGCTGCACCCTCTGCAGGAGCATGTTCGGCGCTCCGCAGCGAGCGAATGGGAAAATCCCACCCACCACGAGAGAAGGTGCTGTGTGCGTGCAGCGTGGGCGCGGGCTGCACCTGCCCACGGTGGGATGGACCAAGTGTCGCTCCTTCTTCGGTGCTGTCTAGTCCCCTCCACAGTCTGCGTTCTGGAAGCTGCCGGTCTGCTCAGCAACAGAAGTCACGACTCCACTTTTCCAAGTTCTGTCTTGGATCATGGGCACGAGCCGGATGGACGGGCCGCGACGACAAATACCAACCTCACGCCCCTCATCACGTGCGCGTCACATGCACCTCTTCCTCTTTCCCCGCGACAACAACGCGTCTTCTCGGAGGTGCTCCCGAGACACCTCCCCCGTATGCCTCATCCTTCCTTCACGCGTGGGATGTACATCAAACATCCCCATATGATTCCCTGTACGACTCGGGCAAGGGAACGTACCACACACCACTTCCACATGATGATGATGATGATGATGATGATGATGATGATGATGATGATGATGATGACCCCTCGGCCTCATCTCCGAAAACTCTCCTACCCCAAAGTACTGTCAGCACCAGATCGACCTGACACATCAACTAACTAGTCATCACGTCGCGTGAAGCCTCCATCGCATCCAGACGTGTTCTACTTCTCCAGCTTTTCACTCCAGATATGACATGCAAGCCATGCGCCGCTAGAAAAGCACCGCCAATCCCTCCGGCCCTCCCACAGCCCCAAGATGGAGAGAGACGGGGAAATCTCCCACCTCACCTGACCAGATGACGGATGCGCTGGCCGCCCTTGGTGCGGTTCCGCAGACAGCTGAATGGACTTTCGTTCGAACAAACCCGATGGCTGATGACCGGACGAACCAGTTCCTCGGGTATGTATGATAGAGCAAACGGAAAACGGAATGTGGACATCCCATCCCATCATCAACCGTCAGCTGTAACAATAAAGATCATATAAAAATGCATACATGCATAATCACGAAAAAGTAGTACCAGACTTCCTTCCATTCTCGCTGCTGAAGTGAGTGATTGATCATCGCATCCACCTCAGGTATGCTTGCTCTAATGAACCTACATCGCAATCGCATCGCATCGCCTCTCTATCCCATCTCTAGACGCCTGCCTGCCTGCCTCTTCCTGCTCCCCCAAAGACATAAGAAGGGACGGTCCGATGGGACCTGAACCTCGACCAGGCGCCCAAAAAAAAAAACAGAGGAGTTCTGGGTATCGTGTGTGTGTCGCACGCAGCAACAGCAATCGAAAAGAAAAAAAAAAGAGATCAAAAAAGCATCACGATGCCCTTTCCTCCATTATCCCTGCCCTGCCCTGTCTTCGACATTAAGCAATCGCATCTATCGTGTGACTTCGCGCGCGCGCCGCTTCGGATAATTTCTACCTATAGACAAGATCTTTTCATGCTCGGTCCCCTTTTGCTTCCCTAAGTGCGTTGGTTGAAGAACCAGCTGCTGCGCTTGTTGCCGCTTTCCTGTTGCTGGAGACCGGCGAATGTAGGCACGGCTGGGTTGCCGTCCCCACCTCCGCCACCGCCGCCTCCTCCGCGCAGTGGCTTGGCTATCCGACCGAACTGAGATTGGGCGAAGTTGGCTGGGGCGGGCGAGTTGGGGAGACCGCGAGTCGAACCCGTCTTGGCGGCTTCCAGACGCTCCTTGACGGCCATGAGTTGGCTCTCGAATCTGGCGCAAGTCAGTCAATTTGTGCCCTCTCCTCCACAGCGATGACATGAAAACGTACTTGTGGTTTGCGAGCATCAGCTTCTCCTGGCTCTCCTGAACCAGACCTTCCAACCCGCGGATCCGCTCGCCACGAGCCACCAACTTGCGCTCCGCGATCGCCACTTCCTTCTTGAGCTGCGCATTCTGCTCGACCAGTTGACGCTGAACCATTGTTAGCTGCTCCAGATTGCGCTCCAGAAAGGCAAGCTTCTTCTGTTGCTGCTTCGAGTTGCTGCTGCGCAGAATCGAATTGTACTGCTCCCGTGTGCTATCAAGGCTGATCTCCAGCTCCACCACACGCTCGCATCGATTCTGCAGGTCACGCATGAGCGACTTCTTGACCGCATCAAAGTCTGCCAGCTGCTTGCTGCCGTTCGTGCCGTTACTCCCGTTGATGCTCTGCTTCCTCAGAGCGTCGACCTCGCTACGTAGCCGGGCATTCTCCTCCTGCTGTCGGTTCAGACTATCTTGTACTTCAGGCGAATGACCGGCGCCATTCTGCTGTGCGGCCAGAGACTCATACAGATCGCGCTTCACCTCCTCCACGTCTGCCTCGGAGAGATTCTTGGTAAGGAGCTCCTGGTATTCGCGTTGGGATTGGGCAAGCTTCTGCTCCAGAATGGCCGACTGTGCGCCATCAATGATGCCGCTCGAGCTGGCATCTTGCTGTCGGACAAAGCCCTGGATTTCGAGCAGCTTCTCTTTAAGCGAGCTGAGCTCGTCCGCCGAGACATTCTCGCCATGATCGGCAATATCAAGCAAGCTCTGCACTTGCTCGACCATCTCCCGAACTTGCATCTCGCCTTGCGACATCATGCCCTCGCCCAGATCGAAGCTGGCCATCATCTTCGCCATACGCTCCTTCTTCATCCTCTCCTTTTCGTCTAGCAATGCGGACGACTCCTTGGCAACCATCTTGGCATCCAAAAGTTGATGCTTCACGTCATCCAATTCAGTCGTGAGCTCGGCGTTGGCCTCCTTCAGCGAGTCCATCGTGATCGCAGCCTCCTTCGTCTCAAACTGTATCTTCTCGATATCCATCCGCAAGGTTTCAGTCTCACTCGTAAGTTTCTCATTAGCCCGTGTCGTCGTGGAATGCGCCTCCCGCATCTCGCGCAATTCGCTTCTTGCAGCCTGCAGCGCCTGCTCGGCGGCTTCCAGGCTCCTCTCCCTCTCCGCAAGCTGATCCTGCAGCTCGTTCTCCCGCTTCAGAAACTCCTCTTTCTCGTCCTTCTCCAACACTATGCTCGGAGTTGACGCTCTCTCCAGCTCTGCCCTGCTCTCTGGTCGCGGCGTGCCCAATGCTTCCGACTTGAGTCTGCTTGTAGGTGTACTAGACCTAGGTGGCGGCTGAGCAGGTGCTGCAGAAATCTCCTTCAACGCGGGCGTCCATCTGTCCTTTGGAACAGTCTCGCCTTTACGCCAGTTCGACACCTCGCCCTCAAGCGACTGAATATATGATTCGAATGTGGTGACCTGTGACTGCGCCTTCTTGAGCAGCGCTTTGAGCTGAGCAGGCGATAGCTCCTCGTTGACCTTGGCTTTCTGTTTGATGGTCTTCGCACGCTCACCGAATCGCAGCGTCGACACTGTCTCAGCATCGTTGTACGAGGAAGGCGAGCAGTTGATAATGAGCGTTGTCCTCGAGTTACCGCCCAGAGATTCTTGCAAGATACGCGTGAGCTTACTGTCTCGGTAGGGAACGTGAGTGCTCTTTCCATCAGACAATGCGTTGATGACCATGCCAAGAGCTGACAGAGACTTGTTGATCTTCTTCGCCTCTTCGAGGGTCTGACCGCTCGCACCCGTCTTGCCAACCTTCTCCGAACCAGCAAGATCGACAAGGTATAAGCGTCCAGCACGAGCAGATCCCGTCTCAATGTTCTTCTGTGTAACTTCAATCACAAAGATAGAGTGCGATCGGGAGGATTCTTGGTTCATGTTTGTCGCGGCCACCATTCTCTCCTGCCCACCTCGTTCGAGTACCTGATAGACCTCCCCAACCGAACCAACGTAAAACTCTCCCAGTCCCTTCACGTATACGCCGCGCTGCTTGTCCTCGTGCACCGCCAGGTTGTCGTTGTTCGGCACGAGCAAATCCCTGATCTTCTCCATGTAGATTTCCATGTAGCTGACCTTGACCGTGAACTCGATGCTGCCGTCGCTGTTTATGATGCTCGAGAAGATCTGCTCGACGATACGAGGAATGATACCCTTGAGGGAGTCATTCGCAATGTCGGCACCCATCATGGTGAATGTCTTTCCAGAACCAGTCTGTCCGTAGGCGAAGACGGTTCCATTGTATCCGGCCAAGACATCGTCAACGGTGCTCCGGATGGAGTAGTCGAACACATCTTGCTGAGGGGTATTCGTAGGGAAGACTCGGTCGAAGGTGAAGGCGCCGGCCGCTTCTTTCGAATTGATGGTGCATGACTCGGGGCTGTTGAATTCGACGATCTGCTCGCTGCCGACGGACTGTTCGACTTTGTTCTGCGGCCTGAATCGAGCGACCACCTTGATCGTGTTGGCTGTCGACATTTTGTCGCGTCGCACTTTGCGCTGAAGGCGCGTCTCACACTTCCAGCAGCTTCTTCTTGCAGCAATATGTCGTGCTCTTTCGACGCGGCGGTCGCGTTGTTGCGGGGTATGTTATCGCCAGGTCCTCGATGTGTAACGTTGACTGCCCGGTTCCTCGTCGTCAGTCCCTCGGCGAAGACGCGCGGTAGTGATAGTGCGGACCGGCAGGTGGTGCGAGCCCTGCTCGAGCGAACGCGATGAAAGGAACGCCAGACGTGCGCGATGTGTTGGCGACTGTAGAATGTCTTGGCTGCTGGTGAGATCAGGTCGTCGGCACAGGAGAGAGGTCCAACCACACAACTGTTGACAAACAGGACAAAGTTCACGTCTGCAGATTCCCTACTGTACGTTTCCCGCTAGCGCCCCTCGATGATAGCCTCAGGCATCAACGGCATGAACGATACCATCACTTGTTGGTCAAGAATGGGACAACTTTCACACCTGGACCGCGCTGTCATTACACGGTCAAATCTATTTTTACACACTCATAGTTCATCAGCATCTACGAGCTGCACGACCATGCCGCTCGCGGCTCCACCTCCATTGCAGATCGCCGCGCAGCCATATTCGCCCTTCTTGAGCTGGTGGAGCAGCGTCACAAGAATTCTTGATCCTGAACTACCAAGAGCGTGTCCTAAAGAGATGGCACCTCCGCGAGGGTTGACATTGTCGGTTCCCAGGCCCAGAATCTAGTTCTCTGTTAGCGCCATCATTCCAGAACGGGGTTGGGAAAACTTACCTTCGCATTCGCCTTGATGACAGCTGCGAACGCCTCGTTGAATTCCCATATCTTCACCTGGTCGGCGGTGATACCTGCCCTCTCCAACGCGATCGGGACGACCTTCGCCGGGGCAATAGGGAAGTCGATCGGGTCCACAGCAGCATCTGCGTACGAGCAGATCCTCGCGAGGATTCTCTTACCACCACCGTATTTCTTCGCTAGCTCCTTGTTCGTCACGACCAAGGCACTGGCACCATCGTTCATACTCGAGCTGTTGGCGGCCGTCACCGTTCCATTGCCGCTTCTATCGAAAGCAGGCTTCAACGTGGGCACTTTCTCCAACTTGAGACGCCCGTAGCCTTCATCCTCGGCGACGACGGTCTCGCCCTTCTTGCCCTTGATGGTCACTGGCACAATCTCCTCGTCAAAGAGCTTGTTCTTCCAGGCTTCTTGTGCCCTCTTGAATGACAGGATCGCATACTCATCCTGCTCTTCTCGACTGATATTATACTTCTTTGCCGTGCTCTCGGCGCAGTTGCCCATATGTATTTGATTGTACACGTCCCACAGTCCGTCCTTGATCAAGCCATCTTCCATCTGCAAGTTCCCAAAGGCAGGCAGTTGCGGTCCTCGAGGTGTATAGTACGGGACTCTGCTCATGTTTTCCATTCCACCCGCTACTAATGCCTCCTCCTGTCCCAACTCGATTTGCTGGGCAGCGATTGCTACAGCTTTCATCCCCGATGCGCACACTTTGTTTATTGTCGTCGCCTCCACACTGGGAGACAGTCCAGCGAATATGGAAGCTTGTCTTGCGGGTGCTTGGCCTACGGATGCTTGCATCACGTTGCCCATATACACAGATGTGATCTTCTCTTGCGGTAGGGAGGACCTCTTGATGGCTTCCTTGATGGCAGTGGCACCAAGCTCAGGCGCCGATACACTACTGAAGGATCCATTGAAGATCGCACAGGGTGTTCGCACAGCTGAGAGGATGTATGCATCTTGAATCTCTTGTGGTCGTTTCGTCGAGACGGAGAGGTGTCGTTGTAGCGAGTGGAGGCGCTGCTGTGGTGAGGAAGACATGGTCGCTGTTGGCCTTGAGAGAAGCTTATGGCGAAGGGCGGAAGAGGCCATTGTGAAGAAGTGAAGGAATGGAACGGCACCTACGAGAATGGAAATACTGTACCTAGGCAATCGGAGGAGACGTTTAGAGCTTCGAGCTCACCTAGCAGACGGGTGGCAGCGGCTTTTACACGCACCTGCCGAGGTTGTCGGCCGGCGACGGATTTAGTACTAACTAGTTCACTAAGCGTACGGCAGAGTAATCACGAAGTGACGCTGTAATACAAGGATCAATCTGGATGATGACCTGCTCGAGGAAAGATGCAGTCCTCAGCTATCATCTCGGCCAAAGAAAGCATGTCGACAGTAGAAAAAAAGTACAAGGGTAAGTCATTCCGTTAAGCATAGCTAAGTAGCAGGGGTATCTTTACTATCATCGTCCAAACATGTGACGGTGCATTTCATTTCTCAATCTTGTCGTCCTTCATTCTGCCGACATGTACTGTTCATGTGACCCATCGCTGCAAAGTCTTGTCGTAGCCGATCACAGCAAGATCGATATTCATTGACCGCAGCATCATATCCATTGTGAAAGTCTGCGAGCGTGTTAGTATCACCGTAGCAGCGGAAACACTTATTGTGGACTCACGTCGTCCTCTTTGCCTTCTTCCTGCCAGACTTTGTTCTTCTCGGCATTGGCATCTTGCTGCGGCTCATCGGGCTGCTCCGCTGCATCCATCATTTCTTGTCTTGCTTGGTGTTTCATCTTCTTGCGGTATAGTTGTTCCTCCTCCGGCAGCTCTTCTCCCTCGGAGTCAAACTCGCAATCCGCATCGTCATCCACCGGGTCTTCTTCTCGAGCGAATTCTCCCAGTCCATTGGCTCGATCGTACTTTCGCTTCTCCATCTCGCGCCAGGCAGCCACACCTCCCATGCGACATACTCGCTCCTTGACCGAACCGAAAAGCTCCTCAGCAACAGCTTGCGACGCAAGACGCCATTTGTCAGTCAATGCTTCGAGGTCTGCATCTGTGGAGGAATTCGAGATGTGTTGGGCTTGCTTCAGAGTATCGAGATCATTCTGGACTTTGCGGATCTGAAGCTCAAGCGAGGTAATGGCCTTCTGCGCAGCTATCTCTTCGGGATCTGTTCTCTTCTTGGAAGACCAAGGGATTGGCTGCTTTCTCAGAGGAGTGGCTTTGATACGACTGACATTCGGCGCTACGGTGCCGGAAGATTGCCCCGCTGTTTCAGAAGCTAGACTTGCTTGCTTGATGGTATGCGCGAGCGTACTTGGTGTATATGGTCGAGGTCGGACATGGATGTTGCTGGTCTGCTCTTTCAGCGGAGTGCGATCCGTCTTGCTCGTACGGAGAGGAGACACGAAAGGCCTCTCGAGGGTCGCGGGGCCATCGTTGAGCTTGCGGCGCTTTACGGAGAGCGGCGAGGCCATGTCGACGGGCGTGGGAGGTGTCAAAAGGGTATTCTGATGGACCAGGCCGTGACGCTTCGTCCGAGAGCGAGATGTCACGCGTTTGGAGGGACGCGCCTTCCCTTCCAAGTCCCTTCCAGGGGAGGGGCATTGGTCTTAACCTTAAAATGAACATCATCGCTCTTTTGCACCTGATAAGCAACTTCCATCATCCACGCTACCCAACCTCAAACGCACCAAGGAAAACGATTTCCCGAGACGGCGGGCTCAACTGTGATATCCCGCCCTTTTAGCTCCACCTCCCGCGTCCGCCACGCTACAAACTTGATTGCCCCGTGAGGTGCGCCCCCCTATGCATCCTCTCACACTCTGATGCATCCTCCAGTCCATCTTCCAATCCATCGGTCGGCGCTTCAGCTCGTCATGGAGATCGAGAGTCGGTAGCATTATGATCTATGATCAGGAGGAAGAGGGCGAAAGGGCACAGGGGTTTCACAAGGCGAGTTGTTCGGATCTTCCTCTTGGCGGCGAAGGCTGGAATTGTGCCGAGGCGTGAATGTACGAGGTGGGATCGGATGCGGATCCACTTCGTGTAAATCCTGCGCCTGGCTCCACTCCTCTCCAACCTCCGCCCTCCGCGCCGCAGGTACCACAAGACTGGATTGTCACCCTGGTCTTCTTCCTTCCCACGACATGCCCCAGACCGCCCCAGAGTGCATCGCGGAACGCTGCATTATTGCGTGGAACCAGAGCGCAGCATGCCTCGTATACACAGAAATGTCTACTTCGCACTCGGCGCTATCGTGATACTCGTCATCCTGTACTCAGGTCCCTCATCCTTACCGAGTACATCGAGCTTCAACAGCGACGTACCGGCTTTCTGGAGGGGCACAGAGAAATCCGACAAGCAGCAACCTCCACCACTACCACCCTCACCTCCGGCGCCTGTCGCAGACCCTCCTGCTGCCATTCCCGATCCAGACCCACTAACAGACGCCGGAGCACTGAAAGATGCAGAGCCCGCGAAACCTGTCGATAGCGCGCCAGCACCCACCGAGACGGCAAAGGACGAAGATGACCATCTGAGGGAATGGTTCTTCCAGATCGACCTCAAATTTGCGAACCCTGCTTTCGATACTTCTAAGCTCAAACACTACCCCCCGCACAACTACAAAGGTCCCGGCCAAGATGTCTTTGCGACCTATTTATCAACACGCAATTGCACGCTACATGACCCCTACTTTCAGGCTGCACAACAGCTGGCCTACCGAGTTCTGTGGGACCCGAGGTCGAAATCCACCAAACATCCTCTGGTGGTTTTCGTAGCACCCTTCATACCGGATGAGAACCGCCAACTCCTCACTGCTGCAGGTGCGCTCGTGCGAGAGCTGGATCTGGTGGAGGGTCATCCGACACCGGCGGGTTTCAACCGATGGAAAGACCTCTTCTCGAAATTGAACATGTGGAACCAGACCGATTTCGAGCGCATTGCGTTCCTCGACCTTGACGCTTTCCCTTTCCAGAACATCGACGGCATCTTTGACATCTCACAGAAACAGCGTTGCAGGAGAGAGCTCCTGCCTGCGGAAGACAAGAAGCACGAGAACGAGATTTGCGATTACACCTTCTCGGCGACGAGTGTGGGAACGAGTCCGGAGGTCAATGTGGGCGTGGTCGTGTTCAACCCAAACCAAGCGATGCATGAGCATTTGATGCGCGAAAGTACGGATCTGACCAAATTTGACACAAGCATGGCGGAACAGGCGTTCCTGAACTACGCCTATCGCAAGGACGGCCCATTCCCACTATCGCTGGTCGATCGAGAGTGGAACGGCTTCTTTCCCAACAAGGGCGACTTCCCAGACGGGCCTCCCGGCAAATTAAAGATCGTCCACGAGAAACTATGGTCCATCCCAGACGATCCAAATGACCCTCTATACTTCGCCAAAGACCTCTTCTCGGAAACATGGGCGGACATGTTGAAGCTGTACGAAAGCAAGGAGTTCGAAAAGATGCGAGAATTGGATGGAGCGCGATCGTACTGAGCAGCAAGAGTTCGACTTCTTTGTACAAACATTGGAATAGCGTGGTCTCCGAAAGATGATACAGATACCCGGAGAATTGGTTGAAGCGCGATCGTATTGAGGAGCAAGAGTTTGACTTTTTTTGTACAAACATTGGAATAGCATGGTCTCCGAACGATGACACAGATTCCCGCCTTCAGGCAGCGCACGGATAGGCGACATTGCATTCGGGCGACAGCAAGGGACGTGTCGACTTCAGGTCCAGAGCACGAGGAACGAATGTACGATACTGTGATATACATCAGATGTTGGCGGCACGAGCAATACATGAGAGCAGGTCACCCGTCCGCCACAGTGTACTTTTATCTTGCTTTGCCAAATGCTCTGGAACATCAAGGATTCACGACTCTCGGTGCACCTCGTCCTTCCCGTGCGCCTGCATTCGCATCTTGCTTCCGCGCGAATCCCAGCTGGTACTCCGCCTTCTCCGGATGAACGATGGGTACGTCCATAGCCATTACCCCAACGCCACTTTCCGCATCCTGCAGAATGTTGCTATTTGCTATATGCTGGTTCACGAAATCCAAAAGCGTTTCCGGCGTCGGCCTGTTGTATATTTGGAATTCCACGCACGCGCTCACCGTATCGCGAAGTTCCGTGCTATACATCATCCAGCTTGGGCTCATGATGTTGTATTGCTGCCTTGTATTCTGATGGACATCTTCGTACAGGTTGGTCAAGTGCATTAACGAGAGCATGATGGAGCCGATTTCAAAGACTAATGCGTGCGGGTCAGTTCCAACATCCTTGCAGTGTGAGAAACGACTGTGCTTGACTTACTGTTGCAGGGAGAAAGTATCTTTACACTGTTACACATCTCACCGGTGTAGTCGTCAATCCAGGTAGGCTGCTCGGGTGCGAGGTGTCCCGGTGTCCCGGCGTCGGTGTGGAGGAATGGATTTGCTGGATCTGTCTCGTCTGTGAAAAACGCAAGACCCCAGTCGGCCACACTACGAATCAGTCAGCTTATTACACCCGGCAGCACTTCAGAAGCGTACGACTCACAGCGGCTTGGGGAAGTGAGGGAAGTGCCCTGGGTCCGCAAAATCTAGGAAAACATTCTCTGGTTTGAGGTCCCGGTGGACGACCTGTTCCCAGTTTCCAACTTGCTGGGCGAGTCCTCCCTGCTTCATAATGAGGGCTGTCTCGGCCAAAGCAAGCAAGCATAACCACAAGAAAGGCTCCGGTATCATTTGATCCGCCTGAGAGTGTGCGGTGAGCATATTGGACAGGTCTCCTAAAGCCGCGTAGGGCAACTTCATCTGGACCCAGCCGTTGCCGTTGTCCTGCTGCGTGACAATAGGCTCGCCCAGAGTCCTGAGAGCATGCCTCGCGCCTTGACCACGGGACACAGCCGTCTGCGTCAGCCATTCGAGGGGCCAGCGAGTGCCATCCGGTCTGAGCCTCCATTGCGTCGGAAACCAAGGATTTGTTCCATACTTGGTGAACTTCACCACCATCCGACTCACCACGCGGCCATTGCGATCGACTTTCAGCTTCAGGTAGGTCTTCCCCATGGCTCCTGCTTCGAATTGCTTGACCGTATGCCACGTTCCCTCGGGCTCATTGCTCATATTCCAAGGCTGCAACGGGACATTGGGCCACTGCCGTGCCCTGGCCATGCCGCGGTTGCTGGCCCTGTCCCGTGCGTAATTCCCCGGTTTCCCCCTTCTGAAAACTCGAGGCGACTGCGCTCGTAAGCGCTGCATCTCCGATCTCCAGAATTCTCGGTTCTCCTCCGCGCGGTTCAGGTCCCCGTGGACCCAATGGATATGCCACGCGATACCTTCGAGGAGGTGCGAATCTCCCGCCGGTCCCTGGGCCTCATACCAGTGGTAGAAATGCTTCAGCGCCGCGTCAAAGCTCTGGTAGCCCGCGATCAGGATCGTCGACTTGTCGCGCTGTTGATGGATCTTGTCCATGTACCGATGCGTCGTCATCGGCGTGTTTTGCAGGTATTCTCTCATCTCCTGGGCATCTCGCCGGTCCGCGAGGAGTCGGTTGGAGGTGTGCAGCAGCGCATTCATACGGGCGACGATGATGGGTCGGAGTTGGGGGTGCCACCCGGCCAGTTCATCGATCGATCGTTGTTTCCCTACAGAAAAAGAAGAAGAATTAGAGAAAACTTGAAATCCCTGGAGCATACAGTCGGTCGGTCGGACGGCCTTACATGCATTGCTGTTGACGACGTCGGAGACGGGGAATGTCTGGTCGACGAAGTGTGTGTATGTGGTAAACTCCTCCTGGGTGAAGGGTCCGAGTCCTGGTAGTGCCATCGTTTTGGCAGTAAAGTCGCAGCATGTACAATGCGCTCAAGACGAATGGGAAACTTCGGCCACGGGCAGGGAATGATGGGCCAGTAGTGCCTCTACTTCCTTCACAAGGCCTCTGTCCGGATGCGGCGATTTGGCTCTTTGTTCGACTTGTAACACCCTCTTTCGAGCTGGAGGATCAACAAAGTCCACCGAGGAACATCACAAGACAAAGAACGAAAATCTGTGCGGCTTCGGATGTCATTCTATCGTTCCATTTTCAGTAAAGCAAGTACAAGCTTTCTTCTCTCTCGCTGTATCGAAACAGCCGCTAAACGCACACTTCAACGCGGCCTCCGTCGCAGCGCTCTTCCACCATCCTGTCCTCCGATTATTGTGCCAGATTCCGCTAGCCGCTCCATCGATGTCTTCCTCGTCTTCTGCTTTTTGGGCTTGGGGCCGTCAGGTACTGTTTTCCCGCCGGTAGTCGTGGGAGCAGGTCGTTTGCCAGAGCTTTGAGCAGCGCCTGCTGTAGCTGACGGCTGAGGCTGCCGCCTCGGGGGTTCAGCGTCCCTCGCACCGCGGCGCCTCTTGGAAGGGCTCTTGGCAGGTTGTTGCGCCGGAGATGGATGGTTGGAAGCAGCCGGAGGCCTCAGGGATGGCGTTCGATTTCTTCGCGGAGGCTGTTCGAGCCCTGTAGAATCCGAGTCTTCCTCCGAAGGTAATGGTGATGGCGCTTCCCGACGTGGCATCGTGATTAGTTCAGTGCTTTGCCTCGGGCCTGAGCGAGGCGAGCGTGACGTTTGACGCCCTTGACGCGCTTGACCTTGGATGTTGTTGCCGCCCGCCCGTGGTCTGCCCCGTGGAGAAGCATTGCCGTGGGAAGCGCCTGCACCATTTTCCTCATCGCCATCGAAACTAGAGTCAGAGGAGTCGTTGCCAGAAGGCGGCGGCGGAGGTGAACGTGATCCCGACTTTCTGACTGCCCATTCCTTCGCCAGCACCATCCTCAACATCCATTCCTCCCTCGCAGTCCGCAAGGCATACTTGTTGAAGCGTCCATGCCCAGCAGGAGCGTTTCTCAAACCACGCGCATAATCTCGCTTCCCACCATCGCCCGTATTCCTTCGTATCTTTCTCAGGAGCTGGTCAAAGCTCGGACGCTCGTCAGGAGAGTAGCCCACGCAACGCATGACGAGTTCTCGAAGCTCTTTGCTATACTTTGCTTGCGCCTCCTCGTCGAAATCCTCATGAACGAGCTCCGGGGGATTATTATTCCGAGGAAGGCTGGAACGTTTCCGGTCGTGGTCACGCAACGTGATGAGGCTCCAGATGAGGTCGCCGACGGCCCAGACATTAGCTTTGGATGTGAGTCTTGGTCCGGCAGTTCCTCTACCGTGGAGTTCTGGGATACACAGTTCCGGCGCCGTGTGTGCCCTCTCCGAGTTCACCAGCCTGTAGTGAGCCCAAGACGCTTGTTCTCCGGGAGGTATTATGGCAGAGGTCGCGAAATTGCCCAGCTTACCCAGAGGATACCCTCTATAAGTCTCGCCGGTGTTGTTGCGGAGGCAGATGTTAGGGAGGCGGATGTCGCGGTGCAGTATCAGTGACCATTCTGTGGGCGTCCCTTCCAGATCGCCTCTTTCCATCAACAGTCCAGCAATGCAGAGCTGCTCCAATTGGGCCCATATGAACGGCTCGGGGATCCAGAACGAACGGTCAATCTTCTGCTGAGGGGAATTGTCCTTTGGCCTTTCTTCTTCGTCTTCCCTGTCGCCCCCAACCCCCTGATCTGACCCTTCTTGCTCGGCGTCTCCTGCTCCTCTACCCACTTCTTCACCTAGGCCGGAGATTTCTTCCTGATCCTTTTCATGCTGGTTCAGGTCATCTCCATCGGGGTGATCTGATCTCGGCTCGATTCTCCTAGCCTCATTCATTCCCTCATCAAAAGGCTTACCGTACATGCGCGCGAGTTCTTCCAGGGTCCCTAAACCGCAGTATTCCGTGTATATTGTGTAACTTCCTCTCTCAGACTGCAAACTGTGATTGTGAATCTGGACAATGCAATCGGATCCGATCAGCGGGCGTAGGGAATACATGGCCGTGATTCTAGGATGCAGATCAGCACATGGTACGCAAGGCACGCAACCATCTCTCAAGCAATCGGGCTAGAGTTCGGGTTGAGAGATAGCCCATTCAAACCACCCCGCGTGAGGGAGGCTGTTTGGAGAAGCTGAGAGCGATGAGACTTACTCGTTCGGTATCGTCTTGCTATCATTCAATTGCGAGGCCTCGAGTGTCGCAATCGAGGAATCTTTCGCGGCCACTCGCTGTCAGGAATATGTCAGCAACGCGGTGATCCAGTGAGCATGGGACACCTACATCAACAATGACACCAAAGGCATTCTGCCTCACGTACAAGCGTACATTTCCGTGCGTGCCGGATCCCAACGATTCAACCAGCACCCAGCCCTTGTGTTCAGGATATTCCGCTGCGTGCCTCGCTATCTCGTCGTCATATTCCTTGATCTCATTCACGAGGGCGACAAGCTTATTCGACAACTTTCCTTGCCGTTTTGTGTGTTTACGGATCTGCTTGTCGAGATACTGCAACGCCGCGTGTCCATGAGGGAGTTGTTCTCTCCATGCCCGAAGACTGTTCAAGGCCTGTAGGAGCTCCTCGTACAATGGCAATACGTGTGAATAGTTATTCGCGACGAATTGTGGCTTCTCTCCAGCGCTCAGTCCCGCGGCTTCAGTGTTGCTCTTGTATTCTCGTCTCCTCTTGCGGAGCAAATCACGGCTATGACTGAGCTGTGTGGAAAGATTGATTATTTCGTCAAGGGAGGCCTCTTCCGGTCGCGCATCCCAAATCGCTGCGAGATTCTCGGTGTCCACTACACGAATGGGTCAGGCACGACGGGTTTGCGATAGCTTCAGGCGTAGACTCACAAGGCTGCTGTTTCAGTGCTTTATTTGCCTTTTTCTCCAACTCCAAGAACGCCTTCCAGCCTTCTTGTGAGGTCGTCTCCGTCATCTTTGAGGCTCAGGATATTTCAAGCTCCTTGGATGGTAAGACAGTTGCAATGCGGAACTGGCAAGTGAGCCTGTCGGCGAATGGCAAGGGAATTGTTGACCGGAAACAGACTGACAGCGGCTCGCTTTGTCCGCTTTAGCTCTTGTCGCAATCCGGTGGTTCAGCGATATTCTCTTTGTGAGACTGGCATCTCTTTGTCCGAGATTGACCTTTGGTCTACCACTGTTGGGTCACCGTTCGGTGATTGACTGGCGAAGAGTGAGAAGTTCCGAAAATTGCTCCAAAGAACGGACATTACAAGAGCGTAATATTCACGATTCCAAAAAGTCATGAAATGAGTCTCTACCGTCACTCTTCTACCCCCTCACCCGCTGAAGGAGTCAGTCTGCGCGATCCCGACCGACGCGCTGATGGCTGTACGGCCTGTGATTGACCTGCAGGCTTTCTTGGCCCCTTGATCTTCAGCTTTCGTTTCTTCGCCGGAGACTTTGGAGCATCTCCAGCTGCATCGCCTTCGGGGCGCGGTCGCTTGAGCTTCAGCATGATTTTAGGCCGTTGCGGGCCATGAGCAGAAAGCGGCCGTTTCCCTCTTCCTCCACGTCTCGGGCCCTGAGCTGATGTCTCCGCGCCTGGTCCTGCTGATGATCCTGAAGCAGCAGGTCCACCTCCATCCTCGTCGGAATCGTCGCCGCCACCATCCTCGTCCTCATCATCGTCATTACCGTCGTCTTCATCCCCGTCTCCAGAATATCTGGGAGTTTCCGAGACATAATCGCTCCCCTGGGACTCCTGCGGGTCAGGCCTTTTAGGTGCCGATCCCTTCATCGCATCGGCCAGCATGTCACCCATAGGATAGCCTTCTGCAAGACCGAGCAGGGCATGCCTCTGAAAGCCTCTGTTGTCCTTATCCGCGAATCTCAGTCCCCGTGCAAGATCAATGCTCCCGTCGCCTGTTCGTCGTCGTATCTTTCGAAGCAACACGTCAAATGTCGGGCGGTTCCGAGGATCTCGTGCCAGACAAGACATGATGAGATCTAGAAGGTCTTTGCTATAGTGGCGCTCGACGTCGTCGGCCCACGGTGATGCCCTCTGGTAGCCGCTCATTAGGTAGCCCTGGTCTGGGTCTTGAAGAGTCACGGCGCCCTGAAGCACATGTCCACATGCCCACACTGAATTGTTGTTAGCTTGAGCCATTTGAAACGTGCTATGCATCACTCACCGTTTGTCTTGGTGCCCAGTTCTCTTTGCATGTCCCAGTTCTGCTCCTGATCAATCGTCAGTGTGGCGTTAGGAAGGAGTATCATACAGCGCCGTGCTTACTGGTGCCCAGTGTTCCCATCTGAACGAGCTATAGTAGTCAAAGCCTTTGTAAGGCTTATTGTGAGGAATGATGGCGCTCCAGCCAAAATCGCCCGTCTTCGCGGTGGGGTAGCCCCTGAAGCTCTGACTGGTGTTTGTGCCCAGGAACACTATGGATGATGTTAGTCGCACCAAGAACAATGAAGCCCAAGTCATGAGGGAACCCACTGTTGATCGTCCTCCAATCACGGTGGACGATGACATCCCAAGGCCTCTGCGTAGGTCGCAAGTCACCTCTCTCCATGAGAATACCGGCCGTGACCACGTCCTCCAGCAGCTTCCACAGAAAAGGCTCCGGGATATATTGTCGCGGTCTTGTGACGCTCCCAGTCTGCTCCCCGTAGTTAGCCATGAGGCTAAAGAGGTCGCCCATTCCACAGAACTCCATGAACACTCGATAGAAGTTGCCGCCGCTGTGCATATTCCAACGTCGAATCTTGACCACGCGGTCGCTGCCCACCAAAGGCCGCAAGGCGAACAATGCTCTGATCCTATGGTATTCACACGTCTCAGCCAATCTGGTCTTGACATCGAATTCGCTCGAAACAGTTGTGACTTACTCATGCGGAATATGGCGTCCTAGTCTGTCAATGCCCCACGTCGAGCGATGGCCGTCCGTAGCAGCATCTTTGGCTACCACACGCTTCAACATCGGCCTGTCAGCGATACGCACCTCAGCTGCACGGAATGAGGAGCGATCTGCTTACATCAATAATGGTCCCATCTTGAGCCTGTTGGACGTAGAAGTGTGCGACACCGAATCCACCCTCGCCCAACTCCCTCACATATGTCCATCCCGCCGCTTCCGACAGCTTTCCAACTTTCATTCTTCTGGCATTCCCAAATGCGTGCAGACGAGTGCGTAAGGAATCCAATATCCCCCGCAACGCGTCCCGCTCTCTGGTCTGTCGAGCCTCTTCAGCGCGTAGATAGGTCACGGTCATCTTTCCTTGCGGCGCCGCTCCACGGCTTTGGATGAGCACCCCTATGGCTCCAATGAGCTCTTCGTATCGCTCAAGTACTTCTTCCTCGTTGCCTGTTATCCATTTCCTGACAGCCACGACGCGGCCTAGGTTTCGTGGAACCCGTCCCGTCCTTTGCTGGACCATTTCTGTTGTGAGCGCTTCAAGTCGCTCAGCATATTCCTGCAGTGCATAGGCCAAATCGGCATAGACTGCTGGGTCCAGGCTATCCCATAATTTTCCCTTACTAGTGCCCCCGGCTAGAAACTCTATGTTAGTCATTTTGCTCCGTCGCTGTCGCCGAATTCTTCACACTTACGGAGGTTCTTTCTGTTCGGGAATTGATGCCGATAGGCCTGGAGTTCCAATTGCAAGAACCGCTGTCGGTCAGGGTCTGCCATGTTGCCGGATAGAGAAGCACCAACTGATATCCTTAGGGCAAAACCAGGATCAATGTGTGGTGACCGCAATGAGGAGCGAGAGGAGCAAACACTATTTCTTGAGGTACAATTCAAGCAATGTTCCCATAATGTCGATATAGGCAGCTTTGCGACTGGAGAGGATTGCCGGCGTCTCTTTGTGCGTTTAGGAACAAAGAAGTGCAAGAGCACCGCACCTGGACTTTCTCGAAGTTCATTGTCTTGACTTGGTCAGTGCTTCAGACTTCCCGGAGGGCCAAAAGGATATGCTTGCTTACCACAATCTGATGTATATGCGATGAAGCTGACATTTGGCAGAATAGGAATCGCAACGATTGTATGAAACTGGCGTGGATCCAAGGCGGAATAAGCGATGACCCCATCGGTCGTCGGTCTCACACCCGCGGCCGGGTACTCTCAGAGGAAGTGATGCCAAATGAGCACCATTGTTCTCGGTTGATGTGAAATACCACTTTGCACCAAGTCTTCCTCACCGCCGAAAACCACTGCCCATGCCTGTTCCAAGAGCCGAAGTCCAAGTAACATCTGAATCTGATTTCATTTGACTTTGGTATCTCTACACAGCAAAGCACCTATACCGTTACGCCCGAACTCCACGCTGAAAGAGAGATAGATGTGACGTCGTGTCCATGGGCCGTAGTCTGGTGCCTCGTATATCTCGGACTCGTCTGCGTCTAGTCCTCCCAGCTCTTCTCCACGGTCTCTCTCACTCTCTTGACGTACTCTTTCCTGTTGTCCTTGTACAGATTGCTTGCCTCCACGTTTGCCGGGCTCGAAGTATTCGGATCGTTCAGAAGACTGTGCCGCGTTGTTTGTCAGCATGTGACACCCTCATCCCTCCGCCCACCTTATTTCCCTGGCCTGAGGACTCACTCACCTCTGAATACTTGTCAAGATCGCCGCAACGTCGTATGTAGGACTCCACCTATTCTGCAGAATGTCCAAGCAAAGCTCTCCAGTCCCGTACACGTTGGGGTGAAACATCTGGCTGATAAACTTCACTCCCGGAGGCTTGTTGGGGTATTGCTCTTCAAAATGCATGACTAGACGGAAGGTACCGTCTTCGAAAGGAGTGTCGCTGGGACCGATGATGACCGCGTTCCTGCGGGAGACATGAGTATCCATAGTATTGTGAGGATGATCATGGGAGTGTGTTGGCGGGGTCTTACCAAGTCATCACATTGTCCGCAATAGGACTCGCACTGACACCAGCGGGAGGATCGGTCTGCATGCGCTTGAAGTCGCGCATGAGGCGACGACGGGCGGCGGTAGACATTCTGTCTGCTTCGAGGGTGGAGGCGCAGGTCCAAGAGCGTTCGTGATAGTGCCGGACGAGTTTGTTTGGGCGAGTGGTGGCTGCGGTCGTGCCTGAAGCTGCTGTGTCCTTCGATATGGTGTATGGCCGTTTGGAGGTGGCGATGGTTTTAGTGGTTGGTTCGGCGGTAGTAGAAGTGGGAGTGGAAGAAGAGGCTCGTGACTGGAATGGATAAGGGTCGTAGGGAGGTGGGGCAGCGCGTTGGTCGAAGTTCGGGCAGCAGCGGCAGTGAACACTGTAAGCACCACTTCCGAGACATCCATTCACTAGTACGCGCGGGCATTCACATGCACAACAATATCGTGATTCATGATATCGGACAACCATCATGCAATGTTTGCTTCTCTACATCTCTGGCTCATTTGATGCCAGTGTCATCAGCTATTGATAATTGTGAAAGTCTGTGCTCATTAACAAGGCTATTCAACTGCCGCCAAAGGCCCACAGAAAGGCGCCCAAACCCATTCCGCATAACACAGGTATCGTCAAGTTGTCATCCAGTCCGAATATGTCGACCGCTTCGCTTGCACTCGCCACGAAACCCGACACAACCGAAATCACTGCCAAAGCCGTATGCCCTGAAACACTCGCGTCCTTTCTACTCCAACCCAAGTACTGTCTTGCCTGTGAGGGCAGTGTAAGAATTCCATCGAAGGCGAAGCTGTTTTCTCCCTGGTTCAACTCCTTGGAGGCGGCCGGCGCAACCACTCCCCAGAAGAGCACTGCACTTGCTACTCCAAAAACGAAGGCCGCAATAGACCCTGCCAAACTCTTGCCTCTCCGGATCCTTGGTGTATACTTGCCCCACAGTCTTCCGAATGTGCTGGCTGCCGTATCACACCAAGAGAGCAGCAGCACGCTGATGACAGCCACGTCCTTTCTGCAGAAATACATAGTTGCCCACAGTCCAGCAAGGTAGCTGATGACGCCGTTGAATCGGTCGTGTGCTTCACTTTCCCGCATGAAAGGCCCCAGAACCTTTATGTACAGCCTGTTGAACTCTGGCCATTTGAAACGTATCAGATCCACGGAAAGGATGGGTATCAGGAGACTCAGTAGGACGGGATGAATCTGGCTTGTTTGCGCCCCTTCGTAGTATAGCCAGAGCGTGACGAATCCTATGCTGACGTGCAGCACCTTTCGCGGGACCTCGTGCTTGTGTATGAATGCTCGCCATTCTCGATGGATCGGAATCAGTCCCAGTGGGCTCGGGCTTCGGCTTAAGTTGCGCCAGTAAGAAGACCCCAAGCTCTGAGGATATGCACTCGCCGGCGATAAGAATCCATTTGCCTCGCCCTTGGGTGCCCCGTTTGAAGGTGTTCCATTTGAAAGTGCTGCATCATCTGTCCTCCGCCTTGTCGGCTCCGCGGCAGTCGGCGCTGGTATCAATGGTTTTACGCCAGATGAGACCCCACCATTTGCTGTCATTCTCGTCGGCCTTCGTTCTATCTGCGGACTTCTGCTTCTGCTCCTCGCGCGAGAAAGCTCTGGATCGTTCTCTTCGTGTGACTCGTCTATGGGATCGACGGAGCTCAAGCGTTGCGTCTTCGATCGTGTTGTGGGAGGGAAATAGCCATCTCTTCCGCTCGTTTCGCTAGGTGTCGGCGAGGGAGAAATTACTCGCGGCGTACTAGGGACTTGATATTGGGAGGCCATGGTCGGCCGTGTGCCTCCTGCAGTATTTCGGCGGGTCTTGCTAAGCGGCCACAGCCCGGAGCTGTGCGGAAGCAACGCTATCGGAATGAGGGCGGGCACGCGAGCGGATTGCTGGTCTGGTATCGACTGCCGTCTGGGCGTATTGCGTCGATGGAGGTCGGGATGGAGGAGGGAGGAAGTCGAGCAGGATTCAGCTCAAGTTCTGCAGCACTCGGCTTCGCGTCCATGACATCGCTGCCAACTCAGCCACAACGCAATTTACGTCGAACAACGCGTTGATCAGGCCAAAAAAAGTCATTCCCAAGTCTCCGGATGGCAGTGTCGTCTCTAAGAATCCTTCGTCTCGCTCGGCATCTGCCGACGCCCATCAAAAGGCCACATGGCCCAAATTGCCAAAAATTCTGTCACATGTTAGCACATTAGACTGGTCGGCGGGCGAACCGAAGCCCTGGAACAGTGGAGAGTTCGACAGGGATCCTCGGCTCGGTCCCGCCAATCTCCGTTCGTTAACGTTAGCGGATCGTGAATTTTGAACAGTCCCAACAGACACAACCATGCCTTTCGATATAACAACTTGCGCGAGGCCGAATATCCTCAAGCTCGAGCCGTACAGATGCGCAAGAGAGTGAGTTAAATCTGTAAAGCTTGAGGCCAGATATCTATGGCTGATCATCCTTTCTCATAGCGATTACAAGGATGACGGTACCAACATCCTGCTCGACGCCAACGAAAATGCATACGGTCCGGGATTGGCATTGACCGATGACGGCAAACTCGTCAATGGCGATGCTTCTAACATCAAGGTCGATCTGCTCGGCCTCAATCGTTATCCTGATCCGTAGGTGGTATTCTTTCACCGCGAGTGAGTCATTGAAGTTGACAGTGAACATAGTCACCAGCATGAGTTGAAGCAAATGCTGTGTAATCTGCGCAACACTCACGCTCACACTGACAAGGACATCACACCGGACAATCTCTTCGTTGGCGTCGGCAGTGATGAAGCCATCGATGCCCTGTTGCGTGCATTCTGTGCGCCGGGCAAGGACAAGATCTTGACATGCCCTCCCACCTATGGCATGTACGCTGTCTCAGCGCAGGTCAACGATGTCGAGGTCGTCAAGGTACCTCTTGACACCGAAAATGGATTCAGAGCGCAGCCAGACGAAATCAACAAGAAGCTCTCCGCCGACCCATCGATTAAGATGGTCTATCTTTGCAGTCCCGGAAACCCTACCGGTAATCTTGTACGAAAAGAAGACGTTCAGGCAGTCCTGCATCACCCTACTTGGAATGGCCTTGTGGTTCTGGACGAGGCTTATATCGATTTCGCGCCGGAAGGCTCATCCCTCGCAGAATGGGTTGCTGAGTGGCCGAATCTTGTCGTAATGCAGACGCTTTCGAAGGCGTTCGGTCTTGCTGGTATTCGATTGGGTGCAGCTTTCACAAGTCCCGAGGTCGCGAAGCTATTGAACAGTCTCAAGGCGCCATACAACGTGTCAAATCCCACATCACAGCTTGCAACACAGGCATTGCAGCCGCACAGCCTCAAAGTGATGCACAAACACCGGGAGCAGATCATCCAGCAGCGTGATCGATTGCTTTCAGAGATGCCAAGAACAACTGGCGTAGGCCGTTTCCGGGGAGGTCGAGAGAGCAACTTCTTGCTCGTAGAAATGGTCGACACAGCCGGCAAGCCTAGCAACGAGGTGGCTTTGCAAGTTTACGAAAGACTGGCCGAGAAGCGAGGCGTTGTGGTGCGTTTTAGAGGCAAGGAGCCTGGCTGCCTGGGCTGCCTGAGGGTGACAGTTGGGACGGAGGCAGAAGTAACCCGATTCTTGAAAGAGCTCAAGAGCGTCCTTGAAGACATTCACGCCGGACGTGGAAGTCAATACTCGGTGGTGCGAGAAGAGAAGAAAGAGAAGGAAGCTAATGCAGTAGTGGCATAAAAGCCAATAGTTAGCTGTATAGAAGTCAAGTAGCGGCATTCACATGCTCGGGCAGAGCGCACGAGCCACCGCGCCCCAGCTACGTCATCGCGAACCATCATAGACGCGTTTCCAGCTCTGCATTGCCACTCGCGAGACTGTTGATCTCTCAAACAACCACAACATGAACGACTACGAAAGTCGTAGACAAGAGAGGATTAGAAAGAACCAAGCACTGCTTGCCGAGCTTGACGTCAAGCCCATAATCCCAAAGCAGGCTCGAAACGACGCCAGGCCTCCAGTAGTCAAGAAGAGGAAACTCCACCAGGACGCAGCACCAGCGCGGACTTCAGCCCGGATAGCATCTGCGGGTGTCAAGCCTAGCTACAACGAAGACGAATTGAGCAGACCCGTCGCATTCCCCGGATCGACTCCCAAGAAAGGCAAAAAGCCGCGGAATCCAAGAAATGCCAACGACGATCTCAAAGAACCGGAGCCCTTGGTTCCCACGAAGAACGTAGACGAGATCCAAGCTGGCTGGGCAGAATGGAAAGCGACAGCTCCGGCGCCCAGTCGAGACGAGAATCGAAATTTCCACTTCGACGACTTTCCCGATTTCACACCCAACAAGTCTCCCGAGGAGATGCTCCAGGAGGGCTGTTTCGGAGGCTCTTACTATCGTCCTCTCCGCTCTCGCAAACTGGGAATCGTGATCGAAGACGACTGGCGAGAACTTCCACCGGACTGGATTTCCGGCCTGCACAGGGAGAAATTCGTGACCAGTCCCGAGTACGACGCCGAAGTGAATAAGTTCAAAGTCAGCTGTGGCCAGAGTATCGAAGAGTGGGAAGCCGCGGGGTGGATCCGTCACGAACATGATGCGAGGGGGTGGTTTCAGTGGTATACGCGCTTCATTCGCGGGAGGAGGTGTGAGGATGATGAGAGGCAGGTATCCCGATGGAAGAAATGCGTCGGTGAGACGGGGAGGTGGAGGAGGATGTTGTTGAAGAAGTACATGCAGTCGGGTGTGAGGGAGGTGTTTGATGACGGAGCGGAGGAAGATGCGCCTGAGGTTAGCCCGGTGATGCATCAGACTTGCCATCACTGGGCGTTTGAAGTTCGACAGGAGCATTTGGATGCTTTTTGGGCTTCGGGGGGAAGATAGACCTTCGGAGGTCGAAGCAACAGAACTTGGAGACGCAAGGCCCGAAAGAAGGTTGTATGACGCCCAGATGCTACATATGCTATTACTTGTATGCCTCATCGGGACTGCCAGAAGTGGCCTCATGTATATCCACGTCCCCTAACTCCCGAGAATTTTGTGCCTGACTCCGTGGGTATCATGACAGTCTATCGATGCTCACAACGCTAACGATGCATCCCAAATTTAGTCAAGAGAACCTGCCCGAAAATAGCTTTTCTCGCTCATGCCCGGACCCCCATCTTGACTCCGACCTTACTCGTCCTCGCCGCGATGATCAAAGCCCACGCCAAAGCAGTCGACAACCCCGCCCAGACCTGTGCTCCCAAGTACTTCCCATCCATAGCACTCAGTAACGCCCCGCCGAGACTCGGCCCCGTCAACGCCGCGAAACTCAAAGTGCTGAACGCCATGCCCAGTCGTGTGCCGAACATGCTCATGTCAGGCGTGATGCTGGCCACGGTACTCGGAATCAGGCACTGGAAGGCACCACTCGTGGCGCCGTAGAAGACGGTGTACGTGTAGACGCCTCCGGAAGTGGAGACTGCGATCCAGGAGAAGGCGACGATGACGAGGACGAAGATGATGGGGATGAGGGTGTTGAGCTGGCCCCATCGATCGGCGAAGAAGGGTGGAATCACGCGGAAAGGCATGCCGGCGCCGTTCACGATTATGGTCAGAGTGATGCCCGTCGAGAAGGGGAGACCTATCACTTCTGTGCCGAATGAAGAGAGCTGGGAAGTATGAGCACGTGTAGCATTTAGGAAGGCTTCTTGTCTTGCTTACATAGTAGAACGTGTAGTAGATTGGCCAGATGACGAAGAATAGTCCCGCGACGAAGAACGCATAGGTGGGTTCTCGGAAGGCGGAGAAATCCAGCATGGGTCCTGCTTTCCTAGGCGGTAGTCTCGGACGCATGAGGGCCATCACGATAGCAAGCAGCCCGAGGTTCAGAAAACCGAGCACTCGAGCTGTCCACGCGAATCCAATCTTTGGTAGAAGCTGCTGAACCAGTACTGGATAGATCATACCGCCTGCGGAATTGCCCGTGGTCGTGATACCGACCGCAAGCGCCCTCCTCCGTGAGAAGTAGGTCCCGATGAGACCCATGGCCGGCGTGAAGAACATACCACCCCCCAAGCCCGTCATTACTCCTTGGGTGATCATGAGCTGCCAGTACGTCGTCGACAAGCTCATCATGAAAATGCCGAGTAGCTGCAACACACCGCCTACGGCCAGCGTCGGAATGAAGAGTCCCGCATCGAGGAGCCTACCCGTGAACGCGCCTACGAAGAAAGTGAGGAAGTTTTGTACGGATCCAATCCAGGATATCGTAGAAGCAGAGACACCCAACGTCTGCGTGTAGTAGCTTTGGAAGGCTCCGTAGCTGTTCACCCAGCCCCAAGTGATGAAGATGACGAGCCAGCCCATGGCGACTTGCGTCCAGGCCTTGAGTCCGCCATCTGGAGGAGGCTCCACGCGTGAAGTGGTGGTGATCTTGGATGCGATTTTGCTGAGAGCATTGCTGGCCGTCCTCTTCAGGTCCAGTGACTGTTCCGGTTTGACACGGACAGGCTCACCCAGGTCCTGACATGAAGCGTGCTCAACAGCATCCTCTTCCGACTCCCGTTCGTCCCCAGAGACCGAGACAGCACAGCACTTACCGTTGCCAAGGGCTTGCTGTGCTTCACGATGCGGCTTTTCCGAGTTGGCGGCCCCTTCTGCCGTTCCGTGCATCCTGTTGAGCTAGAGGGGAAAGATCACAGTGGCGAGAAAAGCAAAAGCAAAAGCGTTGTTGGTGGTCATCGAAGAACGAAAGGGGATTGATGAATGGATTGGGAGTGCACACTAGAGAGAAAATCGACGCATTCTTCCTGCACTGACCTGCTGTTGTGCTGCCCTACTTCGGAGCCATCGATTGCACTGGAGCAAGCAGCAAGAAGCTCAAAGAATTGGAGCTCTTCCCATTGATCAACACTGGACTGGCCGCCTTGCCGCTGCTGCACGCGGGCATTTGGGTGGGTTTGGCCGACGGCGGAGCTCGGGTTTTTTTTAGCCGTGGCCCGCAAGCAATAAATGAAGGTATGACGCTCTCTTGCTCCTTCTTATTGGATGTGCCGACGATTCGATAGCTATAGGATACTCGGCGGGTGGCTTATCGATGTGGTATGCGTCGGATGATCAAAGAGAGTTGAAGGAGATGGCAGCGCTTATCGAGGTAAAGCACAGCCGGGATGAATCTGAAGTCTGCCTCGGGACGGGGTTTGTGCAGCCCAAGCTTTCACAGGCTGCGGGCTGCGGGCTCCTCGGCCTTAGCGCGTCTTGCTTTGCTTTCACATATTCGCAACAAGGCAATTCAGCTCGGAAAATCGACACTTTGGCTATATTCTGTCGCAAACAACTTCGATTTCCTGGTTGTCACTCCATCTTGAGTCTGTACGCACGTCAAACTCACTAATCGAAAGAGGAATGGCCGACTGTCTTGTGAAGAACATAAGCTAGCGGCGGGTGTATCCGAGCCAATTATCAAGCGGAACCCCGGCAGCGCCCATTGCGAAACTGCTACTAGATACATGAAGGGAGAAGAAAATGATAGAAGCTCGTGAGTACTTCATTAAAGAGGAGATGCCAGGCTTTCGCCCGTACAACTGTCGCTTCCTCTCATCGGGCCACCCGCTCGAACATCACATGCATCTTATGCATCTTATGGGGATCTCCGTGCGCACTCATCTCATAGCAGCTCGGGCTCAACAACGCCAGTCTGCTGTGTGATCAGCGAATACGTCTCTATCCGCCGATGTCGCGCATAGTCGAACGTTCTCTCCTTCCCCCTTCGACACTCGCTCAGATCGATTTCTGCAACGACCAGCTCATCTCCATTGGTTCTCGCTTCAGCAACGACATGGCCCTCGGGGCTGACGATCGAGCTGCCGCCGATCAGGTGGTACTTGCCATCGTCCATGCCGCACCTTGCCGAGGAGATGGAGAAGCAGGCGTTCATGTAGCTGTTCGCCTGCTGCACGAGGCGCGAGTGGAAGAGTGCTTTTTTCTCTGCTTGCTCCGGTGGCAGCGACGTCCCTCCCCATAGATGGGACATGTGGCCTCCTGTATTGTAGCCGAACATCAGCAGCTCTGCTCCCTGCAGCGTGTACACTCGCCACGCCTCAGGCCACCTTCGGTCGTTGCAGATGAGCATTCCCATGATGGGATCGCCTTTGCCCGCCGTATTCTCGCCTTCCTTTGCCGTAGACTTCTTCGCTGCATCTGGAACAAGCCCTGGAGCACGGAATGCCTTGAATCCAAGGTCACCTGGCTTGAAATAGCGCTTCTCTAACTGGTTGGTGGCATTCGGATCCTCGAATGGCTCTACTCTGCCCGGAAGATGGACCTTTCGATATTTGCTGATGACTTTGCCTTGGGATGCTGAGAAGTAGACCGATGTGTTGTATCCAGTACCGTCTGGCGTTCGCTCGGCATACCCCAGTACGATATCGACGCCATGTGCCTTTGCTTCATCGAACAATGGCTTCACATCCGCCGACTGTGTGATATCCTCGCCGTGTTCGAAGTAATGGTCCAGGTCCTCTTGAGATTGAATGAAATGTCGTGGGAAGAACGTCGTGAGTGTGCATTCCGGAAAGACCACAAGCTGCACTTTCTTCTCGGCAGCTTCGTGGAGGAGCTTAATAAGTCTCTGGACGGTCTCTTTCTTCGAAGCATTCAAGTTGATTGCGCCGACCTGTGCAGCGGCCACGCTGATTTTTCTTGACATGATGAAATAGTTTGCGATGGAAACGTCAAGGGAAAAGCGAGAACTGTGCCCCTTCGACTTACGAACCCCAAGTCATTGTGCATCATAACCAAGACATCACATCCTCTCTGCCTTTACCGCAACCAAGCGGCCCGTTTGCCCGCGCATGTGAAGGCAAAGACGAACAGTCCTGCCCGAACCTTATCGTCTCCGCCTATCGTTGGCAGCAGTAGTGTCGGCCAACTCAAACTTCCTCTTCGCGGCAGGTCTACAGGCTTCGGGCGTCCTAATTCGCCTTTGTACGCGGAGGCGGATACACGGGAAATGTCGCGAGATATCAGATAATATAACATGCAAAAATCAAGAAGAGGAAGAGTCGTTGTTGAAGAAGAAGAAGAAGAAGAAGGAAGTACGGCAGGAAGTTAAGGCGGCTGAGGAAATTGCGTCGGCCCTTGTGTGTCTTGGCAATATGGACTTTGATCTTGTGGTCAAGAACGGCATCATCGTCAGTGACATCAAAATTGCTCGAAGTAAATATATGCTCATCAGAAGCAGGTCACAGCAAGTGAAGTTCTCTCCGAGGGATTGGAACTCGGCATCAAAAATGGCAAGATCTCTTGCATTGGAACCTCGCTGCCAATCTCCAGGACAACTAAAGTAATAGACGCAGAGGGAGCGTACATAACACCGGGCGGAGTAGACAGCCACGTGCATCTCGCACAGAAGAACTCTCCCACCGGCGACACATGGGAGACGGGGACTCGGAGTGCCATTGCGGGAGGCACCACCACCGTCATTGCATTCGCATCGCAGCAACGAGCCGATACCTCCTTATATCCCGTCCTGAAAGACTACCACCAGAAATCTACCGATCAGTGCTACTGCGACTATGGCTTCCACTTCATCCTCACCAATCCGACGCCGGAGATCCTTCGCGACGAGCTGCCGGTGCTGGCGCAGGAAGAGGGCATCACGAGCGTGAAGCTGTACATGACCTATGAGCTCATGAAGCTCAATGACCGCGAAGTCCTCGGGATCATGTTTGCATGCCGAAGTCTTGGGATGACGACCATGATCCACGCCGAGTCGCACGATATGATCAGCATGATCATTGAAGGCCTGGAGAGGAACCGGAACACAGACCCGTACTTCCACGCCGTCGCACGGCCACGAATAGCGGAAGACGAAGCATCCTATCGGGCCATCTCTCTCGCAGAGCTCTCGGATGCCCCGATCCTCATCGTGCACATGTCGTCAGACGTTGCCGTGAGCCATGTGCGCGATGCCCAGACACGGCTGCTTCCCATCCACGCAGAGACCTGTCCGCACTATCTCTTCTTGCTCTCCGAGAAAATCAAGGGAGAACCTCATGATCACTTCTCTGGAGCGAAGCATGTCTGCTCGCCGCCCCTTCGTCACGAACCGAAAGACCTTGAGGCTCTTTGGCAATCCATCGCCAACGGCACCTTCACCACATACTCCTCCGACCACGCTCCCAGCAAATACGACCACCCAGGTGGCAAGAGGTTAGGGCTGGTGGATGGCATCCCCAAGTTCTCCAAGATTCCAAATGGTGTCCCCGGCCTGGAAACCAGAGTGCCGCTCCTCTTTAGCCAGACCCCAGCGTGTAAGGCACCAGGCGAAGAAAAGCTAAGCCTGCCTCGCTTTGTGCAGCTCACGGCCACCAATGCCGCCAAGCTGTATGGTCTTGATGGTCGTAAGGGAAGCATAGCCCCAGGTTACGACGCAGATCTGATCATCTGGCACCCTGGCAATAAGGGTGCAACAAGTATTACCCAGGCCGACATGCACCATGACATAGACTACACGCCGTTCGAGGGCATCGAAGTGGGCAATTGGCCGAGATATACTCTCCTCCGAGGCGAGGTGGTCTGGGATCGGTCGAAGGGGATTGTTGGTGGAATGGGGTATGGCAAGTTCTTGAAGCGAGGGCAGGGCCAAATTCTTACTGGTAAGATTGGTAATACGCCGCGTGGAATGAAGCCAGGAGAGCGCGAGTATTGGCTATGAGCACTGTCCGCAGTCAACGACAAACCCAGCCTCTTCAATCTTCAAGTGTGATATATTCTCCCATCCAGACGGCGCTCCCTCCCCGCCTAGCTCGAGAACAGGAATCTTTCGGGTCTGTGGTGGTGGTGCTCTGCTGGCTGTCCTTCCTTCCTTCCTTCCGTGACGCTTCTCTCGTAGCTGCGTATTGAGGAAGCTTTCCAGCGCCGCAGAATTTGAAGTCCACGTATCATGCTCTGCGTCATTCTGCGCGAAGCGACTGCGCTTCGGGTGTTTCCCGTGGGAGCTTGTCGAAAAGGACGGCGAGCTGGTTTCCGCCGTGACTGGCGCGTCGTCGGTGTTTTGCGCCATGTTGTGGTTGTAGTAGTTGGGAAGGAGGAAAAAAGTGAAGCGCGAGCTGCAAAAGGAGGAAGCCCCGCCTGAGCTTTGCGCAGTTGCCTCACATGCAAACAGCTTGCTTGGCACGCTAGTCGCCCGCGTAGCTTATTCATCGGCTCGTCACTACCAAATGGCCCGTCGTTTCAACATAATTTCATAAGGTATCGGCATTTACAATGCTGTCGTGTCCACGGCGTCTGGCTCGGGGTCACCAGGAGCTTCCTTCTTCTCCTCGGCACCCACGGGCTCTCCATCCGCATCCGCGACGATTACATCTCCATCCGCATCTTTGGCCTCAGCCTCCTTCTCGCGATTCATCGCCTCCCTCAGCTTCTCGACTTCCTTCTCGACATCCTGTGGGTCCTGGCCTGGCTTTCCCGGCTCGCCAATCTCCGCGTCCTTCATTTCCTGACTCTCGCTCTTCTCAAACGGCATCTCGTCTCCATCTGCAGGCGGAGGCTGTGGTGATTTGCTTCTTCCCCTCCCTACCGCAGCTTCCATGTCCAGCACACCGCCCGAGGAGTCTATGGGGTGTGGCTGCGGCCCCATGTCCTCCATACCAATCACATCTGGTCCTCTGGCATGTGGTTGCTCCTCTTCAATCGCAATGTCCGGCGCTCCCTGCGCTGCAGCAGGACCAGGTGCATCCCGCCCAACAGCTGCCGCACCTCCCTGTAAGAGCGTTCTCCGCGGCGTCGTATGATTTCCCGAAGGATTGACGGGCACAACTCCTGCCTCTTGCTCTTGTCGTAGTAGTTCTCCCTGCGTGACTCCACCCTGGTCTCTCAGCTGCGCCTCCGTTGACGAAGCAGAGGAGGTACTAGCATCGCTCTGCTCTGACAAGGTTGGCGACGCAATGGGAGACGAAGACGTTTGCTGCGTCTGCTGCTGCTGCTGGCCTGCAGTGGCGCTCGGTATGCCGTTCACAGTCACGGTCACTGTCTCGATGCTGCCAGCACCGTGGGGCCCCTCAATCGTCTCGGTGCTTTCGCTATGTAGCTCGCCTTCAGCTCCCTGTGAGCCCGTTGATTGTCCCGCCATGCTATTCTGATTCCTCAGCCATGGAATCGGTGTCAGCAGAGCACCTCCCAAGCTCTCGTCACTTCCAAGACCCTCTCTTTCACTAATCCCATTTGTTTGTGCCTCTCCGTTGGTAAGGAAGCCGCCGTTCAGTGAGTTGTGTAGCGCTGGCAGCGGAAAATCTGACACAGGCGAGCTCACCGAAATAATACGATCAAGAGCACGTAGGTACGCGGGTAGGAAGCGGTAGTGCTTTCTCGGGTGTAGCACAAGCTCGGCGAGGCGCTGGATGGTATACGGAGGGCTGTGCACGAAGTCATGTTCCAGTATTCGCCTCGACATCTGATACGAGCTCAGGAGTTCAGGTGGCAGCGTGCCAGGCTCGGGCATCGCTAGAGGCCCCATCTCTTCCGTCTGCTGCGATTGACTGATCTCATAGCCTGGGTATCCGGGATGGTGGCCTGAGGGCGGCCGGCCAGCGGCAAGTTCTCTGGGCGCGTCATTCTCCTTCGTGCTGCTTTGGCTGTTTGCTGGAGGCTCGTTCTCTGCGTCTGGCAGCTCTTGTTCTGTGTTGTCGGTCTCGCTGGTGGGGTTGCGTGGCGGCGTGGAGGCGACGACTTCTGGATCGATCGTGGATGGCAGTGTCCGCGGTATCGGGAGGGCAGGAATGGGAAACTCGTTGAAGACTATTTCGTGCAGTCTGTCTAGAAGGAACTCAAGCACACGCGCCCATTCCGCGCTGTCGCAAGTCAGCGCAAGCCGTCTATAGGAGGGGAGATACCAACTTACACGTCGATAGAGCCGTCTAGGGCGGCATTCTCGAGTAATTGCTCGCTTGAGATCATGGTGGAATGTGTGGTGCTCGTCGGCGCAAAGTTGCAGGTGCTGTCCGAAAGAGCTGATGAGCTGAAGGAGACTTGAGGGCAGACGCGGGCCAAGCGAAAGCCATGACGCCCACCTCACAGTCGAAGCTGCATGCGCCGTCTGGACACCATCAAGTGCAAATTCACGCGGTACGAACGCGTAGTTTTCGTCAGATCTGCAATGGAATTAATTCGCGAAAGTAGTGACGTGGAATAGAACAAAGTCCCCCCTCTTCTCAGCTCTCAGCTGCTGTGAGGGGTTGAGTTCACGAGATGCCGACGGACTTCTGTTACGTCTGTTACGTCTACGAGGTATCTTATATGAACGCCACTACCTTTGCCATTTCTAAATCCCGCACCTTCGAGGACATTACATCAACAGACGAATTCTTAAGCTAACATCCAAACGCCACCGCTATGCAGTACGGCCCCGTCCCAGACTTTCCCATCAAAAACAAGATCGTAGCCATTACCGGTGGTGGATCCGGTATTGGCTTCGCTGTAGCGCGCAGATGCCATGAAAATGGAGCTCGCGTACTCATTGGAGACCTCAAACTTGTTGCAGACGCTGAGAAGTACGTCTCTGAGGCGCCTTCCGGGGAGGTTGTTTTCCATCGTTGCGATGTAACCTCGTGGAAGTCTCTCCATGAGTTGATTTCCGCCAGCGTCAAGATGTTCGGGGACGTCCCAGACGTCTACATTCCCAGCGCAGGTGTAAGAATATCCACTGCTGCCAATGAATGCGCCGGAAAGCTGACGAGTGGGTAGGTATTCGAGCCTCCATGGAGCAACTTCTGGGATGATAGCGAAGACGAAGCGTACAAAACACTTCAGATCAATACTCACCACCCTGTCAAGCTGACTCGTCTGGCCATGCGCGCGCTTGCAGGTGCAGAGAAGCAGGGTGTGGTAGCGCTTCTAGCGTCATCCGCGGGTATTCGAGGCAATTATTTGGCGAGCTTGTATGCGACATCGAAGCATGCTGTGGTGGGCTTTGCAAAATCCATGGGCCAAGCGGACCTCGAAGAAGGCGTCAAGGTCGTTTGCATATTGCCAGGGTTTGTCCAGAGTCCGTTGTGGGAAGACCGTGTCGATGATATGGCGAAAATAACTCAGTACCAGCAAAGGCTGCAAACTGCGCTGCAGCCGAGTGACATCGCTGAAACGCTGCTCAAAATGATTCAAAGCAATGATTTTGGAGGAGGAACGTGTGTGCTGAAGACGAAGCAGGAAGAGAGGGTCGTCGAAGAAGGCTTTATGAAGAGTTCTGGAAAGTACGACCCGTCTCCTCGACCAGAGCCTGATATGAGCCGGATCAAAGCTCTATTGCAAAGCGAACGTGGCAAGAAGTGGGTGTAGATAGTGATTTGCGCCTCCCAAAGACAGAACGTCCGTTTCTCAAAGAGGCTGTAGTTCGAATCCAGCGAGTACGTGAGGCTCAAGATGTGTTTGCGGTCCGTACCCTGGCCTCGCGCTCTGGCGTACATGGAATGGAAAGGGCCTTCAAAATGGCATACAATTCAGCCTGCTTCCCACTCTCCCTCATCCGCTTCGCTCTTCGCCGTAGGTCTGCGCAGATCTTCGAGGGAGGTGTTGCTCCCTGGTAGGACCACTTCGGCTGAGGTCTGCACGGATCAGCCCGGTCGTGAAGCCATTTCCGTAAGCTGTCCAGACCCCGTGGGGCGTTATTGCCGGTGGTATGAAAATGTATGCGCAGGTTTTCGTTCTTGAGCAGCTTGCTCTGCTCGTCCGGCGGAATACGGTGCATCCAGGCCAGTAATCCGTCGAAGCAGAAGTCGGTGATGGAGCAGCGAATGGGGCACATGGAGTGAATCATCGGTAGGACCTCATTGCGGACTTGTCGGCTGGCCCGAGTGAGAGGATGTGGGATCTTCCTCTCCTCGACGGTATTGAGAGGCAGGACATGGATGACCACGCCTTCCAGTGCGAGCTTGTAGATCTCAATGCGCAATTCGGCGGGCAGGTCATAGAACGTGACTCGAGGCTGGTGACCTGGCAGCGGCCGTCGTGGTGCTGGGGCGATTTGGCGAAGGGCAGCACTCATGATGGCACGCAGAGTCGAAGTGGTGGTGAGGAAGAAGGAGGTGATGAGGAAGTGTAGGCTGGCGGATTTGCATAATCCGGATTGCGCGAGTGGTACAGCAGAGCGCCACCGAATGTTGGGTCCAGTGGTGCAGAGTCGGAGCCGCGTGTGAGTCTCCTGGCGCTTGGAGTTTGATGAAAGGTGCCGACGCACTGCGTCTGATTAACAGCGCATGCCTGTCGGGGGGTTGTGTCGGTGCCGGTTGGTGGGTTGGTGGGACGAGGAAGGGCGGCGGAAGGATGTCGGATTATTATTAATTTGTGAGCAAGCAACAACCGAAGTAAAAGTGAGCAGCAGCAGCAGCAGGTCGGCATCATGCCTGAGGTTATCTTATGCGCCAAGCCCGCGGGACCACACACCCAAGACACCGCCGACGGGAGTGCGTACACACGTACCTAATCAAACCAGCGACACGAATCGAAGAGAGACACGACCCAGACCATGCGAACAGACTTCATACTGTACTGACTCAATACTCAAATAGAACAACAATACCGGATCCACGGGCCCCATAGCACACCAGCCGCGCCCACGACTGCTCGCATCCCCCTCATCAGCGACGCGCATCCGCAATGGCGTACATTACTGTCGTACTACGCGGTTCGTTTCCGTGCAATAGATGTCCCACAGCTCCTTGAATCCCTGGGAGTCCTGAGTGTACTTGTCCATCTGCGCGTTCTTCATGGCATCGATGTGTGCAGACGTGCCGGCTTCCTTGGTCAGGAGCCTCTGCCGGCCCCACTGGAGGAAGACAACACTCTTGCAGATGACCTTGGACCGGAAGCCGGTCTCGCTCGTCAAGGCATCGGTGCCTGCCCTCCGCACTGCCATCACGTCTGCTGGCGCATAATCGGGACGATTCTTCTCTCTGGCGATTTCCTCCTCCGCGAGCTTGCCTCCCTCCCGACGGTAAGCTACGAGACCTGGGAAGCACACGATGCGGACAATCGCTTCGCTCTTGGCCACGGTCTCCGGGTCGTCATCGATCAAAGCGGCCCGCTCGATGCCGCCGACCGTCTTCTTCTTGTACGGACTGTTGGTGATCATATCGTTGAGGTTCAGACACTCCATCCGGCTTGGCTCGAATTCTTCGTCTTTGAACGTGGGAGGCCAGTAGAACACCACGTCTGGCGCTTGACGCATCAAGCGGCTGAGGAATCCGGCCTGGATGATTACGGCGCATAGATCATCGTACAGATCGCTCGCGTCCTTGGAGTGGACGAACGGACGCAGCAACACATCGAACTTCTCGGCCATGATCTCGGCGCCAGGAATTACGTTCTCGTACTTATCGGCCTTGGCAAACTTCTGTGCCAAGTTCGCCCTCTCTCTGGTCCGCGCAAAGCCTATGGTGTTGTTCAGCGTCTCATTCTTATAAGCCGGGCAGAGGGTACTCACCATCTAGCTGATCTCTGAAGCGCTCGCTCTCCTCGCGAGCGGCAATCTCTTCCTTCTGTTCAGGACTGCCTCCGAACCAAAGGTCGCCAAAGACATGCTCTTTCAGTGCGCGCCCGATGATGCCAACCACCAGCGCTTGACGAGTGTCTCCATGGGTGAGCAGCTCTTCCCAGTCTTTGTTCCCATTCGGTCCACCTAGCGCAAAGATCGAATCGTCAGTCTACGATGACTAGCTGAAGAGCAGTTCTCAGAACTCACCCATGGCTAGACAACCCACATACCTGATCAGCTCGGGTTCAGCGTTGGCCATCAGTTGACGCATATAGGTAGCTCCATTGACTTTCACATCGTCCGAGAAATACTTCCTGGCCAGCACGATGGTATGGATCAAGATATCACTCGAGATGGTCTCGCAGACTTTCAAGTCCTTTCCATTGTCGCCACCCTCGGAATCCTCGGCGAATTTGTCAGTATTCGTCTTTGCTTTCAACTTGTCGATTTGTCTGCGGGTGTCCTGGTTGATAAGCTTCTCTTTCTCGGCGCACTTCGCGCACCCGGGGTGTTTCTTGGACGACTCCTGTGAGTGATGCGGGGAGGCTTCTCGCATGGCGGGTTTAGCTGGGGAAGCGCCTCTATGGTCGGTCCTGCCGGATCCGCTTGGGCCTTGGTGAATACCATCTCCTCGATTGTACGTGACATGTTTCTCGGGAGATCGACTGCGTTTAGCTCTTCGAGAGCCTGGCGAGACTCCCGTGTTTCCTGAACGAGTGGGCGGCATGTTCGAGGTGCGCCTGGATCCTATGACGAGTTGTGATGCTTGACGGAGTAGGAGATGGCACCGGCGATGGACTCTATCACTGGCTTACGGGTGTTCTGGAGCGTGCAAGACAAAGGAGGTGTATGTTTGCAATCGCAACAAGGGAAGGGAGCTGTGAGCGCCTCCATTGTTTGTTCCACACACGCAGAATGCATGCCGCACACTCGACCTGGCAAGTGCTGCATTCCAGAGCCGGGGAGGTACAACACACCTGTAATCTATGCTCCAACTACTGACCTCAAGACACGTTCAGCGCATGTCGTTAAAAAAAGCCACTGCATGTTGCTACTGACCTAGTCTCGTCTGCGTGAGTGGTCTATGAAAATCCACCATCGCTGGCCGCAAACGTGTCGGAGCGACCTGGAGCAAGCGGATCGATACTTGCATTGACAGTAATAAGAAGAGTCATTCCTGTCGTTCCCGTTTCTGTAGGTTTCGCAGCTCGAGATGGATGTCGTGCAGAGGGCAAGTACAACGCTCGGTCCTTCCTCTAATAACTTGGAAGTTCCACCTCATTCACTCTAGCGACGCTAAACGAGCCTAGCTTCAACTCTGTCCCAAACCCAACCTAAGTCAGGCAGGTACACTTTGCGTTCCATCTTGCCTTCCGCTCTTCGCTCTTCATTTTCCACCTCACGAGCCCGCCGTCATGCCGCACAAAGCGTAAGGTAGGGCAGAAACCACGGCACAGCCTCGCCGCAGCAACAGGATCAAGAGCATTCTTGACAAGAAAGAAGAACGAGGAAGAATGGGCGAGCAAGCGTGTACCACGTTCCTACCATGACAATGGAAGGTGCCGCTGCGCCGCTGTACGCGACGCAAAAGCAGACAGACCCTGAGAGCAGGAGTGGGCAGTATCAAAAAGCTTTCATTCATCATCCATCGCCACCCGGCGGAAGATCAAAAGGTATCATCTTTGCACATTATGCCTTTCCCGTTGTCAGAAATGGCCCACACGCAAGAGCAATTCATAAAACGCCGCGTGCCCATGCTAAGCCGTCACAGGATGAAACAGGAAGAGGGAGAAAGGGATGAAACAGCGCAGACATGTACAAAAATCGTGGATTCATAGAACGAGCAAACCACTAGTCGATCGTCATCCTCGTCGGTACCTGACCCAGCGGGTGCGGTGCACCGGTGTACTCTCCAGCGCTCCACTTGCCATTGTCGAGCTCATTCGCCGCGGGAAGCTTCCTCCTCTGGATATGCGGCTTCAGTCCTTTGTTGAAGTTTGCCATGCATATAAAAGCCGTCGGAATGGTCACGATCAGTAGCAAGATCGTGATGACGGCGAATGTTGTCAGGGATGTTCGCGCCGCGTCGTAGTTGTGCTTCTTGGGGAATGTGTACATTCGCACCAGTTTGAAGACGAAGTATGCCATGGCTCCGAAATAGATGATGATGATGCATGCTTGGCCAACGTACCATTCTCTTCGGGTGAAGACTGCGGCGAGCAGGAGGATGATGATTGTGACCGGAATTGCGGCGATTGTGAGGTAGAACTCGGGATCGGAGTTTCCTTGGACCACGACGATGAATTGGACCGTGAAGCCAAGGAAGAAGAAGAAATCGAATTTGAGGAGAGCAATGTAGATCTGTGGGTGCTATGTCAGCAGACTGTCTGGAGCCGGTGTGGGTGAGTTTGGCTGACCTGGTAAATCAGATATCGCCTCTTCAAGCGCAGATCTGCAGAGATGTGCTTGTAGATGGTCCAGGCGAACTCGTTGTAGAGCTTCCATGCTACGAAGGCGAGACAGACAGTTCCCAATGCCACCACACAGGGTGCTGCAACCAAGAACGGCTTCAGGTTATCCCACGTCTCCGGCCCAATGTCATTCACCTTCCGGAGCTCTTTCACAGCTTCGTTGACCTGGTCCATCTGCACGGACGAGTAAATGAGCATGCCCAGGTTGTAGAGACATATCCCAATCACCTGAATGGTGTTCTTCAGCCTCAGTGCGTCCCAGGCCAGTGCCAGTTCGTATATGTATCCGAAGATGAACAGGGCCAGATATGTGGGGATCGTCTTGGTCGGAGTAGGACCTTGACTGTGCAGATTGTGCTGGAACTCTCCGAATACATATGCCTCCAGGCCCAAGCTGGCGATGGCTTGAAAGAGAACGATGAGCATGAAAGCCCATGTCCATGTGCTATCGGGCAAGTACATGCCGCCTGATCTTCTTGTACCCGCGCCGTGTGCTATGTCTCGGGTGGGCAGACCCTCGCGATCATGATATCCTCCAGCTTCGTATCCTGACGGTGTTCCGTGGGGATTGTAGATGGGCGGTCGTTGGGAGGAGAAGGAGGAATTGCCAGATAGCGGCTGATATGCTGGGTCGCCGCCCAGCAGCGAGGTGCGGTATTGGTGTGTCTTCGACGTGGTGACGGCGGTGTGGCCGCAGTGGAGCGGCCTGGTAGGAGGATCGGAAGGGGCTGGCTGTGGTCTCACAGCTCGTCTTTGTGCGTCTGTGTGTGTGTCAAGAGGCCGCCGATGTTCTCGCGGAGGAGGAAAGGCTGAAGCTGACGAGTGCGAATGCCCAGGCCGAGACACGGTTGTCGCAGTGGAAGTAGCTAGTTCCAGTCGGGCGTGAGGCAGGCAGCGGCGCGCCTTGGAGAGCGTGAGAATGCGCGTGGAGTGGTGAGAGTTGTGTGGGGGATTGTTTGCTGAGTCCGTGCCGTTGCTTGTGCGAGGAGTTTCGAGTGGATGCAGCGATGGCACGGCGTCCGTTTGAGACCCTGGAGTTCACTCACCTGTCACCGGCAAGTCTCCCGTTGCGGCGGCTTTGAGTTTGACGGCCGCGTATCAAGAAGAGATCATGGGACCACGCAGAGGCGGTGGAAAATGGAGTGGGAGAGAAACGAGTGAACAGAAGAGAGGAAGAGAGGGAATGGGAACGGATGCCGAACTCGTGTTCTGGCCCGTCGGTCGGGGATCTTTGCAGACGAACAACAATAATCACAATCACACGTCTCCGTCGAGACCGTTCAGCGCTGTGAACAGCCCTGCGAAGCCTGAGTCGGAGGCAGAGCACAGAGCGTGGCGCAATCGGTTCGGCGCTTCCCTGTTCCAATTTTACCGACCAACCACACAGCCACCCACCGTGCCACCCGAAGAGCTCTGTTATTTTCAAGACCTGCTGTGTGCTGTACTTGTACCTTACCTGCACTCCTTTTCCTGCACTCCGTCATCCATCCTCCACCGACTCTGCACTGCCTCGTGATAGCATCTGGTAAGTGAATGCTCCGCCCATCCTCCCGCCATCCACGTGATGAACAGACAATTCAAGAGAACCGTTGCGAATGACTCTCACAAGAGAATGATCGCAAACATTACCTATACACAACCTGACTGCCCCCATCCACACACGTTCTGCTGTTGGTATCATGGAGAAGCAATGAAGCTGACGTAGAACACAGTAGATAGGTTCTCAATATCAGAAAATGCGCGTCCGTCGCCTTCGACCCTATCTTTTCAATGGCTTCAAGCGCTTCCAACGCGTCTGCCCTACGCGTCCATTCGCCTCGTTTCCATCTCTTTGCGCTGCCGATGAACGCCGTGATGTGACCCATGACTACGAGAAGAGAGTGGCCCAGCTCAGAGCGCACAAATCGCTCGCAGGATGCTATCCTAGGCTCCCTGAAGCGTTCACGAAGAAATTGAGCTCTAGGGCGTTTCTAGATTCATCCTTTGAGGGAATGAAGCCGGGCGACACCGACACGAGCGGGCATGTGAGAATGGCTGGTACGGGACAGGTAGGGTTTGATCATGGCCGGAAGCGAAGCTGAGTGTTCGTAGGGAGAGTGCGCTCGGTGCGTACAGCCGGCTCCAAGTTGCTATTCATCGACATCCAGAATGAGGAGGGCACACTTCAAACAGTGTGTCAGCTGAGCAAACTGCAAGAGCAAGACGACAGCGTGACACCAGAGGCATTCAAGGCGTTCAGCAAAATCATTCGGAAAGGAGACCACTTTGCTGTGGTGGGCCATGTGCACCGTACAGAACGCGGAGAGAACTCCCTGCTGGCGGTTGCGCTACCTCAGCTACTCTCGCCTTCACTGCACCAGATACCGGAGCGTCTGGAAGACCGCGAAGCTCGAGCTCGATCTCGTCACGTGAACATGCTTGTGAACCCCGACGCCATCAGAACTCTTCGAGTGCGGCACGAAGTCGAGGCGTGCCTACAAGCGTTCTTCAACGATGAGGGCTTCATCAAGGTCACGACGCCAGTTCTAGGGGCTGGTGCAGGTGGTGCTGCTGCCAGACCTTTCGAGACGGAAGCCACTGAACTGGCCGATCAGAAACTCAACCTTCGCATTGCACCTGAACTTTGGCTCAAGCGATTGATTGTAGGCGGAATGGACAAGATCTATGAGATAGGACCAGCATTCCGAAACGAAGGAGTGGATGCTACACACAACCCGGAGTTCAACATTTGCGAGTTCTATCAGGCATATGCGACCCTACAGGACCTCATGAACACGACAATAACGATCATAGAAGATTTGAGACATCGCTTCACCTGGCTCCAAGGATCTGGAGCACTCACAGACTTGCCTGAGTTGGAGATCTTGGGCAAAGACTTCGAGCAAGTAGAATTCATTCCTGGGCTGGAAGAGCGCCTCGACTGCTATCTCCCGGACCTCCAAGCAGCTGACGCCCACGACAAGATTCTGAAGATCTTCGACGACAAACAGATACCTACACCCTCGAATCCAACTCTTCCTCGCCTACTGGACGAGTTGTCAGCCAAGTACCTCGAACCGCTCTCCGATAAAAACCCGATATTCATCACCAACCATCCCGCTTGCATGTCCCCTCTCAGCAAGCACTTTGTCTGCCCGAAAACATCTCAGTTCGTCGCCGCACGGGCGGAACTTTTCATCGCCGGCCGCGAATATGCGAACATGTATGAAGAAGAAAATTCTCCCTTCGAGCAGAGGAAGAAGTTCGAAGAGCAGATGAGGCAGAGAGAAGTTGACAAGGAGGCTATGGAGCTCGATGAAGGGTATCTGAGGGCATTAGAATGGGGGCTGCCGCCGACTGGAGGTTGGGGGTGCGGTATTGATCGGTTGGTGATGCTTTTCAGTGGGCGGGAGAGGATGGCGGACGTCTTGGCTTTTGGGAGTTTGAGGAATGTTGTAGGATTGGGAAAGACAACATGAAGAGGCAATGTATTCGAACCACTGCTGTGCTTGGCTACGAAGGACTCTCGATCGATTTCGACCGGACACTCTGTTGCCTTCCGCATTCATTGGCTTGCCACAGGAAGGCCAGGAGGCCACAGGAGGGACCCGATTCGATAGACCTCTACCGCATCAGCCAGCACCGACGAGCGAGGATCCCGACCAAGCTCTACATCGGTGAATATCGTCGCAGAGCCGCTCGCTAATCGTCAAGCCACCGCTCGTCGATGGCCCGATTCACATGCGAAAACTCTAGCGCACGGACTCTAACCCAGGTTTACGTCTTTCTGGCGCACCGCTACTGGATGTCGGAGTTTTGTCAACGAGGCTTTTCAAATGACTTGGAGAAGTACAGGGACGAGAGATGCTTTCAGGTCTAAGTCTCTTCATTGTAGTCAATGACAGTGTGTAGGCTCACATCCTTCCAAAATCCATCCTCAAACAGCTGATGCTCCACAAGAGCAAACATTTCTCTCCCAAACATCATCGTAGTTGTTCGTGCCAACATTGTGTTTCCTCCGCACTGCACTCAATCCTTACGCATCCAGGCCGCATCATACTTTCCGATCGTATCGCCCAGAGCATCCAAGCCCTCCTTGCAGCGTTCCCAACTCAGGCCGCCATTGCGCACAATCTTGTGCGCTGCCTCAATGACCGTCTCCATCGGAGTCTTCGGACGACACCAGTACCAAGTATTCAAGCGCTGCGTGTGGATCTGCTCGCACCAGGCAAGCACGTTGGCCCAGTTCTTGCGCCCCGTCAATTTCATCAACAGGCGCACGGAACCCTCGCCGTCTCCGAATTGGATGAGAAACTTGTTGAACTTGACGAGAAGGGCCGCGTCGCAGTTGCGCACGGGGACGCGGAAGGTGTTGTTGCGGTAGTAGAATTTGCGCGCTTCGAAGCGGATCTGTCGCGAGGTGCTGAGGAGATCCGGCTCGTGGAGATGGGGCGTGACGGCGATTTCTTTGCGGGCGACGAGGGCGTAGGCGTAAATCTGGTTGCGGACCTCGGCGGGCAGGGAGAAGAAGTTTGTGCGCTTCTTGATGTTGGTGTTAGTCAGTGGTGGTGCGGCGAATAGGTTCGGGCTGGGTTTGGCATGCTTACCTTCTTGTGGGTTCGGCGACGCTTCGCCTGGCCCGAGGGACTGCTTGATCTCCGCTTTGCAGCCATCGTTGGCGGTCTTGTTGAGGGGAAAGGATGAAGGAGAGAACGACATTAAAGTAGGAAGAAGACAAGAATGGATCTCTTGTAGGCAACCGTTGTTTCAAGTGAGTTGCGGCGAGGTGAGGTGAGGTGGGAAGACTTTTCCTCTCTAGCGCGCATGTGAAAGTGGACTTTCCCTAAACCCCTTTTTGGCATGTGATGTCTACTGACACGAGCTTGCGAAAGCCATCTCTTGCGATGAGGAGTACTCTTGAGCTGGCCTCAGTCGTCTTGCTTCAGATATAAATTGCCCGCAAGAAGAGAATGTTGCTGCTCTGTGTGTCGAGGGCTTTGCTTCCCAAGCCCAAGGCCAGAACCAAATGTATTGGACAGATGGAACGGAAAGGGACTCTTTACGAGCGCGACTTGTAATCTCTGCTGATAATGGATGCAGGCTGACATGATGGGACCTCAATGAAAGCTCAGAAAGACGAGAAGCTTTCCAGGAAGGGGCACGCTTTCGTTTTCCAGCACCACAAACCGGAATTGAAGCAATCTAGTTCGTTCGCCGATACTTCGCCCAAGCAGAAGCAATGCTTTCTGTATGAATGCGAGATGATGAGAACGAAGAATAGTGAGTCTCCGCATGCTTAGACAGCCACTGGCGTTTCAGACGAGCCGTGTTGAGCTGCGCCCACTAGCGCGCATGTGAAAGTAAGCATCCCCGAGATCCTCACACTTTGACCCTGAGACCCAGAAAAGAAGCGCCACATGCAAACCGGACCGTCCCTGAGCCGCTCTTACATGTCTGACACGCTTGCTTGCTTGCTCTCAGTCCAGCCAGCGTCTATCAATCAGCCCCGCCAGCCCTCTCAGCTCTTCCAGCGGCCACCAGCAATCATCCCAATCGCCATTCCGATGCGCCTTGACGATGGCGTGAGCGGTCGCGACGATGGAAGAGTACTGTGACGGCGGCTGTCCCGGGTTGATCGGCTGCACGCCTTCGTCCCGCTGAATCCGCTCGCACCATTCCATCAGCCCTGCCCAGTCCGGCTTGCTGTCGACCGCTTCAATGGCGATCGAGACTTTCCCCGCCCCCCAATTTTTCGCGCCGTAGTATTCCGCCTCGACTTCCCACTCGAAGCGTCGCGTCCACCGCTCAAACGCATTCACCAGGTCGGCATTGCAGTCCCGCACGTCCGCGACGAATTGGTTTTCGAGATACCACATCTTTCGGGCTTCCGAGCGGATTTGACGACACACACTGAGGAGCGCGGGTTCTTTCAGGGTGGAGGTGATGACGATGCTGTCTTTCTCGACGTGTACGAGTTCGTAGATGAAGTTCCTCAATTCCGCCGAGAGAGAAAAGAAGTTCGTGGGTTCCTACGTTGCCTCACGTCAAAATTGTACTCGTGGAGATCTTGTTCAGCTATTCTTGCTTACATCGTCATTGTCGCGACTCGCGGAATCTTGTTTGGGCCTCTTGCTCGAAGAGAACAGTGCCTCTGCTTTGCGTTTTGAGCCCATGATTTCGCCAGTTGTCCGAAAAGTTGGACCGGATGTTCAGTAACCAGAATCGAAATGCCAGTCAAATACATAGGTTGTGCCAAGAAGCGGTCCGAGCTTCAGAAGTATGTAGATGAATGAAGAAGGGGAAATCACGTTGTCATCTGCGGAACATCCTAGGCGCTTACGGCTGCACAATTCACTTGAGTCCCTTCTCCGCCGTTCCATCGACTCCGGAATGTTGTAGTGGTTTCCGCTTCGTAAGGCATCACGAGACACTCTTCCAATAGTTCGAATGGTCTTGAACCCTCAGTCTTCAAGCCAGCGCGAGTCGAGGTTACTCGCGAGCTTTCTCAATTGCTCCAGGAGATCCACACACGTTACCAAGCGCAGACTTCTGTAAGTAATCGAGACACGAGCGCCATTCTGCACCGAGTCTTGATTCTCAACCTCATACACATGCTTCTCAAAAGCATTCACAACAGCAGCATCGCAATCGTGGACCCTGGCTATGAATGCATTCTGGAAATACCGTATCTTTCTCGCCTTGGAACAGAACGGATCTGGCGTGAAACAAATAGAAGAGGACGTTCTTTGAGATCCGCGTTAACCGTAATGTCTCCATCTTGTCGGAGAAGCAGTTCGTAGATGCTATTTCTCAGCCCGCAAGGCAGAGAGAGCAGTAGAGAAAACTCCTGCGTTTCCCCTGCGTTCCTCGATCAGGTCTACGACGCAAGATAAAGGGGAATGCGTGTACTTGCCTCGTCTGCGGTCTGTACGCCGCCATAATCCAGGTTGTCCTGTTCGCTGCTCTGCGCAGGCAGGATATTGCCGTCGTCTTTTGGCTCCATCCGTCTGTCCAATCGAGAAGGCTGCTAGTAATAATGTTGTGGAGTATGCGCAGTTAGTACGGCGTGTCGAGAGATGATTCGTCTAGTGTCTGGTTGCATGAGAAGGAAGTTCCAAGCGACTTGATCCAAACATTGCGCTAGCGCAAGTGAACGCCTTCGAATGCCTCAGGTTGATCTGCGCGCTGTCTCGCATACGTCCACTCTCTAATGATGTCGATTCGCGTAAGTTCGCTTGTCATCGTTGATCAATCATTGATTTTTCCCCTTGGAGTCTTCTCCGTTCGAACGCCCAAACGCCATCGCTCAATGCACTTTTGGTCTCTCATCCCCAGAAGACGGTCCCAGATCCCGATTCACACCTCTTTCTCCCTGCCCTCGAACGCCATGAAAATGCCTGATGATTTCTCAACTTTGTCATGAAACACATCGCGGCGATACCGATCGCGAGTCAGGTGCATTCCCCGGAGATTGGTCCGCCGCCGAATTGACCTGCTGGCTGAAGACTGTCCCAGATGCACCTGGAAGGTTGGCGACATTGGTCGGTCTTGAGGCAGAGCTGATCACAAGGGTCGTGTTCACACCATTGCTGCCTCTTCGCTCCTCAGGAACGACGTCCTCGTTTTCCTCCGGTATCGGCGCGCAATATTCCCTTAGCACCTTTTTGAGCTGCGGTCTTCGAATAGGTTTGGAGCTGCAAACAGCGTCAGCACGAGCAACATCGAGTCACGACTCAGTCAACTTACAGGAAGGAGTTCATGCCGGAATCAAGGCAGTCCTTGATATTACTCTCCTCCGCAAACGCCGTCAAAGCCACAATCGGGGCCCGGTACCCAATCTCACGAATGAGTCTTGTGCTCTGCAGACCATCAACGTTCGGCATTTGAACGTCCATGAAGATCAAGTTGAATGGTTGAGAATCCTCGCCACTCATGGACGCCTTGACCATGTCGAGTGCTTCTTGTCCATCTTTCGCAACCGTGACGTCGTATATATCCTCCAGCTTCAACATGCGCAGAACAACCTCTTGATTGACCTTGTTGTCCTCTGCAACAAGCACTCGCAACTTGCCGCTTCTGGTTGCTTCAGCGCTGATCTGCTTCATTGCCGCCGGTTGAGAGGTCGGCGACTCCAATGGCTGGCTGGCCGCAAAGAAAGGTTGGCTGAGTCCAACAAGTCGAGGCTGGGAATCACTGTTAATGTTGGTGCCACCCACTCCAGCTCTGGAAGGATGGTGTGCCTCTGTTGTCGAGGCCTGCATGCCCGCGCGCTCGGCAGCAACGCTCGGAGTTCCTGAACGGAAACTATCCACCGAAGAACTGCGACTGACATTGTCGAAATTATCCATTCCGAAGCTAGCGGAACTGTCCATCCGTGCATGCACAAGTCGCAGTGGTATCTTCACCATGAAAGTACTCCCAACTCCGATTGTACTGCGTACACCAATGGTGCCACGCATCAGATGCGCCAATTGCGAGCAGATGCTCAGCCCCAAGCCAGTACCGCCAAATTTCTTACTCAGACCCAGATCACCTTGCACGAAGGGTTCGAAAATCCTTTCCTGCAAGGGCTCAGGAATACCAGGTCCCGTGTCAGTGACTTCGAGTTCAAAGTAAAGGTATCTGCCCGGTGGCGGCGAGGGATCTCGCTCGTGCGTATTGACATACGCGAGCGCGTGCGGCTTGTCTTTAATGTTGATAGCATTGGCCGTGCTCATCTTCGCAATCGAAAGCGTGCTTTCTGACGTTCTATGACGAGATGACGGTTGTCGAGATCGTCTTGAGTTTAACGAGGTCTTCCCGCTCATGTCTTCCGGCACTTCAGGAAGACACCGTATGGTCAAGACGACCGATCCACCTCTGGGCGTGAATTTGAGGGCATTGCTCACAAGATTGATCAAAATCTGGAGAATGCGGTGCACGTCTCCCCAGAGAACCATGTCCTTCATCCTGCCAGTACCGGCAGGTCCGTCTTGTGTCAACTCGGGCAAATTCCCGTCTCCCAAGTGCTGTACTCCCTCATATACCACCCGTAGTTCGATCTGCCCTTCTTTCGCTTGCTTCTCGAAAATGCTCTTAATCTGGGTGCTGATGTCATGTAACCGGAAATCTTTCTCGTCCAGGCTCAAAGACTGCCCTACTTGATTCTTGGAGAACGTCAACAGGTCTGTCAAAAGGTTCAGTAACAAATCACCACTCTTGTAGATGATTCCCAGGGATCGCTTAAGCCGTAGCGGATCATTCTCTTGCATGCATACAGCACACATGCCGAGAATGCCGTTAAGGGGAGTTTTGAGCTCGTGCGATATGTTGGCAATAAAGAGCGTCTTGCTCTCATTGGCTGCTTCTGCGGCTTTCTTGCTGAGCTCCAACTCGGCCGTCCGCTGCTGCACTCTGTCTTCTAATTTCGAATACTGCATCATGAGCTCGTCGCTCATTTCGTTGAAAGTCCGAGTGAGGTCTGAAAGCTCATCTTTGATGCAGTGCTTCTGCTCCTTGACCTTTCCAGGGATGCGGAACGCACGCTTTGCTCGCTCGGCACGACGCGTTTGGGCGTGCTTTTCCCGTTTGCTCTTCCATCGCAGCACGGGATTCCGGAAGCCTTCCTTGCGAGCCTCGACCGGGTCAGGCTCATCCGCGTCGTCTGTTCCGTCGGCGTGGCCATCGAGAGAATCGAGGCTAGAGCGGCTAGTGCTACTCGGAGGCTCGATTGACCGTGCTGTCGCCCGCTGTAGTCTCAAGATTGGCAAGCTTGCAAAATGCGCCAGTGGGTATGAAACGACCGCCATAAATACTGCCGTCGCAAATAGACAAGCCAGTATGACAACGCGAAGCCTGTTAATCGGTGACCATACTTCCTGCCGACTTTGCTCAACCAGGACGATCCAGTCAACCGCGTCAGTATGGGCCATTGCATAACCGACACTCACCTACTATCAGTAAGTATGAATCCGTATTGGCCAGCAGTCCCTGCCGCATGGAAACGATTCAATCGAGGAACACTTACGGGCTCTCCAGCTTCGTCCTTCGCCCGAACGTTCGATCCCATGCTGGCGGAGGCGTTTCCATCCGCTTCGGCCAGTGCCTTATAGATCGTCGGGTAATCACTCGCGTCGAACGGCCCATTAGACGCCCCGACGACATGATCAGGATGGCGTTCCCTGCTTGTCTCACCCGTTCGCAGTGGCAGAACGAACCGCACCTCATACTGTGGAGTCTCGTTGTGTGCCGCAGCGCTGGTGATGTTGCTTGGAAACTTGTTGGAGCTTGCAGCAGGACCAAGCAGGATTGTTTCGCCACTGTCTCCCAGGCCGTCAGTCGAGTCCATGACTGCACGAATCAGCCGACTGTCCATGACAGCCGTTATCCAGCCTATCACATCCTGGTCATGGTCGTTGCTCACGATTGGGAGGGTCAGGGACAATAAAGAAAACGTTTGATTGACCATCCAAGGACCAAGTATCAGTGTGGAGTCGGACCGCAGGTTCACGCCTTGATAAGACACGATGGGTACGTCCGGGCCGGCATTGCTTGGTGGGTTGAGATAGGTCAGGTTCGGATAGAGTGGTGGAGGATAGCCAAACGTATCGTTCGCCCCAAGGTGAACTGGTGTTCCGTTGGGATACTTGAAGGGCAGAACAATCTCGCTCGCATAGTCGGCTGTCGCACGAAAGAGGCCAGGCAGTCCGTCCCCAACCCCCGTGCCATCCTTGTTATAGACTATCGCTTGTATCATAAGCTCTTGACCCACAGACCTCTGTGGGCCCACAGCGGCCTGCAGATCTGGTTGTGCGTTGGTCCAGGCGCTATTCGAGGTATTACGATTCGGATAGTACAGAGTCAGCGCATTTTGGATAATAACCCTTGACGCGACGAAGCTGGCAGACGTCTGCATGACATCGATATTCGAAGCGAGTTGAGCGGCTTTGAGCGAAGCGACAAGAGACAAGCGTTGGGCTCGAAGGGAGAGGACGAAGTCGTGAACGGTAACCCACGTTGCAAGAGATATGACGGCGAGTCCAATGAGCGAGGAGATCAATAGCAGGCTGCCCAGTTGGATCCGAATGGGAATTCGCATTGCGGCCTCGAGGGGCGCTGCTCGGCGAAGAGCACACGCGGCCGTAAGAAGAAGACCTCGACGGATGGGAGGGCGCCCATACGGCGAGTCCGTGTTGCAGGTTGCACGATCTCGAAGCCAAAACCAGTGCCTCGAGGACACAATCGAGGATACAGCAATGGCGCTGTTCCCGCAGAGGACGTTTGGCCAAGCTCTCCCATTACCAGGCTTCCACGCTCTTGATCACCAGGTTCGGCATGTCGTGGTGTTCCAAACGAGAGTCGCGTGAGGTGAAATTGACGCGATATGAGGGAACGTCAAAGGTATAGCAGGGCAGATCGGGAGTGGTCTTCTCACGCAGGCCGAGGTCGGGAGAGAAGGACGTATATGTAGGTTTCGTCTTCTGGTGTTGCTAGTCGCAGAGGGCTTGCATGCGCGCCAGACGTTGGTCGGCTGCGGTGTTCAGGCTTAGACGAGGCGGAGGAGCAAGAGCTATCGCGGCCGTGGTGATGGTCGTCGGGGGGGGGAGGATTTGTTCTCTGTATATCGCGGTCAGAGGAAGTCGCGTGTTGTGGCTTTCGATGGTGAGAGCAGAGTGAGGTCGCACGCAGGACGCCGCGCCTGGGCGGAGAAGAAAAGAAGGTCCTGTGGTCGGCATGAGGAGGCGCTGCGGTTGCCCAGCATGCACGGCGCGAGCACAGCAAACGGTCTGGGCCGTCTGGAATGCTGCATCACATCCCGGCGCACATCACATCGGGGATGCTGAACTCCGTTCGCCATGGAGCACATGTTCTGTGGTGAGAAACGCGGGAAAATGGTTGCCAACAAACAATTCGTTCCATCATATCCCCTGGCAGCCATGTTCCTGGCGCGGAGGAGAGTTTGGTTGGCTTCCACGTTTGGCGGGAGAGTTCGCGCTGACAAACCGTGAACTCCTCCCTGTAGGCAGGTGGGGCAGACCCCGCGGAGTCGGCGACCGCAGCCGATGAAGTCACCCCACCACCTAGCCACCAATGGAACCTTTCTTTCAGACGACATGGTACAAACAGTGCTACCGCTGGGGCCGTGTGTTCCGCTGCCATCCCAACAAGAGCTCCGAGACAAAGCGGCGGTGGTGAGCGTTGGCGACGTGGAGGGTTGATCAAGTGTGGGCGCTCTGGGACGACGTCGTGCGTCAGGAATGCTTGGGATATACTCCCATTCCCCATTCCCGGCGAAGACTGTCGATAATGAACCGGATCATTGACCTTCATCATGTGTTTCAAAATTCAATGACATATTGATTGACTCCGAAGCTCCTTGTGCCGGTGGAAGAGCTGTCCCGCGACGCCAATTTCGACCTCACCTCCTCCGACAAGACAATGGCATCCATCAACATGCGCAAAGGCGACGTCACCGAATTGATCGAGTACATGCGCTCCTGTGAGAGCATCATGGCTGTCGTCGGAGCTGGACTATCCGCTCCTTCTGGCATACCAACCTTTCGACACGAAGGAGCTAATTGGCGGGGCCTACCGATTGCACTACTGTCTCAGTCTTCAACGTGGGAGAAAGATCCAGTGCTGATGTGGGCCTACACAGAGAACAGACGTCAGATGTGTCGTGTCGCGCAGCCAAACACTGGCCATAGAGCGCTTGCAGCTTTGGCAAGGGCCAAGCCAGACTTCTTGACTATCACGCAGAACATCGACGGTGAGAGATTTATTGGTTTCATCGTTGTCTGACAATACGCTGATGAGACCTCCTCAGGCTTATCCCATCGAGCACAACATCCCCCTCGCCAGTTGGTCACCCTTCACGGCTCCAACCATGGTATCAAATGTTCAAACAAGGACTGCAACTACACAGCAGAGAACTACACCGACCAGTCTACCGTGCCCGGCTTGGAGATGCCTGCGGAATTTTCCGACTCAACTATACCTCTACCTCAGATCGACAGACAGGCTATTCCCCGATGTCCGAGCTGCAAATCTGCAATGCTTCGTCCGGGCGTCACCTGGTTCGGAGAATCGCTTCCTTCCACATCCATGACTCATATTGATGGCTGGCTTGATGCACATGAAGACGTCAATCTTTTGCTCATCATCGGAACCAGCCGATCTCCTTTCGTTGCGGACGCCATTGAGCGCGGCGCTAGAACGGCAGTATTCAACATGGGAAACGACGCGGAGCCTTGTGACGACGATGACTGGGTCTTGGATGGCGATGCTTCTCAAACTCTGCCATACGTGATTGAGAGGGCTCTGGGGACTCATATCTGAGTGATCATGTGGCAGGACATGCCTGACTGGAGTCCACTGCCTCTCCAAGATTCACTACGCGCCGCTAAGATCTCACGCTAATGATGCTCACGAGCACATCGCGACGACGACGTCTTCGAGAGCTACCTCGACTCAATCACTCGCCAGAGCTCTTGCCCAGCATCGGAAGAGAATGTAAGGGTCGTGATTTTTGAACACTGACACCAGTCCTAGGATTCATTCGGACACTTCTTTTCGATACAGTCGTGAGCGCTGGACGGATCTCTTTCGCTTCAGAGAAAGGAGAGGAATCGAGCAAGTTTGGAGGACGGAAAATATCTTTCCTTATCGAGAACCCGGCTTCGTGTGTACTATGGTACTTTATGAGACATGGTGGCATTCGATTTTGAGAATTTCGCGTGAGAGGGTATAGAATCAGAATGGTATGATCCACATGCACATCACATTCCAACGAGATGTAGTGATTTGACAGAAGGCCAAGATGTCTATCATATCCTTGTCAACAACACACGGCAGGCATCACTCGGCCGATGGATGGGCGCCAAGCAATGGAAGCCTGATCTCCTGTTAGCGCTCAACACTAACTCTCATTTCAACGTCTCGTCCTACACCACCAGCCACAAATCCTGCCTTGCCAAACGACTACTTAAGACAAAGACATCTGCAGAAATCGAATGAGATTCACACAGTCGCAGCGATGGAAGGACGCATCAAGCACCGGGACTGTCCCAGTGGATATTGCATGCGGCCGGGTGTTGAGATGTCAACAAGAAAACATGCAATTCCATACAATATCTAAAGCGCAGAGCAGAGCAGAAAGCAAGGAAGCAAGAAAGCAAAGCAGGAAAGCAAAGCAGGAAAGCAAAGTGAGAAAGCAAGAAAGCGAGAAAGCAAGAAAGCGAGAAAGCAAGAAAGCGAGAAAGCAAGAAAGCGAGAAAGCACGAAAGCAAAGAACAGTTATTTTGCAAGCCGTCGAGAACACGACGACTGCGGAGACAGGCGTCTCTTCGACACCCGCTCAAATCCCGGGACAGGTATCTCTTCGAAACGACAGGTGTTTCTTCGATACCCCAGTCATCGACACTCTTCGACGCTTCAAAACGAAAAAAAGGAAAGAGAAAGGAATGATGGAGCGAATTCGCATCCGAAGCAGAAGCTGCACGAAGCAAGCTCATTTCGCTTCCCTCAGCTCAAATTATCGAGGCTGGTCCGGCTGGCCTTGGTTCAAGGCCGAGCCGTCTGCAGGCGACAACACCAGGGCGCTGGTCTGCTCGCCGCCGTCTGTATCCATACCATCGTTTGATGGGACCGAGAGCAGCCTCTGCGGATCGACCTGAGTACGCGCTTCAGCCGGCCTCTGAGCCGGCATCATCGTCTGGACTTGCAAACTGCTGGATTGCTCTCGGACCTGCTCACGCAAAGAATTGCGTCCTCTTGTTGCGACGCCATGATGTCCAGCGAGCGCCTGCAAATTTGCCTGATGCAGGGCTTCCTGCTGCTGACGCATTTGACGAAGATCGAATGGACGAGGAGGGGGACGATGTTCGAATGTACCCGCATTGATCCTAAGACGCGGCGGAGCCAAACTAACACCTCCGTCTTCCGACGAAATGTCGCTGGGACATCCGTGTTCCTCGACGTCGCTGGCATTTCCATCTTCGGACGCACCTTCATCGTCGGGGTTGCGGGAACGTTGGCCGTCTGTAGCAGATGAGTTCTTCTCCTCGGCCTTGCGAGCTTTCTTTGCATCTCGAGCTTTCTTCGACCGCAGCCTCTTGTGCTCCTTCTTACGCTCGCGCTGGCGTTCCTCAGCCTCAGCCTTCTCGCGCTCGCGCTTCGCAGCCTCCTGATTGCCCTTGGCCTTCTTGTTCGCGGACTCAGCGGCATAATCAGCGGCATGCTGAAACCTACAGGAATCGCCCCACTTGCAGCTGCCTGATCGTCTCCAATTGCGACAAAGCTTGGAGTCCGTAGGAGGCTGTGGCGCATCGTCTTGTCGCTTGCGCTTATTGGCGTTGATGGCGGCACCCTTCATCTTGTGTTCGCCCTTTCGGTTAGAAGTAACCAGGGTCTGGGCCACCTCCATCATCAACTTCTTAATGCGCTCGTCCTCTTCTTCTTTCTTCTTCTTCTTCTCGGCTGCTTCAGCCTCTTCTTTCAGCTTCTTGGCTTCCGCGGCTGCGATCTTGGCCTTGTACGCCTCGGCCTTCTCGGTCTTCTCTTGCTCCTGTCTCCGCATCTCAGCACGCATTTCGCTTCGAACTATGGCAGGAATGCTCTCAGCTGTAGGACTCGGCTGCTGGTTGACTTGGTTCCACAAATGAGAATATCCCGCAGATGGCTGTTGCCATCCGTGATGCTGTGGTGGTCCATAGTTCCCACAGACTTGAGACGCACCAAACTGCTGGTGGAAAGGATACTGGCCAAAGTTGTACTGGCCATACGGGTTCTGCCCAAACGGGTTCTGCCCAAACTGCGGCTGGCCAAACTGCGGCTGGCCAAATTGGCTCTGACCCAACTGAGGCTGACCGAGCTGAGGCTGGCCGAACTGTTGCTGGTGGAACTGGTTCTGGCTCTGCCCAAATTGATTCTGATTCGGATTCGGATTCTGAACTTGGTCAAACTGGTTCTGGCCGAACTGTTGCTGACCGTACTGTTGCGGATTCTGGCCGAAGGTAGTCGGAATCTGCTGCTGCTGTTGACCAGGATTGTACTGCTGGCCGTTCTGATAGCCGCTCTGCTGTCCAAGGGAGGACTGCATTGCGGACTGCTGTGGCTGCTGCTGTCCAACATTGGAGTTTCCAGCAGCAGGATTCGCCGTGGTGTTGCCACCAATCTTGCACTGCCTGTCTATGAGTAGACATGGGAGGCACCTGATGGGCTCTCCTGGCTGTGCTCTCGCGTGAAGCTCTCGGTAGTTGCAGTGCGCTGTCTGGCCATGTTGTTCGCATGGCGTGCAGTGCTGCACCAACTCGGTCCGAGGGACTTCTGTGTCAGCCGTTGCCGGCCGACGTCTTTCTTGAGCTTTTGGACTCTTGGGAGGAGGTCCGTCTTTCTCGTCGTGCACCATTGTGTTGGATGACGATGTCCAAGTGCACTGGCGAGAGAGAAAGAGAAACAGTTTTAACCTCACTGAGTTTCAGAAGCTCCGTGGCGGCGCTAGCTCGGAATCCGGCAAGTTCAGGGGGACGTGCTTCATCAATATTTGATATTGAATTTGCTTGATGAGAGACGGACTGGGTCCGTTTGTTTGCTAGTACTGATGGGAATGTCCCCAATTCTAGGAACGTCTGGCCCACACAGGAACGATGTGAGTGCGAGAAGAGGCTATTAGTGAACAACTCAATCTTCTTTAAATCCGCTGGACCTCCACTGTCCTGGCCAGGTTGGGAAGCGATAAACTCAGAATCTATCTCTCTCTATCGAAAGTGGCAAACTCTCAAGGTCATCGTGCTCTGCCAGGCGAGCAACTTGTCTGCCTCGGCCACCGCTTTCTCAGAAAGGGCCCTGCTCCTTCCATATTCTCGTGTACCTCACGGTGACTCACAGAGACAGAGTCGCGCAAAGAGGGAGTCTTTCAATGCGCTATAGTCACGTTGTGGAATCTCAGTCATAGCCCAGGACCTCGCCACAATGCAACTGCTTCATTGGCCGTAGAGTTCAGCCACTCCGTCCATCTTTCAGTCATTTTCCGCAACAATTTCATCCACTGGTATCGCCACATCGTCCTTGCCAACCATATATTCCATCGCGCCTCCGATTGGTCTCAAAATGCATCCTGGCTGGGACGCAGGACCAGTTCCATGAAAGACCTTGCGAGACAAGCCCTCTGCCGTTGCAGCGTCGCCGACAGTGTCCACAAAATAGAGGGTCGTGACTTCCAGACGACTGAAATTTTGACCCATAAGCTGCACAACAGCATTCTCGGTAGCAGTGTCATCTCCGCCTGGTGTTCCATGGCCATTGTTGGCTTCCCTGCTCTTCTTGCTCTTTCTGGACTTCTTCTGGACCGGCGAAGATGCTTCGGCAGTATGTTGCCACTCACAATCTTGATCTCTGTTGCAGTGACCGCGACGAAAGTGTATTCATGGCTTCGTGCCCTTCTTGGCCTCGCCTTCGTCCTGCTGCTTGCGCTTTTGGCCGTGGTTCTCAGGCTTTGGTCTAACTGGGAGGTGCTGCTGTGGCGCCATTTTGTGTTGATCCTCAGAATGTCAGCCTTTTTCCAATATATCGCGATTCTCAGTCTGCTTGGAGTTGCTGGAGAGAATGCTGTAACGTGGTCTGGAGTTCTTGACGTCGGTGGTAGCGGCTGCTTGTATTGTGTCCAGAGCGGCGGAGTAGCCACGCTTCTTTGTTTTCCGCTATGTGCAAGATCGCCACGAAGGAGTCTTGTGGGCTGTCGTGGTGTCGCGCTTGTATTTCGAGTGAGCCGCTTGGGATGAAGAAGTGCGGGGAGGATTCTCGTGCTTTCACATGCTTAGCTCGGGACGGGCCGCCAACGCTAGTAGTGGCACTAGTCCCAAGCGGGAATCCCCGTCGTAGTCTCCCAGCGAAATCTCCAAACTACATTTCCGCATCACAGACAGCAATCGCGTCCCGCCCAGGTGATCCAATACACCACGCCATCAAACGCGACCAGGACGAAACAAAGCGTTTGTATGGCGTGCTCAACAAACACCTGCGAGACTCCGCAACGGACTACCTCGTCGGCTACAGGTGCACCATTGCGGACACTGTGTATTGGGGTGGGTGACTGTTGCTCAATGGCACATCCAGCTGGTCCACTTGATGCATTCTCAGCACTGAAGGTATGGGAGCAGAGGATGTTCGAGCGAGAAGGGTCGCAGAAGGGCGGACATGTTGGCGGAACTCACCACCGGGAGTTGCTGCATAATCCGGATGCAATGAGGGCATTCAAGGAGAGAGAAAGACCATTCTACAGACAGCAGGAAACAGCTGCGAAAGCGAAGGAGAGAAATAAAACAGAATTACATAGCTGTTGCATCTCCACCTTATTCAACAATAAAACGGGGTATCTTTCATGAACAAAAAGCAATGCACATTGGGGCTCCAGGACGTCGAAACCTCAAGAAGCCGCAAGTTCTTTGCGCAACTGAGACGCAATTTCGTTGACAAGACTGGGGCCATCAGCCCTGGGCTGATCAGGAGTCGCTGGCAAGGACTTCCGCGATCTCTCTGGTGGATGCTCCATGCTTCGTTTCTGCGGTACAACAGGCTGCGCCCACGCAGGCCTTTCTTGCATCAAAGGCGCAGGAGGTATCCTAGGCCGAGGCGCAGGCCCATTGGCCACTGGATGGGTGACGCTCAAAGGTCGCCACGGCTGCCCGCTGTTTCGAGCCCTATCAATCGGTTGAAGTGGCATTCTCGTATGTTGAGAGGTATACGGCCGCGGCACAGACGGAGGCAATGCACTTGATGCTTCTATAAAGGCTTTGTGAGTAGTTTCCGGGTCCGTCATGCACGCGCTCCGTACGTCAGGAAGCGACGCTCGGGTTGCGTTGGTTGCCGTTGGACCTGGCGCCGGTTGTAGGGTTATAATTTGGGGATTCACAGGAGCGGTATAACTAGGCTGCGGTGGAGGCCAATTATTCGCAGGCTGAGGCGCGCTGTGCGGTGTCGATGCTCCTGCAGCGAATGAGGGGCGTGCAGGCGTTGATGTCGGAGCTGAAGCAGGTACCGACGCGCTTGTTTCGTATAGCAGCATTCTCTTGTGCGGAAGGCCTGGGAAGGGTATCTTGATTGATTGACCATGTGAAATTTCGGGAAAGTCCTCTCTGTCCGCGCTGGTCATGTCCAAAAACGGTATTACAATGTCCATTGCTTCTGGTATGCGCTTGCAGACTTCAGACAAGGCTTCCCGCAGACGGTCGGCGGGATTCGAAACGATGGCGTCCAGGCAATGTTTTCGCCGTTTATCCGCATCCGTGTCTTCCGTAATTTGAGACCTCATCTCTTCGCCTTTGTGTGCTTGCTTCCAGGGTCGGCTCACATTTGCGATGTCGTGCTTCTGTATGTATTCCACTTCGTTGCTGATGTGCCCAAACTTCTCCTTGATCCACCGCATCACGGCGGGAAGCGTATAATGCTCCTCCACCTTCAGCTTGCAGCAGTACATCAAGCCGTCTGTCCGCTTGTATCGATCGCACACGTCTAGATCATGCGTATGTTGGAGAGCCTTGTTTCTCGTGGTGGTGGTTCTCTCGAAATGTGCCCACTCAGCCAGACATTTGCAATTCAAGAACCCAGGCGGCCCACAATGTTCTTCCGGGTTTTCAGCATGCTTGGTGTAGGACACGACCCTGATGCGCGGTGTACATGCCTCAGAGTCTCCCAGAATATTGTCTTTATTAAGTCTGTTCCTCATTCCAGTGCCCTGACGCGCGCCGTATTTGTTGCCTTTGCTCTCCACACGTCTTCGTATTCGGCACTCCCAGACCTCAACTACCGTACCATTCGGCTCCACACTCGGCCGTGTAGATCTCCCCCAAACATTGCTCATGTGAGGCCAGTAGTCGGCAATCTGCTGGCTGTCCAGCAGGAAGGGCTCGTCCATTTTGAATAGCTTCTCCCTGACAGCCATGATGTCGGGTGGAAACGGTCGATACTTGACATGCTTGTTCGCGTAGTGCATCATCGAGCCAACAACGGGCGGCATGTTGAGCTGCTGGCCCCGAGAGCGGTGATCCTTGTCCTGCTCCTTGTCTTGGTCCGCATTCTGATTGCCATTCTGCTCATTTTTCCGCTCCGTATCCCTCGCCGTGGTCTGATCGCTATTCCGCTGTTCTGTGCTCACGCTGGTGTTTCGCTGAGTGCTCACTTGTGCCGTCTGGGGCGGATCCTGTCGCGGAGTATGCTGCTGCGGTAGCAATTGAGTCTGAGGCAGCTGAGGGAGAAATTGCGGTGTTTGCTGTGGTGGAGGATGTATGATCGGCTGCGACTGCGCCTGCTGTTGATTTGGCGGTGACATGTGCTGTTGGGTATTCTGCTGGACGTCTCCCTGGACATAGCCATATCCATGTCCAGTGCTATTTGAGGGACCCGCGTCAGGCCTACGGACGGCGTCATGGAAAGCCTGGAGGCCGGAGAACTGGTCGTAGCCATTCTGAGGGCTGTAGTAGTATCCGTTGAATTGCATGTGGGCGACGGCGCATCGTTGTTCCTCGGTACATTGGCATTCTGTGGATGATGTTCAGGAGCATGTCGCGCTCGCGTCGAGCCTCGGGAAGTGGTCGGTCTCGATCTCGGTCTCGGGCCGTGGGGAAAGGCTCTCCTTGCTCACTCTCAAAATACGATGACACAATGAGACACTCCAACTCTTATTATTATTACAGATTATTCACTGTCTCGCTGATCTACTGTCGCTACTTCAGTTGCTTCCCTTGTCCGTACTCGTGCAATTAATCCCCTGCAACAGACTCTCGTCTACCTTTCCACACGTAAACTCGTTCTCTGTACCATCCGGCGCCATTACCGTAATATCGCTGAGAGTAATGTTCGAGCACACGCTGGGGCTACTGCAAACCACATATCCTGAAATCGGTTCGACTTTGCTGCTCGTCGTGCCCCAAACATTCCTGATGAAGATATCGCTGATGGTCAGATTAGATGGATACTCATTGCAGAGCGTCAAGTTCGTTTGGCCGTAGCATTGGGTGATCTCAATGGCATAGTCGACGTCGGTGACGGTCATGTCTTGGTAGGTCACGTTCTTGACGCGGCCGGTACCGCCACCGCCTTGGAGGTCGCCGGAGAGCTCGGCGGGAGAGCCGGGCCAGACTTTGATGCGCGCACCGTCCGAGGCATTGAACATGGAGATGTTGTAGATCTGCAACTCATCAGCATCTCCGGCTCGTGCGAGACGGGTTCGGATACTCACCAACAGGTTTTCCACAATATCTACCTCCCCAACATACTGGCCAAGGGAACCCACACTGATCCCGTGCGATCCGTTGCAGTGCAGATTCTGCACCAGAACTTCCGTGCTATTCGGCTTGAAACTCACGCAGTCGTCCCCATTATTAATGATCGAGTTCTGGATCACCACCTGGGCAACATCAGCATCCATTCCCTCCCCAGCCAACGGGACACTCACATTCTCGCTCCGGTACGTATCCCACCCATCCGTATTTTTCGCCACATTCTCACTCTGACTATACCCATTAATCGTAATCCCATCAAAGACCACATCGGAACTATTCGCCACCAAGTTGTACCACTGCGGCGAATACCTCAAATTCAGATCCGCCACCATCCCACCCTGCAATCCAATCGTGCCCAACAAGACCGGCCGCAGAATGCTAATGTCCTCGGCATACAAATCGTACCACACCTGTCCATTCCCGTCCAACATGCCTCCACCGTAGACATTCACATCCTCGCCTCCGAGCTGGAAGAACGTCGTCGCATTCTGGAAAGTCTGGTCGAAAGCGTTGGCCCGCCAGTAATCCGTATCATTGGTGAATTGGATATAGGCTTGGATATCGATATCGATGTGTTTCAGGAATGTAAGATCGAGTGCCGTTCCAACGACATAGGTGACACCAGCCGGGAACACCACATGTCCGCCTTCATTGCAGCTCTCCAATGCGGCGAGAATGTATTCCGAATCGTCAGTCGTCATGTCATCATGGCTTTCCACACAACAGATTCGACACCGCTCTGGCGAAGTGGGAAAGGCATCAAAGGGCGAGTTCGGCTCGAACGAAATCGTGGGTCGGCAGCTTGGAGACTTCGTCAAGTTGGCGGGTAGGGAAGAAAGATATTCCTGATACGCAGTCCAAGTAGCGGTCGCCGGGAGACACTGTAGCAGCACAGTCGCTAAAACGTTGAATATCTGCATTTTGCGATTGCCATGAGCAGAGAGAAACAATGTCTCTGGAAAGATTCTCATCGAAGTAACATCAAGAGGTGGCCAGCGGCGAGTATTCGGCCTATTGTATTAATAGCCGGAGTCATTCGGCCGAACGTCGACGTATCCACCATGCTGCTTCTACGCGAGATGAGAATGCTGCGATGGAACTTCACTGCATAACATCCACAAGGTTCTCCGCATGGGGGCCAAATCTTGGCAAACGTACCTTCCATAATCGGGCTAGCCCTCCCGCCTGCATGTGACCCAGACCATGATTGGCGGAAGATTGAGAGCCTCCAACTTGACACTGCTGAGCTCACCTCTTGGGAAATAGGTGAAGAGGAGGATGGCAACGAAGACCCAACAGTCTGTGTCATTGCATTTGAGGAATCTGTACCTGGGCGGCACCATACGATATTAAAGTCTTTCCTCCAAAACGATGAGCTGCGGTTAGGCCGAAGTGCCTAGTCAGTACCCAAAACAACACCACGAACTCGAAGCAAAGCAGTCTCCGCACGGTGTCTCGAATGTAGAATCATTTCCAAGCTCGCTTTCTCAGTCGTCTGAACACGCTCCGGAGAGAGACATAACCTCAGCAAGCCGCGCTCCGCCTCTTAGTACTCCATTCCCTCAATCCTCACCATGAGTTGGTCGAATGCGTCAACAACATCAGAGAGCGCGACTTCATGGGTCACAGTCCCAGCAGTATCCCCACCCTTTCGGGTCAAGAGGGACAGACGTCTCACAAGCACTAGTGATCTCCACACGGTCGCACGGGATCTTTGGATAGCCCATCATTTCAGCCCACTGGCGGCGGGAGCGAGGAGCAAGAGGAGCCGACCAGTCCTCGTCATCCTCTCCACCACCGATCATGCGTGGACCGACGACACCGTAGCTTCCTGCCCGGTTTTGGACGCTGAAGTTGACAGGAGTGTTCGGATCGCGCTCTGCATCAGGCCCGTATCCTCTGAACTTGATCTCGCGCCCATCACCACCTGCCCATCCATATCTGCCTCTCATCGAGGCCGCAGAGGCGATAGACCATCCGCGCGGAGGAGATGGTGGAGATCGACGCGGCGACGTGTCATCTGACCTTGGAGAAAGCGCAGGAGTCCCTGGAGAACCCGAGGATGGCGCAGCGGCTCTACCAAGGTTGATGGGATGACTGTTGCCGGTACCGTCACGCACAACCCATTGCAAACGATTAGTGGATGGATCGACCTCTGGCTGCAAGACATGGCCAGCTTGCGGAACAGGTTCTGACACAGCTTCAGCGCCGGAGGATTGTCCAAAGCTTTCCAGATGAGCGGCAACTTGTCCAGAGAAGGAGCCATCGGTATTGATCTGGCTGAAAGGGAGGGACAGATTGTACTGAGCGCTATCGTGCAAGTGAACGGGCGAGTTGCGGTTGTTGCGTCGAAAATGCCGGTCGAGGAAAATTCCCTGTTTGATATCCGGAGACAATGAACTCCACTCTGCATTGCTGATATATCCGTGCCGTTGCTGCGCTGGATGTGTTCGCTGCGGGTGCGTCGGAGTTGACTGCGCCATTGGTCTGAATTCTTGAGCGGTCGCTCTCAGCGAGCGCGGCTGAGATAAACTGCCCAGCATGCTCGCAATACCGGAAGACGATATGTGGCCAGCCGCTGGAACACCGCTGGATAGACCTGGCTGGCTAAAGTTGCTCGTAGTCCCAGCACGAGCTTGACGAAGGTGCGGTGAAGTCGCTCCATAGTCCTCTCGGGTCGTTGAGTCTGATTGCTTGTAAGGCGTCTTCGGCATGTTTTTATCCGCGGTGTTCACACCCGGCGCCGCACTGGTCAAAGGTCTGAATGCATTATCCGGGAGGTTGCTGCTCTTGCTCCGGTCCAGAAGACCAAGACGATTGAGCTTCTCGGTAATTGGACCCAGAAGATGTCCGTGTGAGCCTCGTCGCTTGATATAGTTGTTGGGCGGTAGTCCAGTCTCCTTGGCCACCACTGACAGCACCTCCGCCACTGTCGTGATGCCGATAGTCGAGCGACGTGATGAAGGATGAGTCGACGCAGCAGAGTACAGAGAAGAAGATGACGACATGTTGTGAGATCGCCGAGCCTGAGATAGCAACCTGGTGGTTCTATCCAAAAAGGCTGAGACCGCGGCTGAGGGTGGGCTTTCGAGGCGCTCTGTAATAATGTACTCCGAGTGAGATGAGACCGTTCGAGCTGACAGCGGCGCAGACTCCGAGTAAACGTCTGGCGGTGGCCGAGTCCAACCTGGAATGGTGGTATCGATCGGCGACGGCTGCTTCTGCACTCGTGGAGCCGCCTGCTTGACATTCTCCTGACCCAAGGTTGCCAGCTCACGCTGCGCAGTCGCCTTCGTTGGTGACATGTACGAGCGAATTGTCTGGGTTTCGGTACCTGCATCGGCTCTCGCTTTGACTTTATCCTTATTCGCAACCGGACGTGTATTTCCATGACGGGATGGGCTGATGGCGACGCCCAGTGATCCGACTGCTGCAGAGGTGTCCGAGGTTGCAGAAGCTGGCGATGAGGTCCACGCCCCTGGCAGAGAGCTCCGCTTCTGGTGACGCTGGGCCAGAGTTCGCACAGTCTTGTTGGGCGACGTCTCAGGGCTGCTCTTGTTTCCAGGTATCACCGAGTCCTTTCGCTGGCTCTCGCTAGTCCGAATCGAAGATGCTTTGGTGGGCTGCGCGAAGCGAGGAGGTTGCCGGATGGGTGAAGATGGGCCTCTGATCGTGTTACTGGAGTCGCCAGCCTGACGTCCAGCTGGAGAGAAGACAACGCTGTCTTCACTAGGTTCCCCCTCAGGGATTGGACTTGCAACAGCACCAGGGCTTGTAGCGGACGTGGTCGCGGCAGAGCGTGTAGGATGACGAGTGGGTGTAGAGTTCGACGGGGTCATTGAGACGACTGCGCGGTTGCCGGTTCGCTTTGATCCGGCTGAGATGTTGGCATACGATGCTCTGCGGCCGCGTGAGCTGCTGGAAGGTACGTTTCTTGTCTGTTGATGTGACGGAGTGGTGTTGCCGAGTGCTGGAAACTCGCTGGCGCTTGGTGGTGGTGGTGGCTGCTCAACCACAGGAGGCTTCGATGCTGCTTCTTTGGCTCGTCGCTCGTTCTCCTCGTGCCTAGCCTGGAGACGTGCTGCTGCCGACGGTCGCTGTGGTTGCGGGATTAGAGTGCGAGGGCTGCGAACGGTTGGACTTCGTACAGTCGGGCTTCTCGCAGTCGGGCTTGTCGTTGGCTCCAGTTGCGGTATAGCGTTGTTCTCGACAGCTGTCTGAGCAGCCTTGATGCGCTCTACCTCCTCTTGTGCCAGACGGAGGTCGGATTCAATGGCTTCAATTGATACACGACTCCTACCCGAGTTATCGTGCAACGAGTCACTGTACATACCACCGTCATGCGAGGAGATCGACTGGCTGTCGGTGCCAACGTTTTGCGCGTGAATGTTGCCGCGAGTCGAGACGGCGATGTGTTGTAGGTTTTCGCCGCTGCCAGAGCACCAGAAGTCAGCACGAATGTCGCATCGCAACCGGAACTCGGGATCCTGACTTACATGTCTGGCAGAATGCTGCTGTCTTCGGTATTGTCCCTGAGTCCCGTCTGCCTGGAACGGGTAGAGCGCGGCTGTTCGTTAACGTTCTGTACGTGGTCAGCGAGTGAGGAGTAGGAGAGGATCTGCCTGCCACTTACTACATTCCCTTGTGTGTCATGGTGCACCGGGTTGACTGCAACTGTCGACTTGCTGGGGCCGGAGGCGAATAGGCTCCTGAAGCTGGGTCGGCCAAAACCCAGAGTCGCCATATCGTCACCTTGGTCTTCTGATTTTGGTGCTGGATGCTGACTGCGAGGCTGCTGACGCGGTAGAGATAAGACGTTTGCGTAAGACGTCGGAGTGGATGATACTGAGCTCTTGTTCGCGGAAGAGGAAGCCTGTAGCGAAGATGCTGGTTTTGGGGGTGTTTTGGTCGAAAGTGCCGGGAAGGACTCGAGACTGTAGTCGTAGGCACCGGTGGGAGCTTTCGCTGGCTCCTGTTGCTGTTCTTGCCTGTCCTGCTGCTGTTCTTCCCTTTCCTGCTGCGGTTCTTGCCCATCCTGCTGCTGTTCTTGCCCATCCTGCTGCTGTTCCTGCCCGTCCTGCTGCTGTTCTTGCCTATCCTGCTGCTGTTCTTGCCCATCCTGCTCCTGCTCTTCGTGCCTGCTCTGCTGCGCCTGCCCTTCGCTAGCGGACTCACATTCTCTATTTGGCGGCGACGCGCCGAGCGGCAGTGCCTTCTCGCAGAACGCGGTAAGAAAGCAGCTTTGGTGCTGGCAAGCACCAAAGTAGTGGTAGCGATAAAAACACATTGCAGCGATCAACCTAGGAAAGAAGGTGCGCCTTACCTTGGAGTAGTTGCGCGTGTGCGCAGGGGAGGTGCGATGTGTGCTGGTAGTCGCGATGGACGTTTGCGATGAATTGGAAGTGAAGTCGCTTAGGCACGAGTGTGGTCAGAAAGCGCGCTAGCGGCCGCGCTAGCAGGGATTCTTCCAGGCCAGATGAGGAAGGAACGGAACATCCCCAACTTCATCGTCCTGGAATGGATCTCGGTGGAGCCATGGGATAAAACATCTGCCTTGCAGTCCCTTCCAATCTCGGGATGAACTCCATCTCCACGGAATAGAACTCGACGGAGCCGTCGAGGGCTACTGTCAGGCTTGACATCCCTTTACGAGCTCGCGATCAATTTTGCCGCCCAAATGTCATCGATCAAGCCACCGAAGAGTGCTACCGGGCTTCAGTATTCCTTTGGAACCTCGTGATCAAATTCCATGGGATAGAGCTTGGCAGAGCCATTGCAGAGGGATGCTATGCTTTGTTGTCTCTTCGCAAGCTCGAGATGAAGACAATGGGATTCGTCGCCCGAGTTTCATCTCCTCGGAAAAGAGGTTGATGGAGCCATTGCATAGTGCTATCAGGATGTGGCATCGCTTCGCGAACTCGAGATCAACGCCATCAGCCGTCTCGCCCAATTCGTCTCCATATCAGAGTTTCTGGCAGCATCATTGCGGAGTAATACTACGCTTTGGTATCTCTCTGCAAAATCGAGGGATAGAGCGGTTGGCTGCAGGCTTCCTCGTCCACATTTCATCTACCAAGAACAGAGCTCGACCCGGCAATGAAAGAGTGCAACCAGTCTTCGATGTCTCACTACAAATGCGAGATCAAGACAATAGGCTTCCTCGACTCCTTCCGACACGACCGTCGACTCTTTCCGACACGACCACGCCTGGCATTAGAATTTCCGCTTCTTCTTCACTGGAACTTTCGACTTCTCGTCCAGCTCCCTTCTCAGCCTTTTCCGTCTCTTGTCCGCTCTCTCCTCTGAATTCTCCCTCTCCTGTATCTCATCCTGCTTCTCGGCTGCTCGAGATGTGCGTTCGGGTTCTGGATTGCCCGTCGAAATCGTATTTGCCACATTCGGACCCCCAACGTGAGATACCGGTTGCACTTGGCCTGAACCCTCCTCATTCTCTTCATCCACGTGGTTGTCTTTCTTAGGCTTGCCACCAAATGTACCAAGCTTTGACTTGGGCTTTGGGGTCGGTGGACCTGATGCATCTGGCGAAGGTGATCGAGTGGATTTCTTTGACTTCCCACCGAATACACCTAACCTTTGCTTCGGCTTCGCTGGTGACGGTGCTGGTGAATCGCCATTCTCAAAGTCGTCCTCGGCCTCTGTTTCCTCATCCGGACTACCCGTTTTCTTCTTTCCCCCAAATGCACCTAATCTCGATGACTTCTTCTTTGTCTGGGCCGGTGATGGCTCTGTAGCGGTCCCTGGAGACGGTCTTTCGGCATGTCTACCACCCATGACACCTAAGCTACGCGACGTTTTCGAGGTCGCAGGTTGATTAGCTTCCTCGTTTGGTCGCGATCTGCCTTTCGTCTGCGAAGGCTTCTGACTTGGCGCAGCATCCAGATCATCCTCGTCCGCTGTGCTTTCGTCATCTTCTGGAGGTTTCGGATCCAGGTTGTCACGGCTCGCTTCCTGTGGGTTCATGGCGGGTTCCTCGTCTTCTGTGGAGGGCGTGGGATCCCGGTGCCGAAGAGTCGGCGGCATGCGTTGGCGTTGGAATTGGTCGTCTCTGCTGCCTTCTTTCCTCGACATGAGAGCCTGTTCGTCACGATCAGGTCCACTTTCACCGGGTAGAGCGTCTTTCTGAGACACTGTGTCCAAGTCCAGCAACCACTCATCTTGTGCATGTTGGTGGTGACTGGGCCTTTCTAGGATCGGCGTATCTTTCAAAACAACATCAGGAAGGCTTGAAGTAAGCTCGCTCGTGTCTTTCTTCGAAACATTCGACTGTCGCCAAGCATTTTCATCAAAGTTCGCCATGCCCTTTACGGGGCCAGCAAGCTGCTCTCGCTCAGTCTTTTTGCCCTTCTGACTGGCTTTGGCATTGATGACACCCGGGAAGATGTCAACAAGTTTGATGTTTGTCGGCTCCAGTCGGTCTGTGATCTTCGAAATCACATGGTCCTTCGCGGCCAGTTCGTCGACCAGCTGTTGTATCTGGTGCTGGAGACTGTTTGCGTATACTAGCAGAGGATTGACCAGCTCAGCCGCTACAGCAGTGTCAGGAAGCCGAACGAATTCGATGGTCCAAGTGAAAGAAGCGAGAGGCTTTGGCAAAGGCGCTGTTATTTGTAGTACTAGTCCGTTGGATTTGCTCTTGAGGTCCACGGTGGTTCCTTTCTGACTTTTGAGCGCGGCTGTGATCTTCTCGACGAATATCCTATATTGATCTGGCTCGCTTGGCTCTATGCTGCAACGAGACGCAATAGCACGCTCGACCAATGCGTCCTTCCCCAGTCTCTCGCCCCAAACGCGACTCAGGTCCGTCAGTTGAATGTCGTAGCCCTCATCATTGAATTCGGTCTTCACCAGTAGATGCGGAGCACTGGTTTTCACATCCACACTTCTCCAGGGTGTCTTCAATTCCATCATGATCGGGCATGACAGAATGGAAAATACCGATGGAAGTCAGAGGCGTTGGAGTTGCGTGCACAGACCATAGACACACAGACACGCCGCAGGGATCGCCACGGGACGAGCCGCGCTCAGGGCTTCGGTAGACGTGCCGAGAATCCTCGACCCTCGACGAACGTCTTCCTACAGTTTGTTTGCGTCTTTCAACTCCATTCACACCAGCGCGAACTCTCATCATCTACCACGGACGGGGAGGCAATATTGCGAGCCGAGCCAAACCTGACACGTCGTGTGACCGCGGGGAATAAGCCAGCCGACCGCAGGAAATGTCACGTTCGTCGATTCCCAGCAAGCGCCCAGCGGAGGCTCAGGAAGCTGCTTGGGTCGCAGATGAAGATCGATTTGTGCTACAACAAGCCAAGAAGAAGGCGGCGATCCGGGTGAAAGGTGGAAGAGCACAGCCGATAGATTGGCTTGCGGTCACGCTAGCTGTCATTGACCCGGAGCGCAATCCACTGGGCGATGAGGTGGATGCTTCCGATCTGGATCTCGTGGACCCAGAAGGCGTCTTTGAAGGCATGAGCGACACACAATTATCGGAGCTGGAGAAGGGCATTGACACGTATGTCACGCTGGAGACGAGCAGAAGCAATCGGGAGTACTGGAATGTAAGTTTGCAGGATACACTAAGCTTCCGCTTGCTGATACTGACAGACTGGCAGATGATGAAGACCATATGTAAGGACCGCCGGAAGAATTTGGACGATGCACAGCCGGCAGCGCGTGGAGTCAGCTCCATAGGCTCAGATCTGGACAAACTTCTCAGCCCGAAATCATTGGAGGAGCTGGAAAAACTGGAGAAGCAAATCCGTGCAAAGCTCTCGTCCGATGAGCCAATCGATACAGATTATTGGGAACATCTTCTGAAGAGTTTGCTCACCTACACGGCGAGGGCCAAATTACAAAAGGTCTCCGAGTCGATTCTGGATGCTCGGATTGGAGGTTTGCGCAAACAGCAAGCTGCGGAAGCCACGGCGCTCAGGGCGAGGCTCGAGGCAGGTGTCTCCAGCGGCTCTGGCGGGAACGGACACGAAGAACAGCAACGGGGCGTGTACCAGGACGAGCGCCACCCGTCGGATCCCGAGCCTCTACTTCGTTTGCGACAAGAAGACAAGTCGCTGGATTCGATGACCGACAAGGAGTTTGCGCAGAAGATCAACGACGACAGACGGAAAGTGGCGAAGACAGGATACGTCCCCAATCGGAAGCGCACCGGAGAGCTGTCAGTATCTGGTTACCAAGAACATCCATCAAAGCGTTCGCGAACCGATGGCGGAGACTCCCTTTTCGATCGTGGGGTCGCCAAAGGTCTTGGCGAGAACGAAGCATTGTTCGCGCAAGAAGAGGAAGTGACGACCAAGAATCTTTCATCATGGTCCAGTCAATACCGTCCTCGAAAGCCAAAGTACTTTGCACGCCTCCAGCTGGGATATGAATGGAACAAGTACAATCAGACCCACTACGATCACGAAAACCCCCCACCAAAGGTGGTACAAGGCTACAGGTTCAACGTGTTCTACCCGGAGTTGGTTGACAAGATGAAGGCGCCCACTTACCGGATCGAGCGTGAGAACGGCAGGAAACGAGGTCAGACTCTTGCACCTGCTGGTGAGGACGACACGTGCCTAATTCGGTTTGTCGCCGGACCGCCGTACGAGGATATCGCCTTTCGCATTGTCGACAAAGAATGGGATTACAGCGCCAAACGTGAACGGGGGTTCAGGAGCAGCTTCGACAAGGTTAGTTTCGATGCGCTTGCGATACGTGCGCAGGAAATTACGTGACGTGCTGCTGCGTATCCACAGCGTTTTGTACCACATCGGCCTAGACTGACGTTTCAACCAGGGCATTCTCCAACTTCACTTCCAATTCAAGAAGGTATGTGGCTCAGCCAAGATCACATGAAACGGCCCCGCTAATCATGTGACTGCAGATCTACTATCGCAAGTGAGCAGGCGTACTGCTTTCAACCCATCCGGTGCTCGCGCAACTCCATGAGCCCTTGAGCCAATGTACCGTCGCACAGAAGATACAAAAATGCGCTGAAACAGCCAATGGGCTATGCTAGAGTTGTTGCGCAGCCTATTAATCGAGACGAGGTATTCCACGAAAGCCGGCTTTGGACGACGTTCCTTTGTACCTTTGCGCCAAGCATCCACTCTTGCTTCGCACCTCACGTTGACAGCTTCACAAGGTGACGCGCAATACGGCATTGACAGCTGCTGTGAATCTGTCGTGGACCCATCCTGCGCCGTCTGCACCACCCAATACCGCACTTCACTTTGGATCAACAATGGGCAGCCAATCTGAAACACCCTGAGCGTGCAGCAGATCGCGCACAAGGATTCGTGACGGCGGTAACCGGCTAGGCACATCGCCCGGCCGGAAACGTGCAGCCTTGCGGCTCACGCAGCGCACCCACTCACCCAACGTCGCTGTGCAAGCCAAATCAGGACATCTCTGGCCGGGCTTGCACTTGCATTTGTCCTGGAAAGGCTCTGAGTGGCCGATTGGCCCCTGCTCGCGGCCGACAAGTATGATCCGGAGGCCACGAAGGGGAGCAAATCCAAACTATCGTTGTGCTGTCCCTGACAAGCGATCGGGATGAATGACAAAGCCCGTCGAAGAGCACCGCACGGTTCGACATGGCCCTCTCCGCGTGAACGTCCTTCTAGAAAGACTTATATCCCAGGTGTAGTGATAGCGGTTCTTCGGCCCAGCGATTCCAGAGCCGCGCGGGCCTTTGAGTGACCACTGGGATGCCATAGCCTAGGTAGTATGCACGCTCCCGATGGACCTAGCGTACGTCACGGGAGCACCCCGTGCAAGATACGCCAACCGCGTGTCGCAGCCGCCCCGCCTGGCCTTCTCATTGCCCTCCAGCGTGTCACGGAAGGGGATGACCTCACCACCCAGCAGCATGTTGTGCATGCCGCTGCCGCCTGCACGCTGCATCAGCGCTGCCAGAGTCTGTGGCTTGTCTATGTGCATGCCGTGTGTGCGCAGGGGCTCCCTACCTTACCCGCTTTGTCTGACAAAGACCGTCTCTGCCCACCGTCTGCACGCATCTTTAGTTGCTGTTTGTTGCAGAAGAGCGGGCATAGGCTCGCAGTCCAGGCTCGTAATGAGCGTTGTTCGGCATGCTTGGGATGCAGCCGAGAATAAGGCCATGTGAGTGGCCATGCGTTGGCGCCAGCATCACCAAAGCAAAGGGTGCATCCGCGACAACGATTCTTTGGGATTCACGCGCGAGATGTGACAAGGGCAGTTTCCAAATAAATTCAGAACGGTAGGCTTTGCTAACCTCCTTCGACTCCTGTCCCGTTCGCCTTGCCTACCGAGATATCTAGTCATCCAGGACCACGGGACACGTGCAGAAGAGCTGTTAAGCGGACACAACGGCCTACTTTTGATGCAACTTCTGTTCTGCAGCGTACCACACCGCTCCGCCTCCACGCCTGCGTTAGCCTGGTACCCATAGCCTCTCTTCTCACATCAGAACGCTACGGCCCGACTCCTTTCTTGTTCATCCACCCACCTTCAGCTCGCACTCTTCACTGCGTTTGCAGAATAACGACCTCATGGCTACTGAGGTGCACGCGACCTCTTGGGGATCGCTTGACCATGGAGCGATGACAGCGACACCTGGTGACGTTGGTGTCACTGAACCACAAAACATCCAACGTAAAGAATCCAACCCTCACGAGCAGGACTGGGCCGACTTTGTCAAGAACTATCTCCAAACAGGCGGCGCAGAGCCAGCTCCCACAGACGGCATGAGCCTCAGCCTCCTTGGTCTTGATGAGAATATGCCGGCACAGTTCCATACGATGAATAACTTCGTGGACCAAGACCCAGCTTCGGCGACGACAAGCAGCTCGCTGTCTTCATCAGTATGCGACCCGGATAGTGCTCCGCAACCCTATCAGACTTGGCCTTCAGTCCACCAACAACACATGATGGGATATGACCAGCCTATGTATCAGCCGCATGCTGGACCATGGTATCCCGACCCGCACTTTGACCAACCGCTTAACTTCGGCATACACCAAGCGGACGCTGGGCTTGGCATTCAGATGCCGCCCACTTCAAACCCGTTCGAGAACTCTCATATGCAGTTCAATCGAGCCTACACGGACCACGAACCACCTGTCCAACGTGCTGAAGGGTTGCCCGACATGAGCAACGGTTGGACCAGACACGAGCAGAGCGTCACTCCTCACGACGACTTGTTCGGCGAGGAAGAGGAACGTGAGGGAGCCGATCCTGCCGATCCATGCTATGCACAGCTGTTGTATCAGTGTCTCAAGGAAGCTCCAGACTATACTCTGTCGCTTCGAGAGCTTTACGAGTGGATCGCACAACACAGTCAGAAGGCCAAAGACCCGAAGAATCGCGGATGGCAGAACAGTGTGCGCCACAATCTGTCCATGAATGCGGTGAGTCTCGCGATGCGTATCCAACATCGGCTCCGACTGACATTGCTTAGGCCTTTGCGCGCGTCCCTCACGGCACCCACACTGGTGCGAAGAAGGGCAGTCTCTGGCGCTTGACTGAAGAGGCGTTGAGGGATGGTGTCATATCCACAACTCGCTATCGCAAGGACCCGAAGCGCAAACCAGAACGTCGTGCTGTCCCAGCACTCAGTCGCCAAACTTCTGGAGCCAAAGGCGGTCGCGCAACAAGAGATGCCACACGTTTCCGACAGCAGCAACAGCACCGAGCTACTTATGGCTACCCTCCAACGCATCGCTTCCGCCGCATGGATCGTCCACAGTACAGCCCATACATGAGTCGCTCTGCTGAGGCGTCACCTCAACCGAATATGATACCTCCAACACCAGCGTCAAGCCCATTCTATATGGACGACCCTGCCAACATGCCACTGCCGTCATCTGCACCGCAGACCCCACCAGGCCATTTCCATCCAGTTGCGAGCACTCCTCCACCGGCGTTTCACCTTATGGACAGCAAGCCACCAGCACCATATCATGCCAACTTCGAGCTACTGCCGCTTGACTACCCGCAGCAGACCATCTTTGGCGACCACGATCCGGAAATGTCTCAGCACGACCCCAACACGCCAACGCCGAGCCTAATGACCGAGGCTAGCTTCATGACGGATGACAACATCCCGCCGTCGGCCATGATGATGGGTGATATGGGTCAACAGACTGGCTTCCAGTAGGCTGCTTGGCGGCTCGACCGACGCATGTTTCCGCAATCGCTGCGCTCCGTGTCGACACTATACCTTCCATCTCCCCTTCGCGCGACGATGAGGAATAGATCATGAGCGCAAAACCACTACCGTGTGGACGAAATCATGACACCACAACCCAAAAACACCCATAGTCGATTGGCGCATACTGTTTACATTTTGCACTTCGTCAAACACCAAGGAACACCTTTATTGCTGGCGACAAGGCAGTTCGATTACTCAACGCCGACCACACAACGTAACGCTGTGTCGGCTTTTTGGAGAGGTCAACGGCATTGCTCTGCGAAATGCATGGACTTAGATGATGGCATGACTTTACCTTTGAGCATGGCTTATGATTGCGCATTGCCGATGATGGATGGATGATACCTAACATTGCTTGTGGGTTGCGGTCGTGCCTGGACTTGATATGTAAGATAGAACCAATTAGACAGATCTTGGAAATCATGAGTGCGCTCATAGCCAAAACTTCGACGTACTGCAACGCCCGTTCCGAGACCAACTTCTGACCTATCCAACCAGAGGAAATATATTAGTACAGGGTATCTCTACTGCCACAAGAACAAAAGAAGATTAAACCAATTTCCTGACGCCCTCGACGGCCTTACTCTCCCTGGCTCTCCACTCATCACTCTTTACCCTCCCATGCGTCTGGAACTTACTCCTCGCGTCCATCTCAGCCGTTCGCTCCTCACGCCATCTGCCAGCTGTGCAATCGCAGAGACAACCCTCAGTCGGACAGCCCTGGCCATGACAAGCACCGAACCATTCGTCCAAACAGGCCGCGTGTCCGCCGTGCCCGCAGAACAAGCAAGAAGAGAACAAACACTTTCCACTGTTCCCGAACGGACTGCTTCGTTCCCAGCAAACGGGGCAGGATCGCTGCTGGTTTCGACAATTCTCGCAGTGAATGGTGCTGGCAGTCACCGGCTTCTTACATTGTCCACACATCAAGTGAACTCTGTTGTCTTTCACGAAGTCTTCATAAACGGCTGGATACGCTGGGTATGAGAGGCTCCTCAGCACAGCTGCTTCTTGCCATAGCTGGTAACTGAGCAATTGTTCGTGGTAAGTAGAGAGGATGCTCTCCACTTGCAAGGGCTGTAGTCCCGCGCTCAGAGGTTGCTCAAAGGACTGCTGTATCACTGAGGGAATGTCGCCTGCATCCCAGCCAAGAGTATTCAACAAGTAGTCAACGTATCCTGAGATGGTGGAATGAACCTCTGCCACTGGTAGCGGATGTGTGCGTGGAAGGAGGGGACCTAGAAGGAGAAGGAGAAGCGCAGCCATTTGCGGGTATGGCTGCTCGGCCGTATAATGTCGGAGGAGCTGGTGCAGCATCTCCACTAGTGACCATGGCTTGTTCAATTCGAGATCCGGTTCCGCTTCCCCGATAACGCTATCAGCTGGCGAGACCTGCTCACCATACGCCATGATATTCTCAATAGCCCGGCTCGAGATCTTTTGCTGCGGATCTTGATGTAGCTTTCTGGATGGAACATAGTCCTCACCAAAGGCATGAACTGGGATTGAGGCTTGGGGAGCTCCAGCGCCGTTCACCGAGCCTGCTGCACGACGCTGCATCGTATCTGAGTCGTATCTCACGCGGAAAGCGAAGTCGGTTGTATCAGTGTTTCTTTTCGTACTCTGACTGACGTCCTCATTCGACGTTTCCATACTGATGTCTCCATAATTCTCTACAGCGCGAAAGGCGCTGTTGGCTAGTGTGCCGGAACCTTCAAAGAACGTGGATTGCTGCGCGGAGAAGTCATCGCGTTCTTGGGTGGACGTCGGGAACGATGTTGCGGTTTGTTGTCTCTGCAACTTTCCTCTGCTTGGATGCGCCGAGACCATTTGCATTGCTCCAGAGTTCGTGCTCGCGAGCGAGGCGGGAAACGACGAGTCCGTAGAGCCCCCAGACTCTTCCAAGAATTGAAAGCTCTCGCCACTCCCATGATTCTCGAGCTTAGACGCCGGGATTTTCACGCCATCAGCATCGACAGGATCCAAATTTAGTGGTGCTTTTGGCTGATGACTCCACCTCTTCACCATGTCGTTGCGATCGCTGGAGTCATTTCGGGTCTCGATTCTCTGGAGATCTTCAAGATTGCCAACAGTCAGTCTAGGTCCTTCTGAAGGCGATCGTGGAGGAGGTGTGATGTCTGCAGAAGCTATAGAAGGAGGCAGCGCGATTTTCTCGCCTTTGTCAGGATCGGGAAGTGGTGGATGCTGCAGCTGAGTTGTGGCAGCCTTGCCGTTTGTGGTGGGTCGCGCAAGCGGTGTTGGAACATTGGAGGTGCTCTCTGGTACTGCGAGCTGCGCAGCGATGTTTGAGACGGGCCTCATCGTGCCCGGAGACTGAGTAGGCGATTTGAGGTGCTGGACCGCGAATCGATGTGCCAAGCTCTCGATAGAATTGTTCATGGCGCCTTTAGAGGTCGGTGATGGAGGATGTGCCTCCAAGGCTTGCTTCCGCTTCCATGAAAGACGTTCTCGCAGATGGTTCAGAGTGCAAACACCGACAATTTTCCAAGTCTGCGCTGTTTGAAGGAATCCGATTGACTGTGCATAGTCCTCGTTGGCTGTGAATGCCTTTTCAACTTCTTTCAAGAACCCGTCGTCGCTGGATGTCTCAGGTATATTTGTGCTGCACCGCTCTGCGATGTATGCAACGACGTCTGTACTGTTATGACTTGGAAGCTGCCCTCGACAAGCAACTTGCGGAGGCCGAAACGACTTGCGGTTCAGCAAAACGTCGTTCAGCTTGATGGTGGCTGACTGATTGTTGTTGAGAATCGAAGACCCAGACGCGTTGTGCACTCTGCTGCTGCTTGTGGACCGGGTCTGCCTCTTGCTGAACGGGAGCACGCTTAGAAAGGAGTGATCGAGACTGTCGTCTGCCCAACTGCGGCTCAGGAACGTGCTTTCAGGGCTAGTGCTAAGACTGCTGCTTGAATTTGGCTGAAGAGATGGAACTTTCTGCGGCCTAGGCGTTCGCCGGCAATGGCGTGCTTGTGCAACGACAGTGAGTTCGTTGAGTGGAGATACATCAATGGACTGGAGATTGCACCGGTCAATGACCTTCGGAGAATGCTGTATGTCCGTCTGCAGGAAGGTGCCTTCCTTTCCTACTGTCCACAGCAAGTCCTGCGAATGCCAGAGCATATCCGTTGGTGACGAGGGGTGTGGCTGCAGCTCTCGAAACGGGAGATGTGGCCTACGAAAGTCCCAGACATGCATCATTGGGTGCTCTCGATCGTATGCAGTGACAATCTGCGTACACAACTGCGCTCCGTTATCCTGCGGCATTGCAGATTGGCAGGATGGTCGCCAGCGAGCAAGCATGACAGGATGCGGAGTCTTAATCTCCCATGATGCCTTCCTAGGGCGACTCGTGGACACATCAAAGACTCGGACTGTCTTGTCGGAGCTCGCGCTCAGAATGTGCTTGCCATCCGGATGCCAGTCGACCGTGTTGCAAGCAAGTCCATGAGCCGGGACTCTCACTTTGGCTACCTTGAGATTTCGCATATCCCAGCGCTGAATCTCGCCATTATCTGTTCCAAAGGCAAAGTCATAGCCTTCTACGGGAGACCACTTGACATCTCGTACGCCTTCGCTCTGGCCTGAGAATTTGCGCTTGCTTTGGACCGTGTGGGCTGAATTGCGCACGTCTCGGACATCCCAAAGCCGAACGGTTCCATCCTGGCTTCCAGAAAGCAGTAAACTGCCTCTGTGAGGGTTGAATGTCACGTTATGCACTTGGCGAAAATGTTCATGGAGCTGCGCCGCCTGAAGTCCAGCATGTCCAAGGTCGTAGACAATGATTTTCCCACTGGAGGTTGCGGCCGCTATATAGTTGGGCGTTTCGGCACCTTTCGACCACGCCACATCGGCGATATCGATCGAGTAGACCTGGCGAGGCTGTCCTGAGGCCTGAGTTGGTGTGCTTCGGATTGCCGTCCTAAGGTTGAAGTCCTCCGCACAATGCCCATCCTCGACCTTAACAGTCTTGAAGATCTCCTTTCCCGCGATGATGGCATGGCTTCCACTCTCGTTGATGCTGATGGTATGGATTTCTAGGCCAGTCTTGTGGCTCGTCGTGGCGTTCTGCGTGGTGCCAAGCGATGAAGACCTGGTGAACTGACTGCTCCCGAGAGTGTAGCGATCGGCATCATCCCGAAAGCCCTGTGGACTCGGCGGTCTCGAGGGTGAGTAGCCCAAGAAGCGTGATGCCGCATCTCGAGCCCTTTGTAAAGGCCTTGGAGCCGGTAGTGGTGGAGGTCGAGGCGGAGCTGCAGTCGATGATGTTGTCTGGCCTGCTGCAGCTCGCCTGGGATCTTGGCTCATCGCGGCGATCGGTGCGAGATCCAGGACGACAAGAACGCATTTCCAGACATTCCACGATTCATACCTTCGATTGAGAATTGGTGCGAACGTAGAAGCAAGATAGAGATGTCGTCGGAGATGATCACGTTACCGCACGGGATGTGTTCCGCTGCAGCAGCCAATCAGAGTCTTACTCATCACGTGACGAAGCAGCACTTGTCCCACCAAACCTCAAGACACCACTTTACTTCTGGCCAAAAAGTGCCAAGACGTACATTAGCTAGCGGCGGCGCTACCCGCACAAATCACAGCGCCAGAAATCCCAAATCTGGCATATCTTCAGCAAAACTTGCACACTTTGGGCATCAAAACACGCCGCGGCGGCCATCGGGAGGGCAGTTTTGACCGGCGGAACCATTTCTCGTGTACTCAAGATAGTAGAAAAGACTGGCAACCACTATCCGCCGAGTTCTCGCGAGGTCGCAGTGCCGCCGCAAAGGTTGCGACTCTGGAAGCAACTTCGCGTCAGCCTCCGACGCCTTCCCACTTCACTGTGCAGTCTGCAATTCAACTACCACCTCCTTGACCGTCTCATTTAGCTGAGAACGGGACAATGAGCGTTGAAATCAGCAAGTACCAATGATGACTCGGCCACGCAATGGACCATTCCAGCCCCGCCGCGCGTGGAAAGCATTTCCAAACACCCGCAGACGCCCGCCTACGACAGTCCACCTTCACCCAGACAAGGCGACGACTCTGAACACGACAAAACCTGTCCATGGACCACGAAGAGACCAACATAGCCACGTTTAATATCGTTCAAGAGGTCCTTCTGGCCCAGCTGAGGTTGTCTGTGCGCATGTCTGTGTGTAGCCGCCCACCGCATCGCATTAACCGCCAGCCTTCATTGGCCCTGAGCGACCCTTTGAAGAGACAGTATGAAACGACCACATCCTCAAGTAAGACTGTGAGCAAGACGGAAATACATGCGCTATGTTTGGGGAGTACTCGAGGGCCACATCGAGGACGGGTACAAGTAAAGTGGCAGAGATACGTTCCTTGGGGACTCCAGACCACACACATCTGTTCTGAACTTTTCACGATTCTCTTTTGTGATCTTTGGCATTTCGTATCGTCTCTTCTAGCGATCTCTCTAATTGCGATTCATCGAACTTCTTTCGTGTTATTTCTCTCAAGACCGAAAGCCCGCTGGCAGGTATCCGACGCATACAACTCAAACTCAATTCCACGGTCCAACGCAACACGCCCAACATGCCTGTTCCAGACTACGGCGCCGCACCACTGGCCAAGACCTTCGTCCTAGCTCGCGGCCTTTCACTCATCGCCATGATCAGCATCGTCGGCATGACGGCCAATTTCGTCGCCGACATCGTCAGCACCAACGTCTCTCCACCACGAGAGATTGTCGGCACGCTCACAATCGTACGTCGGTACAATCGAAGCGTCCATCCCAAGTATGCTAACGCGGCTCTCAGACTTGCATCGCAACCCTCTACACCCTGATCTCCCTCCCCTTCTTCTACGCCAACGCAAACCTCGGCCTCCTCGTCATGGCCATCATCGACGCTCTGCTCCTTCTCGCCTTCGTCGTCGTCTCCGTAGTGCTCGGGAGACCTCTCAGCTTTCTCAACTGCGTGATCATCTCGGACGGCAGTGCAGCGGCAAATGCCCAATCTGCGGCTGCTTTTTCCCAAGCACTGGCGGCATCTTCTGGTGTGCAGGGCAGTGTCTGGAACTTGACGCGGTGGGCTGGTACGACGAGGACAAATTGTTTGGAGACGAAGGCGGTGTGGGGCATGTCTATCAGTCTGGCGATTCTGTTCTCTTGCTCGACTTTGATTCTGCCGACGCTTTGGATGAAGGTTCGCAAGGCGGGGAGTGGTGGCAAGTCCGTTGTGTAATGGAGAGAAGAGGAGATTCACCTACCACGATCGCTACATGGGACATCGTCTTCAATGGGCCACGGGTTCGGCATGGACGGCGTTGTTGGATTGGACCAGGCAGTGCCGGTCATTTGTAATGTTTTCTGAATAGAATGAACGGCAGTATGAGTCGTATGAAAAGTCCATTTTGATCGGTACAAACCATCCTACCGTCTATCCTTACACCTCCTACCCGGCCCCAGCGCCAGCGCAGCTTGACTCCTAAAGAAAAAATTTGCGAGTGTCGAATGTCCCCACAAGCATGCTCTAGAGGAGCAGTTACTGTCTTGAGGCAGCCAAGCTCATGTAAATGCCCCAGCCTTAACGGAATCAGCCAACATCCCAACACACCATGATCACTCGCAGACTTACCCAATCCCACAGCACTCAAAAACACAATCCTCTTCTCCACCGGGATCAGAGCGAAATTGACCACCGAAGCCAGCGGCCAAATCTTGTAACTCGCAAATATAATCGGGAAAGTTTCCTGTGGAGAGAAGAGAGAATATATGGTCACTTACATGCTTCTCCTACAAAGAATACAAGAAGAAAAGCGAAAAGTAAAAAGGAAACCGGATATCGGGCGTGAAAATTGAAAAATGGTATGACTTACTGTCCTCAACGCCGTTGCAATCTCATTCCACGTCCTCCCCTTCATCAACCCCATGAGGATCAAAAAGGCCGTGGTGTTGAGCAGAGCACCCATGCTGATGCAATCCACGAACCACTTGATCATGGTATTTTTCCAATCCAGCTTCAACACCTTCTCTCCTTCTTCTTCCGTGTTTCCTTTCTCTGCGTCCTCGGGATCCGAAACCGGGACGGCCTTCCTGCCCGGGAACGTCCGCTCCAGGAACATCTGCCAGAGGAAGTTGGGGGGAGCCGTGAGAAGCGAGAGGATGACGAAGCGAAGGAAGTCGGGGAGAGAGAGCGTGAACGGGCCCTGAGTAGTATTCTTCGTCAGCGCTTTGCTTCGCGGGACGCGATGTTTTCTGGCATGAGTATCGTACTTCGTGGTCCCGCTGTTCGATGTATTGTGCTAGGACATTGGACGCGGATGCGATGGCCGTCGCCTGCAATGTCGCGGTGACGATCGGTGAGAGCATTGTCTTCGGTGGCTGCTTCGAGAATGGAGAGGAGAGAAGAAGACGCTATGTGTCGTGGAAAGAGAACCTGAAAGGCGATGAGATGAAGTGAGCGTGTTTCATCCCGTGACACTCGGCAGCGGCGGCGATTTGCTGGGACCCTGTCCAACTGTCTTGCACGCGCGGCACATGTGTTTTCCCTTGTTGCCCTTCTCTCTCTCTCAGCACAGACTGTGACGTTGGAGCAAGCGAAAAGCATATATCCATTCGTAAGAAACGGTGGAAATCTCCATAGTTTAGATTCTCTCTGTTAAAAAGGCTACGAAATCAAACCAAAGCCTCTTTTGGGCATCTGAAGTAAAGGCGAAAAGCACAGCTCCACCGCCCGAGATATAAAGCGCCATTCAGCCAGTCCTCCATTTGTCTCGCATTTGCTGCGGATTCCCTGATATCAAAAGACTCTCGCTTTCCTTGATGAACGCCACGTGAGCTCATGACTCGTTTCGAGACGAGCCAGCTCGCACGCTTTCTTCCACAATAGCAACTACAACACATATTCAAAACTCGCAAGCAGTCCTTATCTCGAGGCATTTGCGTCGCTGAACGGGCTCTCGTCCCGCTTTTCGCTGCCTCCAAGACCTTCGTGCTCTGGCTCCTGGCTTGCTCTCCTGGCAGCTTCTTCGATGACTGCACTTAGGCCTCCAGGGCCTCGGTCATCTGCTCTCCTAGTGGGTCTCTGGTTATTCCGTACGCCAGCAGACATAGAAGCGTACGGGTTCGGCCGTGATGCTGCCGACGCAGAGGCTGCCGTCTGAGTTTCGGACGCATCGAAGAACGGACTCTCCAAGGGCTGGATCAGTGGCGCCGGGTCTGCTGCCCTTGACGTTGCCTGGATCAGACTCCGCCTCGCACGAGTATGGTCAGCTTCTTCGTCATCGGAGTCTGCGGCTGTTTCTACAAGCGGCGAGGACACTGCTGGAGTGTGCTTGGCCGATGGCGAAAGCGAGCTGTCGCTCGTTTGTCTTGCGATTGGGAAGCGACCTTTTCCTTTGCCGACTGTGATTTGTGTGGCTTTTGCAAATTGCCCTGCATTCCCACTGCGAGTCGAACTCGACGGACTCGGGCTAGATCCTTGTCCTGCAACCATCACGCGCGCGCCGCTAAGTGGAGATCCAGATCCTATAGATTCGGAGGGCGAAGTTGCTTGTGATCCCTTGACCGAGACCATACGCGGTGCTGCCCGCAAAACTTGAGTCGCAGGCATTGGTTCCGTAGTGGCGTCGTCTCGATAGACATCCGACATCACGGAAGACCGGGCAAGTGAGGGCGTGATCGAGTATTTTGTGTCCCTGTTCCCTGCACTGAGCGAAGAAACATCAGAGTATGTGCTTCCTCGAAGACTGCCGGGCCGGAAGAATAAAGCATCGCCTTGGTTGCTCAACGGACTCTTCGGTTGAGAGTTGGCGTATTGAGCTGGAATTGGTGGCACCGGGGTGTTCGCCAGAACGCTATTCGACCCGTTGCGGTTCGTGACTCCTGGAATGTATGCAATCTGAATGACGTTGCTTGCCCGGCTGAGGATACTGTTGGCAATGGAGCCTCTTGTCCTCGTCGACGCAGCATCGGAACGCATAGCATTGAATTGCCGCGTGCCCTTCTGCTGCGCAATCTCGTCATCCTCCCATTCAGCGTCCATTTCTTGCTGCTCTCTCCTCTTCTTGATCCAGAATCTCCACAGGACGAACACTATAACTGCCACGAACGCGACTCCTCCGATCACTCCCCCAGCGATTGCGCCCACGTTTGGCTTATTCGAATTCGGAGCCGGGCTCGGGTTGGCAATGCACACCATGTGTGCGCAGGCATTGCAGTCCTGTGGTACGAGAGAGCATATCTGGCCGTTCGGGCAGTCTGGACATGTCGGTGTAGTCGTCGGACACTGCACGCAACGCTTGAAGATGGTCCGCATGGCCCGCTCCACCTCCCATGACATGCCCTTCGAGGCCATGGCGGCGGCGTTCAGTCTGAGGGCGCCAGCGCGATGATGTCCGTCAATTTGAGTTTGAGGCTCTTCCCCGTCGCACGACGTGAAGTCGGTAGTGGTTGGTAGATCTTTTGGTGATCGTCGTGGTCGTGGCCGTGCTTCGAAGGCGCTGATTCAGGGCCGCGCGGTCGCGAGAAGGCCGGCGAAGTTCTTTTGAAAGGGTCGTCGCGGGGTGAAAACGAGGTGTAGGTTTGGAAGAAAATCGAAATTGAAATCGGAATATGTGCTGTGCGTAACGAGTGACGGGGAGAGTTGGTGGAAGGGGTTGAGTCGTTGTAGCAGTGAGACTGTACCTGCGTCTGGTACTGGCGGGTGGAGGAGTCGCCGCGAAGCGCGTCGGCGATGTCCACCCGAGCTACCGCTTGCACGTGGCTTTGTTTCAGCCGCAGTCTTCATTTCCATTGCCAAGCCGACAAAGACGCTGACATGAACCGTGATCAGCCATCGCACCAATACGTGATCAGCATTCCACCAATACTTCTCCAGTGAGACATTTCGTATCTGCAATTGAGCAAGTCCTGGATGACACAGACATCTAAACCCAGATGACGGAACCAATGGCATTCTGGCTGAAAGAATGGGACGAACATGATATCTCTACGCACACCATCTTGCCCATTCACTGAATCTTCCAATCATTCGAAGCGACCGCTCATTCCTTTGCCAAAGCCGCCACTGCTAGCAGCCCGCCGCAGCTGTGCAATGCGCGCTGTACTCTCCTGCCTCCTTCTGGCCGATGCCTCGACGATGGCTTTCCGCTCCTCTGCTCGAGCTTGATATGCAAGCGATGATTTTTTGCTGCCTCCCATCTTCACCCCGCTGCTGTTCTCTCGGGGAAGACCAGCGGAAGTAGACACGCCTCGCTCGTTCGCACTGAGGGTGGTATTTGTGGTAGCCCGACGAAGAAGCGAAGGAACTTTGAACCCGCCGTTGGCTGGTGCTGTCCATGCTGTTCTATTGTGCCCGCTCTCAGAAGCACTGGAGCCGCGCTTCAGCGAAAGCCGATCTACGACGGCGGGCTTTGCGGCAGTACGTCGCTGTGAGGCAGGAAGGCGAGGTGGAGGCATGGCGACTCGGTCGGGAGCAAAACCTCCGTTGTTCTGTCTGTCCAGCTCTTCCTGCATTGCATCTCCCTCGTCAGACGCTGCTTCTTCTGGCTCTTTCTCGTCTTCTTCCTCAGATTCGGAACTCAGATCAAGAACGCTGGGCCCAACGGGAGCAGCATTGGGCTCATCTAGCAGGAAGCTCACCGACTCCTTGACCTCAAGAAGAGACGTCGGTGCTCTGAACGCAGACGCCTTGGTACGACGCTGCTTCGCTGGAGGACGTTCCTCGGGTGCTTCATCCATGCGTCTCTTATTGCCACTGATCTCGTGGAGAGGTGCAGGTTGCGAGTCGGCTTGCTGCGACGGCTGACTATACGCCTGCGTCGCTCCCGAGCCTTCGTCCCCTTCTACGTCCGAGAGATCCAAGCCGTCGTCGTCTCGTTCGTCGGCGTCGGTTATAGCTTTGAGAAATGCATCTTTGCCCTTGCTTTGCTTTCCCTCCGCTAGACCGGCAATGTTGTCGTCTTGCAGCAAGAGCTTTCGCTTTCTGGCCTCTTCACGCTGCCTCATCTGGCGCCGGCGCACAGCAAGGTCGTCCTCGTCATCATCCAAATCGAACATGTTTGCCTGCTTTCTCCTTAGGCCCCCCGTCATCAAGTCCTTGTACAGCTTACTTGCAGCTGCCTCATCTGCAAGGCGCTGTCTTTCTGCGAAATGAGCAGCCAGTTCTCGCTCGTTGACATCGACGTAGCTGGAGTCAATCATCTCACGGTCCTGCTCTGTTTCAGGTGCAACGTAGTCATCACCACCGAGTCCAGCATACTCGTCTTCGGATTCCTCGGCCTGTTCGTCCATCATCTGCTTGGCCTCGCGCTCGGCTTCAGCAAGTTCCGCGGCCGTCATTGCCTGCTTGCGCTTCTTGGCCATTTCGCGAAATGCATCTTTTTTTGCAAATTTACTGGATGCGAGGGGTGCGGCCGCTTCTTCATCACTTGATTCAGCGAGGGCTCGTTGGCCTCGCACCAAGCGTCTCCGACTGCCTTCCGCCACTACGTCGGGAGACTCGCTGATCCGCAGGCGTAAAGTCGATTGTGTGTCATGTTCTTCTTCAATACAAGCTAATGTATTTTCTCGTGTTAGGGTGGGCGTCGTGTCGGGAAGACCGGCATCTTGAGTTGGCTGCCACCCTGGGGTCTCAAGAGACACGCTCGAGCGTCCTCTGTTCAGGCCAGGCACAGGTGTTTCTGGTGGCTGCGTCTCCCAGCCAAGATCGACCTGCTGGCTTTCGGGCACCTGACTTCCTGGTATAAAGCTTACCTGGCTGTCTGTTCCCACTTGACTTGCTATGGCAGGCGATATTGGCGGCAGTGATGATGACATCGGCGGGACCAAGCGGCGCAAGATGTCCTGAGATTCTTCCTGGGTGGCTTGCGTGGGAGTCTGCATCGTGGCGTTGAAGGCCTGCGTTGGGCTCATCAACGAGCTTCCGGGGTTCACTGCCCCAAATCCGAAGGCAGCGAAAGGATCCTCACTAGCAGTGTCATCTTCACCACCTCTCACAGCGTTGCCTGAGCTTGAGAAATGCTGGGACGGTTCCACATCGCTGTCGTCTTCATCATCTACGACCACATGCGACTTTCTGGATTTGCGTCCAACCACGGGAGTCTGCAGCATTGCTGGCAACATTCGAAGCTCTTCATGACCAACGTGCTCCACGTCTCCTACCACTTCCCCTTCCACTTCCGGTGCGTTCGGCTGCGCGTTGTCGAGCTGGTCGGTCTCATCTTCAAACCCGTCGTCTGCCTCGCCGATCTCGTCGTCGTCGGCCTCCTCGTCTTCACTCTCATCCGCTGCGTCGTCAACTAGATCATGCCCCCTTTGAGCATCTCCATCATCGTCTACCTCGCTGCCGGAGTTGTCGACGTAGTCTTCATCCTCGCTCTCGTCATCACTGGCTGAGGCGTGGCCACCATTCTCTTTCTTCGCAGCCTTTTCAGCTTTACGAAGCTCGACCGCATCTTGTCTTGCCTTCTCAAGCAAATTCTCAAATTCTTCCTGCGCCCTCTCGCGTTCGTCTGAAGTCTGGACTTCGATACCTTTGGCTTTCAGCTCTGCAATGCGCTCGAGCTGTTGAGCGCGTGCTTGTTCTTTGGCACGCATACGAAGCTGGGCTTCAAGCATTTGCGGATTCACCGACGGCCGCGAATTCGTCTTCTTTCGCTTCCCGACAGTGGCATAATCAGCACCGATGTGCGAGAGATGTTTGAGTGTGTGTATGGCAGTAGAGTCGGTATTTTTGCGCTTTTGGATTCCCTTGGCTTTGTCGAACACGCCGAGGTGAGCGCGAGGGGCTTTCAGAATCTCCAGCTCATCATCGCTTTGATCTCGGTGGGCGCGCGTGGCCTTCTTCCCTAGTCGGGCAAGTTTTAGACCTCTCTTTGGAGGTGAAATCGTAACTGCATTCCCGTGCGAGGCAATATCAGCAGCCTTTGCCATTTGAGAAGAGCTCAAGATTGCGGCAAGGTCTTTGAGGTCCTCGCCATCGCCAAATTCTGCGAGACTGGCTAGACTATCTTCCCGGACAGGCCGCATCTTGCTCAAGGCGCCTTGCTCGACCAACGCCCTTTGTCGATCCAGCGGCGTCGGGGGGCTGGAAGGAGGTGTGCTGACTGGCTCCCTGGCCGCAGCGTCGATGGCGTCTGAATTCGGCGCGGACGATGCCGAAGTGTATACTTCGGCATCATTTGCAGAAATGGCGGTCTCGCCTGCTGGACGGTAGTTGAACCTGGCGAAAAGGTCGGAGGTCGTAAACTTCTTCCTGACTTTCATTTGGTGCGCCAGTGCTTGCTGTCGAGCGAGACGTTGTGTCTCTCGCTCCATTTCTAGCATTGCTCGCTTGCTCGCTTTCCGCGTAGGCTTCGCGGCGTCTGACATGATGCGTTCAATCTCTGGGTTGACGGGCCCCTGAGAGTCTTCCAGTAATTCACTCGGCAAATCTGAGGACATGTGAGCCGACGAGCGACGGTCGGTCTCTTCGGTCTCTCTGGCTAGACGCTCAGCACGCTTTTCAGCGACCAATTCGGCAAGCCTGGATTTGCTGTCAAATGGCTTGTATGGAAGCTCGTCCTCGCTCCCATCTTGTGACTTGGATGGGCTGACAAACAAAGCAGACCGCGCCACACTTGTGGGCGGGGATGGAGCCTTGACCAGAGACTGTGTTCGCTCTTTGCGCGGCGTTGTCGTGTAGAGCTCATCGTCACTCCCGTCAGCTCCGGGGTTGGCATCCGTCACAAAAGACGAAGGTCTCGAGAGCTGCTCAGTGCCTGCAGCACGCCGGTCCTCATTGCCACCACGCATACGTCTCGCCGCCTTTCCAACAGGTCGCCGGATGTCATCGTCTGACTCTTCGTCCGAAGCCAGCGCGGGACCGCTGTCGCCCGTAGTCCAACTCTGCGGCTCCTCGTATTGTGCGTAAGTGGAAGAAGCCTTTACTGGCGATGGAGTGGGCGAATCGTCCCCCTCGAATGGCATCCTCGTCGAAACCTTCCGAAAGGAGTTTATTCCCGACCCGAAGCTCGCGTCGGTTGGGAGGCTGGCCATATTGAGGAGAGTAGTTGATTAAGCAGGGCGGCCAGATAGATCTCCGTACTAAGGGAGAAACGCGTCAATGGCGCGTCGAAGTCGTGGTATGGTATGTTCAGTCTGCATTAATGCACATGACGAACTGGCTGCTCAAGTCTCGTCTCCGCAGTGGTAATGTTGTAGAGATGCTGCGGGTAGTGATGTCGGCGCAGAACGTGTTGACTGCAAGACGCGAAGTAGTGGAGGTGACGCGACGGAACTTAAGACGCGCCCGAACCGAAACCGAAAGTCAAAGCGCGCTGGTGGAGAAACGACACGTGAAGCCGACCGGGAATAGTCTCTCTCCCGCGTGGAGAAGCAAAATATCGTATCAATCGCTCTCATAATAATTCGTCACACAGCTCTCTCCCACTCTAATCTCCTGCACGCAAACGATGCGTGCGGGTCAATGCAACGTCAGGGCGCCTTGCCGAGGCCACTACGAAACATAATCAAATCCATTGGAGCCGACACACAACATGGCCATCACGGCCGACGAGCGTATCGAGGCCGTCCGGACCAGGTTCTTGCAATTGATGTGCCGATACAGGGACACCGACAACATGTACGCAATGCCGCTTGCAGACGACATCAATCTCATGACCCAGTGTTTCCTCGACCTGCCGTCTTCCGGAGCAGATGCTCACCGTTATGCTCAGTTGGACAGAAACATGGGGATCTTTGGTTTGTACCTGGCCATGACCGGCTACCACATGCTCGAAACACAGAAGGAGCTAGAGAGTACGCGACAACCCGCGTGGGTGCGAGAGAGGTGGCTGAGGATGAAGGCAAGACATCGGATACGAGTGGACCAAGCGTCACGAGCAGCAGCAAGCCCGTCGAGTACGCAATCAATGAGTCAGTACACAGTGTCGAAGCGGAAACTTCGAGCAACTCCTCTCCAGAGCAGGAAGCCGATGCCGAAGAAACGAAAGGGTCAAGCGATTTCAACCTGAATATCGAATTGCAAAAGCAAGGCGTCGACGAAGATGAGGTGGGTGTTCTGAGGAGAAGGAGTTCCAATACTTCCACCAGGAAAGATGGCATACTCGACACCCAAGGAGGCGAAAGCTCTTCAGAAGCGTCTGACAATCCCGGGATAAGTCAAAGGGCCGAAGACGACAAGACACAGGTCGCTCGCCGCCTCGTAAGATATCCAATGTCTACTCGAAAGGCCGTTCAGCAAGGAGAAGAAAGGTCGGCGGAGTCAAGGCAAGCTCGAGAACCAACACGACTGAAGGAAGGCGGCGAGTTCAGTCCGGAATACTACGACCGTTATGTGAGGCATGGGACTGACCGTCAGCGTCGCCGTCTACGGGCCTATGAACATCAGAAGGAGCGCCACAATTACGCAACATTGAGCGACTGGCGACTTGTACTGCAACGTCTCGAGAACCTCACGCCTCCGACTGCCGAAAGCTTCAAAAAGAAGCTTGAAACTGTGCGGCTTCCTCAAGGTATTGTTGGGGTCTTCCGGGGCAACGCAGGCGCGACCATTCTAGAGATTGCGCAGAGAACAGGCAGTCAGGTTCAAGTGATCGGACGCCGGGGGCGCTCGGTTGGAAGCAGAGATGCGTTTTCCGCCCTCAGCTTTCTAGGATCAAGGCTGGAGAACGATCGAGCACTCGCAATCATACCTGATTACGTGGACATGCTGGCAGCCGAAGACGTCAATGCAAGCCCAGACTGGTCAGACTACGACGTTGAAAGATCAAGTAAGGATGCGGTTGGGCTCGATACGTCTACCAAAAAGGGTAACGAGAATGGCTTGGCGGCAAGAAGTATCGACGAACTGTCTACTTTCGATGTCGAAGATCTCGAGGATGCATTGGACGACATTACCGAAAGAAATGGCGAAGTCTCTCTTCCAACACGTGCAGTATGGTCCCTGGACCGACTCCAGGCGCGCGATGCTGCCCAGGAGAGCTCGCAGAGCCTGCAAGATAAATCTGCTATCTCTGTGGACGCCTTTGTCAAGGCCATCACGAGACCTATTCCAGCACTGGTTGGGAGAAAGCTCTACACGAAGCTACCCGGCACATGCAAAGACCATGTGAATGTCACCACAGAAAGACTAGTGAGCTTATTCAGTGATCCTGAGGTCGTTGCCAACGTTCCCTCTTCAGCAGTCACTCGGGCCATCACATTCTTGATGAAATATCAGAAGTCAACGGAATTTCGCGAAGTGTACTCCTCTCTTCAAGATGGCGGATATATCTTTGATGCGACTAATTTGAATGCCTGCCTTGCCGCGGCGGCAAAGCATGGTGACTTGCCGAATTTTCGCATCACGCTCACGACGATGTGGCGGCAAGGTATACAACCGACACCAATGACGTGGGCATATTTCCATCGGCTCATGTGTCGGCGCTTCCCGTTGGAAGCTGGCATCGTTCTGGAGGCCATGCGTAAGCGTGGTCTCTTGCTCGACAACCACACGGCCAATGCCATTACCGTCAACATGGTTGAAAACGATCTCACCTCCCACTTGGCTCTCCGAGGCAGCCTGGACGCTTTCTACCGACTCTACGACAATCGGTTCAGAAGCATTCTCCGCCGCGATGACTTCAACTGGCTTGTCCCAAACGTGGCTCGGGAGATGGCTAAGCCATTACTGGCTATTGGCAAGCCTCAGGAAGCCTGGAGCGTCGTTGAGGAGATGGAGCGGAGGTGCCAGGAAACAGCGGCCTACATGCACACCGACGTACTCAATGTATTCCTAACTTCTTCGATGCGTGAAGAAGACTTTTCGTCTGCAATCATCTACTTACGCCGCTTTCGCGTTGGCGATCATGGTGCGCTGGTGCCAGATCGCGTAACATATGCGATCCTCTTCACCCTGGCATGGCGGCAGCGCTCCTGGAATTTGCTCCGAGTGATCTGGCGGTACGCATGTGCCGCTGGCCATGCGCCAAACAGTACAGTGATCCGGATGTGGATGAGTATGCTTGCATGGGAGCCTGGCAAGGAATCCTCCCCGCGAGCTGCACAGTCAAGAGAGGACAACTCCCCGCCGTCTTGTGATAATCTTTGGCATGCTTGGGCTGGCAAGTTCGCGGCTGGTGCAAGTTCGGGATTGCAAGCCATTCCACGTGCCCGCAACCCGACTGTCAGCAAGCACGACTCTCATTCACAAGGACTTTCCGAAGATGCTACTGTTGGAAACATGTGTACATACGCGTATTTGAAGCCAAGAGAGCACAAAATGATAAAAGCTGCCTCGGATGAAGTTATGCCCAAAGGTTCGCAAGGCCAGCAAGAAAGATATCAGTGGCTCAGAACCATGCTGGACCGTGACCTTCAAGTGGTAAACAACCTTGTACCATCTCTGGGATTCACAGAGATGATAGAGGTTGCTTGGAATCGGGACCTGGACTGGAAGGAGAGTGGACTTGGAGAGTCGGAGGGCTACGCTGAGCGAGGTAACGACATGTTCAAGGAAATGTTGCTGAAGGGCGTCGACGTACCGATGGAGATTGGTGATTTCACACGGGACGCAAGGAGGTGGAACGTGCCTCACGAAATGAACAGAATTGACAAAAGAGACGGGCGTGGACCAGACGCGTACGTTCCATTCTCCTGACGGAATTCTTGGGCTTTTGGGCGGAGCGACGGTTATCGGAAAGCATCCTGCTCTGTACAGATACAGTCACATGCGAAGGTGCGCCGGGCATGTTTGCGCCTGCTGCCTGCATCAAGACATTTATAAAGACTTCGACATCCAGCTGAGTGAGTTTTCCTTGTGTTGTGAAGATAGTGGTCTTCAGAGGGATTTTGTCCCAAGTCCCCTTGCCAAGACCTCTGTGCCGGAAGGCGCGTCCTCTCGCCTTACGTTTAGAAGCATGGCACAAACGACATTTCACGTATTGATATTACTGAAGCAAAAGTAAAGTAAGCCCATGAGGTCGTAAATCTCGCCCAAACTCCTCGCTAACCATGAAATGCTGCCCTCACCCACACCAGGCCCTGTCGTCGTGAATAAGTCCCCCAATACCGACCAATCGGCACGTCATACCCTCTCCTTAAAGTCTAAATCTCGCGATGTGTCTGCTGTGGAGGCTGAAGAGTGTTGCTTGACCTGCTCGCAGTAGACGTCCTTCCGGTCTCGCTCACATTCACCTCCGTATAGTCCGGCGGCTTCAGACCAGCCTGCTCTCTAGACAGCGTCTGCAGCGGTACAGCCGGCTCATTGTCCCTGCCTCTCTGTCCTTCCTCATCACTCGTCTTGGGCACATAGGGTGGAGGGGCTTCGCCGTGCTCATTCAACCCTTCCTCCCTGCTCCCATCAACTGAGCGCCATCGTCCCTGCCAGTATCGTCGTCTTGCCCGCACCGAATCCCAACCATTCAGGTCCCTCTCCAACGCATCTTCCCTGCTCGCTCGTACGATCGCTCCCATTTTCCGTCTTCTTCTCCACATCAGAAATGCCGCGAGTCCGGCGACGCATATTATGAGTGCCAGGAAGACGAAGTAGTACTGAACGAGGTCGCCAGTGTTTTGCTTGTGATTGTGAGATGCATCGTCGGTGGAGGAAGGCATGGAGCTCGGACTGGTAATCGAGAGGCCATCCTGGCCGTCCTGGGTAGTCGTGCCGTCTTGTGCCACAGCGATTGACGAGATTTGAAGCAAGACGAGTGCGAGTCGAATTCGAAGATCTCGCGACATTGTTGTCGACGATGCGGTCTTGAGTAGCAGACTGTACGCTGGCGACGACGCGGTCTTGAGTTGCAGACTGTGCGCTGTCGACGTGAGTTGCAGACTGTGCGCTGGCGTCAAAGCCTTGGACTCGGCGGCTATATGTTGGCGGCTCAGGAGGAAGCCGCTCGCCGGCAATGAACGACTCTTCCGCGGGAGCTCCTGACACGACGCTTCCCTTGCTCTTTCAGCTCTTCATCTGTGTAGCCAATTGTGTCTGATTGTAAGGAACAGGTGAAGTCGTTGTCTCTCCTTGTTGGTCACCCTTCGAACTCACTTCGGATTTCGGGCATCCACCGGATTCACTTCAACGGTCGCGCTCCACGCGGCTGCGATCGGCAAGTTCAAACCCTATCTTAGCGAGGGCACGTGCGTCCTTACCTACTCTGTCACTCTCCATCCTCGTCACGAACCTGTCTCGCACCGCGCATCATTAGCATCAACAACGACATCTTGTCAAAGATGCCTCGTGCTGTAGCAGGCAAGAGACTTTCTCAGACCCAGAAGACGTACATATTGACGTGACGCCAGGCACGCTCGTCAAGTGCGATCCCTCCATCAAGGCCATCATCATCAAGATCGACGCGAAACATGGACACGACATTGTCATCGAGGACATAGACGAAGAGTACATACTTGTCAAGAACAACAGGATCGATGACTTGAAGGGCCTGCTGAAGGATGTATGTTGGGCCTCTCGATTTCGTGCACTTCTGTACATTCTAACTAATTGGATTGCAGCAACTCAAAGACACGGTCAAGGAGCCCGAAGAGGACGAATCCGAGTCCGACTCATAAGAACCCGTGAACCAACGCTGAGTCTTGGCGGCTGTTCAAGCATGTGCGCTGGACCGCCTCAAAGCTACTGGCTTGACTGAGAAGCCGGCTTCGCGAGATGCTCCAATCGTCCGATCCAAGCGCTCTTGACGCCCTCCTCTGCCATTCGAATTATCTTCTATCCAACTACAAAAATGCTGCCTGAAACGACTGGACCTGGCTTGTACCTTGCTGTTCCCTCTTCCTATCTGCTTTACACCTCGGCCGAGTCTGGCATGGCCTTCTTCTGGCCTGCACCGGCGACCGCACCAACCCAGGAGACACGCTCTGGGGCGTAGAGTTCCACAGCAGGCTGTGCTTGCTCGAGTGCCTCGATGTCATCCATCACACCCACTTTGATGATCCTGGCGTCGCCAAAGGTAGCGCCCTGCCTCCAGAGGGTCGAGCCGCAGTCGCCACAGAAGTACGAAGTGATCTGGTTGCCACTGTCTGCCTTGACGGATATTTCCTTTGGCTTGCCTTTCGTTACCGAGAAACCGTCGCCGGGGACGATGATGTTCGTCGAGTACGTCGATCCAGTGATCTTCTTGCAATCGCGACAGTGGCACAAGGCATACCTGTGGTCAGCTTGGAAAGATCACCATGCTGGAAATTCATGCGGTACCTTAGCCTGAATCTCGCCCGTGGACTTGATGCGGACGTTCCCGCAGAAGCAGCCTCCCTCAGACATGATTATTCCTCTACCTGCTTTTGTCGAGAGTGGATGTTATTGGTCGACTTGAAGTGAAAGCACCTTGATGGACAATGGCAATGCTTCTCGGGTTGCACGAGCTACTTATACCTCGCCATCTTTGCCGACCTCACAACACGGCTTCCAACTTCCGGCGCCTGGTGCGGGGTCTTTCGATCGGGATTGACAAATAACCGGTCCAATGGCCCAGCTCTCGCGCCGCCGACGGCAGCCCTTGATGGCGCAGATCTTCAGATGGCCGCGAGACCCACGAATCCGGACGTGGAACGGGACAGTGACTGAGGCGCCCTTGATGAGGGGCATCCAGCGCGGATGAAAGATTACCAGTCCTCGAGCGATGCCGGCAAGAGCCGGACCCTTCACTTCTTCGTAGCCAGCAAAATGGAAACCGCCCACTCCACCACCACTGTTCCATCCTTCGTCATCTCTCGGATCACCCTCTCAAGCTCTCGGAGATGTTCCTCATACGATCCCAAATTCTCCTCCTTTTCCAGACTCCCAATGTATCCCCTGAACCACGCGGCATCCACCTCTTTCCTCCACCCAGCCCCTTCCTCATCCTCATCAGAGAACAAATACTTTCTCTGCTTCTCCCCAACCTTGGATTCCGCCACTCTCCCTCCCGAACCCGGAATCACAAACGCAGCATCCCCTCGATCCCGAAAATTGATCTTGATCCTCTTCGTAACATCTTGCAACCAAACCCCATCCCCTTCCTCTTCCCGCAACCCAATAAAATCCAACGGGGAATTATTCCTCTCAATCCTCCTATCCGCATCTCTAGCAAAATTCGAACCCCATGCCTCCCACAATCCCTCCAACGCAGTATTCACCCCCGCATCACCCACCACGGAACAACAAGGCGCATAACTCACAACCACCAGCGTGCCATTCGGCGCCAGAGACTCCGCCACCGCATCCATCATCCTCCCCGTATCCTCCGGCCAATGCGCCATCATCATCAGACTCACCAGATCCACGGACTGCCTCGCAAAGGCCTCCTGGCACGCCTCCGCCGTCCCCAGACTCAGCGAGAACGTCCCCTTCCACCAATTCTCGCGGTAAAATTCCCCCACTTTCTCCCGCGCACGCGAGAGGGTCGTGGGGGAAGGGTCGGAGATGTGCACGTGCTGGAAGTATTCCGCGAGACGGGGCGCGAAGATTGCGGCGCCGGCGCCGGCGCCGACGTCGTGGGCTAGGCGGAGGCTGTTGGAATGCGAGCGGTGGTAGGTCAGGATGAGGTTTTCCGTGGCTGCCGGGTAGGAGGGGCGGTAGTGTTGGTATGTAGGCCAGTTGGCGTGGGAGTCGAGGTAGGTATATTGGATTTCTTGGTCTTTGTCTGGGGACATGGTGGGTTGGAAGCAAGAGGGCTGGTTCGAAAGGGCGAAAAGAGAGTGGTCGAGCTCTACTATTGGGTGTGGGAGTATGGTAGAAGAGATGCGCTCTTGAAATTGAACAGGGGACGCCTGTCTGTGATTTATTGAATATCCAGCGGTGATTCCATCTTCCAATGCTAAGGTACGGAGGAAAGAGCTCTTTAGACTTCAAACTACGTCAGCGTGCACGGGACCGAAATGTCGTGACGGCGGGATAAGGTACTCTGGAGCCTTCACGTGAAAGCCGTCAAGATCCATCTGACCATGGGGTATATAGCACTCCTCCCACTGCCTTTCTAGAAAGGTACAGCATGTCCATCCCCTCTCGGATCACTCCCAGCGCTCCAGACACCCCGATTCTCCACCGCGTCTACGTGCCATCGAATAATCTGTCCTCTTCCAAACAACCCTCTATCAGCACCCGTGACAACATCAACCTGATGCCCGAGTTTTCTCATCCCCTCGACGGCTTCTTCCCCTATGCCCTCTTCCAGATTCACGACCATATCGGATACCTGACCATCCTCGCCGGGCATGCCGGCACCAATGCATACTCTCGGCGCATCTAGTGCAGCCTGTGGAGTCATTCCGAAGACGACTTGATTGAGAAGGACCTGCACATGTCCTTGGGGCTGCATAAAGCCTCCCATGACACCGTAGACACTATGTAAGCTTTGATCGCTAATGTTCGTAGTCAGTGCTGGAATGATGGTGTGATAAGGCCTCTTTCCTGGTGCAAGGATATTTGGGTGGTTCTCTGGTTGTAGAACGAAATTCGCGGCACGATTCTGGAGTGTAAAACCGCATCCTTTGGGTATGATTCCTGTACCAAATCCTGCGTAGTTGCTGTTGATGAATGAGATGCCGTTACCTTCGCTGTCAGTGCAAGCGAAGTAGACCGTATCGGAGTGATTGTGTGCAGGCGAGCCGTGGTCAAGAGGTGGATTGGCTTTACTTGAATCGAACAACTTCGCTCGCTCAGCCAGGTACGACGGACTGATTAATTCCTGTGTGGGCACTTTCGCAACGTTCGGATCCGCCACCCACCAGTTGGCGTCTGCAAAGGCTATCCGCAGTGATTCCACGACTGCATGGAGGTATGCAGCAGAGTTGTGGTCCTTCCTCGAAAACTTCGGAATCTTGCCAGCTTTCTCCAGCTCCTGGATGATACCCAGTGCCATGAGTGCCACGATGCCCTGGCCGTTGGGTGGATGCTCCCAAAGTTCGACGCCTTCTTCACTGCCATCTTGCATGTGTTTCCCGTGAGACTTGACAATGCCCTGACCGCGGAATTTGAGACTGATCGCATCCACCTCTTCCGTCCCCAGCTCTGCATGGTTTTTCAAATCTTCCAACTCCAGGTGTCCGCCCAAGTCTTTGACCACTTTTATGAGCTCCTCTGCCACGGAGCCTGCGTAGAAGCCATCTTTGCCATGCTTTCCTACAAGCCGCAAGGTGTTCGCTAGAGTTGGATTCTTCATAATCTCGCCTGGACGCGGTGCTCTGCAGCCGTCTTTTGCATTCGGGTCCTTCTTCAGCATCTCAGCTCCATTTGGGGAAGCTCTTCGCAACAACGGCTCACTTCGTTGCCACTGCTGTCTTCTTAGCATCGCGCACCCGCATGATCTGGCTCGACCTGCAACCCACCCAAGAAGCCATCAGTTCACTGACAGGAAATCCCTCCTCTCCAAGCCTCGCAGCAGGATCCAGAATCTCCTCCAGGCTCACCTTCCCGCTTCCAAACTTCTTCACGGTATCCACCCAACCAGCAGCAGCTCCTGGCACCGAGACTGCGTGCACGCTCTCCATCGGTATCTTGCCCCACTGCCCGTCCTGATATCCCAGACTCTTCCTCACCGTCTCCAACGTACAGTTCTTGCCCGACCTACCCGATCCATTGAGGGCGTGCACCTTTTTGGTCTTGGCGTTGTAGAACAGGCAGAACATGTCTCCTCCTATGCCCGTGCTGCCCGGCTCCGTCATGTTCAGGCCTGCGGCGACTGCTACCGCGGCGTCTGCGCAGTTGCCTCCCTTGTGTAGGACCTCGAGACCGCATTGTGCCGCGAGCGGTTGCGTACATGAGACGATTCCTTTGGTGCTGTGGACGACGGAGCGACGGGAGGGAAAGGGCTGGAATTCAGAGGTCTGGTCGACGTCGCCGAGGGGGCTGAGAGCGCTCGGATTGAGGGGCATTGTGGAGGTGATGCTGGAGGTGATAGGCCGAGATTGGATCTGTGGAGTGAGTGTGAGTAGGCAGCCAAAGTTGCCGCGAGAGAGGAGAGGAGAGAGGAGAGGAGAGATGAGAGGAGAGGAAGAGAGACTACATGTACATGCACCGAGAGCTGGTCTCATTACGTATATGTTTTGGCAGGAGCGAGGGTGAAGTGAGATATCCGGGTTTCTGGCCGGTGTCTCCATCTCACCTGCCGCTTTGGGGAGCCCACGAGCGACGTCGGCCAGCTCTCTCCGCCGAAGAGCTTCGGCGTGGAACACTCACGAGTCAGATGTCCGGCCAGGCGATACGATTGTGTTCCTGTAAAAATGAATCTTGAAGGATGAAGATGGGGATAGGGAACGAAGATGCCACTGACGGTCCTAGATAGTCAAGTCGAGAATCCGAATCCAGGGACAAGACAAAGACAAAGACCAGAGATACGCAAGATGAATGACGATGCGTTGTCCGGATGATGATGATGATGATGGAATAATCCTGCAATGACTTCACACAATTGACTTTCCATCCAAACCACATCCCAAAACTCCACTCCGTCTCTTCCGTCTCGCATCAGCTCTTGGTATTTTCGCCCCCGAAGGACTCATCCAATAATAATAAATCTTTCCATCGGAGCAACACCACCTCGCCATCCCAACCACGCTTGCTTCCACTCTTCCACAACAACAACAACAACAATAATAATAATAAAATCATGGCAGACAGACCACGACCCCAGCAAGAATCCAGATCCAGCGCCTTCGTCCGCGGCGCCGGCGAGGTGCGCGATCCCGAACACAAACTCTGGGCGCCGGCGAGATGGGTCGCCTCGCTCATTCAATCCCTCGTGGCCGTCATTATCGTCAGTACGTCGTCCATCCTCCATCCTCAATCCCAATGCCCTCCTCCTCCTCCTCCTCCTCCTCAACTACAACTACTAGCACTAACACCCCCACCCACAGCAATCGGCGAAGGCCTCAAATCCATCATCAAAGGCGAACCCCGAACATCTCGCAATCGACACGCACGGAGCGATTGAATTTTCCCTCATGCGCCGGGGGAAGTGCAGAGAGAAAGAAAGATGAAGTCTGTACTTTCCCCTTCGGTCCACGAGGACATTCGAGGACCCGACGCTGTGCCACGCAGACGACACCTCAGCTTTTTCCATACAGGACTTCAGTGCTACGAACCGACTCTCATCCCCATCCCCCATTGAGTGACCCGAGCTTGTCCGGTCCGGTTCCTAAGCAGTGTGCGCGCGCCCTTGTGACAGTCGCACAAGACCTTGTCGAGTCCTTTTCACTCGTCCTGTTCTTCTAGGCGCGCAGCAGGGAGGGTGCGATTTTTTAACGACAGAGCGTACAATCAGAAACGAAAGAGCGGCAAACCAAAAAAAAAGCGCATGGTGAGTAAGATTATCGACCAAAACGAAGAATAAATCCTGCCTTTCCCATATCACGCTGCTCAACAAAGAAAAACTCCCACGTACACCCACCCTTGCCCACATCATGCTTCGCTTTCCTTTCCTTTCCAAACGTCCTCAAAACTCAAACTCGCTCGCTGAAATGCTCTCACGATTTCTCATTTCATCAAGTGCAAGACATCCGTGCCTCGCCCATAGATCGCCTCCCAAAGGATCGAAGAAGAAGCCGCATTCTCCGCCCCAAAAGCCTTCACCATCCTCTCGCTCTGCGCCGCATCTCCGCAGATCACAGATCGCGCCGTCTCCTTGTTCTTCCCCGTCGCTCCGTGGCCCCAGATCAGCTTCGAGTCCTCGCTCAGAAACGTGCCGATATGCCGGAATGTCAAGCTGATGCGACGACTTCCAAACGCCGTCTCCGCTGCTCCCAATTCCACTGCGGGTCGCCGGTCCGCGTTGATGCCGTGGAGGTATTGCGCGTTCGTCGCGAGAGACATGATGACCATCGAGTTATGAGGTAGGGGAATTCGATACGTCGTCCTCGCGGCCAAGGTGGGAGTCGCGCCACGCTTGGTGCGCAGACGCATCGTCCTCTGCGCTCCCAGGGACACGTTGACAATCTTGCTCCCAGGCACGATGTCCAGCGTCTTATCCGAATGCTCCGAGATGTAATCATTGCCTCCGCGGTAGAGTTGGATAAGAGCATGGTTCAGTGGATGCACGACGGCTTCTTCCGCCGCTCTTCGCACTCGATCGACGGTCACTGTCCATGCGTGAGGTGGGATGGTCTGATCCGATGGATGTCGATACACTGGCATACTTCCATCCTCGCCCACCGTGCCCTGACAGCATACCAGACGAGGTACCTCGCCCGTCTGATGATACATACTCTGCCAGCTCACTTCGTCTTGGAGACGGTCAAAGATAACATCTGCAAGATCGAGAGGCAGTACATCATACACGATTTGGGACCCATCGCTTTCACCTTGCTTATCCTCGCCGAAAAGCGGCTTGCTCTTGACCACCTGCATTTGGGATGCCATGTTCGTTTCCTCCTGCGCCCTCCGCGTCAGTTCTCCGTATTTTGCAACAATAGATTGTGAGATTCTCGCAGCGGCTGATAGAGCTGCTGATTTGGGGTATTTTGTACGTGGGGCAGCTTTGGTTGAGTCATCCGGGCACGAGGCCAAGCTGTTGTGAGTGCGTGGTGGAATGATATCCAGCCAAGGCAGCCTGTAATGTTTCAGTGACTCGGATGAATCAAGTGTATCCTAGCCTGTGTTCGTGAGCGGTGCCTGTGTCGAGCCGTGGCTTGTTGACACGCCCAGCTTGTTGTCCATGGAAGCTTCGAGACGTGTACTTGTGGTCGCGCTCGCGACGGTCTGCCCCAACGCTCGAAGATTGCGGATACTTAGAGGCGTGTGCTTGGAACGCTGCACTCAGTGAGCATTTGCCTGAACCATTGGGAGTTTACCCGGTCACTCGGCCAAGCGTGCCAGGACGTACAATTGGGAGTTCTACTTCACCGTCACTATCGTCATTATCCACTTCCAATGCGCCCGTAGCTCGAGTCGAATGGGTGGTTTCTTCTTGTGCGTCATGCGAGGCTTTCTTCTTTGCTTCCTCGCTCTCCTCGCCGCAGTCGTCGTCCTTAGAAGGACCTCTTAGGTCGCTGATGGCATCCTTGCTAGTCATGACCTCGGCCTCCATGATGTCGCAAAGCTGCCGAATAGCCAGTTTATGTCGATCCTGCCTTCTGTATCCTAGGCAATCCTCTACCAGAATAATCCGGATGCCGTAGCGCGCAGCGTCCATGGCGGTAGCATAAACGGACAAGTTGGTCATGTTGCCTGCCACGTACAGCTCTGTGATCAGCTTCGAGCGTAGCGTCAATAGAAGCGAGGTACCGCCAAACGCCGAGTAATGCGTCTTGACGACCTGCATGTCCTTTCCTTCCTGGACCAAGTGCTTGATTCGATCCGCATATTCTGCTCCGCGCGTGCCCTTGACACAGCATGGCTCCCTGATCGGGGTACGACTGAGGAAAAGCTCCTCGTCGTCCTCTCCCTCATCAGGCTTGGAGCACGAGGCTGATGACTTTGCTGAAGACTTGATAGGCTCGTTAGCGGTGAGATCTAACTCTTCCGAGTGGAAGTCTGGAGCTACCTTGGATTTCTTGGACGGCGCTGATCGCGAAGGCTTCTCGGCAGACGGGACGCCAGGGTCCGTTCCGGAGGATCCGCCAGCGATTACATTGTCACCATGCGTGTCTAGACCATTGACAGGTCTGGTGCTCTCGAATTCCGACCGCACCCAGATGAGATGGCCGAACTGGCGGAACTCTGCGATGAAGTGGATGAGTCGCTCCAGATAGCCAGTATCCCGGACCGGTAGCTTGCCATCGACGAAGTCGTTCTGGAGACCGAGCAGGATGAGGCCCTTCCGGGTCTGGAGATTGGGCGTACGCTGAGACAGCAGCGCGAGCAAAGATGACATGGTGGAAAAGGCAAGACGGGTATCGTGAAAGCTGAAACGAGCGTCAGAGGTGCCAGACAGTCAACACGGTGTAGGAAGCAGGCGGACAGGAAGGAGGGCTTACGCAGAACGGCAAGAGCAAACACGGGCAGGCCTTATAGCATCCGTGGTCGGTCTGAAACCAGCGAGGCGGGAGTCAGCGCGGGTGGTGGCAGCGGTAGCAGTAGATGATTGATGAGAGGAGTTGATTATCGGGTGTTTGGGAAGAGGCCAGGTCCAAGTTGTGCGATACGATGCGATGCGATGCGATGCGATGCGATGCGGCGGCAGGCTACATTTTGGAAGATGGAGGAGGATGCATGCAAGGCAACGTCGGGACCCAGCGCGGTGGTGCTCGCTTTTCACGAAGCTGCTCGCAAACGGACGCCGTAGGACAAGGATAGACTGCGCATGTAATAATAATAATGTACGGGCGGTAGGGTGTCGGTCGGTGCGGCGGCCTTGTGTGTCTGGTGTCCGGGGCGGTCAGGGATAATGATATTATTATGATACCTGGATCACGTATGGACCGTATATCGTAGTCGTAGTCGTCGTCGTCGTCGTCGTCGTCGTGGCAGAGGCTCGCGTAGGGTCAGCCAGCAGGGAGGCGTGACTGAGATGAGATGTCGTGATATGATTGATACCCGTATCTCCTGTCGTTGGACCTTGTCAGATTCGCTGTCAGTGGCCGTGGCAGTGTCAGTAGTAGTGTCAGTGTCAGTGTCAGTGTCAGTGTCAGTGTCAGTGTCAGTGCGTGGGGATGGAAATCATGACATGTCGTCGCCGCCGTTGTCTGCCCTGTGCGCCGCTCCCGCCTGCACTCTGACGACGTTTGCCCGCCGCCTTCTTCTCCGCACGTTGGAAGGTGTTGGTCTGCTCTGCTTTGCTTCGCTTTGCTTTGCTGTGCTGTGCTGTGCTGTGCGTGAGAGGCGCAGGCGCCCGGCGGAGGCTCCGAATGGGCCACCGCTGCTGTAGAAGCACTGGGGCTCCCTCTTCTTCGCCCTTCGCAATCCAACTGAACTCCCTCCCGTCAACCGACCAGCCAACCCACCAACCAACCAACCCACCAATACGTCGCGCAGGAGCTCAGCAGCGCCCTGTTGGAGGCAAGCAGACAGCTCGCCAGTGCAGGACGTTACCTAGTTTCGAGTGGTGGTGAGTGGTGAGGGACCCGCCGGCGTGCATCACATCACAGTGCATTGCCCATTGCAGCAGCCAAAGCAGCGTGGGGACATGCATCCCTTGCCCACTCGGCCCATGTAGCAGAGCTAACACCACCACTACCGTACCACTACCGACCCGCGCGAGACACTTCCAGGCGCTGCCACATGCATGCTGCCACCTCGAACCTCTGCTTGCCGCGTGATGATGGCCAGGACCAGGAGATACGAGCCTCGTCTGGATGGGACAGTCCGCAGCGTCCATACCATCTCGACGTCGTCCAAAGTCATGCAGTCGGGTCAACGGACAGACAATTGGATACCTTAAGAAACGACGGGAATCTATCTACGTACTGTAGGCAGGATCAATAATAAGGTAATGGCCCGCAACAGGCTCTCGTCCCGCTCATCCGCCAGCGGTTGCGGCGCGGCAGGCGTGTGTCAGGCCACTGCCAACTTGGCTAACCCTGCACTGCCGACCTCACCTTCCGTGCCGGCGCATTCATGACAGCTGATATCAAACCTGCACGGCAAAACTGGCAATCTTGTCCGATTGAAGCCTGATACTCATCAAATAATGCCATCAGCTCCTCGCAGTCGACGAACCAGGCACTGGGAAACGCTGAAAAGGATATCATTCCCTCGATGTCTGCTCCCTGCTAACAATCCTCGTGCATGTAACCCTACCTTCCCGATGACAGCGTGATCAACAAACTATCTGTCTTCAAACTCTCTACCTGTCGCTCTTTGGCTCCGCCCGATGATCTTTCCTTTGGCGAAAAGAGAGCATCGAGCTCTCGGCTTGACGACACGCGAGGCTACGTCTTGAGGTGAGCATCCGATGCTGCAGGGACCGCGGGGAAGTGGCATTTGCTTAGCGATGAGAGACTGTGGACTGCTCGGCATGCCGCGCTTGGGCACTCGATTGAGCATCGGCGAATTGGACCGAGCCTTGGTGTCATTGCTGCCCGTTGAACGACAGCGCATGTGCAGCTATCCCAGCAAGACGCGGCCTCATTTCACACTTCGGTCCCGAGCCAAGAAGGCAAGAAGACTGTAATGCTTGACTCGATTGACACGTCGTTAGGCCGACTGCCACCACACCTCGTCTGCGCTGTCAACAGTAGGTGCATGAGCTTGTGGTGTTGAGCTCGAGCTTTTCCACACGCGCGCGTGCGGCTGCACTCCAGAAGGAGTGTTATTTCTTCAGAGCGCCCACGAAGTCTCCTATTGGCGTGTTCCTCCTTGGCCACGCATGCAAAATGCAAGCGACTCGCAGCTCGTTCATGTCTCGTGACGTCGTCGGTGCGAGCGCCGTCCTCGTCTAGTATAGCGAAGGAGCCCAAGTGCGGGCATCTGCGATGCATTTCGGCCGAAACCTATCGCGATGCAGGAGTCGACCGCGCGAGCCGTTGATGCACCCGCGCGCCGCACTGACTCTGTCCCTGAATTCATCACCTGCGAGATAGAGGCTGGTCTGCTTTTACAAGGCATGTCCTCCGGCAAGCCGTCAGAGCCTGTACGACTTGGATGATCTCGCACATTTAACTCCATCCAGCCTTCGCGAGTTCTCGCAATCTTGCGGAGCTTTGCTCAACACCTTCCTCAAATCCGATCGCTCGTGCCAGACTGACTGCCTCCTTGTACTTCTTCTTTGCGAGCTCGACATCCTTACTCATTTCGGCGAACTCGCCTAGATTGTGCAGCGCTACGGCACAGCCCAGGTCGCATTCCTCGTTTCGAATCGGAGGTTGGATCGTAGCTGCGACGTCGAGAGCTTTCTGAGCCCACGCCTCGGCATTCTCGACCATCGTCTCGCGCGTGACAGTTGGGCCAGCAGGCTGTTCATCGAGGTTTTGCGACGTCGCGTACGCTTGGATTTCGCGGGCCGCTCGGGGAGATTGCTGTGCCAGACTGGACGCCAGATTGTTCATGAGAACTACACTGTGACAGTCCTTCGTTGGATATAAGCTCAGTGCTTGCAAGAACAGTGGCGCGGCAAGGTAATGCTGATCTTTGGCCTCGTAGCTGTGCGCCAGCGACTCCAGTGAGGCACCAAGTTCCTCATCTGTAACCCACCTGCCCTCATCTTCTTCCTTGACGTTATTATTCTGCCTCCTCTGCTTCTCTTTCAACGCAGTGTCCACTGCCCAGACAACCCTCTCCTGCGCCATGTCTCGATTCCAGACGGCAGGGTGGCCGTATAGATCCCCCAATTTCACGCATACAGCCACCGTCTTAGCCAAGACGTTTGTCCGCTGCAGTTTGTTCCCCTCCAGATCCCCGCGTAGCTCTAGCCACACCAGATTGTCATGGCGCACACGCTCTAGCACCTCAATCGCTTTAGGCCACTGCTGGATGTCCTCCAGCATCTTCGCGACCTGAATCTTCACGCCCATGATCTCGTCGCTGAAGGGATCCATCCCAACCTCCATAGAAACCTCTAGAGCCTTCCTGTAGAATTTGAGCGCCTCTTTTGGCTGCAGGTCCATGTTCGTGTAGTACAGAGCTTTCCTGAGCTGCTTCGCAACCGGCTCAGGGTACTTGTGGAAAGCACCGATAATGTAGGTCTGATAGATGTAGTTTACCCACATTATGCATGCGAAGCCAGAAAAGATGATGGCCGTCGCGAGGGTCATGGAGAAAGGGTGTTTGTGGAAGAGCACACGAGCGTTTCCCATGAAGGTGCCCTTGAACCGTCGGGGAGCAGATCCAGATGCATGCTGGACTCGAATGGGCATGGCTCGAGGTCGGGGCATGGCGAAGTGTATCGAACGAGAATGCCGGAAAGCATTTCTGTAGGCCTGCCGTAACGGCACTCCCAATATCAGTCGTCCGGCCATGTTTGTGCGATGGTGTTGTAGAAAGCGGGTGAAAGCTTCGACGGATGAGAAGTTGAAGCTTAGGTTCAATCGAATTTGGGGGACCACTACATGCACCTAGCACTATGACGTGTTGAATCCGCGTGTGAGGCGCGTCTTTCGTCAGGAGCTCCCGTCGCTCCGCATTGGACTCTTCACTTGTTTGTATCACGACACACGGGGCACAGTCGTCGCCAGCAATAATAATCAAGATGTGTGGTAGGTATGTGCTCTCGTTGCGTCCATCGCAGGTGCGGCGACGTCTCCAGGAGCAGAACATGCCGGCCGACGAGTCCCCGAACGATGACAACGAGCAACTGCGCCAGACGTACAACTTTGCGCCGGGTTATCACGGCCTCATCTACCGCGCCCATACCACCGCTCGCGGGCACGAAAACGACGAGGCGGACGATGCGGACGATGCGGCCGATGCGGAATCTCAGGACCATGAGAGAGGGCCGTCTCCGAAAAAGGCCAAGCTCTCCCATGGCTCCCAAGCCCAAGTTGATGGCCGTGCAACGGAAGAGACCAAGTACAAGATTCAGGCTGCTCGGTGGGGTCTCGTTCCCTTCTGGACAAAGCGGCCGCCAGACTACGGTAGTCAGATGCGAACGATCAACTGTCGCGACGACAGCCTCATCGAGAATCGCGGCATGTGGAACACCATGAAGCAACGGAAACGCTGCGTGGTCGTGGCCGAAGGCTTCTACGAGTGGCTAAAGAAGAACAATGGGAAGGAAAAGATTCCTCATTTCACAAAGCGCAAAGACGGTCAGCTCATGTGCTTTGCGGGACTCTGGGACATGGTCCAGTACGAAGGCAGTGATGAGAAGCTTTACACGTACACTGTGATTACCACAGATTCAAATCAGCAACTCAAATTCCTCCACGACAGAATGCCGGTCATCATGGAGCCTGGGAGCGATGAAATGAAGGCTTGGCTCGATCCAGCCAATGTCGGTTGGTCCAAAGAGCTCCAAAACATTCTGAAGCCTTACCAAGGCGAGCTTGAGTGCTACCCCGTGGACAAAGCCGTAGGAAAGGTCGGGAATAACAGTCCCTCCTTTGTCGTTCCCATAGATTCCAAGGAGAACAAGAAGAACATTGCCAACTTCTTTGGTACTCAGAGAGCAACGGCGAAGGATGTCGCTGCGAAGAATGAGGCTACGAAAATTGATGAAGATTCTGGAGTGGGGATTGACAGCAAAGAGGAGCGGCAGACTACGACGAAGCTCGAAAACTCAGAAGGCAACGCACCCTTGCCGAAACCTGAAGGCGAGTCTGAAGAGGAACTATCCCAGCGCATCAAGAAAGAGAGTGCTGAACTTGGGGACTCTGACATTATCCGAGCAGCTGACGAGCAGGTCGAGAAGGGCATCAAGAGAGAAATCGATGAGGTCGAGGACGAGGATCTCATCAAAGCGGCCGAAGGTCCAGCAAAGAAGATCGTCAAGCTTGAAAGACCAACGCCATCGCCGAACAAGAGCTCATCGCCAGATACGAAGTTGACCGGCAGCCAGAAAACACGAAGTGCGACTTCGAATAATTCCATCCTGAAGTCCCCAACGAAAGGGGGCAACGCAAAGATTACCAGCTTCTTTGGAGGGAAGTGAGCATTTGCGTGTCCCTTCCGAGAATGCTTGCACGTGGAAAGATGGCTCCCATGATGAACGTGCCGACTATCCAGGAGTGAGCTGCATGAAGGTATCTCCGTGTGCTCGGAGAACTTCCTCGAATAAGCTCGACACGATGCAACATGTACTAGCAGCAGGGCAGTTTGCATCACATGATTTGCATTCTGGCATCCAAGTCGCATACTGGCTGTGGTGTGAGCTTGTCTCCTGGACCAGAAGTGCCCTGCTGCGTAGTTCACCCAATGCGGGATTGAATTGAATAGACGGAGAAAACCCACAGGATCGAGTGTTCTGGATCTATCATGACTCCGCAATCTCGGCCGACTCTTTTTGATCTGACCTTTGATCAAGTTCGATCGAATCAAAGGCAAACGCGGTCGTTCGTATTTGTTGGCGACATCGGTTGCTCTGCCGAAGATAGCCCAGCTCGCCGCGTGCGGCTGGGGGTACGACGCGTCTCCCGCTGGTAGATCCAGTCCGGCCGGTTTCAAGTTTATCAAAATCGCCTCGCGTCTCGAGCCGAGCGATCACAAAGGCGATTCTATCAATCACCTTCAAGCCTTGGGCCGGTGCCATCCACTTCGTACTGCGTCCGCCAGGTGCCATGTCCTTCATTCGTTCAATCCGTGGCAACCATACTATCGACGAGACGTGCATCTGGAGCCATGTCTTGGTGATAACGCCCGTATCAATGGACCTAGGGTCCTGTAGATTATTGCGAATGTGCCGATTCCATTCTAATTGTGAGCCAAACGAGAGGCTTGGTATATATTCAATTGTCTCCAATCCTTTCTTGGGTTTATTGACTTCTCCAAAGACTTTCGAAAGATTTGTTGACCTTTTCCGGGCAGCAGCGCTGTTCAGCCATTCTTTTCTCGCCTCTGCGCCCAGACAATCTTTCACAGTACACTCTTTTATCCGACTGCAAGCCTTCCGACACAATGGTCCAACAGAAGACCTTGGCTTCGCTCCTCCTCAGCGCTGGCGCTGGGTTGGTCGCTGCTGTCCCTGCTCCCTGGTGGAGTGTTGACCGCCACGAACACAACCACGCCGACCACATGAAGCATTTCAGCTTCTTGGCTCCTACTGGTGCCTCTCCCAGCATTCCCATTGGCACTGGCGTCCCTGTCGGCACCGGCAGCCTCCCAATCGCCACTGGATCTACTGCAACCTCCCGCGTCAAGAAGTCATTGAGCTACGATGCCAGTAGCAGCTCGGCATCCTCCACTTCCACTGGAGATGGAACTGCGACCCTCACCGCCGATGAGGGCTGCACCTTCACGGATGCGGCCTCTGCCACCGCTTCCAAGGCGTCGTGCTCCAATATCGTGCTTAGCGGCATCACCGTCGCAGCTGGAACGACACTCGATATGACGGACCTCAAGGACGGGACGAACGTCCAGTTCGAGGGCAACACGACCTTCGCGTACGATGAGTGGGATGGTCCCCTTGTCAGCTTCTCGGGAACCGACATTACCATTACTGGCGCCTCTGGCCACGTCATCGACGGCAATGGAGCGGCATGGTGGGACGGCGAGGGCTCCAACGGAGGCGTCACCAAGCCCAAGTTCTTCTACGCACACAGCCTCAAAAACTCCACGATCCAAGGTCTCAACTTCAAGAACTCCCCCGTGCAGCTGATGTCCATTGACGCTGCTCAGAACCTCTACATCAAGAATGTGACGTTCGACAACACCGCCGGAGACGCGACGGACAGCAGTGGCGACGCGCTCGGCCACAACACCGATGCTTTTGATATCGGCAGCTCCACTGGCGTTTACATCTCCGGCGCCGATATCAAGAACCAGGACGACTGCCTCGCCATCAACTCCGGGACTGACATCTCCTTCACCGACGGCACTTGCTCCGGCGGCCACGGCCTCTCCATTGGCTCCGTCGGCGGCCGGAGTGACAACGACGTGGCGAATGTGTACATTGCCAACAACAAGATCACCAATTCCGAAAATGGCGTCCGCATCAAGACCATCTACGACGCCACCGGCAGCGTCAAGAACGTCACCTACTCCGGAATCACCCTCTCCAACATCACCGACTACGGCATCGTCATCGAGCAGGACTACAAGAACGGCAGCCCGACGGGCGAGCCTACCGACGGCGTCCCGATCACCGACCTCACCATCGAGGACATCACCGGCTCGGTTGCTGACGATGCGGTTCCCGTGTACATTCTCTGCGGCTCGGACTCCTGCAGCGACTGGACTTGGTCGAGCGTCAGCATCACCGGCGGTAGTGCCAGCACGAAATGCGAGAACGTGCCAAGTGTTGCTTCTTGCTAGATGTGAAGGGTTTCCAGGAGCGACCGTCATGGCGTCCTCACACATCTCGACGGTTCTGACCGCTGATTCCATGCCGACTGATTCACAGTGACCCCGGTTTTGGCTAGGGATCTCGCGAGGACAGTGGCCTTCTGCTGTGGCAGAACGCGTGTTGGAGAAGATGTCCGGCTTTTGTATTCGATTCGTAGCGTAATCGATCAGCTCGCATGGAGGTGATACCGTCCACTCAAAGAGTTCACATGCCCTCTTCCAAGTCGCTGAGCGCACGCGAGAGTGCGCGACTTTTGGCACTGGAAGCCTGCTTCAAGATCCTGTTAGGACCACTATGCAGTGCAGCACGAATGAGAGATGATTTCCCCACTTCGCTGTGGAGCGTTGTGTACGTTGAGCATGCTGTTCTTCATTGCCAAAATTCTATCCGTCTTGGCTCTATGTAGATGAATGTACCTCTTCGTTGTCGGAGCTGCCGTCCTGTGTCTCCAGTCGCTCGACTTCCTCGGGCAGCCCGACTGCCAGCTGAGCATGTATCCCCGATTCATAGAAAGCCTCTTCCTCACTCATTCCCAACTTGAGATGTCCAAGCTTTCTTGCCACCTTATCCAGCCGGGCCTCATCTTCTTCCAGCTTCTCGCGATAAGCCAACTGTTTCTCCAACCTCGACATCTTGATCTTGCTGCTATGTGGCCAATGGAGATCATGCGTTGGTCCTTCCCAGGCACCATTGCGGTGACAGAAAGCCATGAAAGAAGCCCAATTCTCGTCCTGCATCAGAACTTCAGGGTTCCCGATGACTATCAAGCCTTCCTTTGCCCGCGTGAGTGCCATGTTGAATCTTCGAGGCTCAAAGATAATGCCCAGACCTCGGGCAATATCCTGATCGACGAACCGATCCCTAGCTCTCGTTGTACAGAGAATGAAAAGGCGGGATTCCAAGCCTTGGAATGCTTCCAGTGGTCCGATGTTGACACCAGAGAGTTTGTATTCTGGAGATCGAGCCTTTAAGCGTAGCACATTCACTTGTGCCCGGAACGGACTCATGATACAAATCTCGTGTGGCGCCAGACATCGCTCCCTCGCAAAAGACATTGCGTAGCGAAGTGCAATGTCTGCCTCGCCTATGTTGAACCACCCTCCGCCATCCTGCTCAATCTCGTCTCTCGAACTATTGTTCGCAAACAGAAGTGGAAATTTGCGCTTTCCAAAGGCATGCCATTGAAGCAATGAATCTGTTGAAGTGGCCGTCGGTTCTAAAGTATCGTGGTAGAACAAAGACGATGGCGTAGCGATGATGGCTGGATGGGAGCGATAGTTGCGAATGAGGTCCGCGAATGGAGGCCGGATTACCGGTAGCATGTCCTTGGTGAGAGGTCGAATTGTCCCTCCAGAGTGTCGAGAGCGCGCAAGTGGGTGGTCTTGATAGAGAGAAAGACGCAAAAGGCGCTCGAACATAGACTGCTGCATCTCCGGCTCTTTCGATGCAGTGCGCGGACCTAACTGGTGTTGGTCGCCGACCATCAAGACAAAAGGAGGCCGCTTTAAATCGGACACTGTGGTTTGCGGAGGTGCCACCACGAGCAACGGAAGCATTGATTCTGGCTCGGTTGCCTGCGCTGCTTCATCCATGATCAATCCTGTCCAGTGTAGAGGAGGGATTCGAGATGTAGCATGCGGATGAAACGCCGTCCACAAGCCTAATTCGAGCGTACAGAGGTCTCTGTTGCTCAGGCATGCTTTCAACAGCATCACGGCATCCCTGCATGTCACCACGACGACCTGCTTTTTCATGAAGGCCGTAAAAGGCGGCAGTGAGAACGCTGCGCCTTCGACATGACAGAATGGCAGGACCGTATTTGGTACTTCTGGAAATGATCGCGACGGTGCATTGAGGCGTAGAAGTCTCTGAGGATTCAGATGCTTGCTTAGTCGCTGGACCAAAGTGTCACAAGCAGGATCCGAGGGGGCGCAGAGAAGTAAAGCTGGCTTGTCGTCATTAGACAATATTTGCAAGGCCGTCTCAACAACTGTTTTCGTCTTTCCAGTACCCGGAGGCCCCGTCACCAGATACGGAACTGGACCATAGTCTTGTCGAAGTACAGCTTGCACTGCTTTGAGCTGTTCATAGTTCAGTTCTTCATCGTGCAGATCCAGCGGGCTGTCGCCTCTCTTGAGATCGTACTGTAGAATGCCATGGGCAGGATCGGGGAACGTCATCGAGTGAAACCACGCATTCAGTGAATGAAGCTCACCGGCTGCATCAGCGATTGCACCTCTCATCGCATCGAGACGCAGCTTCTGTACGGTGAAGCAGATGTTGAAACGACCACTTCCAGGCTCAAGCCAATCAATCCTATAGATTCCATAGTGAGCAGGAGAGAACACGTTGCGCTTCAGAAGATGGTTGTATTCTCATGATCCTCGCAGTCTACAGAGCCACGACACAGCGGACAGCGTCAGGTCAGAAAAGCTGTCTCTGGTGGCTCTATGGACCGGTCCGATACAGCAGTGGAATGATAGGATGGTTACACACCTGAGCGAAAGCGTTTCGTTTTGACGGTTGACGCCCCATACGACTGCGTTGTGCTGTCCATAAATCGGGTATGGCGAAGATGGTGAGGTGAACGCTATCTTGCCAGTAGGTGCAAAAACCAACTGCCGAACGCATACCACATCTCCAATCTGGGATGTTCAGTCTCTGGTAAGAGTGTCATAGCGGACTTGAAGGCATACCTCGATCGACAGACTCGGTTCTCTCAAGCCCGGAACCGACAGCTGATACACAAAGGGAGTTGCTTCGCTCGGCGACCGTACCAATACCACGTTGTATAGCGCGTGTTCGTCGCAGTGCTTCTGCAAGGCAGCAGCTTCACGAGTCAACGCGGAAGCAAAATAGGCCGGGAGACTTGCAGCGGAGATCGTCTCAGGTTGCTCGCTGGTATTGGTAGGAGCGCTGTCCTTGGCAGCATGGTAGTATGCCGAGACTCTAGTATCCGCGCGGAAATTGTCCGCTACGAAGAGGTTGATGTAGGCCTCGTAGTTGATGCTCGCAGCAGGCGCGGAGGGCAAAACGATGGCTGGTGCGTGGTTGGCCCGCACAAGATCCAAGGGAATATACGGCCGGGCGTATGGGTCGAGTATCCGCTCTGTCATTCTGACGATGTGGGTTGTAGGGTTGGCACCTTAGTGCGAGCTGGTGTGTACCGATTGTGGAATGTTCTCATTTGGTGATGGCATCGGCCTTTTCAAGCATTTAACGTCAACGTCACTGCGCACGGATTCGGTAGCTTCATGTTTTCGTGATCAACGAAATCGCATCTCGTTCACAAGCGCGCTGCGATTACCCGCAGGCTCTCTCGGGCCGTACTGCGGTGACATCAGAGCCTTCCTAGACTCGAGTGGACGTTGAGAGGGCTGCATCTGAGTAAGTATTCGGATCTGTCTCTTCCACGCCGTAGCTCATTATGAGGCGGATACGAGCACGAGTTATAGGAGTTATAAGGAGGTGTTGTTGAAGGCATCGCTGACTCACGTTCCGATGGAATTACACCGAAGATCAGGCGACAGCCGAGCGCGCCCAGACCTCCGCGAGATCGGAGCAAGCTTCACAGAGCACGGAGAGTTTGGGCAGCTTGGGAAAATTGGGTGCCGAATATCACACCTCTCCCACAAGACTCATTGCCCTTCCTCTCCCCTCACCATCAACCCCCATACCATCACAATGGCCTCCAAACACGCCAGCAGAGCTCTGCGCTCCTCCTTGAGGCAACTGAAGGCCCCCCAGGTCCAGCAGCGCACCTTCGTTTCCGCGCTCAACGCAAGCAGACCCAGCCTCCAACCCGCCGTCAAGGCCGCTTCTGCTGCTTTCGTTCAGCAGCGAGGTGTCAAGACTGTCGACTTTGCCGGCGACAAGGAGTTGGTATACGGTATGGCTCGCAGATCGGAACGCGCGAGGTCCAATGGCTGACAGAACAACACAGAGCGCGATGACTGGCCTCGTGACAAGCTCCTCGTATGTCGCTCGCTGCCATCACGCAACGACCCATCGCGAGACTCAAGACGTCTTGTGTTGTTCTTCACCTGCTAATATTGCGCAGGATTACTTCAAGAACGACACGCTCGCCTTGATCGGCTACGGATCGCAAGGACACGGCCAGGGCCTGAACCTCCGCGACAACGGTCTCAATGTCATTGTTGGTGTGCGAAAGAACGGTGCCAGCTGGAAAGAGGCTGTACAAGATGGCTGGGTCCCCGGCAAGAACCTCTTCGACGTCGATGAGGCCATCCAAAAGGGAACAATTGTCATGAACCTGCTCAGTGACGCTGCACAGAGTGAGACATGGCCACACATCAAGCCAATGCTTACCAAGGGCAAGGTATGAGTCAGAATCTATGAATTGATGAAAGTACTCGACTGACTCTCCCTGGTTAAGACCCTCTACTTCTCGCACGGCTTCTCTCCCATCTTCAAGGAGCAGACCAAGGTCGATGTGCCGAAGGACATTGACGTGATCCTCGTTGCACCCAAGGGCTCCGGCCGTACCGTCCGCACTCTCTTCCGTGAGGGCCGTGGTATCAACAGCAGTGTGGCCATCTTCCAGGACGTGACCGGCAAGGCAGAAGAGAAGGCTTTCGCTCTTGGCGTTGCTATCGGCTCTGGATACATGTACAAGACGACCTTCGAGAAGGAGGTCTACAGTGACCTGTACGGCGAGCGTGGTTGCTTGATGGGCGGTATCCACGGCATGTTCCTCGCTCAGTACGAGGTTCTGCGCGAGAAGGGCCACTCGCCTTCTGAGGCATTCAACGAGACCGTTGAGGAGGCCACTCAGTCGCTGTACCCACTGATCGGGCAGAACGGCATGGACTACATGTACGCTGCCTGCTCCACCACCGCCCGTCGCGGTGCCATTGACTGGAGCAAGCGCTTCAAGGACAACCTCAAGCCACTCTTCGAGGAGCTGTACGAGAGCGTGCGATCCGGCAAGGAGACTCAGCGCACCATGGAATACGCCGGCCGCCCAGACTACCGCGAGGCATTTGAGAAGGAGATGGAAGAGATCCGCAACCTCGAGATCTGGAGAGCCGGCAAGGCTGTGCGCAGCCTGCGCCCCGAGAACGCGTAAAGCAGGAAATGTCTCACGCGTCGGGTTCGAGCTACTGCCACAGCTGCCAAGCTTTCGACGCTGCTCGCTTACCACTACCGTCAAATGCTCTGCATATGCCGTTTACCGCGGCGCCCAGGGCTCTCTCTTCACCTCGGTCCCTCAACCACGTATGGAGTTTGGATGGTGTCAGCCTGGAAGATGGTTCGAGCGATCTCGGAAAAGTCTGTAACATAGTACCACTTCGAATCAAGCCCCTTTCTCGGAGATTGCCTGCGCATTCATTCAAAAGTAGGCATTCACGGTATGATATGTTGAAGAGCAAGCGCTCCATGCATGGCATGTCGGCTCACTCGTTCTGCCTATGAAACTCTCCTCTTTCGCCGATCATGCTGGTGCTTTGCCTTTTGCTGGGAGGCTTTTGAAACTGTCGTTTGTGAAAACTCCATAGAACCGCCCCCGTCAAACACCAAGAACGCACGCATCGCCTTTGTTCGAGCAAAAGTCTAGATAGACATGGTAGCCGAGGGGATTTTTTTGGGGGCTCGCTAGTATTCTTCCTCTCTCCCTGAAGCCCGGATGGCAGGCAGGCAGGCAGGCAGGCCTCTTTTTTCCCCCACACGCACGCGTCCGCTGTCTTCTTGACGAACTCTTTCTCTCTCTGTCCTCTCTCGCTCTGGCACTAGCACTAGCACTAGGTACACATGAGATGAACGAAAAGCTCAGATGAAATGATGACACGCTGGAAGACGGAAGGCGAGCAGAAGTGGCGCAAATCCCACCTAGACTTTTTTTTGACCCTCCCTCCCGGTGACGGTGTATCTATACCTTTGGTCGGCCACGGGGGGTTTTTTTTTTCTCACTTTGGTGAAGATCTTGGCGCCATCCGATCGAGGTTTTTTGGTCGCGCAAAATGAAGTTTCGTGCTATATGCCTTTTTGCTCTTCGACTTTTTCTTCGATCGACCCGGTCCATTGCCGGGGGAAAGTTGCGCCAATCGTGGAGGGTCTTCGGTCTCATGGAGAATAGGGCTTCGGAGTGCCGCGGGAGACTACTCTAGTCACCGGGCTGCGGTCGGAGACTCGGTTCCAGCGTATCGAGGAGCTGGCGATGTTGCTGCTGTTGTTGGTGGGATACGGGGATGGAGATGATCTCCATCCCCGCCGAATTCCCCACTGACGAGCCTCTGCTGTCTTCTGAGCTCAAGGATTGGCTGTGAGCGAGATGCGGCGGCTGGTGAGAGCGCGCTTTCGGATCCAGAATGGTCTGTATAGGTGGCAGTCGCTGCTCGGGGCCGCTCACAGGATGGGCCAGTCCTGGCACGTGGGGTGCGACTGCTATCGCTGCATCTCCCGTGGAGTCCTTGAGCCGGCGCAACAGGAGGAAGAGGTCGTCGTAGCTGGTCTGTCGGATGCGCTGGAAGATCTCAAGCGCTTCTGCTTCCGGGCGAGTCTGCACAAGGTACATCAACTCGCGAACGTGATCGCGTTCGGCTTCGAGGATCTGATTGCGGCGGCGGAGGGCAGACCAGCGACTTTCGCCCTCTTCGGCCTCGTAGTGACAGTCGGTCCGCAGATTCTGGCATCGTGAACAGGATGGCCTGTGGGAAAATCAAGGGTAGTGAGCGGGAGAGCAGGCACAAACGCGGCACGGGGCTGGGTTTTAGTAGATCGTACCTGATACCATCGCACTGTTTCAGAAGCCAGTCAGTTTCGTCATTCTCACAGAGTAGTAGCAGTAGCTGGGGGGCGGAAAAGGACAAGAGAATGGGAACCCACCCTAGACTTTCTACGGCGGCAGGCCGAGCAGGCACTCTCTATCAAAGTGCGCTTTGGACGGGCGGAGCTGGCGCCAGGCGGACGATTGGAACCTCTTAGCGAGGCACCACCTGCGCCGTCCTTGTCGCCTGACGGGGAGCGCGCTGCCAGCAGAGGCCTGGCGCCTGACATTCAGAAGGTGGGCGAGCGGGCTCTGCTCATCTGCGGGCCGTGGGTTGAGAAGCGATTGCTGCTGGTTGTCGATATTCGGGTGAGGCACGCGTGCGCGCTCGCATAGGTGGGTGTTGGGTGTCAAGCGGACATGGGAAGAGAGGGCGGTCTTTATCAGGCAGACAGGCAGGCGTGGTAGCAGTGGTAGCAGTGGTGGCAGTGGTGGCAGTGGTAGGTAGTAGGTCAGTAGTGAATAATATACGTGCGATGCGGCGGTTGTTGTTTTGCAGTGCAGTGCAGCGCGGTGCAGCGCAGCGGTCAGTTGTCAGTCGGCGGGAGAATGCATCGTCGGCACAGGACTGAGGACTGTGGACGAGTCGAAGGCTCTTTTTCCCGGGAACTGGTGGCTCGCCCATTATCATTATTACAGCAGCACGAGGCCTCATCGCCGATGCTGTCTCGAGGGCAGCCACAGCACAGCACAGCACAGCACAGCACAGGACAGGTCCAACTCCCAACCGCGAGGCCTGCGTTGCCCGTCATGCGGCCCTTCGGAAGAGGCTCGGCCGATCCCGCCGCACGCTACGACGCCAGGGGAGAGAGATGTGAGAGGCTTGGGGGGGGTTTTTTTTCCTTCTTCTTCTTCTTCTTCTTCTTCTTCTTCTGCGTCTCTTCTGCTGCTCTGGTCGTGGCTAGCTTGGTTTAGGCCAGGACTTCGCTCCGAAACAGCCACGCAAAGACACGCCCAACTACCGTGCCGCGCGCACACACACACGTCGAACGTTGCGGTGCAGAGCGGTGCAGAGCGGTGCGGTGCGGTGCGGTGCGGTGCGGTGGCGATGGTCTCCCGACCGGGCGCCAAGCTTCACGACCACTTCCAGGTTCCTGCTCCAACCGACATTCATTCCTTGTCTTAGCGCACACTTGCAGGCACGACTGCCTGAGGTATGCCTGCTCGCGCCTGCCCTGACCGCGCCTGCTCGCGCCGACTGTGGCTAGTGCGGTCACTATGATCGCTGTGGTCATTGTGGTCGTTGTGGTTCACTGTGGTCACTGTGGTCGTTAGGGTCACGGTGTGGCGTGCTTGCCGCCAAGCCTCATCTCTGATCCATCGATGCCCGGATCTTCGATGCCCGGTAAAGTAGCACAGTAGAGGTACGAAGCTGTCCTTCCATTCTCAATTCGGCCGCCAACTCTCCACGGTCTCCTACATTGATCCTAGGGCCCCCTTGCGCCTGCTGCTTGCTTCCAGATGGACCTCGCGCTGCCCCGTGAGAGCGATTTCCACTCGTTCTCGGAGCCTCCGGCACGAAGTCCTCGCACCTTCGTCTTATTGCCCAACGTTAGCCTGCTCTGGCCCTGGCCCTGGCCGCAATCTGCAAGGATTCTCACGTGGTCCCACACGGGAGCTGCCTCTTGTTGCCTGTCTCTACGAGTGCGTCCAGTAACGAGCCTGTCTCAACCGGGTGACAGCAAGATGAGAAATAGAAGCGTGGAGGCTAGCTCTGGCTTCTCGATCGCTCAACCCTACCTACTGCCACGTGAGTGTGGTAGCATGGTCCTAGAGAGAGAGAGCGTCGAGATTGCGACGAAGTGAACGAATAGGGGATCCGGAAGTGCGGCATCCTGCTGTCACCCACCTTGCCTGTTCTCAACCCAGAAGAGCAGCAAGCACATGTCTACTTCCATCGCTTTCCGCACGCTTGCAGCAGCCCGCGAATGGAGCCTTCCGGAGCTTCTAGCGTCTCTCCTGCTTCTTCGATTCCACCGCAACGCTCGATCCAGGTCTTGTCCCTGACCGGACAGCATTCCGCTGCTTACTAATCGACACGTGAGGTTAGGTTGCTTCTGCTGGCACTTCCCCAACTAATCGCCGCCTCAACAACGGCTCCATCCTGGCCGTCTCTGCGAGCGGTCCTGACATCTCTGCAGACAGGATATCCTGACCGGCGCCTGTGTTGTCCAATCTTGGCTCAGGCGCTCCGGTTGCAGCCCCTCTTCTGTGCTACTGCTGATAATGGCTTTGCGTACTTTCCCGGAGCGTCGGGTTCGAGGATGGGAAGGTGCATGGACTGGGCCGATACCAACTCGGCAAGGGGATGGATAACAATCTCTTATCTCGTCATACTTTTTCCATGGAGACCTGCCTGGCCTGCCACATGGCGGAGCGGTCCAAGGCGGCACTCGTTCGTTGCTGGCGGCTACCGCAAACTGTCGGGATCACAACGTGGCACCATCCACTTGACGAGGGGTACGAGTCGACATTCCAGCAAATCCCTCCCAGCTTCGTGCAAGTCGACAACATGTAGGGTCAGAAGCCATGCTCGTGCGCTGCATGCGTGATCTTCAAAAGAAGAGCGATACCGACGACAATCTCAGCAACTAAAAGAAAAATCATTATTAGAGATTGCATGTCTTAGAATCGGCCCCGGCTATGTAGGTTTCCAAGATCCTGAAGGCCATCTCCGCCGATCGACGCGACCCAAAATCAGCTACGATACTATAATCGCGTATTTTATACTATGATGAGCTGCCCATTCCATCGAATGCTAGCTTCTCAATTCGGCGGCATGTCAGCAGTAGGTAGGTAAGGTATGGAGCTAGCTATGTTTCACAGACTCTTGCTTGCTTCGGCTTCACACTGCCGGTCTCGACCTCCATGAGGTAGGCCCGAGGGGTTGTTAGCGTCGGCGCGGCCCAAGCAACAAGCAAGCACTCATTAAGAAGCACCGGTACTACACGGTATGATTATTATTGCACCTGCGAACAACAACAACAACATGCCTAATAAGGTAGTCGCAACGAAAGTGCCAGAGATAGAGAGAGGTGAGGTATCCACAGATAATAATGAAGAACAGGCATAGATTGTGGATAGATAGCGCCGGAGACAGACCCTCTCGCCTCTGCAATTCCGGCGTGGGAAAAGCCAACATAAAACCTCTATCCGGGGAGTTATGTATGTATGAACAAAATGCTATTATGCACCGCTATCCACCACGAGACTTGCAGCAGCAGCGCATTATTCTGCCTACCATCATCCATCATCCATCATCCATCATCCCACCATCCAGCATAGCACATTTCATAACCATCACTACCAAAAGATTTTCTTTTTTCTTGCTTGCTGTTATGCCAATGCACGCACGTACGTCCTGTATTCATTCATGCGAAGCAGAGAATAAAAAAAACACCAAAAAGAACGCCATCGCTTCTCGCCCTCATCATGGGCCCTCTCCCTCGGTCAATCGATCAAAACGTGGCGGCATCGTCCGAGCCTGTACCGACCGTGTAAGTATGCGAAATTCTTTTTCTCGTTCTGCAGCAGAGAGGAAAAGGGGAGGTATGAACACCTTCTGCTACGAAGGCGTACATCCCGCGGACTTCGTACCTTCACTACGCGGCACAGGCTTGCGGCGCACCGTACCGGCATGGTCTACGAGCCGTGGCTGCGACTGCGTGTTCGTGCTCGCACTCTTGGGAGCAGCTCCCATCGGACGAGGGCCAGTGATCTTGGGGCCCGGAGAGCGCATGTCAACCGCTCTTGCAGAAACGACCTGCGGCTCGGGTGAGGCCTGTACCAGAACTTGATTAGCTTTATCCGATCTCCTGGCTGAATTCACGTACTGAAGGAACCACTTCAGTACGACATAGGGCTGCTTACACTTTTGAGCGACCTCCGGCCGCTGTCCGTCTCCAGGCTGTAACGGACCTCCTCGATCGGCTCGAGCAGATGGCCCGATCCGTACGGACTGCCGTAGTACCCAGCATCCTTGCTGAAGCCACTGTTGCTGAACTGCGGTTCCCACTCCGGTTCCCGCTCCGGTTCGGCATCATAGCTGATCTTCGGTGGCACTGCCGGCTTTTGCTGTGGCACCAACGGCCCGTTATCGTTGCGTGACCCGTACCCTTTCGGACTCTTCATGCTACTGGGCCTGATTGGCTCCATTTGCTGTGTGAGTCGGTGGCGAGCCAGTCCTGCCGTTCCCGAGGAACCCCAGATGGCTGGGTCAAAGTCACTCATGGTACGCTGCGAGAGATCGGAATTCGTACCCGCAGGGTCGTCAAACGTGTGCGCTTGTGATTCCAACGTGTTCTGGTGACGTGGTGTGGTGCCTTGGCGCGGTTGAGGATGCTGGAGAAGTATTGAATTGCGATGCGCGTGATACTTGGGGTCGTCAAGTGCCGCAGCCTCTTCATCCTCCTGCACAGGCGAGGGAACTTGCTGGTCGTCATCGTCATACTGATCACGTCTACTCGATGTCTCTGACGGAATCAAGGGAGATGGAGTTCTGGTCAACCTGCTTGCCTGACTACGCATACTGCGAGTCTCCGCGCTTCGTGCTTGGTCGTTGCCAAGGCTCTGCGTGGAACGCAACCGATCATCAGGGTGCGCATGGTACGGATCATCCTCATAGTCGTCCAAAGTAGACTGCGATCGCGATGATGCGGACAATGGTCTGGCATTGCGTGCCTGCTTCGGACTGTCGAGCGCAGCCTGGTCTGGCGCAGAAGATGCTGTAGTGCGAGACCATCTAGAGACTTTTGGCACGCCAAACAGGGAAGAGTTGTTGCTTGTGTGTTTGCGCTGCTTTTCTGGAGTGCCGTAACTTGTCGCGTTCTGGGGAGGCGTGTCATTGGGTGACATGCCACGATTGCGATGAGACTCCTGAGTTGGCGTCAACATGCGCTCATTGTGCTCGAATTGGTGATTCAAGATGTGAGTCTCGTGCGGCTCTAAATCATCTTCGTCGTCTTCGGGCACAGTACTAACACGGTGTTCGGAGCCGCGGCGGCCATCGTAGCCGGAGTGGAACAGCTGCTTCTCTCGTGGCTGTGGCGCATTGAAGTGACCAGAGTGACTTGGTGTACTGGAGGTACCTGCTTGACCTTCAGGCTCATATCCAGAATCTGGAGCATTGCGGAGCTTCTCATACGAGTCGAGACTGTCATTGGTGTACGAGCGATCAAGGGGTCTTGCACTCCCGTTTTGCATCTTGAGATCCTCGACGTTGTCCAAGATTTGCATCAGCATGTCCTCGATCTTTGTAAGGTCTTTCGCACTCTTGCCACCAGTAAGACCTTTCAACGCTCGTCTCAGGACACCTTTGCGCTTGGTTTGAACGTCTTCTTCAGGGTCAGCTTGTCGGCGAGGGGTGCGTGGAGACCCGAGTGGCTGGGGGCGTGGGCCACTGAGAATGACTTTCTGTGCGGTACTGTCGCCAGTACGGTCAGTGTTTTGCATGATCAGCTTGTCTTGCTCTACGATGAACTTCTTTATCTCGTCGAAAGACTGGCGCATCTCAGCTGCGCTTCGCACAAGCGTGACCAGAATCTCGGTGTCTCGTGCATTGCGCTGAGCATCGCGCACTGTGAGGTGGTCCATCAAAGCGACGATCTCCTTTGACTCAATGTTCTGAAGTCCTTTGCCAGTCGAAGCGTCGTAGAGTGGCGAATCCATCCCATGCGAGTTGCCACTGAAATGGCGAGTGTGCTTGTGGTCCATCGCGAACGGGTCATCTTCACCAACATCTTGGGCATTCATGGCGCGCTCGTACTCCGCGAGATCTTTCTTGCCATACTGCTGCTCCTCCGGCTTTGGGGTAAGGCCACCGCCAGATCGAGTGCGAGCATCGGTAACGTATCCTTCATCGCGGAAGCCAGTCGGAGTAGCCTCCCTGTCTAAATCACGCTCATCCTCTACAGTAGGCTGGCGAGAGGAGTGTGCTGCAGCTGCTACAGCAGCCGCACCGCCGAGGGCAGCGGCGCCTTCAAGAATACCAGCTCCTTTGCCGCGTCCGTCATTGTTAGAGTGAGTCTCTCGATTGACCGCGTCTTGCTGTGGCTCAGGTGTGTATGGCCAAGTGTCTTTACCAGTCACGTCTCCACCGAGCGGCCCCTGGATGATGGATGGATTCGTGGTGACATCCGATTTTGAATCGTCAAAGTGGCCGATCTCAGGCATTGGGTCGTCAGCAAGGGGTAAGCCACTAGCTCCCATCGTAGGCCTCTCTTCTGTGGATCTGTCCAAGTCTCCGCGAGCATCCTTAGCTGGGCTCTGCCCGGCAGAGCTGCCAAGAGAGCCAGACATGTTGGCGGCATGGCCTCTAATCGCAGCCCATCGATCCTGACTTGGCATGCTTTGGCTCATTGTCGAGCCCTCGTACATGGGAGCGTGCTCTTTGTCCATTGCACGCAGATATTGAGCCATTCTGTCGCTATACGTACCATTTGCTTTGGCAGGGCTTCCATTGGATGAGACCACGTGGCTACTGACAGTCGAAGGCTCCATCAGTGAAGCAACCGCAGATTCCACGGCCATTGGCGTGTGCACGTAGTTGGGGTTGAGTTCCAGACCACGTACATCCTGCTCTCCGCCAGTAGTCTCATCTTCATCCATTTGGCGATCAAAGCTGTCGTTCGTAGCAAAAGTGAAGCGCTTCTCGTCCTGAGGAAATGGATTTGTCTGGTACGAGTCCCGGTTCGTTGACTCTCCCGTCAAATTACGATAGCGGTCGTTGACGAGATGTTGGCGCTCGAACCACTCATCAGCTGTCTCTCCCCCGCTTGGAGTTGCAGCGCCGTCACGCGTATATTGAGGATGCGGCGGTCCAAATGCATCGTCCTCTTCGTCTGCACCAAGATCTTGAGAATGCTTGCGCGAGTCTGCGAGCTTTGTAGTGGGAGGAGATTCCATCGAGCGCAGAGAGGATTGCGAGTGTCGGCCATCTCGCAGACGCCCTGCGGATGAATGCGAGGCGGGACTGTGAGGTCGCAAGGCCTGTGGTACCAGCGGGTCGTCTTCAAAGTTCTTTCTCAAGCTGGAGACGCTCTGCACCGGGCTGCTGATTTTTCGCTGGGGGGTGCCCCCACCGTATCCATCAGCATCCAGTCCCTTCGCCACTGCAGCTCCGCCAAGGCCAGCGCTTGTCAACGCTGGCAGACGAGCCTTGTCTAGAATTCCACCGTTCGGGCTTCGAGGACTGTGGGGACTCTCAATAGACCGGTTGGAGATGCTCATACCCAAATGCTGATGCATCGGGCTTCTTGTGGGTGTGCGCGATGATGCAGGAGACATGGATTCGCCTAGAGATCCACGCGAAACCTCACGAATTGGTGTGCGATGCTCAGCAGATGAACGCGACTGAGGGCGATCGGTGCCCGTTGACAGAATGCTCTCGCGTGTGACCTCCGAGTCGTTGATTTGACTTGCCATGGGCATTGGTGGAATAGCGTCTTGCTTCTTCAATTCGTCCATGTCGTGCATGCTCTCTGAACGTCGGCTGCTGCGCTTCTTGCGCCTATGGGTGAGATCGCCCTGGGAGTCGTGCTGCTTCAAAGCTGCTGCTGTGAGCCCACCTGCCAATCCGGCAGCTGCAGCGCCTCGCAGGGTATTGCTACCTCTGCTGGACTTGTGCCGTATCCTCTCCTCAGTATCGTCGTGAGAGCTTTGTCGTGAGTGCCTGCCGGAAGATCGGCGGCTTGATGGGCGCTCTGAAGGGCTCTCTCTGCTAGATTTGCGCGGCTTCACTCTTTCCGAATCGCCGCGAGACAAAACGGTTCCTGGATCATCCCCGTCGCGATTGAGCACGACCTTTGGTCTTGAAGAGATATTTGGCGTGCTCGAAGATTTGCTCACGCGTCGTTCAATGCCACCTCGCTCCAGCGCTGGTGCCTCTCGTCCGCTCGAGCTCCTCTGGCCCTTTTGATCCTCTTTGAGCGCATTGATTTCTGGCATGATCACGCGCTTGATTGCATCCTCCACCATCTCCACGAGCCTTGGATTGTTGGTGACGCGCGATGCTTGAGAGCTACCGGAGCGGTATGACCGCTGGCTTGGCGCAAGGTTTGAAGAGACAATGCTGGATTCTGCGCCGCTGACTGTGTCTTCTTCCCCTCGATGTGACCTCGACGAACGCCGTCGACGCTCCCTGGACTCATTCTCGTACTCATATTCCTTGCTATTGCGATCGCGGTTCGAGCGGCTGGACTTGCGGTTCTTCGATGACGCACCAAGCTTCTCCATTACTTTCTGCGTCAGTCGTTCCTGGCTGATGTTCCTGGTGTGATTATTGCCTTTGGCTGGTGCAGAGAGATATGCAGCCTCCTTCGTCGGCGTCGCATCGTCCTCATCGTACTCGGTATCGCGGCTACGCTGCTGGTAGCTTGGTTCTTCGCCTTCGAGCATACTGTCAGATGGCATTGACGATACGTTGGATTCGACCGGCGCGTACATCAACCCTCGTGATGATCGGTTGTTGGAGACGTCACTCGCGTTGTTCAAAACTTCGACTTCAATAGGCGGCTTGCCTGACACGTTACTCCCAGACGAGTGACTGAGTTCTGTTCCCTCAGTAGGCGCGAGTCCTGTCTCGACGTTTTTGCTGCTGTTGCCGAGCGAGATGCGGCGGGTATACGACGGCTTGCGATCGGCTCCTATCCCCGTGATCTGGACAGCGTCATTCCCTCCTGATCCTCTATTCTTTTTCGCTGAGCTGGGCGTGACCTTCACCCTCACGCTGGGTCTCGTCCGGCTCTTGTCGCCGGTCTTGGACGCCTCAAAATATTCAATCAACAAGCTTGTCTGGCTCTTATCCCGGCTGTGCTTGCCAATGCCGCCTTCCTTACTGCCGTGCACCTTCTGTGTGGAAATCGTGATTGGGCTTCCGTCCTCGGGGATCGAGTAGGAGGTCTTGGAAGTGACATTTGTTGCTACCTCTGTGTCGGCGCCGGAGGCCTCGTCCATAGACTCGGTGGGAGCGGGAAGCGGAGGACGTCGAAAGTCGGCTCCCATCTTAGACGTAGACGAAGAGCATCACCACGGCGGTACTTAGGGGGCGGCGCTGGGCTGCGGTGGGTACTGGCGCTGCAGGGAGCAGTTGGAATGCTGGAATGCCTGTCCACACGGCGCAAACGAGTTCAGGTGTCGCGGGTGGAGTTGAGCGCAGGAGATTGTTGTGCGTGTGTGGCGAGGCGAGTTTGAAGCGAGCGGGAGCGGCAGAGTCGCACAAGCTGCGTCTCCAAAGCCAGGCTTGTGCTCCCGAGTTGTGTGCCAATCGCTGCCGTGTCTGCTGCACCTGGTAAAGTGTGCCGGGAGCGTGCGCTGTAGCAACGTTTGTGACGGATGGCGTAGTATTCGGTATTCCCGTGTGTCGGGTGCCGTTGTTGTCGTTGTCGAGGAGTCGGCGCAGATATTGTCGTAGTTGTCGGAGGGGGTGAGGTCGATAATGCGGGACAGCCAGCGCACTACCCGCTTCAGATCGATAAATACAGGCAGTCAATCACCCCGACTTCCATTCACCTCTGCAACCACCACACGCGCGCAAGCACAACGTATTAGTGAACGGAGGAGGGTAGCCGCTGCCAATGATGGACAGACAAACGGAAGTGATTTTAGGTGTCGCAAGAGAGAGCGGATCTCGAGGAGGGATGGCGGGCCTCCGTCACCGAACCAGCCATCGCCATTTAGCTTTCACGCCAATCGTCCAGGGAACAAGGATCGAGTGCCTCCATAGCAACGACTCCTTGCCTGCGACGCCCACAGACCGTCTCAGATCACCTGGAGGCGCGTTTGTCGTCGTCGACAAGATCTTGAGAGTAACGGCGACTTCTTCCATTGACAATTTTCGTCAAGGCGGCGGCATGGCCATATCGGTACCAGTAGCCCACCCACCGGTTCACGCAAACGTCACACGACCGTGGCACTCCTACCTTCGATCACCGAAGATCTACGGATACTGTAGCTGTCCAACATCGTCTACCACCTCCTGCGCGCCCGTTTCCCGCTCCCACGACACGTGCAAACGCAGAATGCCAGAAAACTCAACGTCGCTGCACTACAGCCGCATCATCACCTCCAACAATGACAAAGTCCATCCTCCTCTGCAATCCCCCTTCTCGGTTTCCTACAATCTACAGGTGCCACCTCATCGCTCCTCCGGACCTGCATCGAACGTAGAACCCTTCCTACGCCTTCCCATTGGCGGTCCTCCCGCACGCAAGTGAAAGCCCAAAAAAGTTCTGCGGCGCGCATATCTCTGGGCGCAGCTGCACTGCGTTTGAAGCCGGCAATTCGTCGCAGTGGCGGGAGGGCTGCGCGCGGTTCGGCACCCCTCGCCGAGCTCGGTAGCACATGTGTGCATGTGAATTGGCTAACGTGCCGTCCCGCTTTGTCGCTACCGGCAGTGTCCCGGTAGTGTGTCTAGGGTGTACTACCGGCTCCAAGAAGGATCTTTATTCAAAAGACTCACTTCGGCGTACAAACGACACGCATTGATTTACAAACGATTCGCTCATAGCAGAAGCTGGCGCTAACTCTCTCAAGTTCGGATCTCCTTAAGATCTGAGACGCATTCTCCGAACCAGGGTTGCATGTCCAACCACATGTGATCAGTCCGCTGCAAAGAAGAGAGGCGGTGACCAGGAACAAAGCACTGCAAGTGTTTGCCGCAAGTCCGAGAGACCTTGTTGATCAAATCATCCTCGTCTGGAAATATGTTCTACTAATCATCGTCACCTGCCACCGCGGCTACCTCACTCCAGCACTGTCATCCGTGCGGGCTCAAGACATGTCGGAATTGGGGTTATGCAATGTATCCATTGCTTTCGATGGTTTTCAAAAAGCTTGCTCGAAGCTTCACCTGCTATTCAACCATGATGCTCTCCTGACTACATCCATCACCATCAAAATGGAAGATATATCCTCCTCCTTCGTCATCAACATCCACCAGCCGTGAAAATTTCGACCGCGCTGCCAGAGCACATCGTATCAAATTAGTGGTGCATAGCATCCAGTCCACCCTGCAGTTCTCTCTCCAGGTCTTGTCCACGACCGGCAAAAGTCTCCTGCGGCCTTGGATCCTCATATGCACGTGGGTCGTAGCCCTCGGGGATGGGCACTTGGGTTTGGTTTGCTATCTGCTGCTGCGAGTACTGTGTATGCTGTGGAGCACGAACAGCATGACGGAACTGCTTTACCTCGTCTAGAATCATCTGGCGCAACTCAGGAATGTCCTCGGCCGTCTCAAAGCTGAAATCGAAGGTGGTAGGGCAAGCGGGCTCATCCGAAGCATCGTGCCAGATAGCGAGATAGCGATGCTCCAAAGCCTCCTCGACTCCAACGCGCTCACTGGGATCGAACGCGAGCATGCGGTCCAGAAGGTCGAGAGCATCCGGGTTTGCTCGGGGGAAGAGCTGCTGGAACGGTATCTTTGACATATAAGGCAAATTGCGCACGTACTCCTGAGCACGTGGCGAGCCAATGCGGGAGAGGGTTGATTCGGATGGCGTTCCGAGGTAATGCAAGATTTGGTTGAGTTGGTCAACGTAGTCACGGCCCTTGAAGAATGGTTTGCTGCCCAGCAGCTCGGCGAGAATACAGCCCACGGACCAAACATCGACTGTGAGGACTATTAGCAGCTTATCCGATACGCACGCGCTTCTCTCCACATACTGGCTTTCGTGTAGCTCTGGAAGCTCAACATAATCTCTGGCGCTCGGTACCATCTCGTTGCAACATATTCAGTCATGTATCCAGCATTCTCCTCCGGGTCCACGCTGAAACCTCGCGCAAGTCCAAAGTCGGCGATCTTGAGCTCGCAGTCGGCGTTCACGAGGAGATTACCGGGCTTCAAGTCGCGATGAAGGACGTTAGCGCTGTGGATGTACTTCAAGCCACAAAGAATTTGGTAAACGAATGATTGGAAGTGAGCATCAGTCAGAGGCTGCCCGGAGCGGATGATGGCGGCCAGATCGCACTCCATAAGCTCTACATGAATCATGATCAGTAGTGCCCGTCGAAGATCCTGCGAGACATGGACTGGAGGCCTCAACAAGATGTTCAATGCTCACCTTCATATAGATATGCCTCGTTGAAATTCTGTGGTCTCGGAATGTCCATGTCATATAGGCATGTAATGTTCCTGTGCCCTCTGAAGTGCTGCAGCAGCTTGATCTCTCTCAAGGCGCGCTTCGCCAGAATCTTTTTGCTGAAGACATTGGTGATCTTCTTGATCGCAACACCCTCATTCGTCTGGTTGTTGGTCGCGGCGCACACAATACCGTACGCACCCTGCCCTAGCTCCTTCGTCACCGTGTATCTCTCGTCAACGATGAAGTCCTGGTTGAAGACCTTGAAGACCTTGCGGCCTTGAAGCGTTGGGTCACCCATGTCGAGAGCTCGTCGGGGTCGTTCTGGACTCTTGTACCGCGGCGGGAAAGGGATTTGGGAAGGCTCCAAGTGGCGGACGGACGGACTCGCAAGATCCCCTTTGCACAAATGGGGGACAGGCGATCAACGTGACAACGTCGTCGAAGATACGCGCCGCACAGAAGATTGTTGCTCGAGTCCCTGCAGAAGTTAAGGCAGGCAAGCGGTAGCGGGCCAGCAGGCTGCCAGCGCCAGGGTACTCGAAGCTCTGGGGACGCGGCGAGAAGAGCGGCAGTCGACACCCCACTTTGAGCAGAGTGTGGTTGGATGAACGAGTGCGGAGTGTGGTAAGTTGTTGGTGGAAGGGAGAAGGCAGAAGGCAGAAGGCAGCGAATATGAGCAGGCCAAAGGCGGCTTTTCTTTGTTGAGCGAGTGACGAGGAAGGGACCTCAGCCGACAGCCAGATGCGGCGGCAGCGGACGAGACGGTAGGGTAGGGCGCAGGTGGGTTCTTTTCGTTCAGGTGGATGAAACGGTGCAGTGGATTCGACTGCTACAGCATACCTGTACCTTAGCACTTAGGCTGCACACCTCATCAGCGGTGTCGTAGTGAGGGGTCTCGACGCGCACGATGTGATTGGCCGAGCGAGGGGTTCCGCCCACCGCCCACCTGTCCCCTGTCACCGCGCCGGTGTTGCCGTCGAAGCCTCACGAGCTCGTCGGCGTGAGCGGTAGCTCGACTCCCGGAGCGGTGCGGTGCGGTGCGGTGCGGTGCGGCGCGGTACGAGAGATGCAGCATGCAGCAGCATACAGTCAGGTCATGTCAGTGTCCTCAACAACACTCGCACTGCGACCGCGCTATCGACCAACCACGTTGCCGCTTCCTGTCGGGAGCCCCGAGCTGTGTCCTCCCCGTCCCCGTCCCCGTCCTCGTCCTCGCATTCGGCGCCAGAGAAACACCTCGGCACCACGCACAAGAGCGTCTCGCTCGTGATTGCGTCGAACTATGGGCAGCTCATGAGCCGAGCCCGTGGAGACCAAGTCATCAAGTAAGCTGTCATAGTACTGGTAATCCTTCTCACTCGTCCACGTCTACTGTCCCCAAGCAATGATCTATCTGAAGATGGCCGGTAAGAGCCACAACACCTCCAGATCACGACATCACCAGCTGACACGTCCACCAAAGATCTCCCCCAACTCACTTACACGCCCGTCGACGACATCTCCACCATTCACAAGCGCGTCGTCGACAAATTCCACACCCATGCCACACGTCCCGCTGCGTACCGCTTGAAGCAGCTTCGTCAGCTGTACTGGGGACTGAAAGATGAAGAGCCAGCGCTGATGGAAGCATGCAAGCTCGATCTCGGAAAGAGCGCGTACGAGACCTATCTGACCGAAGTAGGATGGGTGCTCAACGATATCCTCTTCATGTGCAAGAATCTCGAGCGTTTCATGAAGGATGAGAAGGCCGAGGACACCAGCTTGATGAACATGGCCATGTCGCCCATGATTCGAAAGGATCCATTGGGCGCCGTGCTGGTCATCGGAGCCTACAACTTCCCAATCCAGCTATCGCTTGGTCCGTTCGTGGGAGCGATTGCGGCTGGCTGTACCGCAGTGCTGAAGCCGTCTGAGAGTGCCCCGAACGCTGCCCGCATTATGCAACATATCGTTTCTCAGTCACTGGACCCAGATGCCTATCAAGTGGTCCAAGGAGAAATACCCGAGACGACTGCACTTTTGGACTGCAAATGGGACAAGATCTTCTACACTGGAAACGCCCGTGTTGGCACCATTATTGCGAAGAAGGCCGCTGAGACATTGACCCCGGTCACTTTGGAGCTCGGAGGAAGGAACCCAGCTATCGTCAGCAAGAATGCCGATCCTCGTTTGGCAGCGCGACGACTTCTATGGGCGAAGTTGATGAACGTTGGTCAAGTCTGCGTCAGCCAGAATTACATCATCGTCGACAAGGAGATTCTTCCTGCCTTCCTGCATCAGCTCGGGCAGGCTTTTAAGGAGTTCCAGCCCAAAGGGGCTGAAGCCTCTGAGGACTATGGCAAGGTCGTCAACGAGCGCCAATGGGATCATTTGAAGCGCATGCTTGACAACACCAGTGGCAAGATTCTTATTGGTGGCAGGACTGACAGGGCGAAACTTTTCTTCGAGCCTACCGTTGTCCAGGTCTCGGATCTGGAAGACTCACTGTTGGTCGATGAATCTTTTGGTCCATTGATCCCTATCCTGCCCGTCAATGATCTAGACGAGGCCATCCGCACTGCGAACAAGGTGCACGCTACTCCCCTAGGACTTTATCCATTCGGAACAAAGGCAGAGACGAACAAGGTGCTTGCCGAAACACGCTCAGGAGGCGCTTCGGTCAATGACGCCTTCTTCCATGCCTCGATTCCGACTCTCTCGTTCGGCGGCGTTGGAGACAGTGGCAGCGGCGCATACCGTGGCAAGGCTAGTTTCGACTGCTTTACTCATCGGAGGTCCATTACCACGACCCCTTCTTGGATCGAAGGCCTGCTCTCTGTTCGATACCCACCATACACAAGCGCCAAGCTCAAGAGGCTACGTGCGATGAACGACAAGAAACCAGACTTCGATCGCAACGGTAACCCGACCGGAGGACTGGTATGGTGGGTTCTTGGCCTCGGTGGTAAGGGCAGGGCTGGCGCTGGCGGACGGTGGGTCCTTGTGGCCGTCATTGCGGCTTTGATTCGATACTGGAAGATGAACAACTAATTGGTGAGATGGCAGAGTAAAGGCGAACCTGTAACATTAATTTCGAATGTACACAAGTCTTCCTTCTCGAGGTGTCGGACCGGTGATCTGTCGATAGGTAGGCGTATTACTCCAGGTCTCTTTCAGCGCTTTCGCAGAGTAGAGCAGACCGGTCTTCCCGCCGCGTGATTACCACCACCTCGATGAACCATCCAGAACAGTTGCGTCGAGCAACAAAGACCTCGAACACTACACTCTTCGCTCATCTGCCAGGCATCATGGCGGAGGAGAAGATGTCGATTCTCAGTCTTCCCATCGAATTGCAACAGGCCATTTTGCGTGGGCAACTACGAAGTGCATCCGAGCTGGACGAGCGTGACATCCTTGCGCTAAGACTCGAGTCGTTTGCCGTCAGATATCCGCCGCAGTCGACAATAGCTTCCTGAACACATTTTACTCGCATCGCCGCCACCTCATGACTCGGCACGCCTTGGAATACCTGATGACCATTTCTGCGGACCCCCGAGACCTGCGTCGTAATCTGAAGCATATTGAGCTAGTGTCCACCGAACTGAACGGCAGCAAAATTCACCACGGAAGGCGAGGTTTGGGACCTTTGGCGTTCGGAGCGAGAAGGATTGCAGAGTGGCGAGTGGGACATAAACAATGCTGCAGGATGTATTCAATGATCTGGCAAAGGCGAGGATTTTTTCCGGCCTTGACGACTGTTGGTACGATCCATCCAGGCTGGTCGCACCCCTATCTTTTACCACTCCGCGGCGTGGGGCTCTACCAAAGCATCCATGTCCAGCACTAAGCGGTCGAAGGCATACTGTAGGCGCTCTCCAATCCCGAATTCCCGCGGGACAACTAGTCTCCTCGCTCTCGCAAGGCGGAGAAGTCAGATGAGTCTCCAGCCTTTTGAGCTTAGATGGTGGGCAAACCTCTCCAAGCTCTCGAACGCCTTCAGAACTCTTTGCCTACGCTCACACTGCCGCTGCCGGGGCTCTGCATTCTATTGCAAATGTCGACAAACTCCTACGCTTTGTCCGCACCATTAAAATTGCCACACAACTGGAGACTACTCTAAATTTTGCAATGCCACCTCGACGACCGCCCAGAAGCGATTGTTAATAGAGCAGAATGTATTGCGAGGATGATGCAGGTCTTTCAGGAATGAATAAATTTCATCGTCATCAGGAACCGCAGTATACATACTCACCACGTCTGCAAGATTCTGTCGCCGTTATAAGGAGGACACTTTTGATCTCCCCGGAACTGCGCGACTTGCGCATCACGGCACCGTTGGGCTCAGGAGTTGCCTGGCTTGCTTGCGAGCGCACTCAAGCTTACGAATCTCAATTCAGAGGGATACCAGTGAATTGCAAGGAAGGAAGAGTGCGCCTAGAGAAGTATAAATTCACTTTGAGGGCGAAGAAGGCGTGAAAAGTGCCCTGCGCCGAATGCGAGATTCCTCAAACCCTTTGTGAAGAGCTCGTGCGTCGCTATTATAAGAGCAGGAGGTATCGCACAAGCTAAGGAGGCCAGGGCAGGAAGATGATAGCATGGAGAGAGGACCATAGTAGGAACAGGATCGTTACGAAGCGTCTTCGCATAGTAGCGGAAGTTGCGTGGCTTTTCGAGAAGGCTAGCGGAGACTAGGTCAGTAGCGAGTTTGATGGCGTGGTCAGCGGTAGTAGCCGTCGAGACAATCTCGCGGTGTGCGAAGATGTCATGGGAGGACTTCGCGACCGGCCGTGGTCGTGGCCGTTGCTTTCAACGAAAAAGGTCGCTTATATTCTGTGGTTTATTTTCTGGGTAGATGCGTCGAGGGGCCTTTAAAACTTCTTCGGAACACCGAATTCACCATATGAAACACCGTGTTAGCATCGTCTATAGCCCGTCGCTGTTTACGAGATCTCCTGATATAACCCGACGCACGTCCCCCCCTTCCACATGCTAGCGCGGATTAAGCGAAACCTTCCAAACTGACCCGCACATCGCTCAAAGACCTTCCTTGGCTAGCATGTCTGCAATGCTGAGATAGAACGCTATGGCGTTGAAGCTACACATGGGTCAGTACGAGCAGAGCGTGATGGCCTAGAATAATAGAAAGGGCGCTCACTTTCGCTTCCTCCCCGTCAATTCCCAAAAGTACCATCTTAACCGATTCGTCCAATTGATCAGGTCTAGATGACTGACGTGGTTGAGAGTCCCTTTGTACGTTCCCCATCGGCTGCTCTCCACACTGACCATGCCGTCATTGGGCCCCTCGACGGGCTCGATGATATTGTGCGACTTGCGGAAGACGGAGAGCAGGTGCGGTTCAAACTGCGCGCCGTAGCTATAGTACTCTATCCCTTCCACATCGAGAGTTCGAGGATTGAAAGACTTGGCCATGTACTCCCTCGTGAGCTGCTCGAAAGCGCCAGTTTCCAGACCAAAGGCCTCCAAGACCTTGTAGATTTTCGGGATGTTTGTCACTCCGATTCGTTTGAACAGATAGTCGGCAAAAGCGGAACCATGGTGTGGTGTGGCCACGGTTGTGAGCGATAGGACTTTCACGTTGGGCGGTTTGAGCTGGGAGATCATGTATCTCGAATCGAGACCGCTGCTCCGTTGTTAGCTTTTGAGACCAAAACTAGAACAACCCTTGAAAACGGCTGGTCATACCCCTAGAAAGATCTTCGTTAGTACAACTCAATTCCACCGTCCGGGTTTGGCGTTACTGACCATGCTGTGCCTGCGACCCAAGTCAGATACGGTATGCTGGACATCCACATGAAAACATACGCAATGATATTCACGGCTTTCCCCTTCGCCTGCCTCTCGATAGCCTCCGCCAACTTCGCCGCTCTCCTCTCGATGCTCCCACTGGGGGGCACGGTGGAAGTGATGACTTCCACCCCTTTCGCCGCCAGAGCCTGCGTGATGCCATACCAGTACTCAATCCCCGGTAAGTTCTTCCCTCCGAGTCGCAGTTCATCGAATCCGAGCAGGCCGTGAGCGAGGATGATGGGATGTCGAGGCGCTCGATAGTCTGTTTTGAGCACGGCGAACTTGTCTTCGATGATCTCGTCGACGTTGGAAAGTCTTGGGTCGGGTGCTCTGGCTTCGCGCTTGAACGAGGACGCGTGAAGAGGCGCTATTCGGTATTGCTTGATGAGTATGGACGCGACGAAACGCCGTCGCAGGGCGGTGCGATGGAGCAAAAGCATCTTCCTCGAAGTGGCAACGCTTGATTGGTATTCGATATTATTGTCTGTCTTCACTCGAAGTCGCAACTCTAGCATGCTATGACGTAAGATACACAACTTCCACGTGATCACCAAGAAACTACAAACTACAAAGTGAACAACGCTCCATAGGGCATTACCATGATCGGCGTTGTCCAAGGGAGCAGAACTACAATCTACAAATGACGTTCTGCTCTCGCCATAGCAATATATCACATATTTCGGGAGAGCTGCAGCAAGGATTCTGCGCTGGAAACCAAACAATTAAGAAGCCGAAAGCACGATCGTTACACCCGATTGAATAGATGGAATGTCAGGTGGCTGCGACTACCTTGAGAGACGTCTCAGTATCTTCAAGGTACCGTTATGTTAATACGCTGCGATCTGTCCGATGCTTGAGCCCCTAGCACACACACTGTACCGATGTATTCGATAGAGCATAGGCATTGCTGCGCGCAAAAGTCACAGAAGCTAATCAAGCACATCGAGAGTTGTCACCCTTCTGCTAGCACGGACACTTATCCTATCGCGGAGTACGGAGGCGTTGACGTCGTTCGTCGTTCGCAATAGGAAGGGCAAGCATGCTTTGAATGCCAACCAAGTTGGACATCCTGGTCGGCCCTCCGTTTCGGCCGTACTCTTTTCCAAAGGACACTGCTTTGCGCTTTTATTGGTCCACCCCACAGGAAGGCCAGCGAGCACGTAAGCAGAATAATGCTGTTCCGTCAGTTGCCTCATTCGACCGTACAGTATAGGCAATCTATCGCATGCAGGGCATCGCCGACATCTCCGTCCACCAAGACTTGTTTGGGTGGATGCCGCCTTGCGATGCCCATCAGCAGGACCATCTTGTCGAATTCTTGTACCAGCGAGCTAACGAGGCACCCAGCGAGGTGCGAGTTTCCCGCGAGCCTGCCCGTCAAGAAGCCGTCGTTGGAATAGTTCCTGATCCTCTTTTACTGTCCGACTTGTACGTCATCCGATGGAAGCGACATGCCTGACAATTTACCATACTTCGGCATCTGAATGCAAATAGGCAGATTCTTTTCTCGAGTGGAAGAGAATGAATTCCCGGAGAGTTCGATCGTGAAACATTTTCCATGAGGGTAAATTGCGGCACCGGGGCTTTGCGCGGAGTAGTACCCATGACCGTGCGGACCAATGGCCACGGTGGAGCACAGGAGGGCGAATTTGTTGACCGCGGATACCCAGTTCAAGACAAGGAAGCCTTCATGATGAGTACAAGTTATTATCCGGACGTGGAAAGCTCGACAAGGGCCCCGTCTAGCGCAGAGACTCTTTCAAAACTTCAAATCTCGCAGCGCTTTCGGTTCGACGGCCCACCCCCTTCTTGTTAAACCTCTCCCATTCCCCCACATAAAAGCGGCAGTGTCTATACCTTGTACGAATTCAAGCGATATCATAGATAGAAAGATAGAGAAGTTGAAAATTCGAAGAGCCGCCGGATGTCTTACCTGCCGGCCAATCAAGGAGTCCACTTTCCGATGTCCAAGTATAAATGTAGCTCTTCATGGTGCGTAGAGCTGTGCATGTGGAACGGCTCCTATGGCGCCATCACAGCTTTGCTCCATTCACCCAGGACGGAGTCAGTGTTCCGGAGGCGAATGCTAGACAACGACGTCGAGTGATTGTTCCAAGTGAGCGATAAGTGGTCTATCCCAGCTAGATACGGCCAACCACGGTCGTAAGTGTCGCTATCGAAGGAGTGACTTCGGGACTGTGGAAGCTTTGCAGGCATGCCGACAGCGCGGCAGAAGTGTGATAGATGAGGGCCCAAGTGTAAACGCGCTCGTGACTTGCGAACAGCTGCGAGCCCCTTTGGCATACCTGGCGGTACTGGCTTCCTGTCGCGTGTGTGCACCAGAGCCGCTGCTTCATGACGCTGTAAGACCATGGGTCCGAGAGGATTAGGATCGCCGCGAAGGCAAGGAAGAGTGTGGTGACACCGACTGGCCGAAGTCCAAGTTAGCGAGTTCATGTAACAGTAGATCACAGCAAGAGTATACAAACATCGCGCGACATTCGCTCGTCACGCACTGTTTGGGGGAGGTCTTGCTCCCGCTGAATCCAGTCGCCAAGCTCGCCACCCACCCTCAGAGCGTTGCGATCTTCCAGCTGATGACGATAGCGCTGTGTCGGGGGATATCGAGAAGGAGACCAAGTGACAATGCTTGTTTCACGATGGGGCGGCTAGCGGAAGACTGCTGCGCTCCCGAAGAGACCGCGCTGGCATCTACTCCGGAAGGTGCCACGCAGACGTCACGTCTCCGTTGCTTGTCAGCCGCGGTCGGCAGAGAGAAATGTGTGGCGTGTGTGGGAAGCAAAGTGTACAGCACTTGCTGGCTGTACTGTGTTGGTGTGTCAAGCTGCCTATTCGTCGGTGCTCGCGGGTCAGTACTTGTGAGTAGGAGGCATGATCTGTAGTCGGATCTCTCCGCGGGGGCGCCAGAGCTGCAAGATAGGCAGTCAGTGGAGCCCACGTGCAGGCGCATCATCGAATCGCGCGTAGCGTACAGCAATTGAAGACATCCGCGCACCCAACCTCAGCTTGCATTATTATTATTATTGTGTATGCACAGTATATGGACAGTAGAGTCAGCAGCTGTGGGCAAGCATGACAGTGATCAGTGAGGTGCATGCGGCAAGTGCGCGGAGGACGACTTGGTCGTCGTTGCCGTCGTGGGTTGGTACGAGGAGTGACGCATGTCCTGGTCGTGCTACATGTATTCTTACGCTACCTTATTCCTGACGACGTGATGACGGCAGGCAAAGTCCTCCTCCTCCTCTATCCCTCCTCCATCATCATCATCATCATCATCCGCGATCCACGCACCCCTCAGATTTGCATTGCCTGCGTCGGAGCCGAGCCGGCTCTGGTAGAGGGTCGCGGTAGCGGTAGCGGTCGCGGTCGCGGTCGCGGTGGCGGTGGCGGTAGCGGTACAAGAATAAGGCAAGGAGGGCAGGGCGGGCGACAAGGCAAGGCTGTGAGGCGTGGGAGACTCGCGTCGCACCAGTTGTACCGATTGGACTCGCCGCCGCACCGGGGTCTCGTCATCACGCGCAAAGGGCAGCCCTGCGTCTCCTCCACCGCCATCCTGACAAGCAGCGGTGCGACCTCTCACGGTCGTCAGACTAGCCGGACGCATACCTGCCTAGCGCGGACGGACGGCCTCCATTTGTGCATTGACGTGGGCTGCCCGATGCGCCAGTCCATGCCATGCCATGCCATGCGCCATGCGCCATGCAACCAGCAGTAGTGCGGTAGAGAGCAGAGAGGAGGGAGCACCCAAAGCACCTCTTCCCCTTCTGCACTAGCCCGGATGTCTAATTGCACATTAGACCCTTCCCGTGCCAGCCCGCCCTGCACTCTGTGCGCCCGCCCTCCACCAAACGCCTCTGCGCACACGGCTGCACATAATAACAACTTAGTAACGCCCGTTGCTGCAACCCGCCCTCCATCTCCATCCACCCACCCGAAACAAGCACAACACACCGCTCGACCACCCAACGCCCTCCTCCGCTCCTCCGCCCGCGCATCTGTCGCTGTCGCTGTCGCCGCCCCGCGTGGTGGGCTGCGCTGCTAGCCTTCCGTGTCAGGTCAGGTCCAGGGCCCGTCGCTGCTGCAGGAACGGGAAACGGAAGTCTGGCACAATGACATCAGCCCAAGAGACTTCTCGCCCGACTCCCTCGATCGAGCCGTCCCTGTCCTACGCCTTGTCCGCGCCCTCGCCCTCGCCCTTGTCCTCTCCTGACTCCTCGGCCATTGCCAGCGAAGATGATACTATGTCGAATGCCCGCATCTCACGCCCAAAGATAGGCAGTCGCAAGAGCAGCGGCACCATGATCGTGTCGCGCGACTCCGCCACCACCGTCGTGGATCCCGATTTCGACGAGAACGACGTCCGCACCATGTCCCCGCGCCGAAACAGCGAAGAGGTCGACAAGCTGGGCGAGGAAGCCCGAAAGGACCTCATCGAGCAGGCCAAGGTGTTACAGACCAGTCTGCAGGCCATAGTCGATCGAGTGGAGACGGTCAAGAGCGAGCATGAAAAGCTCGAAGGGGGAAACAAATTCCTGCAATCGTGCGTCCGGAACACCCCCATCACATACCCGCTGAAACATCCTGTGCTGATCATGTTGCAGATACATCGGAGAACTGATGCAGACCTCCAAGATCACGTCCACTGCGCCCGCGAAATCGAAAGGCAAGGGCCGGAGCGGAAAATAGGACGACGCGATCACCATCAACTCGACTTGTATCATCTTCACCATCCAACAACCTCATTGTCCGTTGCGGTCATCGCAGCTTTCTAGCATGGCGTGGATTTACTGGATCATTGGCATCACACTGGAGTTCTACGGCGTGTCACAGTCGTCCCCCACGACGACTGCATCTTTGCATAGGGGCGGATACCTCGCTTGAGCGTGCTGAAGCCAAGTCACGTGTATTATAATGACCAACTAAGATTAGTGTCGAAACGACAGATGATATGGGCCAGGCCACCCGCGCGCCAGACCGAGATGAATGGCCTGTAGGGGGGCGGGGCGCCTTCGAGCCTTTTATCAACAAGATACCCCATCGTGTCGCGGGGGGCGCGGAGCAGTCTCGCGGAGAGTTTGTCTTCCGCTCGACACGAGACATGCTGCGAGCCAAGGCGAGATACCTGCATGTACGAAGGATCGTTTCAAATGAGCTTTCCTCCAGCCACGCTGAGCGTCGCAACGACCCATGGATCACTGTGTCAATTCTCAATTCTCCGCCGTGCAACTTGAGAGCTGGGAGGATCGTGTCTCCGCACCACACGCTGTCCCTCTCCGCAAGCAAAACCATTCCACAGTGCAACACCCAGCCTCAACTTGAGGATGTCGTCGAATTTGGTTACTTTTTTGGGGACAACATCCTCCGCGATTGTGATGGCATTGTGCACGTGGCACGGCTGCAGTAAGACGGAAGGAACGAACGAACGAACACTGCGAGTGCCTGCCTATTCTGAAGTTCTGACCTGGTAGTTGCACACTAGGTATTACACGTCCATTGCACCTGCCCTTCCTAGATCTAGCTTTCCAGCGACGACTAAATCTTGAGACTTCATCACCGCAGCCGCTATCAATGTGAGAGAGAGAGAGAGAGAGAGAGAGAGAGAGAGAGAGAGAGAGAGAGAGAGAGAGAGTCGAGCAAGCCCGAAGATGACAACATTCTGTTCAACCATCTGGGAATCTACACAACATAGGAGAGAGGTATCATGCGTGCTATCAACCCGTGAATAGGATAAGCCGGAAACATCCACAGAACACCATGCTCGTAAGCAGCCACGCACACAAAAACGCACAAAATCATACCCATGCGTTCGTCCGTCGTCCATCCATCCTACCATCCATCCAAGGCCCTGCCGTCACGAAGAAACGCCATCCATCATTCAAGAATCCTTCCTTGTGCCGAATCGTTCCAGTCCCAGCCGCCAACGATTTAATGTTCCTATTCCCTAATCGTGCCCCAATTATGCCTTCCGACCCCACCTCTTGAAAGTCCTTGTCCGCCAGCACCCCTCGACGCACCTCCTACGCTCTGACTATGACCGTGCTGCCGGGACTGGAGGCTCTGCCTCACGATGGCCTCGGCAGCAGCCGCAGCAGCCAGACGTTCCTTTTGTCTGCTTCGGTCTTTCAGATATCGCTCTGCCTCGGGTCGCATGCGCAGAATGCGCAGGATCATATCATCGTTGGGGTCGGCTTGCGCTTCTTTGCGCTTTTCTTCTTTCGCTTTCTTCATTGTGCCGAGGTTGCGCGAATTCATGATGGACTTCGATCGCCGCGTGCCGCCTAGCGAAGGACTCTGGAAGCCAGCAGGCGCGGATAGACGGTTGAGGCGGTTGGTCTGTTCTTGTTGGCGTGCCAGGGTGGCAGATGCCATTGCTTCGCTCGTACGGACGAGGTTGTCCGTTGACTCGAAGTAGAAGAAGTTGAGGTTTTGGAGGTCGTGGTATTTCGGACTCTTGAGCACGTCCATCGGCACACCATCGGCTTCGCCGCGCTCGTGGTCAAAGGCGTGGAAGAAGTCGAATAGAATCTGCAGCCATTTGTAGACCACATCTACCTCTTGAGACCTGAGAGGCTTCTGAGCTGACAGCTTGTCGCTCAGTGGAGGGACAAGAAGACCCTCGATAGTCACCAATACCTCCTTCCACAACCTGGTCATGACCATAATCATCGCGCTATCAGTCAGCGTCTGCTTCATGATGGCAAAGTTATCGTCGAAGTACTGCAACAGAGGCTTGAGCGCATTGTTCGCCGTCTCGGCGAGTCCAGCGCTGCTTTGCACAGAAGGCGTGGCCACGGAATTCGGACGGCCAGACACTTGTCCCGATACCTTCGAGAAGTAGCCGGTCATCTTGCTCATCGTGACGCCAGCAATACCGGATGTAGGGCCCGCGGTGATGGCACGGAGTGTGCGGCGCGAGAGACATTGATTAATGTAGGCAGATAGCTTGTCCGTGATCCTTCGTGTCATGTCGCGTTCGGCACGCTTTAATGTCCGGAAAGCCTTGCCAAAATAGAACTGAATGTCATCTCTCTCGCCCTCCATCGTAACTCTGACAAGTACGCGTCCTTGAGTATCCAAATCCAGCCAGTACTCCCTGGGTAGATAGTCATTGAAATGGTTTGGATCGAGTTTGAGGCTTGTGCGGCCCAGACAGTCGTGATCGCCAATGTGATCCCAGTCCCAGACTGTCGCAATGACATTGAGCGGGCCAGTGGTCAAGATATCGATTGTCTCGTCCCATCTCGGATTCAGCGACTGATATACGGTCCTTGTCTTGGCAAGTCGCTTCTGATACTCGTCTCCAAGCACGACATAAGGATCACTAAGTCCGTTCATGTCGCCGGCCTTCAGATCTTCGGCTTCGATGATCTTGATTGTGAACATGAACTTGTTCTCACCTCGCTTGCGCATGTTCGATGGCGGAGGAGGCTCGTACTTTTGGATCGCAGCCACGCAAGCATCGACGTTCATCTCCTGCTCGACCTTATCTAATTGCAAGGTGGCATATTCAATGTTGTTGATTTTGACGAAGCTCTCCGGCCAGAACTGGAATGGCTCAATCTTCTGACCGATCCCCCCGGTGGTCCACACATCTCGTGCAACAGCGAGCCACTTCTCGTGCTGCTTTTGCTGAGCGCGAGCTTCTTGCTCTGGCGTCTGGCGGTTCATCTCGCGCGCGAATTTCGTTTCGAGAAGCTCGCAATATCGAGCGACTCCTTTGCCGATGGATTTGCTGACGGCGGTCATGAATTTGGCGTACTGCAGATCATCGTCCCATTCCAGTTTGATAATTTGGTCAATGCTCTGGTTGAAGATACGGTAGATGTCAATCGCACTTTGCGAGTGTCGTTCATCGTCACTCGGCGGATCGCCACGCTCTTTCGCTGCGGCGTCTTGCCGCACTTTGAAGTCGTCATGCGTGACAGCCCCTTCGATCCAATCCAGGAGCTTGCTGTCCGTCATTTCTATCCACCTCCACACGAAGTCTTGCAGAATACCTTCAATGTGGAACTCAAATTGTCGTCCAGGAAGCGCTTGGGCGTACACACCGCGAATCTCGACCAGCTCCTTGTAAAGTTCAAAGCCGTCTTGCACAGGCACGTCTTCTCCCTTTTCCGTGGCGAGCTCCTTAATTCTGACAACCAACTCCTTGGCATCGCCTGCAAACGCTGGCAAAACTTCTTGGACGAAGATAGCCAATGGCTTTACACCCATTACCTCTCTTAGTGCGCCCTTGTAGCGCTTCTGAATCTTCTGGCATGTCGCAGTCACGGTCTGCCCCAGCTTGATCACATTGAAGAACTCCCATTCGGTGGAATTGTCGGGAACGCTCTTGGCCAGCATGTCATGGTATTTACCTCGCGCCTTTTCCTTCAATTGCTCAGTCATCATCTGAGCGAAAGCGTCCATTTCCTCTTGATTGCGGCTGAAAGACGGGTCGCTGTAAATGTGTTCGTCCAAAACAGTCAGCACAGGACCTAAGCTCGGCGGCTTGTTTTCGTATCCATGCTGGAACGTATCAAACAGGTCTCGGAGCAGTGCGTCATGAATACTGCTAAGAGCACTCTGCAGGAGAACGTGGTCTGCGACTGTCCACTTCTCGCGATCGAATAAGCTGACCTGCACAGGCAGTTTGTGCGTTTTCCCCAAGCTCTTCTTCGGCTCGGAAGGCGGTGCTTTAACGTATCCGAAGGCGCTGTCGAGAGTATCTAGAGTGATCTCCCGGTTTTCCAACTTCTCGCGAACTACGTCCAAGAACAAGACGAGCCGGGAGAATTGTGGTACACGCCACCTGTGTGCAATTTCGTTAAGTAGCTCGGTCGACTGCTCGGAGAGTAATCTCATCGCAGGTGCCTCGTCAGTAGCTGCAGAAGGCTGGACATCGTCGTCCTGTAAATCTGCCGTGAGAGCTGTCTTCAGAACATGCCTGTAGTATGCGCGGGCATCTGGAGGTATGAACATGAAATTTGCGTGGCTAGCGTCGATCGATCCTTTTCCAGAATCTATTGGGGACGAATCTCCGAGGTTCAGTCCACTCATGTCAACCGGCAGATCGATCACGTAACTAGAGTCTCGATCGCCACTTTGACTTGATGTGGATTTGCTCAAATCGCTATACCCGCTGTCCATCTGTACCGCCATCGGAGGCTTGAAGGACGGCAGACTCCCACTAGACGTAGTCTTGGCCAGAGTAGGATCAGATTGTACGAGAGCAAGCATCATCTGGCTTAGGTCGCTGTACTCGTTCTTCCGCCACATCTCGTATGCGTCGTCCAAGTCGAAGTCGTTCTTTGCAGGAGTGATGCGAGTATTCAGCATCATGTGGCTCTGGTATTCCTTCAAGTCCTTCAACGCTTCCTTCTCAGTCCATTCGTCTTTATGGGCGTTGATGTCGTTCTGCGCCTGCACAGTGGGCTTCGAGAATATCCTGCAAACGCGAATGACCAGTGGCATATCCCTAACTTCGTAGGATCTTGGTACCTCCACTTCCACGCTGGTGCCTCCTTGACCACCGTTCCTTTGGCTGGCATCCGCGAGATCCTGGTCGTGCTGTAGCAGCTTCGTCTCCAGTGTCTTCAGCCTACTCGTCAATTCCGGACGATCTCTCGTCCAATCATTGTGAGACAAAGTCGTACTGATCAATCTTACGAACAGTGCGACGTGGCGATCCACCATCAATTTCCAGCTATCGTCGTCCGCAGGTTTTCCTTTTTGAAGTTCACTTGTTGCTTTGGAGAAGAAGATCAGTAGCAGATCCTCCACCCTCCGATCCTTCTCCATGCTCTTTCTGAAAGTCGGATTCTTGAACTCGTTTAGGAAAGCGCCACACGTCCGCTTGATCGTCGCATCGTTGTACTCGGGCATCTTCTCCTGGCCCACCAGCACTCCCGTCAGACGCTTATCTAGCGCAGTCATGAAACCATGAGGGAAGCGAGTGCTCTTGCTGTCCCTTATGAGAGAGAAGTCCTTGACCATATCGTTGATTGACGTCGACGAGCGCTGGATGGGCTTGGAGGTGTTGGCGACATGTTGGACCCGCTTCTGGCGGGGCTGCAAGAGGTATGAAAGGTAGGCGGCCTTGAGCGCAAAGATGTAGGCATCGTGCTCGGAGACGCTGACGGGTCGCTGGGAGTGGGACATGTTGCGACGACTGCTCTCTTTGGCCGAGTGGGAGTAGGTCGGCTTGCTGTTGACCGACGAGCGCGCGGAGGAGCGCTCCATGGCGGCGGCGGTGGTGGTGGTGAGGCCTTGATGCTGGCGCGGGAAGAGGTCGTGGCGCAACAGCGGTCATGCAGCAAGGCGAGCTATGCCTATGCTAAGCTTATGCGCGTTCCATGCGTAAGCAGTGTCTGTGAGTGCAGCGTCCCGTCCTGTTCTTGGTTGGGCTCGTCCGCACCGCACCTTCTCTTCTTCGGCCAAGGTGGGAATGCGTGTGCCGCTGCGATATGGCTCCTTCGTGGCAGCGAGCAGGTGAGATCTCGCTTCTTCCCGGGATTCCAGTTCGGTTGCTCCTGCCGCAACTCAGTAATGTCCCGGCACTTGGGTATGGCGTGGAGGCAAGAGGGTGAGATGCTGCTTTGTCTGGTTGTGAAGTGTGAAAGGTGAGGGCGGAGAACAAGCTGCGCTGCGCTGTTCGTATACGTGAGACTCGCAGCGGTGGCCCTGAGTGCAGGATCCTGGCCAATTGCCTGCGTCATGCCTCCGATTTTGGGGCAGCCCATGCGCCAAGCGACCGGGGGGTAATCTGCCTAACCCTGAAGGCTCTGACCTTACTGCGACCACAGCGTGTCACATATCAGTACAAAGTAGACGGGAACCACTATACTGCCCTGTTGATGTCGAAACCAATCAATCGCGCCAAGAGTCACATGCAAACGATGAGCAAGGCGAATAGACGCCTTGCATCGACACTCAAGCGACCCTTCAACCCGCCTTGATAGGCCGCCGAGTCCTGAGAATCATCACATGCAAGCCTGGGCAGCTAGCTTACTCGCTCACCAACTTCTGTCGTAAAGCAAGGCCCCTCACACCTCAATTCGAGCACAGCTTCGCTCACACCAAACCTCAACTCAGGCCTCAGGCCACGCGCCGACTTCCGCCAGAATCGACTCCGCACTTCGACACGGCAACTTGCTGTTACATTCGAATCCGCCCACCACAAATTACACCCGCCATCACACGCAGCCACCACACCGCAGCAACTCGCCCATCATGTCCAACCCTCCAGGCTCTCCCAACAGTCCGGGCGCGATAAATAAGTCGCGTCTCTCCGAGATGGAGAAGCGCGACAACCACATCAAGAGCGAGAAGAAGCGTCGCGAGGCCATTCGCCAAGGCTTCGACCGTCTGGCTCGCATTGTCCCCGGCATGGAGGGTCAGGGCCGCAGTGAGGCCATCGTCCTTCAAGCTACTGTCAATTACATGAAGGAGAAGATCGCCGAGAAAGAGCGGCTTCGTCAGATGGCACTCGAGAAGGGCTACAGCATGCAGGACTTCGAGCAGATCTACCGCGAGGCTGAGAAGCAGGTACGCATCGAGGATGAGGAGCGCGAGAACGGTGAGACACCATCGGCAAGTCCATGGCTGAGACAAACATGAGACTGACAGAAACGGAGCTCGGCCTATTTGATCGCATGCAAAACGTATGGCACCACGTCTCTCGACCCACTTACATACCACGGAGGAACGACGTCGGCACACATACACACGAACTTTCATGATGGAGCAGGCGGCACGCTGCTCTCTAGAGCGGCTTGACTTCGAAACGGATACCCCCAACCGGCAGCGCTGGAGCGATAGAGCGATTCACTCCAATACATTTCTTCATCCTGAACATTGTCTTTCTGAATGTGTTTCATCCCTCGCCGAGAAGTGATCTCATGGTCTTGTTGCAAGGTGAGATACCCATGCTCATTGACATCTACCTTCTCGAAGCGGCGAACAAAGAATCATTTGCTCTTTCATTGTTTCCCACATCGTTGACTCTAACAAACAGCTACTGCTCCAGCTTAGTCTGATCATCCCAGAATCTGGACCCAACTGCACCTCTTAAAAATGGCGCGAGATGTTGAAGTCACCGACGAGGCAGTCAGAAGGCTCATTGAAAGCGACATGACCCCGAAGCCCGACTGGGGTTGCCTCCGCAACAGTCTTGAAGATTGGCGCTACTCCACTGAGCGGAAAGTTGGTACGCCAATTCGAGAGCACAGGCGGTATTACGACCCTCAACGAGAATCCTCACGCAACTACATCAATCCAGGCTACCCAAACGCCAGTGGCAAGATGAAGGCTGACATAGTGTGCAATCGATACTACCAGCTGAAGATTGAATTGGACCAGGCAATCAAAGATCCTCCGATACTCGAGTGCGTGCAGAGGGATATCGATGAATTGTTTCCCAACAACTGGATCAACCGTGCTCGCGTCTGGGCTGAATGCGCACGGGCTTATGAGGAATACGAAGCTGAACTTAGTTGGGCCGAAGCGCAAGGACACGAAGAAGCGTCACGACGCTTCCAACATGCCAAGAGACCCAAGCAAAGTAGCATGCGTAACTTCAAAGCTCTGCGCAAGACGAGGGAACGTGTCGTGATCGAGGCCCAGGACGGTGATACTCGGACGCCAATGTCAGCTAGTGGAAGAATTGCAAAGCCTTGGCCGGAGACGGAAAGAATGAAGATGACGAGCAGAGCACAAGAGAGACTTGATATGGAGAGGCGATTGCGGAAGAGGCGGGAGGACAGTGGGAATATTGAGAAGAGAGACGTGACTATGGGTGGTGTTCCAGTGGATCAGGAGGCTCGAGCTGGCGAAGAAGGAGATGGCAGAGTGCAGCAGCAGCAGCAGCCAGAGGATGCCTTCGATGAGTACTATGACATCTCACCGATTACTGTCAGAAGAATTGCGGACCGAATGCGGCTAGCAAGGGAGCAGCAGCAATAGGCCTCTCCAGAGATACAGCCAGGAGCGCAACTCAATGGCACACGATATCGACAAGGATCTAGAGTGCTACCTAGAAGTCCTTTGAGATGCCCACCTTCCTAAGACGGGATGTAGAGATCTTGGCATTTCTATAACTGGAACCCCGTTATGTTGCGCACGAGTACAGCGTTAACCTAGGTGTAGTTATCTGATTTATCGAAACCCACGAGTACCTTAAGACAGTAATCGCTCTTTGTTAATTACACGGGACAGCGACTTTCACTAGACATAAAAATAACCGCTTTATCCCGACTAAGGGAATATATACGTAGATCCGATATTACTACGAATATTCACTTATAGCTATAGGTGACTCGGAGCAGTAACGACTGTCGACCGGAAGTTATGTTCGAACAACACAATGCCGCATTAAAAGGAAGTATTTTCTGGAGACCTACTTTCTACGTCCTACTACCTCTGCAATTGGACCTACACTTTTTAGTACCTAGGTGAATTAGGTGAATTTAATCGACTAGCACGCATCTGTCGAGATTCACTGTTTTCTGCTAAACAACACACTATTCTGCAAGTAATTAAGGGCTGGCTGGCTTAACTATAACTCGAGGTTGTCTATATCGACCTCCAATCTGCGACTCCATCGGCCACAGAGGCAACAAACTTCAGAGACTGCTTCGACCACACCCTCAGCATTCATTCTTCAACAGATCGACTTCAGAGAGTCAGCATGTCGAACCATTCCAGCAGAGTCGTGGAGGCCGACAAGACGATGGCAGACGCGGAGCCAGAAGTCACCGAGGCACTGTTCGAAGACGCGAAAGCCGACCTTCTACAGCTGCAAATGAAGATTGTTGCGCTTCAGGGAGCCATTGGTGGACTGTGTGAGGAGAAGAAGAATTCAACCGGAATGGAGAAGAAGAAACTTCCATTTCGCTTCCCCGATCTTCCGGCTGAGCTTCGCAATCGAGTGTACGCCTTTGCACTGGTCGACGGAAAGGTCAACCCGAGCATCTCGAAGTTCGTCCTCCCACCGGTCACTCGTGCATCCAAGCAACTGCGCACCGAGTCCCTCCCGCTCTTCTTCTCGGAGAACAGCTTCCAGATCACAGTCTTCAGCAACTTCGTCCAGCGCAAGGAGACTCGCGACTTCTTCGCCACCCAGGCCTCCGGCGTCCATGGCCCAATACCCTCCCAGGCCAAAGGGCCCATGGGCAGAGCCGGCCGTCTCAACATCAAGGCGCCAGTCAAGAAGATCATCAGCAAAGCCGGCAACAGCGCGCTCTTCAGGGAGGTCACGTTCCATGTCATCTCAACCGATCAGTTTACCGCCGCCCAAAAGAGCGATCGACCGGTTCCTTATTCCACTGCTCACCTTTCCCTGAGCGTGGACGGCCGATCTGGAGTACTGGCCAGCTGGGAGAGCGGTGCATTGCACCCGGACAAGCGTTGGTTTGCGGCATACGCGAAGCAAGATGTGGACGAAGCTCTGGATGGCGCGATCAAGGTGGCATACGACATCGCTGAGCGCGCGGAATTTCGTGGATTCAGCTTGCGGGATCTGGAGAGGATTGGCAATGCGTTTCGGTTCCAGATTGGAATGCGCGCGTAGCGCTTGAGAAGCTGGACGACATCGCACACATGGCGACATTGGAGCATGGCATTCTGACGTTCAGGTTGCGGGATCTGGAGAGGATGATGTCCAGGCTTGGATACGCGTGTAGCGCTTGGGTAAATGGACATCATCACGGACATGGGAACACTGGGCAGGGTATACTGGCGCTGATTTCCTGATTTGATTCTTGGCTGCATGGAGATTGTTCGAGAGGACAGAATAGACTGCATTAGAGGGACAATGCGAATGTTTTTCGCTTGTAAAGTGCAGCTTTATGTCATTAATTAAAGTGTCCCACCAATATATCGCTTAGACGCCCTTTACGGCAGAACTCCGGCTGCTAGAGTGCCAAGACCCATGTGAATACTAGAGTGTACTAATCTTTATTCGGGTGAAATTTGCTATCGGTTTTACGCTCCTCGAACTAATACGCCGCAACTATATTCAGACTAGCCTCTTCCTTTCTATAATAGCGTAAAAAATGTGAATTCGTAGAACATAAGAGTACGCATTATACTTACCTTCTAACTAGTAGTAACGCATTAGATCTCGAGTTAGCTTTGTGGTGCGTTCTCGAAGACCAGACACTCAGGAACCCTGCCGCAGTCACATGCAGCGCCGAGATATCGTCGAGGAAAGAGGATAGGTGAAGTTCCTTTCACTCTCTTTGGCATACGTCCGATGCCTCGCACAATTCGTCTCAACCTATCAGAAGCAAATCAGTGGCTCGCTTACTTTGGAAGAGGTCAAAGTCAACACATGTCCATGCGACTTGCCACGTGCATCGCAGCTACTTATAGCCTTCCGTTTGCTCTTTGGTCCTTTCCACCAACATCACCACAAACATGGGGAATCAATCCTCCTCAGCCTTTCTACCACCGACTTAGCTCCATACTTGCCAACACCCAACACACAACACACACACATACAAGTCCATTACCATCAATCAAACCACACTTACCATGCCTCGCGCCAAGTCCAACAAGAAGGCCAAGCCCCGCAAATCCGACAGTTACAAGAAGACCCAAAAGGATAAGGGTCCTGCTCGGACAGCTAGAGATTTCACTCCTCTCGACGAGAAGGAGGTCTTCCCCTTCACCGAGCTCCCAGCAGAACTCCGTAATAAGATCTACTTCTACCACCTGGCCTCCAACACGCGCTACAACTTCGCGAGTATCAGAGTCCCTGCCATATGCCAAGCAAGTCAGCAGCTCCGAGAAGAGTCGCTCCCGATTCTCTTTGCGGCTCGCGCCTGGTAAGAAGATCGGACAAAGGAATACCCCAGCTCACACGTCGTGCTCACACTGACCTGATTCCTTTGCGTCCAGGTATGTCACTATCGGCTCCAACCTCCAAGACCGCTTCAAGCTTCGCACAGGAGACGAGGGTCTCAGGAAAAAGATGGAGGAAAGCGAAGAGTGCAGCACGAGGCTGAAGGACTCCGGCGTCACCAAGATGAAGAAAGGTTCACGAAAATTGCTCTCCTATGCCGCGGGGCTCAAAGACATATTGATCCGCAATATCACCTTCTGCATCGTCGAAGTGGAATCCCTCAATGAAGCCATCAAGCTCGACGCTGCAGGCAAGAACCACGAGTGGAATGCATTAATCGTCACCAGAATGACCGCCAAGTGGGTCAATGATGGCTCCGCCGACGTGACCATTCTCCGAGGTCAACACCACCCTTCCAACGACGTCTCGTGCAATTTTGACGCAGAGGACATTGATACCGCCATCAAGGACGCCAAAGAAGCCACGGAGACATGCGGAAAGACCACCAAAGACTTCAAAGGTTTCGGTCTCTCGGATCTGCAGAAGATGGGAGATCCCTTCAGGTATTCCATCCAAGACATGGAACAAGTTCTCTTGCAGAACTCGTACAAGTGTTTCTACAATTGCATGCAGAAGGGCAAGAAGCTTCAGATGTTCGGAGGCAGCAACGCGGCTTTTGAGGCACACAAGGGCCAGGGCACACGATTCAAGGGACGGAAGCAGCGGCAGTAGATGAGCGCAAAGGATGTACTCGGTCGCACGAGGTCTTAATGGGTGTGATGAGGGTTTGTGGTTGAGCAACACTTCTGATTTTCTTGATTTTCATCGACTCGAGCGGACAGGTACCGGGCGACCACCGGGCTGCAGAGGCGGAGATGAATCTACTTGGTGTCTGTTGAGGTAGCAAGTTTGACACTTGAATACTCATTTTTGATTGAAATGTAGCACTGGATCCAGTATGATCACTTCCTACGACGGCCCTTCTTCCGGCGAGAGCACTGTCCTCTGTTGTTCTTCCACTTCTGCTTCTTCTCACTCTTCTTCTTCCTGCGTGCGATTCGGCCAACCGAGGACTACTCAGTGGCCACGCGGTGCAACAATCTGGGATCTTGCATCTCAGCCCACTGCAGAATCTGGACGTCGTCATCACCTTCGTCTTCGCTCAGGCCTTCCATCTCGAATTTGCGATAGACGCGATTGCCATCTTCGTCGTACTCTTTGGGCTGCATATCGCGCTTTGCGAGCTTAACAATCCACGCATCGCCATCCTTGCTCTCCAGGCGAACGGTCCGCGTGATGGTGCCTGGCTGCCAATTTGTGGCCGCAGACACGGCTAACTCATTGAAAACAACAAAGTCACCCTTGAGAGCATTGGCCTTGGACAACAGGGGTAGCGAGGAAACATCGTCAGGCAGGCTGGGGAAGCCATCATCAACCGTGGACTGCGCTTCTTCTTCTTCTTCTTCTTCTTCTTTGTTGTACGCATCATCAAGCAGAGCGCCGTCCTCCCAGTAACTGTCATCTTCATCCTCCAGCGGGTCATCGTAGTCAAGCGCGTCACTTCCGCCGTTGGTGTTGTATTTGTCATAACTCTCAACGTACTGTTCCCCATTGACGTTGGTTTTACGCTTCTTCTGCCGCTTGGACAAATTGGAAGCAGAGCTGTTACGTTTGTTCTTCTGGTACTGATATTGCGGATCCCAACGCTGCTTGAACGGGAAAGGCGGCGCGGATAGGGTTACGCCGTCATCACAGCACTCGACGGCGGACACCTCAACTTTGTCGAGCCAGGCGTTTGGAAGCTCCGCCTGGTCAGTTTGCTCGGGCTGTGGTAAAGGCTGCTCTGGGTAATTTGTAGGCAGCTTTCGCTTTGACCGGGCCGTAAGCTTCTCCTGCAATGCATCTTTTTCTGCTTGAGTTTTGGGCGTTCGCACACCCAGAGAACCAAACAGCAGACGATTAGTCGCAGCAAGATCAATGCGCTTGGGTCTCTGAGTGGTAGATTCAACCTCAGGCGGGTCGTCATCAGCACCAGTGTCAGCTTCAGCATCAGCTCCATTGGCAACAGTGCTGTTGTCGTTCATGGCGTGTGGAGGGACGTCGACTTCCGGAGATGTTATCGTAGTCGTCATCTCCTTGGCTTGATCGAGTGCAGCTTGTGCTCCGTGGAGCAGCGCCGTCTCAGACTCGTCTTCAATCTCGTGGTGGTCTTTTCTTTCCAGGCTTGTAGGACCTGGATAATCGACTAGCGTATTCCGAAGGGTCTCGCTTTTCTTCAGATGCAGCGCCAGTTCTTTCTTTGGCATCTTTACCAGATCTCTCAGAGTTGCGTCGCTGTGTATCACACCAATCTCTTTGAGAAATCTCAACTGCCGCTGCTGCCGACGTCGCATGTTGCGACTTTTTGTCTCAGGCTTGCCCTGATAAGGCAGCCCAGAAGGTTGACTTGGCTTGGAGTTTGACCGTTCGGTAATGACACACACGCTTTGCGGTGATGAGGTTGGTGAAACTTCGGCTGCTGCGGCTGCACTTGTGCTAATACCATTCCACGATGCCTCGCTTGCCTCGCTTGAGGCGTCATCCGAGTCGCTCGATGATGATCCACCTGAGCTGTCGCTACTGGAATCGTCATCCGAGGTGTCACTCTCATCTTCGGAGGGAGTCTTATCCTCATCTTCGTCGTCGTCAGAGCCTTCCTCTTCGGTGCCGTCGAGCTCAGCTTCCTCGTCAAGGTGTGCACTTCGTCTTGTTGTTCGCTTTGTGACGGGCTCCGTCTCGGTTTGTGAACCATCATCCTCCTCGCTGTCCACATCCGAGTCATCGTCCTCTTCCCCATACTCAAAGTCCATGTCCTCCTCCTCCTCATCGTCATCGTCCTCTATAGCCATCAAATCCTGCTCCTCTCCGTTGCCAATAGCGAGTGGTGTGCTATTCTCCATTCTTTGCCTCTTGCGTGGCGGAATGGCCAAATGCGGTCGTATCGGTCGCTTCAGACACGGCTTGCCCCATGGCACACCGTCCAACATATGCCTGCCGTCCTGCGCAATCTGTTCTCTTCCTGTGATTCTTCTTGCTCTTACATCCGCTGTCTGGAGAGGTTTGATGACCACCTCATCTTCGTTCTGGAAGACTGTCCCGACTTCATTGTAGTGCAGAACCTCAAAGCCGCCAACAGAAACCGAGTAGTCCTCGAAACCCCAAGACCCACCTTCAAGTGGAAAGCGTTCGTCGACACGCTCCAGGAATTGCGCGACAGTTTGCTTCAATTCCGTGTTTCCTATGGCCCACAAGACAGAGACTGCAGGCAGCTCGTTTCGCTCTATGCGTACTCGAAGACGCATTTTGAGGTCGGATTGTGCTATCGAAACATTGTTCAGAAAGGGAACAGGTGATGTTGTGCGCAGCTCTGTTACAAGCTCGAGGAAGAAAGAGCATCGGCGTTAAGATTTACGCTAGTGTCCGGACGGGCACTGCCGCGCCGGATCCACTTCACGAATCTACCAGGGATCAGAAAGCTCACGCATTTGAGATAAACTTTAAAGCAATCAAAGCGCTTGCAGTTCGAAAACTGGATTCACGGCAAGCTGTTCGAAACCTATTTGAGCAGCGTTGATTTTGGGAATAGCCCGTAAGATGAGGTAACCAGCTAAGACTATGGACGCTGCAGGTAGGCGCTCCCAAACGTGCATGTAGCGAGTAGCCTGTTTCTGGACGTTTCTGAGGGACTGGACGGCAACGAAGTCTCTGGAATATCAAGCTCGTTTAGCATACTAGACCAACTTTGCTGTGGGCCACTTCATCTGTCTGTCGCTTTGCGCCGCCAACCAGTGGTCTCGAATACTGGCCTCGCTTCCACTTGGGAGGTCAGGCACAGCTGTTCTGGAAAGCTGAAGAAGCCATCGAAATGCGTTCTTTAATGACACCTAGAACCACCGAGAGAGGTCCGGTGGAGCAGAGGATGTTGCTTGTAGGCAAGCATAGCTTTGTTGACGCTCGCAGTTCAATTGTTGCTCAGTGGCCTTGTCGAACATGGGCTGGTCAGATAAACGAGCTTCACGGCATTGATAGAGATCAGAGTCCAGTAGAGTAGCTGGGCCGGGTGAAGGAGCAGGAGGCTGCACCCACGGATTTCGAGGTTTCGTGGATGCCTCAGATGAGTTTCGGCCTGAATGTACTTCCAGATGTGGCACCGTACCTCGCGCGGGCTGTTCCCTTACTTCTTTTCCTGGCCTTCAAACTTCTTTCAAGGAGCCGGTGATCGATATCGCACCGTCACCACTTGGCTCGAAGTCCACGACTTTGAAACTGACCCGTCCGCTCACACTCTTGCCGTTCCTCAGCCAGTGCTCCCCATCCCATGTCCAATCTTCTGGTACTGAGTCTCGGTCGACAGAGGCGTTGAAATAGTTGTAGCACATGAGGCCCAGAACGCTCTCACTTTGCAGGTTCACATCTCCCTCTAATGTTGTTCCTTTTTCCGGCCTGAAGATTGTGAAATCACCAGTGAGCCAGACGAACGACACGCCGTACTCGTTTATGCTTTTGCACAGTACGCTCTCGTCCTCATCGCTGCTGTCGGTCGTGGTTCCTCGAGGTGGTTGTTGCGACAAGCTCAGGTTGGTGTACGAGAGTAACACGCCATGGAGGGGCGGATAGTATTGAAGCACGTGGGGAGACAGATGTTCGGCGCAGAGACCATCAAGGGCGTACCTGTAGGCGCATGGCGATAGAGGTAGGTAGAACGAGGTTCTGATTTGGAGGAAGGGCGCGGCTGACTTCTTTCCATCGCTGGCGGCGGATTTGCTGTGTTTCTGACGAATGTTAGCATTTGTTAAGATTAGATCCGCTGGAGGGCACATACACTCTTTCCCATATTCTATGCGCGATGTGCGTGAAGCTACCATCGCGTGAGAGGTTGGGTCGTAAAAGAATATAAGCATGTGAACTGTCGCAAATCTACAAAAGAAGTAGGTGCGGGCCAGAAGTCATGTCCCGATGTGGACTTGTGTCAAAAGCAGGGATGCTGACTAAGCAGAAAGTACACCTGTGTCGAAGGTGAGGCCACTTGGAAATGTGCGATTTTTTGCCATAACCTTGGGACATACGAATAGTTGAGGGCAAGACCAGATTCAGGGGCACAACAATAGAGTCCGATCCTTCTTCAGACGCCTTAAAATAAGCCATATCGAATAGACTCGGACGTTTGCTACAATAAACCTTCTGGAGTCCTTGCAACTGTCACCAACATCTTGTGGCAGATTCGCCCGGAAGAAAGTACCAATCGCAACTCGGTCGGTTCCAAAACACATCACAAAAGCTTGGGCATGCCTCGACAGACTTAGCAAGCGTTTCTCGTTATACTCGTCAACATGTCGAGCGCTCTCCTGTCCATCGCGGGCTGGTACTTCTTACCAAACGTAAGTTCAGCCTCTCTATTGCTTGAGACAAGTACTAACGATGTCCAGCTTGTAACAGGCTATGCTCAAACAGCCCTCTACTCAATCTTTATCCGCGCCGGTGATCCGAAACCAGCACCAGGATCACCACGTTTCGTGCGAGATCGCCGCGTGGTACAGATTGCCGTCATTGTGCTATATCTCTTATATACAATCTACGAAGCGGACTATCAGTTGCTCAAGGAAAGCGACTTCTACACGACCCTGGGTGTACCGTGCGATGTGGGAGAAAAGGCCTTGCAATCGAAGTTCCGACGCCTGTAAGTCTGATCTCAGAACAATAACAGCTAGGTAATTTTAACATGTGAATTTCAGGACTGTGCAATATCACCCCGACAAAGCTTCCGCAGCCGAAAAACCCGCCATGGAAGCACTTTATATCCAACTCACGCTTGCTCGGGACACGCTCATTGAACCAGCCAAGCGCTTTGCGTACGATCGCTTCGGTCCAGAAATCCTCGGTTGGCAGAACAACAAGCTTGTGCGCGACTTCGTCAATACGGGAATCCAGAATCTCGCAATCTACTATGCTGCAAGCGCTGGTGTCTTGATACTACTTGGAATCCTGGGTTACCTGCGCCAAGGCATGTTCTGGCGCTATTGGGTAATGGCGAGCCTGTTCGTGTTTGAGCTCTACACCGCAACACGGACTGAATTCCCTTGGCTCTTGACGGAAGTGGTGAATCCGTTCCTCTTGACCACGGGGATCAGAAGACCGTACTTGCCATTCCAGCTGATCGTCCTTCTACGGAAGTTGACATTGACATTCTTCATCGCCATGTCGCAACTCGGACCACTGCTTCAGGATCCAAAGCAAGCAGCAGCGCAGGACGGACCTGGAGTGACGGCGCAACAACTAGACCGCGTGGACGCTTTGACGAAGCAAACAGGCGAAGAAGTCAACCGTCTGGTGAGTCTGGAGCTCATGCCGTACGTGCAGACGGACCAAATGCCACCCGCAATCTCCCGAGAGCTCAGGACGACAGTGAAGGAATGGCTTGTGCAGAACACAATCAGGAACGACCCGGAAGTCAGCGGTGCGATCAAGAGAGTGCTCGACAGACGGCGACAGGAGGGACGGAACCCGCAAGCTCAACCGCAAGAAAGCGCACCAGCAGGATAGACTACCTTTTTCAATTCATGTGGTATCGTGTCACGCGCGTGAGCGCATTCTATCTTGTTTCATCACTGCCGCATGAAGCCCATACCGAGCCCTCTCACAAATCTCACTTCATCTGCATTTCTTTCCAGCGCCCTGCGCATCGCCATGCCGTATTGCCTTTCGGCATCTTCCCCGGCGCGTTGTTCAGCCGTAAGAGCCTGCTCCTCCAGCGCATCGTGCCACTGCTCGTCGCCAAGAGGATTGCTGTGACCGAAACCCAGAATGCCAACACGACCGTCCCCGGTCCACAGGAGCAAATTGTTCTGATTTACGTCGAGCCGTCCCGACTTAGCATATGTATTTTCGTAGTTGCGGTCCGTCGGCATGATCTTTTGAACAATGTCGCCTTGACCCGGCAGCTCGGAACCGCTTGAAGACCAAATGCCATGTGCGGTCGCATCTCCGCTTGGATCCCCCGGAAGAGCATCGTTGATGTTGAAAGTCCGCACGTACGTAAAGCCATCACGTTCAACCCATTTCAGGTGACCGTCTCCATCGCTGAAGACGATGCGGCCTCCGTGCGGTGCGACAGATAATAGCTTGGAAGCAGAGGCTGTCTGGCGGTTTTGGTAGGACTGCACGCGTGGAAGGCCGTGTAGCTCTAGCGAGCCTTTGCCCTTATACTCTGCGGCTGCCAATATGGTAGTTCCAGTGGCACTCCTAGCTTCTTGGAACGCGGAGACAGTGGCATCGGGGTTACGTAGCAGATCAAGGCTGCGAGGGACTAGAGGATATGGAAGTGAAGATAGACTTGCAATCCTAGCTCCACTGTGAATGGTACCGCGGAGCCTGGGGAAGAAGCGGCGGTCGTAGTTAAGTAGAGACGTGAAGCGTCCGGCGACCCATATCGAGCTATCATCTGCGCCGAAGCCATCGTGGTTGAGGATTGAAAGAGGGCCTGGCTGTGCGAGGGTCGCATGTGAATACACCAATCCGCCAATCAATTCGCCCCCAGAGTTTGCCTCAGCAGCGGCGAAAGCAGGATCTCGAGGGTCATGGAGATGGATGGTCATGTTCGTGCCAATGGTAATGGCAGATCTCTCCCTCGTTTCCGACAACGCTGTGATAGGAAAAGGATACTCTTTGCTGGAGACGAGCTGCATGGTGTTGAGATCGACTTCTTGTAGGAGATTCTGCACCGCAAAGTAGCCTTTCGCAGAGGAGCTATCAATGGACACACATTCAACGGCTCCTGTCTCAGTCATCACCGCGCGACTTTCCGATGTAGCATTTGCATGTCGGCCTGTCAAGAGTCCCGGTTTGGACTGCGCGATGAGTCTGCCTCCGCCGCCACTTTGAGTAGTAGCCCTCGCCGAGATGTTCCAAATGCATACGCTGCCATCATCCAGTGGAGACACGGCATGTTCGTTCGCAGACGTCTGTTGATCAGTGAGCATACCGATACCGGTAGCTTCTCTCAGCTCGTCCTTGTCTGTCGTCTGCACTTTGGGGACCTCTAGCCATCCAACGTTGATTGGCGCATGGCGATGGATGTACTCTTCATAGTAGTCCAGCCTCTCGTGCGGATATCCAGGCTCCCAGTTTGCCAATGCCCGGGTCCGTTGTATTCGGGCCTCAGCTGCTGGATCATTGGATGCCCTTCCCTGCGGTCGACCGACCAGCTGCGAGACATCCCAGGCGGTCAGGTCACCGCCCGGCAGAGCAGTCACAGCATTGCGTAACTCAGCCAGACGTGCATCTTGGAGGCTCATGAGATTTTGGCGTCGACGCAGGGCTTCTGCGCGAGAATGATTGAAGGACTCAGTCTTCCATACAGCGTTGTCGCGGCCCAGAGCAAGGTATCTAGAGGAGACGAGCTGCAGATGCACGATGTCGGCATTCTCCAGGACTACCTCAAGTCAGCGCCAATCCGCGCGGGCACTCTACGTGGGTGTGTTGTCGTACAGGAGAGAATATGGAGAACTACTTCCTCCGGCAGGCGATCCATCATGTTGGTCGTCACTGCAGGCATACGTGCGAATCTCCCGACGAGTGGCCTCGGGGAGATCATGAGACGCTGATTAAGGGGATGCGCTGGGAAGCCGCGGACATGGCGTGGCACAGCTCGTCAGCTTGTTGGCTCTGGAGCGATATCATCGCATTCCGGACATGATTAGTTGGCGAAGTGCTAGGCGAAGTGGCGCGAGAGTGGGAAGTGCGGACAGTCGGAGCGGGTAGAGCAAGGCAAGTCTTGTCGGCTCTCGCAACAGGCAGCGCTGGCGGGAAGGAGGAAGGCGTCAGGGAAGAGGTTCGAGGATCGGCGAGATTACTGTGATGCTGGATGTCTCTGCTGCTGTTCGGCTGTCACAGAGGGGCTTATCCCGATTGGAGCCAAATCCGGTGGGGGCAAGCGAGGGCACGCGGCGGCACGAAGACAGAGACGCGGTAGAGAGGGATGCAGCTCAACAAGCGCAATCTGTCTAAACCGCAATACGGCAGCAGATTTGGTAGGTGGATGGCATTGCAGGAGAGATGAGCGATGAGCGATGAGCGATGAGAGATGGAGAGATGATTGCTTGGCGTCTGCGTTTGCTGGTCATAATAAATTGATACACGACATAACACGACACGATATGCGCCTTTCTGTTTCGGGCGCGGCAGGGAAGGCAGTTCCCGAGCCCGTCCCCGTCGACGCACGGACTCCGTTGGCAGCAACTGCAGTGGGCGATGTGATCAAAGAGTGTTTTGTCCATCGTCAGGCTGGCTCGCGCTGCCTTTCCGGACTCGTCCTCATGGCGAGAGGCTCCGGGCACGGGGCTCACCAGCACCATTCCCTTTTATCACCACCTTTCCACACGCCGCGCACAGCACACCACTATGCAACATCCACCCAACACCACCGCTCTGTCTGCCGCAACACCCCATCGCCGGCCGTAATACCTAGTCATCTGCCACACACGACACCTCCCGGATAATAATACCAGCGCCAACACCTCGCCCACCGCCCACGCTCAGCCCAAGCCCTGAGCGACTCAAAGGCAAATCTGCCGTCGCATCACCGCCCTTCTTCTCGCCAAACGCCTTCCAACCCACGCCACACCACACCTCCACTCCGACAATCCATATCGCCAACGCCAGAACAATGTCGACGACGATCACAACCACCAAGGCCGTGCCCAAGTCGGCCAAGAAGAGTCGGATCGTGGTACTGCGCGTGTCGCACGAGCTCCTGTCGCAGTGGCCATCAGATACCACTGCAGAAGCTTCTGTCAAGCGAAATTCCATCAACGACGAGGCCTCACCATCCATACAACTGCCCGACACGGCCGACAAGTCATCAGACTCGAACGCAACACCGGTGCCTGCACCTGCAAACGACGCTGCTACCACTGACAGCAATTCATTGGCACCACCAAAAATCGACGGTAGGAAGAAGAGAGGAGGCGCTGCCACCGGTGGCCGCAAGCGAGCACCACCATCCATCGACCCGAACGCTCCACCCAGGGAGAGAGGTCGACCCGGCCCCAAGAAGAAGCCAAGATTGTGAGTCGAAGCTGCTCTTCCTAATCCATGCGACGAGCATATGTTGCACCAGAGGAAATGAACGCTAACTCTTCATAGGGCTGATGGAACCATTGACCGCTCTGGAGAGAAGGGCCCTACTGGAACCAACCCAATACCCGCGCACAAGCTGGGCCCGAAAGCCAACACTGGCGCGATCAACGCTGGCCTCCGTGCGCTCGACCGTACCGGCAAGCCCTGCCGCAAGTGGGCGAAGAAAGGCCTCCAGCTCAAGTCATTCACCGGCGCGATATGGTCCATGCCATCTTGGAAAGCGCCACCTCGCGACCAAGGCTTCGCTGGCGACGTGAAGAGTGACAGCACGGGGTCCAGTGAGGTCAAGCCTGTCAACGAGAGCAGTGCAGTGGCGAGTGAGAGGAGCCACAGTCATCTCGGCGGTGAGACCGCTACTGGAGGCGATACTACCATGATGAACGGCATAGAGAGCTCACCAGCACCTCCTATCGCCGCCTAAACTTTATGATGCGATTACCTTGGTGACGACCCGACAACTCAGCTGCGTAACGGCCAAGTCTATTGGCAGTTTGGAGTCTACCATTACATTCTCCTTCAAAGTTGAGAGCATCTGTTCGGACTGAAGCTCGTTTTGGTTTCAAGGCTGGGTGCCAACGAGATGTATTACTACTGTTGGGCGGTCACGCCTGCATATTCAGACACATCACTAGCGAGGCGTTTTGGGAGCTGCGTGGGAAATCAGGACCAGATGAGTGAAGTACGGGATGCTCCTGGCAGGTGTCGGCGTATACAGTGAGCCATTTCAAGGGGTTCGCCATTCGAGCGTGGAGTTAGTATGGGCCATTTGGACTTGGCCTCGCAGGTAAAAGCGATGATATCCAATTTCGATCATATAGTAAAGTGTCTCTCTCTCCGACTCATTCTTCTCCTGTGTTGTTATCGTGACGCATGTTGCGTGGTGAAACGCGTGATAATTGATGTGGCCTTGCTGTCATGCGCGGCGCGGGGGCACCTAAGGCATGTACGTGCATGCTGTCACCGACGCGCACCTGCTCCGCTATCCACTTTCCGTCCTTCGGCACTCTGCATGCACCAAACTGATACGACACTCGGATTGCACAACTGGCCGGCCACTTACTCTATTGATATCGCATGATGTCTCCAGACCTGTCAAGAGTGGTGGACAGGAAGCCGTTGCGGTAGCTGATCAACATTTAGGACGTTGGACCTCATCACCACGCTCCATCTCCATCTCTCGCGCGATAAGCCCGTCCACGCCACTGCCACGGCCACGACTGCCATCGCTCTCCTGCGCTTACGAATAACCGAACTGCTTGCGGCGAAGGGGACTGACGGAGTGTAGTGAACTGGGGTCGATTGGCTGCCGGGGGTTTGCTGCTGGCCATCTTGGTTGCCGTCTTTACCATCGCCATCTTGCTCTGGCAAGAGCATGAGCGAATCCCACTCGCGAACAACATTTGATCCTCCGGATCATTCAATGAGCGACTCATCAGGCAATCGGCGGCCTTCATACGCGAACGTAGCTGCGGGAATTGCGAATACTAGGAGCGCGGATTCCGCCGGCAGACCAAGCTCAAGGACCGCTACTTCGGCAAGAGAGGACACGATGAATTCTTCGAGAAGCAGTGTACATGCGTCGGCGGGCGATAGCAACGACAGGAGGTCAGGACAGAATGCTGGACCCGGCGCAACAGGCGCGAGTTGGGCGAACGATTCAATGCGATATGCCTCCGATCGGCTGGGTTGCTCAGCACACGAGGACTATCCTGCGTTCTTCATACCTTCATATCTGAAGACGTCACGGCATGTGCAAAGGTTACGACAGGCATATAAAGAGCACGTGGCAGAGCTACAAGAACATGCGAGTAGAATGCATGCCGCTAAGACAGCTTCGCTTTCGACAAGCTCCAGCAACACGAATCTGAACAAGACGCCGCCGGTACATACACATCGAGGAGTCGTGCAAGATGTGATCGAAAGACAGCCGCCGCCGTCAGCCGACGATATCATATACCACCCCTTGCCGAGCAGATGGTCGGAGGAAGACAAGATGAGTGGATTGGAGATCATGGCAGACGGGACGGAAGTACGGTTCAACGGCGTGACAAAGACATCAGACGAAGCAGCTGCCGTCAGGAGTGACTGTCCCATGCCCAAGGAATGCGGGATCTTCTACTTTGAAGTCACCATATTGTCAAGAGGAAAGGACGGCCTCATTGGTATCGGATTCTCGTCGAGGAAAGCGAACCTAAACCGACTACCTGGGTGGGAGACAGAGTCATGGGCATACCATGGTGATGACGGCTTCGTGTTCGCGTGCACGGCGAGTGGGAAGGCCTACGGACCACGGTTCGCGGCGCAAGATGTGATCGGCTGTGGCGTGAATTTCAGAACTGGAAACGCCTTCTTCACAAAGAATGGAAACTATCTGGGTACGTCACTAGTCTGTTTCACGGTCGATTGTTGCTAACAGATCACCAGGAGTCGCCTTCAACCAAGTCAAGGTCCACCATCTCTTCCCTTCTGTCGGCATGAAAAAGCCAGGCGAGCATCTCCGCATCAACTTTGGCAAGACCCCCTTTGTCTTTGATATCGACAGCATGGTAGAGCAGGAAAGACAAAGCATCTTCGACGACATCAGCAGAGCGAGCGTCGCATCACTACACGAGCCTGACGATGAGAACGCTCTGGTGCACAATCTGATAGCACAGTACCTCGCGCACGAAGGCTACGTTGAGACTGCGAAGGCCTTCTCTCGAGATGTGCAAGAGAAGCAAGAAGCCTTCGTTGACCAATCACGATCATCACACGCGAACAACGAAGATGACGATGTTCACGCTGTCAACAGGCAAAGAATACGAAAGAGCATATTAGATGGTGATATTGACCGCGCCCTGAAGTATACCAACACCTACTATCCGCGTCTGTTCGATAACGCCAGGAATAAGGACGCATATTTCAGATTGCGATGTCGGAAATTCATCGAGCTCATGCGGTTACATGGAGAACTTCAAACCGCAGCCTCATCCCCCATGGCTGTCACTAAATCTGTCGACTCATTGGCCAGCAATGGCCGTGCGGGCGACGACACGGATGGCGATGAACCGGACACTCAAATGGAATTGGACGATCAACTGCATCGCGAAACGTCGAAAAGTCTAGAGCCTCCAGCGACGGATGATGTCGACATGGACTCCTCTCAAGAACTGCCGCCAAAGCGACAGTATATGAAGGCGGATCAACTAATAGCCATGGCACTTCAATATGGTCAGCAACTCAAGGAAGAATTTGGCAAGGACCCGCGGCCCGCAGTGCAGAAGCACCTCTCTGACATCTTCGCCCTCTTGGCGTATGGCAATGTCTCGACGAGCCCCGTCTCACATTTGTTTGATCTCCGGGGTAGGGTCGAGATCGCGGAGGAAGTGAACGGGGCAATACTGGGTGAGCAACAATGAGATGACACGACATTTTCCACGGCTGCTGCTAACTTTTCTTCAGTCTCCCTCGGCAAGCCGTCATCAGCGGCGCTAGAGACATTGTGCGCGCAAACAGAAGCACTCCTCGACGAAACCGCGAGCAGAAACACGGGTGGTGGCGCTGCAGCACTAATTAACGTTCGACACGATTTTCTTCAGGACTAGGGCTCTTTGTGGACTTCGTCAATTCTTTCCAACGTCGGTATGGGACTTCAAGGATGGTCGGTCAATCTCTGGTACTCTTTGATGTCGACCGTCCAGGGCGAGACGGGATCGTGGGCAGTCCCTGCCTGATGAGATTGGAAATGCTTTAACGTATGGGGTTAGAGGGTGACGCTTGTCGTCCTGGCATAGCGTACGGTTTTCCTTGATCTCCTGCGCTAGGACAGCCATGGGATTGGGATTATGGATTAGATGTCGTCTGGGGGGATTCTTCTTTTGATACTACAGGCATGGCGCAGGGACGCAGGTAGCAAGTCATTGCGTGCTGTATATAGGAAGAGAGGGAGACAGCCGGTCCTGTTCGCCAAAATGCCAGTTCCAAAGACATGCCCTTGGACGAAATTGGACGCTTTGTGTAGCGCTTGGATGCTTTCAGGTGATGTATGGGTTTTAGTGCGTCTTGAAGCTTGCTGATAGGAATTGCTTGCCGGGAACCCTCTCAAAGGCAATTTGCAGGAAGCCGACACGGCTTGTCATTATAGCTGGGCAGTCGACGCATCTCTATGAGATCTGTCCATCCCCGTGGATCGATTCGGATAAGGGCAACGGCGAATTCGACAGTGCACATTTAACGCTCTATGAGGAGACATGAGTCCGATCCAGTGCTCCCGGCTGAAAGCGCAGGAGACACAGGCCCCAAGGAGTCTGCCATCGAATTCCACGTACTTGCATGGCGGCGGCATGACGGAGGTGACGCTACCGCCTACTCTGATGAAGCGACGCGCGCAGGAAACTTACGAGTAAAATTTAAATGACCAAGACGTCCGAGGAGGAGGGTCAGGAGAAGGGGGCATCTGATGTACACACACACCATCTCGCCGCCTCTCTCGGGGCTATGTTCCGCCAGAAAAGGTGACGAGCGCACCAGCATGGCTGAAAAAACCCACCGCGACGTCCGCACAGCGACGAAGATGTGTAAGCGAAGCCGTCGTCTGCCTCGATAAAGCGGCCCACGCATCTATCGTTCGATTGGAAGTCGATTGACCATAGCGAGCAAGCAGGCACTGCGCAGAGGATCAGATTCGACACAACGGACTGCCGCTAAAAGGACCGCGCGCAAGCGAAAGGCGCGCCTCCGTCACCTCGTCGCAGTGGCGGCATCACGTCCTCCAACGCCTCGATGCTCCCCGACGGAAGGTGTCTGAGTTAGCTATGCATGGCCAGAGAGAAGTCGCTCCGGCTGCGACGTCGTCACAAGTCAATACGCGTAACAGTCTGGAATGCCGGCAATTCTCAAATCCGGGACAGTTTTCTAGGCCAAGACATCGATGAACATAGATCCGACACAGTCTCATCAAACAGGTCTTTCAAGACCGATGAAAAGGGTCCTGCTATCGGAAATCGCTCCGTGGACTTCGCGAATCTGGTCTTTTGTGAGAACAAACTCGCCGTCGCATAGAAAATACCGAAGACGCAGAGTCAGCTAGAGCGGCAAGAATTGTGCAATTCGGGAAGATCAGCCTTCTCGGCGCGATTGAGGAAGACCGAGGACGCAGGGAGTCACCCAGTGCCATATTAAGAGTGCTATTTCAGGAGATAGGCCTTCTAAGTTTCTGCAGGTCTCTCGATGAGTGAGTGGGAGGCCAAACTCAAGGGAACCCTCAATTGCCACTTTAAGAGCGTCTCTGGAAGAAGTAGGCTTTCCAAGTGTTTCTAGAACTCTCCAAGGGTTTGTGGAAGATGGACCCTGAAGGAGCGCTCCAGTGCCCCTATCAGAGCGTTGTCCGAAGAAATAAACCTTCTCGATAGGAATGAGGGAGATCGAGAATGCAAGTAGTCGCTCAGTGCCCTATAGAGAGTGCAACGCGAGGAGGTAGGTGTTACAGGATTCTCCAGGTCTCTCGACAGGGATGTGGAAGACCGGTCCTGAAGGGATGCCTCCGGTGCCATATAGAAATAGTGAGATTCGAGGAAATCGGCCATTTCGACGGGAACAAGGAAGAGTCTGGACGTAGGAGTCAACCGGTACTATATAGTGTGCTATTGGATAAGATGGCTTTTTTCGACAAAGATGAAGGAGACCGGGGAAAACACTCGTCCTAATTTAGGTGATTGAACAATGGAAGGAAGGTGAAGTTCGGCTTGCAGGAATACGGGGAGGCCCGATCCGGCACGCACTGACCCGTCGGGAAACATCGACCTTCGAGTCGCACTTTCCAAACTTCTTGTCAACAACACCAACTTCTCGACAAGATGCCGCCAAAGAAGGGTCGCGCGCAGGCGCAGAAGCCTACACCACGTCGCAGTAGCCGAATCGCGTCTTCACGTGCCTCGTCCAAGGAGCCAGAAGCTCCACCACACGGTTTGTCTGCTCTCAGTTCTGTCCAAATGCCTGCTCCTACGGCGCCGCAGCCAGTAACGCAAGAGGAAGGATTTGATATCGACCGCGCAATGAGAGTTATATTGTTGAACCGCGCGTACATCCAACAGCTGACTGAGGCTCAAAAAGACGCCGCAATCAACCGCTTCGTCGACCGCGAGGTCAACTATCGCAACCAGATCGAGGAACTCGAGCGCCGCGCCGAAGAAGCCGAAGAGGAACGCGACAAAGAAGCTGCAGCGGCAGCGAGGCTGAGAAAGAACAGTTTCCGGATTCACCTGTTCATGGAAGAGGTTCAAAAGAGGGAGAAGGCGAAGCAAGCAGAAATCGCCAAATCAGACGCAGAGCAGCAAACACCCGCTGCAGGACCACGCGCTGTCTCGAACACGCCAGCAGCCGAGGAACAGCCGGAATCAGCAATCAGCACTGCAAACAAGCCTCAGACATTGGCTACCGCCTCCACAACACCACTAATCGAGCCATCCTTCATATCATTTCCGCAGCAGGCAGTGACTCCCGTACCATCAAAGTCCTTCTTGAGCCGTTTGGTCAGCAGCTTCCCGTCTCCTTTCACGTCGCTTAAGAAGAACGTGTCGCAGACGAGCTATCCTGGCATCCAGCCACAACAGTCACAAGCACGAGCCGCGCCATCAACAGAGCGCCAGCCTCAAGAACCTCTCGGAGAGCTACCAGTGTCCCGTAAGCGTGCCGCTGAAGACGAAGAGCCTGTCACCGAGTCCGCACCGGGGAGCGCCGCAACATCTGCAGAGGCCTCGATCTCTACACCGCGGGCTTCATCTACAAACATGTCGAACAGCACGCCGCGCCGACCACATACCGTCCATGCGACTCGAACTCGCTTCACGGATACACCAATGACAGCCATCTCAGAACATTCTGAGATTTCCGATCCATCTGAGCCATCAGGCAACACGTTCTCTGTCCCAGAACCGACCCCGTCGCGGCGACACCCGATGCCACGTCCTCGCGGCATTGTGCAGGCTCGTCTTCAGGCACAATTGCGAAACCAGTCGAAGACTCCAGGCCGCCCATGGGCTGCGCCAACTCTGCCACGCGAGCCGAATGCCGACGCTCGTTTGGAGAAGCTGTGGCGGTACCGTGACCTTGACAACCAGCTCAAAGCACTAAAGGATGATCCTGAGGTCAAGCAGATGGTGTCGCGCCCAGTCAAGCGCATGAAGATCGAAGACTTGCCCTTCCTCCCACATCACCGTCCCGGAGAGCCTTCCGGGACTTTCCGCGTTCCTGACGTGGACGCTGATGGAGAAATGGAAGTTGATGAAGATGAGTCCTTGTTCAACATATTCAATCAAGAGCAAGATAAGGAGAAGGGAAAGAACATTGAGACTGAGAGCGAGAAGGACACGTTGCCGCCTGCTCCACGCGGTCCAACCCGCGCAGCTTCCGAGGCAGTTTCCACGGCAGCTCCTATGGTAGCCTCTCCGGCAGCCTCGGCGGCAGTCTCAATGGCAACTGCACCGGTCGCTCAGCCAGCGCCGCAGGCCGAGAAGGTCTCAGCGATCGTTTACAATTTCCCTGACGTGGGCACTAACAACCTTGCTGATCGGGATGCCTACCCTTACGATGAGATGTTAGGAGCCAAATTCACCTACGGATTCGAGACTTGGAAGGCTGCTGGCGTGTCCGCGGTCACCTGGTAGTGAGCACGTTCTGAGCTAAAGAGCTTTACGCACTCGACACGTGGAAGCTCACTGGCATTTGATCCCGAGTGGAAAGGAGTCTGGTCTTGACAGGTTTCACCCCAAAAGCGTCATGAGGTCGATGTTTTGGAGCTTACTGGCGTTCGGAAGCTGCTTGGTGTTGACTGGTGCCTAGGAATTTGAGCTTCATGGGCTTGTTGGCGTTTGGGAGGCTACTAGGTGCTGGGGGAGCTCACCACAGATGTGAAACTGCTTGTTTGGCGTTCAGCACGATACCCATGGGCGACTGTCTGTGTATACAGTAAGATTGAATGAAACTTGAGCGAATGAACAAATCAAGTCGACAACGCCATCATCGGCCTTTCATTGCCCAGCTCACTGTGGGCTCTGTTGCTAAGATGCTTGCAGGAAGGTTGCCATGAAGCACGTGGAGACGCTCTCGAGCTGGCATCGAATAGAATGTCCGCGGCACTATGAGTTTGTGAGTCTTGAAGTCGATAGAATACTATCAGATGGTCCAAGAAAGGCTACTCGTCGCTTGCAAGTGGCATTCGTTTGCTCTTGAGGGAGTCAAGGAGTGCATTCCTGCCTTGCTTATCGGGATGGTCATAGCTTCCAAGCACCTTGATGGAACGACTATCGGCCGCGTTTCAGCCGTCTTGGGGCACCATATGATCATACCATCACCTGCTCGCTCTTCCTTCTCTACCTTTCACACACCTCTCCCCGTCGCTGTCGTAATCGATACATTCCAATCCATGATGGGCAGCGCCGAATCGACCCCGCAGCTCCCAGCTCGCTCCGTATCTCGACCTGGACGCCGCACCATCATACGAGAGTCAGTTCAGGCTCCAGCCTCTACGAGCTTTGATGAGAAGTTCGACGCTCTGAAGATCGATCGTGCCGATGCAGAAGATATCAAGCGGATCATAACGTCGTCTGATAATCCCGAACATGTGGATGCAGCTGCCACAGAGCAATATGTCCGGGAGCTGTTGAAGGATAGCAAGAACCGCCTCGGCCTATCTGCTTTGAGCACGAACAATCCTGCCGCTATTCTGGAGAGGCCAAATACTGTCCTCAAGGACAAGCAGTTCTTCAATGTGAAGATTCCTCATGAGGGTTCGCCTGTAAGTGCCTCCTAGACCTATACCGGGTACCGCGTTGATCTTGTTCAGGTCACGAACCAGCGCTCTTCGGGAAGATGTTGGATTTTCGCCGCCTGCAATGTCTTTCGCATTGCTATCATGCAGAAGTACAATATCAAGAGCTTTGAGCTCAGCCAAGCGTACTTGTTCTTCTGGGATAAGGTAGAGAAAGCAAACTACTTCCTTGAGTCGATCTTGGATACCGTTGGCGAGGATGTCGATAGCAGAATCTTGGGCGCTCTTATGGCTTCGCCTGTCGGAGATGGTAAGTCGTTAGCGGTTCCCATATATATCGTAAGCGCTAAATTTGAGCTCTTAACTTCACAGGTGGACAGTGGGATATGATTGTCAATCTTGTGTCGAAGTATGGTATTGTACCCCAGACACTCTACCCAGACTCTTGGAACGCCAAGAATAGCTCTGTCATGGACCGCATTATTACGACAAAGCTACGAGAAGATGGCTTGAGGCTCAGGGACCTGCAGTCGAAATCGGCATCGGCAGAGAAGATCTCGCAAGCCAAGGAGCGCATGTTGCAGGATGTCGTTCGCATCCTTACCCTATGCTTGGGACCTCCTCCCTCAGCCCATGACAAGTTCACCTGGGAGTTCTACGACGGATTCAACAATTTCAAGAGCGTCTCCATGACGCCCGTTCAATTCGCCGAGACTACTCACGTAACGCGCTTCTTCTCGCTGGTGAACGACCCAAGGAACGAGTACAATCGCCTCCTCACCGTCGACCATCTCGGTAATGTCTGGGATGGCAGACCCATCACATACGTCAACGTCGACAAGATCGTAATGAAAGAAGCCTGCGTCGCCATGCTGAAGAAAGGTCTCCCCATCTTCTTTGGTTCCGACGTGGGCAAGCAATTCGATTCCGCGAAAGGGATTCTGGATACCGAACTCGTCGACTATGAGCTCGGGTTCAACGTCAAGCTGGGCATGTCCAAAGCTGAAAGGCTGTTGACGGGCGAGAGTCAGATGACACATGCTATGGTTCTGACGGGTGTACACCTGGATGCAGACAATGCTCCCGTGCGGTGGAGGATTGAAAACAGCTGGTCCGAGACTGCAGGGTCGGAGGGATACCTCGTCATGTCTGACAAGTGGATGGATGAGTTTGTCTACCAGGCCGTCGTGGATCCTGCCTTTGTGCACAAGGACGTCAAGGATGTCCTGAAGCAGAAGCCAAAAGTCCTGCCACTCTGGGTAAGTTTGAACGTGCCACTACAGATTTGGGAGCATCTCTGACTTTCTTTTTCTTCACAGGACCCGATGGGAGCTCTTGCTTAGGGTAGAACAAGTATACCACGAGCTGTTACCTTGACATGAGATACGCCTATGAGACCGTTAGATCTTCACCTCACCTGATTGGGGGAATCCCCATCAAGTTGCGTGCTCTGACTTGCTGATACTGGTTACATGTCAAGAGGCGAAGTCCATCGCTTCCTATGCAATTCCACGCAGAGCCTTCTTGAATTGAAACCTCAACAGCTACAACCATTGCAACGGCGGCCACATCTCATCTGTTATGCTTCTCACGAATCCTTGACGTCTTGCGAGATTGTCGCAGGTCAGGTCGATGCTCTTGAATGAATTCACATCGGAGAAGCCTCCTGTACCGCTAGCTTACGTCTACAGAAACCTCGAATGGGAGGTCGTTCAACACTCCGCTCCCTCTGGGGCCTTCTCCGAAAGATAGCCGCTCATTGGCTTGTAATCCATCTCGAGTCCTGTACTACACGCCAACTGAATTCAAGTCATTAAATCATTGGCCAGACTTCCTGGCACCACTAGCTTACGTCCTCATCAAGGTGCACCTGAGCAAGTATCGAGTATCAGACGTTTGATTAGTCAATCCCTCATTCGCACGAGCTCCTTGTACCGCTAGCTCACGTCTGCAGGCCGCTTTGACCATCCTGTGCAGATTGCACCACACGGTGGCAAGATAATCCGACAGGTCGTCATTGGCTTGGGATTTGGGGATTTCCAGATGTCGTTTTACATATGCGTATGTGCGTATGCTGGTTTATTGTCGCAGCCGAGGGCTGAGGTGCAGGGTTGAGGTGCTCGTAGCGTGAAATTTGCCAGAGAGATGATCATTGAAGGAAAAGAGGACAGAGGGTTGGTTCGCTAGGTTCTAGGTGTGTTTGTCGTAGCACCATTTCGGAGTGCTGGTCGGTGGATTGGCGTGTGGTGGACGTGCAAGTTCAAGGGTGGTGGTCATGGGTCATGGCGCTTGTCGAGGCAGAAGCTAGCGGTGCGCATCTCTCTTAAGGCAGGCACGCTCACCCCTGCACAGATCTCGACTCGCTGTACAGCCTCCAGCAAAAATCATATTAACCCCTGCTAGCGTGAATCCTTCTACTAACCAATCAACAAACGCGCTTTGCTACTGTATCCTCCACAGTCTCTGTTCTTACTATGTGGTGGAAGGATTCACGCTAGCAGGGGTTCATATGATTTTTGCTGGAGGCTGTATCCTGAATGTGTGAAGCTATTAACAGGTGGAGTCCTTCACGCGAGAAAGATTGAGATGATATCGGAAGGACTGTTGGACCATTGGCTCGGTAAAGGTCGACGCTAATGGATGTCCTTCGATCCGGATTGCCGAAGAATCTTCGGCATGGTGCCGATGCCCCCTCGGGCATGTGCCATGATCATGGTAGAGAGCCGAGAGGTCTGGTGGATGTGAGATGCGTGGGTCCGATGCAGAGTCCACTTCCTTGCTCAGCCCTCCATCCTGACCGGCTCTCATCCGGCTCCTGCAGTATACCGGACGCCGTTGCTAGGAAAACTGTTCTGTTGATCATGTACATGTTGAAGGATCTCTGGCTTGCTCAGGTCAAATTGTGAAGTCGTCATAAAGAAGTCGCATTCGGCTGGCCTTAGGACAGTTCCAATTGCGCCTCGACTGCGAGGCAGGATGGATCTTGTTATGTGGGGAAACGGGTCTTATCTCAGTATAACCGGATCTAGACGTATCCCCTCTGTATAGGATGTAACACGCATGAACCTTATGTTTATTATTAGGATAGACTCCATGTGGTTGGTGCAGAAAGTGCAAAGTCGGTACCGAAGGGCGTGTTGCTGCAGACCGCCGCGTGCGACGGTGGTGGAGCCTCATGGCGTGGGCGTGAACGGGACGTCGCTGCCGTGGATGGTCTCGGGAGCTGGACAGGACTTGGTACAACACCGCCACGCGTGAAGCACAATGGCACAATGGACTTGTTGGGAGGGACACGCTAGTCAGTAAGAGCACAGTAGGAGAGAGGGAATCGACGCTAGACGAGCTAGCCGTGCTAGATTTGAAGTAGATCCGACGGGCCACGGCCGCGAACATCTAGATGCAGATGCAGATGAAATTCCATTGTGCATGGCCATGGCTGTAATGTGTAATGGCCTCCTCCTCCTCCTCCACACACGACACGATTGAACTCCGGCACTTGCGCCGATTCGGTGAGCGTTTCATCCACTACTCAAATACCGCACACCGTGCACAGGAGAGGAGGTACCTCTCTTTACCCCACTACCCACTACCTCCTGGTGTATCTGTACTGTGCAGTGTGTGTTGTTGTATCACATAGCACACCTTATTTCTCGCCTCTGCCGCAAGTGCCGGCAATATCGCTGCCGACGCACAAACCTTTCCTCTCCCCCCCTTCCACCCCTCTCTCCGCCCGTTCGTGCTCGCGTTTCGAGTCCGGGATTCTGACAACCACCACCCACCCGCCTACCGCACCACGCCCAGCGCACATCATCTCGCGAATCATTACCCTCTGCTCCGCGTCAAGCGGCCACCAGCACACTCGCTCGGTGGCTGTTGGCAGAGGACTCCATCGCCGGCGCAATCATGACCACAGACACGAGGTACCGTGAGTACGAAGATACCGATTCCGAATCTGAAGACGACCCATCCGAGGAGTGCGAGGACGATCGTTGCACCGGTCCGCATTTACCCATATGGCATTGCGTCGATTGCGACACCTCATATTGCAGGTGCGCCACTTTTTCTTCTCCAATCTGTGCAATCTTTCTTAGCCAACCTTTCTCCTCCAACCCAGAATCTTTCTCCTCCAATCCTCACAATTCATCCACTGATGTTGTCCAAGTGACTGCTGGGGTCGGCAAGGCCCTCATAAGCCCAAGAAAAAGGGCCGAGATGGCGTGCCTCACGAACAGACAGATCCTCACATAGTGCGCCGTCTTAAAGCCACTCTCCACCCCACCAGAAATCCTCGAGAAATCCAGAAGCTTCACGAGGAAGATGGAACCACCAAGTGGTTTGGCGTCGCGAGAGATCTCTCCGGCCGGCCCAATTTCGAGGACTATGGCCGATACGCCACTCTCATGGCCAGCATTTCGCCCATTGAGAGCATGGGCAATAGATATCCGCAGCTTGTATCCTTCATTGGAGTCACAAATGCCGGCAAATCGACCTTGATCAAACTGCTGGTGAATCACGAAGCCCAGAACGCTAACACGGAAAATATCAACATGTTTCCTTCACCAATCGTTGGCAGCGTAGTCAACGACACACTTCCTACATCTGGCGACGTTCACCTCTACGCAGACCCGGCCACGCACGCAGAGCAGCTTCCAATCTTGTACGCGGATTGCGAGGGTTTTGAGGGGGGTGAGCGGGTGCCACTGGGAGCCCGTTCGCGACACAGGAGACAAGCATCGGACCAAGATGGCAGGGACCTCTCGACCCCGGGCCATGTACATTCTCGACCCATTGAGTGGGCCAACTCGGAAGAAGCGCGCCAGCGAGAGTACGCCGTCACTAGGCTGTACCCTCGCCTGCTGTACACGTTCTCCGACTGCGTGGTGTTTGTCCTTCGCAACCCCAAGACATTCCAATCCGCCGTCTTGACAAAGCTGCTGGATTGGGGAGCCAGCTCCCTCGAGAAATCGATAAATCAGCCCGCGCTGCCTCACTGTATCGTTGCGCTGAACGGATCAGATCCTGGAGTCGAAGACAAGGAGTGGGACGTCAATTTTGCAACTCAGAGTCTGCTCACATCGGTCAAGGGAGCTCTCGACCACGTTGAAGGTGTGCCGCGGTTTAGAGAATTGGCCGACTACTGGCGAGGTCTCGGAAAACACATCTATTCTGTCGAAGATCTCATTCTACGATACTACAGCTCTTTCAAGGTCATTCGGATTCCCAGCAAGCCACGTTATACCACTATCAACAATCAAATCGCCAAACTGCAAGGCATCATTCGAGCCAACTGCGAGGAATCGTTCCGTAGCAAGCGAAGAGCGCGAATGTTGACAACTGCCGATGAGCTCAATGTCTACCTGCAGAGCGGCTTCGACCACTTTACGACGCACCTGGATGTACCATACAACTTCATGCAAATTTCACTTTTACGGAATCCCATCCCAAACGACTTCGGCGGGCACATTCTCCAGCTATGCACGACCATCAGCTCGCAACAGCCAAATCATCAGCATGGACGGATATCATGGATATTCGAGAAACTGAGCGTGATGCTGGCGTCGTGCGTCCTTCTCGATTGTGCCCGCTTCCGCAAAGGTCGAGTGGACGAGCTCTTCTCAAACTACGAGAAATTCTTCGACTGGGCCATGGGCGAGTACCTTGAAATGCACTACCCGTGCTCATATATCAGCGCAGACGGCACCCGGCAGTGTATGGTCGTGAAAGCGCGACATCAATCGAAAGGACACCAAGATGAAAATGGAATCATCGCAGCCGGTGACTACCAGGCCGCATTCGATTCGACATTTCTACCGCAGTGGAAGTCTCAACTGCGCTCTGCTATTGGCAGCATCCAGCGCGACTTCCAATATGAGCTCGAACAGGCTTCCCAGACTGCAGAAGTTCACGCAATTCCTGAAGAGCGGATCGCGCTCGATCTGCATGGCGAACACCTCAACCAATTCTTCGAAGCAGTCGGGCCGGCATCGTCTATCTGCAGCCATGCAACGTGCTTCTGCTGTCTGATGGATGTTCCGGAGCACCCGCTGCCTTGCGGGCATGTGCTGTGTACAGCATGCATCAAGGCGTTCGGAAAGCAGGTCAAGTCGACCATCGTGGTCCCTTGCTGTCCATTGCATTTTGAATCGACTAGGTGGGCGAGACCAGCCGTCATCAAGTTGAAGCCGAGCGGAGCTGGAGTTCGGATTTTGTCGTTAGACGGCGGCGGCATTCGAGGTATTGTACAGCTCGAAGTGTTGCGAGCCATTGAGCAAACACTCGCAAGCCACCTGCCCGTCCAGTCCTTCTTTGATCTGATCGTCGGGACCGGAACCGGTGGACTGGTCGGACTCGCTCTGACCATGAACGACCGCAGCATTGAGTCTTGCATAGACATGTTCTCAGCGATCTGTGAGCACGCATTCACGCCTCGACTGAAGGGCGTCCCGTTGATCAATCAGATCGCGCAAATGTTCGGCACAGGGCCTAAGTACAAGACGAAGCCCTTGTATGCTGCACTGAAGGAGGCTTTCTCGGAAGATGACGACCTTTTTGGTACGAGCGAGAAGCGACGAAACGGCGCACGAGTAGCAATGACTTCGACGAGTGTCACTGGTCAGGAAACAATCCTGCTTGCAAGCTACCGTCGACCAGAGGACCTCTTACCGACTTATTCCTTTGAGCGACCCCACGACCCAGATATGGAAATGAAAACGCACGAAGCGGTCGCTGCGGCGCTTGCAACGCCTTCTTACTTCCGTCCATTTGTTTACCATGGCAAGACCTATCTTGATGGCGGGTTGCGAAGCCCTAATCCTGCTCTCATTGCTGATAGAGAGCGGAGGCTCATCTGGCCTGACGTGGGAGAGCCTGACATGTTCCTATCACTCGGCACTGGGCAGAACAGAATCACGGTGTTGCAAAAGCTGTCAGAAAAGCAGCCAGATCAAGTAGTAGCTGGAGCGACTGTCTCTTCCAGCCCGAGAAAAGCGCCTTCGAAATGGCGACCGCGGCGTGTTGACGATGTCCTGGATGCTGAGCTTGCTTGGGCCTCGTTTCGAAGTACCGCAGTAGGGGAGAAGTCAGAAGCAAGAGGTCGCCGATTTATTCGCTTCAACCCAGACCTGGACCGCGAGCCACCTGCCGCTGACAGCAAATCCGACATGATATCTTTGCAAACCAATGTGAGAAAACGCCTACAGACTGCGCATCGACAGGCCGCATTGCGGAATGTGGCACACAGACTAGTAGCGTCTTGCTTCTACCTAGATTTGCAGTCAAAGGCTACCGCGGAGAAGAGCGAGCAGGTGTGCAGCGGTGTGATCACCTGCAGATTTGAAGACGGCAGCAATGATATGCGCGCTCTCGGCAGAATACTGGAAGATCAGAGAAGGGAGGAGGAGTTTGAACCTTTCTTCCTGGTCAGACCAGATAAGGATCACAACGACTTTGCCTTCAAGGTCACAATCACGATGGACGTTATTCGAGGCATGACCGATTCCGCCCTCTTTGCCCTCCCAAATCTTTACATCCCGCTTCGCAACGAGACAAGGCCCACATCGATCAATCTGTTCCTCTCCCCGCACGACGGATTGGAGCCGAATGGATTCCCCATCAGCAATTTCCCACGTGTGCTGCTCGGTGAGCAACAAGTTCGGGATCCTCGACGCCAACCCAGGAGCAGCTCCGAGCAGACCACCCGCAAATCGGTCAATCGGTTCAGATCTGGAGACGGAGATTCAATCTCTCTCAATGGTGCGCCAATGGCGTCCAACAAAACCAGCAGCAGCGATGACGATTCATGGAAGGATGGAAACACGAAGTTTTCAATTGCTTCTGGCACCACGGCGACTTCGAATATGTCGCTCGCGGACCTCATTGCATCACACCAATCCTCCGGCAGCAGCGTCAAAGGAGGGCGCACAAATCGATTCTGGACGTATATCGGCAACAACCACATGGCTCAGCATCCTGAGCTGTACTCCGCAGAAGAGCTTGCGAAGCATGGAGTCACGTACGACCCCAGCATGAAGCCACCGGCAGATCTAGCAGCGAACGAGCCTATGGACGCAACAGAAAGGGTGACAGCTTCACCTTCGTTACGATCACGGCACACATTACCGCGAGACGCGGTAGAAATGTCTGAGCTCGAAGCAAGAGAAAAGAAACTAGAGGAAAAGCTTTCGAAAGAAGTCGAACACGAGGAATTCTACGCCCTCGCGCGAGAACACGCACAATCGCAAATCAGAATCTCCCAATCGTCGAGTCCAAATAACCACCATCCAGCACAACTCAGACCAGCGACATACGCGCCGTCCGGCAATAGAAAGCAACAGCAAGCACAACAGAAATCCCAACAGCAACCACCCCAGCGGCGACTCGACATACCCAGCATGTGCGAGACCGAATTCGAAGAGGAAGGAGATTGGGTTTCCAGCTACAGTGGTTCGGAGGAACATTGCTCAGAGGCGACGGCTAGCCCTATGATTCAGGTACGCTTCCGCAACACCATCGATTCCATCTTAAGTCTGTATAACGACAAGAACGGTGGTGTATTGTATTAATACTACATATTGAACACGTCTGTTAATACTTTGGTGTGGTTTCCGCAGTCTTCCAAGCCGCCTCCCCTGTTGTATCAGCAGAATAACAAGAGTCAGGAACGCTTGCATGAGAGGGAGAGATCGCGGACGCCGCCGAGGAGGTACAGTGACTTGGAGAAGGAGATTGCGGAGAGTTTCCGGCTGGATGAAAGGTGAGTTACCCTAACATCTGAAAAGGAGCAAGGACACCACTGGTTGGGGTTTGACCGCTGAATTTTGGTGATTTTTTAGTACGACTTCTGCTCTGGATAAATGGTTGACATCGCAGAAGAGTTCTGCTTCGTTGTCGCGGAAGACGGAACGCTTGAAGGCTGTCCAGGAGGAGGCGGATGAGTGAGGATGAGTGAGGATGGGTGTACCATGTAGTTAGTACGAAGTTGTTTGTATATCTATAAACATCGAATCGAATGGAAAAAAAGGGACTATTGTCACCAGGACTGCATTGCTCACGCACATGCTCTCGAGGAAATCTGCTCCAAACATTTCCGTGCCCGTGAGCCGCCTTCGCCAGGAAGCACCACGGGAGAACGCTCTCTTCTCAGCGCGGCGGATCCGACGAGGACGAGATGGAAGAAAGTGCTGGGTTGGAAGACGACGCGATGGAGATGTGAGACAGTGTAGCAGTTCTCACAGAGCATGCGTGATAGTATCCCAACATTGTAAGGTATATGTATATAAATCGGCTCCATTTGACCAATCACAAAGCAAAATCGCATTGATGGTCTAATGGTTAGGATTGCCGCCTTCCAGCAGGGCACACCCCTTCTCCAAGCAAGCGGCAGGTCGGGGTTCAATTCCCCGTCAATGCAAGTCCAATCCTCTTGTTGGGTAATGACAGCTTTTAATTTTTGAGGTTTGAAGAGGGGTCGAGGAGGTCTCATTAATTGTAGGTAGAGATGCTGTTGGCGGCCGTATTGATATCTTTTTCATTTTGTGCGGAGACCTTCACGTGCCATGCCAAGCCTTGGAGTCCCGTGCTCCCGATGGAAGACGGCATGGCTGAGAACCGGTGTGAAGTTGCTGCCAAGACGGGTCCGCCCGGTCTTGCCTGAGGCACAAAGCTCTCCGCCTGCCTGAGCACGTTTCCACGACATTCGCTATCCTCAAGGCAACACTTTCACATGCCAGCGACATTCCGCTGCGTCGAAACAACTCATTTACCGTGAATACCGTCGCCCAGCATCTCGAACTCTGGACCGGCATCATGTGACTCTGCCGTTGAAGACGCCAGCACATCGCTGCCCAGATGCATGGTTGTAGCCCAATCGGCATTGCTCGTCCTGCTGCAGCATCCACCGCCGCCAAGAAGTAAGCGGCGACTTGGAGCAGCGAGGGAGCCTATACGGAAACACGCGACACATGGTGACAAGTGACTAGTAGCCTTGTCTAAACGCCTAGTGCTGTGGACTATGACACTAACGTGATATATCATGTCTGTTACTACTACCTCCAGTAGCAACAGAGACCGAGAGCTAAGTCGGGGATTTCTTCTTACTTCCTTCATCGCGCCGCATCTAATCTGGTCACTGTTGGGCATCAACGTAAAAGGCAGAAGAGGGGTGGGTTTGCTGGCCGTTCACCAAGCAACACAGTCAAGGAGGAGCACGACAAACGTCTTCCATGGTCGGGCTACCGATGGCCAGCGTGCCGGCAGAGATTGAGGCAAACTGTGCCATTTGCGGCGCGCCACCTTTTCCAGAATGCCCGCACGAAGGACAGAGACTGGAGCTCGCCCTCAGTCAAGCGATGGAGAGATGGGCGGGAGTACAGCGCATACGGTATGCCAGTCTGCGTTTCCCGACCGAGACGATATCTTGCTAATGATCTGTCGTTGAAGAGACTGGGTCCTGAATCACGCCCGCAACCAGATCATAACCACCTTCCATACCCTCCGTGGCATGCGTCTCGAGGCACACCGCAATTACCTCCAGACGTTACCTTACTACACCCTCTACCATCGCTATAACGGCCAGCCACCGCTCCAACCCGCACAATTACAACTCATCCACTCGCAGATTCAACAGGCGAATACGATCTTACAGCAGGGTGTTGATCAGGACTGGAGAACCTCATGTCTTCGTTACCCCGAAGTGTTGGACTACTACTTCAATCTGGTGGAAGTTGGATTTCCGAGTGACAGGACAACGGCGATTCAAGACCCGAGGTTTGGTGTACGAAAGGAGACGACAGCAGGTCCAAGGAGGGTGAAAGAGCGGAGCGAGAGCATAGATATGGCTCCGGCTGCGAAGGAGAGGAAAAAGGAACAGAGAAAGAGCAGGGGGAGGGAAACACCACCGCCGGCTCCTGAGCCACACTACCGAAGGTGATGGAGAGACGAAAAGACCACTGTCAAGACCATGAGCTAATGGCGCTGTCTCAAGAGTTTGTCTTCATCTACCTTTCGACCTGGTCTGCAAAGACCGATAGAGACAGCGATTGGAGCGTACTAGCGAGCATAGAGGGAGTTTGAAGCGTTTGATTACAACATCGCGTAGCGGCATGCCGAGCTTGACTTGCATCTCGACTTCTTGTCTTAGCTAATGTTCATAGTTTGACCCAGATCCCGGAGGTGGAAAGAACAATATCTTTCAGTATGTGTGCAAGTTCGCGTTTTGAGATCATGCGAACGGCAATCTCGTGCATCCCGCTAGACGACGACCAGGTGGGCGCCTGCATCCCTTCCAGGACCAGTACGTTCGTGGTTGTGACTGCTTCCCACTGCAGGTTGTATTTGAAGGCCGATGAGGAACTGTGACTGTTGGGTTCGCGCTGGATACGAGTTCGCGATCAAAGCGGTAGTACTCTTCGTCAGAAGCTTGGTCTCCTCGCAACTAATGTCGCTGTCGCCCTCGTTGATGATGGGGCGTGTCCGTTGCTGCCTGAGCGGCACCGCTTCAGCAGATGCACGCCGCCAGGTCGTGTACTGCTTATCTCGATCGAAAGCAGAGGTCGTTTCTGAGACTCTGGCGCCTTTGCACGTACTGCCAACATGGCAAACCTCCTCTCAATCCAACGATTGTCGTGGTCGTGGGCCTATGATCGCGACAACGTATCGAGGTGGCCCACCTTGCTTGTTTCTTCGATTTCATTTTGCTTTCACCTGTCCATCCGAACTGTCACTGACATTCTGTAGCTTCTTGTATTCCTCTTCCAGCTGTCTTTGCATTTCGAAGTCGAGCTGTCGTTCTCGCTTGATCCGTTGCTGTTCTACATCGCGGATGACACCCTGATGCATGGCCTACTCCAACGTCAACCGATGAACTTGTTCACAGATATGTGAAAGCGTAGCGTACTGCTTGGTCCAGCTTTTGCTGACGGTGCACCAGCAGCACGATGCCTATCGTACCGACAGTCGTCGCTGCAAGCGTCATCTTGGCTGCTGTAGACATTCTGGATCGGCGTGTGAAGGGAAGAAGTGAAGGGGTGTTGAAAGAAAGTGGGAGATCTGGATGCGGCTCTTTCGCAGTGCCAGGATCCCCAGGTCCCACGAGTTTCTTTGGAAGTCGCCGACGTCAACAGCTTGAGCTTCCAACTGCCTCCTGTCACCACTACCCTGACCAACTGCTCATTTCCTTCCCATATCACTCGCTTAATACCCAATCCGAGAAGATGGTATGTCTTGAGGTACATATTCGTAAGATCATATATTGACCATGTGCAGGCGGCGCAGAATTCAGCAGGAATCCAGACGCTGCTGGAGGCAGAGAAGGAAGCCCAGAAGATCGTGCAGAAAGGTATGATCTTCCACATTACTGGGACCAGGGTAAAGAGCTAACCGTGGAACAGCAAGAGAGTGTATGTCTAGCGACAGGTCACCCGCGACCTTCGAAGCCGAGCCCAGCGCATGCTAATCCCACCCACAGACCGAACGAAGCGAGTAAAGGACGCCCGATCAGAAGCGCAAAAGGAGATCGAAGAGTACAGAGATCAGAAGGAGTCGGAATTCAAGGAATTCGAGAAGCAGGTATGGGGAAACTCTCGTCATGTTTGGTCTCGGTGGGACATATCTGACAACGGGAACAGCACACATCGGGCAACCAGAAAGCCGAGGAGGACGCAGAAAAGGATACGCAGCAGAAGCTGGACGAGATCAAGCAGATTGGCCAGAAGACCGGTCCGAAAGTGGTGGATGATCTTATCAAGGCTGTCATGACTGTCGACCCGCAGGTGCCTGATCGCGCGGAGCAGCCTTCTGTATGAAAGTAGCGAAACGGGCATGTGTGTACAATGAGCTGAGGTCGATTGAGGTATGATACCATTGCGGAACAGCTTTTCGTCTCACGAACCCGCAGCTCTCACATACGGTAGCCATTTCGTGTCCAATGCTGCGCTTTTGAGATTGAGTGAAACGACACGAACTCCATCCTCAGGACCATAGCGGGTCAAGGCTCTGGCGCAAGTCCGACTCGTTTGGCTATGTTCGACATCGGTACTCGAGAGCTGAACCGCCCGAGAGCGCTCTTGAAATCGAGGACGAGGTGAAGGCAGGGGATGATCTGACGCTGATGAGCTGACAGAGCTGCGCATGGCATGAGCCGCTGACAATCTTACACTGCCCGCAATGAATTTTTGTTCCCGCACGTCTTTCCGACAGGGCTCAATCTATGCGATACGCCTCCTTTGCAGTGTCTCTCCATATTCTCTGCATGTCCTGGCCAGAGAGTCCCAAGTCCATATCACTCAGCAGCGTTTCTACAACCTCCCTCCAGCTAACCCACGAGTCCTCGCCAGTCGGTCCTTTGACGTTGCACACCGGCCAATCACTTCCAAACATCACTCGCTTGGCTCCAAAGCTTTCAAGCACATGCTTGACCCAAGGCTTGATCAGACCAACAATCTCACCTGTCCTCTGTACGCCATCTGGCAGCTCCGAAAATGCCCCGGAGAGCTTCATATACGTCCCTGAAAGCCTCGAGGCTTCCGTTATCGCTTTTCGCCATTCAAAGAAGCTCTTGCTCTCTCTTCTGAAGTCCGGCTTGCAAAGATGATTCAGGATGAAGACCACTTTTTCATCCTCCGTTACATTTTGATGGGCCATCTTCATCGCCTTGTTGATAGCTTCAAGCTGCCAGATTCCCCCAGAATGCTGATCCACGCCAACATCAAATGAGAAGCCCTTCCGTCCGAGTAGCTTCAGATTTTCAATGAAGTCTGCACTAAACACGAGCGCTTCGAATTCTTTCTCGTCATGAATGGCTTGCAACAAGAATCGGAACCCCTTGAATCGTCCCCAAGCCTCCAATCCGGCCGTCTCCTCCGCAAGTCGTAGCCATTCCTCCAAAACCTTGGTACGTTGGTTCAAAGGAGCCCAAGCCACGATGCCAAGTAACATACGACTGTCTCGCTCTCCGTATTCGCTTTCCACGATCTGGCGTAGGAATTTGATCTCATCCAGGGGCCCCTTCGCCCACGTTGAGAGATCCCCTGATGCAGGTTCTGCGTATCGTACGTCTGTTTCCACATACACAACGCCTTCCACAACGTCATCCTCCGCCGCACTTGGACCTTCTTGCCGCGAGGCCTTGCAGTAGTCAGAGAGAATGTGTTGTTTGGCAAGAAGCATTCCGGGTGTCATCCATGTATGACCCTCTTCATTGGACATGGATTCTGGCCAGAGGTGGATGTGGCCATCGATGATGGATTGCGGAGGCATTTTGTTAGGAAATATCGAAGAGCTGGAAGTTTGGAGCGGCCGTGAGACTGGGAAGTGCTGGGTTTCTATAAGAAGCGTCCGGAGTATCGGAGCATCTGGTAGCGTCGTAGCCCAAGACAGGCCTCGATTTCATGTGCGTTTCTGACCGGCGAAGTGAATGTCTTGCAGTATACTTGAATGTCGACAGCCGCCACCCATGCGGAAAGACTTTTTCGCAAAGATCAATGTCTTTGAAGCCGTGCAATTGGAAGTTGATCAAATCTCGATTTCGAGTCTTCCGTACGAAGCTGATCAAGTCCGCAACCCGTGTGGCCTGGTACGCAACTCGTAACGAATGTTTCTGCTCGCAACTTCCTGCTGTACAGTTTGCTGTCTACTCCGGGGGCGGCAGCGAATGCTCAGTCAATACATGTATCGTTAACTCTCCTTCTTAATTTGATTCCTTCGTGATTCCTGATGGAGTCCAATTGGTGTCGGCTCTGGAGCTCGGGTTTTGGTGGTCTTTGATCACGAGATGCTCGCTCCCTATTCCCCCGAGCCTCGGACAGTACCTGAACAAAATGGTCGGCAGCAGTAGGCGTCGGCGGGACAGCAGCGCGTGCTTCAAAAAGACGCGTTCTCACACGAGCAGATTGTATCGTCTCCTAATCACGACCCGAGTATGGCACAACTTCTCCAAGGCAAGGTCGCTGCCATCACTGGTGCAGTAACTGGCATTGGGAAGGCGATTGCGATTGACTACCTCAAGCATGGCGCAAGCGTCGCAGTCAACTATTATCCAGACGAAAGATCGCAGAAACAATTTGAGGAGCTGCGGACGGAAGTGAGAGGAGATGCAGAATTGATTGGGATACCAGGAGATGTGACCAAGCCGCAGACAGGACAAGAACTGGTGAAGAAGACAGTGGAAAGATTTGGCAAGTTGGACGTCTTCGTGAGCAATGCTGGCATTTGCCAATTTGCAGACTTCTTGACGTGAGTGAAAGTCTGAATACTTGCCTAGCCATTGACTGACAACAAAGCAGGTTGACGCCTGATCTCGTGAATCAAACGATATCCACAAACCTCAATGGAGCTTTCTACGCCGTACAAGCCGCAGCACAGCGAATGGCGAAACAAAATCCGTCCGGCGGCAGCATCATTGGAATATCTTCAATCTCGGCTTTGGTCGGAGGCGCAGGCCAAACACACTACACTCCGACTAAAGCTGGTGTCTTGTCACTCATGCAGAGCACAGCATGTGCTCTCGGGAAGTACGGAATCAGATGTAACGCACTACTTCCCGGAACGATACGGACTCAGCTGAATAACGAAGACCTTGCCGACGAAGGAAAGAGGAAATACATGGAGGCGCGGATACCGCTGGGTCGATTAGGTCAGACGAAAGATCTTGCAGGTCCGGCAGTTTTCCTAGCGAGCGATTTGAGCGAATACGTCACTGGTGCGCAGCTGCTAGTCGATGGCGGCCTGTTCGTCAATCTGCAGTAGTCTTGCTTTTACAGCAGCACCTTTCTGCATCGGCGACATAGCTGGCGTCTCGAGAATCCACTTGATTGTTGCCACTGGATCTGTAGCCAACTGAGCTTCTCTCAGGCATGTTTCGCGACGCCTCGGGATCGACGCCTATGCGAGCAATCTCGCTTGTTCGCCTGTAGTGCTGATCGGAGATGCAGAATTGAATCTTGGGTTGCGGGTGTTCAGTCACATCCACCGAAGTCAGTGTCATCGCCGTCGGCAGTCTCGGCTTGCTGCCTCTTTTGACTGCCCAGAATCGCTCCTTTCCGTCGATTTTGCTCGCGGCGCAAGTAGCCAGCTTTGCTACTAATTTTGGCCCCACGTCCTGCTTTAGGATCTTCGCTCGCTCCTGCCGCGGTCCTCGATTCAACGCCGCGTTTCTTCAGGTCTTGTTTGGCTTTCTTGCTCAGGCTAGGAAGTGCATCGAGAAGCCATGCATGAACTCCCGTCGTGCCTTCGTCGTCCGCTCCGCTTTTGAGTTTATGCGCTGTTGCTACTAGGTTGGCAATCGGTTTCAGGTACGTGGTATCTTCCTTGCTGTACAAGGTGACAGCCACGCCGCCTTCTCGCCCAGCCCTGCCAGTACGACCAACGCGATGCACGTAAGCCGCACTCGATGTAGGGATATCATAGTTTACCACCCCGTTCACCCCGCGAAAATCGACGCCTCTGGACAGCAAGTCGGTTGTGATGAGTACCCATATCTCGCCTTTACGGAATCTTGCCATCACGCTGTCTCTCGCGGTGTCGGAAAGGTCAGAATGCAATACTGCGATCCGACCTATGCCACCTGCCTCCGCCGGGATATCGTATAGAAGCTCAGAATGCAATGCAACGGCCCGTTTGATAGTTTGTGTGAATACCAGGAATGGTGGAATGAGAGCTGGACCAGAGTCCTTGGAGGAAGTAGTGGGATGGAGTAACTGCCGCAAGGCCAGAAGCTTCCCTTGCTCCGAGGCCGCGTAAACGAGCTTGTGCTGAACGTTGGGAACAGCTGAGTCTTTCAATCCAACGACCAACCGCACAAGAGGAGCTTCTGCAGCTTCTTGGGAATCTTGCCGTTCGATGATGGTTGAACGAGCCATCTCCTCAATATTACTGCCCATGGTAGCAGACCACATACTGACACGCAGTCCGGGATATGAAAGGCTGTTCCAGATTTCCAGGGTCTGATCTCGAAAAAGCGGATCAAGGAGCACGTCTGCCTCATCGAGAACGATGCGACGCACATTCCCGAGGACAGACGGATCGTGTTCCTTAGCTTCACGTAGAGCCTTTGCCAAGACGCCCGGGGTGGATACCAATATGTCAGACTTCACCACCGTCTTGGTGTCTTGCTCGGGTGTGTCCTCCGTACTGCTGGTCTTGGGCTGAGCTGAAGTGAGTCTCATACCTTTCCGAACCTGGGTAATCTTGACACCAGTCTCCCGTGCAAGCTTTCGCCCCTCGTTTACGATCTGACCGGCAAGCTCTTTAGTTGGAGCCAGGACGATAGCCAATGTCTTCTTGCGCAGCTCTTCATGATCGTGCTTGGCCTGAACACAAGTCTGTATTAGAGGAATCATAAAGGCCAACGTTTTACCGCTACCAGTAGGAGCAACAGTGAGAAGATCAATACTTGGCGCCGACTGCGACGGTAGAAACTGTTCAGGCGTATCCAGTAGAAGCGGGAGTGCCGCGAGCTGCACCTCTGTGGGCATATCGTATCCTTGGTCCTGGATGTTGGCAGCAAGCTTACTGGATATGCCATTGCGCGCACGGAGCTGCGAGAAGGACTTCAGAGGCTGCGGAAATAAGTGAACCTTCTTCGATTTCTTTGTGTCCTGCCCTTCCCTCTTCGCCTTTGCAGTGTCTTTCCGACCTTGTCTCTTCTCTTGCGCAGGAGGATTCAGCCATGTAGCCTTCAATTTGTGTTTTCTGAGTATTGCTTTGCATTCATCTGCAGAGAGAACGACATCTGTGGCGGTTGCCAAATCCTCCGCGACCGTGCCTTGTTCATGCTCGTCATCGCTGCCACCCAGATCAGATCTTTCCGCTGTCACGTCTTTCGCGCCTCCAGGTAACTCTGCTCTTGCTTTCCCAAAGAAGTCTAATTCGCCAGATTCGTCCCTCTTGCGCTTCTTCGATGGCGCAGCGCGATTGCGATTCGACTCGGTTCTGACTGGGAAGAGTTGCGGTTGGGTGTTCTGACCAGTAGATGGTATGTTCCGCTGTGCTCGTATATTCGCGTTCTTCGACAGTTTCGTAGACCGGGACAACAGCTTCAAAGGATCCATAGGCGACTAAAATTCACAGCAGTGCCTTGCGGAAAGAACGCGAGATGGCAGGTGAGGTCAAGTACCTTAGTATATCAAGAAAATTGGAAGAAGGCGGTGAAGAGCGGACGGGATCTCGGTGCTCGGCAGCGGGCGTGCCCGCTCCGAAAAGAAAGCTGCTGTCAACGGAAGGGATGGAGCTCTTCCTCACCCAGTTTAAAGGTCGCTACACACATCCATCGCTGCCGCTCCATCTCCTCGCCTTGAGACTACAGCCATGGTCTCTCCGATGGTTGGCCGGCTGGCCATGCGACAATCGAGGTTCCTGCTCCAGCGCCGCGCCGCCTCGACCACATCCGAGGCCACCCAGGCTGTCTCCAAGGGCGCGACTGCAGCGAAAGAGACTGCCCAAAGCACTGCCTCCAAGGCCCAAGAAGGCCTCTCCAAGGTCACAAGCTCAGCGGGACCTGCTATCAGTAAGGCAGCATCCAGCATCTCCAGCTCCCTCTCTCGCGTTGGCGGACGAACCGGCGCCGTCATCAGCTGGGCACAAGGTAAGACCTGCATTCCACGCCAGAGCGATACATGCGCTGACCGGGAACGTGAAGGCCTCGTCCCACATGTGGTGTATTACGGTAAAGTCGCAGGAGAGCTGGGTAAGATCATCTACACTGGCCGAAGCATGCAGCCGCCGTAAGCGCACCCAATCTACAATCGACATGTACAGCCATTGACCTCAGCAGGACCCTGCAAACTGTTCAATCCTACCTGCAGCCCGTTACGAACGCGGTCCGAAACCCCTCCGGCCTGGGATCGCAGACCGCCAAAGCCGCCGAGCGATCAGCAGAGGCCGCGATCAACAGCCCGCAATCTGTCATGACCCGGCTCAGAAATCTCGATACCGCCACATTGACATCTGTCGGTATCATTACAGCGGAGACCATTGGCTTCTTTTCGGTGGGTGAGATGATCGGACGTTTCAAGATTATCGGCTACAGAGGTGGTAGTCAAGAGCACCATTAGGAACGTCGCAAAGAACAGGAACAAGATCAACGACAAAGAGCCTGGGAGAGAAAATCCCTATCAGAAGAAGCGTTCTACTAGACGGCAAGCTGGACGATGCGATCTGCTTCACCTCGGGAAGATCACAAGGCGGCTGAAATATACAGACGCGTGTACTATTGTGCATAAACCTCATATGTTATCTGCTCTCAGAGCGCAACCCCAGTACTACGCTCGTATCGGCTTCAGAGCAAGTCATTGGCAGCTTGGTCGATGGTTTGTAGGGACCATACCGCAGAGTACTGCGTTTGAGACACCATCCAGTCCGCAATCGCAATTGTTCGGCAAGATTTCAGTTCAACTGGCAGTCATCGTATCTTGTTTGATTATCTAAGTGCACCGCGGTAAAAGAGTTGTCTCCGCAAGCGAATGCCATCTATCATATCAACCATTGAAACGATATCGTTTCAACGAGGAAAGACGCCACATATTAGGCTTTGAGAAGTCGGGTACATTGATACATGACTATTTTCTCCGAGCCCATATTAAAGCTCACATGCAGCCTACGTTTTTGGTACAGTCGTAACTATTCATCGTAGAGCACGTAGAGAAGCCACGTTACCCAATCACCTGCAACCTCGAAACTTGCCGTAAGTGCTCAGTGACGTTCAACGCTTGGACCGCCTCGAAATTCGAAGTAGTAAGGAACCTTCAAGGGGTTCGGAAGTCACATCACACGAACCTGCCACTTCTGCTTGCAGAAAGTTCAATCCGCACCAATGCGTTGAAGCAACATCTTTCTCGGGTCACTCCCAGGCAATTGATAAATATTGCACCGACTTGGTCTTTGTGTCTTTGCGCATTGACTGGGAATATCACCCGGTGACCTAAACCAAAACATCAGCGCGAAACAAGCGTACCCGGAAAAAGTACAGCTTGGACGAGGAACCAGCAGGCCTGAGGATCTATGAGGTCTCTCTTCGGCATCGACCTGATCGAGTCTTTCAGCAACAATAGCAAATCTGGAGAGACAATCCGTCTCCGGACACCTCTGCAAAAAGTGCGGCTTGCATCCGCGGTCAAATACACACCTGCAAGGGCATGCTGCACCTCACAGTCTCGGATTGGTATCGCGCGAGCACGATTACAATTTCACCTTACAAGACCAAATCAGCGTCCAAGAGGTTGACGTGCAGCTTTTCGCAAAAACCTTCCTTGCCATTGCATGCTGCCGCTTATAGCGAGCTCGGGCTAGGAGATACCCACCGGAGGACGAGAGAGTGGTCGAGAAAATTGTCAACCCTTGCAAGAAAGAGGAGCCTAGCTGTATAGCTGTCTTGGAAGAAAATGTCCCAGGCCGAGAAATTGGCGAAATCATGTTGGCAAGGAGAAACGCTACGGCAGGGAGACCGAAGCATGGCCTAGAGATTTCATTGAATGTTGCACAAGAGCCATGTCGACATGAAGTCACGCAACACGCTGCGAGGAGGAGCCTCCTCGAGATCGAAATCTGGTTGCTAGCGGACGGATGGGGATGCAACGCCACACAGCCTTGCCCGCTCCAAGTTCACGGATGCCATCACCCCGGGACGCGAGGGCGGCATCATCGCAAGCTGGAGCAAAGTGGAATCTTGCCAAGATGTCCCTTGACGTTAAGAAGAGCCGAGTCTAATGCGAGTAGGCGAGGCTCGTCTGCACGGGCACTGGCCATGTGGGATTGGGATGGTGGTCATGGGCAACAGATCTCGCGAGTGACTATCGTCCAGGTGGTCTGCAGAAACGATCACTGCGTACCCCTCGACGTGAAGGAGGCCCACTGCCGGCATGAGGTGCATCTCGGAACTCGTCAGGCCAGCCTTATGGTCACCCTGTCACAGCGTAGCTCTGCCCCTGTGCCGTACACCTGGTGGGTCAGGAGTTCGATCAGGCACTGGGGCCTACAGAGAGACCATGCACTAGATGAGTGCCTGCTGAGGCAAAGGCCTATATACAACACATTCCACCAAGTGAAGTGAGAAGTACGTCCAATCCAGCTCACCGTCTGCGTTGGAGCACGAAGCGGATCCCAACTCTAGCAGGCGCGTGGGAAGTATGGACAATGATTCCGGCGGCAACCAGCGCTTGCGGATCTGAAGCCGGTGAGCACACGTATCGTGTACCTGCAGCGAACACGATCTACTCCTTACGCTGTGGTACTTGCCACCGAGATGTTACACCGTCGTACAGCTCAGGTGTACCGTACGACACGACTGCGACGCCACGACGGGATGGAAGCCTTCAGGGAGCGTTTTGGGGAGTGGGCGCCGACATTGCGAGAAGGAGAATGGTAATCTGATCATGTAGTGGGCGGGATCTCGATTCCTACGTTGCACTGCGAGAGCTCCTCTCTAGCCGTTGACAGAGCCGCGGAAGAAGCTCCCCAAACGCTCCTGTGGGCCGTGTACAACGCACATGTGATGGGAACAGGATCGGACGGCGGCGGCGCGCATGCACGTACGGGCGGATGACGCTACGGCATGCCCCATCACATTGCAGCCCAGCTGGGCAGCCCCAAAGGATGATGAGCTTCTGTAGAGCGAACTGCGACGTGTTGTGGTGGCAGGCATTGACACGCACCGGAACGGGGACTGTCTTCCACCCGCTGCACGTAACGACCCCAGGTTCACCAGCATCTGTACGCAAAGAGTGTGTAAGCGTTGGTGTAGTAGCAACATAGCGAGCGCGAGGACTCGTTCGCATTCCGACGATGTCGAGAATGCAGCGGGCAGGTTACGTCAACGGGGAGCGAAGCGTCGGCCAGCGGTGCTCATCAAAGATCCGCAAAACCAAAACTATCGCCCAAACCAGAGCTGTGCAGCAGTGGCACCGAACGCGCCTCAACATCATGTGTGTAGGTGCGCTCGAGTGGCCGCATGCCGCTGGACGCCTCTCGCGTCTCCCCCCACAGGGTCTGGCAAGCCGTTGCGAGGAGCAGGGCCAGCAGCAGGGCCAGCAGCAAGGACAGCAGCAAGGACAGCAGCAGGGCCAGCAGCTTAGGACAGCAGCAGGACGGCAGCAATGGACTCGGTTGAGAAGACACAGCACATGCGGCTAGGCAGGGTTCACCCATCGCAGTCGGGACGGCATCTTCGCAGAAGCGCAGGCAGCGATGGGCGCAGACAGCGATGGTGAAGTGGAGGCGGCCGTGGCAAGCGCAAGCTCGTACCAAGTTGCTGCTACTAGGAGCGTGTGCAGGCGACGGAAGACGTCGCTTACGAGCGAACATGTGAGAGCATGAGCAGGTGGTGCTCAACGCGTTGAAACGATGATGAACAGCGAATGGCCTGGTGCTGCGAGATCTGACACGGAGGTACGTACCGCGAGAGGATGGTGACAAGGTGGGTGGTGAAGCTTTTGGAGTGTTCGGCGATGAGGGTGGTAGTGCACCCTAACGACGGCGCTACGAAGTCGTCATTAGCCTGACGGCTGTTCCCGCCCGTCACTACCCCAGCTGATGGCGCGGAACGACTCATCGCCGATACTACATGTACTGTTGTTGGAGCACGAGCGCATCTCGCGCGAGGATGGAATGGGAGGGAGCGAGGGAGGGAGGGAGGGAGGGAGGGAGGAAGGAAGGTAGGTAGGTGTGTATGTATATATGTATGTATGTATATAGATGTATGTATGTACGTACAGGGAGGGATATCCGGGGCGAGTAGAGCGTTGAGAGGATGGACGGATTGACTGATTGGCTGGATGATCGGTTGGGTGAATGATTGATGGATTGATGGATTGATGGATTGATGGATGGATTGATTGATTGATGGATTGACGGATTGATTGTCGACGGCCATTTCGCTCTGCGGACGGGAAAGAGGGTGTGTGTTCTGGCATGTTGTGCAATAATAATGGTGGCAGCAGCTTCCGCATCGAGTAGGCGGAAAGAGCGTTTCGTGTGGAGCAGGCAGGTGCAGGTGTAGGTGCAGGTGCAGGTTGCAGATGCTGGTGCTGGTGCTGGTGCTGGTGCTGGTGCTGGTGCTGGTGCTGGTGCTGGTGCTGGTGTTGGTGCTGGTGTTGGTGCCGGGCTTGGCCGCGCAGTGTCGGTGCTTTTTCGTCGCCCGCTCGTGCCGTGGCCATCTGGACCCAGCGCTTGGCCCGCCGAACATCTTCCACCAGCGGACTACTACGGACACCCAGACGCAGACAGAGACAGATCAGACAGCTAGCTAGCCGGCCAGCCAGCCAACCAGCCAGTCAGCCAGCTTCAAACCGCCAGCCACGGATCTGAAGATGAAGATGAAGATCATATCATCTTCGTGAATGGAGGAGAATTGCGAAAAGACTCGCCGTTTGCCGCGCGCCAAGGCACTCGCCCACTCAGCGCCATCAGATGCACATTATTCCCATGATGGATGCCGCTGACCGCGCGCGCGCGCTGCCAATACTCTACACCTCTCACACTAGGCACGAGCACGAGCACACGCACGAGCATTACTGCCCGCTGCACATCCACATCTTCCCTTAGCTCCCAGTTCTGCGTGCAGGCAGGCGAGACGAGACGAGCGGGCTAGCCAGAAAAAGACCCCACACCTTTGCAGCTGCTCACTGTGCTATCGTGGTACTCCCGTCGAGCTCGTGCATGCCCAGCAGACGGTGATCTCATCAAGCTATGGAGCTCGCTGCACGCGCTGCGTACTAACCAGACCATGGCCCAGCAACCTGCGGCGGCTCGCGACACTACCGAGGACACCGGGCATGCTCGCGACACCCGTGGACTGTTATATGCCCAGAAGCCCGTCCTCTGTTCGCTCTCGCTCCCCGTTGATACTCCTCCTCCTCCCACCACCTGTCCTATGTTCGCGCCGCCTCTGGACTCGCCGCCGATTTCTCTCGTTTCACGGTAGCAGCATGGTTTCCTGGCTTGGCATCGCCGTCTTTGCATGGTATGTTCCTCTCACTGCTCTGCTGTGCTTCCGCTGGAAGCGAAGCACACATCCCCCCTCGCGTTCACGTCCTGCGCGGAAGCGGCACGCTCGAGCAAAAGTCTATCTTGCCCGGCGCACGTGAGGCTTACTCTTGCACGCAGCTTGTTTCGTTATATCCGTTTGATCGTCAATTGCATTTCACACTGGACCTTTCGCCCTATACCCATTCCCGATTCGCCCACATACACCTCGCAGGATGTCACCATCATCCTGCCCACCATCGCCGCCGCCGGCGAGGAGTTGGAGACGACCCTGAAGACGTGCCTGTCGGCGGAGCCATTCGAGCTCATCCTCGTCACCATCGATGCCAACGTCGACAACCTCACCAAGTTGGCCAACAAGATCAATGCTAAGAAGATCCGCGTCTTGAGCATCCGCGAGGCGAACAAGCGCAGGCAGATGTGCAGGGCGATACCCGAAGTGTCAACTCGCATCACCATATTCGTCGACGACGATGTCGTCTGGCCACCCAAGGTGCTGCAATGGATGTTGGCGCCGTTCGAGGACTCCAAGATGGGTGGCGTCGGGACATCACAGAGACTGAAGCGCTCCAAGAACATGAGCATCTGGAGCTTCCTCGGTGCCACCTACTTGGAGCGCCGCAACTTCGATTGTTCTGCCTGCCTCCACATCGACGGCGGCCTGCCCTGCCTCTCCGGCCGTACTGTCGCTTACCGCAGCAGCATTCTCCAGGATGAAGCCTTCACCCACGGCTTCACCCACGAAGAGTGGAGGACGTGTCAGCTCAATGCCGACGATGACAACTTCATCACGAGGTGGCTGTATGCGCACGACTGGAAGATTGCCATGCAGTACCACAAGGAAGCGGAAGTGCAGACGACGTTGGAAGACAGCCCCAAGTATCTGAGCCAGTGTCTCCGTTGGGTCCGCAGCAACTGGCGAAGCAATCTCACGAGCATGTTTGTTGAGCGCCATTACTGGTGGTATGTCGCGCGTGACGTCCTTCTCCATCCTCCCTTTCCTTGCAGCTATTGACACCTGGAATAGGACCCAGCCATGGAGTACATACTCGGTCTTGCAGACTACTATCACGGCCTGGGCATTGCCATATGACCTCTTCATTTTTTATTCCTGGTACCAAGCATCAAGTAGCTGGCCCGAAAATCTGCGCACTGCTCTCTTCGTGTTCTTGTTCTCATGGACATACTTGTTCAGCAAGACCGTGAAGCTCTGGGGTCACTTCTTCCGCTACCCCTCAGATGTGGCCTTCATCCCCGTCTACATATGCTTTGGCTATTTCCACGGCCTGATCAAGCTATGGGGTCTGTGGACCCTGAAAGAAGTAAGCTCGTACCACATAGGCTGAAGACTGATGAAAGTCGACCGCTGACCGCCTTTTCCACACAGACAACCTGGGGAAGCAGGGACGGAGCGGATACGGACGACCGCGTCCGGATGATCCGATTACCACGATACGGATCGCCGGACCCTGACGGACGCAAATCCGAAACGTTTGAGTTTTCCGAACAACTGATGGCCGAGCAGCAAGACCAGCTGCCGGCTTACGACACGCACCGCAAACACGCCAACATACCGCTAATGACGACGCAATACCAGCAATATCACGATTGACGACCCCACACCTTTTCCACGTTCGTTTCCGCTCGATACCCAGGCATCGTCTTCGTTTCTTGCATCAGCACCGCGTTATAGAGGTAGAGAGGAGGAGGGAGGGTTGAGCGTAGCACTCACCCGCACGCGCGAAGGGAGCCCGGCGGCTTGGAATGTGCGCGGAAGAAGGCTGTGCTGGCCCCAAGCAAAAAGTTCTCGGTCTACTTGAGGCAAAAATGATCATCTTTGGCGAGGCGCATCTGCTTATTTTTGTGATGCTTTACTCTTTTGGGTTTGAAAAAGTTGGGAGTTGGGCTGGCTCGGTGACTGGTTGAATGTCTCTACAGGTTGGCGGAGACCAGAGTGAAATGCTTTTTGGAAGGCAAAGGCAAAGGAAAGATGTTGTTCTTGGAGGGCAAGTGTGCTTGCTTGGGTGGGCGGCGGCGGCTTGGAGATTCATTGTGAATCTTTGCCCAACAGCTTCGGATTGAGCGTTCTTGTGAGTGTGAGCGAAGGATTTGTACAGAGTAAGCGATGGTAGCGATCGCAATCGGTGCGTCGTCCACAGCGATGTCGGACGAGCACGTACACGGAGATTGGGAGGGGTCCTCTGCTCGTCCATGACCACCAACCAGCCATCATCTCGCCCGTCTCTCCTCTCTCTCTCTCTCTATCTCTGTCACTCTCTCTCCCGCTCTCTCTCTCTCTCTCTCTCTCTCTCTCTCGTTCTCGACACTCGACCTGGGTGGCGCGGTGCTCCCTCCGCGTGTCACCTCTTCGCGTACCTGCATGGAGAGGTGAGATCCCTGCCGACGCGGAGACCGGAGTACGCGAACCTCGCCCTCCTACGCATGCGCATGGCGCAGACGCAGGCGCAGGGCGCAGGCGCACGAGCACGAGCACGATCGCTTGTGACAATAATTCTCCCACGGCTCCCGGGTGGACGGGCAGGCGGGCAGACTGGAGGCGAAAGAAAAAAAGGGTTTCAGCGAGGCGTTATCACTGGAGCACGAAGCGGAGAGGCATCTTCTGAGTGGGGGTGGGGGTGGCGGGCATGTCAATGTCAGTCAGTCAGTCAGTCAGTCAGTCATATCACACGCGGGAGAGCAGAGCAGAGCAGAGCAGAGCAGAGCAGAGCAGAGCAGAGAGCTGTGGAGGGACTCGAGCTTGTGGTGGGTGGATGGTGGGCTGTGGTGGGCTGTGGTGGGCTGTGGTGGGTTGCGTGCGTGTTGCCGGGATGCGGGATGTCGGTCACGTCGGTTATGCTCGCGCGGGCCGCGAATGATTGCGTGCGCCACAGCCTCAGCCACAGCCACCTCTTTCTTCCACCTTTCACCTTCCACACATGCGAATACCTAAAAAAGAAATAATACGACGTTGAGGGAGGGCTGCACCCTGGCCCCTCCGGGCGATAATAGCACCCTTGCATGTGATCTGCCGTTCCCTTCCGAGCGAGCACGCACTCACTGTGCCCGCCCGCCCGCCCGCCGTCGCCGGGGACTTTCTTTCCCAAACCCTCTCTCGAAGCGTAGTCAGCCAAACCGTCCCCACATGGAGTAGAGTTGCGAGGCTTCAGATTGGCTTTGACGCGGGCCAACGCCGGCGCATCCCACGACCAAAACCACTTCTTCTCATCATCACCCACCACCCACCACCCACCACACCACTGCACCAGCGAGAGCTCTCCACTCCCGCGAAAAGATTTCTTCTTCTTCTTCCTCTTGCAAAATTCGGCCAACAGTCTGGCCAAGAGGCTTTTCTGCGGCTTTATGGTACTAGGTAGACGTACGCTCCCAGTGCCGTGTCGGCAGACTCCTCTGTGCTCGCTCTCTCGCGCTGCTGTACGAACTACTTGTACCGTCCCCACGTTGAGAGAGGGCTTGCTTCCTTCTTGAGGAAAGGCAGGTGGGCCGTGCACGATCATATGCTTCGCATCCCATCATCATCATCATCATCGCCATCACCCTCAGCATCACCATCATGATCATCATCATCATCATCATCGGCTGCGCCCGAGAAGATGCATGTATGTCATGTATGTATTGACGGAGAGGCAAACGCCCGTGTCATGCACGTCAGCTCACACAGCATCTGAGGCGAAGCGGGAACGATAATCCAGAAATTTGGCGAGGCCGGAGCAAGCAAGCAGGCAAGCAGGCAAGCAGAGAGGTAAGAGAGAGAGAGCCAGAGAAAACCCATTCGCTTGCGCGCACGCTCACTTCTACTGCTATCTCACATGCAACAAACGACCAGGATCTCTCGCAGCACGTGTCCCCGTTGCTTCTCGCAGGGCTTGTGCTCTCCAGATTAAGCACGCCACAATCTTTTTGCTCGCCAATGCAGCTTCCGTCGGGAGTGGATGTTCTGCCCTGTTTTGGAGGGGCTGTTGCGAAAATTCGGTACGCCATTCACGGCGGCATTGCTCCAGCTGTGATGAGGTACGTATATCGTGTGAGCTGGTGCGAGATGGTTCACACCACGCACCGGTTCACGCGCATGCTGCTCGGAGAATGTGTTCATGACGGCAGAAGGTCCCGAAGCCCGAGGCCAAACTTCTTCCGGCGTTTAGGTGCGTCAAGACCGGTGTGCCTAGACTGAATTCCATCTGGAGATGAGACCTCCAATGCCCAATGGGAAACCGGTCAAAAAATGCGTCTCAGCATTGTGTAGTAATTGGTCAAGGCAGCGACTAGCCCTGGAACGACAGCTCTTTTAGACTCAATACGGCCGCATCTGCAACACTGGAAGATGTTTGCCTCGAGAGATACTAATCTCGAATAACGCCTACTGCTTCTTCGAAAGGTTGAGGGCGCACCGTGCCATCCAGCACTGCGTCTGATACTCTGACGCGATAGCGGACAAGGGCGACCAATGCCAAACAGCGGAAGGGTGATATCTCGAGATACCTAGCCACATGGCAGTAGTCTATCCCTCCTTTCCCTCAGCCTTGAACTTCTCTTCCAGCTCCTTCAGCCCGGAAAAGACCTTCTCCCACTTGGCCCACTCCTTGTCCCCATCCTGGAAGCCACCTGCGAGAGGAAGACGGCCACCCTTTCCGTCGCCCATGCCCCACACGCGAGCAATGGCTTCCTTCATGCCCACGACACCCCAAGTTGCGACGAGCTTCTCCCCTTCGCAGATTCTGAACTGCAGGTCACGCATCTCGTCGATGTCCTTTTTGGTGGTACCCTTGGCGGAGCTGTCGTGGAATTGCCGGAATAGTCGGACGACGACTCTCGGGAAGCAGCCAGCCAGACCGTCAATGGCGGCTACACCACCGATGGTCAACACCGGTAGCAGGTTCTGACCGAGACCGGTGAAGACGTAGAAGTGCTGGTGGTCGATGTTGGGCGAGGACGCAATCAACGTCTGGTCATCAATGATGCCATGCGAGAGCTTCGTGCCGACAATATTCGGATGCGCTGCCAGCTTCTCGAATGTCGACGGGGCAATGTACAGGTTGTTGGTGACACCCGGGTAGTGGTAACTGCGTGCATCGATGTCAGCCCGTAAATTCCCCCTCTGGCGTCCTCCTGCGTTTCGCTCCCAAACTCACATCAAAATCGGAATCGGACTCCTATCCGCGACAGCCTCAAACCACCTCTGCAATCCCACCTGCCCCGTCGCAGGCGCAAAATACCCCGGCCCCAACACCATCGCATATGCCGCCCCCGCCGCCCGACTATCCGCGATCAACTCCACCGTATCCTCGATATTCTGACTCGCCGTGCCCGCGATAATCGGCCGATCCCGAAACCCGGCATCGTCCAGCGCTTTCCGCTGGCTCTGGATCAATTCGTGGCGCTCGCTGGCGCGGATGAAGATGGCCTCGCCCGTGGAGCCGAGGAGCACGAGGCCTCGGATGCCGCCGCGGACGAGGAACAGGGAATGCGCGGATTGCGTGGGCAGGTCGAGGGGTGGGGAGATGGGGTCGTAGGATGGGCTGCCCTCGGGGGCGAAGAAGGTTGGCACGGGCACGTAGATTCCTTGTCTGCGACCATGGTTATGGTTATTGTTGTTGTTGTCAACGGGCGGGGGGATGTTTTGGAGTTTTTTTTCGCTGTTGATGTTGTTGATGGTGATGGGGAGATGCGATGCAATGCATCCATCTCTCGTTGTTGGTAATGAATGCTATGGAACTTACGGTGGTGGGCTTGCTTGAGCTCCCGAGCTGCCGTTGGGTGCCATGATGTATGTGCTGACGACGGGTAGATAGGTAGATGTTAAACTTCTTCTTCCACCAACAACTTTTGGGGGATCAACGACAAGACAAGAAGACAAAGACGTGTCGTGTCGTGATGATGAACGAAAAGCTTTTTTTCTTCTCAAAGTATCGCCAGAGAAGTTTGACTTTTGTATAGAATGTGTCTGTTGAACGCGTTCGTCGAGAGCTCATCCAGATGCCGAGACGATATCGGCGTGTCATTCACGACCCCCCCAACAGCTGTCCCGCAGCGCGAGGCGGGGTACGCAGGGTGAAGTGGGAACTGACGGCTGTTGCGTCGGTCTATCTCCCGCCGAGTCTAACGGAGCCTTCACGTGTTAAAATGCCAAGCCTCATCATCTCTCAAGAGACGTTGGACGGAGAACGCCTAAAGGGGGTCTGCCTTCTACTATACGCAGGTTCTTCTGAATTGTACAAAATCGTAAGCGGGAAATACTCTACTCAAATGGTATGTATATTAGCGGTTAGGGATGGGAGTGCATGTCAAGTAAGGCCTGGGAATCTGGGTCGTTACTACATATATATACTATTGATGCGGATTCGATGCAAAAAAACAATCATTGAGATTTTTTGAAAAAGAGAAATAATATCTTCCAAGCGCGAAAGAATTGTCGGTTGCTGGGAGATAGGTCTCTTGTTCTTTCTGGCGGGACGACGCTCTTCGCGATGTTACGCCAGCACTGGGAATGTGGAGGATGCAAAACGCTTACGCATGATCGATAGACATATCGATTTGGATGTCTGGACCGTCATTTCTGCCTGCGGTTATAGGCAGCTACGTACAGACAAAAGTAGAGAGCGTCGGTGCATCTATGCCGCCAGCATGGCCCCCTGTCTCTTCACATGTCAGTAGTGTGTTCATCGGATTGTTGCATCTCGCTACCGAATGAGATGCGAGATGCTCCAACTCGAGAATTTGGCGAGATCCGTGACGTTATGAGATGGATGTGGTTTCGTTTGGGGATCTTTGTAGAATCTTTGCCGTCCTGAGCGATTCGCCAATTCACCGTCTTCGTGTGCGAGAGTCTGTATCTCCGGACTCCTACCACTGGCGCCAACCTGTGTCTTATGCGCGCTCTCTCATCTCCTGCATCTTGGTGTTGAAGGGGTCTCTGCTTTGGTCTGCAACGCGCGGGACTCGTGCTCGGAAGTTGACTCGGGTGACTTCGACGCTGCTTCTTCCACTTCTTGCTTCGTTTGCAATATCCGCCTCACTGCTGCTTGTCACGATGCTGTGTGTTGATGTTGTCACCTGCGCGGTCCAACTTCCAGATGCAGCCTGAATCGGTGTGTCGTCCGGGCCATGGAGCTGTTGCGAGTGTGAGCGTCTCGACGCCCCATGGCAGCGCAGGTCAAGGCTCATTTTCGGCATCGACTCTCTTCAGGGGTGGTCAGAGTTCCAGCCATGGGGAGGAAGCAAGTCTTCAGAGAAACATTGTCGAAAATGTGTGATCTCCCTGGCTGCAATAGCCGCGAAGAGCTCGAGGGTGTCAAACCGAACCCGAGAGAGCTCAAGTAACCCTGTACGAAGACTGCTCACGAACGAGTCCGTATGTTGTCGTGGCTTATGGAGGAGGTGAGGTTAGATGCCCGTTGATGTCCCGAGCGTGGCGTAGCACGAAGTTTCGAGATGCCTGCTTTGCACGTGACACGGTAAAGATGATGACATTGGCCGCCTTGTTGATCACCACCTCCCCCACTCGTTCATCGCGGTCGCACTCGCCATTCCCTCTTTGCATGTGAAGATGGAGCTACACTGAACTGGGGAAGATATATATGATCTTTGCCCGTTGATCGCATCAGGCTCTCTGGCGCATGAGTGCGCAGTACAAAGGCAGCAAGCCAGGACTAAAAACAATTGGAAGCAGAGAATTTGAGGAGAAAACAACAGCCAGCTTCTCCCACAGCGCCACCACGGATCCGGAGCGATGCCTTCCTTCCCAAACACCTTTCTCCGCGCACCAGGCCACGGTCGAGGATGAAGAAAAAGCGATCCGAGTACCATCGTACGCTGGTGGAAACCAGCTAGCACTCACAGCGACACGATCCACCCAGGAAGGCTTTGGCAGTGAGTACCCCGAGGGCGGTCTGCAAGCATGGCTGGTCGTCTTCGCCTCCTTCTGTGGACTGCTGGCTGCCCTGGGCATCATGAACACCATTGGCGTGTATCAGAGCTACATTGCCGACAACCAGTTAGCCGGCTATAGCGAGAGCACTGTCGGATGGATCTCATCCATCTATGTCTTCCTCTCATTCGGAGGCGGTCTCATCATTGGACCAGTCTTCGACAAATATGGACCGAGGCTCCTCGTACTGCTGGGAAGTGTCTGCATCATGCTCTGCATGATGCTTCTCGGCGTTTGCACGCAGTACTGGCACTTTATCCTCGTCTTCGGCATTCTCGGTGGCACTGGGACCTCTCTCATCTTCACTCCAGCAATCGCCTCCATCGGGCACTTCTTTTTGGTGAAGCGCGGCAATGCCACTGGTCTCGCAGCAACAGGAGGCGCAGTGGGTGGTGTCATCTTTCCACTGATGCTCCAGTCACTCTTCCCGCGTGTCGGCTGGGGCTGGGCTACAAGAGCCCAAGGCTTCTTATTTCTCGGTCTGCTCATTCCGATGAATGTCTTCACCCGCTCACGACTTCCACCAAAGGAGAAGGCCTCTGTCCTCCCGGACTTCCGCATCTTCCGCAATGTCGACTTTGCGCTCGTCACGGTCGGAACCTACTTCATGGAATGGGGCCTCTTCGCGCCCATCACCTATATCACAAGCTACTCCCTCGCATCCGGCGCCATGAGCCCAGAATTTGCATACCAAATCATTGCCATCTTCAATGCGGGCTCCGCCGTCGGCCGCTGGATACCGGGACTCCTTGCGGACAAGATCGGCCGCTTCAACGCCATCCTCGCAGCTCTTCTCCTCTGCACGGCGTCGTCACTAGCATTGTGGCTGCCAGCTACCGTCCTGTCCGCATCAGAGAACCCTGCCACCCACAACAACGCCGTCTTCGGTCTGACCGTTACATTCTGCGTCCTGTTCGGATTCGGCTCCGGGTCGAACATTTCCTTGACTCCCGTCGCCGTGGGGATGCTGTGCGATACCGAAGAATACGGCCGGTATTACAGCACGTGTTACTGCATTGTCAGCTTGGGCACTCTGACTGGAATTCCGATCGCCGGTGCCTTGATCTCGGCTTGTGACGGAGCTTACTGGGGTGTGGCATTATTCACCGGGTTGTGCTATATCATAGCCCTGGCGGCTTTCACGGCCGTTAGGACTACGAAGGTTGGATGGAAAGTGACTGCGAAGTACTGAGTCGAACGAGGAGAGAGAGAGAGAGGGGAGGTTGGGGTTTAAGGCAAGGTTATGGCGAGGAGAAGTTGAAGGACGTGTGAAGGCATGGTAACGAAGAAGCCGTGGCAAAGAGAATAGGAATTTAGCAAAAGGTAGGCATAGACGAGTAGAATGGAATACGTGCGAAGAGAATACAAGATGGCCTAGTTCTTGCATTGTCATACAAATCGGGTCCGGGCACTCGCAAGAATATCCGAAGCATCAGTCGAGTGAGACTCTTCTAGCAGGCCTCGTCCAAGACGGATGACGAGATACGAAAGTGAGATACCCAAGTAGTCTCAACATGCAGGCCTCGCACATGTTGAAACCCAGCTCACCGTGATTCGTAAGGGCGTATAGAACTAGCCCACTCGAAGACATTCAGGAGAGGGCAGTTCACTCCCATAGAAATTCCTTATACCGTTCCCACACTACGGCTTCCCATTGCCACCAGCTCCTATGGGATAAAATTCGCGGCAATCATAAAAGGCCTCCATATTCGCAACCCTCTTCACTTCGACAATCGCACCTCTCCCGCACGACTACCTCTCGCCGTGACTCACGCATCCATCGCGATCTCGTCGCCGCTTAGGCACACAAGGCCTCTCCAAACTGCCACTGTCACAGAGACGGCGCCCCTTGAGGTTCCGCCATCACGCAGCTGGTATGCAAGCTCATCGATGTCGTAAGTCTACAGAGCAATCAACTGCTGTCCTGCCAAAGCACTGGTCAATAGAGTATCATAGTGCTATATGGGACCGCGATCAACAGAGTCAACGAGTTCGCTCGCACTTGTCGAAATCACCAATAAGATGGCGCGATTTGCTGCCAGACGCAGCAGAATTGCAAGATGAGGTGAAAGTCTTCCAAAAAAGAAAGTGGCAAGGTATCCAGATCGAGCAGATGGTTCTTTAACTTAGAACTACTTCGCATCAGCCTTGATAAAGTTGATATGATGACCTCCCATTGAACCATCGCTCGCCATTGCCGAAATCCATTTCAAACGCCCCGCCTCCCAGCCATTTCATAGGCATGCCATGTCCCACCAAGATGCTCCAGGCCAGATGCCAGTCTTCATACAAGGCCGCTCCTCACGAAGCAGCGCAATTCCAATCAGCCAAAATCCAATGATCATGATTCGTGTTGTCCGGTTTTAGGAGATCTCCATGCCTTCGTCATCACCGTCTGCTTCCGCATCGCCATCATCGGCCTCATCATCGACAGTAGTACCGCTAGTACTTCCCAGACGATTTCGCTTCCTGCCATTGCCCCAAAGGACGCCCATACCGCTTCCGAGACGCGCTCCCCCGAGACCACCGACAGCTTCCAATTCGTCTCCGCCAACGACGCGACCCTCGGCATCCACACCTTCGCAGAGTTCGAGCATGGCCGACCGTTTGAGGCGTCTGAAACCATCTGTTCGCACAATTCGTCCCCAGTGCGTCATGCAGAAGCTGGCAGCCCGGCGCTTGAGCCAATCCTCTTGCGCCGTGTTTGCACGATCGAATATGAGGGCTGCGTGTTGCACATCCAGATCTCGGACCAGTCTGTTGACACACAGGTGACGAAGACGGGGCATGTCGTAGATATTGCTCATGACCAGCATATTGGCAACATCCTCCAGCGTGGGTCCAGCGAGAGCATTACTCTCAGCCGGTGGGCTGGAGATGGAGTCTGTGTACAGGTAATAGAGGAAAGCCTTAACGGCAGGGTACGGCTCGGGTATATGCATGCGCCGAGTGTGGAATTCCGACATCTGTGCGTTGTAGAGGCGAGCGAAATGGGGCCATCGGGCGCTGAGGATGAGGCGGTGCACATGCAGTGGCGGAGACGTGTTGCTGGGGTCTGCCGTGCCTCCCATCGCATCCGGTGAAGTTGGATCATCATCAGACAAGGCGTCCATGTCATACATATCGTCCTTTAAAGCTGTGATAGTGAAGTCAGTCCCTGAACCTGTTTCAGGAGGCTGGTTGAATGTTCGCGCTAGGTCAGCGCCAATTGCCGACAGGTGTGATTGTGGATTTGTGTCTGACGCCGGTAACCTCTGTTCGTTACGCGCTTCCTGGCTCATTTTGTTGCCCAGGAGGCCAAACTTGCGTAGATCTATTGGTAGCACATCGGAAAGGTACTCCTCGGCCTCGCCATTACCGTTGCTTCTCACTTCTCTTGGGCAACCAAGAAGCCATGCATGTGTTCCATCCGCATCCAAACAGCAGTAGTGCCACCTATAAGTCGGACTGAAGAGGTCTTTGCCATCGGCTAGCTTTTGCCATCTTAAAGAATCCAGGTCAAGTGCTGATAGTGAAGTCTCAAGCGGCATATTGGTAGCTGGGGTTACGAAGTCCAGCATGCAACCAGAGCTGAAGACATGGAAGTGAGTCCCAACATTCTGCATAGGGAGATTGGGCGAGGAGATGAACTTCACGCTGCTGATCGCGCCAGGCGCAACCGGATTTGATCGCTGAATCTGAGTCGCGGAGTTGGATTGGACGCTGCTCGTATTCGCACTGTAGCCCGAAGAGCTCAACGCAGGGGTTGCGCTGGAGAAGGAGTAGCTGGCATAACGCTCACTGAGCGGTCTTGCGTCTTCAGAACCAACAATGCCGTATGTGAGGCCTCCCTCAAACGACGGCGATCCTCTAAAGTCGAGCCACCAGATCTCGCTTGTGCGCTCCATCTCTTCGCCCATACCACCGCTGACCCAAATCTTGCCTCCCCATACCCAGCTCGAGTGGTCGAATCGCGGCACAAACCGCCATGTTCGACTCCAAGTCCATGTCTTCAGGTCGAGATAGCAGATATCGTCCAGAACACCATTGTCGCTCCCACTCATGCCTCCGCAGATGAACAGCTTGTCATCATGAATCACGGCCGAGTGCCGCGCTCTGCCCCGAGGAACAGGGCCATTGATGTCTGGCTGTGTCCAATGCGCAGTCTTGATATCAAATATGACCACGTCCGACAGATGTATTCTATGCTCGTTCTCGCCGCCGAATACCAGTAACTTGTCGCCTTGCCATAAACATGAGGTGTGTCCCATGCGCACGCCAGGAATGTCGCCGTAGTTATCCACGAGACTCCATTGCCTCGCAGAAAGATTGAGTCTGAGCACGTGATTGTAGACTTCGTCCGTGTATTGGTCAAACCCTCCAAAAGCGTATATCATGTCGTTGCCTACGTACGTGACTGAGGCATTCACAAGGCAGGCTGGGCGCTGGCCCACTGTGGTGATGATCTTCGGGAGGTATGGTTCGCCTGTGCGTTTTCGGCCGTTCTTGATGGGCGACCCAGACATGATGTAGGTATTGTTGCTCGCAGCAGAGACACGAGAAGTGGTGGAGGACGACATCTGGTTGGTAGTGGTCAAAGAGGGCCCAGCGATGGCCCGCTGGACGAATGCGCGCGAGGAGGTGGGAAATCGTTTATCGTGATCGCATCCATGCAGCGACCTGCTCACACAGCGCTCAATTGCTTGTGAGCTATCAGTAAGAGCTGCTTTGTATACAAAGGGCGCATTGTCAGTGAGCAGGCACGAATCTTCACGTTTTGTTAGACTTCAAAGCGTTCCTGGCCCGAAGTTTGCGGGCACGGCGGGATGACGCAAGCCTTTAAGCGCGGTCGTGACTTAGCCATCAAATATTGATTAGTGTCTGGCTCTCGGCAGCAGGGACAACAACGCGCCGACCCGCCGGCGGTTGCCCTGCCAGCAGCGACGCCCGTGCGCTCTGTTGCTATCTTCCTCAAAACCTGCTGAGCTTCGTTCCAACTTCTCTTCCCTCTCCACCATCACAACCACTCTCAAAGCTACGCACACACTCGGCCTTTGGGCTCTCAAACCAAACCTTCCATCAACGGCATACTGCAAATATTCGCGACCTATACTAACCGGATCCCTTAACTGGGCCATCTACAGCAACCTCGCAGACGCACGCATCAATCAGCGGATATGGCAACTGCATCAGTATTAACTCCCATCAAACAACGCCGTGATGGCATCTTCTCTACCCGCCTCGCTGGTGGTCGAGCTCCGCTCACGCCCTCGCCGCAGACCTCAAAGACTCAGGCGATGGAGCCCGCGGAGAGCATCCACCACGGCAACGCCAACCTCATGTCTCGCTTCTCTCGCTCCGTGTCCAAGACGAATGTCCGCGACTCGCCCAAGTCAAACATTGCGAGCCGGCACCCACAGTCACCACGCCGCCTCGACCAAGTGACCAGCGACTTCACACTCTCTGGCACTGGTTCACGGCCAAGCACCTCTGCCAAGACCACTCCGTCTCGCTCCAAGAGTGGCCGTTCTGGCTCAGTGCACCGGACGCCCAAGCGAAGCCAGGGCAAGATCAACTATACCGCTGCCGATCGATTCATCCCGAACCGGGACGCCAGCGAGGCTATCTCCAATCCCGCCGCAGCAGTCAAGCTCGACAACGAGCGGACTCCCGGACGGCGGCCAAAGTCAAGCGCAAGTGATGGGTCGGCGACACTCGCTGCGGGTGTTGCCAGCGCTTTTGACCTTGGTCGTCATTCTTCTTCTGACGCAAACACTCTCAACTTCGACAGCCTGAGCCTGAACGATCGCAACGAGGATGACGACGATGATCAGCCCAAGACCAAGCCAAGCCCGAACACTGTTGCTTACCAACAGTCAGTCGCTGAAGCTTGCGGCGTGAGCATGAAGCAGCGCATCCTCGCCTTCAAGCCCGCCGCCCCAGAGTCGTCTCGTCCAATCGACCTCCGATCTCAGTACAACCGCCCACTCAAGCCTGCTGCCGCATCAGCATCACAGTTCCGGCGCCGAGTCCTGACCGCCCCAGAGCGTGTTCTCGACGCCCCTGGACTTGTCGATGATTACTACCTCAACCTCCTTGACTGGTCCTCGGGCAACCAGGTTGCCATTGGCCTTGAGCGCAACGTCTACGTCTGGTCCGCCGAGTCCGGCTCGGTGTCAAGCTTGCTTGAGTGTCCTGCTGATACCTACATCTCTTCGGTCAAGTGGAGTGGCGATGGCGCCTACGTCGCTGCTGGCCTTGGAACGGGTGAAGTCCAGATCTGGGATGTTGAGGACGGTACCAAGCTGCGCTCTATGTACGGCCATGACACTCGCGTCAGTGTCATGGGTTGGAACAAGCACATCCTCTCCACCGGCGCTCGCTCTGGTCTCGTCTACAACCACGACGTCCGCATCGCAGAGCACAAGGTCGCTGAGCTTGTCTCTCACACCTCAGAGGTCTGTGGTCTCGAGTGGCGTGCCGACGGTGCTCAGCTGGCTACTGGTGGGAATGACAACCTCGTCACCATCTGGGATGCTCGTCATCTCACCGCTCCCAAGTTCCAGAAGACCAACCACAAGGCGGCCATCAAGGCTCTGGCATGGTGCCCCTGGCAATCCAACCTTCTCGCCACCGGTGGAGGATCACACGACCGCATGATCCACTTCTGGAACACCACCTCTGGCGCACGTGTCAACAGCATCGACACTGGTAGCCAGGTAACTTCTCTGCGCTGGTCACTTGGCTACAAGGAGTTGGTCTCATCGTCTGGCTTCCCCGACAACAGCCTCTCCATCTGGAGCTACCCAACCTTGGTCAAGAACATCGAGATCCCGGCTCACGAATCTCGTGTCCTCCATTCGGCACTCTCTCCAGACGGCCAGATGCTTGCCACGGCCGCTGCTGATGAGTCTCTGAAGTTCTGGAAGGTTTTCGAGAAGAAGCCTGGCTCTGGTAACATCGTCGGCGCTGGCAGCGCTACCGCTAAGGCTAGCCTCACCAAGGCCACTACGATTCGGTAATGGCCATGAAGACGACGGTATTTGGATGATGGGCATGGCGATGGCAATTAGTAGTCTCACTTCCTTCTGAGCACGTTACGGTGTGGTCTGCTGCTTTCAGCGTTGTACAGGCACTTCTTGCATTCGATCAGTACACGGCGCTATTAGAGCTTCTTGGGCGTGTGAGATGGTAATGAGAGCGCGATTAATGACAAATTTGAAAATCAGACACATTCGCTTGTCCACGGTGTTCTCTCAGTCTGTCTTAGTTGAACTGCGATGAATCACTCACCACCTCTCATAAGAGTTGCGATCCTTTCACGCGGGGTTCATTATGCCCTTGAAGAAAGTCATTGCTCTCAACTCCATGGCCAAGTTATCATCTGGCCCTACTTGCGATAGTGTTAGTTACCTTCGTGCAAGATGGATGCCAAGGCCAAATATGAACACTGTCGTACAGCACAGCAAGCTGACCTACTCGAAGTTTGCTCGAAGCCCAGATTCATATGACAGAGCTTTGCCTCTCGTGTCATGGACGCGCTAACGCGGTAGCTGCGGCGTGAAGTATTGATTATTCTCGTATCCCCTCCCATCCTGATCGTTGTGCGATAAGTAACCCGGACGTTGCAGTGCTATGCTCTGTCCGCTGGAAATGGCCCGAGCAATGCCCAAAATTACGTGATTCTGAGCGTGAACTCCTTTGCAGTGTATCTCTGTGATTAGTCCGAAACGCCTATGGTTTTGGCAACGAAGCCCATTGCTAGCATGCAGCTCGCGCGTGGAAGCCACTTTCAGGCCAGCAATGATCTTGATGAGCACATCGTGGCTACTCTGATCAGTGATTCGTTTAAGAAGGACGGTCCGAGGATGCACGTTCTTGTTGAGTACGGAGCACAGAAGGCCTTGCGAGCGGCTTCGGAGATGGACAGGAGTGGTAAAGAGCTGCGTCGAAGGAAGCAGCCTCACAGTGACATCCTAGGCAGAAATACGCCTCATCACAGTTGCTGCTGGAGTTTTGGCGACTTCGCACGCGATCCATTCCATGATCAATCGTTGATTCCATCTGCTTTTCTGTCGCTTTCAACGGGCAGGACTATGCCTTTAATAGATTCCTAGCCGATTACTCAGTAACCGGTTACTATTCAAGAGCAATCGCGAGAAATAGTTCGGTAGGCGCTCGAGGAGATGCGGGACCTGCAGGTGCTGAGCGAGCTAGCGCTGTTCCTATGTACGCCGAGAGAAGTCAATTGAACGTTATTGAACTCTATCCTACTGCGGGACGGATAAGTCGTGATGAGAGTGATGACGCCAGAGGGAGTCGTCGGAAATGACATTTCGTCGTCCGGCATTACGTTTCGTCGACGGCCACGCTTTCCGTGTCAAGAGCGGATCGTCAACGGCTTTCGTAGCGCTAGATTTCCACCCTAACAACAAGAAGGGAGTGAGCAGTGATCAGGCGTTGTACACTGGCAACGGTAATGTAAGCGCATGAGTTGATGGTGGTGGTGAAAGTGAGGGGGGATCGGCGAGAGGTGAAGTTGACGAAGCGAGCGCTGATTGGACAGCTGATGGAAGCCCCGCTACCTCCACGCCTTATTACCTCATCATCAAGGTTAAGGTTACATCTTAAGCTTCCATTCTCCGTCAGCCAGACATCCTTCGCTGCCCACTCCGCCCCCCCGTGCCACTCCTCAACGGAAAAGCAAAACAAAGAACAGAAAAGCATCTGCACGCGATGGTCTGCGGTATGAGAACAGCACGTGCATCAACATACCGATTATGTGCATAGAGACAGACGGAGACCCGCAGTGGGCCGCAGCTGGGAAGGCCTGCTAAGACTCCCACTGGTGTGCTCTTCTGCAGGTCCGCAACTCTGGGGCACGCCACCTTGCTGTCTCTCAACGGCTATACCACTGGTCTGTGGAAACATCTCACCCCGCCCTACTACCGATCGATGAGTCTGGGATTCCGGGGATGCGTTTCGACGGTGCTCGATTCCAGATGAATACAGTCTTGGAACACCACACACACTACGTTGCCTCACACAACTGGCGGCACAGGTTCAATCTCCACGGCAGTGATTTGCCCTGCTGCCGATGATGCTGAGGCTTGCCGTCTTTTCCTGCCCGATCCAGCTTCGAGGCATCAGACTGCGTGCAGCACAGCGCGGGTCGGGCGAACAGTCATTCGACCGCGGACATCGGATACGCACTGGAACCTCACTGTCTTGACTGTCCGCCAATTCTGGAACAGTGCCAAGCATCATCTCTGCAGCATTTTACCAACAGTCTTCCTTCAACGCCGCTTCGTGCATAACGAGGCGCCGAAATGGAGGGTGACATGAGTCGCGCACTGGCTCTTCAGCCATGGTGCTTCGAAACTTGCGCTTTTGGGTTGGTTCTCTAGCTTCCAAGCGGCTAGCGGCCTTGCACCTCGTCCGGAGCTTGGACTCACAGCATCCTTTCTCAACTTCACTTGACCGGACTGCCGAATCGGGCAGCGACTCGCTCGCTCTCATGCCGGTCTCAGCACTATCAAACCTTCTCTGACTACACTCGCTCCTGCTCCCGCTCCACTGCGGCGTCCGGCGGCTTTGAGAAAGGCGATTGTGCAAGGTTGTTCGTATCCGACAAGCCGCTATTTTCGTTGTATGAGGCTTGCGGACGGCACCATTGCTGGCCTTGCAGGAGTGTCGTCGATCGTTGCTCTGTATATGAGCCGCCTCATGCCAGGAACCGTCGTCTTTCCAACGTCAGTGCTGGAACGTTGAGGGACCCCTCTTTCTTTTTCGGAGTCGGTCATATCAGTATATTACCCATCGTACAAGATCAACACTCGTTCTGATCTTGTCCGAGCTCTCGCTTAAACAAGTCTCTTGGTGCCCTTACCTCTTTCGTTTACCACTTCAGACACTACCTCTTTCAGTGTATGAGTGAAGCGTAATCGCCAAGATGTTGTCGAAGCTGTCGCTACTGACACTCCTGAGTGTCGCCTACGCTCTTCCAGGTGGAGGCGAGGGATGGAGTCAAGGAGGAGATGACAATCAGCCAGAGCCTTCGAAGACATGGGGATCGGAGTCTGGTCCCAGTCATTACCCTTCTTGGTCGACTTCTTGGACTCCATCAAAGCAGCCCACCCCAAGCAGGCCACCAATCACGAGCACTCCTAGCGGACCGCCGGTTTCGACTCCAAGCAAGCCGACCACTTCGAGCAAGCCGACCACTTCGAGCAAACCGACCACTTCGAGCAAACCGCCTGTATCGACCCCAAGTAAGCCGATCACTTCGAGCAAATCGCCTGTGTCGACCCCAAGCAAGCCAAACACTTCGAGCAACTCGCCTGTGTCGACTCCAAGTAAGCCAAACACTTCGAGCAAATCGCCTGTGTCGACTCCAAGCAAGCCACCCGTCAGCAGTACGCCGTCGAAGTCTCCAGTCAGCAGCCCGCAAAACACAACCCTCACGACGACGATCAAGACGACTGCAAAGGTCACCAGCGTTGTCACCATCTCAACGACGTCTTCTGGAAGCGTTCCACCCAAATCAAGCGGTTCTGTACCGCCCCCGGCCCCCGTTTCATCTTCCAAGCCAGTTGGTTCGGTGCCACCCAGCTCGAGCTCGAAGCCTGGCAGCACAGCGCCTTCTGGAAGCGTTCCACCCAAGTCAAGTGGTTCTGTGCCGCCCCCGGCCCCCGTTTCATCTTCGAAGCCAGTTGGTTCGGTGCCACCCAGCTCGAGCTCGAAGCCTGGCAGTCCAGCTTCCTCGAGTTCCACACCTGGCAGTCCGGCCACGTCGAGTTCCAAGCCTGGCAGTCCAGCTTCCTCGAGTTCCACACCTGGCAGTCCAGCTTCCTCGAGTTCCACACCTGGCAGCCCGGCCACATCGAGTTCCAAGCCCGGCAGTCCAGCTTCCTCGAGTTCCACACCTGGCAGTCCGGCCACGTCGAGTTCCAAGCCCGGCAGTCCAGCTTCCTCGAGTTCCACACCTGGCAGTCCAGCTCCTTCAATGTCTGGGGCACCTGCTGTTGTTTGCCCGACTTGCCCAGTCGCAAGCACAGTCACTAAGACGGAGACAGTCTACTTCAGCCAGGGCGCTCCTCCAAATTGTGGAGCTACCGTGACTCTAGTCTGCCCAACTGCATACGGCTCGATGGGACAGCCACCTGCCCCTAGCATGAGCTCAAAGGCGCCGGCACCGGGTCCTAGTGGTAGCACAAGCTCTCCTAAGGCACCTGTGCCTTCTCCGTCGTCGACAAAGCCGTCGGGCAGTACGCCACCAGTATCTAAGCCGACAACAACTTCCAGCAAGCCTTCGGGCAGCGTGCCGCCGGTCTCAACGCCGACGACAACTTCAAAGAAGCCCACAGGCAGCGTGCCGCCAGTCTCATCACCGACGACAACTTCTCAGAAGTCCACAGGCAGCGTGCCGCCAGTCTCATCGCCGACGACATCTTCTAAGACGTCCACAGGCAGCGTGCCACCTGTCTCGTCGCCGACGACAACTTCTAAGACGTCCACAGGCAGCGTGCCACCTGTGTCGAAGCCAACGACAACTGCCACGAGCAAGATCCAGGAACACCCAAGTGGGACCAAGTCATGGGGTGAAGTTTGGCCTCAGCCAAGCGGTTATGGCCAGGAAGGCGGCTGGTAAACAAATGTTACCAAGCCTCGTTTCGTAATGTCAAAATTCCAAGCGGTTCCCAACGAACACCCACAATTAAGGGGACATATATTGGAGCGACCAGAAGACCATGGTCTGACTGTTTCTTCCTGACGGCTGAAACAGCCCTTTTGACGATTATGAGCCACAGAATGTTTTCGAGTTTTTGATACGCCTCGACGACGAGCACTGTGAAGAAAGCTTCGTATTCGAGATAGAATAATACCAGCCTTGCCGGCTACTCTTATAACCAAGCAGGTTTCCAATACCTAACCTCTATGTAGATGCAGTCTATGCGCGTACATACTAATCCAGATATACTATTTTAGCAACGTCCTACTATTCAAATCTATTAAGGAAGTATTCTATTCGAACGGAATATTGAGTCTCCCACCTATACTGCTCTTGAATCCTGGTGTTCGTAGGCTATCTTCTACCTCAATCGAGGGTTTGACCTGCCTGACAATAAGACCAGCCCTGCCTGGGGGCAGCTTGATGATCAATAGATCGAGTAACGGCAATTTTGAAATGATCAATCTTAACGACGTTTCGAAGTCTGCTGTACGTCTGTTTCGACATCGTGCACAGCTAGAGGACGTCCTCTCGTGGCCAGGTAACTTACCTTGATGCGACAGAACGCCGTACTTGAATGGCGTCAGCTGCTGACTGTCCATCGTCTGGACGTTCTATGTTGGAACTCTGAGTTAAAAAATCTGAGATCTCCAAGCTTCGTATTCGTACCAAATACGGCCATGAGAGCGAACACTGCCCTGCAATCTACCGTTGAAGAATGCTTTCGGATACGAGGACGACATGATTGGTCACATTCCGCAACAAGTTACCCCGACCGGCCACCCCGAGGCGACACGAGAGCAGTCCACTACGTGACTGTGCCACGATGCTAATGTGCTTCGTCTTGACAAAACAACCACAACAAGATCATCCCATGGACTCTTGCTGGGAGTCAGACCATGAGAGTCACATTCAAGAGGGAACGAGGTCGCCAAAGTCCCACAGAAATCTCTCTCTCCGATTTTGGTCAGTAACGTGGTTTTGAGGGTCTACTGAAGCAAATAAAAAGTTTAGTGTCACATTCTTGGTTCAACCCGAACTTCTGCTTCGACACGGAAGCCTCGCACAGGCTTGCCAACAAGAGTAAACTGTATTATAGTCAGCATCGTGGTAGGGAAGAGAACAAAAACCATTCTTTGCGCACCTTGAAAGATCCGACAAGAGCAGCGACAACTTTCTTCATCTCGATTCTGGCCAGATGTTGTCCAATGCATACTCGCCGTCCATACGAGAAGCCGAAAGACGATCGATCCATCTCTCTCCATTGATTTTCGTCGGCTTCAAGCCACCTCTCCGGTCGGAAGGCATTGGTGTCGGCGCCAAAGACTTCGGGATCGCGTGCGGTGAGGACTTCGGCGATTGAGACATCTGTTCCGCCAGGAACCCTGAGAGTATAAATTAGTCCTGCACGCTACGAGAATTTCGACATTGCGGTTCGAGTACCACGTACCAGTTGCCACAGATTGTTGCGCCTTCTGACGGGACTGTACGTTCGGTGCAGTGCGGGTTGATGAATAGACGCCTGAGAAATCAGTTAGCCATCGTGCTGTTTTCTTCCTGCCCTCGGCACATGGACGTACATAGACTCCCTCGTAACAGCATCCAAATATGGCAGCTTGTCGACAGCCTTAAACTCAGCGGGGATAGAGAGATTCGCTTCGAGAATCTCTCTCTCCAATTTCTCATACGCGTGAGGATTCTGCAATGAATCTGCCATCATCATTGTCGATGCTGTGGCTGTAGTCTCAGAACCGGCATGGATCGTTGAAATCGTCAAGGCGAGAACATCATTCATGGCAATGACATCAGGTGCTGCTTGGCTTGCGGCAAGGTATCTCCCCATGAGGTCGTTTCCAGCGGTATGTTTATCACCAGATTGTCGAATTTGAATCTGTCGCATTGCTACTTTCACCAAAGTACCAGTTGACTTTTGTAATTTCTGCGAGATTGGATTCTTGCAGATGAAAGCTTCCAAAGATGGCATGGAAGCCCACTTTTCCCAATGGGCGAATCTTGCCATAGAAGCCGGGAAGATCTCGTCGAGGTCTGCTCCCGCAGAGAGGTAGCCTCTGCTCTCGCCAAAGGAGAGTTTCGTCAGGGTATCAAACTGCCAGAAACGCATCCAATTGTCCAAGCGAACGGTCTGTCGAGGCATTTGGTCTAGGCGTTCGATTAAGAGGCCGATGGTTGAGTCGATCTGAGACTCTTGACTTAGCCAGGTGCTTTGAGAGAAGCCTGCAGCGATGTGTTTCTTGATGCCCGTGATTCGCTTCTCGTCACGAATGGTAACGAGCGTTGGAATCTCTTGGCCATGCGACATCACGGTCATAGGCTTGTACGAAGCTGCCTGTGGCTCGGTCAGTCTCTTCTGAGTATCAGTATCAATCATCTAAGGGATCGACGCGCCTTGAGAAAGACATGGCTTGTCCCGTAGATTGCTGGGATCGCAGCTGGCTCTGAGAAGGACACTCGGTTCGGTCCCCAGCGTACCACAGGACCGTATTTGCTGTGCAAGTCTTGAATGTACTCATGGTATCGCTCGCCACGCCAAGTCCTGATAGCCGCCCACAGGTCGGTCACCGCGGCCAGCTTTGGTCCTGGGATATGTCGAAGTCGAGCGAAGCGCGAGAATAGTATCCCAAGGTACGTCATCACCAAGGCGACCAGAGCGACGACTGAGGGGCTCAACATGGTCAATCAATATCAATCTTCAGACTGTGTCGAAAGTGCACTAAGATATAAGAGAGGAGAGGAAAATACAAACTGAAATATCCTCAATAGTGTCGTGCTCGGTCTCTTGTTTTTTGCTTTCGCTCTTGGACCTCACTTGCGTTGTTTGCAGCTCGCAATCGCACGGGTTCGAGAGCTCTTTGCCGGGAAGAAGCAAGGCAAGAATCATTGGAGCGGTCGGATGGGACTTCCGGATGGTATATCGGCCGTAGTTGTTGGAGTGTAACAGTGTAGACATTACACAGCGCATCTACCGCTGGTATAAACCGATCAACGAGCATTTTCCCTTATTGGTATGTCGCTGCGCTGTGTACGGGAGGGGGCGATGGGCAGCGGCGGATGTCGACTTAAGGTTTGAAACCGGGCTATAGATTTTCCACTGCCGAACGGACGACGGACCAGCGAGAGATTCCTCCACGAAGTTTCTCTGCCCAAGCCCGACCGCACTCGACACCGGACAGCACACCGCAGGGAAAATGACGACTGAGACTGCACTGCCGGCAGTGCTCGAAGCTTTGGAGACGGCAACTACGTCGGCTCAGCGACTTCTTCCCTCTGCAGATTCGATACGCCCTCCCAAGAATGGCATTTCCCTCTTCGACACCAAGAACGAGATCTTTTTATCCTACCTTCAAGCCTTGGCTCTGCGCAACCTGAACATTATACGAACTATCAAAGCAGGCGGTAATTTCGACGCGGCTCAGAAGATCAGTGATGAGATTACGAAGAAGTTGGTCGAGCACAGAGTCTATCTCGAGAAAGGTGTGAAACCGTTGGAGCAGAAGCTTAAGTATCAGGTGGACAAGGCGGTGAAGACGGCTGAGGATGCAGAGAGAGCTATTGCGCAGAAAGAGAAGCAGGCTGCAGCAACGAACGGTCATGCCAGGAAGAGCAGTGATGGAGATAGCGAGGAGTCTGGGGAAGAAGGTTCAGACGAAGAAAGCGACGGTGATGCAGAGTCTGGCGCGGAGATGAATGAGAATCATGCACCACAAGTTGGGTCCATGATGAAAGCGAAGGGCGCAGCGGATTCTGAGCGCCGCACTCGAATCAATGAGGATGGCGTATACCGACCGCCTCGTATCTCTGCAACAGCCATGCCCACCACGGATAAACGGGAGAAGAAGGAACGCAGGCCTGGTAGATCCGCAACATTGGACGAGTATGTCTCCACGGAGCTTTCGACAGCACCACTGGCGCAGCCCAGCATTGGAAGCAACCTAGCAGCTGGAGGTCGACAGAGCAAGAGCGCTCGGCAGCTACGAGAAGAGGCAGAGCGACGGAACTACGAGGAGACGAACTTGGTGCGTCTACCAGCCATGTCCAAGAAGGAGATGGCAAGGAAAGGACTGGGCAAAGCACGGGATGGCGGATTTGGAGGTGAGGAGTGGAGAGGTCTTGGTGAGAGCTTGGATCGCATTGGCGATCTAACAAAGAGAAAGGGCAAGGATAGTGCACTGGATAAGAGCCGCAAGCGCAGAGCTGTTGAGGACGGCCCACGTGGTGATGGTATCGGAAACAGCTTCGACATCAAGAGGAGGCGTATGCAGAAGAAGGGACAGATCTAGATGTCACGGATGGACGACTGACGGATCGGAGCAGACATATCGTGCAAGTCATACGCTCGATGAGCTAGTTGCATCTGCTGTCGTCTGGCATGGAAAAAGTTAAAAGGAACCAGCGCGAAGACGCCTACTGAATCTTCATTCGCTCTTCATTTTGCAGGACCGGGTGGAATTCGTTGAACTTCGCAGTTTTCCAGAACATGTCATCCAGCATCCAAGTCGGAGCTACCGAGCTTACGACCCACATTACAACGGAGAGAGCACCATGTCGAACGGCAAAACCGTTGGTTTTGGTTTCAAAATATCTCCTACCACGTGTCTCGCCCAATCCTCTCGAGCTTGCTGTCGAGTCGAATTTGTCTCCCCACGCATCATCTGTTCAGCGTGGTCTTTCATAGGAGTACATGGAGACGAAGCCGGAAGGCCTTGGTGACTGCCTTGGACATGTCCACCTGGCTGCTAGAATCTCGTACGTACGTCGCCCGTAAAGAGCGTCACGACCTCACCTTGATATCGAAAAGTGCGAGCTCCAGCCCTATGATATTGGTGAGATCAGTCAACGCCATCTTCGAAGCACTGTACGATCCGATGAAGGCCTTGCAGATACCTGGCAGTGCGGCAATCGAGCTTGGATTGACGACCATTCCCTTTGCTGCACGCAGGAGAGGAAAGAAAGGCTGTGTGACTTCCTAAGACGCCACGGAAGTCGACGTCGAAGTTACGCTTAACTGTTGGCGATAGGTGCATCTAGGTAGGAGTGGCATCATGTAGCCATAGCCCGCATGGTCTACGCAATCCGTCAGAAACCAGAAGCCATCAACCAAGAAAGAAGATGCTATCTCTTTACTAATTAGAATTTCAAGCTTCCATCTACTAATCCGCTGCGACTCCGCGACGGCAGCATTGATCGAAGATGTTGTGATCCCATCGAGCGGGAGCTTTCGCGGAACCTGGAGCAAGACTCGAGGTGATTCAATTGCTTGATTTCAAATGCCGTGGTTATCACATTGAGGCCTCGTGCCTGTAATTCATTCGCCAGTGCGTCTCCAAGACCACCTTCCGATACTCCCGTTCCCGTTATCCAAACCCATCTTGGAGTTGGATGAGCTCATATGAGATCGATGTTCGCTATGAAGAGAGTGCTGTGCTATTGGACCTCGGCCGCAGCTCTGATCGAAGGATGAAGCGGTACCCCTAGTGGCGCTCGAATACCGGATGCTTGTGGGCGTCGGGTACTTCGGATAAGTGAGCTTGAGCATCGAGGATGACTACCTTCCCTGGAGCAAATACACATGCCTGTCTCTACTGGCCACGATTATAGATACAAGGAAGTTAAAATTATTGGAGAGTTGGTGTCCCGCAGAAGTTATATCGCCCAGCTCTGTATGAGTGGTATCTGAATATGCCATGCTATCTATGCAACGGCCCAGTAGCCGTGGTCTTCTAGTTCTAGCGGACGGATTCGTGAAAGCTTCAAGTCGTCGCTCGTTCGTCTCGTGCCATAATGCCATGCCAATCATCATCACATGCATGCTCTCAACGCTCAAACAACACAAAGAAAGGACAAATCTCGTCCCGAAGCGCTCCTGCTTCATCGCAAGTAAATCAAGATGCCATCCGGTCCTTCTTGATCTGTTCCAGAACGGCCAGGACTGCACGCCAAACTTCCTCCTTGGCTGCCTTTTTGCCAAAGACGTGGTTGATGCGGCACACCTGCCCACCCAGCCTAGGTTCGTAACTCGTATCTTGAGGCAAGAATTCGGCCCAGGCATCGACGAACGGCCCTTCTCTCGGCTCGAATTTCAAGGCAGGCTGCGTGAAGCGGAGCTCCACCGCTAGTCGATGAACCTGTCGTCCAGCCGTCTCGTCAGGCGTAGCGTGGACATCCATAGCTTTAGGAAGCGTCTGACTTAGGCCGGTATAGTCCTCTGTCAGTGACTGGGTCGTGTCGGATGCCGGCTTCTGCTTTTTCTTGTTTGGATTGTGGAACCGGCCCATCTCAGGGAGTTTGCCATTTGTACGGAGCCATTCGACAGCTGCTTTAGCAGCGACCCTCTCTGCGATCTTCTTCGATCGAAAGGGTCCGGATCCGTCCCCGAATGGTGTCAGTGGGCCTTCAGGTATGCGTAGCTCACACATCCATCTACATCGATCGATATGGTTAGAAAAGAAGTTCGTTTCTAACGATCCATGAAAGGGCTGAACTCACGGGCCAATGTTCGCCGACATGCTTGTAGTCTTCACGTCTGGGCGTTTGACTTTGTGGGTTGTCTGCATGTAGTCTTCAAGATCTTAGCATGATTTTGGATGAGCGTAGGGGCCAGTGACCTACTACAGAGTATTCCCATCCATTCCTCGTCATCAACGCCTTCAGGCTCCGACGAACACAAGTCATCGAGTGACGCGCTCTTACGCTTCTTGTTGTTTGGGAGGTCGATGACATAAGCTACGTGAGATTGGCAAATAGCTTCCTTCGCGTCCTGCTTGGAAGCATATTGTCGTTCGCCCTTCTTGATCTCGGATCCGTTGATCCACAAAGCGGCCGTGAAACAGCCCTGAGCGACTTGTTGAGTTTTGATTTCGAGCGAAAGGCCTTTCTGTTGGCAGAGCGAGTGGACCTTCCCGATCGCTGTCCCGTTGTTGTTTTCCAGCCTCAATGGAAGAGCAGTAGGTCGTGGAGGCTTTGTAGGTGGAGGCGTATACGGGTGTGCCGTCTCCCAATCGGCCATGGACATGAGATTCACTGCTCCCATGTCTCCCATCTTGCAGTCCTGGGAGACAATGTGAGTTCTGCGTGCGTCCAGGTATGGAGTGCTATGCTGCAGTGTTGAAGTTGTGTTTGCCGACCGCCGTGCAGTAGTGTCTCTGAGCTTTGGCTGGCCTGCGATCGGTGCGGTGATGCAAGGAGGTGAAGAGGTTGTCAATCTGTCGTTGCAAGAGTTGGAGAAGCCTCGCCGCTCCTGATCTGCTTCTTCTTTTGGAGACAAAACGCTCGTGTCCGTCGCCATTTCCGAGGCCGTTCGCGGCACTTTTCTTGTGAACCGGGCTTCTGCCGCTTTCGAGTCGTCGCGCGTATCCACGACGCGTTGTCGACGTGCAGATTCCTGACTGCACCTCGAAGATGCGGAAGAGGCAGTCACGAGTTGTCCGTCTTGGTACAGAAGAAGAGAAGACATGATGGCATCCATATTCGCTGTTTCTGGAGGCAACACCTCGCTGCCTGTCGACCCTGTCGGCCCTGTCGAGGCGACGCGATGTCGCGAAACACACGCGCTCCCTGGTCAATAGCCTGTTCGAAATGGCATCAGTAGGAAGATGAGCCTAGGTTGGGGAACCTAAAATAAGTGAAGATGAATTGTGCAAGAGCACGAAGCGTCAGAGAATGGTAAGGGACATGGAGGTGTTTTGGGAATGTCTTCAGTTAGTACCGTGAACCCGGTCAGTGCCACAAGCTCCACTTCAACAGTGAGCCATTGGATTCTTGGCAGGGTGAGTGCGGTGAGCTTATAGAGTAGGAAGGAACGATCAACGGAGGGAATGAGCTTGCGCTGGATGTCAGGTACGTGATTTCACGTGAGAGTCGATAATCAAAGACAATTTACATCCCCATCTCAAGGCCTCCAACCCGAGCCCTGCAATCAGCCCAGAGGGTGAAACATCTTCCTCTGCCGCAGCATCCACACTGCACTGTTGACTGTTCCGCGGTCTTCACTTATGACAACCTGCTTCCAGCGGAGCCTGATTCTCTCCCGGTGCGTCCAACACTCCACGATACCTCGTATCTGATTCCTCAGTGCCATATCCCCGACCTGAGGCCGTGCACAACAAAAATACTGCACCGAAGGGCCAGCGTGAAGGCGAACTCCCAGACATAGGTGCGAAGGTCCGCCAGAAGTGGCAACGAGCCACAGTCGTCCACCTCTTCCGTGTCTGCGTTTGAAGTGGTCGGAGACGATAAGGAGTTCGTAGACTGCAGTCGTCGAGAGCAGAGCCCACAGTGAATCGCTTCATTCAGTCCGAGGATTTGCCTTGCCAAATTGGTTCACGATTCGCTATGTTACAAACTCTTTGCCCTATGCATTTCATGGCGATTTGCCTGATCGCTCTGGTCTCCAAACACCTCGTGAACGCCTCTTTCCATGCTACTGTCTCAATGTGCAAAGTGCCGTGCCCCCGTCACAGCCATCCGTCGATTTTAGCGACGTCCAAGGTAAGAGCGACCGAAGCCATCGAGCCACTGGTCTGCGTTGCCATTCAGGCCCTGATTGCTCAAGTTGCGCGCCTCCTTCTGAGCCAATACCACCTTCTCCTGCAATGCCTGTGCGCCCGAGCCGATCGTCTGCAGCTGGTTCAAATGGCGGTTAAGGATGCTGACGATCTGCCGCAGTGGGTCGTTGTCGTCGTTGGCGGCCCGATCGTTGGTGAGCTTGTTAGAGGAGGCATTAATCTCGTCGACCATGTCTTCCAATTCGTGGTCCAGCTCGCCCAACCGCGACGAGCAATTCTCGGCCATCTTGTACGTGCGCTCGCGCTCAGCGTCAACGCCACCAATGCCGTCGTTAGCAACGCCAGCCGCTTCCATCAGCTTGTCGATGTCGCTCTCGTATCTATCGAGGAAACTCTCAATCTCATACTGCGTGTGCTCCACGTTCGTCAACTGGCGCTCGACTTCACTGCAATCACGCTCAGCCTGGAAGCAGCGACCATACAGCGTGGCGATCTTGCTGCTGTTCTCGACCATCTGCCGATCCCATGCGCTGACACGCTTGGCGATGCCCTGGAAGGTCTTCTGGTGCTGAGTCAATGATGTAGACCACATGGTCAAGATCTCGTCCAGAGACCGGTTGGCCAGCCTAGTGCCATCCTTTGGCGCTGCACCACCAGCGGCTGCAGCTGGAGGAGGATTGGTAGCATTGCCGCCACCACCACCTCCTCCAAGAGCTGATGTGCCTGCGGTGCCGGGAGTCGAATTTCCTGCTGGAGCAGAAGATGATGTCGTTCCGGCCGTAGCACCACCAAACAGGCCGCCCGTGGCCGGAGCCGTGGTTGTCGTGGTGTTTGCCTGCGATTGGGAGGGTGTCGCACCACCACCGAAAAGACCACCGGCCAGAGGTGCGCTTGAAGTTGCAGACTGGCCCTGCGAGGCTTGCGTACCACTTGGGAAAAGAGAGCCACCGAGTCGAGGGCCAGAGGTGGGGGCGGGAGTAGTCGTGGTAGATGCGCCAGTTGATGCCGTGCTTGAAGTATTGTTGCCGCCGAGGTTACTGAAGAGGCCACCTGTGCTTGGAGCGGAAGTAGTCGTAGTCGAGCCGCCTGCTGATGCATTGCTTGAAGTATTATTACCACCAAGGTTGCTGAAAAGGCCTCCAGTAGCTGGAGCGGAACTGGCGGAAGTGCTGCTCTGGTTGCCTCCGAGATTGCTGAAGAGGCCGCCAGTGGTAGGACCCGAGGTAGTCGTAGTCGAAGCCCCGGTCGACGCGCCGCTGGAAGCACTGTTGCCTCCTAAGCCGCTGAAGAGACCGCCAGCTCCAGGCGTGGAGTTGGTGGGAGTGCTCGCGGTGTTGCCGCCCATGAGGCCAGCGAATGGGTTGCCGCCGCTCGAGGCCGCAGCAGTCTGACCGCCAGAAGGCGCTGAGGCGGGAGCAGAAGACGAGTTCAGACCCGAGAACAACCCACCGCTCTTTGGCGTATCAGAGCTTCCGCCTTGACCGAAGATGCCAGGATTGCTGCTGCCGGCAGAGTTTCTCGTCGTGTTGTTTTCATTGTTTAATCCTGAGAAGAGCCCACCGGTAGAAGATCCTGCCGCGCCGCTAGCGGAAGCACCTTGAAACAGGCCGCCAGAAGACTGACCAGCTGAAGCCGTGCCGAAGCCACCTGCCAGACCGCTCTGTCCCGCGTCTTTCTTCGGGAACATGCTAGAGCCAGAGCCAGAGCCTGTGCCTGTGCCGGTTTGTCCTGATTGACCAAAGTTGAATCCTCCACCGCCTGTAGAAGCTTGACCTCCGCCAAATATACCGCCGCCATTGCTCGAATTGTTCTGGCCGATAACGCTGCCGGTCTTGGGCTCGCCAGCTGGAGTGGTCGAGTTTCCGAAAGAAAAGGATGAGGTTGGTCGATGACCTTGTGGTGTGGTCGAGCCGCTGTTTTGTTGCGACGTCGCGGCAAACGGGTTGCCTTCGGTCTTCTTGGCCTGAGAAGCACCGAACAGGACGCTACCTGGACCCGCCATGGCGTCTGAGGTGCGTGTAGAGTTTGTGTTGTTCGTAGTGTTATTGCTAGAGCTCGTGGGTCTGCTGCCGAAGAGGTTGCTGCTTCCGCCGCCGCCGGTGGATGATGCGCCGCCGAATAGCGAGCTGCCGGATGTGTCGTCTGTTGTGCCGCCGAAAAGTCCGCCTGTGCTACCGCTTCCACTGGTGCTGGTGTTTGATGCGCCGCCGAAGAAGTTGGGTTGTGTTGTGGGTGTAGAGGAGGAAGGATTTGCACTTCCAAAAGTGAACTTTGGCGGCTCCTTATCTGCCATGTCTGCGGCTATTATTGTGCGATGGTGTCACAATAGGTGCGGAATGGACGTATTGTGCTGGGCTGCGATTGACGCGCAGCAATGAAGCGCGAGGAGCTTGCTGCGGGAGGGAGACGGCAGATAGCCGCAACCTTATCGAGCTCTCATCAAGGTCCGACATCCCCCTAAAATAAAGATAGCGCGCGAAATGCGTGCGTAGAATACGTATAACACGCATGAGAGTACCCCGAGCATCGTATTATGGGCTAGAGTCTAGCCTCCTCGGATGATTCCCGGCGGACTACCGGGGCACATAACCTAGGCGATACAATATCGGCGAGCCTAGAAACGCGGAAATATCCATCTTTAAAGTAGTATCAGTACTATAACAAATCATAAGTCTTCTACGTGCGACTTGCGTCAAATTCTTGTACTGATCTTACGCATCATGTAAGCATGCGTGCTTTGCGTACGTACAATGATGAACAGCGCGGTCTGCGAAGCAATTCAGCTTCTGATCAAGTCTGAGGTCCCAGCAATTCTAGGAGCACGAAATGCGCGACAGAGAGATATCCACATACTGTCTCGCCTCCCACATGGTTCTGCACTGGCCAAGCAACGACGAAGTCTACGGCATCCTGGCACTGTTGCACTTATCGCGAGTCGGACAGCAGCACACCAGCGGCAATGTCGGTTGAGATGGCCTTCATTGAGCAGGATGTAGTCAGACCCGTTGAAATGGAGTGCCAGGCCTCCGCAATGTCCACGTGAGATCAAACAGAAGTCAGACTGTTCACTTCTTCCTTCCTAGGCTGGACTTAGGGCATATCAAACGTGGATTCTCCTCTGCAGGCCATGCAACCTCTCCTCCGAATCAGAACGAATCCTCAATATGCAGCCCCGAACCAATGACACCAATCCAGCGCCGTCGCATGCAGACGGTCCTGGTCTGATAGACACATCCCAGCCGAACTCCTTTCACCAAATCCCTAAATGAACTAGTCCTGGGCAACCTCATTCAAGATTCTTGATGTCGACGTGGCGTGCTAGCACCTTCCGCTTGAACTCCTCCTGATCGCGATCCCACAGAGTGGCTGCTTCACCGTTGAGTGGTGATGCGCTATCCCATACGTCAACACGTTGCCCTAGTATAGTCGCGCAAAATCATGTGTACTCACTTATTGGGCTCTCCAAGTAGGCTCTGAATGCTCAACAAGACACTGCTCGTATTTAGTGCCGCGCTCCACGCACCCTCTTTGCCCTCCCCTCCCTGCTTCAAGATGTCCAAGCAGATCCGCCCGCTGAAGTCGACGTTCGGGTGGTAGATCGGTGTCTTGAAGATGACCTCTGGTGGGGCGTAGGGGTAGTTCGCAGGAAACGAGATCGTGAGCTTGAAGGTGAGGTTCTCGTATGGGGTTCCGCTGGGTCCTGACATCGTAGCGTTCCACACAGTCATGTCGCCGTTGTTGGGGAATGCGGAGATACCGGGCGTCTGAGAGGTGTAGAAGCTCATGAGTTCAGACTGTAGCCTGTACCATTGTCGAGTCAGCGTCATACGTGCTTTGTATGTGTCTCGCAGACATACCGCTTGGTGACGCTGCCACTAGGAGCAGGCCTCGCCGCACTGCTACTGGCCTTAGCACTCTGGTTCACGGAAGGCGTAGAATTCATGGTCGGTTTGATGGTGTCCAACCTGTTTGCCATGTCTTGGTGTCGAGGCGTAAGAGATATGCGTGATTGGTAGGAAAGCGACAGTGCAAGCGAATCCAGCAAGCTTTGTCACTCCAGCAGCCGTTGACCTGGTGAGCTCGTGACAGTGAAAGGTCCAAGACTCGATCGATACCACGGTAATCGTTTCTGCTCGAACAAGAGATGCTTGGATGTGCTGCAAATAATGTGGCAGAGAAGTAGAAAGTAGGTTGGAAGTTCGAGATCCCAGCAAACAGCTCTCGTCTTTGACTGCCCTAGCAACGAGTAAACAGTCGGGCAAGCGCGCACGGCTTAGCGCGTTACGTCAATTTCAAACTTCATTTCGATGGGAGGAGAGCGTCTCGTTTCGCGTCTGCTTCGCGCTTTTGCTACACACCAACACGCGATCCATTCGTAGAGCGACTGGTCGTAGTCATGCGTCTGATATGGGTTCTGGAAACTCGCCAAATCCCACGCATCTGCCCATGACCGATCGACGACCGGCCACAAGCGAGCTAGCATGTTGCACATTCGCCCGTCGACCGAGAATACGAAGTATACGGGATGGAAATAGCTTCGGCCCACTCGAACGAATGCACGACGCGTATTCGGCATGTGGACGACCCACTGTCAGTACGATGGGCTCCAGTCACTATAAGTTGAATATCTGAGTGATGAGTTTCTTCCTGTCTCTCCCGCGAACCTACTCTCTTGTTGAAAAATCGGCGAGAATGTCTTGGGCTGCCTCTTTCAGAGCCTTCGGGCTCCTCTGCTTGACATCGTGTCTCTACTCAGCGGCACAGGCTGCTACCGCCACGTTCTTTCCTGCTTCCAATATGACCGATACAGACGGCAATCTGATCCAAGCTCATGGCGGCAACATCATCCAGTCTCAAGGAGACGATTCGGGTTGGTATTGGTTTGGAGAGGACAAAACGAATGAGACCACTTCAGGCCATTTCATTGGCGTTGCGTGCTACAAATCAGCGGACTTCTCCTCCTGGGAATACGTCGGCCACGTCCTCAGCCCGGTCCCAGACACCAACATCTCCAGCAATTCCATCGTAGAGAGGCCGAAGGTCGTCTACAACGATAAGAACGACGAATATGTCATGTGGTTCCATAGCGACACTTCGAACTATGGGGCTGCTCAGGTGGGTGTTGCCACCAGCAAGACAGTAGACGGGCAGTACACCTGGAAAGGCAGTTTCAAGCCGTCTGGCAACGACAGCCGAGACATGACGATATGGAAAGACCCGGACGACGGTACTGCATACCTCATTTTTGCAACAAATGGCAATGCCGATTTCGAGATTGCTAGTCTTGACGACGACTATTACAACGTTTCCGAAGCCCTGTACACTTTCAAGGGGGTCTTCCAAGAGGCACCAGGTGTGTTCAAGATTGACGGACAGTACCACTTGCTATTCTCTCCACAGGACGGATGGACCCCAACAGATAATGGATACTATGTCTCGTCTTCTATGAGTGGACCTTGGTCATCTAAGACGCTACTGGCACCATCTGGAGCCTATGCTTATCTAACGCAAAACGCCTTCGACATCACGATCAATGGCACCGAGGACACGCTGTACCTGTATCTCGGCGACCATTGGAACGCCAACCATCTCGGCGCCTCTACGTACTCCTTCTATCCAGTGATATACAATGGCTCCGCTTTGTCTTTGCATTACACCGGAGGCTGGACACTTGATGCCGCAGCTGGAACTTTCACCGATCTACCATATACGCTTGTAACGGCGGGCAACTCATCAACGGCAAATTCGACTCTCGTGGACTGCGATGACGGGTGTTCCGGGGGTAAGGCTGCCAACATGACTTCGAGCACCAATTTCACATTTACTTGGGACGGTTCTGCGGGTGAGAAGATGCTCCAGATCGTATACACGTATCCAGGGGCGAAGAACGCGTTCAAGCACATCGCAGCAACCGTGGACGGGTCAGCGAGCAATGGAAGTGCACTGCTAGAGACTACCAGGGCAAATACCATTGCCCAGGAGGCACCGCTGCCGGTGACACTGGCGGAAGGAAGTGAGGTGGTACTGGAGCTGCTGGACTTTGATGGGACGCAGTTTTTGGTTGACGGCGTGAAGATTTATGATATGTAGTGGGGGATGGTATATTGGAAACTGACGTCATAAAATATACGTCTTCCATATACGAGGTGGTCATCAGAAGCACAACCGATACCCCCACTCAAGCTATCATTTAGTTTAGCCTTGCATGCCAAGCGAAACCACCATATCTGTGATATAGAAGCTGTTCTCCGCTCTCTACCAACACCGGGCTCCACGAACTCCTCGGAGAGTGCTTCGGCCTTCCTCATGCGTCAGCTGGGAAACCGGAAAGTCAGCCGATGATGGTCCAAGCTACCCGTGCGTGTTGCCATGTTGTCACCGACGATACTTTTTAGCCGGGAGCCTAGAGCTACTTCCCAATGCCTGCGAGAGCCTGTGGCCCATCAGTTGGGCGCGGCGGATGACATTATCCAGAGATGAGGTCGTTCCTTGTACGCGCGTGAACGGCTTAGCTCTCCTTCCCGTCTTCCGGCTGGGTTATTTCCGCTGCCATTGCCATTGAGCTTCCCTTGGTGGCCAATTTCTTGTTATCCGTCTTGTCCTACTCCCACAGACGTTAGATAGTTGAAGCCGCTGCGTCAAAACAGCCATGGCTCCAATGCTTAGTGAGGAACCCTACGGGACAGGCGTCAATGGTGTCAGCAGCGTCCATGGCCTCAGCAGCGTCAACGGTCTCAGCGGCGTCAACGGTCTCAGCAGCGTCAACGGCACCAACGGTACGAAGATTTCAAAGGCCAGGACCACCTTCCAGCCGACGCAGTCGAACCCAGCGCTCTTCACCAACGAGAAGCAAGAGATATTCGTGGGTCCATCGCCAGAGCTGAATCCAGGCGCCGACGACTGCGTGGTTCGAATGCGGTGCAATGGCATCTGCGGGTATGCTCAAGAGCTCCTCATTCTGGCCAGAATCAAATATACTGACCATCTCCAGCTCGGATGTTCACTTCTGGCACACGGGCAGAATCGGCCCACTCGTCGTCGAGAGCGACCAATGCCTAGGCCACGAAGGGTCCGGCACGGTCATATGGGCCGGCGAACACGTCCAGAACCTCCAAGTCGGCGACAATGTAGCCATCGAGCCCGGCGTGCCTTGCGGAGCCTGTTTCCCATGCTCGAGCGGGAACTACAACCTCTGTGCCGACGTCAAATTCACCGGAGTACCTCCCCACGCAGGCTCGATCCGGAGATACCACGTCCACAAAGCAGCCTTCCTCCACAAACTCCCCGCGGGCTTTTCCTTCTCCGACGGCGCTCTCTGCGAGCCCTTGAGCGTCGTCCTGCACGGCTTCGAACGCAGTCCCATCCAACTCGGCGAGGGCACCGTCATCTGCGGCGCCGGACCCATCGGCATGTGCGCTCTGGCAGTGGCGAAAGCCTCCGGCGCATGTCCCATCCTCGTGACGGATCTCGACGCCGGGAGGTTGGCCTTCGCGCGGAAATTCGCTCCCGGTTGCGTGACGTACCAGATCGACCCCAAGACGACATATCAGGACACGGCGCGGGAGATCCTGAAAACGCTGGAAGCAGCAGGCGGCGCGCAACCGAGGGTGGTGTACGAGTGCACGGGAGTCCAGAGCAGTGTGGTGACGGCGTGCTATCTCCCGCGACCGGCGGGTGAGGTCATGGTCATCGGGGTGGGCAAGCCCGTGATGAATGATCTTCCCTTCATGCACATTTCCCTTGCGGAGGTCAGTTCTCAAAACATCACATTTCCTGCCAACCACCAGATGCGTGACCAACCATGCCGCGTGCTGACTATTTTGAATCAAGATCGACCTCAAATTCATCAACCGCTACCATCATTCCTGGCCGAACGCAATCCGGCTACTACATCATAAAGTCATCGACTTGCAACCCCTGGTCACACATCGGTTCAGACTGGAAGATGCAGACAAAGCGTTGGCGGCATCCGCGGATCGAGGCTCGGGTTCGATCAAGGTCCATATCGAAGATGACAGTCCTTGAGGTGCCGAGGCCATAATGATTGAAAGATCGATAGCGTCGACCAGCGTAGCCCAATGTATAATAATACCATTTTACAAAGCCGTCAATGATCTACGATCTATGTTTCCACCTAGAACCACAACATCACAATCCTCCAGACACGATATTCCTCGTTTGATACTTCATGGCAGCATCAGCCATCCTACACAGCGTCCCGGCCTGAACGCTCCGCGTGCTCCTCTCCCGTCTCGAATGCGTCGCGCATCGAATCGCCCGACACCATCCCTTCCCAATTCCCTCTGCAGTCCCCAAATCCTTCAAAGAAATTCTGCGCCCACCTCTTCCAAGAATTCCGTGTGAAATCCACGTACGCCACTTCGTCCCGAGGAGCAGTCATAACGCACGACGCGACAAAATCTCGCAGGCCAGATTATACGCTCGCATTTCGATGTTTCCTGCGGAGATCCATGGGGAGGTACTGAGCAGTGACCGGGACAAGATGCGTCGGACGGAGAAGAGGACAGTCGTCTAGTACCAGACAGGTGATATGCATAAGGGTATGGTGGTTCTTCGTCATGTATCGGGCCCGATGATCTGAAATTGTAGAGTTGGGGGAAACGTGCCGTTACTTGTCAAAAGAGCAACTGAATGTTCCTCATTGTTCAGATTGAAATTTGGTCCATGTCTATGGACGGGGCTTGCGCTCTTGAATCTTAAGTACGAAGTGCCAAGCTGTTTTTGTCCAAAAGTCCAACAGCATCTGCATTTGCCGAGCAGGCCTCACTCATATTGACCACAGAATATCTCGGCTTCGTAGACCGAGCTGCTGTCGAAGCTGGACTCTGGCTGTTGGTGACGATGTGCGTCGAGACTTGCAATGGAGGATCATCGCCCCCGTCCTCGCTGAGAATTCGACTGCTCGGAGTCTCATCGTCCAGGACGCTCGATTCTGCCTGCCGGAATTGCTCTAGGGCAATACGACCAGGTGGTTGATCGAACGTGCGAGACATGTCATATTAGCCAAGCGGACTTCCTCCAACTTTCACAGCTCACACCTGCTGGAATCAGAAAGATCTGCTCGATGGACTGAAGCGGACAGGGTTGACATGCTGTCCAGTCTCGCGTCGCTGTTTGAACGCGAATCGGTTCAGGTATCCCATCAGCCACCAATCGCCGGAGTCAACATACGCCCTCTTTTAGGCTTCCGCACTTCTGGCAGTATGGAACATGCATCGAAGCTGCAAGGCACAGCGGGAGGAGCTCGTGGAATTCCTTGTCAGGCGGGAGAAGCACCCAGGCTACATCAAAGGCAATGGGGATCAGCGCCAGAGAAAGAACAGCTGAGTCTCCCTCTCGGTACCTTCCGCCACACTTCACGGTCTTATGTATTATCAAGGTGAGCTTGAATGATACCCGAGCAAATAGCAGAAGAATTGCACGTGAAGGGCAAGGCTGAAGGAGGTGCCGGGCTGTGGGCTATGCATCCATCCGTGCCATCCGCTAGAGATCCTGCCGTGAGCCAACCGCCATGTTTGGCCTTCGGAGCCCAGTTGATGACGAGTGAAGTTGTGGCAGAGCAGCGTGCTGCAGATGAGCCGTGGAGTCGTTTTGGGCAATCCGAAATCCACGACCGCTTTCCGACAACGGGGATAATATCGACGTTCAGCCCCCATGCCCTGTTCATCGACCACTGCACCAAACGAGTCGTCTAGGACAAGTGTCAAGCTGAGGCGCGCAGGAGATAGTCCATCGCTGTTGGCTGTTGGCTCTTCGAGAATAGCGCCCAGACTCGGTACACCCGCAGTTGCAAGCAGGTGGAGGGAACCGTACTGGCGCTTTCCAGTGCCAGGCCCTGCGCTTCCCGTATGCTCTTCGCTATGAGCTTGCTTCGATGAGCTTGCTTCCGGCATGCTCTTCGCTATGAGCTCGCTCGCTCCCGCCAGCACGTCCCCATCAAGCGCGATCCGAAGCAAGATGATCAGACACCTGCACGCACCTCACTCCACGCGCCGCACGCCCACAATCCGATTCATCCTCTCATCCACCCTCTCCATCAAATGCTCCACACGACACGTCTTCTGCCCATACTCATGCATCAACATGCTCATCCCACCCACCTGCCTCGCGATCCGCCGGATCTGAACCCGACTCAGCGTCTCAAACAGCGACTGCGCTTCGGATTTCTTGCCCAACCAGATCAACCGCCGCTTCAGGTCAAAAGGCCGATATTGCGTCCTCTGCGCCCAGAAGACGTCGTCTTCATCCCCCTCTAACCCCAGATCCCGCCCGCGAGGCTGCGAGCGACTCCGCGCCCTCCTCCCTTTCTCTCTTTCCTTCTCCTTCTCTTTTTCCTTCTCCGGAGGCGACGCGTACGCCGAATGCTCATAGTAAGGCGAAACACTCTCCTCCGTATCCCTCCTCTTCGCCCCCCTCCGCCTCCTCCTCAAATCCTTCCACCCATCAATGCCCTCCGTCCCAGGCATCAAAAACGGCCGTTCCAGATCCCGAAACTTCCTCATCAAAGCTTTAATCCCATCATTCATCGTCTTCAACGTCACCTCATCCAATTCGATCCCCAGCAAATTCTCCGTCGTCCCTTCCTGCTTGACTTGCCGGTAGAATCGCTTGCTCTGCTTGCGCATCGTGCGGATGCTGGCTTTCTCTTCCAGCAGTTCCGTTCGCAGCGCGGTGAGGTAGGCGTGGACGTCGTGTGCTGCTTCGCTCATCGTTTCCAGGTTGATCCAGACGACTTTGAAGAAGGTGCCGAGGGTGAAGACGAAGGAGATGAAGCCTATGATGACGGAGGTCAGGGCCAGGGGCGAGTAGGCCGTGGTGGAGAGGTAGACGCCCATGGTTGATTGCTGGTACTGGGATGTCAAGGAGGAAATCGGCGCTTGGGAGTCCCAGCAGGCCTCTGCCTGAGAAGACGGATCACGCGCTCGCGTGCCGGTGGTGGCATCTTGCTCTTTCGTTGTTTATGCAACTGTTTACCAAGAGCCGAGAGCTTCCGTTGAACTTTCATCCGTCCCGTCTCCACCGCGGCTCACTTTGCGCGCCAATCGGACGGCTTCCTGTTGCCAAGTTTTGTGCTGACAAAGCGCCTTGATGTCTTTGGCAGGCAGGCATTAAGTTCCTAAGGGCATCGCATCCTACTGTCTATTGTGAACATGATAACTTGCCGGAACTATGGACTCTCTACTGCGCTCCAAACCGAGCATTCCTTGCTAACAGCCCTCTCACTATCAAGCTCTCACTGAACGAGCCAGTCGTTATTGTTGTTCCCTTCCATGTTTTGATATTCCATGAACGTCTGGTACTCCGGCGCAGCAGCGTTCGCTTCTCCACTACCACCACCAACGCCACCAGCTCCATTCCCATTCCCATTCTCACCACCATTCGCCGAGGCAAAAGGCAACCGCGGCATATTGAAGAAATCAAAGACATCGAGATATTCCAACTCATTCGGCGCGGGTGTCCTGGCCGGCGTCACCGAGGGTTTTGCTTTCGAGCCGAAATGCTGTCTCGGCTGTCTCGAGATCAAGAAATCCAAATCATATGCACAGCGTCGCATGTCCGCTAGGATCTTCACTGTCGAGGGAGTCTCTCGCACACCGTTCTCTCCCACAGGGGCTCGTTCGTATTCATGGTACTCGTCCAGGACACGCTGCAGGAGCGTAGCGTAGCGCTCGGCGACTTTCCAGTAGTAGCCCATCTCGCGGAGAGTCTCGACAAGTTGTCCGATGGCTGCGTTGACGTGGTGGTCGATCGTCGAGCCATGGACAAGGAGTAGACGCGCAGCGACCCACAAGCTGAATGCAAACGGCGGGCCGAGCTTCGGGAGCATGTGATTACTCCTGACGTATGTGCACAGCGCACAAATGTCCTCAACGGCCGTCAGACACCGCTGGCCGGCACTGAATGACGGTGTGAAGATGGGTGACCGCGTGGTGGGATATGCAGCTGACGAGTGGAGTCTGATCACGGTTCTGATGAGAAGTTGCTCACGTTAGCGTCTTGACCGGTCCATACTAAGGTATGCATGAGCGGAGAGATCGTGCAGTTTGCCACCATAAGGCAGACACATGCTTTCGAGAGGATAGACCGGACTCACGTGTGGTAGGTGGTATGCAGCATAATCCAGATGCAGTTGACGATCTTGTTGCCTCCGTTCGGGTTGAATAGCCGAGACATGTTTCCATACTCGCTTGGGAGGCTGAACTTCCATTGATTCAGTTTGCTGTCGAGCTGACGGTATTCCTGCTGCCATTGCTCCACATCCGAGAGCGCACTGATGTCAACAGGTTTCTTCAAGAAGCGATGTATCTGTGAGAGAATTCCAACGATCTCGATGTAGTAGCTGAACGAGCCCAGGTTTTCGGGATGATTCATCTCGTTGAGATGATGCTGTTCGCCTTCGATGGTCTGGAACCATCGGGTGTCAACAGGCTGATTGCGTGCGAAAAGATCATCGCGACAGGGCAGTTTCCGGTCAATCTCTTTATCGTCCAAGGCGAACTCAAATGCGGTAGCAATGGTTGCATACCGATCAAGCAGGTAAACCATCCAGAAGAGGCGCCTGCGACTCTCGTCTTCAATGAAGGACCTAGATTCTGGAAGTACCATAGCCCTCAATGTGTAGATGGAGGGAAACAGTGGCGCTATGGAGGCGGACGTGGTCTCGACTGCCAGTCCTAGCTGGACGACGCTCCTAGTAATAAGCGCAAGTAGATTCCAGCCTGGGGGTCCATTAGAACTGCCGACAGTATCAAGTGCTATGATAACCAGAGCCTGTAGAGCTTTGACGGAGCTATTCTCCAACCCGTAGAGCAAGACCTACATGCGTGAGCACAATCACTCTAAAGTCACCCGAAGAAAAATGGCTCATACCTTCTGCTTTGAGGTTGCATGATACCGTTCCCGGGTCTGATTACTGAGGCGTGGGTCTGTCGAAAACCTGAGAGTAGTAGCAACAATCGCATGCAACAAGATCCGATCTGCTTCCTCAAGCGTATTCGGGCCAAAAAGGGAATCCAATGTGCTTCGACGATGAAGGATCGGACACCAGGTATTTATATGTTTGAAGAATAGATCTGTTAGCGCATATAGAAGGTCGTATGGCGGAAAGTCCTGGTCCTGAGAGACTGCCTGCATGGCTCCATCTTGGGACGTAGTAGCAGTGATGTTCAAGCTCGGCGACTCGAGGGGAGGATTTGACGGCGCATAGACGTCTGCTGCTGAGGTAGGTGACACTTGTATAGCAGGTCGTGTGGCGTGATGATGGTGCTGGGTTTGATGCGAACCTAGATCGTTGCTAGGTTGGGAGTGTAACCGATTGTACTGGATTGGCGTTGCCGTAGGGTACATGTCGGGAGCCTGCATGAACAGTGCAGATTGCGCCTGTGGGCCATGTTCTGAATTGCTCGGAGAGATGGCTGCTTGCACCCCTGGTAGATGGGTGGCGAGGTGCTGTAGAAGGTGTTGTTGATTGTTCAGGACACCCTCCAACTTGTCTTGAGTCGAAGGTCAGTATGTTGGATTGGTCGAGGAGGAATCTTTCTCCAGCTCTGATGGCAAATCGATGTCCCAATGAGCATAGATTGAGGTGTCAAGACCTACCCAGGCGAGATTCCAACCTAGGCTTGTCAGTCTTGACGTTCTTCGAATCTACGACGATTACGCTCACTCCTTTCCATATCCAGCACGCAGGCCAGGCTTCTTGCGTTCTCGATATTCGCATACTTGACTATTTCGTACGCACCATCCACATGAAGGTTGACCGCGATCGCATTTTACCTGCGCACATCACGTCAATGACACCCAACAGAGCGGACGGTGGGAATTGCGGGTGTGACATGCCTTCCTCTGCTTGCACAACTCACACGATACGCTCATAGGACGCTTGCGCTTGCGTGGACCATCTCCGGCCTCGTCGGCTTCTTCCTCCTCTCCGCTCCATCCGTCATCGTCGTCCTTGTGCTCGACGGCATTTGACGGCGAGGCGACAGCCTCCTTGGGCGATACGGTGCTCCCAGCCGCCTGCGAAGACATCGATCAGCACATGCGATGACAATGGGCAGGGCACGGCGGTTCGCGCTCGGGAGAAGATGGAGCGAGGACGAGCGCCGCAAGCGCCGTCGGTGTAGTTTTTAAACGGTCTGGGTCACCATCCCCGCATTTGCAAGCGTTGCCGCTGAGGGCCGGGGGTTGCAAGGCCACCGTGGACGCCTTTGGTCGCTGTGCTGTGACTGCACCCTCTGATTGCGCGGGCTCGCTCGTGAAAAAGCGATTTCCGGATGAAGTCTTCGTTCGGGACATTTTCCTGGCGCTGCTCTGCCAGGCGACCCACTCGCCCTGTATTCAACGCAATGTTAAGGCGAGTCTCTGCCCACGACGTCCTTGTCCGAATTATCTATTTGCACATGTCCGTTCCATGCAGTAGGACTGTACCAATTGCATTCCAAGGCAGATCCGCCGACTTACTGAGAGAATCCAATCTCGAGCGCTCTCAAGAGACGGTCAGCAATTCAAGCGCTAGCAGACACAATGGTGGCTTCCTTCCCCAAGATCAAGGAGGTGAAGACGTTCATCATCCAGGGCGTAGGCTCAGGCGGCGATTATCACAATGTCAAGGGTGGGCACTGGCTGATCGACTCGAAAATCTCGACGCCCATGTCGGGTTACGAAGCCTACCGCAAGTCGAGGACGAGCTGGGGCATCAATGTGCTTGGATCCTTCTGCGTAGAGATGGAATCGGATGATGGGACCAAGGGCTTCGCAACGGGTTTCGGAGGACCACCAGCATGCTGGCTGGTAGCAGAGCACTTCCGCAGATTCTTGATTGGAGCCGGTAGGGGGAGCATCGCAACGGCGGCACATGGCGAGGACATGATGATTGACAATCGGCAGATCCCAGAGACACCAACCACCTCTTCGAGCAAATGTACCGCGCGTCGATGTTCTATGGCCGCAAAGGGCTCCCGACGGCCGTGATCTCTGTGATTGACCTCGCGATTTGGGACCTGCTCGGCAAGATCCGGAATGAGCCAGTGTACAAGCTGATTGGAGGTGCGACAAGAGAGAGGCTCAGCTTCTATTGCACCGGTCCACAGCCAGGAGCTGCAAAGGCGGCAGGTTTCAGTGGTGCCAAGGTGGCCCTGCCATACAGCCCCGGTGAAGGCCCCGAGGGGATGAGGAAGAACATCGAATACCTGGGACAGATGCGGGCTGAAGTCGGTCCCGACTTTCCGTTGCGGGTGGACTGTTACATGAGCTTGAATGTGCCCTACACCATCGAGCTGGCCGAGAAATGCAAGGATCTGGACATTGATTGGTGGGAGGAGTGCCTCTCGCCTGACGACTTCGACGGCCATGCGCTGCTGAAGCGGGCCCATCCCACCCTCAAGTTCACGACGGGAGAGCATGAGTACTCCCGATACGGCTTCCGCAAGCTCATCGAAGGGCGCAACGTGGACATTGTGCAGCCAGATGTGATGTGGGTGGGTGGCATGACGGAGTTGCTCAAGATCTCAGCCATGGCGGCAGCATACGACATTCCAGTGGTCCCTCACGCGAGTGGGCCGTACTCGTACCATTTTGTCGTCTCGCAGACGAACAGTCCTTTCCAAGAATACCTCGCGAACTCGCCGGACGGCAAGAGCGTGTTGCCGGTGTTTGGCAATCTGTTCACGAATGAGCCAATACCGGAGAAGGGATACTTGGATGTATCGGTACTTGACCGGCCAGGCTTTGGGCTGGAAATCAACCCCTCGGCACCGCTCATCGATGCAGCGGGGATCCTCCACCCGGCGCCTTCGAAGCCCCTGTCGTTGCCCTCGCAAGTTGCCGACAGCGGTGAGGGCCAAGTCGACGGGGTGTCCTGATGGATGCGGCCTGCGTGTGGTTGGACGCGATAGTGGTTGATGTCAGCAGGACACGAATGGATGCGAAGTCTCGGCGTTGTCGAGCGACGTGGCGTCGGTGAAGGCTCACGTCAGGTCCAGTCGACGCATCGATGAAAGCATCCGATGCGATAGAGGGAGAGAGAGAGGGCGGGAGGGGACGGCGAGGAGTTATTGCTGGGGGGAACGACAGGTTTCCAGTTCCCAGCAGGCCGGTGTGAGGCTTTGGTGATCCTGTACTGTAGGTGATCCTGTAGGTTGATCCTGTAGATGATCTTTCCTGTACTGTGGTACGATAGGATGCCGTCTGCCGGAGTGCCGGACCACAGCTGTGATAGGTTGCGTGGTGCGTAGCCCCCTTCCAAAGTGGCCCCCAATAATTGATTAGCATTTCATTGCAGGGCCCCTGTGTGGTTTAGCGAGCCGATTACGATCTTCATGCACAATGTTCCCATCACGTCTGCCTGCATGCACCTCATCACACATCACGCTGCCCCAACCCGCTGACACACTACATACGCACCATGTGCTCGATCGATATCTCCGCGATGAAGCATGATCCCGGAGGCTCAACGTCGGCTCGCGCGTGACGATGGAGCACTCGAAGCGGAATGCAAGCTGTGCAAGCCTTCCATGGCCCTCGCGCAGCATGTGCTCCCGGCTGCGCGGCGCTCTCGTGGGATGCAGGGATCCCGCGCATCGCATCGCATCGCATCGAGCTTCACCGCACCGCACCGCACCCGTACCCGTACCCGTACCCGTACCCATACCCGCGACAGCAGTGTGGCCATACGCATCGCAGGAGGCCATAGAAGGCCCTTCAGCCCATTCCTCCTCACCCTCAGCCGCCGCGGGCACTCCTTGACCGCCGGGCATGGCATGGGATGGGATGGACATCTCAGCCCCTCCCAGCTCACAGCTCACAGCCCAGTGGAGGCCAGAGTGCACCCGTGGACTGCAGCAGGGCGACCCGGACGGCCATGGACCGACCGCTCCTGCCAACCTGACCTGCCAACAACAATCGACTGGCAAGAACCGAATGCGCGCCTTCCCTCGCGCCTCCCATCCTGCTCGCGCCTTCCGCACCTACCGGAGATGGCATGCACGCAGATGGCAGCCGCAACGCATAGCGCACCTGCCCTGACAAAGCAAAGCGTGAAGGACCAGTGCAGACGCCCGTCGAGCATGTAATCATCCATCTCATCTCTTCTCATCTCATCTCATCTCATCTCATCTCATCTTCTCTCATCTTCTCTGCTACGTCGACATGACTTATCGCCCTACTGACCCTACAGCACCATCACCTCGACACCCATATCAGACTTCTCCTCTCTCATACACCCTCCCTCCAGAAGATTCAATATCGACCCCCTCTCCACCCATCTTTCCTACGACAAATCATGTGTATACAGGTGGGCCTGCCTTTTCGTCAACAGAGGCTTGCCATGCTAACAATGCACAGGTCGTCGAGAGATTCTCCGTCTGCAAATGTCTATACCACAAGCATGCCATCGATCCATGCTCGTTGCGCGGCCAAAGAGGTCACCAGCCGCAAGAAAGGACGGTCCTGGTTGGATATGCCTGTAGCAGCCACTCAAGAAAACGCCCTCCACCCATTGCATACGCCAGTCGACACCCCTTTCCAGACTCCGGCTACTCGAGCAGCGGTTGGAGTCCACACCACGCCTGAACGCGCTCTTCCATCTCAAGCTCCAAGAATCGCTGTCACAGTATCACCGATTGTCCGTGGTCTCGGCTGTACCCGTCCATAGTGCGGAGCTCATCTCCATGAAATCGCTTTCTGCGAAGTGAATGATTGACGAACGACGTAAGCGTCAAGCTCCCATGGTGCTCGCGGTTGCCCTGGAAAGCCAAGACGTCTTGCAGATTCTCGAATCATACCGGTTTCATGGCCGACAGCCGACAGACTTTCCCAGAGGTACGGGTACGGATGCGTCTCTACGCGAAAGCATCACTCAGTGTGTATGATAAAGAATAGAGGAGGAATGTAACGCTATTCGAGCCTTTGCGTTTCACTGGAGTCGTAAGCACATCCATTATGTGATCAGAGTAACGCCATGCTTCCAGATCTGCATCTCTCGACACTTTCTGCAGAACGGCATGACTGACGAAAGTGCCACGGTCTTCGTTTTCGGAACCGGATTCGAGCAAGGACGATCGTTCACCACAGCCACTGAGATTTCAATACACAAGATTCTGGTTCTGTTATCCGCTAGGCTTCCAGGCGGGCGGCAGAGCTTCTTCCCGCGCCCTCGGGACTATAATCCACAGCCCGGTACGTGTAAGTATACTCGATCTGTATGTCGACATATGGGAAGGTTTCCTTGGCAGTCGATACCGCCGGCTTAGCACTGTCCGACTGGCCGGGTTACTCGGGGAGAAAACAGCCTCCCGAACACCCAAGAGAGGACCCAGGAGCCCCCCCAGAGGAACATTGCTTGGCGGGAGGAACATCTATGATCGATTTGATTACTATCCATGGTGAATACGAGCGGCATCTGATTACAAAAACACAACAGCTTGGACGCGTGGATTCTCGGGGCCCAGACTGATTTAGTGATCTTAGCATGTGACGAGCGGGACTGCGGACGTCGAACGAGGCCGTCAACGACATAGCTAGGACGGGAACACGGTGAGCACATGGATCTCGATCGCAAGAGATCACCCCCGCGATAGGACTACAAAAGCTTGTGCCGGAGTACTCTGACGACACGTCTTATCAGAACGATACACCTTAACGGGACCGGGCAGAATGCATCTTCTGCTTGAGAGCGCATGACTTTCATCAGATGAGAGCAGCTTCAAGATCGAAGTTGTCAGTGCGGAGGATAGAGTGGAGAGACGAGGCAAAAGATGCGAGCCGAACAGATGCAGGTCGATACTCTCTTGGCTATGTATGTATGTCTGAGGAAAGCGAGGACCTGTACCCGATGCTTTTCCTCAATCATGCATTCCCGCATGCGACTGCGCGACTCCGCCAGCTCCTTCTCTCTCCTCCCTTCCCTTCGAGCCAGTATTGCAGGTCTCGCGGGACCACCTCTCCCTTCTTTCCTCCCCCTGTCTAATCCCCTCTTCCCTTCTCTTCTCTTCTCTCCTCCTCCCCTCCCCTGTCCCTTTCCTCTTCTTCCACCACCACCACCACCGCGCGGGGCATTGCAACGTGCTGCAAAGTGCGCGTGTCATCTTGTCGGAGTAGTGAACCGCTACTGCTTGTTGAACGAAGCATGTAGCCAGTGCACAAAGTTTGTTCGCAACCGCGGGAGAGGAACCAGCATACGACGGGACGCCGCGTGGGGCTTGCAAAAAGAGCACAGACCGGCTGAATCTTTTTTTACCTGGCCACACGCGTTCGTTGTCAAATGGATGCGGATTCTTCCGCCGTCGGGGTGTTGCTTTTCGAAACCAAATACAAAGGCGAAATGGAATTGAAATGGAATTGAATTGGAAATGGACGTCCAGCCAAGGTGGTGATTCCCTTCTTGGGGGGCGCAAATCTGTGCCTTTGATCATCAAGGCCGAAATTTGTCGGACACATCTAGCGACGGACGACGATGCCGTTGCGGCGGGTAGTGCCGCGCTTGTAGTCGTCCTCGGACTCGCTGGAGCACTCGGAGCCATCCGAGTACCCGCACCGCGAACCGCCGCAGTCGAGCTTGACGCGGGAGCCGCCGCGGGTGATGCCGTAGCGCTCGCAGGTGCAGCAGGAGGAAGTGCTGGAGACGGAGCTCGGGGTGCTGCTGTTGCTGCTGCGGGAGCTGCGGGACGTGAGCGAGGGGACGTCCGAGGCGACGTCGGAGTCGGAATCGCTGTCCTCGTCTTCTTCAGAAGAGGATTCCTCGACGCGCTGGGCGGCGAAGCGCGCCGTGAGCTGCTCCATGGTCGGCTGCGCGAATTGCTCCGTGCGCACCTTGCGGGTCTCCTGGGGCTTGTAAGGGCGTGGGCTGACGATGTCGGATTGCTCGACGGGACGGCCCTTGGGGACGTTGGCCGACGTGCGGCGCGAGTGGCGGGAAGAAGAAGAGGGCTTGCTCGCTGCGCCGCCTGCTGCTGCTGCTGCTGCTGCTGCGGACTTGGGGATGTCGAGGGTGTTCAGCTTACGGCCGGTGGTGGGCTCCGTGACGGACTCGCGCGCCGGGTCGTGGGAGACGTGGTAGCCGTCGATGATGTAGTAGTACCAGTATCGCTGGCCCTGCTTGAGCGTGGTGCCCTGGAAGCGGAACGTGCCCTTCCAGCCGCCCGACTTGGACGAGTCCTTGGACAGCGGCAGCTGGCCGTTGTAGTTGTCCCAGGACCCGAGCAAGTGGACGGTCTTGACGTTGGCAGAAGTGCGGAGGGTGAAGTTGAGCTGGATGGCGGCCATTATGAATTCCTTTTCTTGGGTCTTTGTTTTAATTGAAAAATGAAGTCTCGTTGGGGATGGGAATCGTGAACCGTAAACGTTGATTCGTCGGAAGGTCGTGTTGAGCAAGCAAGGAACTGATTAATAGTGCGTTGGAGTTTGGTTGGGAAGTCGACCGGCGACTCGTAGAATCAATAAGTGGTTGAAATTTGGGGATTGGATTGTATGATTTCTCTCTCGCGTTTCCTTCGCTGAATGGGTGATGATGGTGTTGGCGGACGGGTTTGAATTATTAGTGAGTGAGTATAGTATGGACGACGAGCACCAGGCCCTGAGATTAACAAACAAGAAGAACAAAAAGATGAAAACTAAGAACCAGTCCTTGAGATTGACACGCTTGCTGAAGAGAAGAGAGAAGGGAGAGCCTGAGGGGAGGGAATTCGAGCTTACTATATGCTCCCTACGCTCCGGGCTGCACCATCGGTGACAACGACGCACCTTTCCGGCCGTGACTATCGAAGAGGTGCAGACACAGCGCTTGCGGGAGGAGACAATGCTGGTCCAGTGGAGAGTTGCTGTTGTGAGTGCGAGTGAGGTCAAGTCGGCGCTTAGCTCGCTCGATTCTACTGGCGGAACGTCTCGAGGCTACTGCATTGGCGTCATGCGTGTGCATTCATTCCACCCACTCTGGTCTTTCCCATTCGTCGTCCTCAGCAACACTTATTAGCGGACGCCACGATCCATCAATAAACACTCGCAGTCCTGTGTGTGTAGAGCGATTACTTGCAGCAGACAACTGCTGCTTCTGGACACGCGGATGATAGTGATGCCGACTTCATGCCCTGGACGCGACAACGCAACTGCCCCAATCAAAGGCGGCAACTTGCGTGCAGTGTGCAGCACCATATATTGGTCATTGATCACGTTCCATAGGCCTCGCATATCTTATCCCGGTCAGAGCTCGTGATGGTGCTCTGCGCGCAAAAATCCAGTCACTCGCAGACGTCGAGGAGGCGGGCAAGTGGACCAGGGTAACCTTGGTTGCGGCTTGTGATACCTTTCGACGGCTGAGCGAGTCGGAGTGCATTGCCTGTGGATGAGCATGCCATGTCGTGATACAACATCCGTCAAAGACGACTGAACGGCCCCCAACAATCGTTCGTCGTTCGTCATGAACAGCCTCCCCGAAAGTCTCGATCAACCAAATTCTCCGAAGTTCATGGGTTTCCACAGACCTGGTGATACCTTGACGGAAGTTGAGCAAGAGAATGGCGATTCCGTCGCTCGGATGTAGAATCAGTCCAATATGCATGCGAGAATTCGAGGCCGCCCCGAGGCGAAGCGTCTCCACAACACCAACAGCTTCTTTCCAGGATGTCTCGTGGGATACAATGTGATATCATACATGGCCCGCCACCCTTGGGCGTGTACGGGCCGTTCACTGATGCATCTCATCATCAATCCGTCTCTTCATCAAGATCGAAAGGCTTCTGTCTCCGTGCCGTGTAACATTGTTCAAGGGCCGACAATGCCTGAGGCGAGTTCAATCTTCAACTGATTCTGCGATCAATACCAAACGGACACACCACACCGTCCACGCAACCACTACTCTTCGTCAGCCACAAGCAAAGTCTCCAGCTCCTCGGGACTGAGCGTGCTCTTCCTCTTCCTAGGCCGCCCCCGGATCTTGGTCCTCTTGCCCATCGGGCTTGGCATCTTCCCCAGCGTATCGTCGTCCCTCTCATTCGCCAGCTCATCCAGGCTACCCCCGAGACCGCTGTATGCCGGCACCTGGGCTCGCCTAGAAGCTTTTGGCCCGCTGTTTTCTTCCCGCGCAGCTGCAGCTTGTTCCTCTTCATCAGCAGCTGCAGCTTCTTCTGCCTCTTTTTGCGCGGCGCTTAGCTTCTCGGCTATTGTCATCTGAGGCACTTCGAGCTCCTCACTCTGATCCTCGTCTTCTGGTAGCATTGCGATCGCAGAGCCGGGTCCGTTGCTCAGCAGAGGAGTCGATTCGTCAGGTTTACGCTTCGGGGATGTGGGTGCGGTCTTGCTTGATGCTGTGGGGGGCCGCAGATCGAAGAACTCCGGCGGCTCGAGCACGTCACGCTTCCGCTTTGGACTGCCTCGATTCTGCATCGAAGGTCGCGTCGACGATAGAGTGACGATGCTAGGCCCATCTACGTTGGGAAGTCGAATCTCACTCGACTCGCTCTCCATCAGGCTGTTCTCCACAGACTGTTTTTGGTCACGGCTCCGAGGTCGATCCGGCGAAGCCAGACGCATGCCCTCACGAAGGTCGTCAATGTTGATTGTTTCTCCGGTGTTCATTCGTCTGAGCCAGTGTCCCATCATGAGCATCACATCTTTCCATCGGTCCTCCATGTGTTCCCATCCGTCGCGCAGGCGCGCAATCTCTTCTTCACGGACCTCCACTTCGTCCATGGGCACGAAGTTCGGGTTGGTGAGTAGCGTCTTCAAATGCACAAGTGTGGATTGCATATCTGCCTCCAGTGCCTCGTATGATGTGGGGAGTGTGTGAAGCATGTTGCTGCATCCTGTCTGCTTTCCACCGTGCTCCTCTTCACTGCCCATACTGCCAACCGCGCTGTCTGGGTGTCTTCGAGCATTCAGAGGTAGGCCGAGCAAGGGTCTCAGGGTACTCAGAGCATTCCTTATCAGCGCGATCAAGCTGTCATTCTCGTCGCTCAAATTCTGGCTCAATTGCGTGAGGAACTCGGTCGTCTCCTGCTTAAGAGTGTACTCCGGGTCTCCAACATCGCGTGCGGGTTCGGCGAAGGACTTCCTCACGGTCATACTCGGCGCCGTCATCCCAGCTCTACTGCCTCTCTGCTGGCCTTGCAAGTGCGTCTTCAGTCGCGCCAGCTCGAGGTCGCGTTTCCGCACATCGTTCGTGCACTGTGTCTTGACCTGAGCCAACGTTGCCTTTAACTTTGTCGCTTGATCTTGTAGCGACTTGATCGCCTTCTCCACCTTCTTGACTTCGGCCTGTGCGGCGCGTTCAGCTGCTTGAGCCTGTGCTGCCGCCCGAGCGGACTCGTCGCTCTTAGCGGTCAGTCGCTCGATCTCATGCGTCTTCCTCGCGTCCTCGGCCTTGAGCTGTCGCATAGTAGCTGCGATATGTTCTTGCTGCTCTTTGTCGCGGTCCTCTCGTAGGATGAGGTCGTGTACCAAGTTGATGATGGACGCACGACTCTCTTTGGAGGGCTTGACGAAATCGATAGGTTGGCCATCGCGGAGGAGTCCTCTAGCCAGCAACAGGTTGTTCAGGTATGAGCCTGCTGTGCGCAACGCGTCGTGGCTCATTATCGTGCGGTGCCGTCTCGCAGGTCGAGACAATATGTTTCTCTCCGCCGTGCCGTGACGACTCGGGATTGTTTTCGAGATGGGTGTGGGCCAATGTTGTGAAGCTTCCTAAAACGCGATGGCGCATCGGCTACTGCCGTCTCCAAACGAGTTGGCGCATCGGCTCCTCCCGTCGTCAGACGAACTGGCGCATCGGCTACTCCCGTCATCGTTTATAGCTGCTCGTTCTCGTCTCCAGCTTGCACGTTCGCACCGTTCGCATCTTCGGCGTTTATCTCTCCTTCGGCACCGAGCCCACGTCTGCCCCGCCGCCTCTCACTCGCACGCAGCGCATGGCATGGCAATCCTCCTCCCACCTCAACCACCCACCCCCTCCAGCGGCAGCAGCGCCAGAAAATGCTATTAGTAGGAGAGGAAACGCGGTACACGGCTACGTCTACGGCCCCACCACGTCCGACTTCTGGACAGGAGATGGCGGACTCGCGGCGGGGAGAATGGCGGTGACACCAGGCCATGGACGCCATCATATGCGCCCTGGAACCATGTTTCTGCTCGGGAGCTTCTGGCATACAGAATTCATTAAAAGCTCTCCGTGGTTGCTAGTTCTCACCCGTTCGCTCGCTTGCTTGCTCGCTCCCTGACTCCCGCCCTCCCTCGCAATCGAATCCACCGTTCAGACTAATCGCCCAAGATGTCTCCCACCCAGCTTGAGCCAGTCAAGCTCATCAGCCTTGAGGGTGAGTCTCAGTGCTAGCGCGTGCTCCAGAACAGCTCAAGTCAAAGATGAAAACAAATTGCGGATTTTGCAGGACTGGCACTTTGATGCCAATGGCTACAACAAAAACTTGAAGACCTACTGAAACCAAATGCTCATGTTGAGGGCTCCTCCGTCTTTCCAGCATCAAGCTCGAAGTGACCCTCAACGGCAACTTCAAAACACTCCTCCAGCAGCTCACGTGCTTCTAGACATCTAAATGACTGACATGCCTCCTCGTACAGAAATGCAGGGCTGCATGGCCGCCGTCTACGAATGGGCCGACAGCTACGACAGCAAAGACTGGGATCGTCTAAGCAAATGCATCGCCCCAACCCTCCGCATCGACTACCGTTCCTTCCTCAACAAGCTGTGGGAGAGCATGCCGGCCGAAGAATTCGTCAAAATGGCTTCCGACCCCAACGTGCTCGGCGACCCGCTGCTCAAGACCCAGCACTTCATCGGCGGCACCAAATGGGAGAAGGTCTCCGACGACGAAATCATCGGCTACCACCAGCTCCGTGTCCCCCACCAGAAGTACACCGACGAGACCATGAGCAAGGTCCTCGTCAAGGGCCACGCGCATTCCTTCAACCTGCACTGGTACAAGAAGGTCAACGGCGTGTGGAAATTCGCTGGCTTGAACCCGGATATCAGATGGTTCGAATACGACTTCGACAAGGTCTTTGCAAGCGGACGCGATAGTTTTGGCGAGGAGGGCAAGATGGCCGAGCAGGCTTCTGGTGGGTTGAACTTCGATCAAGTGGTGGATCCTTTGATGTTGCAGGCTAATACCATTGTTCAAGGCATTCCTCCAAGCACTTAGACAATTTGCCCAGCATCTCTGCTAGCGCGTCATTTGGGTTGTTCTACAGATTGAAGCTACGATTGGCAAGAGAAAGAAAGAAAGTCATGATCTCGAGGATGTTTGCGTGGTAGAGGGATTAGCACTGCAGATATAGAAAGCTATCGATGGCTACCAGTCCGCCTCAAATTTGTCCGTCTCAATTCTTCTTCAAGGGTATGAGCATCTCTGGCGGGATGCTCGCATGCCGTCTCGGACCGCTGCCTCCGGCGTATCTGGTCGCGCGAATGGGTGGCGGTGGTGGCGGCATCGAGCCTGCGGCTTTCTGCAACAGTGGCATCGCGGATGCAGACATGATGGAGTATCCCGAGGTCGACCTGCTGCTCCCTGAGTGTGGAGTGCTGCTTCCCGAGTAGCGTCTGAACCGGCCACTGGCGGCGCTGCTGTTGCTGCTGACACTAGACTTGCGGTGGCTCGCCCTTGGTATCATCATGGCTTGCAGTGGCCAGGCTCCCTGTGGTGGCAATGGATTTGCTGTTAGGAAAGGATTTGGGTAGGCGACTCGGGTATCCTCGAGCTTGTCTATGGTCATGATTAGCCGGGAAAGAAGGCATGATAGGTGCGGTGCAGCATCTCGAGACACTAAAAAGCTATGTCGGGATGCTGCTGAGGGCGCTACTTACAGAGCGGAGCTGGCTGAAAGCTGAAAATCGCATGATTGGCTGTCTTGATGAAGTTCAGATTACCGCCTCTCGTTGTGGCCATGAAACCTTCCGAGATCTCGAGTCTGATGCGTCCTTGCAGGTCTCGAGGATCCCACGTCGCTGGCTGCATGACGGAGTCACTGTACACTGGAAATTGCAATGGGGTGTTCAAGCCATCGACGTTGACGTGCTCGAACGACTTGGGCCAGACTGTTTCCTCGTGGGTAATGGTATGGATACTGCAAGATGTCAGTCAATGTCCTTCTCAGCTTTGCCTTTCTGTATTTATCGTCGTGGCTTCTTCTGTGTTGCAAACGTTCTCGTACTGGCTTTCCGTCTTGGAGAACAGGAAACAAGTTCGATCCAGCGGCTATGTGCTCCCTCGACTCACCAGCTAACGACGCCGTCGACCAAGACCTTGAGATGGAACACCATCTGCTTGCCACGAGAACCATCCTGAGGGAAGTGGAAATTCGGCAAGCCTCCCCACGAATGTACCGAAACTTGGAAAGCCTCGCCTTCTGGGAGGGAGGGCACAAAGCAGGTCATGATTGGAATCACGCCGCTCACTACACCATGGTCAGCAATGGTTTGATGAAATTATAGACGAGAGCTCCGCACCGCGCAGGCTGTCTTCCGTCTCGCTGGTGGTGTTGCATTGGGGCCGGAATTCGCGCAGTGGCTTGCGTTGGTCATCGTTGCCGTGAAACAGCTGGACATCCCAGTCTTCGTAACGCATACTGGGCTCTTGGATGGTGATGGTGATGTTTCGAGATCGAAAACTGTTGCTTGGTTGAATAGGGTGATTTACGGGTGCCAGGCATCGACGTGGGAAGGAGCGGACCCTCTGGTTGCCCCATGGAAAGAGCATAGGTAGGGAAGGCGCGTCCGAGAACGAATGGTCTCTCGCCAAATATCGCAAGCTCAACTGCGCGTGATGGAATTACCTATCTCACCGCGGGCGATCGAGGAATGGATGTTGTGGTGGCCCATGCTTCTCGAGCGTAACCGGCTGGTGATTTCGAAGTTGATCTCTGGCTTCATGGCAGCTACCAAAGGGCCTGTCCATGACTGTCCGGAGGCCTCTATCCTCAGTCAGCGTACCTCGACGGGCATAGTACATTGTACTGATCCAAAAAGGCGCGGAATTGTGAGTGGAGAGAAGACAGAGAGGGGAAGAGGTGGTGACAGAAAATCATTTCAAGGTAGCTGCCTTACTCCAAGTAACCCAGGAGCACGGTAACCCGGCCCATCAGTCCTCTCGCGAAGACCGAAGCCAGCTAGCTAAAACAGCACCACCCCATCTTCCGCGCGCCAAATGCTTAAAGGAGGCCGGGTGTTATACAGAAAGCACAGTCCGTGTCGGCCGCATTCTGTGCAGAAGAAGGGTATTGTCGTGTCGTGACATGGGGGATCAGTCGGTGGTGATGGTCGTGTACTTGTGTGGTGGTGTGTGTTTCGTGGTGTTGTTGAAGTGCAGAATAGTGTGTGAACGTGAAATGAAACTTTTCTGTGGTAATCCCAGCAGTCTGACCGCCCTGTACCCGTAGATGCATTCATGCCAAGAGAGAGAGATCGTTCGTTGCTGTCTTGAGAGTCGTTCTCGTGGGTAGTCGTATGAAACGCGATTTGGGCATGCAGATAAAGGCAGATCGTGTAAACCTTGACCAACTCCCGCTAAAGTGCAACCTCACTCAAGGCATAAGGACGAAAACACGCTTACTGTACGATGGTTAGCAAAGCAACTCCGACGTCGGTCATGGGTCCAAACTGACCTTCATAGGCGCAAAAGTGCCGTAGGGGTGTTGCGGAGGCATCCCTCCCATCGACGGATACACCGGTGGAGGAGGCGCTGGACGATAGGGCGTACCGGCCGGCCCGGAGTTGTTCTGCGAACGACCCCAGCTCAGGCGGACACGCGAGTTACCGATCGGATAGCCTTGCATCTGGTTTATGGCCATCTCGGCGGCATGGCGTTGAACGAACTGCACGAAACCGCATCCCTTGCCGGGAGGAATCTTGACGTAGGTGATCTCGCCGAATCCCTGGAAGAAGGAGCGCAGCTCATCCTCGGTGACGTATCCAGAGAGACCTCCAACGAAGACGGTGGTGTTGTTCGGATCTGTGAACTGGTTCATGGGCTGAGGAGTGCCGTAATAGCCCATTGGAGGAGCGCCCATCGAGTAGACACCCATGTTCGGGTTGCCCTGCATACCTCCCTGCATTCCGCCAGGACCGCCACCACCGCTCTTGTTCTTAGGAGTTGCGGTGGAGATGCGCATTGGTCGGTTCCCGCAGTACACGCCCTGCATCTCGTGCAGCGCCTTCTGCTGGTCGCCCTCATCCGCGAAGCGCACGAAGCCATAACCACGCGACATGCCGCTGATCGGATCGGTCATGATCTTGGCCGACTTGCAGGACGTGTACTTTCCCTGAAAGAGTGACATGAGGACGTATTCGTTGACTTCGGGGCCAAGGTCGCCGACGAAGATGGAATACTCGGGTCCGCGGTCATCACGGCTACGGTCTGCGAGGCCACCACCGGAAGCCCAGTTGAGCTTGAATTGACGGTTGGAATTGGGGATCATCTGGCCGGTGAGCTGCAGGGCACGTCCAGCAGCTTCTGGGTTCTCGAAGTCGACGAAGCAGTAGCCGGCATTACTGCTGTTCGAGATGTCAGCTAATGTTGCCGATGGCGCAAGATGTCTCGCATGCGATCCCACATGACCATGTACCTACCCGGAGAACTTGTCTCGGATCATCTTGACGTTGACCTGATATCCCATGCCGAACCACACACTGCGCACGAAGTTCTCGTCGATCCATGGCTCGAGCTCTCCCATCCACAGTGTCGTCTTCTGATCGCCGCCTGGTTGCGCTCCTGGGCCTGGTACACCGGGGACCGCGCCCTGCGCTGACCCAGCGCCGGCGCCAGGGAATTGTCCAGGCTGCTGCTGACTCGGGTCCATCTGCGGTGGCTGCTGCGGCGCACCTGGTGCTGAACCGAATGCTCCCTGCTCTTCGCCCTGCTGAGGCTGCGCGCCGCCTTCGAAATTCGGGAAACTCATAGTCGCTCCTGTGCAAAAGGAAGGGTGCTCGTAGAAAAAGCCGCGGTATGATGTCGCGTGAGTGTGCGCGCTTAGTCAGATGCTGTGGTGATGAACTGGTGAGTCCAGGCTTAGACTGGCGCTAAGGAACCCGCATTGGAGGCAGAGTGGAGGGAAGTGGTGACTACTTACTTGCGTGTGAAGACAGTAAGTATGCTTGTCCGGCCGTGAGTCGCGAAGGACGAAGTAACGCGCCGAGTCGGGTGGTGCTCTCGAAATGGAGGCAGTCGCAATTCGTAAGTCGCAAGTCGCAAGTCGCAAAGCGCCGATGTAGATCGTATCAAGGGAATTCGCTCGCCCACTGAGAAGACGCCTCGCTGGAAGTGAATTCGAAAGGAAGGCCGCGGAGGGAGGTGAAGTACGAACGTTGGTTCCGAAAGGGATCTGTAGAGAATGTGAGCCCGGCTGAGTGGATCAAGAAGCCGGGAGGTGAAGACGATCTGCCCTTGTGCCCTGCCTCGTTGCACCCCGGCGCGCAGGCTTCCGGCGCGCAGGCTTCCGGCGCTCGGCCTCAGGCAGCCACGCTTCCACCCCGCGACAGGCAGCAGCAGCAGCAGCGGCGGCGGTGGCGGCGGCGGCGACGGCGACAGCATTGCGAGGCACATGGCGTCCGCAATCAGGCGCCATGCAACCGGGGTGGATGGCAGACGACGCGGAGATCCGGGGGGGGGCCATTCTTCCAAGTTCTTACTCACAATTGAACTGAGAGAGTCCGGACGAGTGTAAGGTAAGGTATCGACGATGAACGCGCGAAGCAAAGCCAAAGCACGAACACGAACACCCGCAAACTGTGCCGCAAAGACAGAGATCAGTATTGCTGTGGGAGAGATGGGGTTTGTCGGAGAGGAAGAATGGAAAACAGGAACAGCTGGACGAGACGTTGGGATTCTTGGGAAGACGGGAGCCTGAGAGAGGTGCCCCGCCAAATGGGCGGCGAGTGGTAATAGAGTTTGAAGAACTAACTCTACCGGTTGCCGGAATCTTGGACGTCGTGATGAAACCGCTGTTGTGTGTGGCCTCGCTCGCTGACTCGACCAACCCACCGCGACTCGTCATCCTCCCTCCCCTCGACGCTCGACGGTCGTGCAGCCTCTGCGTCGGCGAGACATGTGTGCCGTGCCATGCCATACCACAAGATACCACAAGATACCGCTTCGTGCGCGCGACCGAGCTTCTCCATCGCTTCGCCATGTGTACCGTCTTTGTACCGTCTTGCCCTTTGGAATGGACCCCTTTCGCCGACGGGGACATTCGCCTCTCCTTGCAGCATCATCAGAGACGTCGCTTAGAAAGTCGCTGCCCCTTCACACTTCTTCACACGCGCGCGGTCATGACAGATGCTGGCGGAGAAGTCATAACGAAGATCTTACTTGCTAGCGTGTGTCGGGCTTGGCGCGAACACACGAGATTAGAACCTATAGTGTTTCAGCATGTATCGCTGTCATTTCACAGCCGACTCCTTGGACGGCGTCGGCAACAACGTCGACGAGCACCGTCGACGAACACGTCAAAATGCAAGCCACCGTAAGCCTTTTGTCCATCGTGCTGATTGGGCACCGACATTATTGGGCATTGCTGCAGACCAAGCACGAGACATGTCCGAGGGGGTATTTGTTGCGGTACAATACGAAAATACGAGACGGGACAAAACGTAATGCAGTGTTGAAACTCGACGCCTTCGAGACCGCCTCTAGCTGCAGGGGCTCAAGAGCACCAGGCCGTGGAATCGGTGAGATGTCATGTAGAAAGCCTTTCATGTTTTTTGTTGTCAGGTGTCAGATATCAGACCCAGAGGCAGGTCTGTAGGGGATGCAGCATAGCCATTCCGCCGCCTCTACGTCCAAGAAAAGAGAATGCTCCGCCAGCTCCGAGCAACCGCGCTGCTCCATCCGCTCGCAACGAACGACCGTCGATGTATGTGGGAAACACAGGTAAGGACTACTGTGACGGCTTGGCCTCCTCGCCAGCGGGTGCGTCGGCAGTGTCCTTGCTCTCGCCCTCGCCGGCGGCGGCGGCCTCTCCAGATGGCTCGGCCTCGGACGAAGTCCACAGGGTCTGTAATGCCGATCAGTGATGTGTTCAATCTTGCATGAAAAGATCGACTAACCAAGTTGTCGCGGAGCAACTGCATGATGAGAGTAGAATCCTTGTAGCTCTCCTCAGACAGAGTGTCGAGTTCTGGAAGTCGTTAGCACAGCGCCTTCTGAACTCTCTCACGTCATTCCACGCACCGGCAATGGCCTCGTCGAAAGAGGTCTTGGCCATCTGGCAGGCCTTGTCAGGGGAGTTGAGGATCTCGTAGTAGAACACGGAGAAGTTCAGGGCAAGACCGAGACGAATGGGGTGCGTGGGTGCAAGGTCGGTGCCAGCAACTTCGGTAGCAGCCTGGTACGCTTCGAGGGACTTGTCGGCAGAGGTCTTGCGCTGGTCGCCCATAGCGAACTCGGCCAGGTAGCGGTGGTAGTCGCCCTTCCTGTGAGGCACGTATGATTAGCTCGCAGGAGCACAAAACAGATATCCTGTACTCACATCTTGTGATAGAAGACCTTCGACTCGCCACTCTGGGCCGAGGGGATCAAGTGTTTGTCCAGGACATCAAGAATGTCGAGACAGATCTTCTGGAGCTCATTCTCGATCTTGTTGCGGTATTCCTTGATCAGGGTGACCTGCTGCTCGTTGCCCTTGCTCTCCTCCTTTTGCTCGATAGAGGTGACGATGCGCCAGGACGCACGACGGGCACCGATGACGTTCTTGTAGGCGACCGAGAGCAGATTTCGCTCCTCCACGGACAGCTCCTGGTCGGCTGAGGCGACGGCCTTCATGTTCTCGACCATCTCTGTGGTACAGTCAGCACGTGAGCCCAATGGTCCCAGGCGCGCACACGTACCTTCATAGCGCTCGGCCTGCTCAGCGAGCTTCGCGAGGTAGACTGAATCTTCGTAGCCCATTTTGGCTGTCTGAGGTGATCAGGTGTCTGAGAATCGCAGTGTCAGTTGTTTGTGGTTGGGTAGGTATCCAATTTGCGTGATGAATGAAAATTGCGGGAAAATGCCAGCGCGCGCAGTGGTGGTCGAGGGAGGCAGATGTAGGCTGAACAGAGCAGGATGGAACTGCGATCTCTGTGTACAGCGCCCGGTTAGGCCGGTCATGCTTGCTGCACTTTGGCAATGCAATCTCCCATCTCCACAAGCGTGCACAAGCAGGCGGCCACGATCTGTTGACCGCCGCGTGAAGGCAGGAGCGGTACGGTCTGCATGACCCACTACATGTATCCGGGTAGCCCGACTCTTGCTTTGCAGTCGCGCATGCAATGCTTCGCCGGTCGCCCCGACATCGATGATGTCCACGGCTTCGTCTCGCAGCATCTGCCTCAGGAAGGGGGTTGACAATGCCAGATGCGTCTGCGCGCGGGTCCCTGGCGCAAGTCCAGCAAACGCTGGCGGGAAACAAGAGCAGTGACCACGTACCTGGAGAGTGTGTTCCGGCGTTATCGTCGTCAAGAGAGTGCTGGAGCGCGATTGCTGGTTGAGATGGGATCGGAGTGAATGAGCGGGGGTTGAAAAGGTGGTTGTTGAGTCTAGGGTTGGGTCTGGAGGTGACTTCATGTCCAACTGGGGAGGACCGTGCACGTGACCCTTAATAGAAAGAGCTCGGACTTCAATCTCGTTCTGTCTATCACCCTACTGTCATCGTACACCACGCGGCTTGACGACATCGATCCTTATCGTGGCTCCTTGAACATGGGGCATCACGCCCTGTACCTCTTTTACAAGACGCCGCTGGCCCATTCAGTCTTTGCACTGTTTCCGTTGTCAACACTAGGCAGGCCAATCAGATGCCGTGCCGCGTCCGTTACGTGGCACGAAGATCTTCTTGACAACAACATGAACCTCCTGAGTCGGCACACGAGATTCACGCGAATCTGTGGTGGATTTGACGAAGCTCCATGGGTTCGACGAGCAAGCAACCTCGCAATAGGAAAGCATTTCCACTCTGGACCATTTGGAAGGTCTCATGTCAGCGAGACGAATTTGCGGTTTGTCTTGCTTGTGTTCTCATGCCTGAGCTCGACGCAAGAATGAATTGCGCGCAGGGCGGAAAAGGACGGTAATTGTTCGCGACAACTGTTCAGCGTCGGCTTGGTATTTCGCCGATGCGAAGACGAGGCTAGGTAGGCTATTGATGTTGTCAAGCGGATCAATCTTATTCCCGATGGAATACAGACTATTGCGATTCGCCATGAACTTTGAAGAACCGCACAAGCACCCACCAGTTGTTGATGTCGACGAGTTTGACTGTCACGTAGCTATTCACACTGCAACGGTCACGCAGAACTAAATCCACGATGAAGTCCGCAACGAGCTTCGTACCCCTACTGCGTGAGAACGAAAGTCCGCAAGCTTCTCTACTTGGAATACCACCAGAGTTGCGATTACCCATATCAGAGGCTCTGACGCCAAAGAACTCGTCTCAGGCCGACAGGAGCTTTGGCACTTACGCCGCACTGGAACTGCCTCCTCGCGCGCTCTTCGCTATCTCCAAAAATCCGAGACGCAGCGAAGGCAATTTACAGGCACCGGCGGTTGGGTATTCTGTCTTCCTATCTCGAACCGTTTCACAACCCGACTGTCGCACTGCCTTGGTCCTCGCGTCAAGGATATCGATTAGACTTCTTCTTCGAGCCCCTGGCCGAATCGACATGGGCTTGGCTGGAGTTCAGTATCACTGATCACGAATGGACACCAACAACAACCGGCGTCGGAGATGATGATCGGATGATACATGTAGTACTGCGCGCGAAGCCGCCACGCCGTCCACAAGATCATCAGGTTCGGAGTTGGCTATCTGCACGCAGGTGTCCTGATTGCTACGATTCCACCTTTTCACGCCACTCGATCGACCACCTTCAGGCTGCCACTGCTCAACTCGGACTGTGAAGACAGCTTCCTCTCGAGAAGGTGTCTACAGAAGCGCAGAAAGGGTGGTTGTGAGCAGCGCACGCTCATGCGAACCTGGCGCCTGCTCTTCAAGATGTGGATTGGCTGCTCTGCAAGACATAGATTAGTAACTGCTGTCGTAATGGATTTGCTCACTCGAATAGCCAAGGCAAGGTGGAGAGCTTATGCAACCTTTCACTGCCCCTCCCAATATGTCAAAGAACTTCAGTGCCACAGCGATTGGGCACAAGAACGCAGACGCAGTGCCGCGGAGACAGCGTTGCGAGATCCTGAGATGCTGCAGGCAGGAGGCCACTCGCCGAGTGCGAGAGGCTGCTACTCAGCAAATACGCTTAAATTTTCAGCCTTTCGGTATTTGACGTTGCGCACACCATCCGTCAGGGCGCCGGCTGTTCTCAAACGACAAGGGCACAAGAGCGACTTCAAACGTCTCCGAAACTTTCGTCTGGCATACGTGCCAACGTCTATCCGACAGCATGCCTACAACTGAGGCCATGATAACGTCGGCGATGATGGGGGCAGTATCCCCTCAAGGTGCACTGCGGCAGCCCGCATTACTTTCAATCCCAAGAGAAATCCGAGACCAAATATACGACTGCACCTTTGAGTCTGCCTCTGTCACACGATATGGCGCGGTCTATCAAGTACTGCCTCCAAAGATTGCCGCAGTCTGCAAACAGATACGCAACGAGACCAGAGCGATCAATCGCCAAGGTCACCATGATTGGTACCACAGGCCTGAGCTACGCCGTGCTGTCTTAACAAGCTTCTGGAGTTCAGAACCCTGGAAGAATATCAACCAACGCTTCGAATGGGATGTCATCGTTGACACACCGCTTCACGACCAATATAAAGAAGCAATCCTGAGCTTCAGATACCGCGGACAGGCACACAAGCTCGCCTCCTTGACACTATCGGCTGTGAAGACTGACGGTCATCAGCCACATTTTCTGATGGAATTCATTGATGATGAGCGTCAGTACCGATCTCAAGCCAGTACCATCTCATGCGCTCGGCTCCTTGCTGAGGTGCTGTTGAGGACCGAAGGGCGGGTCGAAGATCCAATGAATAGGTGGAAAGCAGATCTGAAGCGGGGAGTTTTGTGGAGGATTTTCCGTCAACTTACCGGAGATCGTCACGTTGCCCTACATATGTGCGAAGACCTGAGCAGTCAGATGACTGATGCCAGCGATCTTGCATCCATGATGCAACGGCAATGAGTGTGGGCAGAGATGTGTTCAAGGGTCAACACGCAAGGCTTCGGTGCTTCTTGCCCGCGGTACAAAACGATGTGAGCGGTTCTCTCTGGTCTTGTATTACTGGGCCTGGAGAGAAAATATAGCTAACTGATCTCTTGTTCATATCGATGCAAGATAAAAACATAGAGTACTAGCTAGAGGCTCGGGCACTGAATGCTGCGCGCTGGTCTGTCCCACGCTCAATGTTGTGTCTGTGTGCCAATGTAGAATTTATCCTGTCGCTTCTGAGCATCTTCTCTGCGCTCCGGCTCCTCGCTGGCACGGAATAGCTCAGCATCTGCTTGTGACCCGCTGTCAACGCAGTTGGAGTGAATCCGAAACCTGAGGTTGTGAAAGCGCAGTATTGCGGTGGACATGGTACGAACAAGTTGGCGCTGTCAGACTCGTGTTTTCGGTAACCCTCCAACAGTTCATGAGAAGAGAGAAGAGCTACCTTCGACTTGAGACCGGCTGATATTCGGCCGTGGCCGAAACTGTATCACACTTAAGCTTCGACTAGACAGAAGCACAGAGTGTGATTGGTCTGCGGCCCGAGATTGGATCCAGCAGTTCCAGGTCTCCTTTGCTATACACTCCTGCTGACCGACAACACCTCTGTTTTCACAGCTCTTACCACATTCGCGCCGCAGCCATGGCGGACATGGAAGCAAGGTCACCGACTCCCCTGGCGGAGAACAGAGAGCGCCTGCCGAATCTCTTCGAGGTGCTGTCGCGTCGGACTCTGGCTCCGGTATGGTCTCGAGCGGCATTGGAGACGTGTGGAAGTGCTAACATTCACAGGTCGATCTTTTCAGTTTCTACATCTACATGCGCGATACTCAAAAGAGCGTGGACTATTTGGATTTCTGGTAAGTCCATTCGCAGTCTGTTTGCAGCAGCGAGAAGCACAGCAGGAAGCAGCGAGCAGCGAGCAGGGAGCAGCGGGCCGTGGACATCGCGCGGCAGGAAGTGAGCAGCGAGCGCAGCAGCAGCGGCGGCGGCGGCGGGCAGAGCAGATGCGTCGACAATGGAGAAAGTTGAATTGATGTGGCGATTACAGGCTCGACGTTTCTCAGCATATGTCGCTATGCCGACATTACGTGCGCGAACTCCGCCGATCCGTCCTCGTATCCACGCCCGAACTTGAGAAACCCGCTTCCAAGCGATCCTCCCAAATTCTCGACAATTACACGCTCGAAAGAACCTCATCGGAACAAGGTCCAAGCGGCACCCAATATCGAGACAAATATGAAGAGCGACAGACTCCAGACCAGCGTTTGTCGGCGTTTCTACGCAACGACAACGGCAGCGGACACAGCCCGCAGCAAAGCCAAGGAAGCCAACATGAGGGTACAGGCAACGGAATGGAACTGCCACCTCGACCAAGCTTCATGACAGGCGCCTCGAATTCGCCATCTCCCTATCCTCACAGTAACAGCAGCCCGCAACACACTGTAGCACGCGCGGACATCCGGGCCTCTGCCGAAAAGATCCTCTACACATTTCTGCTGCCCGGCGCGGAGCGTGAGATCATTCTCCCTCAAGGTGTTATCAATGAGATCACAGACAGCATTGAGAATGAGGGCAGAGATGATCCGGAAGTTTTCGACACTGCTAAAGACTATGTTTTCCAGGCCATGGAGCGCGACGCTTTCCCTGGCTTCTTGCGAGCGAAGGCATTGGGCAACATCGTCCAACCGTCCATCATGCTCCGCATGATCGCCGGACTGGTCTGCATGTTTGCCGGCTTCTGGACAGCGTTTGTGCTCCTGTTCCTCAACAAAGACCGGGCAAGCAGGTGCTGGGAGATATTGCCGTTCACACTCGGCGTGTATCTCCTTGCAACGCATCAATACATGCTGGACCCCATTCTGGCATTAGCCGGCTTTAGCGAATACACCTTTCTGTCTTTCTCGAGAATCAAGGAGCCCTTCGTCAAGTGAGTTCGCCTTGGTCACGCGCCTCCCCCCTACATGCGCTAACTTCTGCCACAGGAGGCTTCTGACCAAGAGATCTCTGATGTGCTTGATGTGGATCTTCCTCATCACGACTGCCTTGTGCTGCTTGTTTATCTTTGTACCAGGAAAGCGACTTTGATGAGATACCCGATACCAGGAGTTCACGGCGGACAGTCACGCGGCCGAGAGGGCAGCTGTATCAAACAGGACAGGACAGGACACTGCTCGTCCGCACAAAGAGATTTCTTGGTTAACGGACGATAGTGGTAAATTTTGCATTGTTACCCGCGCACTTCCACCGTGGACCCATTCTTTGGTTGATCTGATGTGCCGGTGTATGCAGTGACTGGAATGCATGACTTTGAGATGGTGAACACCTGACATGCGTACTACTGAATAATGCAGCTTTTGCCGCAGCAAACTGCGACTTGGGCAATATGACTGGGGCCTTGCTTCTGGCGAGCACGGTGCGACGCAGCTGACTGGGGTGCGTAGAATCTAGAGACACAACTTTGGAGTGCTTCAAAAGTGCATCTCCTCCGTCAACACAGCTCTCGAGAAGGAATCAGATCCGCAGATTGCGACGGTTTCTTCCGCTACGGGAGGGTATGACGGTTGCATGGAATTGTCATTATTATGGGAGACACGTCGGGGTGGCCAGTCGTACTGGTCTGTGTACGCTTTTCACTGCCAAATCTCGATTGCTGCCGTGGACACACGTTCTTGGGCTATACAAATACTGATGCTGCTGCTGCTGTCTAGCATTGACTGGGGGAAATTTGTTCCTAAAATATCGGCATTCTTATACGTCGCACGCGGTGCGGACAAGGGTTTTTGTGTGAATATTGCACCATGGCAGACCTCTCGGATTCCGGCAGGAAAGAAGCCGCTTTGCGCCATCATGAGGTCCCGGGGGAGCTGGAATCTGGCACTGCGAGTTCTGCGGCCTCGACTCGTTCCAAACACCGGGGAAAGCGGGCTGGTCAGGGTGTCTTTGTGCGAGACGGCATCGTGGGCTTCGCAGACGGCCTCACGGTCCCCTTCGCCCTCACGGCCGGCCTCACGAATCTCGGCGACCGGAAAGTCGTCATCCTCGGCGGGCTCGCGGAACTCTTCGCCGGTGCCATCTCCATGGGTCTCGGCGCGTACCTGGCCGCCGTGACGGAGCAGAAGCACTTCGAGGTGGAGCAGCGGCGGGAGAGGCGGGCAGTGGCGGAGTTTCCGGCAGAGGAAGAAGAGGGGGTGTATCGACTTCTGGGCAAGTATGGCCTGGGCAGGGAGAGGTGTAGGGGTGTCGTGGAAGGGTTGAAGGCAGATGTCGCGATGTGGGTGTTGTTCGTGATGGATTTTGAGGTGAGGTTGGAGAAGGCTTCGACGAGGATGGCGTGGATGGAAGGGCTTGTGATGGGGGTTGCTTATTTCCTCGGTGAGTCTAGAAACAGAGTCGGAGTCACTGATTTCTGAAGGCTGATGGGTGATTAGGTGGTCTGTTGCCCATGATCCCGTACTTTGCCATGGATCGAGTCAACCATGCGCTCTTCGTGTCGATTGGCATCACGGCGGTTATTCTGGTGGTCTTTGGGTATGTGAAAGCCCTGGTCACGGGCACCACGCACGGCGACGCGGCTTGGAGTTCGGTGCAGACTCTGGCTATTGGAGCGGTGGCGGCTGCGGTCTCGTACGGAATCGTACGGGGTCTCTCCTCCGCCACGACGGCCTGATGAGCACACCTGTGTGTGTGTGTGTGAGGAGGGCAGAGGGTGAATGCAGCTAGCGGATCGGGCGTTGTCGCTTCGAAGCACACATGTCATGGGCCATGGCGGTGAAGGCAGATGCAGGTACATAGCTTATGTTTCTTGTCTTGAACGTTGTGTGCTGCGCGTGATGTTGCTGTCTTGGGTCGTTTTGCGTTTCTAAGAGGTAGATGGAGGAGAGCTAAGGATCACCGGTCGCCGTGGGATGGTGTCCCCGTCCCGTCGTCGTCGTCGTCGTCGTCTTCTGGCCGGGCGATCGCCGGTGAGAACATGATGAGAGGTAGACTTGCTAGAGAGTGGTGTGTGCTGGATGCTATTGGATACCACAGACGGGTGTGGCCAAGCAGATGTGAGAGGCTACCTACCAGCAGATGACTTGCATAGCTACGGCCACTGCAGCTGATTCGCCGGGTCTGGCAGCGCCCCATGCGTGCGGCCCGCTTGTTGCAGGGCGGCGTGGGAGGAACTTCACCTCTCTCTCTCTCGCCTGCCGTCTCCCACAGCACATCGCCCTTTCCCATTGCTCGACTTGCCCTTGGGTCGCCATTGCCCTTCCCGGCTTGGAGCGCCTGTCAGGTAACTTCCACGGTGTAGTCCGGTACCTCAGGTAAGGTCCACGTCGCATGTGTGATCTGAGGTGCGCGTGATGTGACCCATTGGGGCCCGTCGCGTTCGGCGCCCGTTCACTCCTGCCCGTCTTTTGCTGTTTCGCACATGTTCGCACATGCCAGGCCAGGTTCACCTGGGACGTTCCCGCTGTTCACGGTAGCACTCGACTTCTCTCTCTCTCTCACTTTCCGTCGCTCTCTCGTTGCTGCCACTGCGACTTTCTTTCGCCAGACGATGCTGCTTTCCCTCCGCGTCTGCTGAGGGTGCGTGCTGATGGCAAAGATGCTCCCGTCTCTTTCCTCCCGTCCATCTCACCTTGCACGCCACCCACATACCCGCTCAGACCAAGTGACATTCTCATCATCTTTCGTGGAAGCTCGCCGAGGACTGCGTCCTGGCAGGACACCACGCTCGCTCCGCTTCGGCAAGGCTTCCGCGTCGCATATAGACATATGATTGGACCTCTTGGGAGTAAGTCGTCCTGGTGCATTCCCCATGAGTACGAGCTGACATGTGTCATCCAGAAGCATCTGTATGAGAACGAGAAGACATCTTCGCTCATCTTGGAGAGAGACAGACAGCACAGTACACCTGGGAGAACGTCAGAGCCTGAACATCGAGCCATACGAGTCCTGTGACAGAAGGTTACGCATTCGAGTCTTGTCGAATGTACTCTGGACCTGCCTGTGCCCTTGCGTGCGCCTGGCAAGACCATGTGGCTACCGCATAGCCCGCGAGACTTTGCAGAGCCTGTCCTTGGTGAATATCTCGTGGAGTCCGGGAGGGGAAAGGGGGTCGGTTGGGGATCTATCTGGTTGCTCGGCGCGACACCTTAAGCCATGGCGTATACCGCAGTTCCGCCGGCGCTGGCCACCGTGCCTTCCGCATTCAGCTTCAACACCTCCGCCTTCGAGTGTCCACAAACAAACGCGAGTCCGCGAGCATCGGCATATCGTCGCCCGGAGACTCCGCAGCTCACTCTGCACGAGTATCGCAGGTTCCAGCAGTCGCCGGTGCTGTCAGCTTCACCCGAACTTGACCACAGGCGCCTCAGGCGGAAGGCCTCGTCTGCAAACCTCGCCGGCAGCCCGCTCGCTACAGCATTCGCGTGGGGTCCGAGCTCAAGCTTGCCAGACCGTGTCGAGTCACAAGCTTCTCGCAGCTTTCTTCCCTCCTTTCTTCCACCACCACCGACGACACCTGAGGTTCGACCCGCAACAGGCTCGCCATCTTTGTCGTCCACTGTCACAACACTCCAGTCTACTCCAACACACACGCCCGACTGTCGGCGCGTAAGTGCGTATCCGCACGAGACACACCACCAGCACGCCCAGTGCGCGGTGCCAATCTCTTCCAAACGTAAGTTCACTAGCTTTCAGCACGCCAAGCGGTTTCCGCGGCGAGCAGACAGCAGCAGTACAGAGGGTGGAAACGGGTTGTGGGAGGTCTACGCAGAGGTGTTCGACCTCGCGCAGAGTGACGGCGAAGGCGCGGCAGCGCACGTGACTGTGGATCGAGAATCTTCGGGGAAGCTTTGGGAGCCCACTGACACAGCTGAGCCGGTCGCGAGGAGAGAAAGGTGCGTGCGATTTGAAGGCGTTGGTGACTTGGCAGGGAACGCCGGCGACAGCGCAGCAGCAGCAAGCATTGGTGAAGAGAAGGATTCGACCGCCACTTCGACGTTTTCGCTATCCAAGTTCGAATTTCCAGCTCCTCCCGGGCACGACAACTGGGGAGTCGCCACAGGTAAGTCTACACGTACTCCTACCCATGCTTCACCAAGCGCTGACATTGTACACAGATAATCTGAATTCGCCAAAATCGCCGTACAGTCCAGCCACTCTACATCTGCACGGCACGTCTTTCGACCTCGTCAATCCGCACGACTCACTGCTAGTCGGTGTGCACCAGCTCGAGACGCCAGCTGAGATCGACGGCCTCCTCGACGACTATTTCGACCAAGGCGTCGAAGACGACATTATGGAGTCCAAGCAGCGTGCCGGAGAGAGACCACAGGAGCCGTCGCGCGTAGACAGCAACGGCTCTCGGCGTAAACTCTATGAAGACGCCGACAGTGCTCGCCGCAACATCCTGAATGTGGAGCCAGATCTCACGGCTCCTCCAAAAGCTCGCCTGGCGGACGATTCGCCGCTGGCGTACAAGTCTGCACCGTCTCTCGTGCGGAAAAACACGAATCCATATCGCAAGCACCCGTCCGTTCGCATGGCCGCGGAGTCGCCTCTTGGAGATGGCGAGTCGCCGGCATCAAACAGTGAGCTCATCTATCCGCTCGGACGAGGCGAATGAAGGCTGACTCTTACGTAGTGACGGTCATTCACCGGGAGCGAAAGGGCCGCTCCCAAGCGTCCGATCCATTCGATCTCACGATCAGTGAGAGTGGGAGCAGCTCCCACCTCCCGGGGGGTGACCTGGGGCTGCGCGAGGACGCCTCGCCGCCTAGTGAAGGCGGCCTACAAGGAGGCACAGATCCTCAAGCGTATGTTCTCCTATCATGTCGTTCCCGTTTAAAGAGTGCACTTACGAGAGCTTTTTCCACACAGGCCATCCTCCGAGGAGAACGAATCTAGCTTGCGGACCATCTTCGACGGGTACGATTATACCCGAACCCAGGATGTGGCTCCCAGTAGCACAGAGGTCGAGCAAGGTCTCGGAGATGGCACGCAAAAAGTCGACATCACCAGCGAGCGGACCTATGGCGACACCAACGAGCTTCTGCGCATGACGCCCGCCATCATGCCGGTCGGCCAAGCGGTCAGCCAATATCTCGCGCGAGCCTCCAGCATCTACCCCGAGCAGCCGGAAGACAACGAAAGCGTATGGTACACGGAGTACACAGCTTCCCACCATGACCTTCGCGGTCATAACGGACGACTCAGACCAATCTCTTCCGATAGTTACGCCAACACCAGTGATGGAGGCCTAGAGTACGACGATTTCCCCACCATCGCAAAGCGGCCGCAGACGCACGGAGGTGTCGCCCCCCAGCTACGGGGCGACTGGCTCAACGACTCGTTACCTGCATTCCGGAAGGCTCAAGAAGAGACACAGCATCAACGCGACGTGCAGAAGGCCACCGACTTGCTGCTAACCGACAACGAGGATTTGATATCACAGCTGGGCTCGAAAGAATGCGACCCCATTCCATATGGAGAGCGGCGCAATGCAAATCTCTTGGCATTGAAGCAGCTTCGCGAAGAGAACCCTGCGGCTGTCCGTGAGGCATCAGTATTTGTCAGCGAACAAGCTATGCGAGCACAGGCATCCATTCATCCAGGTGCTTTCGACGCAAACGACATACCGCGAGAGCATGACAATAAACTCCAGAAGAGAACAAGCCCGTTCAAGTCGCCGCTTGTGGCTGGAAAGGTAGACAAGGGAAAGGGTCGCGCTCGCACAGACTCCTTCGGTTCCGGCAGGCAATTGATTGGGCGCGCATCTCCAGCATCTTTGGGCGGAGGAAACCAAGAATGGAGTCATTCCCAGAGTTCTTTTGTCCGCAGAGGCGACGCGAATCTGGGCGATATGTGGACTCCATATGGAGAGGATGCCACAGCGAGAGCCCTGCAGTCACGAGGCTTTGACTCAAGCACCGGATCGGGATCGATGCCGGGTCGTCGACCAGGTATTGACTACGGAAGTCGACAAGGCAGCAGGGCCAAGGGGCCGTCGCGGACTGCTATGGGCGGCCAGACGGAGCTTCGCGAGCTATCACTGCCCAAGTCGAGGAGGTCGCCAGGCCGGCTTTCAGATCGCGAACTCGCCAAGAGAAGCCAACACTGGAGCATGGAGCCACGCCCATCCGACTCGGGCATCCACCATCAGTCACCCGGCGACGCCACAATCACGACGACCCGCCAAGGCCCGGTGCAACACCAATCTGGTCTTGAGCACATGCTTCGCTTCGGCGAGCCCATTCCCTCGTCTCGAGAGGTCGAGTGGAGGTCCAAGTATCATGCCATTCTCTTCGCTTTGCTCTTCCCGCCATTGGCTCTTGTCTTTGGCTGCGGTGGGCTCGATTGGTTCATTGACTGGCATACCAACGGTCGGATTAGAAAGTACGCTCGAAAGCAGAAGCGTAACGCCATGGTCTACATCTTCCCAGCTGCTGTCTTGTTCTGGGCCTTCTGGATCGTCATCATTGTCTATTTCGGCATTTTCGTCAGCAAGGATAAGAAGGACGCCGAGCAGGCTGCCTGGGGCCCACTGAGTGATGCCAACAGCATCAGCTTGCGAGGCTAAGTTGGTGAGCATTCCGGTCTCATGAACGAGACCAATTACGACGCAGACGCATACAGATCTGCTCCAAGGTTGGTGTGTTCGACGAAGTACTAGCGAACTCCAGGACGCAGTGGAACATTGACATGGCTTTGAGAGACTGCTTTTTTTTTGCTTAATTTTGCTTGTTTGCTTGATCTGGGACGAGAAGGGGAATCACGAAAATTGGAGAGAAAAGACGGCTACTCTTCGACAGAGACGACAGACAGATGCGATTGGGACAGGGCACGACAGACACACAAGCAAATAGCGATGGACTGGGACTGGGAATGGGATGTTTGATACGGGATCCGAGACTGGAAATGCGGCTCTAATAATGGTTGGATGAGACAGTAGCTGTCTTCGTCTGTAGCTATACCTCTGCCTGCATGCTCGTCTCCATGAATGCGATCACTCACTGGCTTGCAATCTTCTTTCGCTTTCGCTTTCTCTTCACTCTGTTCTTTCTTCGTCTTGCTCACGTAGAGAAGCTGAATTGTGAGATCGTATGAGGCGATTGCGCCTGGAATTTGCTTCTCATGTTGCTTCGTCGCCGACTCGTTCAGCTCCTTGCCCATGCATGCAAGATATCTGGTTCCTTGACTCATTTTGGGAAGCAGGCTCGCGGAGCAGCGCAACAGCGTCCGAGCTTCCCGAGAGAGTCCTCGGATGGAAAGTGGACGTGTGGCTACATGTACCCCTCGGGCTCAGCATCTAATGGCCGTCACGTCCCTCGCGAGATCACGAACGATGTGATGTGCAAAGCATAAAATCCCCGTGCGTGTCGTCGTCGGAAAAGAAGTTTGGCCTCACTTATTGAAGAGGATCACCTTGCCAAACCTGCCACTCCTCAGCCTCTCGAGCACCTTCCTCTCGCTCAAATGCATCGCCACGCAAATCTCATCCATACAGTGCTCCCCGTCCAGGAAATCCCGCAGCTGCTCGTCTTCTTCCGTGCGCACTTGGTCCGCGCTCTTGTGGCTCTTGCCGAAGCTCGCCGGGTGCGGGCCGGAGGGCGGTGTTGCCCAGCCGCTGGAGAGGGCGGCGCGCCGCCAGGCGCGGTCGTACTCGCGCGCCGCGTCGTCGCCGGAGCGGGGTTTGAGGGAGGAGGAGCCGGCGCCGGCGCCGGAGCGTTTCTTCTCCAGCATGGCCGCCGCGGAGAAGTGCGCGTCGAGGGCGAGGGCGTATTTGTGCAGGCGGCGCAGGAAGCCCTTGATGGTGCCGAAGGTGATGAGGCGGCGGATGTCGACGTGGAGGAGGCGGGCTTGGTGGGTCATGCAGAATTCGCCGAGTTGGAGGCCCGGCTGGAGGAGGCAGAAGAGTTCGGTGACTTCTTCCCGCGAAGGGAGGGACAGGCTGGCGTCTTGGGAGATGACGGGCGTGGCGTCTGCGGTTGTTTCTTTCGCTTGAGCTTGACTTATTACCGCCACGTATCTACGGCATTCGTCTTGGAGTGCTTCGTCTCGCATGAAGACCGCAATGTCTGGCGTACACGCGTAGATGGCCTGGAAATGGAAGATGTCCAGTAACATCGCCCTGCCGTGATACACCAATTCCCGCACCGCCCTCTTGGCCAACTTCAATTCCACATCCGCTAGCTCCGCAATCCTCTGCACATGCCTGATACCATCCACGTGCGGGTATATCCACTTCAACGTCAGATCCCAAGTCCACTCCGCAGCAGGCGGTAGATCGCGTATGAGCAACGGCACATCCCAAGCCCTCACTTTCCGCACCACCTTCTCCTCCTCCTCCTCCTCCTCCTCCTCTTCCACTTCCACTTCCAGCCTCAGATTCAGCACGTGCACCTCGTCCACCCGAACCGAACACTCCCCATACGCATTCAAATCCTCGACAATCCCCTCGAGCAAGGCGTACACCACCCCGACGTCTCGGACCGGATATCCCGCCTCTCCCGCCCACTTCAACCCCACCAATTCCTCCTCCCGCCGCAAGACCCCGTCTTCCTCTTCCAAGATCCGAAAGAACCGCGCCGTCTTCCGCACCATCTGCTCCCAGCTCCGCCGATCGCCGACCTCCTCGCCCAGCACGAAACAGACGTTAAACGTGAACCGATTCCGGTCGTACCGGTCGTTTTCGAGCGAGATGGGGAACGCCAGCACGCGGTTGCCGTGCGTGCAGATCGACAGGGACTGGTTGCAGACGTCGTAGGGCGGGACGATGTACGAGGAAATATCGCTCCAGAGGAGCAGCGGGGCTGGGGCTGATGCAGCGGTCGGAGTTGTAGTAGTAGTAGGAGAAGGAGAAGGCCGGATGGAATTGTGAGGATACTGATGGATGACCGAGGGTCCCCGTTCCGGATGGAAACGGGCGTAGAAGATCGCCCTGAGCATCGTACCAGATTTGCTGGCCTTGTCCTTTGGTGAACTACATTCTTGGCAGTGGTTGGTTGAGAGTTGAGGTCGGACGGTATGATCGTCGTCTAGAGATGAGTTCGTCGCGGGACGGAGCTGTCTCCGTTGGGGACTTCACTCACCCGAGTGGATTGCAAAGCGCGGACGCTAGTGGGTGTCAGCCGCTACCGATATAAGGACCGTCAAGCTTCGATCAAACCGATTTAAGCATATAACTGTATATCCCTTCTGCCACGACATGCGGCTTGCGATCTGCATTCTTGCTTTTGTCATATGTTCATTGATTCAAGTTCTACGGACCTTCGGCAACGGCCATCAGGACTCATTTGTGTTTCATTGCTCATTGCTCATCATCTATATCTTCACCTCGGATGGGAGGGTGATTCCCATAATGTCCACGCCCTTTGATATCTCACTCTTCTTGGGCATCTTGTTCCTCCTCATCAGCTCAGCCGACTGTGTCATGTATGGGTCCTAAAGGCGACGTTAGTACGATCTCAAGTATTTCAAAATTGTGGCACAAGCTTACCTTCATCATGCTCGCCACAGCCACCACATCGTCATCCTTGGTATAGTACGCGACAAAGCTCTGCTTGCCTTCGCTGGTATCAGTATTGCCCTGGATGATCACGTCGTCGTATCCAGTAGCCGGATGGCCGCAGTATCTCAGCTGAGCACCCACTGCCGACCAAAAGACCGGGATGAATGGCTTCGGCTTCGAGCCCGGGCTGTTGATCGAATTTGCCACAGATCTGCCCATGTTCTGTGCTACGTTCCAGTGCTCAATGCGGACTGGCTTGCCATTGCCGCCTGGACCGTGGTATGGGTATGTGGCAATATCTCCAATTGCAAAGACATCTTTCATGCCCTTGACAGCAAACGACTCATCGACCGACACAGATCCATCCTTCTCCAGCTCGAGCGAGCTCTCCTTCAGATAGTCCGTTGCTGGGCGGACGCCGACTCCCTCGATGACCAGGTCGGCTTCCAGCTTGGTTCCGTCTTGTAGAACGACAGAGCCGATGTATCCCGATCTGCTGCTGTTTTCCTCGCCCTTCTCGACTGAGGCACCCATATGGAACTTGATGCCGTTCTTCTCCAGCAGCTTTCGGAAGATTGCACCGACTTGTGTACCCATTACACGTTCCATTGGCTCCTGCTCCATACCAATGATGGAGACGTCGTGCTTCTTGCCCGCAAGCGCATTTCCAACCTCCATTCCGATAAAGCTGCTTCCGATGACAACAACTTTCTTGCCGCCGTCCTGACCAGCAGCCTTCAGGATGTCCTGAACGTTTGGAATCGTGCGGAGCAGGAACACGTTCTTCAAGTCGCCCTTCAGACCTGGCAGCGGAAGCTGTCTCGGAGTTCCTCCAGAAGCCAGAATGAGCTTGGTGTAGGAATATTCCTTTCCGTCTTGCGTCTTGACCTTCTTGCCTGAGAAGTCGACCGACTTGACTGTACCATTGACCATCTGGACGTCACCTTCCTTGTAATACTCTGGACTCCGCAGGGCGACCTTGGAAGCATCATCCATGAGGGCCTTTGATAGCTTCGTGCGGTCGATTGGTGGGTAGTCTTCCTCTGCGATAGCCGTGATGTTTCCGGTATAGCCTCCTGCTCTAAGACCATCAATGGCTCCGAACGCACCACTTCCACGGCCAACGATCACGACATGGTCGTTACCTTGTGCCTTGCACTTGATGCTCAAGTTTCGTCGATTTGCCTTGATAGCTGCCTCTTCACCCTTGATGTACACAGCTCCATCTCTTTGCACGATTTCGAACTTTTGGAGTGGATCGGGTGCGGGTGCGTCTTCGATGTCTCCGGTCTTGACGTTGAAGCAAGCTCCGTGCCTAACATATCAATTATTAGCACACCACACAAGCCATAAATCCGACCAAATTGTACTCTAGAGATGGCATACCATGGACATGTTAACCTGCCCTCTGGCGTAAGGACACCCTTGGCCAATGGAGCTCCATAGTGGGTGCACTTCGAGCTCAATGCATGAACCTCGTCCTTGACCTTGGCGAGCAAGACCTTACCCTCCTCAATGCCCTCAACTTCTACCTCTTGCGTCTGACCATTTTTCAGGTCAATGCTGCTCAAGCCCTTGAGCTTGTACTCAGTCGCCATGGCTCGAATACTCGCGGAGAAAGGTCGTTGTTGGGCAATGTAGCTTGGTTTAACAATGAATTGTTGCTGTCGTAGAAGAGAAGAGAAGCAGCTTCGGAGAGTGGAGGTTGGGGGCATGAACGGTGGTGAGAAGAGTTGCTCTCGTTTGCTCTAGCTGCGGTGAGTGTTGTTCGCCAAATCACATGAAATGGCTCCTCAGACACAGCACGAGTGGAGTGTAATGATCATCATGGCATCGCATCGAGTGATGACTGATGACTGATGACGAAAGGACTGCTGCGGATTGGCTGTGGCGTAATCTTCGGAACATAGTTCAGCCGATGCCTTCCCTCCAACAGCTAATGAGGATGCGAGTTTTAGTAACATCAGGTGTCTTAGCGCTGGTCAACTACCTACCTTTTACATGTACTACTCTTCACTACCTTGCTCAATACCAACTCTTGACAACCTGCCCCAGCTTCACTCTCCAAATCGTATAGAATCCCAAAATGTACACCTCATCCCTTACCAACGCAAAGTTCGCCCCAGGCGCGACATCCGGGCTCTCCCTCCCAATCAAATCATAGATATTTACCACTCCCAGAACTTTGCCGGTCCTACTGCGCACCACGATGCCTTCGTACTCGAAAGTCCAAATTCGACCGCAATCGTCAATCTTGATCCCATTAGCGAATCCCTGCCGTGCAATCCCTAGCATCCTCTTATTCTGGGGCGTGCATCCGTCTTCCCCGGCCAGGTCGAAGACGTAGAGACCAGCAGAACCGGAAGTCTTATTGTATGCCTGACCGAAAACAGCGGAGTCTGGACCGTCGGAGACGTATAAGATAGTGTTTTCCCGGTTGACAGCGAGGCCATTAGGCGTCTGGACATCCAGGGGAGAAATCGCCATTTGAAGGCTCTGGTCTTCAAACTTGTATCTCCACACCGCATTAGGAAGCTGTTGCGGAGCGTTCCAGGAACCTTCAAGCCCTTCGGCAGCGAAGTAGAAGTCGCTGTAGAAGAGACAGGGCTTGCCTGCATTGCTGGAGACTGATATTGTTACGTCGTCGGGACCATTGAGTGGGAGGCCGTAGAAGGAATTGATCACTTCTTGCGTGTAGTAAGAACGAGGATCGATCGAGACGATTGAGGGAGATGTTGTGGCGTTGCCGAAGGAGGTCATGTACACCAGTCCGTCAAAGTAGTACCCGCCATTCGGATTGACGGGTATCGAGGCCGCCGGCCCAGAGAGAGTAGGCTGAAAGACCTTCGAGGTGTTGAGGTCGAGGATGGAAATGTATCCAGGCGGTGGATCGAGAAAAGCGGTCATCCACACTTGGTTCAGATGTGGGACCCAGACTCCTGCTTCGAAGGCGAAAGGTTCCGAGCGGTTCGCTATGAGCCCGACTTTGGGAGCTGCTCCCAGGATGCCGTCGAACTCCGAGCTGTAGGATATGAAGGTGGCATTTCGTGCAGTCTCAAACGTTTGCAAAGTCTGTGCATTGGAGGCATTGGTGTCGATAAAGGGCTTGGCGAAGGTGTTGTTGAATGGCCGTGGGAGGAGGTAGGTATTTTCCAACGGTATGTGGGCTGTCAGGTTGGATTGAGCAGTAGCTCCTCCTGACAGTCCCAGCAATATTACTTGTGCAATCAATTGCTTCATTGTTGACTTCGACAACATTCTTTCTAAATGTCCGTTGGGAAGGGTTGAGGAGTAGTTGTATCACATCGAATCCAGAAGGGATCGACGTGGTACTCGTATCAGTCCCTTCTCCGCCGTAGACAGCATGGGCCGGCTTAATGATAATCACCAGCTTAGTGATAATATAACTATATATGACTTTTTTCTCAGTCTAATATGGATGATTTGGAACTGTTCCTTCGACACGCTACACGTTGGAAAAGTTAGTTCTCGGACTCTTGGTCCTCCGCAATATCAAGAAATGATGTGAATATATGTCTTTTAGCTTGGAACAGCCAGGTTGTTTTTGTTTCACGTAGACAGTAATGGGCTATCTTCCACGTCTACAAGATACGCGTAACCCTTCTGCGCATCCTGAGTACAAGACCCCATGGAATCGATTGCCTCCGAGAGCTCAGCCCTGCTGCTCTTATCGATGCAGCAAGTATCAATCCAGACCTATTCGAGGTGGTCTTTCCGGGCTTCATTGCAAGCACCCTGAATACTTGCATATCCAGCTTTGTCTCGGTAAGTTCCATTCTGTAAATCTGCAAACAGTACTTCATCATCTCCTCGAAGCGTTAGACAGGATAGCATACAGCCGAGTCGGTTCGGAGACGAAGTCATCAAGGCAAAGTGCGGGCGATATGTTGGTCTTGAGTAGTCGCATGCTAATATGTAGTTAGTCAGCGTTTTGCAGACGCGAGAGGTGCTTCGAATTCTGCTGCTTCGCCTATTGCGGCAGACATGGGTGGCACACGAGCGGGATAAGATTCGTCCAAGAAGACACACCGGCATGAGCCCCTCATAAGTAAGATTCTCCTAACCGATATCCGTGCAAGTAGTTGATTGATAATCTTACATGCAAGGTGAGTCTTCGCAAATGCTGTATCTGACGGATTCTTCTATTTCCTCGCCCTACTGCATCATCAAGAATCGATTGTCTCGACCAGTATGGGCTCTGCAGCACCAAATGACCAAGGAGCCTACGATGTGCTCATTATTGGAGGTGGATTCTCCGGTATCTGGCAACTGTACTTGCTAAGAAAGTCCGGATTCAAGGTTCGATTGCTGGAGGCTGGAACAGCGCTTGGAGGTATCTGGCATTGGAACGCCTACCCAGGCGCGAGAGTGGATACGTCCGTTCCTACGTACCAGTTGACCGCCGAGGACTCCTGGAAAGATTGGCACTGGAAAGAGAAGTTTCCTAGCCGGGCCGAACTTGTCGCCTACTTCGAGCATCTTGACAATATCTGGGGCCTGAGTAAAGATGTCAGCTTCGAGTCGAGGTTGACATCCATGCAGTGGGATGCCGAGAATGCGAGGTGGAAATGCATGGTGAACAACGGGGAGAGTCAGTGGAGTGCCTCCTTCGTTGTGCTGTGCACCGGCTTTGCATCCAAGAGATACGTTCCTCCTTTCAAGAACATCGACAGATTTCAGGGTGAGATCCATCACACAGCTGCTTGGCCACGGGAAGGGACTGCTCTAAAGGATCGAAGAGTGGCCGTCATTGGAACTGGAGCCTCAGGCGTCCAGGCTATTCAGGAGATAGCGAAAGAGGCCTCCCATTTGACGGTTTTTCAAAGGACGCCTAATACAGCGTTGCCGATGAGAAATTCAGACGTAGACAATGCAGCGGTCAAGCTGTATTATCCTGCGACAGAGAGGGTTGTGAAGAGTAGCTTCGGCGCTTTCGACTACGACTTCGCTAAAGTCGACGGAGATCCGATGAACCTCCCAAAGGCGGAGCGAATGCGGCAGTATGAGCAGCTCTACAATGCAGGGGGCTTGAAGCTATGGCTGGGTACTTACATAGCCATGTTAATCGATGAAGACTTGAACGAAGAGGTTTACCAATTCTGGCGCTCGAAGACTATTGCCAGAGTAGCGGACCCGGTCAGAGCAGAGATCTTGGCGCCCGAACGAAAGGTGCATCCCTTTGGCACGAAGCGTGTCAGCTTGGAGCAGAACTTCTTCGAGGTTTTCAACCAGGAGAATGTGGACCTAGTGGATCTGCACTCGACTCCCATCGAGGAGTTTCTTCCAAATGCAATCCGGACCTCAGACGGCTATGTTCACGAGGTCGAGCTTATTGTGCTCGCAACAGGCTTTGTCTCATATACCGGTGGAATCACCGATATCGACATCCGGAATGCCCATGGCCAAAGCATCAAAGACAAATGGACGCAAGAGACCCATACCACCCTCGGTATGGCTACCAGCGGCTTCCCAAACCTCTTTTTCCAGTATGGTCCGCAAGCCCCGACTGCTTTTTCGACAGGCCCGATCTCGGCAGAGACACAAGGCGCTTGGATTGAGCAGCTTCTGCTGCATGCTCGCGACAATGGCTTCAAAACGGTGGAGTGCACGCCGGAGGCCGAGAAGGAATGGCGCAAACACGTGCACGACGTTGCGAACCAGACGCTCTTCCCAAAAGCGAAGAGCTGGTACATGGGGGCGAATATTGCAGGTAGAGAACCGGAGGTGCTCAATTACATGGGCGGCCTTCCAGTGTATAGGCAGCAGATATGGGACTGCGCGAAGAGTGGGTATGTCGGGTTCGTGCTGGCCGAATAGTCTCTTCGATTGTTGATAGTGCGGTGTTCCCTCCAAGCGAGCAGCGTGTGACCAGTTCGGGCAAACAATCAGTTTATATGGGCTGTGTGGGGATGTCTGGCCGTGTGGCAGGTGGATGAGCGAATGTGGAGGAGACGTGGAGGATGCCGTGATCGTCACGCGAGGGAATTATTGGAGGAAGGATGTCACGTGGGTGTGAGAGAAGGGTCGAGATGCAGATGCGCTGCGAGATGCTTGCCGGGTGAAGCTCGGACTTGTCTCTGTTCTGGCCAGAAGCTCTGTCCGTGCCTGCTCCTCACTACTCGCGCTTCAAGGCGTCTCTACCTTACACAGCCTCAATAACGAGACGAAACCGGTCGTCAGCCAGCGTCCTGTCAAACTACTTACCTTACCGACCCTTCCATCCTTCCCATCTCCACCCAACATCAACATCTCAATAGCGACACCATGTCAGCATTACCGCCGCCCCGAATCAACACGCAAGACGTTCAGGGACAGGATGTCGTCTCGGGTATGCATATGCGTCGTGATGGGGCATGGATCGTTGCTGATGCGCCCGTGTGCCGGCACACTAGAATCCTCAGATGACCACTTCTCCTCCGCTTCTGAGGGCACTCCCAATCCTAACCATCTGAGCACCGACGGCTCGCAGTCGCCCATTCCCATAACACGAGTCGAGCGTGTCGATGACAAGGCACACCACGGCGAGGTCCCAGGAACGCCTGCCTACGAACTGCGCACCAGGGACGCCGTGCCTGACGAGATAGAGATTGTACCCGAGGGGAGACGCTCACGGAGTGCTACCGCGAGTAGGAGTCGCGCCTCTTCACACCTGTCGGCAAGCAGCAGACCGCAGACCCCCGGTGGGACGCCCATACCTAAGACGATTGTCGAAAGGGTGGACGACAAGCCTGCGCACGGCGAGGTCGACGGTACTGCGGCAAAGGAGATGAGAATGGCCGATGCTGCGCCTGACGAGATCAGGAAAGCCCCTCCTCAGGCTGTAGATGGTAGGTAAGTTGTTTGTGTCGGTCAATCAGAGGCACTTGTGCTGACCAGTCCCAGCGGATCAAGTCACGGCCAGCCTCCGTCAACAGGGACACACGTAGAACAGGATTCCGAAGACAGACAGGAGTGGTTTCGCTCCATGTGGGAAGGCAAATCATCGAATGATACTGTGCCATCGCATGAAACAGTAGACGATGCAGAAGAGAAGGATGCAGAAGAATACGATGCAGAAGAGGACGACGATGATTTTGGAGACGACTTTGACGAGTTTGCTGAGGGAGGCGGCGATGATGATTTTGGTGACTTTGACGAAGCCGAAGCTACACCTGTTGCACAAGACACACAACCTACTCCCTCAACTGCCAGCATACTAGCAGGCCTTGTAAGTAGCATGCAAGCACTGAATTCCTCAAGAAGAAGTGCTGTCGCTCTCGCGCGGGATGGTAAGCTGACATCGTCCTTAGCCTCCCCTTGACCTCCTGCTTGATCTTTCAGGTGCAGAACTGCAAGACACAATATCACCGTACCTTGATGCCATCTTCCCCGATTCTACCGCCCCGCCATCGTCGACTCCACCGTTAGATATGTCCAACAGCTCACCATTCCTCTCCGAGCGCTCGCTTTCCCTCTGGCAACAACTTGTATCACCTCCACCAATGCAACCACCCAACTGGACACGAAGTCGCATTAGGCGCCTCTTTTTGGTCTCGCTCGGTGTACCAGTGGATCTGGACGAGATTCTGCCTCCTTCTAAGCAGAAGCGACTTGTACTGCCCAATATCAACTTGACATCGCCTCGCGCCTCCACGAATGCATTGGAGCGTCTAAAACAGGGAGACAATAATGATTCATCAACATCCGTGGACTCTAAGACTGGCGCGCCCAAGAAAGCGAAGCGAACAGCTACAAAGGGTCCTCAACCACCTCCGGACTTCGATGCTAATTCTGCATCGCTCGTATGTGGTACGACCGAGGAAGCACTACAGGGTTACTCGGACGATGAGCTGAGAGATCATGTCTTCACCCTGGAGATTCTGAACAAGAAGGCAAGCGCAGTGCTGGAATACTGGCTACAGAGGAAGGACGATGCACTGAAGGAGAAGGAGGCGCTAGAGGGTGTCATCGAGAATCTGGTCGGATTCGTGAAAGGGCGCAGAGGGAAATAGACGCTTTTCCGCAGAGTGCTCGAATGGATGCAAAGAAAGCTAGATGCCAGCGATATTTTAGATACCCAGCTACGAGCTCGAGCTCAAGTCTCTCAAAGTCTATTCGTCCGTATCAAGCGCTTGAATTGGAAGCCATCCCTCGCGGCGATTCGTTCCTGACATGTGAAGACGGGCCGACGGCATTCCCGACGGCCCGATGCCTGACGCGACCTCGATCTCGCGAACCACAGCAAGCGAAACAGCTCATCACCTCCCACATGATGCTTCCTCCGCGATAACGCCTCAGCTATCTGCCAAACGGCCGCCATGTCCACCTCTCTCGCCAACTAGATGGCCGAAAATCTACTTCAAACAACACCCGCACGTAGACAACAATGCCACGCCAACGACGCGGCGACTCGACCGCCTCAAGCACCACCACATCTGCCAGAGACATCCCCACACCTGCTACCTCCAATCATGTCTCTTCCGGCCAAGAAATGGCTTCTATGTACGACTATCTCGCCAAAATCATCCTGCTTGGACCCTCTGGTTGTGGGAAATCCTGCCTTCTACACCGCTTTGTCAAGAACGAATGGCGCGTCCTCTCTTCGCAGACTGTAGGCGTCGAATTTGCGAGTAAGATTGTCAAGATTGGGACTGCGGGTCGCAGAAAGAGAATAAAGCTGCAGCTGTGGGACACGGCAGGTACGGAGAGGTTTCGGAGTGTTAGTCGAAGTTACTACAGAGGTGCTGCTGGTGCGGTGTTGGTTTACGATGTCTGTGATCAGAGGAGCTTTGATGGTCTGGGAGAATTCCTGAGCGATGCGAGGAGCTTGGGAAGTAGAGAGTTGAGTGTTGTTTTGGCTGGGAATAAGAGGGATCTCGTTAAGGAGGCAACACAAGGAATGGCTGAAGAGCAACAGACGGGGAATAAGAGCCCTTCTCTACAACCTGGGAGTCTACTGGACGACGAACTGAGCTCCAGTGTAGGAGGCGGCAGCCTCCATCGCCAAAGTATGATTGGAATATCGCTGGGGAGTCAACAGCGGGCTACGATTAATCCTGGTGGGAGAGCAGTGAGCGCACCAGATGCGAGTAATTGGGCGAGTCAGAATCGAATCACGGCTGCGATGGAGGTCTCTGCCCTCAGCGGCGAGGGCGTGGACGAGATTTTCAATAAGTTGGCGAGGACGATCTTGACAAAGATAGAATTGGGAGAGATCGATCCCGACGACCCGATGAGTGGGATACAATACGGCGATGCTGACTACTATCGCTACGACGACGGATCGTCAATCAAGTCTGGTGGCTTGACGAGCGACGGTTATGGAGGCAACATGAGGCGAAGGAGGAAGGGTGGATGGAGCGAGGTTTTCAAGATTGGAAGACCCAGTAGCAGTAGTGGAGGTGGAGGTGGAGGAAACTGCTGCTGAAAATGACCATGCGCCTGGTGTTGCCTTCCCCTGTTGCATTGGATTGGATTAGAGCGTGGCGTTCGCGGGGCCGCGTTGAGAGACTGATTGTACAGTTCTTTGGCTTTGGTTTGCATCGCAGAGATACCCACCCATTCGTTTAATACAGTAGAGTTGCTGATAGAGATTTTCCAGACACAGAACCGCAGTTGTAATGGCGGTGTACATAATGCTGTAATGCTAATGATGTATCTCTGATGTGATGAATCAGGATACAAAATTGGGATTTCGAATTCATTCAGGACAAAGCCTTGTCAGGCTTCATAGCTGAATCACAATGGACGAGGAGGCCTTGGTCAGAGTGGCTTTGTTCCCGCTCCAAGGCGATTTGAGGAATGGTTCAAGAGTATGTCAATTTCGGACTCTCAGCAGCTCAGCAAACTTTTACTCACACAAGACAAACTCGAAGCAGAGACCGACGATCTCTTACTGCGAAAAGGTGACCAGTGAACGAAGCAATGGACGATACATTGCCCACACGAGAGGTCTTCTTCGAGACAGGACTGGCTCAAGCCCCCAGCAACGGCAATGATTGTCCCATCTGCAGCGATCCTCTCGAGGACGCGGTATCGCTTCCTTGTCATCCAACTCACGTCTTCTGTCGTACCTGTATCAAGCAATGGCTGAATGCTCCTACAAAGAACACCTGCCCGCAATGCCGCAAGAAACTCTTCATCCCGGCTGCAGACCGCGAATATCTTCCAGCTGATTACTCGGACCGACGGCAGCTCATAGACAGGGCGCTTGAAGTTAGCGGCATCCGCCGCCTACCCGCTTCCCGCCGCGCAATGGATTTTACTGAACTGCATACTTTCGACCTGGGCCGTCCACGTTGGGACCAACTCTCTGATCGCGGCGACGAGGCGGGAGATTTCTTAGCGGCTTCCCTAGGATCCGATGAGAACGGAAGCCGAATTATCAATCACACCCCAGACGGAGAACCTACCGCCGTTCAAGGTCGCGGCTGGATGGATCTCTCGCTTGCTTTTCCCCGAGTGGTCGCAATGGCAAATCTCCTCCCCGCTGTGGCGGAGGCCGCCCATCGCCCTTACAGCGACGAGGAGCAACGCCTCTTCCGCATCATCGTGGCCGAATTCGGACGCATTCTGAGGATACAATACGCCGCTGATCCAGAGGTTCTGGATGTCGTTCTTGCTCCGGGGAGTAATTGGGCGATGACTCTTGACGTCAATCTAGGTCGTGAACCGGCTATTGTACAGTCGGGCTTCTTTTGGATTCGTGGGCCTGATATCGTTAAGCTTCTTGAGTTTACTGCCTATTGGGCTTGGAAAGATATGCAGTCGAGACGACTGGTGGAGAGGGAAGGGAGGAGGAAACGGCGGGTGACGTTTTCTCGCTGCTTTTTGAATTAGTTGGACTAGTTGTGATGAGAGTGGGAGGTAAGTGCCAATATTTACTTCCTTCGGTCGGTTTGGAAGATTTTTAATAGGCGACGATTTCCACGCACTTTAAAGACGTTTGATCACCTGGACCTAATTCTCTTCCATTGCTAACATGTCACCTTTACTTTGATAGAGTAGAGTCGCTGATGGAGAACTCCCAGATATGAATAGACCGCAGTCTTGACGACAGTGTACATGATGCTAATGATGTGCCCCTGACGGGGCCTGTTGTTCTCGGCATAACACCTTTGTTGAAAGGGCACAATGGCTTGCACAATAGTACAAACGGCGTTGTTGACAACACAAAGCGACTTCTCACTCCAATATCTTTTAACAACATGTGCGAATTCGAGACGTCACGGCTATTCAGAGCCCGCGAGACTATTTACCGAATGGAGCAAATAACTCCACCCTAGCGGATTAATCTTTGCTTCGCACAACTGAGCTAGGAAACAGCGTCAAGAGATTGCAAACAAGAAAGAAACGAAAAAACAGGAAACAGGTACACAGTACTAACCGCTGCCGAAGTCGACTTCACGAGACGCATTCTTCAAGAAAGGACTGGCTCCTGTCACGCCAAATGATCTCAGTTGAAACCTTTGGCCTAGGCAACGAATTCCAACACTACTCGATCTGCGACTCTATGCACCGAGAAGACAAGATTTGAATTTGATATGTCAGTATACGGCTTTTAAGATCTGGCATGAGTATTGAGCAATGGCAGAGACAGCAAACCAGGGTTGGAGCTTGTAAGGTCGCAGAGCAGGAGTGCACATCCTCCTGATGAATGAATAGAGACGTAAGGGACAGACAACTCTGCTGCGGTGAGTGGATGACTACTAAGATTTGAGTAGCGCTATATGTACTGCGCAAGCTGTTTGAAGTGCGCGAACAAATACTCTGTTGCCTGTTTCGTCCGCATGTGAATCTTGGCGATGCTAAGCCCAATTAGGAAACCGCTCTTTTGCAATGAATGACGTTTCAAACTCTGTTTGTCATGCTTGACTTGAACCGGAGTCTGAGCGATCCGTTGTAGCAAAAGATGCGCAGAGTAGATATATAGAATACCGCTCCCTAACGCATGCATCAGGCCTGCGTCCTTCACCTTTCCCTCAGCATGCATCCCATCTTCCAAAGCCTCCTCTGCTACATCTACCCCATCACTCCACCTCAGAAGCACCGAACTGCTCCCCTCAAACTCCTCTGTCTAGGCCTCTCCCGCTCAGGAACAGACTCCCTCCGCCAAGCCCTCCTGCAGCTAGACTACAAGAAAATCTACCACGGCTACGTCTGGCTGGCACAACCCGCCGATGCCTCGCAATGGATTCACCTCGCCCACCTCCAAATCACTCACCAACCCATCTCCGCCAGCGAATTCGACTCAGTCCTAGGAGACTGCGATGCAATCACCGACATCCCTCCCGCAGGATTTGCACCCGAATTATTAGATGCATACCCCGATGCCAAGGTGATTGTGAATTATCGAGAGGATGTAGACGCCTGGGCGGAGAGTTGTGAGAATACGATTGAACGCATTACCTCTCCCAAGGATTGGTCGGGATGGTGGCAGTATTTCCAATCTTTCTTTGAGGCGCGATTGTTCTGGTCGTATAGGACGTATTGGTGGGTTTGGAGCCGATTCTCTGCGGGAGATTTTCCACGACATGGGAAGGAATGGTACCGGGAGCATTATAGGAATCTGGAGGAGAAGTTGAAAAGGGACGGGAGGAAGTATTTGAAGTGGAGAGTCCAAGACGGCTGGGCCCCGCTTTGCGAGTTCTTGGGGAAGGAAATTCCAAGCGGGGAGTTTCCGAACGGGAATGTCCCTGCCAATTTCTTTGAGAAGGTTATGGAGGAAAAGGAAGAGAGGTGGAGGCAAGCGAGGAGGAATATGGTGTTGTTCGGCACAGTGGTTGTTGCGCTTGTTGGTGGGCTGTGGAGTTGGGTGTATCAATCGCTGTGATTGACTTGATGGATGGGCGATTTGGAAACGCCATGTTGACCGTGTATACCTACGTTCACAATCCGCGCAATTGTATGCCCCTGGAGACCATGGATTTGCGCAGTGAATCGTCTTCTCCGTCCCCGGTAAATTTAATCTGACTCCGACCTCCTCTACTTGGCAACATCTTGTGGCTTCGAGCCAGCCTTCCAAATCCGCTTGATCGCCTCGGTCAAACCCACATCGTTGGTCTCGAATTCATAGTATCCCCAGCCGACAACGAAAAGGGCTGCAACGTTGGCCCATTCGAAGACCTTCCGCCATGTCTTGGCACGCCATGAAGGGATGTAGTCAATGATGACGGATCTAAGTAATATCGTTAGTACATGGATAGGGCCCAGCAATGTTCTACTGTGACGCATACTGGAAGCCGATGTAGGTATGTAGAAGCATTAAGCCGATCAAAGTGCCGTCCAGAAGCGGGTTCAGCGAGCCAGCTGCGAAGGGTACAATTGTAATGGGAACCAGGGCAGCGGAGATGACCCTATCATTGCCAGAACGCATCGATCAGCACTCGTTTCGACACAGTGTCTTCCATACTGCTTTGGTCCTACCTCTCTGCAGTCCAATGGTAGCTGCCGTGTGACGGGTGCGGCTCGGGAATGTTTACAGGGTCATTCACGGTGCCCTTGATGACCTGAGGCAGAGGTGGGAGGATGTGTCTGCTGGCGGAGGTCTGAAAAGTGGCTCGCTGGAGAGTCCATGACGGCCTCTGGGACAATCGGTGTTGTTGCGCTCTGAAAGCGGGGACGGCGGAGGAGTATGCGCGTTTGGAGGGCGCGGCCAGTGCCTGGCGGAGGAGCGTTGGACGGAGAGTGGAAGCCATGGCGGCGGCGGCGGCGGCGGCGGTGGCGGCGGTGGCGGCGGTGATTGTGCAGAGGGCGACGATGAGGTGCAGACGGGATGGTCGAACACCAGATCACTGGAAATAACGCCCGGGTATGATGCTGGAGGACCTCGGCGGACGAGCCTTACTCAGCGGGCATGTGATTGGCTGTCAGGGCCAGCGGACGCTGCTCAGCGGCCGCTCCCGGAAGCTTCGAATGTGTTTTCGCTGGGACGACGGAGCGCAGAAGGACTTCATCAGCTTGCTCCGCTTGTTAACGACTCTCCTTTCCCTCTCACCGCACTCCCGGCCATGGCATCTCGAAGGCTCGCGCTGAGCCTGAACCAAGGCCTCCGCGCGCAGCGTGCCATCAACGCCGTCAAGCCCAGCATCACCCGCCGTGCCCTGGCGACTCCTGTTAGCCATGCGGCCACCACCGAGAGCACAACCCTGAGCAATGGCTTCACCGTGCGCACCCATTGGCCCTCAATCGAGACGGTAGAAACTGGAAAAGCTGATAGAGATGGTGTAGATTGCGACACAACACTCGCCGTACGCGCAAACCAGCACTGTCGGTGTCTGGATCGATGCCGGCTCGCGCGCCGAGACCGACAAGACTAATGGAACCGCACATTTCCTGGAGCATCTCGCATTCAAGGGCACCCAACGCCGCAGCCAGCAGCAACTCGAGCTCGAGATCGAGAACATGGGGGGCCACCTCAACGCATACACCTCCCGCGAGAACACCGTCTACTACGCCAAGAGCTTCAACTCTGATGTCCCAGCCTCCGTCGACATCCTCTCCGACATCCTACAACACAGCAAATTGGAGACTTCCGCCATCGAGCGTGAGCGAGATGTCATTCTTCGAGAACAGGAAGAGGTGGACAAGCAGATGGAGGAGGTTGTTTTCGACCACTTGCACGCCACTGCCTTCCAGAACCAGGCCCTGGGCCGCACTATCTTGGGACCCAAAGAGAACATCCAAAGCATCTCGCGCGACGACCTGACCAACTATATCAAGACCAACTACACCGCAGACCGCATGGTCTTGGTTGGTGCCGGCGGTGTCCCTCACGACCAGCTGGTCCAGCTAGCGGAGAAGCACTTCGGCAGCCTCCCTGCCTACAACCCGAATGCTCAGAACAACGCTCAAGTCCGTGGCCTCGCTACCAAGCCAGACTTTGTTGGATCCGAGGTCCGGATACGAGACGATACTATGCCAACCGCCAACATCGCCATCGCCGTTGAGGGTGTCAGCTGGAAGGACGATGACTACTTCACTGCGCTTGTAACACAAGCCATTGTTGGTAACTGGGACCGCTCCATGGGTAACTCACCATACCTTGGCTCCAAGCTGTCTACCTTTATCCACGACAACAAGCTCGCCAACTCTTTCATGTCCTTCTCGACATCATACTCCGACACCGGTCTCTGGGGCATTTACTTGGTCACCGACGCCATCACCCGCATTGACGATTTGGTCCACTTCACCCTGCGTGAATGGTCGCGCCTGTCATTCAATGTGTCTGAGGCTGAGACAGAGCGCGCCAAGCAGCAGCTCAAGGCCAGCATCCTCCTCTCCCTCGATGGCACCACCGCAGTGGCCGAGGACATTGGCAGACAGATCATCACCACCGGCCGTCACCACTCTCCCGAGGAAGTCGAGCGCATTGTCGGCAGCATCACAGCGAACGATGTCATGAGGTTCGCACAGAGCAAGCTGTGGGACAGAGACATTGCCATCTCGGCTGTTGGACAGATCGAAGGTCTGCTCGACTATGCCAGAATCCGGTCAGACATGAGCAGGAATCTGTCATAAGGGAGTGATGCAAGCACGACTGGGTGGGAGCGTTGGGCGAAGGGGTCGAAAAAGAGAGAAACAGTGTAATCTCATAGAACCGACACCCCGCCGATCGCGCTCGTAGCTGTCCAGGCTGGCTCGGGCGTGGATCTCCTGTGTATATTTAGCCTTGTGAGCTTTCCATCTTCTAGTCCCCTTCTCTTTTGTTGGCCTCATCTCTTCCGTCTGGAGTTGATCTGTCGGACAGCCGGGCCGAGCACACGATGTCTCACTCTCACTCTCACACTGGCAGCAGATGCGGTGACAGGTGTCTGTGCTCTGTACCTCGTCCAGTCTTCTGGCCACGATCATTAACTGCCAGGACTAGTGCGCGGGGAGGACGTCGACTGACGACAGGAAGATGGGAAGGCCGGGGGGCGACTGAGTGAATCTCTGGGCGAGATCTTGCCCACCACATGCGACAAGTAAGGCGTCACGGTGTAACCGGGTTGGGTCTGGGTCTGGGTCTATCAATTTACATACAACATCCCCCCAGAACGGTGTAAATGATCAATTATGTATTCCGCGGAATGAGGTTGCGCGTGCGTCGTTCGCATCTGGAGGAATCAGGATCCTGGTGAGCGCCCACTGCCGGCCGCCGTCAGCCATCTTCTGCTATTCGTACGAACGCATAGCGAAGATAACCCGGACTTCCAGATCCACACTTCTCTGCATAAGCGGCATTGACGCCGTAAACATCCACAGTGATCTGGCGTCGCAGCCCTGGAACTCGGCACCGCAGCAACCTCGTTGTTTCTCGACCTCCACTCCCCCTACCATCACCGTCCTCGCTCCTCGCTGGCTGTTATATCAGGCAACTCTCGCTCTGGCGACCTGACGCTCTCTCACTTTCTTCGTCGCCACTAGTCTCCCGTTTCGACTGGCCTTCTTTTCCTCGTCGCGCCGACGGCAGTACTTAATACTTAATCTATTCTACGCGGACGCAGAGATGCTCTCGACAGTCGTTACCTCGACCATTTTCGCGCTCGGCGTCGCAGCGCAGCAGTATGCCGGAGATGTCATCAGTGCTGGCCTGCCGACCATCGAAGGGGCCGAAGTCGCTTTCTTCAAGATTCCGGACACGACTGGCGTCAACAATAACTTGACGCTGATCAATTACTACTCGCATGGTACCAGTGGAGGGCGGATTGTGGAATCCAATGTGCAGAGAGTGCTGATCACGATTCATGGGCTGCTGAGGGATCCGTGGGATTATATGAACGATGTGCATAAACTCCACGTCAAGAGAATGACTACTCGCGAGCTGACTGCTGTTGCTATGACCAGACCCTGAACGCATTGGACCTTGCTACGACGCAAGACGCGAACATCAACAGAGATTCGGTGGCCGTGATAGCTCCCTACTTCGCCAATGGGGACGACAAGGGCCTCGCATATCCTTGGACTGATGGACTTGGCGCGAATCAAGGCTCTACTACCAATGCTCTTGTCTGGGCTGGCTCTCAATGGCTTGCAGGTCTCAACAACCAATACCCGCATTCCTCCACAGGCACCTCCGGCTTCTACGTCTTGGACACTCTGATCAACTACTTTAACGATGCGACTCTCTTTCCGGACCTAAAGCAGATCGTGTTGGTCGGCCACTCCGCAGGTGGGCAGATGCTTCAGCGATATGCTGTCGTTGGAGACAACCTCAACACTCGGGTGCCCGTCACTTACTGGATTGGCAATCCTGACAGCTATGCCTGGCTAAGTGAGGATCGGCCGCTTTCGACCGCAGATTGCCCCATCTTCGATGAGTACCGTGAAGGCTACTCGAACTTCACCGACGTCGGCATGGTCTACGGCACCTATATTGTCGGTGAGGGCAGAGAGGCTCTTGTGAACAACTACAACAGCAAGCAAATCGCTTACGCCCGCGCTATGCTTGATCATGGAGACGTGTCGCACGATTGTCGGGCTAATACTACTGGCAACGACCGCCACGAGCGATTCTTCTTCTACATCCAAGATGTTCCACCGACGTGCGACGACTCGACGTCTTGGAACTGCGACACTGTCGACCTCATCCAAGTCACTCATGACAACGGACAGATGTTCCAATCACCTGCTGGTCAAGCCCGACTGTTCACCGACAACTTCTACGGCGATAACTCCCGCGCTTACGACTTCGGATATCCCCGTGCGCAAACCGGTGACGACCCATTTCCCGACCCATCTCAAGCGAGCATCCAAAACCCCAACATCAACTACAACGTGTACGCCGGCAACATGACTTACCAAGGCTGCTGGACAAACCAAGAACCTATCACTCCCCAAGCGCTGCCGACCATGCTCTTCGACAATGCCAGCAACTCGATCGAAGCATGCTGCTCGGCTTGCACCAACAGCGGCTACAGCATTGCCGGAATGCAGAACCAGACGGAATGCTATTGTGGAAACGCGCTCAACGGCCAATCTGCAGTGCTCGTTGTCGACAGCAGCTGTTTACTTACCTGCCCTGGCAACACCGCCGAGATTTGTGGCAGCATTAATCGATTTTCGATCTTTTCCAACGCATACCCTAACTTTGACTGAGCTAATTATGGTTCTGTGCATGGCCGGGGAACAAATTTTATTTTGGACATGACATATCTCGACCGAAAGGTTCTGGGAGACGAGAGTGTGCATGCAGACTACATAATGTAAAACACGCATACAGGACGATACTTAATCACATGCCGCCTGTCAAGATCGTCGTTCATTGGTTCATTATTGTACTGGGGTCCATCTCTCTAGCGCAAAGTTACTGGGAGTTAGGTTCGCTTCTGACTATTTGAGTTTGGAGGCGCAGCAATCGAGTTTGATGACTGTGATGATGAAGCGGTCCCCTGTTTCGCCACCCTTTTCCTCTCTTGTTATCAACAACCACGCTGATCGAAAGGACAGTGGGCCATACGACAGCAATCTTGCGGAGCAACACAGGCGCTGGTTGCCATCCAACAGCCATATCTGACATGAACTCGTGATATCTTGGAGGCTGCGGAGAGCTTGGACTGGGAGATCGACTTTGTTGCCTAGTCACCACGGAAAACACATCACGGCATGTGAAATGTTGAGCTTTCGGACGCGCTTAGGCTATGCCCTGTCTCTCACCGTCACGGTCGTCTTGCTGTGCTGGTGGTACATGGCATGGTTTCAGCAGCCTTGGGGTTCTCTCGACGATGCGGCGGGCTCACTGAATACCGGACGTGGAGCATGTCGCGAGGAACTGGCCGACGTGAGGGAAGCCCTTGCGCTCCCTGACATCTTTGAGTACAGCAAGAGAACTATTCGGGCGAAGCCGGTCAAGCGATGGAAGCAGCAGAGCGTCGTCCGGCGAGCCCAGAAACTCATCCCAGACCTAGAGCACATGAATATCGAAGACCCCGATTGCAGACTGCCATCCGACGAAGCGCCTCTCGACATTGAATATTCCTCCAAACCGCCTCCGAGGGTCGATACTTCCAAACTCATGATCGGTGCTTCCACCACTCTCTCCCGTCTCAAGGGAGCCTTGCCACAAATGTCCCGCTGGCTCAGCAACACCAGCACGCCCTTGATCGTGAACATCCTCGACAGCAGCGATACCGACCTCTTCGGGGAAGTGCAGGACCTCGCGCATGCCCTCGCTATCAACTGCACGCTCGTGCCCAACGTGGACCACGGCCCCGAAGACGAAGACCGCCACGCCCATCGCCACTTCTCCATCGTCAAGATCCTCCACGCGCACAAATCCGCCTCGACCAAATGGTTCGCCGTCATCGACGACGACACCTTCTTCCCCTCCCTGGCCAATCTCCTCGCCGCGCTCGAGCCCTTCGACCCGGAGCGGGAATGGTATCTCGGCGCCCTCTCCGAGGACTGGAACACCATCAAGAACCGCTTCGGCTTCATGGCCTACGGCGGCGCCGGCATCCTCCTCTCCCACCCGCTTCTCGAAACTCTCCACAGGAATTTCGACGACTGTCTCGCCCCGGGAGGCCTGGAAGGCGACCGCCTGTACCGCGATTGCGTCTTTCTGCATACCGCCCCGCCCGTCACCATGACCATCCTGCCCGGGCTCAACCAGATGGATCTCCTCGGCGATGTGAGCGGCTGGTACCAATCGCGCTTGACATCCCGACTCTTGAGTCTCCACCATTTCAACGAGTGGCATCATTACCCCATCCAACACGGCCATCTAGTCTCGGACATCTGCGGTTCCGGGCCGGGGAAATGTTTCCTGCAACGATATGCGTTTGCCGATGAAGCGTTGATGACGAATGGGTATAGCGTGGTGGAATATCCCAACGGCATATCGTTTGACGATCTCGATCGTGTCGAGGGGACGTTTCCGCATAATGTCGGACAATTTGATTTTAGTCTGGGGAGGTTGAGGGATGTGGTGGATGTCAAGATTGTTTGGAGACTGGAATTCGCGGTGAAAGAAGGGGATGGTCGGGTGAGGCAGTTTTATGTGCGCAGGGGAGCTGGAGATGAGCGGGCGGGTGATGAGGATAGATTGAAGATGGAAGTCACGGGTGTTTTTGAGGTGGAATGGCAGGCGGTCCGTTGAGAAACTTGAATTTCATTTCGACTGCTCATGTGGTTTCCACATCAGTGCCACTGAATCGTGCGATTTTGTCTTTCTTCTGCTGTCGCTCTTTGAAAATGCTACCGCCGGTCCAGATGGCTGTGGGGATCGCGGTGAAAAGTGCGACACACCCTAGAATCAAAGTCGCGGTCGGCCAGCCGGATGCTTCGCTTGTCAGTCCAGCCAGCAAAGGACCGATCATGGCGCCTGCCGCCCAGGCCATGTTGAAGAGAGCATAGGATTGAGCGTAGGCTCCGTACTTGCCAAAGAAGCCAGCTGGTCGACGCTTCGCTTTGGCTTCAACAGCATAGCTGAATTCTGCCATTCTGTGCACCGCTTGTCAGTCTTTGGTGAATAGAACAAGCAAGGAAAATTGGGCCATACTCACAGCGGAGTCAAAGCCAACGCCAGTCCCAATCCAATCATAGCCAAGAAGGCACAAAGCATCACTTTCTGTCCAATACTGTCATGGTCTACCAATCTCAGCAAGATCAGGAAAGGGCCTGCAACGAGGAAACCGGACATCGCAATCCATCGAGGTCCGTATTTGTCGGACAGTTTTCCGATGAAGGGTTCGAGGAAAGAGCTCGTGACAATCGGGAGGAAGATGAGCCCTGCGCCTGTGGAGTTCCAGCCAAAAGTATTCTTCGTGAAGAGAGGTAGAATGGAGTCAAAAGAGGTCATGAGGGCGGAATTGATGGTGCTGGCCCAGAACGCTGCCAGAAGGCGACGAGATCCGAAGAGGGTTACGACTGGCGGGAGGCGGGAAACGATTTTTTGGATAGTGGTGGGGGCGTTCGGTGCGATTGTGGCGCCCACTGCCCGTTCGCGGGCAACATCCTTTGGCGACGCAAGTTCAACATATGTCTCGGGCTCCTGGCCACTGGCTCGTCCTTCTTTCAACGACTTCTCTTCAATATCTTGCGCTTCAACGTCTGTCTCTGCGCCTGCGCCTTGCTCCTCGACTGAAGGCTCATCCTGCTCCAAAGAAGGCTCTTCAGATAACCATTTCCTTGCGTACTTCTGCTCGATCATTGCGAAACGCAAGATAATGTCCACGATGATCAAGCCAAAGACCATGGCAAAAACAGCGTAATATCCAGCATTCGCAAAGACGACACCTGCGAGGAGTGGTGCCAGAAGGATGGCCATGCTCATGGACAGACCGATGTATCCCATTGCAATGCCAATCTCTTCCGGTCCCACGGTATCGACGAGCAAAGCGAGACCGACCACCCAGACGACAGCAGCGCTTGCTCCTTGCAGGATTCTGCCAACAGCAAAGACGGCTATGCTGTTACCCACGCACAACATGACTGTCGAGCCACCGAGGAGGAGCAGACCGATCAGGAATGGTATCTGTCGGTACTTCATCCGGTCGCCAAGCCATCCGAATATGGGCGAGCATATCAGCAGAGATGCTCCGTACACGGCAAGGAAGATGGAGAGCCATGTCTGTATGTTTTTCGGATCGATTCCCGCTCTGGATGTGAGGGCGAAAGGGAAGACTGTAGCGGGTTAGATGGAGTTTGGGTGGCGAATGCGATGTAGGGTTCTTGGTTTACCTGGAACCACAATGCCATATGCGAAGACTATGTTTTGTGAGCTTCGTGATTGCGAAGGTACTTTGACGTGACGAACTCACTGTCCGTGAAGATGGAAGAAGAGACGGTCAGGATGATGAAAGTCTTGGAGCTCCGAATTCTGAGGAAGATTGGAGCCTTTGTATCCGAGCCGAAGAGCCAGGCGAACATGTTGTCGTGGAATAGTTTCAGTCACTTCCGCTTTCCAAGTTGGGCAAAAGATGCATGATGGAACAACGCCGAATGTGAAGCCAGATATATGAGTGAAAACGGCGGGTGCAGATCTAGCAGTTGTTCGGTAGCAGGTACCATGCTTCGGGACCGTCGAGAGGATTTTGAGAATAGATTGACCAACAGCAAAGTATCATGAAGTCACCACGGCTGCACATGCACAGAAAATTTGGCCGCATTGCTTGATCAAGGTAAAGGTTGCGTCCCAAGCGGCCGGGCGGACGACCGCTCGCTCTGCAAGAACGTGATAGAGTGCCGCTCTGGGTTTAGTGCGCCAAGTGGCGAGCGGAAGTAGAAGTCGGGATCGGAGTTGGGTTGGCCTGTGTTCTGCTGAAATACGCGAAAACCTCGTTGAGAATCGTTAGTAATCGGCGTACGGCGCTTTTCCCGAGTGTGCTAGGCTCGTGAACCGGATGAACGGGTTCGTGGTGTGTGGAGGCGCGGCGCGCTGTGGGGCATTGCTTTCTCGCGGTCAAGTCCGACGATACGAGCACTTCTGCAGGACGAATATATTCCTGAAGCATTCTCCGCGAATCGATCGTATCATGCTTCGGTACCAGCGTTGCTCGCTCGCCAACACACTGCGCTGGGCTGCATCGCCAATATGCTGGTCATGGGAGCAACAACCAGAGGTGGAGAGGAGAGTCGGCGACTCTCTTGCATTGGTCACGAGCGCCGGTCCCCATTTATCACGCAGGACGCAATGTCGGCTTGCATGAAGGCGGTGTAGGGAAGACAGTAGTAGTACGCGCGTGCGTGTTGGATGCCGTGGACTGGAAGAGCGGTGATGTGATGGTGATTCTTGTCTGGATTGAGAAGAGCTGAGCCCGAGAAGACGGAAAGAGCGATACGCTCGATGAGGGAAAAGGAGCATCATCGCTCATTGGACCGACGCGTTTGCGGTTACGTGCTGGGGACTGCCATCTCCAGCATGGTCGAATCTTGTCTGTCTCCTGTTTACATGCAGCGAGCCTCAAGCCACTGTCGACTTCTTGCTTTGTTTCGTACCTGGAGGCCTGCAGCGGACTCGTAGGGCTCAGACTGAAGCTCCTCAACCGAGCTTTGTTCCCCTTTTCGACATGGACACCCGTTCTCCTCCAACAAGCCTCGCTGCGTTCTCGAAGAGATCATCACCTGTCGGAAAGATCATCACCTGCGAGCTCAGAAATACCTACTGGCACGCAGGATGGATGAATATACCTTGGAGAGTCTGATCTGTTCCCTCGCTGCGTGCTTCTCCGGCGGCGGCTCCATGACCACCTTGCGGATAGAAGACCGGCATCATCTCCTTCCGAGGGTGACGGAGGCGTGGTCATGGTTGCGCGTACGAAGCCTGACTTTGCCGGTCGAAAGACCCGTTGGTCTTCACGTCAGCGCAGCTCGGAGGGCTTGACGAGAAACGTATAGTGGGTCTACTGCAGGGGCAATTGCAGGAGGAGTTGTCGGTGAGTGACGACATTCATAAGAAGCACCGAGGAGTCTCACGCACTGCCTCGTCAAAATTCAGGCGGCGTCGTCGGTGTCGGTGCCGTTGCGGGCGTCATTGGCCATCTCACGTGAAGAAAGGAACCGGTTGGGAAGGAAGCCGTGCCAGAGGTCTCGACGGTGCCAACATGAAGCCGTGCTTTGTAATATGAGTCGACAGATGCAAGGAATGGAAGCTCAGGTCCGAATGCAGAGCCTAGAGGTGATTGCCCATGTCAAGGAGAGGAGTCTTGGGGAACGGCGCAGAGCTTGCATCCGCTGCAATCTGTATGTCTGATGCATGCTATACATTATCTGGAATTATATGCAAAAGTGCGTTGTGGGTATCTCGTGAAATCGTAGCATCCTCCTTCTCCACCAGGACGCGGCAAAAGATGGAAAAGTTCTAAAAGTTCCGGTAATCGCATAAACACTGTGAACTGTTCGAGGTGGGTGCCAGGGCTGTTGTGACTCTGTTTCCGATGACACCATTGACATATTCGTAGCAAGCGGGAGTGCTGTCTCCGCCCGCGCTGCTTTGGCTGATGTCAACAGCATATGGCCACTGGGCGTAGCTGGCACCACTAGTAGAAGCACCGCTTGGAGGGTACGTCCGTGGCTGAGAGAGGTACATCGTGCCGGTGAAGATGGTTTGGTTGAAGAAGCATTGCGTTGTGATACCATTGCTCGTAAGAGATGTCGTAGGAAAGACCGCCTTTTTCATCGTGAAGCTGAAAACGTATCGGGCCGCACTAGCATTGGAAGATGGAGAGATGTAGGTCAGATTTCGATCGTTGAACGTGATGCCGAATGGATTGTCCGTCGAGCTGACGGAGAGATTGGCCGGCACGCCTTGATCTGATGTAGGAGCAGTGCGGATCGTGGCATAGCTCGAAGAAGTGTTTCGCAAGACCCAGTTGAAAGTGGACATGATTGGGGCCGCTGAATCGGAATCTGAAGGGTCGTAGATTACAGATGGGTAGCAGCTCCATGTCGTCGGATTTGTCGTGCAAGTCGTTGTGACGTTTGTGAGTGCCGTCAACAAGCTGAACTCTCCCAAGGGAAATGGTTGAGTAACAGGACCATTATTATCTGCTCCCGAAGGTGCGCTCGAAGATCCGGATTGAGACGAATCGCCGTTGCGCCGGCCGACTGTCAAGCCGACACCTAATCCTACGGCCAGAGCAACAATGATCAAGAACACGAGAGCGACGATCAGGACGATGCGCTTCCGTCCGCCTCGCTGCTTTTCGCCACGTTGACGTCGGAGGGCAGACAGCTTCTTGTCTGCAGCATAGTCGACGGGGCCAGCGTCTTCCACAACCAGCGGTGCAGGAGGCCATTCGTAGGCAGGGGGAGCGCTCTGCGCAGTCGAGACACTACTTCGCTTGTCCGGTGATAGCCCGGCAGGCGTGAAGTATAGATTCCGCGACAGCGACGAGACAGAATTCGAATTCCTCAGGTTGCTCTTCGGAGGGATTGGCGGCGCGTAGGAGCTTTCTGTGATGGTCTGAAGCCGGAGGGAAGAAGGTGTCGATATGCGCTTGATGGCCGGTGTTCGCAACGCTCCATCAGGTACCTGGACTGGCGAACTCGAGGTCGGTGAATTGAACGCCATAGATCTGACTTGTGATCACGTCGAAGGGTCGCGGAGAGAGCGCGTCAAGTCGCGCCCTGGTGGTAGATTGTCCAGACACAGACAGACAGACAAGAGAGAGGTGGGCGGGAGGCGGGAAGCGGGGGACCTTTGAAGAGGAAAGCTGCATCCTTTGTTTGCAGGCGGAAGGAGGCGCTCTGCCATATACGACGCCATGAGGCTTTGGAGTGCGACGCGACTTCCAATCGGTGGATGACAGCGTTGCCAGGAGATTAGTACCAACCCACGTGAATCGCTCCTGCTGTATCCCTCTTAGCGTCCGTTGCGCCTTCCACGTTTCTGACTTTTAGACTTTACTTCAGCGGGGCCGTTCCATTCGTGTCCGAGCCAATCAATACCCCGGTCTCACCCGCGTCCAGCTAGGCTCATCTCGTTTTAGAATAGCAACCATGCTTCCTATCCAACAACACTTCAGACTTCACCTCTTCATCTTCCGCCAGACCTCGTGCCGCCTGCAATCCTTCTCGACAAACGCCGTCTCTACCTGCTTGTCATCTGCAACTCACGTCCCTTGATGTTAGGCATTGGCTGTCGCAGCGACCAAAAATTCATAGTTGATGCAGTGAGGTGAGAGAAATTGACGGCCAACGGCTGGTGCACGCTATAACGGCTTGACAGTTACACTACTGTCTTCCTGCGCGTCCACACGGCACGGCACGGCACCACACGCATCCAATTTTCGCGAACGCCCATCTGGACTCAATCCATTAATCGTCACCTGCCGGGATCTATGCACCCGTGACGCACGCGAGCACAACGTGCTTGACCAAGTGAGACCACGTCGTAGTCGCAGCAACAATGTCATTTGGCAAGCAAATCGTCACTCTCCCCGTTGCCGACGACAGTGACGGCACGGGCATCGCTCCGCCTGCATCCAAAGGACTGACGCGCAATGACGCGCATTTCCTGGACAAGATTGCGGAGCGATGGGCCAAGGAAGAAGGCCGCACACAATCCGGCATCGTTTACAGACTGGAACGCTTGCCTACCGGATACGGCGGTTACGAAAAGGGTCGAGAGGGAAGTAAGCACGTTGATCGATACATCTACGGCCATCCAAACGGACATTTCCGATCTATCAATGAGCTGTGGCCACACTTCAAACAGCTGCAGGAAATGGGCGGCACTGTGGGATGTGAATGCGTGCTGTGCGCGGGAAAGAAAAAGAAGGCTCCCAGCACTAACAGCAACAGCATTGCTAGCTCTAGTCCGGCTGGTCGGTCCAAGTACTTCCCTGCGAAAGCGCCTGCAGCTGCTCCAAACGCTTTCAAGCCGAGTCTGTCACAAGGTCGTCTCAATTCCAGCTCCTCTGCTGAGCAGCGCCAAAAGCAGGTGGACGATGAAGGCACTCCAGACCTCTATCGAAAGTTCTTGGATGACTTGAAGTCGAAACGAGAAGCTAACGAAGTGATCAACATTGACATCCGCGACAAGCTCTCGCCGGACTGGAGAGCGGGTCATGAGATGCTCCAGAATGTACTCACGGAGTGGCAGGATCTGCCCGGATACGTACCACGAATTGGCGAAGTCGTTCTCTTTGCCCGCAACGTTATGGAGGAGCGTATAATGTGGGATGCTGGTGAACGAGTCTATCGCCGCATCAGCTCCAACGCGAAACCAGATGCACCAAAGTGGGAGGCTGGAGTTGTAACACAGGTGCCGTTGGACTCTGTCGGTGTCGATGATCTCAACTACATTCCACAAGGCAAGCGGAACGTCACCTACTCGGGCTTTCGGGTTGAGCCACTACAACCATCTTCAGACACTCGGCCGATGACACTGTCGCACAGATACGTGCCACTCCATGCTATGCGCCCATTCTGTTTCTTGAAAGAGTGCCTCCCTAACACGGAGGTACCTGATCTGCATCCTAGCATACGCCATGCCCTTACGGTGGCCAACAGTTTCTGCCTTGTTGGTCGCTATGCTTTCAAGGGCGCCTGGCCAGAGGCTACCGTCTTCGTCCGGGCTGTCTATCTGGGAGCTGAGTCAATCATGGTCGGAGACGCTGTCCGTATCTTGCCTCTCAGCCCAGACGCGACAGCGGTGACGGATATTATGATTATCACGTCAATTCGATTACGGTTCGTCAACCTCGAAGAAGCAGGAGATGATGACTTGGACGACGAACAACCTTACAACACGGCGTTGCATGTCGCTGGTAAAGCATTTACACTCGATCCGAAACGGAGCTATAGCGGCATCGCCAAATCACCAGTGACTCCCAGTGAGCATGGACTGCCAAAGAGTCTAGCAGCATATGGGCAATTCTTCCATATTCTCGATCCCGCGGAGGAGAAGCAGCGCCTGGAGTTGCCGTTCCAGCGTATCTTAGGCCGATGTTTCGAAGATGTTGCTACGAAGGCCTGGTCCGCTGGTGCTGGGGACAAGCCATCGAACTCATCGCCTCCGAAGGTCGACATCTCCACAGGTCTGGCAGCAATGCAGAAAGCTCGCGCGTACAGCATGCAAAATGATCCACGCATTGAAAAGGCGGCTGGTAAGAGCTGGTTTTGGGCCGAGACACGCTTTGAGCAATTAGACCTGCACGAAGTGAACGGCAAGTTTGTAGGAGTGAAAGACGAATCACGGTCGAAGAAGCAGATGCACGCCTGGCGGCAGGCACTCAAAGTGCTCGATGGGAAACGAGGAGGATTGGAGGAGTACCATGCGGCACGTAAGCAACGCGAGGAGGAGGAGAAGCAAGAGAGTGCGCAGGCTGCTTCGAGCTCGTGGGGCCTGATGGCGGCCAATGTTGACAGTGCGACGGATGCCGAGAAAGAGGTCGATGAGGGAGCTCAAGAAGCTGAAGAGATCAATGAAGAAGGCCAGGATGGAGAACCCCAAGAAACTGAAGGCGCCATGGAAGTTGATACGGAGAGCAGCGCAATGCCGAACGCAAGCACCGAAATAGTGATCGATATTGCCGACGACGATGACGATGATGACGATGACGATGACGACGATATCATGGAACTGTGAATGCGTAGTCTCAACTGGGAAAGCAGACACCAGGAATACTCTTGCAGGCTGGTAAAAGAAAATATTCTCTACATCTCTCCACACCATGACCGCGCGCAAATAGGGCACGGAACTATCTTCAATGTAGAGAGCAGAACCATGGCTTTAGTGCCAGGCGAGATCCTGCTATGTACTAGGAAGGTGGTCTCGTGAAAGGCCCACCGCATAGTTACCAGAAAGCTTGGGCACTCTGTTGTCACTGCTGCATCATCTCTCTGCCACGGAGATCCAACAGTAAGCGGAACTGTGCGCGTACCTCGAAAGCGAGTCCTTTCTACATCCTGCTCGCTCTTTGCTGGTGGGTTGATGCCGAGACGAAGCACGCCCGAACCCGGGCGAAGGCTCGGATGGAATCGCAGGCATTTCCACATGAGGTTCATGGAAACGAAATGGACGAAGTGGATGAGGCAGTAAATGATCGAGCCGAATTGATAGACCTGCAAGTACTTAATCAGCTTATGCACAGGAGATTTGCTGGTATCAATAAGGACTTACGTTCGTGGCTGATTCGATGCGACGCCATTCGAGAAGGAGAACCGTCCATCGCGGTATTTCACAAGAATCATGGCAACTGGCGGCCTGTGGTCAGCCTCGCCGAGCGGAAGAAGGACGAGTATCGCTAGGAGGTCTTTCCAAGTACTTTATTGTCGCTACCGTACCGTACTACTGTCTGTGTCCAGCCAGCAGGAACCACTTGGAAACAAAGCAAACACGGACGCACCTTGTTTCCCTGTTCTGCGAGAGCGTTGTCGTCCACTTTACAAGTTCATTCCCGTTCATTGTTTGTGTGACCCTTTCAGCTCCGCGAAGTAGCTCGCTCAATGTATGCAGAACGGCACCTTGGACGGGACCATACCAAACAATCCGCGCGTGCCTACCAAAGGGTATGGCACACCAGGATGAATTTCCCGCCCAGCGGAGCAATGGCCTTGGATAAACAGATATGACCGTTCTTTGATTCGTCGCCTCCAACTGGACGCTAATACAGGCCAACATAAGTGTCGCTGTCAAACAACGGATCGTCAGTATGTCCAACGTTTCTCCCAGGGTTTCCGGATTATCAGGATTGGCTCTGTACTGTCGAGAGCGTTATCGCGTGTTGAGACCGAACATCGACTGTTCGAACGGTACAAGGGTGAGAGAAACTTGTGGCCAACGATCCGGATCCGGGTGGTTCAGTGTGCAGTCAGTGTTCAAAAGGGCAGACTCTAGCTGCGTTGTAGACGACATAATAATGTAAGGAATGCCTTCGTTTCGACCCGGCGAGGCGTCCCACGGTAGTTGAGATCCAAGCGCGGCTGCAACCCAACGGCTGGAGCCTGGACAACAGTCTTTATTATCATGGCATGCGCAACGTGAAGCCCGAAGCTGGACTGCCTTGGTACTGTGAGGATGAAAGGGGCAGCAGACACAAGCTGCAAATGGACTTTGAAGACGAATGTCGGCTGGGGCTCGCGAGAGATCAACTACCCGATGTGATTGATCCATAGTCAGTGGGACGTCTCTCGCGACATTGTATCAGACCACAAGCTCCGATCCGATGCCCAGGAGCTCAGCGGAAGTCAGCAAGGGTTTTGGGTCATCATCGGCCTTTGAGGGCGACACTTGGAACTTATACAACCGTACGGCTTCTACCAACCACCTCCCCGCGAGCTAACTGGGCTGATGGCCTAATCTCCGACCTGCGTCGGTCTGGGCGGCGAACCAGGTCCATATCCGTCTCGGTTGACGTATTGCTCCTGCAACCGGTTCCCACGATTCTGCGAGTGCTTGCTTGTATGTGTCCCGTTCCGCCTCAGAGTGCTTCCTTGCCGTTGCACCGTCTCTGCGTTCCCACTGCTGCGCCCGACACTACTCTTGCGACTCGACTTTCGCGGCATTCCGTATTCTTTGCGGTAGAGGCGTTCGACTTCGGCATTGCTGGCTCCGCCGTTGAGAATCGTTTCGGAATGGATCATGGATTTGGGACCACCTGGGTAGCGGCCCTTTTTAACCTGGAAGAACCATTAGATGGATTCCGAAGGGGATCGGAGAGGGCGATGCTTACTTTCTTCCGACGATGGAAGTACGTACAGGTCAGATAGAAGCCGTGGATGTGGCTAGGTATCACGGCCAGGATGAAGAGAGCGCAATTGAGCATGCAGTCCCACGAGGCTGCTCCGCAGAGAATGATGATGGCTACCGGAGGGAAGATGATGTTCACAATGGTGAGGAAGACGCGGTACATGAGGGCTCCCATCTTTGCTTTGCGGTCGTGGTGGTGAGCTGGTATGCCTGAGGTGTCCGTGTCCGGGGTAGGTATATCTACTTCATCTTGGATCGAAATCAATGACGCCGCGGAGAATGATGGGCAGTAAGCACAGCCTCGTTCAACAAGGAGATGATGAGAGGTCTCGTACTACCTTTCACTCAGCCATGAGGTTCGCAGTTGTTGACCAGGTCCATGCTGGCCGGAAGAACGTGTCGGCGTGGATGTAAACTTGGAAAAGTTGCAGCTCGCAGAGGTCACTCACAACTGCATTCCCTCAGCCACTGCGAGCCGAGCACAGACCCTCCCTCCCACGTCATCCAGCAAGTCCATCTCACATGCAGGTGCATCCTCACCTTGCACCCGTGTCGGCGATGATTACATGTACCGATCTCTGCCCTTGCCACACCTCACCGTCGGCAAGTCTACAAATGGCCGTTCCGACGTTCGCCGCGAGGTAGGTACAAATATCAGCTTGCTCATCATGACTGATCTACCCACGATCCGCTGGGGCATCGTTGGTGAGTTGAAGCCCTTCTCACCGAAATCATCTCTCGATAACTGACCAAATCAGCCACTGGCATGATAAGCGAATGGTTCGTAACGGATATCCTGAAAGCCTCCTGGCCAGACAAACGTGCAAATCACACCATCTCAGCCGTCGGCTCTTCATCTCTACACAAGTGTCAAGATTTCACGGCCAAGTTCATCACGCCTGCAAACCCGGAAATCCAGCCCAGGCTCTATGGGTCTTACCAGGAGGTCTACGGGGATGGAAATGTCGACTGTGTCTACATCGGGACACCTCATAGCTTTCATAAGCAGAATTGTCTGGAAGCCATCGCAGCCGGAAAGAATGTGCTGTGTGAGAAGCCGTTCGCGATGAACGCCCAGCAAGCGGAAGAAGTTTTCCAGGCGGCTAAGGCGAAGGGCGTTTTCATCATGGAGGCCATGTGGACGCGATTCTATCCTCTCGTGAAGAAATTGCAAGATGTGCTGTTTGTGGAGAAGGAGATTGGCAAGGTCTATCGCACTTTCTGCGACTTTGGCCTGGATGTAGATATCCCATCGTTGCCGGAGACGAGTCGTTACAAGGACCCGGCCCTGGGCGCGGGAAGCCTGTTGGACATTGGAATCTACAGCCTGACTTGGGGCATCGTCACTTTGAGCGACAAAGTTGGCGATGCTGCCGAAGAGGCAGAAGTCCAGAGCACGCAGACGATCGAACATGGCGTCGACACAGCGAGCTCGGTGCTGCTCAGATACCCCAGCACCGGTCGCCAGGCAATCTGCACCTCAACCACCAACCATCCAAGGCATGTCGAGTTCGCACGCATTGAAGGCAGCAAAGGCTACATCACCGTCCACTCAACGGATGCTCCGTCATCTCCCGAATGGTTCGTCTTGCACCCCAAAGATGGGAGTGCGGAAAGGTACGAATTCGAGAAGCCTGGACGGGGCTTCTTCTGGGAAGCAGATGCAGTCGCTCAAGATATACATGCTGGCCGGAAGCAGAATGGCACCATGCCATGGGCTGAGACGATGCGCATGTTGAGGATTATGGATGGCGTGCGCCGGCGAGGAGGAGCTCGATTTCCAGTTGATGACTGGTAACTCGAAGACTACGACGAATGACAACCAGGCAATTCTTCCGCAGGCCTAAATATGAATATGCCGTTGCTACTGGGGAGAGAGTCTGGTGTTCAGGCTAAATCGCGTCCTCCTTCTCCAAGGGGCAACGCCGGTGGGCGGAAAGTGGGGGATGGCGACCACATGCCGACTGGGCGTCTTCGGTCCGACCCGACCCACCCCTCCCCCACTTTGACCGTGGCTCTGCCCCTCCACATCAGATACGCCCGGCTCATCCATTGTGCATATTTACATGCACATTACTTTTACTCGCGCACACTGTGCTGGGGTGTCCGGCGCGTGTTGGTTCCTGGAGAGAAAATTTCCTCACCTTGGAGAGCCGCCAGCGCAGGCCAACCTCTGCCTATATTCGAATGCCGTTGCACCCCACCATCGTCATCATCATCATGTGCCGTGTCGGAATTCCTCCTAGCGCCCTCACACTATCGCGGTCATCGCATTGGAACCTTCGTCGGTTGGCCTACACGCGGTGACCGGATTAGACTGCCGCGGATGGTTCCGTGGTCCTGTTCCTGTTGGATCATCTTTGCCATGCTTCCGCCTGTAGGTACAAAGGTTACGGTATCCTTCCTGTCCTTGCCATTCCTGCATTCTCAATCGCCGAGCCAAGACGTCGCTGTCAGCGAACACCGTCATGTCTTCGACGACGACAATTGCCCCTTCCAAGGCCAACATTGGTGTCTTCACTAATCCTGCGCACCATCTCTGGATAGCAGATGCTCTCCCCACCAAAGAAGACGTCGAGAATGGAGAATCGCTGCATCCCGGCGAAGTCACCGTTGCCATCAAGAGCACAGGAATCTGCGGGTACGGAAACCTTAGCAATCTGCCTCTGTATATTGCCAACTGACCTCCCAGATCTGACGTCCACTTCTGGCACGCCGGCCGCATAGGCCCCATGGTCGTAGAAGACACCCACATCCTCGGCCACGAATCCGCCGGCATCGTCGTCGCCAAACATCCTTCCGTCACCACACATTCCATCGGCGACCGCGTCGCCATCGAACCCAACATCATCTGCGGGGAATGCGAACCTTGCCTGACAGGGAAATACAACGGCTGCGTCAATGTGGAATTCCGCAGTACACCTCCCATCCCGGGCCTGTTGAGGCGATATGTTAACCATCCGGCGGTTTGGTGTCATAAGATTGGGGATATGAGTTACGAAGATGGTGCTTTGCTGGAGCCTCTGAGTGTTGCGTTGGCGGGCATGCAGAGGGCGAACATCACCCTGGGAGATTCCGTTGTCGTATGCGGTGCGGGACCTATTGGCCTGGTGACATTGGCCTGTGTCAAAGCCGCGGGAGCAGAACCCATTGTCATCACAGACATCGACCAAGGACGTCTGAAATTCGCCAAGGAATTCTGTCCCTCGGTCCGAACACATCTCGTCGATTTCGACGATACCCCGGAACAGTTCGCGAAGAAAGTAGTAAAACTGGCAGATGGAGTCGAGCCCGCCGTCGTGATGGAGTGCACCGGCGTCGAATCTTCCATCTCCGGAGCCATCCACGCCGCCAAGTTCGGAGGGAAAGTCTTCGTCATCGGCGTCGGTCGTCCCGAGATCAAGATCCCCTTTATGCGATTATCCACCCGCGAAGTGGATTTACAGTTCCAGTATCGGTATGCGAATACCTGGCCACGGGCGATTCGCTTGTTGAGCGGCGGAGTGATAGACTTGAAGAAATTGGTGACGCATCGGTTTGCCCTGGAAGAGGCGATTGATGCGTTCAACGTTGCTGCGGATCCGAAGCAGGGTGGGATTAAAGTTATGATACAGAGTATGGAGGAAGGGGAGCGATGAATGAGGGGCGAAGAGGTGGTGATTTTGTTTGTTCAGCCTGATTTTATCAAGGTCAGCGGAGCGGGTATGGTGTGGATACTTGGTGCAGGGTTGGGTATAGACTGTTTGCTTCCTTCTCTCTACCTAGATAGCAAAACCATCACAGCCAGATGAAGTACTCTACGAAATTCTTATCCGCAAGGAGGGATGTTCACGAAGCCACCCCGTCCTGAACCCCACGCTTGCCATTGGCCCAAAACATCAAATCACAAACCAAAATGTCAAATCCAAGGCTTTCTTCAAACCAACAGACTCTCACCCTGTATAAAGACCACCCAAACATCCGCCTTGCCCTCCGCACTCTCACTCAACAGCGGCACACATCGAACCCCCAACCTCGTCTCCTCCCACATGACCCCCGCATGGAACCCCTCCCCACCACCACCCCCCGTCATCATCGCACGCCTCGCCACAAGCCCCACAATCTCCCGCTGAAACCCCCTCGCAGCCTCCGAAGCCCCCGGCGCGCCATCTTTCACATACCAATCCTGATACAGTCGCCGGGAGACCCAGGGGAGGCGGACGTTCGAAGGCACCCCGTTCTCATGATGCGCGGTGGCTTTCAGGATCACGAAATCCTCGTGTCCGTCCCGGATGCGGTCGAGTTCGGAGAGGAGGGTGAGGGTTTGCATGGAGCAGGTTTCCCGTTGCAGGTCCGCGAGGGCACGGAGGGCGTTGTCGAGGGTGTCGGCGAGGTGGGCCGTGGCTTGGAGTTCGTCTGCGAGAGCCGTCCAGTCGATGTCGGGAGATTGCAGGGGAGGAGGGATGCCTCCGGCAGAAGAAGAAGTTGGAGAGGCTACGAGTTCGATCTGCTCGCGGGGCGTTTCCGTCAACTGCGCCAGTTCGGCTAGTGCTGCCTTTGTGAAGATTTCCGTCACGTCGACGTCTGCTACGAGGAGGTAGGTTTTCTTGCCCGTTTTGCGATCGACTACCTGGTTGACGCACTGCAGCATGACTTTGCAATTCTTGTTGATGTTGGACGGGGGCTCGATGCGCAGGGCGCATTCGACGTCGCTTCCGTAGGGCACGTTCACGAAGCTACACGAGCCGATCGACACCACGTTCGCTCCGACTCGATAGGTCCGGGAGATGTATCGAATGGGCGACCCATGGACCTTGGGATCCGTCAGAGCGACACCGCCAAACGGAACCGTTGCAGCCGCGGGAGGTAGTGGTAGTTTCTTATTCTCGTAGCAGCTGGTGTCGATGCGAGCAAAATCTCGTGCTTCGATATCAGGCTGCGTCTCCGGAAAGGACCCTTCATTCACAAAATTCTCGTTCGGTCGTGAATAGAGCGTCGAAGCGGAAGTCAGTGTAGGAGTAGTAATGGACGTGTAAGAAACAACCGTCTGGTCGTCTGGTATATCCTCCGCATCCCACCAATGCTTCCGCACGTGTTTCTGAACCGTACTCGACTTCACAAGGGCGGCGATCAGCTGATCCAGTTGTAGCGGCGATATCGTCAATTTCTCGTCTGTCGTTCTCCTTGGTGCGCGTGATGTAGGAGCATCCACGGGTCCATGACCAACATATATCGCACTCGGCGGTCTCGATAGCGAAGCGCGTGGCGTCTTAACTTCGCCTCCTTTCTCTTTGTCCTGCGATGTCACAGTCTGCTCATCCGGCATCGTCGGACTCGGCTTGGGGCTGGACAAGAAAATTTGCGACTGCGTAACCTCCGTCGGAGTAAAATATATATCGCCTTTCTTCTTCCGTCGAGACGAGCTCGAAGCGGTCGAGGAATTGCGCTTGTGCGAGACGTCCGTGTCGACGGCCAAGTCAGCCTTGGTTGTCGGGATGCGGCGTTCGTGCTTCTTGGGCGTTGTCAGATATCCTTCATACTCCTTCACCCTCTCTGGAACACTAACATGTGATTTGCCGCTACCCGAGGAGCTGAAAGCTGGCGAAGGGTCTCTGTTAGCGCTGCAATTTGGCTGTGGCGAGTATCGCGCAGGCATCAAGAATTCCAGACTATCATCCTTTCCTTTGGTTGGGGTTGGCGCAGTTTCCGAAGTCACTGGCGCCGGGCTGCTGCCGCTGCTGCTCGATGCGCTTCGTGAGGAAGTAAACCCATCACCCTGCTCCTCTTCAGTATTCACGGTGCTTGGTGTGAAGCGCACGCTTCTTCTGACAGCCGACCGGCGCTGGAGCTTGCTCTTGTCCTTGTTGGCTTTATCCATGGCCTGAAAGCCCTCGATCGAGGCGGCATCATCGTCTGGGCTGCTTGGCGGCGATTTGGCGCCAGTCAGCTGCGAAGCAGATGCAACTGTATACTCATGAGTCGTCATTGTGACACTTCCCTACCGTCTCAGTAGCTAGGTCTTTCTTATCAGAGATCCGGTGAGTGACCTTGTCCTTCTCTGTCTTGGATTCAACAATGCTGGTCTCAGACCAGGTTCGAAGCGAAAAGTACGGCGCAATCAGTGATTGTGGATTAGAGATGGGAAAATCGCGGCGTCGAACTCTCGCGGTGGCCTGTCAGTTACAAGGAAGAATTTCGAGGCCATTGAATACAATGTCTTTCGCATCTGAAATGATGTGGCGCATGTGCTCGTTGTGAGATCGAACTCGAGACAAAGGAAGACAAGGATATCGATCCGAGACGTGGAGAATGGTGACGGCATCAAAGGGCTCAGATCCGTCGGTGTGGTTCGATAACAAGGAAAGGTAATTCTAGAGAGTCTGGGAGGTATCGAAGTCGTCGTTGCTGCATTACTGTCAAGTTCTCCTGCCTGCGTGACCTTACAGTCGAAGCGTAAGTCCCATACTTCCCTTTCGGATCGTCCGATTCCTCACTTGTCCGAAGCACATGCGCCGACGCTGAATGCCATGATTAGCTGTACACATAGTAGACAAATGCCAAAACGTCTAAAGCGGGCGACTTTGAGTTGCAGTCGTACTCAGAAAGCCGCTAGTCTCCCTCATGTGATTCATGGATTCGTCAAAAGATATTCGACGGCGCCTTGAACACTGCCGCCGCTTCTCCGGAGCGCTTGGATATTGCGCTCAAATTCGTAGAAGCCCATGTCGTTCAGTTGTCGTAGTTGCTCGGAATACCTCTCCTCTGGCGGTCTGGTGTCAGCGGGTGCTTGAGGCTCGGGTGGGCCGCCAAGTCCGCCGAAACCGAAGGGGTTGAACCCGGCTGCTCCAGCATCTCCCGCGCCACGAGCACCTCCCCCAAAGGCTTGCATCATCTGCTGCATCATTTGAGGATTCTGCATCATCTGCTGTGCCATTGACTGCACCGGATTCTGTTGCCCTGACTGGCCCTGGGCGCCAGCGCCGAACATGCTGGCGAACGGATTGCCTGCAGCAGCTCCTCCATTGCCTGCGTTCTGCTCGCCTGTAGCTGCTCCCGCACTCGTATTAGGAGCTCCACCAGGCGCTTCAGCACCCGGGAACAGAGCTGCGAATGGGTTGGCCGCGGGCTGCGTGTTCTGTATGCCAGTAGCAGTGCCGCCGGTTGCGTTGTTGCTGCTCTCCGTTGCCGGCGTTGTGTCTGTCTGTCCTGGCATGGGGAAGGCTCCTCCATCTCCGCCATCTCCACCCATAGCTCTCTGCATTTGCATCTGCATGCGAATCATGTCCGGGTTGAGCATCATGCGCCGCATCTCCGGGTTATCGATAGCAGCCCGTGCCATGGGATTGTTGCGGATCATAGGGTTGTTCCGCAGCATATCTAGCACTGCTGGATTGTTCATCGCTTCATTCATCTGCTGTGCAAAATTCGGGTCTTCCAGCATCCTAAGCATCTGATCCGGGTTTGGCGGTGCCCCCATGCCTCCATCTGCCCCAAACATGTCAGCACCAGGTAGACCGTGAAATCCGGCATAGCGAGCACCGGTCAGCTGAGCAAGCGGGTTGCCCGCACCGGTACCAGCTGCTATGTTGGAAGGCACGTTCGACGCCGGTTGTCCTGCTCCGGGAGGCACAGCTGAGCCGCCTTGATTGCTCGGATTCTGCCGCTGATTGCTCTCTGCGCTGCGGACCAGGTGCACTGTGTTGCCGTCCTTGATCTTGACGCTCGCGACGGTGTCCCCATCTTTCAGCACGCGGCCACTGTAAATCAGACGCTGCCGCTCGGGAGGTGTATTCGCGTACTCCTCGGTCGATAGCTTCTGCTTCAGATCGGCGATGGTGGTGGCTGTGGATACGGTGATGACATATTTGGCGTCTGATGAGGACTTGACGTTGAATGTGATCTGCTGCTCGCCTTCGCCGCCGTCGTTGTTACTGTCGGCCATGTTGGCCCGGCAGGGTAAGAGATGGCAGGGTAGATGCGTAAAGCTCGATTGTAGTGTCGCCGCAAGTCGTGGTATGAATATGGCGCTCGAGGTTGATCTGGTGAGAGTCAGAAGAGAGTCTGATCGGCGGAGGTGATCAGGTGCGCAGGGGAGTGTGAATAGGCGTTCGTTCGCGGGTGCAGTGCAGTAGCAGTAGTGGCAGGCGAAAGGCAAGTACAAGTCCAGGTCACAGTGGAGGTTACAGAAGCGTGGAAGGCTAGGGAATCATCCCGCCGGAGATCGGATGCCTGAGGCGCGCAAGTATGACGCTGTGTGCTGGACTGGCGATGCTGGACCCTGAGATTCGGGATATCGTCCCGCCGAGACCGTTCACAAGTCTTCGGCGAAGCGAACCTCGGCTGCCCACCTCCCACGACGACACGGCGTCGGCCACATTAGCCCAAGGTAAGGTATACTTGAACGCCTTTCTATACCTCTACAGGACATCATTCTCCGCTCATATTTCGCCTCTTGAGTCTTTCGAATCCACTTCTTCAGCCAAATCTGCCAATATGAAAGCCATCCAGCTCAAGGAATACGTCAAGGTAAACACTACCTCCCTTTCACCAACTGACAGACATACGTTCCTGTGTCTGGAAAAGAATGATCAGCACTATCTGCGAGTGTCAGAGAACGTCAGGCTCAGGATACAAGATCAAGACTCATCTCACCTTACGAATTTTCGACGATAGCCAACGCCGAGTAACACCGGCCATGGAAACGTCTTCATGTTGTTGAGATTAAGACAGCATCAGCATCTCAATTTCTATCAAGTGGGGCCATATTCTGTATACCATTTTAACTCCTCTATAGGGTCCTCGCGACCTCACCGTCTCCTCCGTCCCGGACCCATCCCCAAACCCCGACCAATATACCATCGCCGTCAAGTCCTGCGCAGCAAACTTCTTCGATCTCCTCCAAATCCGCGGGAAATACCAATGGCAGCCTCCGTTCCCCTTTGTGTCTGGAGCAGAATTCTCCGGCCAAATCATCGCCGTCCCCAGCTCGCCTTCGCACCGTCCTCCAAAATTCCAAGTCGGTGATAGGGTCTTCGGTTCCGCACAGGGAGGCTACGCGACCAAAGTCTGTGCCCTCGAATCCCAACTGCAACCCATTCCGCAGGGATGGAGCTACTTCGACGCAGCGGGCTTGTTCGTGACCATGCCAACGTCCTACGGCTCCCTCATCACGCGAGCCAACATCCAAAAGGGCGACTGGGTCCTCGTCCACGCCGCAGCAGGCGGAGTCGGCCTCGCCGCAGTGCAAATCGCCAAAGCAATGGGCGCCACCGTAATCGCAACAGCCGGAACCCAACACAAACTCGACGTAGCCAAGTCCTTCGGCGCAGATTACGGCATCAACTACAAAGAAGATTCCTGGCCGCAACAAGTCCTCGACCTCACTCCCAAGAAACGCGGCGTAGATATCGTCTACGATTCCGTCGGCCTGATCGAGAAATCGACAAAGTGTATCGCTTGGAATGGAAGGTTATTGGTCGTGGGATTCGCTGGCGGAACGATTGAAAAGGTTGCTACGAATCGTATTCTGCTCAAGAACATTTCTGTCGTGGGGTTGCATTGGGGTGCTTACGCGCGGTTTGAGCCAGAGAAGATTACAGAGGTGTGGACAGAGTTGCATAAGTTGATGGAGAGCAAGAAAGTGCGGGCGACGAATTATACGGACAAAGAGTACAAGGGCTTGGAGTCGATTCCGGCGGCATTGGAGGCGTTGGGTGCGAGGGACACATGGGGCAAGGTGGTGATTGATTTGCCGGAAGAGAGGGAGAGCAAATTGTAGGAACAGGACAGTAATCGAGAGGACGGGAGAGCGTCGTGTGACGCTCACCGTTTGATTTCGATATCTGGTGCCATTTCCCCACTGCAGCAGTGGTGGCTTTTTGTTGTGCGGGTCGATTAGAACGTTGCCCGTATTAGCCATGGTCAAAACCATGTCTCTCGCACCCGCCGCGTGTGCGTCTTCTGTCCACCTCCAACTCCTTCGCTCAAATCATACAACCTTCACGATAAATCTCTCCTCCTCTCAACAAGTACATGTACAGCCATTGTCGAATGTAAATGCTGGGGTATCATATGTTTGTCTTCATGACTCGCTCTCGGCACTCCGTATCCTCTTATGATCCTTTCTCTTCCGTATCTGCACAGGTTTGGCAACGCGTGCACAAGTAGTCTTGAGCTCTGACGATCTCCTGAATTCCATGCGCGTCCTGGAGACGGCAACGCTTGACCTCCTCGATTCTGCGATGATGGGCCTCGCGTCGCTGCTGTTGTAGCCCTCGTCCACCTCGACAGGTGACGAGAGCGATGCTTGTGAGAGGATGTTGCATTGTTCCTTGTCGTCCACCATTCGATTCAACAAGCTCGAGATGTCTCTAGCATGCGATATCGAGCATAGTAATCGCGTGTTGAGTTGTCGTTGTATTCGTCGCGAAGGAGAGTGTGACCGTGAAGGCACGGTGCGTGATCGACTCATGATTGATGAGAGGTCGTCGTCAGGTAACGGAATCTCCCAGCCCGCATCATCATCCGGATTCGCATAGGCATCGCATGAATCGTAGCATATCTGCGCGTCCGTTCGTAATCTCGAGCTTGCAAATGTGGCAGCGAGATCGGTTACCGAGAACCGGGGTTGAGGAAAGGCTGTTATGGGCGAACAAGGCGACACCGATCTTGAAGGCTGTCGTGTGGATGATGTATTGCCGGTGGAGTCCAACGATGGTGTTCGGGATGTAGTATGGAAGGTGAAGTTCTCGTCGAACATGGTGACGAATTGCAGGTGTAGTGGGTGTAGGATGATGGAACGATGGCAGGGTCGGAGGTGTGCTGCACTGAGACAATGCCCGGCGGTCATGCGCAGAAGTGAAGTCGGCACTGGCGACGTATAACAAATAACAGGCAGGCGGGTCGCGAACAGGATGGATCTCCAACGCGGCGAACAGGTGCGGGTCGGGTAGAGTAATAACTGGAGCAGAGTTAAGTTAGGCGGCACGAGGCGAAGAGCTTGTCGCATGTGTGCATGCAGCACAATGTTCCTGTAGGGCTGTGGGCTACGTGAACAGCGCGGGCCAAACAGCGGCGACGGGTGTACGGCGTGAGACGTGTGGACGGTCTGGAAGGGATCCCGGTCGGCTGGGAGGAGGCCGCCACCCAGCAAGAGCAGGGCCGGGAGAGGCGACCACAGACTGCGCACGAGCTGGCGTGAGCGTGCCAATGTATGTACGTGCCCCTTTGGCGCCAGCGGCACACGCCCCAACGTGCTGGCCTCGTTTCGTTACCACACGCTACCTACATGTAACGTTGTCCTGGCGCTTGCGTGTGGTGTGGTTGAGAGGAGGCTGCTGGCCATCCACAGACTTGCCGTGCCCGCCGTTCGAGACTTTCTGCCCCCGGCTCGATCAGGCAGCACGCCGGACACTAGTATCACTCCAGGTGGGTCCAGCACATGGCGATTGGCCCGCTGGACACGTTGATTCCATGCCGACGAGCTTCTAGAAGTGCTCCAAGCGCCTGCGCCCGGCGCGGCGTGTGCCGTGTCCAACCGCTCGTAATCATCTCGCAGACATCTCAGCTTCCGTCAGGAGGATAAGAATGCACAGCATAGCAGCACAGCATTTATGACAGGATCGGATCTCTGCGACCGTCGAGACAAGCCGCATGGAAGTCAGCAGTCGTGTTGGCAGAAGAACAATGCGATCACAGTGCGATGAGCCCAAACGGCCCGTCTTCCTTCGGGCTCTGTCCCGAGAACAAGACCGCTGATCCGCGCTCACTCTCTCCTCAGGCTCCCTCTCCCTCCCAGCTTCGGGTGTCCACATCTCTGGACTCAAGCCGGATAAGACATCTTCTTGGCCGACGTCATCTCCGCACGCCAAGTTGTATGTCGTACTTGTCGCCATCGTCTTCTTCTCAGGAACACGGTACATGGCAACCGACGAGTTCCAGATCGAGAGCGAGCCCACAGATCCGCCGATCGCGCGACCGTTGGCCTCTCACAAGCCAGCTCTGAACCGCATTGGCGCGCGCACATAAACTGAGTTCTGCGCTACAGAGAGACCCTTCCAACCTTCCTCTTGAGCAAGAGGTACAGACAAGGATCACCAATCGATGTCTTTCGCCATAGTCAATCTGGGGTCCTCTGTGTCCCAAGGCTCGGTACCGAACGGACAGCAATGTCACAGCAGCAGCCTCAGGGCGCTTCGTGAGACAGCCACCACGAGAATGGTCCCCGGAAAGTGCCTTATTTGTGGCGACTTGTGGCTGCACGTGGCGGCCTTCGTTATTGCGTGTGAAGTCACCAGGCGTCTGCGGGTTGCCAAAGTAGTGCCTCCCGCTGGAAATTGAGCAGGTTTCCAGACTCTCCACGCCCAAACATTCGCGCCAGACAACCCTCCACTGTGGGGTGGACATCATGGCAACCCCGTGGTGGCGCCGGACGAAAGCCAGTGACTCAAACGAGGCAAGACGGCACTTCCTACCTTCTCGAAATGAAGTACCACTTGTTGGGTGTAGGCTCATAAATGCGCGGCATCTTCCGCTCCCGAGGGTATGCTCCTCGAGCATCCAGCGGAAACAGCGAGTTGGACGGTAACATATCCGCCACAGGATGTAGCTTCCTTCGAGATGACCTTTCATCAGCCGCAACAGGTTATTCAATCCAGCAAGCTCTGAACGGTAGACTGTAGCGTCACCTATCGAGGCATCTCGCACTGGCTGCTTGCAGGCCTGCAGCATCTTCTCAACATGCAAGATTATCTGGACTGATGTAATCGCCGGTATGGTGCTGTCCCACTTGTCGTCACCGCTACCCTGACTGGGATATTCGAGATCGATACTACCACAGCTACTATCAATGCGGCAACATGCTTCAGCTCAAGCGGGGTGTGGATCCGCTAATAGCTCGTGAGGTATCTTTGAGAAGGAAAGAAAATTGCGCATTGGGAGCCTTAGCGAAGGACTGACTACCTCCAGCTGAGCGATACCCAACTTGAATATCTGGACTTTGGTGGGGCCTCCCCTTGAAAGCGCATACTCGTGGCAATGCTGCACTTGGAGGTGTTGGTCGCTGCATATTACAGCCGAAACATCTCATCAATAGGAGCAAAGGAGTCAGGACCAAGGAGATGAGTACCCGAAGGTAACAGCGTATTTGGTTGCAGCAGGTTTGATGCAGGTTCGAAGAAAAGGGAAAAGTTTTGGATCGCCTTGGAAGGTGCGAGTGAGAGCATGTAAGGAAGGTGCTTTGGTTGCTCCTGCGCTGTGACCCAGAAAGTTTACAAGCACAGGCCAAGACTTCACGTGCGACACGCTAACATAGCATTTTCTAGTCCCGGAAGCATAGCTTCACATGAAATGCTAGCGTCCGGGACAAGCTCTCCCAAGCAACATGCGTGAGGTAGTGGTCTGTCCGAGGGATTGTCCGTCCTATTTGGCCAACGTGCATTCACAAGGTCGCTTCAGATGAGTCTATTGTTGCCAGTCGAAGCTCGCCGCTTCTCCTGGAGAATCTTTTTCTATCAAAAGCGTTCAGAGAGCGATTTTCTCGTCAAACGTGCCATATCTTCGTCGAGATCGACGCTGAGCCTCAATTCTGCTATATCACTGCGAATTCATACATGCACCAACAAGAGTATTGCAGATACTGGTGAATTCGTCTTCGTCCTGTTGTGTGGCCTCGGTCCAACGCAAGAGATCAGATACTACCGATAATCTCGCGTACGTTAAAACACTCCGCCTTTGCCGACCCCAAACATATAGAAACTAAAACAAAAAAGTCACGTATCGATATGCATCCAGAGAGAGAGAGATATGGCCAAATTAAGACTACGCATCAAAAGGGAACAAAAGAACAAAAAACATGGTAGCGCGACGCAGGGCTCGAACCTGCAGCCTCTTGATTTGAATAGGATGTAATAATCGTAGTCAAGCATTCTACCATTGAACTAGCCGCGCTCAAATTTCTTCAGTGTCGAATGTGGACTTTTTAACCCGCAAAATTCGAATATGTAGCTTAGTGCTACAATCCTCCGAGGAAGGTCCGAGCTGTGAGCGGTTGATTCACGGGCTTTCGACTTCTTACTTGGTGGGTACGCTGAGGGATTATTTATGCGAAGACTTTCTTGTGGAAGCTGCTGTAAGGGGTGATGTTCCGTGCTGGTCGGGATCTTCTTCCACGAGACAAGGCGCCGTTTGGCTTGCGAAGCGATTTAATAAGCAGTCGACCACGCACGTCGCTTCTGAACCGACACAGCGCACCCCTGTATTGTCAACACTATTGACAGCATCTTCTGGTTGATCTGTTACCCGGTCAGGCTCCACAGGCATCCACTTCGCTAGCTCCGTCACTGTGAACCCCAATATGCGACCTTTTGGCATGTCGCAGCCTTGTCTAAGGAGGATTCCCGCAAGCCGTGCCGCTGGTTTCTCCCCCATGGCCCTTCGTGAGCCTCCACCACCCGCGCTGAAGAAGTCGCAGGCCTCGTGGTCGACGCTTTCCCAATATCATGCCTCTGGGTCCTCTCTTCCTCGAGGAATGCCGCTCTTTCTCAGCCCGCAACCAACACTTATTCTGGATTTGCCGGCGACAAGCAGAAGTTCATGTCCAATTGGGAAGCGCGTGAGAACAGTTGTCGGGCTGAAACGAGGCAATCTTGCAGGACTTCCCTCCACGCGTCTAGTCCACGGTCGGAGTACCAGACGCCATTTTCAACAAAGACGGCCCGCTCTGTTGTGGTAGATGCGGTCTGCCCTCTAGTAGCTAAATGTGCCCACTAGATTGCAGCGTCTGGACTATGTTCTTTCGTGTCGTCATCTCTTTCATCTTCATAGCGACGCAGCGGCCTGCACTGCTCCAGCGCCCTTGAAAGTAGCCGGACTCGTAATTTCCACAGAGACCGGGTATTTCCATTTCATGACCTTTGCCCAACCTATACCTCCAGTTAGCTCCATCTTCCCTGCCGCAAACAAGTGTATCCCTCACGTACCCCAATAGGCACACTTCCGGCCAAAGTACTTTCCCAAATACGGAATCAGGACCAATGTTAACATCAATTCCAACTGTTGCAAGCTCTCCTTCCATTCTCGTTCCGCATCTGAGTAGAATTCGTCTTCGCTAGGAGATACCGAGGTGCTGGAGCCGGCTGAAGAGGACGGGAGAGAGTCGACTTCTTCCGCCGATGGGGTGGGAATATTCGCATACGAGGAAGAAGGTTCCGACATGGCGGTTGGACTGATGTGAGTAGCAGTGGATGTACAGGGACGTCGCGTCTGGCATTGGATGTTGTGGTCGTTGAGATGAAGCTGGAGCCATTTGGGAGACTGAACAGTCGGGGGCCAAAAGTCGTGGTGCACTTCACATGTTAAGTCTTGGCATTACTGTCGAAGCCATTGACCACTTGGGTGTTACGGAGAAAGGGTATCGTGATCTGACCCCTAGTCATGTCTTGATCTTGTCAATGACTCCCATTTCTTGTACTCATAGGTTAGAGAACTGTGTTTTCTTAGCGAGTGAATATCCCCCAAACTCGATTACAGTAGCTGTACATCTTGGAAGCTTATCTCGATAGCTGCTAGCGCTGGTCCGACTCGCTGGAGCTCTTGGCATGATCATATTAGTCATCGAAAGCCCCTCAGTCACGCTTGCTCCGGATCTCGCGACTGCATCACAATTTTGACTCACTCACGGACCTTCAACATCACTCATCCACTACTCTCCACCTTCTTTTCCCCACGCACACGACAGCCTTCCGATATCACCAACACAACCTACTGATACTGGAGACAACCGCAATCATGGCAGATCTCAAACCGCGCAAATCAGTCTCCTTTGACGACAACCAGATTGTCGTCGATGGCGATGGAAACGTCACCGAACACTCAAACGGCTTCCACGACGGCGAGAAAGATTCCGCCGAGTCACATACGAAGGACGTTACGAATGGCGAAGACAAGCAGGTTGACGAGATAACGGCGATGTTCGAGGGTCTGGCCAAGAAGAAAAAGAAGAAGTCATCGAAGAAGGAGGAAGGCGAGGGCGAAGAGGCTGTTGCAGAGGACGGCGAAGTTGACCTGTCGGCGCTCAAGAAGAAAAAGAAGAAGAAGGTCAAGGCGCCTGAGGATGACTTTGAGAAGCAGCTCGCGGAGGCGGGCGCAGTAGAGGGCGAGAAGGACGATGAGGCCGCTGCGACAAAGGAGTCTGGCGGAACCGGCGTACAAGATGGCGACATTCACGGCGGCACCGGCATCTGGGCGCATGATGATACCAAGCCCATCAACTATGAGAGCTTACTGCACCGCTTCTTCGAATTGCTCCACGACTCACACCCGGATCTAGCTTCTAGTGGCGGCAGGACTTACAAGATTCCTCCACCGCAGTGTCTGCGTGAAGGCAACAAGAAGACTATCTTCGCCAACATTGCCGATATCTGCAAGAAGATGAAGCGAACAGACGAGCACGTAACACAATTCTTGTTCGCTGAATTGGGTACGAGTGGTTCCGTGGACGGAAGTCGGCGATTGGTCATCAAGGGTCGTTTCCAGCAGAAGCAGATTGAAAACGTCCTCAGACGGTATATCGGTGAGTTCTCCCCGTTGCGACTTTTACATGCGCGAAGTCTAACATGGTCGCAGTCGAATATGTCACCTGCAAGACCTGCCGATCGCCAGATACCGAACTCAGCAAGGGAGAGAACCGCCTCTACTTCGTCACCTGCAACTCCTGCGGATCCCGTCGTTCCGTCACTGCTATCAAGAGCGGTTTCTCTGCACAGGTCGGAAAGCGTAAGAGAATGCAAGGCTAAGCGATATGAGCGAAGTGTCAGACAAATTGTCGTGCGCAAGAGGATTGTATTGTTGGCCAGGTATGGCCTCCGGTATGGATCTCCATCACCAATGCGACAGTGCATTGGCCGTGGTCGGTCTGTTGGATGGTCCTACGGTTCATGTGTTCCAATGGCGGCTGGTTCGAGATAGCCAGGCATTCATACGGAAAAGGCGTTTCAAGGGATCAGCATCCAGTGGTAGCTGTAAGTATGCATAGACAGCTGGTATGATAGAGGAGATGCTGCAATAGCTCGGTTCATATCGGCTAGTTCTCGGCCATCATCATGGATGTGATCTCAAGATTCTACCTCCAGTCTTACATCGCCCTGACGCCTCCACCGAAGTTTCGTACTCTTCCAGCTATCTACCGGAGGTGATGATCTTACCTTTCGTTCTCGGACAAAGAACCCCTTTCGATATGAGCACCGCATCCATGACCGGATCGATGCACGATTGGACGCGTTACCGCGTTCTGTTGTCCTTTGAAGTCTTTCATGTTCACATCACAAGCTGCTGAAAGTAGGGGAAGAAGGAGGCTAAAAATGAGTATCTCTACTCGTCTCCAAAATTGATTCGGGAACATCAACATTCCTGTCGTATTCCACGTCTGTCCTAGTCTAAAAGCTATACGACTCCGCGAACGTCGTAATACTCGGCGCATCGCTCACCAAGCACTCCTTTACCGTTCTCCGCACATTGTTCAACAAACCGACGGGCCCACAGGCAGCGACACAGACACGGTCGGCAGTCGTGAGGCCAGCTATGGATCTGGCCACTATGGCCTCGACGTTCGGTCGTCCGATCTCGACCTCGCTGAGTGCTGAGTTGGAGCTTCTAGTTGAGAGTACTGGATGTGCTTCTTTACTGGCGGTTTTTGCGCTCTCGCAGTCTGAGAGGTAGGGACCGTATGGGGAGACGGTGTCGGCATAGCCGTGGGTAAACGTTTCGCTTGTTATGTGGATGCTGACGTTGATGCGTGGGTTGGAGCGCAGTTGGGCCAGTTCGGATTCGAACCAGGAGAGGGTTGCTTTGGATTGGTCAGCTTAGCTGAGGTGAATGAGTGGGTAGCCTGTGTCTTACCCCGATGTTTCACAGTCCAGATAAACTCAAGCGAGCTGAAATCTCGTGGTGTGCGCCGTATGCCTGCCCACCCTAGCGCAACGCCCAGTGTATAGGTGATACCGCTACCACCGGCGAAGAGAACAATCTTGTCGTAATTGTGAGGATCAGGAGCCTGGCCATATGGGCCTTCCACAGAGGCACGAAACCTGCCTCCAGGACGCTTGCATGCCGCATCGTGCAGGGCTCTAGTGAAACCGTCCTTGGCTTTGACAATGAAGGTAGCAGGCTCGGTCGAGACCAAGGTGAAGGGGTGTTTCTCCAATAAGCGTACACCTGGAATCCAGAGGAAAGCACTTGAGCCCGGTGCTCCTCTCATGTGTCTGTGGAACGTCACTCTTGTTGCCTGGTTGGGCAAGGGCTCCAGGACGCAGTGGTTTCCGATAAAGAAATATGCCCAGCGGGTAATGCGGAACGACTTGTCAAGAAACCATAGGCCAGCAGCAACGAGTGTGATGATGAGCGCTTTGAGGCTGAGTTCGGGTCGGTGGAGGCCGACTGTAAGATGTCAGCAGGCGTCAAGAAGAATCCGCGATGCAAATACCTGATATCAATATGACCGCAACCATTACAATGTGCACAATGTAGAAGACCTCGTACTGCCGTCTTCGGACAACGCCGATTGCAGTGAAGAAGATGAGGATCATAGCTACTCCAGCTATGGCACCAGCAATCTGTTCAGATTCGAGCATCACCTCTGTCAAAGCGTCATGAGCGGCTAAGCCTGCCATGTAGATGCTGTCACCGAGTCAGCGTTGAACGGCAAACCCAACGAGTAAAGACATACGCGGCGTGGAGCACCAGGTACAGAACTGTGGTATAGCCAACACATCGATGGAGCACGTTGATCGAATCGAAACTGTGTCCAGCAAGTGGTGATAAGGGTGTGTTCTTCAAGCCAAGGAAGACAACCAGACACAAGTTGCACAGTGCCATCCTAGCCAAGTTTAGAATAGTATTTGAATTTCAATGCATGACATACTCACCAGCCCAGTCTCTTCGCCAAGATTGTCAGCATCGGAGCCTTGTCAGGTCGATCGTAGAATGTCAAGCCAGCATTGATCCCTAGATAGACAAGAACGAGAATCGTTGTTCCAGGGCGGAAGGAGAAGCCTGCGATCGTCTTGATACTGAAAGCTCGTTGAATGGGACGAGTAATTGAGATGACCGCTTTCCTGAAAGCGCTCGGTCGGGAGCATATCCTGTTGAATGCAATTCGTACCCAGTGGACGATAACGAAGTGGGCTATCAGGCAAGCAATTGCAGCTGCGAAATATTTGGCAGTACTAGAACGAAGTCCATGTTAGTCTCAGTCAGGGCAGCAAAGTCGGGATTGTTCTTACTTCTGATTCTTTATCTGCCATGCAGCAAATAGCTTGAGCATCGCTGCTGATTGAGGCATCTTGTTAGCGAACAGAAGACTCCCGGCCAGAGCCAGGAACTAGGGACCAGGGACGAAGGCCTGAAAGACGTCTGTCAACTACTTGAAGGAAGACCTAAATTCATAATGGAAACTGTGCTACTGGCCCCTCGGATAGATATACTTCCTCACCCGGCGGTAAAGCAAGCATACACAGGAGCTGTGAAGCCTGTGAACATGATCATGGGTGCATGGTAACGGCCCAGTGCGGCCTAGACCGATAGTGCTTCCAAGACATGAAGTCCGCCAAGGCATTCAACGTTTACCGTGTAGGAATCGATAGTTGGACCGATATTCATGGACTTGGCTTTTGGCTTCGGTGTATGAGCTGTCGAGCAAGATCTCGGACACTTGCTGCTGATATGCCCAGCCTCTCGTGCAAAGGTCAAAAGCACCCAGTGTTGTCGGCAACGTAGTTGATTCGCACTTGTCCTGCATCCCGCAAGTATAGGAGTGTTTCAGAGTTTGCGTGAACCGCTGCCTTCCTTGGAATGCGTTGTTCTGGGAGAATGCATTATCACGCAGTCCGATTCCGCCAGTCAGAGAAAGTCCGAAGGTGCACATTCCTCAGGCCGTTCTGGATGTCCAAACGTGAATCACCTAACGGCTACTGATCGTATACCCTAGCAATATCTGGGCCCGGCTTTTGACACCTCTTGCGCCTGTCTTCAAAAATCCTGCCGGGTGGTTCACAAACGTGTGGAATCTCCGTTCCCGGGGTACTGTACGAGAATAGCTGGATGGGCGGCGTGGTAGTACTACGTACAACAACTTGAATGGTGATGCTGTCGAAAGGATGGCGATTACCACGGAAATTCAAGAGGGAGGAGGCGTCGCTTTCCAGCTTTCGGCCAATCAGAGCGATGGACTTCGGACTTCGGTCTACGAGATGGAGGATTTAAGGTTGCTGTCCGAACGGGAATCACATGCACACATGCGTTCCCGGTTTCGGTAGAGGTACACGCGGAATGAGTGTCAAGATCCATACAGTACGGAGGTGGACGTCCCTTATCATTTGTACGACCACATCTCTTGACATCGAACACTGCGGAAGCCAATTCGACACCAATAAATGCAGCTGATGGCTCAAGTCCTTGATGCCAACATCTTCACCCTTCTCTCAAAAGCGCCAAGAACGCCTCACAAATGGCATACTCGGTCACGAGGCCATCCAGGATGGATCAACGCCTGCCAAGGCAACGTCTTTCTCCTTGAGCATCCCATTCCGAGCCCTAATAATCTGTGGGTTCCAAAATACATTGTCCGGATCATATTGCTTCTTGATGCTCTCCAATCGAGGAGCATTACCACCCCAATAGTCCACCTGAGCGTTCGCGCCCAGCGCATCATCAACGTAGTCACGGTCTGCGCTATCGTCCGTTCCCGGAACCAAATCAGTGTACTCGAGGGTCTTGGCATAGAAGCGAGTGGGAAGTCCGCCGCCCAGATTCTGGACTGTGTCGATCACGTCGAACGCCGATTTGATGTGACAACGCTGTTCGTATGAGTGAAAGACGGACTGCTCTATGGACATCGCTTCCAGGTTCGATTCTCCCACGTCGGCTTCGTCTCCGTAGTGCGTCCCCTGGAGTAGCAGAATGCCGTCAATCAACTCATAGTGCAGCCGAACGAGCGTGTCAGACTTGGCTGGCGAATGTATTATTGCCATGCGAGCGAACCACGTGTCTGCCAAGTCTGCAATGCTTCCAGCCGTAATGTTATAGTTGTATCTTACGCACGAGCGGAGTTGCCTGAGTCTGTTTCTCTTCAGCATCTTAGGCTGGGGCATTTAATGCATTCCTGCCGTGCTGCAAGCTATTACAAGTGGTGTGGCCATTGCAGCGCGCAAACGCCTAAAGCATCTCCTTCTTCTGCTAAAGTCCCGGATAGGGAAGCATGGCGAATGACCCATGTTCATTTTGCTTGGGCCTTCTGTTCCTCTTCCGCAACAAGACCAAGCACCTCCTGGTCGGACATCCAGCTTCGGACGCTTTCCATGACGGTCTCCAGCGCAACACCTCCTTCCATCACCTCGCCCAGGTTACGTAGGTCGAGACCACTCCGATGGTCGCTCACGCGCTGCTGTCCCCAGTTATAGGTCCGGACTTTGTTTTCTCTTCCCACTTTACCAGCACCCGCACCTCGTCTCAGCCTCACCAGCTCTTGTTCTCTCTCCTCGCGCCGTATCTGCGCGATTCGCGAACGAAGCAGCTTCCATGCCTTATCTCGATTCTTTATCTGTGATCTCGAATCTTGAATAGCTACGACGGTGCCTGTGGGCTCGTGGGTCAACCGAACTGCTGACTCGGTCTTGTTAACATGTTGTCCTCCTGCCCCTCCAGCACGCATAACTTCTAGTTTCACTTCTTTTGGGTCCACGTAATAGTCGCTCTTTGGATCATTGAAGCTGCTCTCTCCCATGTCTCCACCTCCTTCATCCGGGATTGAGGGCAGGACCAATATGCTCACTGCAGAAGTGTGAGTGCGCCCTTTGCTCTCGGTAGCTGGGACTCGCTGCACGCGATGTACGCCTGCCTCGCATCTCAGCATACCATAGGCTCCAGGCGAGTCAACCTCGAGAATGGCCTCCTGTACATGATTCGAGCTGCCGGCGCTTGAGTTCACAGCGCTGTAGTCAGATGTTTCCAACTTCAACAGCGTCGTTCTTAGCCCGGTTCGCATGCAGTACGCCTCATACATCCGCAAGAGATCTCCTGCAAACAGTCCAGCTTCATCCCCTCCTGCTCCAGGCCTAATTTCTATCAAGCAGGGTAGATGCGCAAACGGATGTACAGGTATTAGACTCGTCTTCAGCGACTCTTGTGCTTGGTCGATCCTCTTGTACGTCGGCTCAATATCCTCTTCGGCCAACTCTTTCAATTCTCGATCAGAAGACTTGAGCAGAGTCTGTAGCTCCGTCAAGGCGGATTGTGCCTGTTCATATTCCTCAACAGCAGTCGCGGTTCGGGAGATCTCGCCTAATCGTTTTGCAGCTTTCGCATCATAATCCTTGGCCAGCTGCTGCGTTATTGTCGCGTGCTCAGAGGCGATGAGGCGGGCTCGAGAAAGCAGGGCAGGTGATATACCGTCAATCGCAGTTGCTTCGAAAGGTCAGTGTCCCAAGGCCTTTGGAATTTGTCCCACGAAGAGCACAAACCTGTACTTCGTGCGCGCAGCTGAAGACGCACTCGGCTGCCGATAGGTCTTGCGAGCCGTCGCAGACATGACGAGCAGATCCAAGGTGCGATGGACATGTTGTTCGAAATACTGGAGACAATTTCTGGATGTTGACGTGCCCTTGCGTAGGGCTGCATGCTTTAATCAAGTTTCAATTAATCCCATCAATGTACACGGCTTGGCTACGACTGAAAGATGGCACAGCTATTGCGCTTGGCCGTTCTCGATTTTTACTCCATCCTCAGAGACATAGAACTCAAATGCAGAGCGAAGCTTCTCTAGAGTCCTCTCGTCGAGTCCCCATTCGTTCACGAAGCATTCGAATCTCCCTTGCTCCACCACTTTCTGCCTCTGCTCAGATTCCTGCTTAGCTTCCTCAACACTGATTTCGACTGGCAGCTTTCGTACTGGAGTTCGTTGCACGATCATACGAAGGCTTGGTAGATCCTGCCACGGTGGAGGAAGCGATGGTCGAATTGAGTGTCCATCCAGGGCAAAACCAGCGCTACTCTTCGCAGGTCCAAGGTGCCGTGAAGTGAAAACCACTGGTGCACAGAAGATTCTTGAAGCGTTCTTGAGGGCAGCTGCAAGCTGTACATAGCCATTCGGCTGGGCTGACGACTTGCTTCCTGAAGTATTTGCGAGCAGGGCGGCGTCCTCTACTTCCGACTTGTTCTGCCAGTAGGAAGATGACGCCGAGTCCAAGACTATCAAGCCGATGTGGCGATCGAATGAGTAGTGCCGTTTCGCATCGAACAAGTACTTCTCCAGTGAGCGGGCTGTAGCCACTGTAGAGGCCAGCGATTGCGGATGGAAGAGGTGAACATGCTTCAGCGCTCGATGTATGATATCGCTCGGACTTTCGCATCCCTCGTCGGCTTTTCGCCCATCTCGAATCACCACTTGAAGCTGTTGTACCAGACGAGATACAGAGTATCGGCCATCTGTGTCCAGTATGATCACCGCTGCCTGTCTACCGCCGAGAGCCGCTGGAAGTACAGCGATCGCAGTGAGATGGTAGAGCAGCGATGTCTTTCCGTCACACGGTGCCATTGACATCAGCTCGACAATCGGCACCCTCGTTTGAGACTTGCCAGCAGAGGTTCGGACCTCGAGACTGACTTTGGAAATATGGTCCAGCGGCGGAAGACCAAAGAAAGATACATTGTTGGTATTCTCAACCCGCAGGGGGTTCAAAATCTATACAAAAGTCAGTATCAAGTCACTCAGACTTCTGCTCAGTTCCCGGCAAAATACCTCATCCAGCCCGACCTCTTCAGCTTCCGCCAGCGATCTCTTCCCCAAATCTTCCACAGACATCTTCCACCTCTCTTCTCATCATCGATCGATCAACATTCCATCGAATCAGTCTGCAGTGAGCGCAATAGTCGAAGTAGCAGACGACAGAGATGCTTTGAAATCCACCTACGACTCTCAAAGATGGCACCTCTGGTTGAATCTTTCACGCCTGCCGAGCTGGCCTCGCGTATTAACAAACTGCCAAGTGGCAAAGCGCGCAAGCCGGCAGTCGCGGACCTGGCCAAAGACTGTGAGCTCAAGGAGCTGATTCAGTACAATTGCGATCTAAACGGGCCAAGAGAAGACCCCAGGAGTAAGGTCGTATGCGAGCCCGTATTGAGGCTATTCAGACAGTAAGTCTCGATTGGGTCCCGTTCGCCGTAGCTGTCGATTTTTGGTCACTGAATCTGTACGACAGATGCGCGAATGGGTTGACGGTCGAGACGACTGCTTGGGAAGGGAGATTCGGGAGATGAAGTTTCAAGGTGTGAGGTTGGGAGTGGAAGCGAAGCCGCACGTGACTGCAAGAATCACATGGTGGAGACCATTTCAGTCTCGATATTGACAGCAGCAAATGAGACTGCTGTATGTACATAATGATCAGAGTGCCCCTGACGCCGCGCTTAAAACTATCATACTCCCAACGCGGAGGTACGCTATGGTCGACCCGCCCAACTCACGCCACTCTTCTCGACGTGCCTTTTCTCCAGTGGTTCATGTCATGATTGACGGCAATGCCTTCAGGCATGCCCAAGTCCATTCCGCCTCCATTCGCATGCGACTTTCCGTCTACGTCCATGTCCGTAGCTTCATCTAGACCTCCAATCTCCTTCAAAACGTCCGCGAATGTATCCTCATGCGCTCTCGCTCCACGCTTATGCGGTCTCGCAGGATCCCTGGCTTTTCCTTCGCCGCTGAGAACACTATTTCTCCTCTTTTCGGCATTCATCGCGCTGGTCTTGGCGGCAGCGGCAAGTTTCCTGAGGGCCTGTTCTGCCAACATGCCTTCCTGCGTCGCTTGCTCACGCATCTTCTTCGGGTCCTTCTCTCGCTGTGGAAAGACATCGGTGTGTCTCCAAGCATGGTTCGGCGGTCGTGCTGGGAAGTGTTTCGGGATGTAGGATGGTATGGCTCGGTCTATCAGCGGTTCGAGCAGATTAGAGAAGTCTGGCGCTAAGGGTGGCGGGGGATCCGGCTCCGATATTGGAGGGCACGCAATGTCTTCAGGCAATTGTAAGTCTAGATGGGGCTTCAGGCATGACGCCGTATGGCTGGTGGGCATCTGAGCAAGCGCAGAAGCAAAGTCCAGTGGTGTCGGCGCCGTTCGTCTGCCATCCTGCATGGAAGTCCGCGCATGTGCGAGGAACTTCAACATATACTCCTCCACTTGAGCGCGAAACATCTCCAGTGCACTCTCTTTCACGCCGTCGAAACCAGCCAAGGTCAGTCCAGCTGTGATGCTCTTGAGAAGCTGTCCCTGCGCAAAGAACGGATCCTGTGGCGCTAGCTCGATATGCGCCGGCTTTGTCTGAACATGGTGTAGTTGATGATGGACTCTTCGTCTCTTCTGCGGCTGACTCGAGGCTTCTGAGGAAGAATGTGACCGCTTCAGGCCTGTATGTGGGCCAGGAGGAGTTGGTAGGGCCATGCTGTTCGCGACGTTTCGGGCGCGGGCAGCGAAGACCTCGTTCTACGAAGCAATCGAATGCGCCATCGACCGAGTAGAGTCAAGGGTAGTGTCGGGCGATAGATAGTATGCAGGATGTGGTTGTCAGTGATGTGTTGAGGTGAAGTTGGCGCAAAGAGCTCGATCTGGATGTTGAATCAAGCTCGCGTGCAATTGCCGCGCCGACTTCGTCACTGCAACCACCACCTTACACGCCTTAACATTCACCGAAGACTCCTGAACAACTTACGCGTAAACGCAGCGAGGAATGACCTGATTGAGAGCTACAATGAGCGCGATTGAGGCGCTATACATTTTCGACGAACACAAGTACGTAAGTAATCGTTGAAAGCGAACCACCCTCACATGCATCCACTAACCCATACACAGCCAGCTACTCTTCAACCATGTATACACCGGCAGACCTCAGCAACCTGGAGCGCTGCTGCCTCTGTACCTTCAGCATGCATCGCCGCGACCAAGCGTGATATACGTCACCTCCACGAACCCTCCCACTGTTTTATTCTCCATTCTCCAGGACAACCTACTCTTCCTGTCACCATCTTCGAACGACACCGAGCCGCTACTCGTACTCGAATTCCTCCACCGCATAGCAGATGCCTTTGAAGAGTTTTTAGGAAGCCCGCTTTTGGCCACAAAGATTACAGCAAACTATGACATTGTAGCACAGGTCGCGGCCGAAATGGCTGACGGTGGGATAGTATGTCAAGGAGAAGCCAATGCTCTGAGAGACGTGGTCGAGACAGGACCTGGCGTGTTGAACAATCTGTTTGGAAAGGTGGGCCTTCCAGGCGCGAGTCCAGCATTACAGCCTGTAGGCTCTTCCGCCCTGCAACGACCGGCCTTTGCACAACCGCAGTCTCAGAGCAGCCAGGGCTCAGCTATACCATGGCGGCGAAGCAACGTCAGGCATACGAGTAACGAGCTATATGTGGACATTGTGGAATCGCTGACCGTCACGCTGGCGCCCTCGGGAAGGCCATTGTCAGCTTTTGCGCACGGTAGTATTGCCTTTACGTCGAAGGTTAGCGGCGTGCCAGACTTACTACTCAACCTGTCGACAGGAGGCAAAGGCGCCGGAATGGGAACGCGAGGTGACCAGCTACGGACAGTTATGGAAAGAGTCGTCTTCCATCCCTGTGTCCGACTGAACACTTGGAAGAAGGATGGCGTTCTCTCTTTCGTTCCACCAGACGGAAGGTTCGCGCTGTGTGGATACGACGTCGATCTTTTAGGCCCGGAGATACATCTCACCACAGCAAAATCCAACACATCAAGTCTCAATTTGCCCGCAAACATCGAGGTCACGACTAGCTTGGGAGCTTCGGGCATGGAGTTCGAAGTACGTGCAAGGCCAGACAACAGTTCTCGTTCCGCCGCTGCAGCATCGCTTCAATCCAATCTTAGCTCTGGACGTCCGGGCGGTCCTTTCAAGTCGGGGTCGACAGGAGACTCCAAGTCGCCTGCTCTCGAGGATCTCACCATCCATGTACCTATTCCCCCTGCGGTTAGAAATGTCAGCGAAATGCGTGCCACCAAAGGGGAAGCAAACTGGAATCCCGTGGACGGTACAGTGGAGTGGAAGATCTCGCCGAAGGACTTCGGAGCCGCTGGTGCCACACTGAGGTGTACTGTGCAAGGCCCGCTATCAGATGACAATGCCGAGATGGGCTCTGCGGGTGTCGATGGCATGACTGCTACGACTTACGATTACGATGAGGAGCCTTCTGCGTACCAGTCGCAGCAGGTGAAGCCCAAGCCTAGCCTGTCTCCACCAAACGGCCTTGCCGCAAATAGGAGGGCCGAAAAAAACAGGGAGCTTATGCCCACTTCTGTTGCTCTTAGTTTTAGCGTGAAAGGTTGGTTAGCGAGCGGATTGAAGGTGGAGAGTCTGCTGCTGGATACGAAAAAGAGTCGTGGTCTTGGCCCAGAAGTGAAACCTTACAAGGGTGTCAAGTACCTCACAGTCAGCCGGCAAGGCGTAGAGATGAGGTGCTGAAGCTCCGATAGACAGAAGCACAACCCAATATACACATGCTCTTCATGAGCAGACTTCCACAATTTAAGGTGTTCTTGCAAATTGCAATCGCAGCTTTGATGTCGTGGTATATGTACAGCCGACTCCTCTCATTGTGATATGAGGTAGCCGTTGTTCTATTCGTGTCGCTTTGCAATGCCACCCTCTTCCTTTGCTGTAACATCCCTTCTCCACGTATCATCGCACTTCCTACTTCGGTACCTGGCCAAAAGCATCTGCCCTCTGGTCCTCGAGCTTGGCGTAGAACAAATCTCGGCGGCGAACGGATGGGACGTGAAAGCCTTCGTTTTCTAATTAGTAGCTGTTTCGTGTCGCTGGGTGAAGTCTATCGTGAGGTATCGTGGGTGCCCGCCTATTGCGTTTCGCGATCTTTACGTACCGTACCACCAGAAGTATCCGCTTGCGGTTCCGAGACCTAGGTATAACAGTCAGTCACATGTCCATGAGAGCTAACGACCGAGCCATATGCTGCCATTGGAGGTTCATCGGGGTATAATGCGTACCGAAAGCGACGGAGAGGTCGAGCACGAGGCCCCTTCGGAGCATCTGTATCGGGTGTCAGTTGCGCATCTGTCAGACGCAATGGCAAGATATGCACGTACGCCGGTGATTGGCTTGACCATCTTGACTCAATGGCGCTGTGTTTTTCTTTGAAGTGGAGGTGGAAGGTGATCGTGAGTGTGAAGCTTGTAGGTGCTGATGTCGTCCTTGCGACAAGGCCTCGGGACGAGCCGGATGCCAAGCATCGAAGTTCCGAGCGACATCACATGTTGTTGACGAACAACTTCTTCCTCCCGCACGACGTCTACTTGCTCGTTTGTTATGCTTTGCGGAAGTGCAATCGAATCGAGAGCCGCCATTCGATCCGCAATCCAACGATAATAGGGTTGGACTCTTGCTCCGCTCGTACTGAACACATTTTCCTCCAGAGTCTAGAATGAGACACGAAAGCATATGTAATACAAATTCATCTAAGGTCTCACCCGCGGTATCAGTATACACTCCTTTGCAAAATGCTACATGGCATACAGTTACTGACATACGATGCACTTCCCCACTCTGCGCGTACCCGTTGTGGCTTCCTGCTCTTCCTCCACCAGCAATACTCCGAACCCCCTTTGCAAGCCAACCTAATCCTATCTTGCATTACATGAACCCCTCGGCAATGCCTTCTGACTTGCGAGTCATGCTATTCAACCAACTGCGCGAATTTGCCAACGGAGACCATGACAAATGCCAGTACTTCGACCACAATCCAGGATAGCGAGCCATCAAAGCCACCAAGGAAGCGCCTTTATGACCTGCGCAAGCCAGCCACAAGCGGAAGTTCAAGAATCTCGCTTCCTCCCTTCCAAGGCTGAAGAGTTACGATTTGCCTTGACTTACCGTGATGTCTGCCACAGGCGGGGCCACTTGACTAGCACAGTGGACAGGCTAGGAAACAGACGGACGCCTCGGGCCACAAGAAGCTAGTGGTAGGTTGCGAGCACAATCGAGCAGTAAACTCTTAGTCAGATCTTAGTGGGCTGCTCTGACTTCTCTGGTCTCTTTTCAGCCCTAGCATCGCTTGCAATTCTTGGATACTGAGGTTACCGGGCCCTGCCACGACATCAACCTAATTATTCAGCTCTGAACAATTTGGTCCCCACCAGCGACTTCTTCAGCGAGTATGGCAAGTTTGTTCCTCCTTCCCACCAATATCAGCCGGAGGCGTCAGCCGGAATGTCTCGTTCTAAACCCCGATGTCAAGCGTACAACCTCTGAAACGAACGACAGCGAGACCAGCTTCTACATGTTTTCAATCCAGCTCAGTCTGGAACTTTTCCGCCACCTGATCAGAGTCAAACGGTCTTTCACCGACCCACTTTTGCTCGTTGAGGATGTGTGGAGCGGCGCAGGCTTGCTCTACTCAAGCGAAACGCCAAGAGATGTCGCCGCTTCTAAAATCTGGATCAAAACAATACCGAAGTGCTGCATATCGAATGGGGTTGTAATCTCTCGCACGTTGACAGTCCGGTCACAGTGGTACGGAAGCGCCTCCTCATGCCATTTTCGGAACTGTCAGAGAACAATCGCAGGGTTCAGTGGTTCCTCGACGTCAAGGCTCTCATTTCTCGGACAATGGATAGAACATTCGAGTTCACTGAAACGACCTTTACATCTCTTGGCCTCATAGCGTCGTAGTACGGAATCAAGCGCCTGGGCTGGCGAGCTGAATGCATGCTGACAGGGAAACGTGAGATGCGGAGGCTATGAGCGACCAAAAAGGTAGATGTTCGGCATCAGCTGCATCCAATGTATTACGCTGAGGCTCGCTTGCTGCTGCGCTACTGGACGGTTTCCGCAGCGGACGTCTTGTCTGCATTCAGATAGCCTCAAGGTGAACGAGCTCCTAATTGGTCACCACTCGCTCTTGGGGACAGGGTAGGGGCTGTAGGCTCACAGACGAGCGTTTTCGTTCGAAATCTCACGCATGGCGCATCGAATTTCGTGCTACGCTTGGGTCTCTGTTGCTGTTGTCAATATTGTTGCGGAGGAGCAGGGCTATAAAGTGACCTTCATCCTACAAGGAGCTGTACATCTTTTCTTTGAAAACGTAAGCGGAAGCGAAGGTGGCTAGGAGCCAAGCGGCGCCAAAATCGCGTTGGCGGCCTTCAGGACAAACTTTCGACGTGCGAGGTGTTCGGTGAGAAGTAGATTGCCAGATAATTTTGCTTGGTACGATCCGTCTCAGCCAATTGTCCCGAGTATCGGTTGCTTTCATTTTGTGTTTCTGCGCCGCAACGATGCATCGGCCTTTTCTCAGAGCTAGTGCCGAGCGCTGCAAGGCTTGAAAGCGCTGTTGCTGCAGCTACGCCCTTAAGAGGTCGGCCACTCCTTACTTCCGTCTATGACCAGGATCTGAATGCCCTTTGAGGCTCAAATCGGGAGTGTTACCTATCATAGGGTCTACAGACCAAGATACTTCCAAGGCTCTTCGCTTTTGAAGACGCCTTCATGCGGTGTAACAAACCTCTCAGCTGCGGGCGGCTGCCAGGATTTCAAAAGTATTGAGAATTGAGACATTCTCTTCTAGCACTCAAACGTGCCACTACTTCTTCTGATGACATGATAGTCAGCGTGACAATACTGTGACGAGTGACAAGTAGGAGTGAGTAGAAAAGAGAAGACTGCGTGGAGGTGAAGTCGCAGCCCGGTAATACATTCATCCGGTTTCCAAATCTTCGACAGAGCAGCGAACCTCGCACTTCAGCTTCAATGTCACGCGCACCACTGATCGCGGCAAGAATGAGCGATCGAAAGAGCACAGCGGCAAAGGCCAACGACACCTCATTCCGCAAGACATGGGACCGTGACGAGTATGCCGCGCGAGCAGCGGAGCGCGACCAGAAAATCAAGGAAGAGGGCAAGGCTCGATACGAAGCTGCTCGTGAGGGCAAGAAATATCACCGTCGAGCCTCAACGCCACCTGATGCGCGCGATACTGAAGCTCGACAGGCGCGCTTGAATGTCGCGGATCAGGTGGGGAAGACGCAGCTTGTACCAGCTGGAGCAGGCCAGGGCAAGCGTGGCAAGAGCGCGGGCTTCTACTGTGACGCCTGCGATCTCACATTCAAGGACAATTTACAGTATCTGGAGCATCTGAACAGCAAGCAGCATTTGATTGCTACGGGCGAGAGTGGAGAGGTTCGAAGAGCGACGTTGGAGGAGGTCAAGGAGAGGCTTGAATATCTCAAGAGGAAGCGTGACGAGGAGAAAGCGAAGGATGTCGTTGATCTAAGCACGCGTATCCAGGTCGCGAAAGAGCAAGATGAAAGAGAGAGGGAGGAGAAGAGGAGAAAGAGGAATGAAAAGCGACGGAAGACCAAGGATGGAATGGGTGTGCCAGAAGTGAAGATGGAGAATGATGGGATCATTTGTTAAACGACATACCGCCACAATACTTGCTTCAAACAAGGCTGGCACTCTTGGTTGCAATGATAGTAGCCGCCGTTCATCAGATTTGGCCACAACTCAGCCCCGATGATGCCTATCATAATGCTGCGGATGGATCGCACGGTCAAGACAGTTCTTGGAGATGGCATCACCATGTTCGTCCCTTCACCGAGCAGCTGGTCACTTTGCATTCTGCATGCTGGATAGGATAGTGGTCAGGCACATGACACTATTGGGAGACTCAGCTTACGACACTAATTTTCGGGATTGACTGGCAGAGGTTAATGGCGTCAAGGGCTTTGATAATATGCCTGAGCTATGAGCTACCACACTACCGCTTCTGCATCCCGAAACCAAACACTTTCCAGACACAAACCTGTACCCTCGCTGTACGTGTCGGTTCACTTCTATCGGACGTGGATTCTACTCGACAAGAATGAGCTCGGACCCGCACACTCATGCTACGCCGACCTCTGACGATTCTGCCAGCGAGCACGAAGGACACGACACCATTGCATACCAGGTCGAGAGGTGCATGCGGCATCTCATCTACACACTCAATCGTCGTGTCCTCGATGCACATGGTCCGTTCTGGTCTGGAAGAATACACCCCAAGTTCCGTGCAGTCGCCATACATCCCTATGAATCCAAATTTGAAGAATGGATAGCACATCTCAATGGCCTCGCCGTAAGACATCCCACATATTACGTGCGAGTCGCCAATATGACTACCGACGTCTTCGCCTCGGACGGATATGCTAGGACATTTACAGAGTTCGAGGCGACGGGGATACCAGAAGGCGTGTCCAAGCGAAGTGTTACAATAAATGAGTTTCATCTGTATAACGGGAAATGGCAGTGGTACTCAGGCCAGGCTATGGACAGCCATGCAATGGGCCAAACCACAGAAGTAGATTTGCAAATGCAAGGAGTGTACGAATAGCGGAGGAGTTTGCGAAAGACTCAACTCTTTTCACACCCGTAAATATTGTGCTCACAGCCAGGTGTTTCGCGGCACGAGTTGGGATGGTGTTTTACTATGTTCGGAGAATAACGCTGATGGTGAATGAGGTCAAGGATGCAAATCATATGGCTAAGGCCGCACTACCGCATGTAACTGTTCTGAAACCTATTTCTCCCGATCAAAACGATGTGGGATGTAAGTGAACACAGGTGGGATGTTGCCTGAGGCAGTCTTGCATGGACCCTGCACCAAAACACGCTTGTTGCTCCGCAACTGCAACTGCAACAACAACATCGTGAGCTTCCCGAACACCGGAGACTTCTCTGTTTGAATACTTAACTGCGACACCAGTGGTAGACGCGCTCTTGCCTCAAGCAGTCGCCGGGCTGTCGAACCTGATGACGGGACAGCGACTCGATTAGATTATCGCGACTTACTAACCAAACACAGCGCGTTCGCGTCCACCCAAGCGGGACATGGACGATTCCATCGATGATGGCTCCGCCTTTGAGATGGATGCCTCAAGCGACTTCGAGCCTCAAGCCAAGCCGGCACGTCATACTTCACCTAGGCAGCAGTCTTCACATGCTAACGAGTATTGACAGAAAGCCAAAGCCCCTGCAAAGAAAGCCGCCGCACCTAAACCAAAAGCTACAAAACAAACCACTCTGAAGACTACAAAAGCCGCGCCAAAGGCTAAGGCAGCACCAAAGCCCAAGAAGCGCGCGAAACCGGACTCAGACGAGGAGAACACAGATCTTGACGGCGAATCGAACAACGACGACTCCTTGCTCTCCAACACACCACCGTCTGCGAAGAAGCAAAAGAAGGCACCGGCGCCCAAGAAAGCGGCAGGCAAGCCGCTGGCTGAGCTAGAAAACGAGAGTTTCAACATGGACGTGCCAGTGGAGAAGCCGACCTCGAAGAAGGGCACTTCGACGGAACAGTATCAGAAGCTCACACAACTCGAGCACATCCTGAAGCGTCCGGATACATATATCGGCTCAGTAGAGAGCACTACTGAACAGATGTGGGTCTACAACTCTCAGACTGAGTCCATGGAATATCGCAAGGTCAGCTTCGTGCCGGGTCTCTACAAGATCTTCGACGAGATTCTCGTGAACGCGGCAGACAATAAGCAGCGCGACAAGAACATGAATGAGATGCGCGTTTGGGTGAATGCTGAAAAGGGCGTGATTGCGGTCAAGAACAACGGGCGCGGTATCCCGATCGAGATGCACGAGAAAGAGGGCATCTACATTCCGGAGATGATTTTCGGCCATCTGTTGACCTCTTCGAACTACGACGATGACGAAGCCAAGGTCACCGGTGGGCGGAATGGCTATGGCGCCAAGCTCACAAATATCTACAGCACCCAGTTTCAGCTGGAGACTGTGGACTCCAAAACAAAGCAGAAATACAGTCAGACTTGGCGAAAGAACATGAGCATTATGGAGAAGGCCAAAATCGAGAAGGCCAAGGGCTCCGACGACTATACTCTGATCACTTTCATGCCGGACTTCAACAAGTTCGGAATGGACAAGATGGATGAGGATTTCGAGGCTCTTGTGAAGCGACGAGTGTACGACATGGCTGGAACGGCAAAGGGTGTGAAGGTCTACCTTAATGGGGAGCGCATCAAGATCAGCAAGTTCAAGCAATACATGGAGATGTATACGAAGGCCATCAAGAGCGAGAACCTGGCCAATGACGGCACCGCGCCTGAGCAAGTCATCTTGACCGACAATCCGCACGAGCGTTGGGAGATTGGATTTGCTGTGTCAGACGGCTCTTTCCAACAGGTGTCATTCGTCAACTCGATCGCGACCTCGTCTGGTGGCACCCATGTCAACTACATCGCCGATCAAATTTGCGACAAGCTTGAGGAGATCGTGAACAAGAAGAACAAGGGAGGCGTCAAGCTCAAGAAGGCGCAAATTCGGAATCACATCTTCCTCTTCGTCAACTGCTTGATCGTCAATCCGGCATTCACATCCCAAACCAAAGAGCAGCTTACGACAAAGGTCAGCGCCTTTGGCAGCAAGCCACAGGTCACGGAGAAGTTCCTGAAGGATATCGCCAAGACCGAGGCCGTCAACAACATCATTCATTTTGCACAGCAGAAGGCCGACAAGGTACTCGCAAAGTCCGATGGAGGCCGTCGCCAGCGCATGAACAACTCGAAGCTCACGGACGCCAACAAGGCTGGTACAGCTCACGGCCACCAATGCACCTTGATTCTGACAGAGGGTGACTCGGCATCTTTGCTTGCCCTGGCTGGACGCGCCGTGGTCAATCCCGATCTATTCGGTGTCTTTCCCCTGCGCGGTAAGATCCTGAACGTCCGCGATGCTTCGATCGACCAGATCTCCAAGAACCAGGAGATCCAGAACATCAAGAAGTTCATTGGACTGCAGCACAAGAAAGAATACACTACCACCAAGGGTCTTCGCTATGGACACATCATGATCATGACCGATCAAGATCATGACGGTTCTCACATCAAGGGCCTCTTGATCAACTTCTTGCAGGTCCAGTTTCCCTCGCTGCTCAAGCTTGAAGGTTTCCTCATGGAGTTCATCACGCCCATTGTGAAGGTTTGGAAGGGCGATCCGAAGAATCCGAAGGCTAAGAAGGACTTCTTCACTATGCCCGAGTATGAGGCTTGGAGACAGGATCCCGGCAATCAGCGAGGATGGGAGCACAAGTACTACAAGGGTCTGGGAACATCGGATACTAGAGACGCCCAGATTTACTTTGCCGACCTTGACAGGCATCTGAAGGAATTCCACGAAATGCAAGAGCACGAACCAGAGCTGATTGACCTTGCATTCTCAAAGAAGAAGGCCGATGCACGAAAGACCTGGCTTGGTAACTTCACTCCTGGTACCTACCTCGACATGTCTGGCACGGGTAGAATCACTTACGACGACTTTATCAACAAAGAGCTGATCTTGTTCTCGATGGCGGACAACATGCGTTCGATTCCTTCGGTCGTCGATGGTCTGAAGCCAGGACAGCGCAAAGTATTGTACACTTGCTTCCGGCGGAATCTCAAGAAGGACGTCAAAGTCGTCGAGCTGGCTGGTTCGGTTTCTGGCCTCACTGCTTACGCCTACGGCGATACCTCACTACAACAAACCATTGTTGGGCTTGCGCAGAACTTTGTTGGATCGAACAACATGAACGTTTTGGAGCCAAGTGGGAACTTCGGTTCCCGTTTACAGGGTGGCCAGGATGCAGCAAGCGCTCGTTACATTTACACGAGACTCTCGCCATTCGCTCGCCGCGTCTTCAACCAGGCTGATGAGCCTCTACTTAAATACAACATCGATGACGGCAAAGAGATTGAGCCGGAAACGTACTGTCCGATTGTTCCTATGATTCTCATCAACGGCGCAGACGGCATTGGAACTGGTTGGAGCACATCCATCCCCAACTATTCGCCCATCGATGTCATCGACAATCTTATTCGACGCATGGACGAAGGCAAGGATTCCATGGTCTTCATGAAGCCGTGGTTCCGTGGTTGGTCTGGCGAAACAGAGCAGCTGAGCGACGAACGTTTCAAGTTTGCAGGAAAGATTCAAAAGACCGGTGACGAGGAGGTTGAGATCACAGAGCTCCCGGTACGCTACTGGACTCAGGACTTCAAGGACAAGCTGGAGGAGGTCTTGAAGGCGGAGAAGGTGCCGTCCTTTATCAAGGACTACACCGAATACAACACACCTGAAACGATCCACTTCATCGTCAAGATGGAGGCGAAGAAGCTCCAAGAGAACGAGAACAAGCTCGAAGATCTCTTCAAGCTGGCGAAGACCCAGGCAACCACCAACCTTGTCGCCTTCGACCCGCAAGGCCGCATTCGGAAGTATCATACGCCGCTGGAGATCATGGAAGAATTCTACCAACACCGCCTCAATATGTATATTGACCGCAAGAAGTACATGCTCAACGAGATGCAGCGAGAGCTGGACAAGTTGACCAACCAGGCGCGATTTGTGCAAATGATCATCGACGGCAAGCTTGTTGTCAGCAAGAAGAAGAAGACTGTCCTCGTCGCCGAGCTACAAAAGCTTGGATTCAAGCGCTTCCCGAAGATTGTCGATGCAAAGAAGGAGGGAGAATTTGAGCCCGTTGTCGAGCAAGACAATGACGAATCCGACGCGGCTGAGGCCGAAGCTGGTGCGAGCGACTTTGACTACCTGCTTGGAATGGCCATCTGGTCTCTTACTCAAGAGCGTGTCGAGAAGCTTCAGCGTCAAATCGGAGACAAGGAAGACGAGATTACGGTCCTGAGCAGCAAGAGCGTGCAGATGCTTTGGAAAGAAGACCTGGAAGCCTTGCGAGAGGAATGGATCACCCAACTCGAGGAAGAAGCAGCGCGTGAGAAGAAGGTCAAGTCGAAGGGCCGTCGCGCTTCGGCCAAGCTTGGCATAGGAGGCAAGCCTGGTAAGAAGCGGAAGGCCAATGATAGCGACTCAGGCGAAGAATTCGCACCGAAGAAGCCGAAGACAACCAAGTCCAAGGCGCTCACAGGTCTTCTGGCCATGAGCAACGGCGTAAAGGCTGCTCCTACCGTCAATGGTGTCGAACAGAAGCCCGTTGCGAGACCGCCTGCGGAGCGACAGGGCACATTGGATGCTGCTTTCAGCGCCCCCACCTCGGAGATGGAGATTGACAGCAAGCCCTCTGCTGCGGCGACAGAGAAGGCAGCTCCGACCAAGAAGCCTGGTCGTCCGAAGAAACCCGATGCTGGTGAGCAGGTGGCTCAAGTAGCACCCAAGCCACGCGGACGCGCAAAGAAGACTGTCGATTCCGAGGACTCTGACGAGGATGTGTTTGCCGCTGTAGCCAAGGAAGCTGCTTCCAAGCCAGCCACAGCTCCATTACGAACAGGACGTGCAGTAGCCTCAAAGCCGAAGAAGTATACTCTCGACTCAGACGAGGAAATGTCCTCAGACGACGGCGGTAATGACATGCTTGACGATGTCTCCACGATGGTCAAGGGTATTGGCAACAACAAGAATGATGGCCCCACCCGGTTGTTCCATCCTTCAAATGGCTCCCGTCCATCTAGCAGCTACGGCTTGAAGCAGAAGACCAGCAGAAAGAATCTTGCAGATTCAGATGTGTCCGCCGACGAGAGCAATTGGGCGGCTTTGGCACAAAACTCGCCTCAGAAGGCAACTCATCGTACTATGATTTCTGACGACGAGGACGACACCATGGACATCGACGCACCAAAGCCGGCTCCCAAGCCCGCTGCGAAGCCAGCAGCTAAGCCTGCCTCCAAGGCGAAAGACTCGGCCGCACTCAAGCCCAAGAAGGCCCCTGCTGCTCCTGCCGCCGCTCCAGTTCCAAAGCCGCTCTCTCCGGCGGCAAAGGCGTACGCAGCGAAAAAGGCCAGCGCTGCGCAGGCAAAGCCCGGAGCCTCCAAGCTTGGGAAGAAGCCGGCTAAGTTGAGCGAGTCTGAAGAGGAGGAGGAGGAGGAGGATGATGCTGATCAACTTGCCAACGAGATATTGAGTGACGAGGACGACGACAGCCCAGTCAAGCCTACTGCTCGGCCATCCCGTCGCGCTGCTGCGTCGGCACCCAAGTCCAAGTATGTGGTTGACGACGATGACCACGAGGAGGATGAAGAGGACGAGACGGCGGATTTTGACGATGACGAGAGCGATTGAGAAAGGGTACGATACTACGTACTATAGTATCTGGGCGTTGGGGGGTGGAATTCCGCTTTTCGATGGCGGATTGAATCGTCGTCCGGATGTCTCTTCGCGGTGGCGCAAGGAGCAGGTCTACTTTCGTAACTCGTCTCGTATTTCGTATTGATGTTTCGAAATCCAAGTGATGATCAACGCAAAATAGGATCAAGCACAGTCAGCCTGCAGTGAAGTTGGATGGGGGATCGGCACATGTTCCTGCCCGGATGGGCAACCACAGCGCGCTCTTCGGCCGCCGGCAACGATGCGTGCCCCACCCGATTATGACGATGCGGGGGAATCGAGGAAGTGATAGGTGAGTGCTGATAGGATCGGCCTGTATTTGTATTCACCAGCCTGCCAATTGTCCAGCAGAGGGAGAAGGTAACAAGAGCCGGTTCGCTTTTGCCACTTTGCATTGAGTTAACGCTGTTCTGGCTGACTGACGTGGTCGTCTTCATTACATATCCGGGGTGCGCGGGACTTTCTTCCACCTTCTCAACTCCACTCTTGCTCAACTACATACAACAGCAAACATTGTTTCCAACCATTACGATCAGATCACGACCATGGCGCCGCACGCAGAAGACACCCCTGTTGGCGTTTCCGCCGACGGAACTAGTGTCCCCGTCAACGACGGGGCCGCTCCCCATGAACCTGGGGTGAAGAAGAATATTGCCGAGAATAAGCAGATAAACTTCCCAAGGTCTGTCTGTACCGCCCGCCACCGTCAGCCTAAGATATACCTTGTCTTGACGACGACGACTGATGAGCTGAATGAATAACATATATCTGTAGACCACCCAAAATCGACGACCCTTACAAGGAGCGCGAGTATCTCAAAGGCCGCCTTGCCGCTGCGTTCCGGATCTTTGGAAAGGTTAGGACTACTCACTACTCCCCAAATAATGTCCGCCGTCCGTCCTTCCCTCCTCAAACGCTGACGCTTGAGATGTTATTATAGTATGGCTTCGACGAAGGCGTCGCGGGCCACATCACCCTGCGCGACCCCGTGGACCCGACTTGTTTCTGGGTGAGCCAACACCAAAACACGATTCCAAAAAAAAAAAAGACACACTAAAGAGAATCTCCGGGCGAGTTTATATTGATAATGACAATTCCCAGGTGAATCCCTTCGGTCTGGCCTTCTCGCTGATCAACAAGTCCGATCTGATCCTCGTCAACCATTCGGGCCAGGTCATCGACGGCGGCGCGAACCGACTCCTCAACACGGCGGCCTACATGATCCACGCGGCGATCCACGCGGCGCGCCCGGACGTCACCTGCGCCGCGCACTCGCACAGCATCTACGGCCGGACGTGGTGCACGCTGGGCCGGAAGATCGACACGCTGACGCAGGATGCGTGCGCTTTCCACGACGACCACGTGGTGTATGATTCCTTCAATGGGGTGGTGCTGGCGGAGAAGGAAGGGAAGGATATCGCGGCGTGTCTGGGACAGAAGAAGGCTGCGCTGTTGCAGAACCATGGCCTGTTGACGGTGGGGAAGACGATTGAGGAGGCGGTGTTTTGGTTTGTGAGTCTGGAGAAGTGCTGTTATTCGCAGCTCATGGCGGAGGCGGCTGCGGCTTCGAGGGGGGAGAAGCCGGTCGTGATTGGAGAGGAAGAGGCTAGGTATACCCATACGACGGTCGGGACGTCGAGGGCGGGATGGTTCAGTGCGAAGCCCTTGTTTGATGTGGTGCATAAGGAGACGAATGGAGATTACTTGCAGTAGATGATGCTGTGGACGGGGTTACGAGTTATATACAGGAGGGCGTGGACATGACTATGCATCACCAGAATGGAAAGCGTTCGTTTCTCAGAGTAGCTTCTTCTATCATTCGAAGCCATTACTTCGCTGTCTCGTGTGACTGTCGACCCTCCTTTCTCATGGTGTCGGAGGAGATTGCCGCAAGACAGAATATCTGTCCCGCAGGATGGCTGCGCCGCGCCTCTCCGCACGCTCATGGGCAGGTCTCCACGCAAGGTTGCCTTTAACAAGATCCAGCTTGTAATCTTGACCACCTCGAGGCGTCTCTACACGATCGGAGTGCATGTCGATTGTGCCTTGGTTCGTCACGAGCAGCAAGCGGCGATGCAAGCCCAATTGTGGATGGCTCTCGAAGAGGGAAGCCACGTACTGGCCGAAAGCGAGGTCTTCCACCGAGGTACCTCGCGGCATTGGCAGCGGACGAGTATCGAAGCAAAGGACGGCGTATGCGTTCTCGTAGACTCCCTCGACGATGCTAGTCTCGTCTGGAGAGCATAGCGTATCCTCCCAGAAGCAGAGTTCGGCTCGCACTTCCTCGACTTGTAGTTTGCCCATACGGTCCGCGATCCGTATGAGCTGGCATGTCGTTATCGTTCTGTGTTCCGGAAATCCGAAGCCGTCAGGTACAGCGTGTGTAAGCACGACATACTTCCTGACACCGTTCCAGCGTTTGGCAGATATTTCGAGTTTGTCCGTGTCGTTTGTGTCGATGCTGAGGATTGGTATGCCGCCATCTTTTCGGATCTTCTCGATGCTGGTGATTGGGGCTTCGATGATACGGCATTCGCAGCCAGAATGGATGTGCTTCGCCACTTCGGCTGCCACGTCGACGTTGTCTTGTTGGGATCCAGTAGTAGAGGTTGGACTATTCATCGGCGTTGTGCCATCCACATCCGGAAGCTGTTTCATTAGTAGTACATATGAATTTATAAGACTCGGGCTGCGTAGAGTAGAAAACACATGCCATTTCACGGCCACGACGAAGATGACGTGGAGATATCATTACCGCCTGAAGTGGCAACGGCAACACAGCCTGATTCCGCTGGAGCGTCGTACGTTAGTCGGCGTCGGGCTCGGATGCGATGCGTTTTGCACGACAACTAGGTCTGGAATGGCGGCAGTTGGACCGCAAGAGTCATGGAAGATGTTCACCGTAAGGCTGAAGGACCATTCGCTTGCAGTAGTCGACGATGGGACATGACTTGGAGAAAAGGCTAAAATTTAGTTTAGGAGCGCGTGAGGCGCCACCGACCTGGAATCAGGCTGAGCAGAGGCGGCACACGGCGTCTCCGTGGGGATAGTGAACGCGAGCGGATACATCGGCGGATTCTTGCACTTCCGAGACATGCTGACGAGAGTGGCGGGGTGGGCGGAGGAATTGGAGGGGAAGATGTGGGTTGTTGTGGTTGTTGCTATGTGCTCGGCAGGGCGGCAGCAGCCCTAAGCGTTGAGATGCCGTTCACATGCAAGACATTTGTGATTCTTGTGAAACACGTGTAGCGTGACTTGCTGCCCAGATAAGGAATGGGGGTCCAGGGATGCGACGCGACCAGCTGTATGTAGGTAGTAGCTCCACACCGAACAGATGCGAGAGACGGGAGGATCGATTGTGGGTGTTGTGTGACGAGTGGCACGTGAGTGGATGCGTGGTGGTAGAGAGTAGGAAGAGAGACGGGCAAGACGGAAGACGAAGTTGGTTGGATGCGTTGTTGGAAGAGGATTACACGATTACATGTACATGTATTTTCGCGTGATGATGATGATGATGATGACAGGGGAATGACGAAACTTCGGCTCCCGCACAGCTTCCAGTCCCGTCAACTTCCAGTCAGGTTCAGGTTCTTCCAAGTTCAGCTTGCGTGAGAAAGTGGCCCAAGCGTGCGTGCCATGAACTTTCCTAGCTTTCCCAAACCCACCACACATTCATCACCGCATCTCATCTCCCACCTCTGTCTCCCGCATCTCTCTTGATACTGCCGTCTTGATACCTTACCATCATCTTGATACGTACCACCACCTCTACTCCTTCGCGAGTGAGACGACCAGCTGCAACTTCGACCCAGCCCGGCGGCACCCAACGGAAACCCGAGCTCCCCTATCGCGCGTTTCGAAACAATGGCAGACAGTCAACCAGCGCCGCCGCAGCAGCAGCAACAATACCCCAACCTCAACCCATTCGAATCCTCCAACGGCACCTCGTCATCCGCCGAGCAGACAAAGAATTCCATCCTCAACAGTAAGGTAAGAGCAGAGCGCATGGTCCATCATTAGCATTCAGCATCCAGCATCCAGCATCCAGCGTCATTTCCGCTTCATATGTGAAGGTACCTGAACGAGCAGGGAAGCAGCAAGCGGGCAGGACAACACCAAGACCACCACGTCACAGCACGCACTGCTTGTCTGCAGCCAACAGTCACCACGGCTTGTGGGTGAATGCAGCAAGCTTCACCCACTGCACCGCACCGCACCGCACCGTAGCACCCGTCTTCCTGCCTACTTGTCCTCTTCTGCCTTCTCCCAAACACTCTCCCTCACCACCACCCACACCGACATTTGCACTCCCAGCATCCACAGCTTCGACTGACACTCGCCTGTACCGCAGTTATCCACAGCTCCACCCGTAGCTCGCTACGAGCCCATCCCTAACTCGCACTCCTAACAGACGCACAATCAACAATGGACAGCATCAAGAACTCCGACACCGTTCAGTCCATCGCCAACGGCCCCGTCGCCGACAAGGCCCGCGCTGAGGCCGATACCACCAAGAACCAGTTCACCAACCTCGCCGCTTCTCGCCAGACTCCACAGTACCAGACCGCCACTGGCCAGAACCTGACCCACTACCACTCCTTCTTCTACAGCCTCCTCTCGTGGGAGAACCCGCGTGCCACCGGAGTCAGCTATGCCACCATCGTAGCCCTTCTCTTCATTGCTCGCTATGTTCCGGTTGCCAAGTTTGGACTCAAGGTCCTCTATACGGTATTGGGTGTCACCGCGGCTGCCGAGATCGCCGGCAAGCTGGCGTTGGGAGAGGGTATCTCGAGCAAGATGAGGCCGCGCAAATACTACACAGTCCCTCGCGAGACTCTGGAGAGCGTGACGGGCGATATCGAAGAGCTGATCAACTTCTTCGTCGTCGAGTTCCAGCGCATCGTCTTTGCGGAGAATATCTATGCTACTGTTGCGGTGAGTCAAACCTGTTGAAGCTCTATTGAAAATTCACTGACACGTTTGCGCAGGCTTTCTTCACCGCCTTCGTCAGCTACTTCCTGATCAAGATCACTCCTTCATGGGGCCTGGCCTTGCTCTTCACCACCGTCCTCTACTTCGCTCCTCTCGCCTACATCACGAACAAGGAATTCATCGACGAACATCTGAATAACGCTCAGAACATCATCTCCGAGCAGGCCACCCAGGTTCGTGATCTTGCAGCCCAGCACACCGGAAAGGCATACGAGGCGACCTCCAGCGCTCTGAAGGACTACGCCGCTCAAGCTCAAGAGGCGATTGGTCAGACGAAGAAGGCGGCCGTCGACAAGGGTGTTATCAGCAAGGAGACTGCCGACAAGGTCACTCCGGAGAAGGCACCAGTCACGACTGACGACTTCCCTTCGGCACCCAAGGTTGAGCCAGCAGTTCCTGAGACTGCTCAGGCTGAGGAGTACAAGGCAGAGCCCATTGCTGCGTGAGCGATGTGATCACCGTCGATCATGATAGAACTGCACGCGGGAGTAGAGGAGAATGTGGAAAGGAGATGAGGTGCTCCTGGTGAAGATGAAGGACTCTGTGCTATACCCTCTGTACCCACACCTACAGACAGGCATACCTGGACCCTATACTTGAAGGCGACTTGGCGCGGAGTTTCAATGTACTCTATTACTCTCACCCACCACTATGGCGCCTGGGTGACACAAACGAGCGAACGAGTACATTATTGAACCTTAGTGTAGAATCAATGAGGAGATGATACTTGTCTGACTAGGAGCCCTCTCACTTTGTCTCATAACGCCTTGCGAACCGGAGGACTGCTGACAAATTCACTTGTCGTACGACAAGTGATCTTACAGATGTTTATATCGTATCGGGTGTGAAGTTGCTCCGAGCACGCTTCGGTCGAGATGGATGCGTTGACCCGTTCGAATGGTTGCCATGTGTGGTGTCCGATTCGTAATCTTGGCGGCACAGCACGCGTTGCATGCAAAACCCCGATATGTCCGATGCATGACAACTCAACTTCAAAGCTTGAAACAAGAGAGCGAGAACAGTATCATAGGCTTTGTTTCCATTTCCCATCTCATCATCAACGAACGACACTCTTCTTGCACTCCTCTCTGAACCGTTGAAATCCCACAAAACAAAGATCTCTTCCATACTACAATCTGCTCATCAGTAAACATGACGACGACTACCACCACCACCACCACCACCACCAACGGAACCAACGGGGCCCAGAATGTCGCCGCCCCCAAAATCACCCTCTACACCAACCACATGTGTCCCTACGCCCACCGGGCACACATCACCCTGGAAGAACTGGGCTTACCGTACGAAGAAGTCCTGATCGATCTGACCACGCCGCGCCCGCAGTGGTATCTCGATATCAACCCGCGGGGTCTGGTGCCTAGTATCAAGTGAGTTTACCAAAATCCTGAAAAAAAAAAGAAAAACCAGACGGGAGGGAGGGCGTGGTGCGTGGTGCTGACGGTACGATGATGCTTGTTGAAAAAAAAAGGTATACCGTCCCGGGCATCTACGACGAAGAAATCCTGACCGAAAGTGCCATTGTCGCGCAATTCCTGGTGGATTCCTTCCCGGGCCACCTGATGCCCGCCTCGCGGGGAGGCGAGCCGGATGCGCCGCTGCAGAGGGCGCGGATCGGCTTCTTTGTCGATACGTGGAATTCGAAGATTGGGAGTCAGGTACGCTTTCACCCCTCCCTCCCCTAAACCCCTTCCCCCCCATTTCAACATGAACTCATATGTATTGTGTGTGTGCGACAGTACGCCGCCCTCCTCTTCGCCCCCACGGCCTCCGAAAAGGAAACCAAAATCTCCAGCCTCCTGTCGGCCCTCGAAGCGGAAATCGAACCCCTCCTCGCCACCACCTCCGCCGAGAGACCCTTCTTCGGCGGCAGCGAGCACCTCACGTTCGCCGAGGTCATGGCGGCGCCGTTCGTGCTGCGCTGGTATTCGCTGGCCCGAGATGGGGAAGTGATTCCTGCCTCGCTCGCGGAGAAATTGGATGCCCTGCCCAAGTTTGGGGTTTGGGCCCGGGCGGTGACGGCGCATCCGAGCGTGAGGAAGGTTTATCCGGAGGAGGCGGCGGTGGCGGGCACGAAGAGGAAGCCGGCGAGTATGCAGGCGGGGAAGAAATAGATTATTGAGGGGGAAAGGGAGGGAGGGAGGGAGGGAAAGGTTTGATGATGGGGGGTGGGCTGATGAATTGATTGAACGAGGAGGAGTAATTTGGCTCCGCCTCTCGTTTTGTTTTGACTACTGCGTTCTTCATCCGTTCTTATCATTACAACCGATGAACGGAATCGTTCCTCGACCACCGCCTGAAAGACTTCCCGAAGTAGTAGAATGGAATGCCACAGAGACACCAGAGCGTAAAGAGAGACATGTTGGTCATGATGGGTGGAATGAAACCCGATTTCTCCACCCACGGAGTGATGAATTCGGAAAATCCGTATCCCCTATCGCACGACCATTAGCCTCACTGACAGCTTTTCAAACACGGTTGGAGGGGGGTTGGGGGGGAAAAGAGGGGCCTACCAAAGATTTTTATTCACCGTGATGGAGACCATGAGAGATCCAGCTACTGGCTTGTACGAGTCCACGGCATAGGTCGTCACCATGGCGGGCAGAGCGGCGACCTGGATGCCCGCGCAGGTATAGCCGATGATGACGATGGCTTCCCAGGACCATTTGCGTTCGTAGCCGAGTGCTACGACGACGTTGCCCAGGATCATGACGAGGACGTAGGGAACTGCGAGATACGCTTGGTCAGTTGATGCCCCATCAAAGGAGATGCGCGAGTGGTTATGAGAAGGACGTACTCATTGCCGGCAATCTCATTTCGGGCTCCCGGATCCCGCGGTTCTTCCTCGTCGCCCTCGCGGAGACCCAATCGCTCAGAGGCCCCGCGGTGGCGAGTCCGATGAAAGCACCGATGAGGATCGCGAAGTTCATGAACCCAATGACTTGGGGCGAGTAATTGTACGGTGGAGCCGCAAAGTTTTGTGATTCCGTGAGATTGATGGTGAGGAAGGAACTACAGGACCACGAGACGACGAAGGAGGAGAACTCCACGATGGGGAACATGAACAGCTTCCACGGGATCCAGAGATCGAGCATGAGGCTCTTGAGTGGGGTGGCAGAGGGCGTGTAGATTCCCCATTGCGCGCGGCGGGGAGAGCCTTTGCCTAGCCATGGATCGCTTGGCTCGGCGTGGTGGCCGTTTTCATTGCCCACGACGTGCGTGACGGTGCCATTGGGATCCTTGGTCATGTTGTCGTTGCTGATCCTCTGTTCGAGGACCTTCTCTTGGGAAGCGGTCTCTGCGGCGTCGGTGATTTCATCTGGGTGCGCTCTGTGCCATTTCGTCTCCGGAAACATGAAGACGACCATGATCAGCGACAGAGCGATCAGACCGGTGTTGAACCACCAAAAGTTGCGCCATCCGAGGTGCAGGCTCATGGTGCCGCTGATGATCTACGGCACATCAGTCGGGATATGCTGTCGTCGATTGACCTGGGCTCACTTACTCCTCCAACCATCAGACTGCCCATGTATGCGACCCAATAGAGCGTGTTCCAGAATCCGCGATCGTGCAGGAAGAAGATGTCGGCGATGACCGCGGGCTGTATGCTCTCAGCTGGACCAGCACCAATGCCGTTCAACACGCAAGCTCCCATGAAGCTTCCATAAGTCTGTGCTCTTGCTCGCCATATTGATGACGCCAGACAGATGATCTGGGAGAAGATGTAGACCGGACGTCGACCAAAGGAAGTACTCAAAGGGACCCTGAGAGCATCAGCATTCCAGGCGCTCTGGTCGGCTTTGATGAGCGTACCAGACGAAGTTGCTGAAACCGAGCACCAGAATGCAGACACCGGTGAACTTGACAACCTGACGGAATCATCAGGAATGCGTTATACGTCACACAGGTGGGAAGCTTACAGATGCGAGGTCAGAATCGAAGTCCTTGATGTAGTAGGGGAACATGGGCGCAAGAGCCAGAGGACCCAAGCCCTGGGTGAAGGTGACGGTTGTCGATGCCATGATACAGAGCGTCTTCCAGAGCGAACTCCAATTGAGAGGATCATGTGGATTGTCCGAAGGTTGAGGCACCAAGACGTGCGAACGAGCCTTGACGAAGTGATGGGAAGCGAGGTCGGTCATGACTTCGGTACCGGGCACGATTTCGACATGGAGTTCTCTCTCCAGCTCGTGGCGCTGCTGGACTGCGATCTCCATCTCCATCTCGACTGTGGCTATGTATGAGTTGAGAAGGGTGAGAAGGGTGAGAAGGGTGAGAAGGGTGAGAAGGGTGAGAAGGGTGAGAAGGGTGAGAAGGGTGAGAAGGGTGAGGAGAGGGAGCAATGCCCAGTGCAGCAGAGGGCAGGAAGGGGCGATATATCGACGACTGTGAGACGGGGGAGAGAGAGAGAGCAGTGCTGGAGGAAGTGCCGGAGGGAGGAAGAGCTGCTCAGGTGTGACGGCAGTAGTCTGGGTCTGGGGGGATGGATGCGATCCCTACATGTACCTACCTCGCCTCCACGCTCCACGACGCATTGCATTGCATTGGCACCTGGCGCCTCGACGGCGGAAGGGGTGGACAAGCATGAGCCATGTCGAGCGCTCCTCCTAGCCTGGCCAGAGTGGTTCGATGGTCTGTCTTCACGTGGCTGGCAGGCTGTGCACGCGGATCCAGTCGGACAGCCAGCTTCCTGGGGACGAGGTTGTCTCTGCACGAGGCAGTTCAGAGCTAAGGTACTGCAGGCGCCGCATGTGGCAGCGCTTCAAGTGGGCCTGCGTTGGCATGTATGTGGGCATGATGGATGCGTCGGCCATTATGTTATTTATTATTAGGCGGATGGATCGTGGAGAAGCCTGTCATGTACCACTCCACACGCTAATTTGCGGGGATGGCCCAGGCGACGCTCGTCTGATATTAATAATTGGATCCTCGCCGGTTCATTGTCGCGGCAGTTGGCAGGAAGGAAGGAAGGAGCAGAGTGTGGACCTTCTCCCGTCTGCTGGTTGTTGGTTGTTGGTGGTTGGAGCAGGTGCGAGGCAAGGAAGACTGGGTGTGATGTCGCGCCAGCCCGGGCGCTCGGGCCGATACGATACGTGTAGCCAGAAATATTGAAAGACCGACCTCACCTCTCCCACCATCAACGTCTCTCACGCCGGCGAGCTCACGACATCAACACTCTCTCGCTGAGACTTGCTCCGATATATGGAAATCCATGTCAGCTAAACACCGCTGCCATGCGGGAGCGCAGCCGAAGACCGAGAGCCACTTCACCTCGTCGAATGCACGACGCGATGAATTGAGAGCGTATTCGGTGCACAAATACGGCAGAGCGACTTTCAAGAGGGAGCATCGAAGCAACGGAGAAGACTCGTGACCTGAGCATAACAGCGGCGTGGAGGAGCTTGCCGGAGTGAATGATACTGTAGACAAAGGATCTTCCGACACCGAGCCATACCGGATGAATTATTACATGTAAGACCCTTCTTGGTCGCGTGAGCTTCAGCATCGAGCGCAGGGAGCCTTACCAGAGGATATGGAATTGTCACTGGAACGCACATTGTACCTTTGCTATTGTTGCTGCGCAGAGCGATTGGCATTTCTCGTACTGTTATCCCCACCATTCCCAACGCCGACATGCTAATATGAGGCTATCCATGAGCACGACTACTTGCGACGCACTGTTCTTGAAATCAGTTGGTATCTCTATTCTTATCTCGGGCATCGCGCCGCTAAAATGCTGACCAGAAGACAGTGGTGAATACAGTCCCTCGTCGATTTGTCGAGCTCAATTGGCTCTCCCATTGTTAACCCCACTCTTCGAGTCATCAATATGCCAACGGGAGGCTATTGATGATCACAATTCCTTATCATTTTGTGGAGATGAATTGGCCTTTTCCTATTGTCACAAAAGCCACGCGCATACCAGTTCACCTCGCCTATTGTCTGCAAGCTTGTCTCTTATTGTGTCCGCGGTCTTTCTACGCGATTCTGCCGAAGACAATAGTCCCAATGGCCCCTGTTGTTCTATTGAGCCCGTGAGAAGTATTAGGGCTTCACTCTTCTTGAAATCATCTCTTCTTCTTCCTCTTTTCTTCCAGTTCACTCCCTTCACCTCTGCCGAATTGTTTTCTTTTCGGCCACCACATCCCCAAAGCATCCAACGAGACCGTGAGTACGAGGCAGTTCCTGTTTGCACAGTACTCGAGACACTGACGGAGATACCTCGCACAGGAAAACAACTTCATCACAAATGGCAGAGACGCTCGGGGCCGTGAGCCTCATCATCAACGACTCGTAAGGAGACCCTTCTTGACCATTCTGCAGCAGATCTGACAGTACTATGTAGATACACCAAAGACGCCTATGTGCGTCGCCGTGTCGGTTTCCTCGACCGACACCCCGAGTTCAAGGCTCACCCGAGCCTTTTCCCAATCGCGCGGCGCGACGCCGACGAGGTCTTCGCCGGCCAGCCAGCGGAGCTCTCCTGCCAGGCAGTGAGGGCCCGCGAGCTGGTCTGCGAGATCGAGCCTCTCCTGCCCTTCCCGACCACGGGAAACATGGAGACGCTCGACGGGCACGCCAGCTACCCGCCCACTGAGTGGACTCCGGGTAGCGTGCCCGGACCTCGCGCGGCGGAGCTGCCCCGAACTCCCACGCCTCCCATCGCCGACACAGAGCCCGTCGTCTCCTCTCTTGCTGGCCGTCCCGTCAAGTTGCCCGTCAAGATCCCACGCGGTTCCAAGCGACCACGAGACAGCACTCCCTCCGCATCTGAGAGCAGCGAGTCCTCCTCCTCCGACGAAGACACCACTCCACAACCGGCTTCCAAGCGCCCGAAACTCACTCTGAAGGCTCCCTCGCGACCACGTCCCACCATCAAAACCGCACCGCGCAAGACCAGCCAGAGGAGCACTGCCTCCCAGACCAACAAAGCCACGCAGACCGACGCAGGAGCCACCACCAACGCACGAAACTCTCCCACCGACCGCATCGCACGCATCGCCCGCGGCGAGATCGTCCCCAAATCCAAGCAGGAAGCCACTCAAGCCCAAGCCCGCCGCAAGCACTCCCTCCTGGCCGAGAGCAGCGGCAAAGGCAAAGGCACGGCACGGCGCATCCCCGATCTCATGCCCGAATTCTTCGAAAAGCACAACTTCACCCAGACCGAGCGGGAAGGAAACGACCAGATCATCCGGTGCGTCTGCGGCGCCACGGCCGACGACCACCGCGCGGGCGAGGAGTGGATCGGGTGCTCCGGCGAGCTGTGTGGCGGCTGCTGGCAGCACGTCGCGTGCTTGGGAGAGGCCGTTGCGGCGGAGAAGGAAATGCGGGAGAGCGAGGAGTATGAGTATTATTGTCATTTGTGCGATCCGATGCGCCATCGTAAGACGCTGCAGAGGCTTCGACGCGGCGAGGTTATTCAGCATTGATGAAGCGCGCGAGCAAGCACACGATATACGACGTACGACGTGCTGTGGCCATACGACACGACACACACTCGACATACATACGACATACACATGCGACGACGACAGAGTAATGCGACATGCGACATGCACACGAGATGCAACATGGGATGCACATGAAATGAAATCCACGACAGACAGACAGACAGGCGATTTGCACACAAGATGGCAGACGAGAGATGCTGCATTACAAACAGACAGCCAACATACATACATACACATGCGCTGCAGATGACAGATTCTTGACAAACGACACACGACACACGACTCAAACGACATGCACATGCATTCATTCGTATTAGTTCTACACATCAAACAAAAGCCATTGAAAAATTTCATCCGGGTATCCGCATTTCCTCACGTAATAAAGCATTCACCAGTCCAATCCAATCCAATACAGTTTACATGTGTCCCATTTCAGAACGTATACCGCAAGAATGTTCACAATTTTCCTCCAACGCCTTGCTGAAACGCTCAAGCATGTCACAGGTTTCTTTTCTTCATGATCATTGTCCCTCGCCACGGTTGAAGGTCGCATGTAGTGGTCTTCTCCCATGTGGAGGTGACGGGGTCGAAGATCTAGCCGATCGCCAGGAACGGGCACTACTCCTCGGAGATCCATTCGGTGACCCAGCAGCAGAAGTGTAGTACGTGTAGTTCGAATTGCCCAAGACGGCAGGCATCTGAGCAGGTAGGAGAGGACTCTCAAAATCTGCTTGTCGGAACTCGGGTAATTTGGGGCTTTCGGCAGCACCCATCCCAGATGAATGTCCCGCTGCTGCTGTCGTTTCCGGCTGACCTCCTCCTCGCGTCTCTGGAAGCAGCGATCGTTCTGCATCGTCTATTGTGTGGCCTGGTGACCTACGCGGAGGTGTTGGGGAAGGATCGTAGAGCCAGGCGACTTCAGGGTATGCTCGGCCGCTTGCTGTTGCTCGTTTGGAAGCGCCGCCAAAGATTGGCTTTCCTCGTTGTCGTCGACGGACGAAGAAGACAACTCCGAGGAGGATCAATACTGCTGCTGCAACAACCCCAGTTGCGATCCCTGCAATAGCTCCGTTGGACAGTTCATGACGAGTTGTGGGTGGAGCTGAAGTAGTTGTCGACTCTGCTGCAGCAGATGATGTGGTGGAAGGAAGAATGCTTGTGGAGAGCGTTGACGGGGCGGAAGTACTTGAGGATGTCGTGCTTGTGGAAGATGTTGTCAATGTTGTCGCAATGGTTGATGACGAAGTCGAACTTGAACCAGAGCTGGAGCTTGATGTCGACGAAGTCAAAGCCGAGGTGGATGAGAGTGTCGGAGAGGCGGAAGTAGTTGGTTGTGAGGTCGGCGATGCCGTCACCGCCACAGTTGGCAACGCTGTGAATGGAACGTCCGATTGTATGGCAGAGACAATCTGGCTCGGCAAAGCATTGAACAGCACAGACAGCGCGTTCGTCGGGCTTGGTGCGGCAGCTGATTGTGTTGCGGCGGCATCCTGTGTGCCAGAGAAGAGGTCGTCGAGGGCATCGATGTCGTCCGGTTGCGTCGCGGGATCGGGATCAGGAATCGACGACATCTGTAACTCGTCATGGACGAATCTCAGAATATCAAAGAGAATAGGAATGAGAGTTGGGAAAGAATCAGAAGACAAGGAGGAGGGAACATGGTGTTGGTGTATGCTGGTCAGTGGGGTTGCCTGTGTATTTGGTGTGGCTGGACCTGTTTTTAGCGTGGGCGAGGTTGACGATCCGCTATTTCCATGCGCAAAAGCATTGGGCGCACGCCGCCGAGTGGCCGTGCTCTGCCTGCTGCTGGCGTCTGGCCCTGCAATTACGAGCTCAGTCCAAGATGTACATTGCTTCGATACATCTGCTTTTCCGCAGCTAGAAGCGCACAACGCCGAGGTCGCGTCATGATGGAGACCTGGGCGATATCGCGATGACAGCTGAAGCATCTGCCTTGACGAAGCGGGAAGCAGATCTACAACTTGATCGTCGTCGGGATTGATGTTGGAGACGTGGTTCGGATGTGAGACTGTGGAAACATGCAAGACAGAGGCTAGAGCGAGATCGGTCAGCGAATTTTCGCATTCTTCGTCGAAGCAGTCGCACCAGGATCACGAAGCATCGCTGCGGGATGGATTCGATCGAATTGAACGAGGAAATCGTTGCTCAGTACCGCTGGAGCGCTGCGAATGGCACATCAACGCCGCCCTTCTCTTCGTCTGCTGGCCGAGGTATCATGCTGAGACTGTGGATGTCTTGCAGCGATGTCAGACAGTGGCCTGGCCGAGCCTCGAAGACCGAAGAGAATAGACTCAAGTTGGTTTCGTGGGTGACGCTTCCTGCGGCTCTGCATCCTGCGTCCTGCATCGTGTATCCTGCACACTGCATACTGTGCGCGTGGCAGTTCTAAACATAGCGTTGATGGATTTGACTTGCAGGCTGTGCCCCTGTGGCCGATGGCAAGCCTTGTGGGAGTTCAGATAAGGCATCCGTTCCTGTCGCTGCGCCTGATGCTCTCCCATTCTTTGTTCTCACCGTGAGCACTGCCGGCGATGGCGTTGCTGATCTCATCACATCGTCGTCGGTGGTTGTGGCGTAAAAGTGGTGACCGTTGAGGCGAGTGAAAAGAGAAGGCGGGGGAAGAGGTTGGGGGCGAACGTACGGTATCTCTTCTCGGTGAAACGTTTATCCAGCGGGACCGGGATCTGAGCGATACATGTATCCCAAAATATCACCACCACTTGACCTCACTTGACTTCTTCACCAAGGAGTTGGCAAGGATACTGGGGACATTAACAAAATACCATGCTCTCTGTTGTCTATCAATCGCAAACCTAGTCTTGTAAATACTGCCAACGTCTGGCCCTAAACTCCGTTCACCCTCCTGGGAATTCTAAGCTGAAGGTCTGTAGTCGAAACGTTCACTTCTGCCTTTGAAGATGTTGCACCATTCGCTACATTTCAAGATTAGCTTCGTGTTTCGAGCAACAAGCATATAGCGAACATACCTTCAGGTTCGTGTCCGCAAGCTGGAGCAGGCCTTGAGATAGCCAGATGGGCAGGCTTCTCAAGTATTGTAAAGCTTCTGTACCTGGTGCAATAATGATTTGCTTGCCACGACAGCTCAGAATCTGCTTGACTACAGCATTCGAGACCATTGTGGGGTCGATGACCTTTGCCTTGGCAGCCGCAAGTTGGCTTGCGAATGGTGCTGCCATGGGTGTTGACGCAAAGGTTGGGTGAACCACCGTAAACTTGACTTCTTTGCTGTCGTGGAAGATGCGAGTCTCCATCTGGAGGCCCTCATGGAAAGCCCACGCTGCGACCTTGGTGTTCGCGTATGGCACCAATCCCGGAGGGGCGACGAATGAGGCGACTGAGGCAATAGTGACGACGTGCCCCTTCTTGTTCTTGGCCATGGCCGGGACGAACTCCTGGACTGTGTAGTAGTGGCTGATCACATTGATTTTGAAGATATTCTCCAGTTGTTCGGGAGTTTGTTCAAAAATGGTGCCATCTCCAGAGATACCAGCGTTGTTTACCAGAATGGAAGGGTCGCCATGCTGCTCGCGGATCTGCCGGGCAACTTCTGCGACTGCCTTGCGGTCTGTGATATCGCACTTGAAATAGTGGATTTTGGGGTTGCTCTTCATTTCTGCTGGCATCTCATCTCGGATGTCGATGGCAATGATGTTGACGCCCTTGGCTGCCAGCTCCTTGGACATCAAGCTTCCGAATCCACCAGTGGCGCCAGTAATGACAGCGACTTCCTTGGACCAATTGTACCTGTGCTTCTCTGATGAAAATCGGAAGTTGTTCTGAGCCAATTCCGAGAGGTACTCGTTCGCAGTCTTGACCAGACCGAGGCCAAAGATCCATTTCAGCGCCGTGATGCCTCGGGCGATGTTCTGGACGGAGATGTGGTCTCTCAACTTGGCGAGGAGTGGCTCGCGAAAGTTGTCTGGCGCTGCTGTGAGGGCAAACAGGAGGGCTCCGGTCACAGCCGGGGTGAGTGCGAGCTTGGCCGACATGGTGGTCGCTTGTTGCTTGCAGCCGGGAAAGAATCCTGGGCCTGGTCGGGAGTGGTGGAGGTTTTATTATAGATGCTTCCTGCAGACTCTCTTCGCTCCGTGCCACACAGCGCCGAACATCAGCGGCGTGGCTGTTAATGCAGCGCGGGGATTAGGCATCAGCCGCCATCGTTCCACACGCAGACCTCGGCTCCTCGTCATAGACTTTGAACACTGCACTCAGTGATATGAGAGCCGGCTGGTGGGTGTCGTTCCATCTCCCACTGCAACTGTTTCGGTATCCGAGAAACGAACATGTGAAGAGGAGAAAACAGCCTCGGCCCCGCTGGAAATGAGCAAAAAAGGATAGCAGGGATGTATAGTGCACGAAAGAGATCAGATGGAGATGCCCGAAGCAGCTAGTGCTGTATGCATCGCCATGCACGGACATTCTGCTCATCGACTTTTCCATTCGCGAGCTCGTTCACCTCGTATCCACAACCTTCTCATTCCTGCCCGTCTGGCTCCATCTGGCGTGCATGTCTTGTTCCTTTGCGGCGCCAAGGCTGTTTTCCAACACCTTGACTCCCTTCCTGTACCCCTGTTTCGACAGCGCGTGGACCTCGCTAGCTCGAGCGGGCTGCCATGGAGCACGACTTCGCAGATCCTCCACGAGGCAGGCGAACCTCACTCGAAATCAGACAACCTCCTCGGCCAGTTCAGCACCTGAACCGACGGAAGACGTCGATGACCTCGAACATCTCGATCCTCCTCCGTCCGACTACTCCTCAGCGCCCTTCACCGATGCGTGTACCTTGACTGTAGCCGCCGGTGGGGGCGGCCACGGCTGCATCTCATTCCTGCGGGAGAAATATATTGCAAATGGTCCTCCCAATGGCGGCGATGGCGGCACTGGGGGATCTGTGTACATACAAGCTGTGAAGGGCGAGACCAGCCTGCACAAGCTAGCCAGGCGAGGCATTCTCAAGGCCGGCAGAGGAAAGAATGGGCAGGGTAGCTTGAAAGGTGGTGCGCGAGGAGAGGACCTGTTGATCACAGTTCCAATCGGCACTGTGGTCCGGGAAATATCACGCGTTGACCCTCTCGAGGAAGAGGAGCGGCAGGAAAGAGCTGCATCGAGAGGCTACGGGAGAGACGTGAAAGATGATGATGTAGAAAGCGGGCCAAGTACTGGACGTGGGTCTCCACGCGACAAATGGCTGATCTATCCTGGCGCATTGCCCAGGTCGTTTAGCAGCGCCGACTTTCCAGCTCTACCGCGAGCGCGTCGCAGTAATCTGGCTTCTCTGCATCCCGCTGCTCCCATACGGTTGGATCTAGACAAACCAATGGAAACACCGAAGCTTCTTGCGGCCGGAGCTATGGGAGGCATGGGGAATCCGCATTTCGTCACCAAGTCCTTGTGGCGGCCAAAGTTTGCTACGAAAGGTGACGGTGGGATGCGGATAGATCTGCAGCTGGAGTTGAAGTTACTTGCGGACGTAGGATTAGTCGGCCTCCCAAACGCTGGAAAGTCGACCCTTCTGCGAGCTCTCACACGATCACGAACAAGAGTCGGGAACTGGGCTTTCACCACGCTAAGTCCCAACATAGGCACCGTCGTGCTAGACTCATACGCTGGGCGACCAGCTCTGGACACCAAAGGACGACGCAAAGAGCCAAGAACGAGCTTCACGATTGCAGATATCCCAGGTCTGATCGAAGGTGCACATCTAGACAAAGGCCTGGGATTGGGCTTCTTGCGTCACATTGAGAGAGCGGCAGTCCTGGCTTTCGTTGTGGATCTCAGTGCTCGCGATGGCATCGACGCTGTGAAAGATCTCTGGCTTGAAGTTGGAGAGTATGAAAAGCTTCGCGAGCGCGAGCTGAACGCGGACACGGAACGCACACAGCCACAAGAGGATGGAGTGCTCGCTTACAAGCCATTTGAGAGCTCGATATCTCCTGGAATGGAACCTGAGGCCAATCCAGAGGGCATGGGAGATGCTGTGCTTGATCCTCCGGTTGGCAGAGAATTGCCGCCTTTGGCCATGCCACCTATCAGCAGCAAGCCTTGGCTCGTGGTAGCAACCAAGGCCGATCTTCCCAGCACTCAGGAAAACTTCGCGCGTCTGCGTAACTACTTGCAGCAAGTCCAAGCTGGCGAACAGCCTCACCCGAGCGGCAAGGCGAATGGCTGGCGCAAAGCGTTGCACTCTGTACCAGTGTCAGCAATCAAGGGCGAAGGTGTCTCTGGACTGCCCGGGATGATCTTGCGTCTGCTGGACGATTGACGATTGAGGACCGAGAATTGTTCAACTCCAGGCGAATCTTACCATCTCCATATTTGATGCAGTGCAGCTAGTGAAAGCTGCACATCATTGTGCGCTTTCAAGGACAGCCGTTAGTGTGCTCCACCAGGCCAGCCTATCAAGCAGCTCACCGCCGCGGGCTTCCCTCTCCGCGCCGAAGTTCCGAAGCTCAGCACTCAGCCCTCAGCCCTCCGCCTTCCGCACCCCGCAGCTTCTCCACGGATGCCGTTATGACCGTGCTATCGAAGTCTTGGGTTATCCTGGAGTGCACCTGGCTCGATGCCTGCCTGCAACAATGGGATCGCGCATGCCTGAGGCAAGGCAGAACGTGCCAGTCGTGACTACGAGCCGATTGGTCAGCATACATTCTTGCGGGTCCACTAGCAAGGTTGCTCTCCCCAACGCGGAATGACAGCCCATTTTCACATGCTCTGTCTCTGCTGACCTCGCGATTCAACCGCTCAAACACAGGAGCAACCTAAAATTCTTGCAAGTATCCTCGAGATTCCTCTTCACTCCTCGTATCTTTAGCTTTCCTTCGCATTTTCCTTTCGGATAAAATTTATTGCAGCGCACCGTGTATTCCTTACCGCACTCGCTCCCTGTCTATCTCCCTTATCGGGCCTCGAAATGACGGCTCTTTGGTCGAATGATTCGGCTCAAGCGACGGTCGCCATGATAGCAGAGGGCTCGGCATCCAACGCCTCGATCGCGCTGTACACCCTATTACCAGCCGTCGTTCAAAAGAGAATCCCGCGTTTCAGGACACTGAAGCGGGCTCTGTCACAATATGAGTGTATGTCCACTTGCGACTACATGGGCGTGGAAGCTGACGTACAGGTGTGCAGCGTACCACAAGCGAATTTCGAGTTATTCTAGCGACAGGAGCTTCACTCCGCCGCCCTCGTACCGTTCAAGCCCTGAAGATGCCGAGACCACCGACGAAGACTCTGCGCCATACAGGTCACATGGCGACAGTGCAGCGCCCAGCAGACCGTCGAGCTCCGGAAGTCTTACGCCTATCGTGGTACCGCAAGAGTCGAGAAGTGGTATTCAATGGAAGTATGCCGACGCAGGATTCGCCCTCCTGTCCCTCGCCTCCCAGGAAGCCTCTGGTGATAATATCGCCCTCAGCTCGAATCTGGTACGACGACAATACATCGACGGCGTAGCCTGCATGGTTCGCGGTCTGCCCGCCGAGTTGAGCGAGGAAGAAGAGCTGAGTCTACGCGAGGCACTGCCTGCTTCGATCCGTGCGGGGCGGCATGGAGATGTGACCGCCCTGACGAGAGGAGAGCGCAGACCAGGACAAGCGGTGCCTCTGTCACCGCAGTCCTCGCTACATCGGAGCGTTGCAACTGTGACGCTCTACCTCTTCCTCGCTGTGGCCTTTGTGCTACCCTATCTGCAGCTCTTCCTGCGGCTGGCATATCAGTGGGACCGAAAGCACAAGGTCAGTGACCGCGTGCTGGCGAGGAGCGTCGCTGCTGCGGATGCAGTCGGGAAGCGGACGATGATGCTTGCGACCAGTATTTGTGCCATGAACGAAGGCAAGGTCGGCGATACGATGCGGCAGGCTGGAATCTATCTCATGCAGGGCGTCAGTGGAGGAGTCTATGATGGAGTTGGAGAGGCCTTGAGGATTCGAGCGGATGAGACTCCTCATGACAAGAGCCGGTGCTGACAGCAATATACTAATGCGGGACAGAGGGAGCGGGTGACAGGAGTATAAGCTTGTTTATTTTCTTGTTGCTCGGAGCTTTTGGAAGGCCAACGTTTTCGGCTATGATGACGAACCAACTAACGATATACCCGGACCCCTCATGAAGAAAGAAAGCTTACCGATTCGAACCTTTTTCTTCTTCACTATTGCACCAAGCGTCTAACCGTCGTTGGGAGGTATGAGGTAGGTGCTATTCGGACGGCATACATCACTTGAACATGTATGACCCTCTCTTCTACTACACTCTCTCGAAGATCTCTCCAAACCAGCGCTCCACCCTGGACCGTAATGGCCGAACAACACGTCTTCTTGGACGGAATCAATTACTACACCCTGCTCGAGCAGCCTCCACCGGGCATCCAGCGGAAGAATGAAACCATCCTCCTCGTCCATGCTCTGATGTCCAACCTCCACATGTGGGACCACACCGTCCAAACCCTCCTCCGAGAAGGCTATACAACCCTCCGGTTTGACCATGTCGGCCACAACAAAACCCCACCTCCCCGCGAGACCGAGCAAAACTTCTCCCTCCATCTCGACGACATCACGAGGCACATGCACTCCCTGGTCCTCCAAACTACAGGTCGGCAAGATTTGAAAGCAGTGGTAGGATGCAGCATCGGCGGTGTCCTCGCCCTCCGCTACGCCATGCTCTACCCCCGAAATGTAGCAAAAGTCATCTCGATTGCCGCGCCGGGCATCGTGTGCCTGGAAGCGGCCAAGCCCCTCTGGACGCAACGCATCGCACAATTCCGTCAAGACCTCCGCACGGGCGAGGCTACACTGGCCGAAGCGACGGTGAACCGGTGGTTCCCCCACCACCTTCCTTCAGACGACGCCGTCCGCGCCGAAGCTCTGCAACAAGTCCAAACGTGTTCCCTGGAAGGGTATGGGCTCCTCGCGGACGCCATCCGGAATTACGATTACGCGGACGAGGTGAGGGGTATCTTGGGGCAGGAGGTGGGCGTTTTGATCGTCGCGGGCAGTGAGGATAGTTCTGTCTCGCCCGGGTTGTTGAAGGATTTGGCGGGTAGGATTTCGAGGGCGCGGTTTGTGAGGATGGAAGGCGCGGGACATTTGCCTCCGATGCAGCGGGCTGGGGAGTTTGAGGGGGTGGTTCTGATGCCGTTTTTGGCGGGTTGAGGGGTGGATTTTTGGGGTTGGGAGGTTGTTCATTTCTCTTTTGGAAGTGGTGTTTGGTGAGGTGGGTAGGATGGCTTGAACGAACGACATGAATTGAAGCGGTTGGTGGTATGTCTCGGCGAAACCGTGCAGCCTCGCCGGCGAATGCGGGGATACTGGCACACACTCGGATTACTCAGCATCCTGCAGTGCCGACTCTTGCCATATGTCGCGGCCACTATTGCGAGCCGACGTAGATCCAATACGTCTCTGGCTATCTTATCTTGCAGTACTGGCATTAATCGGCGTGCCAAGAGGCCGTACCACGACTTCCGCGGCGGTGGGTGGCCGGGGGGTTATTACCTAGTAGCTGCGCTTGCTTCCCTTTACGGAAGGGTGTAGGGCGCATGTACTCTACCACCGCCCGCATTACTCTGCCACTGCATTCTGCCACTCACTAGTAGTAGTACTGACTGTACGGTGACTGTACGCTGCTGACTACTACTGCACATCACATGTAAGACGCTCCCCTTCACCCTTTCCACTCTTTGTCGTCTTCACGCCCTTCCACTCCCTGTGCACGCCCTATACCATCCCTCCCCACCATCTGTTCTGTCATCCCCCGATCCCAGCACGAGCACGTCCACGTCGCGGATGAGGCCCGTCCATGCCGACAATTGACGAGGAGATGGACGGCGATCTGCCCTTCGGCGACCTGCCCGACTCGGAATTGGTTGGCTCGGGCGGCGCATCGCCAAACCTCACCACGGCCCATTTCCCTGCTCCCGGGTACTGCCTTCTTCATCCCCACGCGACCAAGTAATCCCACCCCATCCCTGCTCTCAATCCATCCCATACCTTTCACTTGCCCCGACTGACATTGCCTAGCTGTCTCTGCAATGCCTTCATCCAAGATTGCCCTCTCTCCCACCACCCAGTCGACCCTCCGTCCACGGGGCTCGAAGAACCTGACTACAGCCGTTTCGAAAACTGGCTTCCCCGATTCGTCAGGCCAGAGAAGCCTTGCGACTACTGCCGATCCCGCCGCCTGAACTGCTACGTCCAGCGAGGTGAGCCGCATTGTACTCCGTGTGCTTCGCTGTTCCGAGAATGCAGCCTGTCCAACACCACCACCTTGGAGGCCAACAACCAGAAGTATGGCGAATTCCTCGACACTTTACATCTCATCGATGAGAACACGGCCAAGGAACGTGGCAGTCTCACCGGCATCAAGCCATTGAAGTCGAAGCCTGGCGGCAGTGGCACCCACACTCCCGTGCGAGCAGATGATGCTCCAGGTAGCTCCAAACGCAACGGCATTCGCTTTCCCAGACACGCCGTCAAGATTCTTCGAGACTGGGTCGAGGCTCACGCACACAACCCATATCCTACCGAAGATGAGAAAGCAGAGCTAGAGAGGGAGACTGGACTGGCGCCGATCCAAATAGCCAACTGGCTGGCCAACGCAAGACGTCGCCGCAGGATGACAGACAAGTCGCGGCCGAAGCTCTGCGAGTCTCCGAGTCTTCGACCAACTACCGCCGCCATTCCCATCCCCGGCGCCGACAAGCCATGGGAGGACCTGAATCCTTTCGAACGTTGGAAGCATTCTCCACCAGAGCATGAGCCTGCCTCCTTGACGGATATCGCGAACGCCGTCGCCACCAACATCTTACCCGACGAGACGAGATCCGATTCTCCATCCACCATCGCTCGATCAAGCAAGAGACGAAAAGGGTCAAGCTCCGGATCAGGCTGGTCACATCGCCGTGCTCCCTCTACTACCTCTGGAGAAACAGGCCAAACATCGTCCATTTCCGCGTCGACCAGTGCCGCACACTCAAATGGCTCATCTCATTCTACTCATGGTTCTTTCGGATCGTTTAGCAGCAGCTTGGCGGGCAAGAAGCACAGGCGACGGCGTCGAAGGCCCGCTGCCCTGACACCGGGATGTAAGTCGACAGACGCACAGAAGCGTATCTTCCAGTGCACGTTTTGTACGGACACGTTCAGAGCAAAGTACGACTGGACGAGGCACGAGAAGTCACTGCATCTGTCCTTGGAGAAGGTAAGTCTGATGGTGCGGTCCACGACTAGAGCATGCTGACCAGCCGTAGTGGATTTGCGCCCCGCTGGGACCTGTAATCACAGACCAGGAGACTGGAGTCAAGATATGCGTGTACTGCGACCTTCACAACCCATCGGGCGACCACATTGAGTCCCACAATCATCGACAGTGTGAAGATAAGGGTATCGACGCAAGGACTTTCTACCGCAAAGATCACCTTCGGCAGCATTTACGGTTGATGCATGGATGCGAAATGACTTCCTCCATGGACAATTGGAAGTCGATAGCCGTCAATGTCAATTCTAGATGCGGCTTCTGCTCCCAACGCTTCTCTGTCTGGCAAGAGAGGGTGGACCATCTCACGGCTCACTTCAAAGCTGGAGCGAGGATGTCAGAGTGGAAGGGTTGCAGAGGTCTGGATCCAGCGGTCGCTGCACAAGTAACCAACGCTATGCCTCCATACCTCATTGGCATTGAATCCGTGAGCCCAAATCCCTTCTCTGCATCCAACAGAGGGACGTGGCGCGATGCGCTGGAGATCAGCGGCACAGACAACGTCGAGTTCCAGCAAGACGCTGTAATGCGAACAGGCGACAACGATGAAGGCGGACCAAGTCGAAAGACGACGTGCTGGGAGATCCTCACCATCAGACTGGGCAAGTACGCGAAAGAAATGTCGGACAAAGGAATGGTGATGACAGACGAGATGCTCCAACGCCAAGCTCGAGAGATCTTATTTGAATCGGATGACCCCTGGAACCAAACACATGCGGATCACCCAGAGTGGCTGGACCTCTTCAAGAAGGCGCACGGCATGAACTTCATCCCGAGCCAAATCGGTGGCCAGGGTAGTCAAGTGCCCGAGGACATAGAGGTGAGGCCGGAGTTCAAACTCAGCCTCGAGTGACCGCTGACGTTCCATAGACATTCACCGATCTGGGTCTTCGCGTACCTTTTGCACTTCAGCTCAAGGCATACAACCAATCTCAGCATCCCAGACCCAATTCTGACGGTGCTAGCAGACCTGGACCCTCGAAATCAATGCTCAAAGAAGAACTGTATGAGCTGCTATCGACAGAATGCTCTCTGCACGACGGAGACCAGAGGTGTGAGCATGTCGCCTGCGCACAAAATCTGATCGATCTTAGTCCCGTCATCCAACTCAGTGGCGGCGAAGCGATTGGTCCGGGGACGAGAAGATGGTGCAGCCAGAAAATCTCGCCCGAAGCTGTCCTAAATTTGGCCAAGGTGAAAGCTTCGATACCAGCTACGTACGTCTCGGCCTTTGAGAACAGGATGAAGGCATCGCAGAGCTTACCTCGACAACATGGCAATGCGTCCTGCGATGGTCCTCAAAACACTGCTTTCTCAAACAGAGCCCAAGCACTGCAAGACCTGTGGGGTCTCGATGTTGGACCGCACGAACATAGTGAGTCGTATGGGGAGCCTTCTGCGAACCGCTTAAAGGGCTTGCCAACACTTCGGGACTTGGAACTTCGCAATCATGACCATAACCAATCCTGCGCCGCCTGTCGCCCTGGAGATACAGATCATGCAGCTGCCAAAGGCCGAGCTAGCGGGCACACGACCTCGACACAACACGAAAATGTCGCATGCTCTTGCAGTCCCACCGACCACGCCCTGATCGCTTCGCGAAACCGCACGAGAGGCCTGGCAACGCTGGCAGGCATGGAAGCTCCCGAACTCGACACGTGTTCGCATTCCAAATTTCAAGAAAAATACCTCCCGCGTCATAAACTCGAACTCCCCAAAGACAAGGCACGGCTCTTCGCCACCACCACCGGGGCATGGGAGGACAGCGGCGTCATGCCCAAAACCGTCGAGACTTCCCTCCCTAGTATCCAAGAAACAAACCACGTCTCCACGGGCGCCATGATGGAATTCCTCGGAGGCGACATGGGCGCCTTGCTCCCTTTTAGCCACGACGCCCGGACTTCCCAGATCCCGCTGCCAACTGCTGGAGGAGGAGGAGGAGGCGGCGGAGACTGGAGGCAGCTGTCGTCCGAAATCTCCCAGGAAGAAATGATGCATTGTCTCGACGAGCTCTTGAGTACCACGAATCATACTACTACCACCACAACAAAAACTTCTGCTACGACTACTTCTTCTGCTACTGCGGAGAGCTCCTACCCCAGTGCGATGGAAATGGAAATGGAAATGGACTGGACCACGGGCTTCGAAGTCCCAGCAGGACTACCCGCGGATCTGTCCATGGTTGTTCATAATAAGGATGTCGATGTCAATTTTGATTTTGATTTTGAGGAGGAGGAAATGGATTTCGATGGGATTTTCGATATGCCGCTTGATGAGACGTTTGGGGGTGGGTAGGTAGGTAGATAAGTAGGACAGGATGAACGATGAACAGGGGGGGGGGGTTTCCTTTTTCGGGATAGATTTCATGATCTATATATCTATCATATCTAGATAGACTTTGACGAGTTTTGATATCTAGATACAATTAATTGTACATGTTTTGAAATCACAATTTCCGGAAAAGTGCAATTTTCAACCTTCCGTGTGCCAAGCAATCATCGTTCGCTCGTTCGCTCGTCCCCGGGCATGATCGATTCCTTCGCACCTTTGGTAAACCGTGCACGAGGGAAGGGGGGCAGCCGAGAATTCCCTTTCCCTTTCCCTCTCCCTCCCGCTCTGTACCTTATCAATCATCTTGTATCGAAATACGCCGCTCTGAGAGAGGGAGAGAGCTCCGTAGAAGGACCGATCATGAGCATGTGAATTTCCCCAAGTCGATCGTTCAGTCACGACGTGGCCGGGATGATGACCATCTTTTTCAGTCAGGGGCAGCAGCAGCCTTGAAGAAGACCGAGATTTCGCCTTTTTTCGAGCGGATGCGATCGATGACGAGCTCGAAGGATTTGTCCATCCGGAGAATCGTGGCGTTGCGGAAGGTGGTGCAGTCTGTCTCTGGATGGCATAGCATGGCATGGCATGGCATGGCATCTCTTGGATAAGGCGATGAGATGTTTTGAGAGCATAGCAGCACGGCTCTCCCGTGGCGGGGAGGCTTGCGATGAGATCCTCTTCTTCTTCTCTTTGCTCCAGTGAATCCCAAGCAGTACTGTGTCCAAACTGGGCACCGGAGGAGTTTCCAATAAGTACAGTGGCATCGCAGGGCCGAGACGTGGATGGGAAGCTAGCTGCGTTTGAAAGAATGAAAGCAACTGGGCTCTTCCCCTCACTTCTTACTCCTCCTCACTTTCCTCCTCGCTCTCCTGCTGATGTCCTCCATCATCCTCTTCCATCATCGCCAGAGCGAGTTGCTTATCCAAATCGTCCTCTTCGTCCCCGGGAGCAGGCTCTCTGTTGTCCCGATTCTGCGCCGGCGACGGTAATTCGAAATCTTCCACATCGCCGTCTTCTTCATCTCCATCCCTGGCGTCTTCGTCCTCTTCCTCCTCGTCGTCGTCGTTTTCCTTGGTAGGTTCCGGTTCCGGTTCGGGATCATCATCGAATTCGAATACATACGCCTCCTCTACACCTTCCGGACGCTGTGGTGCGGGCGAAGCGACATGGCTGCCAGGGCTGTTGGCCGCGGAGCGAAGACTGATGGGTCCGTTGAGTTGGCCCTGCAGAGCGAGGGCCATGGCGCTGTGTTTGGGCGGCTTCTCCGTGATGGGCGTTTCGTTCTCCAGGATCAGCTCGCCGGAATCGTCGAGCGATGCCTTGCGATCCAGATTGATCTTGGGTACTTCGGGCTTTGCCTTTGGCTTCACGGGCCCTGCGGTGGTGGCAGCAGCGGATGATGCTGTTGTAGACTCCTGTCCGGCCTTCAGTCTCTTCGCATTCGCCTTGTTGGTCGCCGGAGTCTTGCGCTTCTTCGCCGGTTCCGTCTTCGTCTCCGTACCCGTACGTCTCGCAGGCTTGCTCGTGGCCGCCGTGCTCACCGTCGGCTTCGGCACGACGTGCGGCGTTCTCGAAGCGTCCAGATTCGCATTCGTACTCTCGGCCTTCTCCAGCTCCGCTTTCAGGAAATGTCGGTAATCGAACGGGTTGCCCTCGTCCGGCGGCGCATCCTCCTCCTCCTCCCCGAAGAGATCATCCTCGCCCTCATCCTCGCCGCCGAGAGGAGGATACCTCTCCGCCAGCTTCGCCGCATCGCTCTCGCTCGGCGTCTGGATCAAATTGAACCCATGTGTCGTACCCACACGCTCCAACACACCCTCATTCCCTCTGATGACCAGCACATAACTCTCCTCGTCGTGTCCATATCTTCCGGAATACGCATATTTCCCCTCCCCATCTTCCAGCTCCAGTCTGCTCTCGCCCGCCTCATCTCCCTGTCGAATCCTCGCTTTCACCGCCGCTGCCGCCCCCCCTCCATGCTTGAAATGAGGTTTATGATTATATCGTAGATTCGTAAATCGCTTTCCTTCGTCGGCGGAGCAGGAGGGAGAGGAAGAAGAAGAAGAAGGAGAAGAGGAAGACTTCAAGATGCTAGCCCCCAAGCGGATCGGAAATGTGGCTTGCGACTTGAGGTCTATGGCCACGGGTGCCGGTGGTGGTGGTGCTGCTGCTGCCATGTCGTCGTAGAATGTGTATAGGTTTGTATGTTGGAAGGAATGAAGAAGAGAAATGGTAGGATAAATATGTGTGTGTGCTACATGGCGCTTCCCCGTGCGCGCGTGATGTTGCGCCGGGTTTCTTTGTTCACAAGGGGTGGGTGAGAGAGAGTGGGATGCCTTGGAGGTGTGTGGATGGTGGGACCAGCCAAGCAAGCAAGCTTGATACGCCAGCAGTGTGGCAGCTGTGGCAGGATTCTAGATCTGCGAGTAGATCCTCGAACGCCCTATTTTTGGGCTTGAACATGGCAGGGTTTACTGAATGAGCATCACTTCAAGATGTCAGATCACGTGGCATAATCATTCTCTCAAACCTGTCGCGCCGTTGCTGAACCGTGCGTGAGACATGACCGAGCAAGCATGCTCAAGTCGAAAGCCAGAAATGCATCGTCGCGCATAGTCTCATATCGTCGAACTCATAAAACATCTCTAATACAATTGTTCATAGCAGGGCTTCCTCCTAACCAAACACCAATGTCCTGACCTCAATGCTCTCCCGACCAGGCCAGCCCGCCTGCGTCCTCGGGTCCACAAACGCAGAGTGTGGCGTCCTCGCCCCGTCCTGGCTGTCATAGCACTGCAAAAAGATCCTCTCGTCATTCTTCATTCCGCTCCAGTAGTACCACTTGCCGCTCTCGGCGTACCTCACGCCAGCCGTCTCGCCAGTGCGGTGGGGATACCGGTGCTCGACGGGAACAGTGCAGTCATCCGGAACGGTCCTCGAATCGGCGTATGCCAAGGGAGAGGCAACGACGGGTCCATTGAGAGGACGCCAGACATTGATGAGTCGCACGCGGCCCTGCTTGAGCTCTTCCGCGTCGTCGCCCATGTGGTAGTCCACGCGCATGTTGGCAGACCGTCCTGTCTGATCCACATGCGCGCGATTCACAGGCGCGCGCTTGGCATTCGGATCACTCCGTCGGACAGTGTGGTCAAAGATATACACTCTCTTCGCTCCGGGCACCTTGTCCAAGATCAACTTTTCAATTTCAGGGTAGTAGTTGTCTTGGATCGACTGGTCGTCTGTGAAGTCCTTCTCCTTGCTCTCAATCCCCGAGACGGTGCCGAAACCGTTGATGTTCATGTCGAATTCGTGTTCGCGGCCTCGGATGTCGTGAAGGGTGATTTCGTGTGGTTCTTCGCCGTAGTTGCGCTGGGGGTAGCCCTCTGGCGGTTGTTCGACGTAGTTCCACGGCGCAGAGCCATCCTCGGGGGGCTTGTAGAAGATGAGTTTGGACTGCACGTCGCCGCGAGGGATCGGGATATCGCTGGTGACGTTGAATGTGGGTTGGGTCTGGGTGTTGGTCTGTGTAGACATCGTGTCGGTTGTGGTGATGGTGGTATTGTCCAAGATTTGGTGAATCCAAATGCGCTCCAAGTTGGAAGAAGATGCAATCGTAGGTGAGAGGGTCCAAATGTTCTGAGACAATGAAAAGAAAACGGATTTATACTTGCCTCTCAGTGGGCATTTGTAAACCAGACGCTGCCGCAGTGAGCGAGTGACTTCAATGTTGCCATCCGACGAAAACGTCATCTCGCCATGTCCCCGGGCGGAGTAGAGGTACCTCTGGCCGCAGCTAGAGTGCGCTCCAATGAGCGCTTCGATGCTTGGAAAGCAGAGCTCTTGCGTGCTGAGGCAGAATTGTCATCAGGTTGGAGGTTCGTCATCTGCCCGAGGCGCAAACACAGCCAAGGAAATGCTGGATGGGGATATCTCGGACTTTTTCTCCTGGCATTGTGCTCGTCGTGCTAGGGCAGATCGGATCTGCCGACATGCGCAAGCCACTGTCCGTCCGTCGTTCGATTGGACGTTGGTTCATCAATGTCGTCGACATTTCGGCACACAAGGAGCAAAAAGCAAGCCTGACATTACAATGCTGTAGACGAGGGTATAGTAAGATCATCTACCGCCTTCCGAATGCTCCCCATTTTCCAGAACGCCCATGGCAATGCTTCGTTTGCAAACATCAACATCGTCACATTCCTCATTAGTCGCTGTCATTCAACGACAGTTCATCGTGCTCGCATGCTCGCTCGCTAGCTAATTCGACCGCTGAATCACAAAAACGCTGAGCTCTATCCCGCTCGTCGGCTCCTGTCCTGGAGGATACTCTCGCTTGGCCACAAAGTTCAGTAGCTGTTGGATCAGCTCTGTTGGACTAGGCGCTCTGTCCATATTCTCGTTGCTACTCCTCTTCTGCGCTTCTTGGGTGTATCTCGTCACAGCTTCACGCACTCGCGGCTTTTCCTGCTTCGACCACCATTCCTTCGCCCAGGTCTCTCGGTCCAGATGCACCTCTTCTGACGACGCGTGTGCAAGCGAGAACGTCGCACGGCTGCCATGGAATCGCTGCATGCTGGAGCTGCGCTGCGTGAGCTTCGCGCATAACGTCTGGACAGATCGTTTCATTTGCTCGAACTCGAGCATCTGATCTACGGCGATCATCTTGCCAAGGATCATGCTCAGATTCGAGGAGAGGCCGTTCACGACCACGATGGAGCGCAGAGCCGGGTCCAGGATTGGGCCCAGGTAGTCTCGCATGAATGTCTGGGCTCCCGTTCGGGTGGGATAGATGAAGACCAGACTGCCGTTGTTCGGAGACAGTTCCACAAGCCGGTCCACGAGGAGCGAGGGTCCACTCGGATTGAACATGTCGATGAATTCATGCGGGCTTGTTGGCGGAATGTATCGCTCGACGATGGAAACGTTGATGGAAGACGGAGGCACCACCGGACGAGGCGATCGAGGCAGGCCTGAGAGATCTTCCTGATAGTCAGAAATGGGAACGGCGCTGTCGAAGACCTTTTGCGTGAAGTAGTCTTCCCCTCGGATCGGTGGACCTGGGGTCGCTGGAGGCGAGGTCGGCAGATCGGCTAGGTTGAATCGGCCTTGGATGGCATGGAATACATTGATCCACACGGTCGGTTCGGATGGGGTTGCGCCATGCATGGCCTCGATGATATGGGGAAATATATGGCCATATGGAGATGGGCTTGGGAGTGCATGAGAGAGTACTCGCAGTGGGTTTGCAGGTAAAGCGGCGGTAGAGAGGTTTCGAACTAGGTACGTGTAAGTCAAGGCGTCTTGCAGATACCTACAGCATCTTTGGAAGTTGGAAGACGATGTCCTTCCCGAGGCTCGCATTCTAGGGAGAAAGAGCTGACAGGAAGTCGGGCACTTTTCCAATTTGCAAAGATGCCATAGTTCAACGGCAACTTACGGAGTACAGCTAGGGCTTTGTCGATCCACGAGCTGCCTGGCGGGCCATTCGAGAGCTGCACTGGGCCTGGCGGCGTATGCGCTGCATTGCCTTCAGCGCTCTCCGCAGCGTGCGAGTCCACCGTGCCCGCATTCACCGAATCTGTTGCCCGCGAGTCTACTGGAGCATTGGAGATTGTCGCGGTGGGGAGCCACGAGATGTCGCCAATCTCGGCAGGTGGTGTCAGGGTCGCGACATCGTGCCTGAAGGGGGTTGATACAGCTCGGCTAGGATTTCGGGGAGAATTGGTGTCACCGGCCTTTCGTGAAGGACAGTCGGGTGCAAGATTGGCGGGCACGGAGGGATGTGCTGTGTGTCCGAGGTCGAGCTCCTCTTGCAGGCGAATGAGGTCCGAGAGCGGGGCCATGAGGGCGGTATCATCGCCGCCGTCCAGCGGCAGGCCTCCGAAGCGGTCGGGATGGGGGGCAGCAATGCCGAGGGCTTGAAAGGAGGGCAGGCGCAAGGCGGGACGTGGGCGGGTATTGGAGCGGTGGTTGACAGGAGATCTGTTTGGATGGACGGGAGCGAGGGCACCGCCGACCATGAGGTTCATCTCGGGCAGCAATGGACCGTCGGCGGGGGGAGTGGGAGTAGTGGGCGGACAGGCGGCAATAGCGACATGCCTTGGTTCAGGAGGAACAAGGGCCGCGCAGTCATCGAAGGGGAAGGAAGGTCTCTGCAGGGCGGGTGATTGCTGCTGAGGGCAGGCGGACAGCGCAGGTGTCTCGAGGGAGTCGTGTGGAGTGGCAGGTGAGGGAATTGCTGGAGGTGGAGCTCGGAGATCGCTGGCAGCAACAGCAGGCCCCATGCGCCGCAAGCGCGGAGAGGGCAGCGAGATGCACGTCTCTTAGGTTGTGGGCTTGCCGAGGAGGGCGGAGGATGGCGGAGCACGCGGTGGGTGTCGGTGTGAAGGGAGGCTGCGGGTGAAGGTAGAGTTGGAGCAGTGTGTTGCAGCGCGAGAAGTAGTAGTGGCTCTGGTGAGCATGCAGCATGGGCGACACACGCTGGGCTACAGTATGGGCTACAGTACTACCTTGGTACGGCCACGTCGCGGGCCAACATGTAGTGTGTGGGAGAGGATGAAAGAGCGAAGATAGGTGAGAAAGGCTTCACCGGTGTGAGAGTGGTGGGAGGGAGGAGTATTCACAAGCAATTCACGTGCACGAGAGCCGACGAGAGGAGAGGAGAGGAGACGAGACGAGACGAGACGAGACGATGGTCTTCCTCAGCTGCACCCGCTTCCCTGTCAGTCTTTGGGGCCTAGAACGTCGGTCCGATATAGACCACTAGTCCGTCGCCGAGCGATCCCGGGCGTCGTCCCCGTACGGGGAAGATTACGTACCTATTGTTAACTTATATATTCATATACAAATATACCATTCGACTACTAGTACTTTCTTATAGACTACTAGAAATATATAATATCTATTTACCTACCTATTATATATTATAATAATAATATAGAGTAAGTTAATACTAGAAAGAATTAACTTAAAGACTATTACTAGTAGAAGAAGTAGAACTTTAAATTATAGAAGATAATTCTCTCTAATAAGCTTACTTATAAAGGTAATAGTAACTTCTTTAAATAAGAAGATTACTAACATAAAGAAGTAGCGTAATCTTCTGAAGAAAGGTATTAAGAGCGGTATACGATCCTAAGCTAAGTTAGATACCGGGCGGCCGGCAGGCCCAAGCTTCCCACGCACATGTGACGCTCGCTCACGCCGGCTCTCTGACATGGAAGACAACGTCCGGTCCGTCCGCTTGCCAAGAAAGCGTAAAACGGCTGTCCGCATCGCGTATGCACATCAACACATGCAGGTCACCGTGAAGCTAACAGCCCTGTAGCTTCGCCGCGGCAAAGAATGAGAATATCCTCTCATACCACTGATACACTACTCGCGGTCTGCTGCTCCACTCTGCTTCACACATCTCATGGTGTCATCATGGGATCCTGAGCTTCGAACCTTATCCTTCGGACGGTCACATTGATTGTTTTACTTGAGGCACCGGTGCTCCTAAAGCTTAGTCAATCAGAAACAGGATTCAAAATGCAGCATCTTTGCACTGCGGAAATCACAGTCGTTCCGCGGGCCAGAACACACACCCGTCAAAGCGGTCGAACAGTAGAGGACCAGCGGTCGCCTTTCCGTTGCCGCAGAGACGGCCCTTTGATTTACGAGAACCAACGTGGTACTTGCCGCCGCTTGTCTACGTTGTTCAACAAGACACCCGGCCACCGCCCTTTGCCTCGCACAACTTTCTTTGTGCCCTGTTTCACGCTACATGCCACTCGCGCTTTCTTGCCAAAGATTTCCCTTGGAGCCACTTGTCTTGAGCTTCGAGGAGAAAAATCCAAGACATTGTCGACTGATGAAAGATGAGCTTGCTTAAGAAGAGGGACCTGCGCCCGTAGACGCACCAACTCACATCTGTCCCTCTCAAAGGCCATCGTGGAATGTGCACATACCATCATTACCTCTGCTCACACTGCTGTCGGCCGAACGTCATCGCCTTCCAGTGTACCATGGGTCATCAGTACGGCAGACAATGTCCGCGACACACAGATTATCTGCCGGTCCCTCCGGACACTCCACTCATGAAATGTCAACACTGTAGTCGAGTTTGTGGACGGACCGATGTGCCTCAGTCGCGACCGCCATCGCCGGTTCGAGCCAACATTGGCCCAGGGAATGCAAGAATGCCTCAACCTCCCACTTCCGCTCCTGCTTCTGCATCATTCCTGCAAGATCAAGCTCAGTCTTCACAGATCCATATCCCGATCCTAGAATTCCCGAACGCCGAAGCGATGCTGGCCGGATACGAACACAATCGCCGACAGATATTCACTGCAGCCGCGATGCAGAGGCCGAGAGATGCAGCGTCCAACGGGCACCAAGGAGAGGCAGCAAACAGGGCATGGGAAACGGCGTGGTCAGAATTGAAAGATAGACTTCGCAGCCCGTGAGTATCATGATGAATGATGAGATGGCGCGCCCCCATCATTGCAGCCCTCTTGCATTACGTGAGCACGCCGAACGCCAACCAAGCAAGGCCCTTGAGTGAGATGGGTGCTCTCCGCGGAAGATGTCTCAAGATGTCTCGCTCCAGGTGGGTATCTAACGCACTCATAACGTCGAATGGGCCGCTTTGACACGGTGACACCGTTGCCGTGTGTATCAGTCCTTCTCGGGTCATTTTGGTCGGCTTCACGTCCTTGTGCTCGCCAATGGAGAGACCGCTAGGCACTGCATACCCATGGTCACAGACAATATCTCTGATTTATTGAGATGGTGGGGAACACAATATTATTCCAACTTCTACTGTGGAATTGATGCTGAACCAGACCAACACTTCGTTCTATCCTCATGTGGGCTAATCTTTTGAAGTGTAGATTGATGGCTCTCACGCGTGCGCACTTCATGCGCCTTGTCTTCCAGGTGATTCCGGCCCCTCTTTCGCCCGGTCCTGGGAATATTTCGATGCGGGATATACCTGCAGTTGCTAGGGATCAGCTTCTCTCAGGCTGCACGGGAGTAGCTTTAACGAGTCAGCAAATGTATTCAGAACGTTCATGTTGATCGCAGGTTGCCCCGTTGTACGAGTGCACCAAATTCTAGTAACGTGTGCGGACACGGCCTTTATCAACACCGGATGGTTGGACGTTGATCTTCCCCTAGCACTAGCCGAAGTCTATTCGAGCCTCAACTGTCGACCTCACCTCCTCCCCCTGAAAGATATTTAGCGCATCCTCGTTCCCTTGGGTTGACCATTCGCAGGTTTCCGAATGTTTAACGGTTGTCTAGTCAGTCCCAGCTACGCCGTTTGAAAATGGGGAAGGCTGGTATTCTCGCGGGCGGACCACCAATTCTCGCAATAGGGGTGGTAGGCTGACACGGAACACGGTAGCAACATCTCGGTGGGAGCCTTGTTCGTGGGTTTGTTTCTGTTTATCCCTTGGGTCCTGCGTCTGATCTCTCTTCCTCTTTCATGAATGTCTGTGCTACCAAAACAAAGGCGTCATAGCTAGAGTTTCCCGATAACACATGCAGACGACTCGACCGAGGCCGACCAAGAAGGAAACGACATGTCTACCCTCAGCCGTGAGAAGCTATGTGAGGAGGAGCCAATATCACCACTCGAATCGCCAGCCTTGACTCCAGGATCATCAACAAACGAATCCGACCATGCGAGAATCACACCACACATCCCGTCGCCTACCGTTCCGCCACGTCAATATCGCGGCCGAACGTCCACACGCTCCGGCAGAGCATCAGCACCCTCGCATATATCGACTCGCCCGCCATACGACGGCACTCGAAAACCCATCAGATTCAAACATGTCGCAGAAGACGGCACAAAACTCACGACATTCTCCGTTATATCTGTCAGCACGACACCCCAAAGCAGCGAACTGAACTCTCCCATTTTGAAGCCGCAGTTAACGATCAACGTCCCTCCTAATGCGAAACCACGCGATCTCCATGCCGACCTACATTGGGAAGTCAATACGCAGAATCCTCGGAATTGGAGCCGGCGGAGGAAATGGATGCATACGCTTGTTCCCTCTGCCCTTGCGTTCATGTTCGCTCTCGGAGCTACGGTCCTAGCGCCTGCGAGGGAGGAGTTCAAGACTGACACCAAGACATCCACGGCGACCTCCGTACTGCCATTGTCGCTTTACGTCCTTGGACTGGCTTTCGGACCGCTGCTAAGTGGGATTGCAAGCGAGGTCTTTGGGAAGAAGATCGTGTACATGCTTTCTATACCGCTCTATGAGATCTTCATGCTGGCATCCGGACTGGTTGCAACGACGTCCGGCATCCTGATCTGCAGGTTTCTTGCCGGCGTCTCCTGCTCACCTGCGTTGCAACTCAGATGGAGTACGCTTGACGATGTCTGGACGCTGGAAGAGAAGGTTCTGCCTCTGGCGATATGCATCGGCTCGGTGCTTCTGGGCTCCACCATGGGACCGGTGATAGGAGGTGTGGTGACCTACCACAAGGGATGGAGGTGGACACAGTTTGTGGTCGTGTTTGCTTTCGCAGGCTGCGTGTTGCCTGCAATTGCCATGAAAGAAACGAGCAAGAAAGCGGTCCTGAGGAGGAAGAATGGCGAATCTGCACGAGCACCCATCACGGCCCCGGAAATGGTATCGTTCCTCTCGAAGCCGTTGCGAATGTTGTGGCGTGAGCCGATCGTGGCCCTCTACACGGTCCACATCGCTTCCCACGTGGGTGTCACGTATGCCATCTACACCGTCTTCCCCTCGATCCTCGGAGATGCCGAGCATTTCGATCTGCGAATCTCAGGGCTCGCGTTCATCAGCATGAGCATAGGGCTCCTCCTTGGCCTGTGCATCATTGTCGCCCACGAGATGATCATATATCGCCCCCGCGTGGCCAACTACAGAGACTCGCGTGCCACGGAGGGAGAGAAGACTCTCAGCCCCGCGAAACGAAGCAGCACGAAGCGCAACAGACTGAGCTTCGGCCCTTCTAGTGAGCAAATCCGTCTGAATACCGCGCGCTCGCCCGGTGGCAGTGGAGGCCGAAGGAGGAGCATCTTCCAATCCCTCAAACGATTATCCTTCGGCGCCGCGTACAGAAACCTCGTAGCTCCGGATCAAGACCCTCGAGATAACATACGCATGGCTGTTGCCGCGGCGAGATATCTGAACGGCTTGAAGGCAAACGAGGGCCGGAGGATCATGCCGGAGAGGGTCTTGCTGCTGTTGAACCGAGGCATGGAATATGCGCATCTGTGCGCGGCGTTGGAGGGATACAAGCTGAAGCTCGATCGGGCCGAGTTGGCCAAGGTGTTAGTTGCGGCTCTCAGTGAAGAGACGAAAGAGCCCGCTGTCGCTCACGCTCTCGCTCCCCCAAGCAGTCCGCGATCGATTCCTTCCCAAGATCGGCGTCGTGACGCCGCCATTGCCGCACTGGGAGTCGAGTATCCTCGACTCGCGGCACTCGCTCCAACCACGCCCCCTACACGCCCTTACGAGCCCGTTACCCATCGCCGAAAACTCTGGATCCCACCATCCAACATCCCGCCCCCGGAATGGCGACTCTGGCTCTCCCTGCCGGCTTCCTTGCTCACGCCGGCTTCCCTCTTCCTGCTCGGCTGGACCGCGCACGATCCCATTCACTACATTTTTCCTATCATCGCCCTGACCCTTTACGCCGTCAGTACCTTGCTCGTCGCCATGGGCTTGACGCTGTACATCATGGAGAGCTACGGACCGACACAATCCCCTTCCGCGGTCGCCGCTTGCACGGTGACGAGTGCCATCTTCGGGTTTGCATTTCCACTCGTCGCGGTGCCGATTTACGAAAGTCTAGGGCCCGGGCTGGCGACGAGCGTGTTGGCTCTCGTGGCAGTCCTCTTGGCATTGATTCCCGTGGTTTTCTATATCTTTGGGCCTGCGCTGAGGAAGAGGAGAAAATTGAAAGATACTCAATGAGAAAATGCATAGATTTTTGTATAGAGATTGACTTGAAATCGAGACCTTTTCTATCTGAAGCCGAAACTTGAACCGATCGTCGAGAGCAATAGGACGGAGTACGAAGTTTGCAAGTACCACGGAGCTCGAAAAGCCAGACCACGCGAGGTAGGTTTGGAAGTCTCCGCAGCCAAGGAGATCCGGTCGGCACGCAAGAGCGAACCCTTCTGTGGGACGGAAGCTGTGCTTCACGAGTAGGATGGAAACTCAGGTCCTGCTTCTCGAATATTGGCCCAGCTCGTGTGATTGGAAAGACATTCGCGACCCTGTCCGAACGCCGCAACTCGCATCTTCTGCTCAGAGTATATCTGGTGTACTTGGCCGCGCGGTGTAACAGACAATACGCATGTGAGAATATGTTTGTCCTTGCTTTGCTCGAAGCCGGTCAGCAGAGTTTGAGCTGCTGACGTTGGCAACCATGCGATACCGAAGGACAGTAGGCATAGTCATTGCAGGCTTCAGATTCAAGCCGGTCCAGACGAACCGCTCCGTCGACCCTCTACTCTTCTGCAAAGTGGGCCTGCTGGCTCTATCTATCCCAGCTCACGCACAGTGGATTCGCATCTTCACTCACATACGGAATCGAGAGATCCTAGGTCGCCAAGTGAGAATCCGTGGGCGTTCGATGTTCGATGACGGTGTACATGAAGCCGCCCTTGGCGGATGCGGCCATGACTCCAACCGATTGCGGAAATCGGAAATGGAAGTGCCGTGGACCAGGTACAATTGTTGAGTAGCTCTCCGAGGAGCTTCGAGTCAAGTCGTGGCTTGCTATAGGCATGGTATGCATGAGCCGTGTCTCATCGAAGGAACGTACCTACTTGGGAGCCTTGGCAACCGAGGTCCTACATGAATCCGTCCCAAATGGGGAATAGAGATCATGTGTCTGCTCGTTGGATCAGACATTCCGTTTCACGCCCGTCGGCGCCAAGGTCTTGGAAGCGTTGCTCAGGTCATACCGATTTCCAGAAGGTGTCGAGTCCAGGGCCACGAGGATGTGTAGCGTCCCTTGGACGGATTGGATTGGATGCAGCCGGAGGATGAAGAAGATTCAGGAAGGAGATTGAGGAAGTAGATATGTAGTCGTCGATGTCCAAAGGCATTTTGGAAGACGAAGAGAGGTCGTCAGTCTTGCCATATAGAGAGGTATCTGCGCGGGGTACGGCGGTGGCCTAAGCTTACAAATCCGCAAAATGGTTTTGCCGGTTTTGCTACCGCACCACCACACTCTCACACACCGTAATCGCAGTGGTTAGGCACTGATGTACTCGCTATCGACTCGCAATCCATCTATTAGGTCCTTCATTGTCTACTTTGTCGTCATGCCGCCTCAGGCCCTCGATTTACAGCCCTATCGGCTCTAGATTAAGCTTTAGATTTATGCTAGATATACCTACTAGCGAGTCGTACAGAGCCTACATAATACTAAGGGCATTCGCTACGGTATTAGAACTCTATAGACACACTTATCGCGATAGGGAGTAACTACTCGCCCTCGAATTGACTATAGTAGCAACGTAGTACTAATTAAGCGGATTACCGAGCTATTCTAGCTATATACTATTAGCGACAAGAAGAGCTATACTATACTACGGCTTGATAGCTATAACATCTCTTTAAGGCAGTATTAAGAGCTCCGCCGTACTTACGGCCTTAAGCGTCGACTAGAATACGAGGAATTAGAAGTAGCTACTACCTACGTCGATAAGGTGCTTCGAGTAGTACTAATTAATAGGCAAACCTAAGACTTTAGCTATCGTAAGCTCGTACGAGAGTTAAGAACCTACTAGTATATTATAGGTAGGTAGGGAATCGACTCGTAGCCGACTCGTAGCCCTCTTCTTACTATACTAATACCTACTAGGGACCGTATCTACCGGATTTTACGGCAAATTAACGCTCTACTATATAAGCTTCGCGAACTACGTAATCGCTATCCGAATAGGCTACGGTACGTACGACTAAAAGCTAATAGGCCTAACTACGTCTAGTTAATTAATGCCTTCTATAAAATCGAGCAATTCGGCATTTAGATTTACGCCTATATTAACGTCTACTTACGCCGGATTATCTAGTTCTACGTTAGCCTAATAGTAAAGACAAAGTACTTAGTGTTTTCGTAGTACTATACTATAATTAACTATATCTAGCGAGTCCCTTAGCGAGTCCGCTCTAATTAAGGTGTCGAGACACCTATACTAGTAGACGCCTATCTACGGCTTCGAGAGCTTATCGAGGGCCGTAATATCGACTTTGTTAAGGCCTTCTTATATACTACGAGTAAAGGCAATTAGACTATTAAGTACTAGTAGGGCGAGATAGCTAAATTAGCTATAAATCGCTAGAGAGACCTATTTAACTAGTATATTAACCTACACCTTTTCGAGGCCGCTAAGCTATCTAATCGACTCGCCTTCCTCGTAATCTATACTCTAATTATACGCTATATAGTTAGTTACTTTGTCTTAGAGTAGAATCGGCACCCGGTACGAGTACAAAACCTTAAGAGCTATATTAGTAGTATACCGGATTTGCTCTACGAGTATCTAGAGCTCGAGGACACTACCTAGCGTAGGCATCTAATTAACCCTAAGAGTCTAGCGAGTACTACTCTTAAGTAGTAGATAAACCGGATAGACGGCTATAGTAAGCTCCGCGGGTAATTAAAGAGCTTTCTATATTAGTACTAGGCAAGTAGCTCGAAATTAGACCGTACTCGTAGCCAATTTAGCTATACTCGTAGTCACTCGTAGCTCTAGCTACCCGCCTATAGAGTTACCCCTCTCTTACTCCTACGCTAACTACGCCTCGCTATATATAGACCTTAGCTTATACCTGCCTCCGACAACTCTATAATAGGTAAACGAACAGCTCGTACTCGCTAGCTACCCGTTAACCTTTAAAGGTAGCGAACCCGGATTCGGTAATAGGCCTAAGAAGCTTTATATACACGCTTATTAGTACCTCCGAGGAGTAGCTAAGTAGCACCTAGATACTAGTAGACGACTCGCTAAGTATATCGCGCCGACTCGCTTAAATAGCCTCGAGCCGTCTAATCGTACGAGAACCGTCTTTACTACTACTAGGGAGCCTCTATAAAGCTTCGTATATACTCGTAGTAGACTCGTAACGTTACATTCCTTAATACTACGTCTTATCTTTCTATATACGTCTATTATAGCTTCTTCTACTAACTTCTAGGAAGACTTCTATATATCTAATAAGGTAGATTATACTCTTAATTATACTAAAGAGTATAGCGATAAGCCCCGCTATAGTAAATGCGGCCTTAGGAACCCGTTCTTTACTATAGTAGACACTAATATAGCGAGTCGCCGCGAGTCGACTGTAGGCCCTTCCTTAATACTAGTACCGGATCCGATCGATTCCCCTACTCTACGGCGGAAGGAGCCCGCGTCTATAAAGGGCTATAGTAGCTTTACTAGACTCGCTAAAAGCTTATTTAGCCGTACTAATGCCGTTTTAGCCGCTAATAAGAAGTAGCATATCCGCCCGCTTAGTAATATAGGTATTAATCCGTTATCCGGAGAGGTATAAGGTCCTCGTACTAGTAAAGCGAGTCTATATAGGAGCACGCTAATCGCTACGAATCGACTTAAGGCGGGTAGTAGTAGTAGTACCGAGCTACGAGACGACTCGTAGGCCGACTCGTAGTCGTAGAACAAGGGTAGTAGACCGAAGAAAGTACTAAAGGGCCCTAAGCTTTACGTTATAGTGTATATAAGCAAAGTAGTAGTTAATGTAGTTAAGAAGGAAGGCTAGTAGAGGTGGACGGTTAGAGATAATCTAGAGCTAGTCGATTACTAGTCTATCGTAGGCTACTAGAGCGACTTTAAGGCCCTACTACTCGACTCGCCGCGTACTCGTAACTAGCTTTACTACTAGGCTTTATACGCTAGCTATATTAAGGTTAAGAAGGTTACCGGCCTATAGTACTACAAACGTCCGTTTATATATACCCGGTACGACAAAGAGTAGAAGCTCTTAATTATACTAAGCTCGAACAGTAGAGACAAAGACGACCTTAACGAGCAATTACTACTATTTAAGCGTAGGTACTAGGCAAATCCTACGCGAAAGGAGGTAGATATTAGGGTCGCTGTCCTTGTAGCTAAAGATAAGCGGTAGAATAGGCTTCCGAAGGACTACGGCGAGTCTAGCGAGTCTACCGACGACAGCTCCTCTTTAGATCCGGATCTAATAAAGAGCCTTAATAGGCGCTATCGTAGTAGGCGTCTAGGTTAGAGGCCTAGTACTAAAGCTAAAAGAAAGATAGCTAAGGAGGTAGTAGCGAGTGTAGTAGCGAGTATAGTAGCGAGTACTAGCGAATCTAAAGTAGTGCCTTCTACTAGCCCTAATAAACTAGCTAAATTCCGCTAGCCTACGAGTCCCTCTACGAGTGCCTAATCTACCGAGAAAGAGGCCTCTACTAGTCCGCTAGTTAGTTACAAACGTTAAGCGAGTCGCGAATTACCCTATCGATCTACTCCTTCGTCTATATCCGGTACCTAGGGATTAAGCGCCTATAACCCTATCGATATTATTAACCTTACTAATAATAACGACGACGACGAGCCTACGTACGTACGAGTGCCTAAAAGCAAGCTAGTAGTAAAGTAGGAGGCACGTATAGTAATAAAGAAGGAGCCTATAGATTTAAGTACTATTAAAGAAGGAATAGAGATTACTCCTACGGATTTAGTAGAGCGAGTCGCTAGCGAGTCGCCGGTAGCGACGGAGATTTAGGGCGATAGGTAGGTTACTAGCTTACCTAAGGATACTAAGGCTACGAGTGTACTAGCGGAGCCTACGAGTACGCCCCCGAGCGGACTAGCGAGTACTACGAGTGTACTAGCGGAGGCAATAAGGAATAAGAAGCTAAGGAAGGAGTATATAAGGATTCCGGAGTTTTAAAGGGTTATAAGGGCGTTAAAGAAGCTATAGCGAGTCGGTAGCGAGTTAGTAGCGAGGCTTTAAAAGGATAGAAGGGCGTATAGGGTTAATAGTATAAATATAATAACGATTAAAGGCTTAGAGATCTCTAATATTAACATTCTCCCGACTCGTAGGCTAAAATTAGGTAGACTCGCGGGCGATTTAGGGATTCTACGATCTCTAAGATTCGTAGTATTATAATTTGCCCGACTCGTAGGCCTAAAATTGCTAGATTCGTAGGCGATTTAATCGCTCTAAGATTCTATATATCCTAAGCTACCCGACTCGTACGGAATCGTAGGCTAAAATTAGCTATACTCGCTATAACTCGTAGGCTAGAATTAATCTATACTATCTACTAAGTATATTTGCCCTTATATTTAGCTACGAACTACTCGCTACCCGGTAGCTACGTAATAAAGTCTATTATATAGTAGAGCTTAGCCTCTAGATTATTAATACGCTTATAGGCAAACCCTAAACCCTCCTTAAGCCTAGTAATCTTAGTTTAAAGACTCGTAGGCTTCTACGAGTCGCCTATCTCAGCCCTAGAGTTACCTATAGTAGCCCTAGAATTACCTATAGTAGCCTACGAGTCCGGCTTAGGCTTTAGCGAGTTATCCTACTTATCCTTCTACTTCTCGTACTTCTTCTAGAGCTTACTATTATAACCTAGGCGACCGTAGCGCTTATAGAACGCGTATTAAGTATATTCCTTACCTTTATAGATAATATAATCTAGACCTCTCGTAGCGTACTACTTATAGCCGCTAGGCTTAGAAGATAGTATACCTACGAGTCGATTAGATTTTAGTAGCGAGTCTATATAAATTAGAAAAAGCATACCTAGATCCGTCTCTATTATCTCGCTAGCGTAAGTAAACCGCCGTAGGCTATTAGCCGCGGACTTACGAACCTACTTATTACTAGATTTAAGATTGTTTAAATAGCGCTACTAATCCTTATCGGAGATATACTAGAATGTAGTCTTATCCTACGTCTCTAGTTTGCGGTAGGACTCGCTAGACTCGCTAATTAGCTTTTGCCTATTCTTTAGGCTTCGGATAGCTTACCTTAGGGCCGATATAGTTACTACTAGGGCGCTCTCGGGCGTAGACTAAGGCGGAGGCGAAGGAGTAGGTTAATAATTAGGCTAGTATCGGTCGTAGAGTCGTCTATAGATAAATGTAAGAGTCTCCTAGTCGATTAATACTATAAATTGTCGATTTACGAGTCTACGAGTACGATCTAGGTAGGAAAAGAGGTCTAGGTTCGCTAGATAAGAATGCCTTCTTATAAAATAGCCTACTTATTGTTAGTAGCTGCCTTATTGTTCGATATTGTAGACTCGCACTTATAATAGTATAAGCGCGACAATAGCTTTTAATTAATATAAAGCTACGTACCGCTATTAACGGGTTTAATATGAAGCTAAAAGCTGCGCCTAACTTCATATTAACCGTTTACGTCGATAATAGCGGTGCGCGACACTCGTGGAGCCTTATTGTCGCCGTCGTAAGTTGTTATTGTAGTGGTAGAGTGAGTCGCGACTCACAGCGAGTGCCGCTTCGGCAGTCGGCAAAACCATTTTGCGGATTTGTAAGCTCAGGCCACCGCCGTACCTGCATTAGCGCGCAACTCTATTTCCTTCCGAGACCCGATCCGAAGACAATGACTTTTCTATGAGCTGTTGCTCATCTTCTCTACCAAAATCCGAACTACGATGAAGGTCCTCAATGCGGGTGACCACCCGCTCTCGAATGCAGATGTCTTGGACTGGCTTAAACGAAAACGCGCCCAACATCGAGAGGAAGACGCAGAAGACAAGAGCAAGGGCGTCAAGCCAGCAGCACGGCCCAAGAACTTCATGGCAGCACTCAATCGCCTCGAGCGCGAGCTTGACTCTGGGAAATATCCGTACACGAAGAATCCCTCCGTCTACCAGGGTCCAGCGCGGAAAGAGAAGTTTCAAGAGTTTGTGATACAAGTGGAAGGTAGGATTCAAGATCAGTTGGAAGCCGAATGGAAAGACAAGCTGGCTACGATGAGCAAAGAGCAGGTGGACAAGGACTTTGCCGCAGAGCAGGAGAAGAGATGCCTCACGCAGTCGGAGATGCTCATGATCTACAATCACGCGCCCACTTGCGTGGAGATGTTGCAGCCGATGATCGAGAACGTGGAGGATAGGTTTACTGCAGAGGAGCAGCAGCTTCTGGTGGATGTCATCGTCCGAACGCTTCGTCCGGAGGAGCCACACCTTCAACAGGCGACATAGTACATGGAGCATCTCAGTTCGAGCTTACACCCACACCGACATTCACGGCTCCGAAACCTGAAGCCTCCGGCGGACAGCTTCTGGGACTGTGGGGCCGTACATTCTCTTTGTGGACAGCCCTACTACGATTGGCATCAGCTATCACGACCAGACCGGAGATAGCGATGCCGAGACTTTCCACAACCAAGTGTCTGCAATCAAAGTGGAACCAGTGGCATTTGGCAATGCGCAGACATCCTTGCCTGCCTCCTCTGCCTCCTCTCGCTACTCGCAGATCGAGCTCATCCTTGCGCATTGTTCCAACTTTCGCGAGTATATCTATGCTGCCACAGCCGAGTAGTGCCGGTGTGAAGTTTGGCACAGGAGATGTCAGCCAGTCTCTTCGACCCGACGCCTCGCGAGAGGAGAGGAGGAGACAGTCTTAGTGCAGTTTGGATTGAGAAAACGTAAGAACGGGCTGCCGAAATCATATCGCCGTAACTCACGCTAACGAATCTTTTAGTGAGTCCAAGACATGACGGAATTTCACAACCCAAAGCACCTCCAATCCTCATCTCTTTATTTCCTCAATCTCTCTCGAACCCTCTCCAGCGCTTCGCCCAGCTTATTCTCGCCCCACTCACTCTCCCTCCCCTCCGCCTCTTCCGTATTGAACCCAATGCCCCAAAGCCGATCATTAGGGCTCGTCTCTACTATCTTCCGATCCCCCGTCCCAAGCAAAACCTTCCCCAGCTTCTCATTGTGACGAAACTTCCAAAAATTCCCCTCTTCCACCACCTGATCCATATTCCGGTCCCAAACCGCCTGATCAAACCCCGTCACCTCCCTCCCCAACTTCTTCGCCTTGGCCGGGGTCTCTGCTTCCAGAATCCGTCCAGCGACCTTCTCATCCCCCATGAGCAGAGCTTTATGGTACATCATATACTGCTCCGAGGTGTGAAATTTGTTTCCGGCGGGATCCGTGAAGGGGGAAGGATACCATTGTTGCAGGCAACATTCTGCTTCGGGACGATCGAAGCCGAAGAAGAAGACGTATTTCGCGGTGATTTTGGGGGGGAGGTCTTGCGCGTATTGCAGTTTGGGAGGGAGGTTGGGTAGGTCGTCGCCGACCCATCGGGGGCCTTTGCCGTCGAGATGTTCCCATGACATCTTCTTCCTTTCGAGAGGTCTGGAATTCGCCTGGTCGGCAGGTAGCTTGCTGGTTGAAACGAAGAATGGGTTCGTGCTCTGGCAGTGCCCGATGATGCTCTCAAGAGTAAGTTAGTTGGGGGTGGCGCATGAGGAGCAAGATGAAAGAGGAGCTGGAAGTGCGTCCGTCCCCTTTCGTCCGGTCCGCAAGTCCGTCTGCATGAGAACCAGAGCTTCGACGTTATATTTTTGACTCTATATAGCGGAACCGGAAAGAAGTAAAACTGAGTGGGATATCGTGCTGAGAATGCGCCGGTCGATTCACACAAGCAACCGCGCCAGACGTAAATCATGCAAGTCATTTTGCTTCCTCTCGGCGCCTCGCTAAATCCACAAAACGAGTATACCTTCCCCTCCACGGACGCAGCGACTGTCGTCCTCTACTTGTATTGCTCAATTCTCAGTTCAAACGGCTGAATCCAGTTGGCTAAACCCACATTTGCGGAAATCGAACACTTGCGGTTCACACTCCAGACCTGTGGCCCGAGAACTCGCTCAGAGACTGATGCCAATGTCACATCGAGAAGAGAAATAATCAATCATTCCGAGACGTGGTCCATCGTCTCTTTGGCGAATTCGCAAATTTCCTCGCAATGACGTCTCCAGAAGGTCTTGCGCCCCAGAGTCCCTTCTGACTAAGACCGCGACTCAGTGAGACTGGGAGCTTCTCAGAGACCGCAGGCAAGTCACCGAGGTTGTCGTCTTCGGCGGATTCAGCGGAGCGGCTACCTTGCTGTCTATCCTTCCTGCCGTCTTCCTTCTCTTCTGCTTGAATGGCTGGTGAATTTGGAGCGGAATCTTCGCGCTTGCCAAGACTGGAATGTGGACGGCTGTCTGGAGGAGAGTTGAAGTCGGGCATCGCTTCGTGACTGGGAGGCCGTCTGGCGCTTGAGTCGTTCAGTTTGGAAAAGACGACGTCTCGCTCATCTTTCGGTTTTTGTGCTGTCATCTTCGGTGTTCCACGTCCTGAAGGAGGAGTCCAAAGTCCTGTGGTAAGATTCGGTGGTGAAAACGACCTATCCTCCGTCCCTAGAGTGTTGGACCTCGGAATACCAGGAGACGGCTGGCGCGTTACCGGAGAGGAGCTCGGTCTGAGGATGGATCCAATGGCTGTACTTGTGTTGCTGCGCTTCATAGTCGGCTCGCCAAGGTTCCAGTTCGATTCGATCCCGGCACCGGCCTCGCCATGAGATCCAGCCCCAAAGCGTTTGTACTTGGGCAAAGCATCCTGTGTATTTCTCAGGTTCGTCGGGACGGACGATGTTGGCGTCTTTGCAGGCTGTGCTCCAGGCCGTAGGTGCTCCGACGAAGACACCAGCTTCATCTCATACACAGAATTGAGCCCAATGTCCACGCTGCTCCGCCTCCGATGCCCCTCACTCGGCCTCGCGGGACCTGAAAACTGTGCTGGCGTGCCATCCGGACTGGCCGCGTTGAAGTCTGCAAGCGCCTGTAGAGATGGCGCATCGTCCTTCCTGACGGCCATTGTCAAGCTGGCCATCCCAACGTCTAGCAGGACAGGCTGGTTTGTCAGCGCACCGATGAGAGCGTTACTACCGGCTCCATGTGTCACCAAAATCACAACCAGCTCTTCCACGTCCTCGGCATCGTGGTCTTGATGTTTGTCCGCTTGCTCGAATCCCAGTGCATCTTCTCCCCGGTCGTCCGCATTGTGCTGGCTGTACCATTGAATAAGACTATTCAATCCTTTCCTGAACCGCCTGTGCATGGCCGACCACTCTTCACCATACTCTCCTCCGTTGCCCCAGTCCTGAGGTGCCCGACTACTGTCCCACTGGTAGTCTACGTTGGCAGTCGCATTTCGCGCATGCGTGACATATCCTCGCGGAATGTGATCTGAACTAGAGATCGCATAAGAAGGCGTCGGAGGATGGTAGATCGAGGTTTCTTTCGGTACGATCGAGGTCATCTGCAGATTTGATCCATGTCGGAATGGCGACTTGCGACCACCAGAGCTGTCGTTGCTCCCTACACTGCTCACACTGTTAGATCGTTCGCGTCTCGGGCTTGTCGAATGCAGCGCATCAGTAACGTGGCTCCAATCGTCCAGCGAACCCTCTCTGCTCGCCATCGCTCTCCCATTCGAACCTCCCCAGAGACTATTTCCGGAAGATTTATGGGAGAGTGTGGGCGTGAAGAGGTCCAAGTTCTCCTGCTGCATCAGCTCCGCCTTGGCGGTAGCGAGCATCATAGGGCTTGGTGGAGGAGGCGTGATCTGATCGAAGTACTGCGGATTGAGCCATTCACCAAGAAAAGCATCAACCCTGATCTTCGCTTTCCGGTATCTCTTCTGCTCGCCCAATGCTCTTCTCCGTGCTAGCCCTCGCACAAAGTCGTATCTCGGCTCAGCTATGGGCGCAAGATGAGGTGATCCGGCTCCGTCCCTTGCTCTTAGTCTTGGCGAGGAAGAGTGCAGTGTATGCGGCGAGCGGATCGGAGCAGGTCTCTCCTTAGGAGGCTCATACTGTGCCATGCCCGCCGAGATAGCCACACTGGTCTGCAAGCATCGTAAGAAGGGTGATGTGTGGATGACGACCTTCTGCTTCCTCTTCTTCCGTTTCTGTACGCCGTTCTCTGCATTCTCGGCAGCGTTGTTGAAGGACTGCTCTCGCGCGTGGAGTAAGCTGGCAATGCGCACGCCCAGTGCGCGACACTGATTCCAGCCGCCGTATGTCAAGGGAGGATCGTAAGGTGTGGGCGTGGACAGGTGCCATGATTGATCAGCCGCGTCGAGTCGCATACCATGTCTGTCGCCGTCAGCGAGTATCCTTATAGTGGATATGTGTATTGTTGCTTCTCCCTACCTGGCGATGATGACGACGGCCGGTGATTGCGTTGCCATTTCTGCGACGTCGTCCCTTCCGTGCTTTCCAAGATCGTTCGTATGTGTATTGCGATGCGAGCTCCAAATCCCCAAAGCAAGTTGCTATGAGTTTGCGCCTTGCCTGCTGACCGTTGCTCCCAAGCACTTGTCCTCAGGCGGAACACGGCATCGTGTGCCTGGATTGTGCAACTCGAGAAGCGCTTTTTCCCAGCAGAAGTCACACGTGTCTGCAGGCCAAGAGCGGCAAATATGCAGGGAAGTTGGCTGATGTGAGAGGAAATGGAGCGTTGTTCGCTCTCCCCCACAAAGTCGGCCGGGCCGATGATGAAAGGGTCTGCAGAAGTCGGTTGGTCGGGTTCTTGGTGGGCTGCGCGGTGATGTCGTTCGGTGGCTGTGGTGGGGCCACTCTCGATCTCCGATAATACATCCGATACCTTTTATGCATGACAGGACTAGGGATATCCTTCTCCTCTTCATCATGACCGTTTCTATCGATCCTATCCCACACTTTCCACTAGGCATATGTTTCCTCTTCGAGATCCCGCGTGCATCGACTCCGCAACCCTACGACCCACGCCACCCGATACCCGACATCGCTATCCGGCCCTTCGCTTGAATTCCAAAACCCCGAGCGAGACGAGACCAACGGTACGCCAGCGGCTCCCCGACTTCTAGGATCTAGGACGCCTGTGTGGTGGTATATCGTTCTCAGGCCCAGCGGTCACAGGTCAAGTCTTCACAGCGGCTCGCGTTCCATATACCTCCTGCGCAACTCCAGCCCACTCCAGGTCATGAGCAATTCCAATATCCTACGTTGGTACGCCGACAATCTTGATCCGACCTTCGGTTCGTGGACAGATGCCCTTTGTCCAGGATGCGCCGAATTCTTCGCCCTTCGTGGCACACATGTTAGGATGGCCTTTCAAGCCAGCCAGGCGCCACCACTTCTTCATGACTTTTCGCATAATGTTGAGTTCTGCTTCCGACACCGAAGAGCCATTGCTCACATTCAACGTCACGTCGTTGCTGTCATCCTCGCTGTCGGAATACAGCCCTTCCGATTCTTGTCGCTCTACCTTCCGAGCTTTCGAAGGTCGCTGAGCAAGGTCATGGTGTGAGTGCTGGGCGGTACCGACCAGAGATGTCCTCGTCTCACCGTCCGACTGTAGCTTCTCGTCGTGTACCTTCGAATCCGCTGCCAACTGTGAGATCTCCACTCCCGAGTGCTCCGGCGGCTCTTGTACAGGGTGAACTCCATGCAACCCATCGTGGATCTTGCCCCAGTGGTGTCCCATGTGCGCTCCCCAATTCTTCCACTTGCCTAGGACTTTCAAGCTCATGAAGTACTGGCGCAGGATCATCGATATCAGCATGCCATTCTCATCGCTGACGATACTGCGTGCCGTGCCACCTTTGCCGGCCAGCAACAAGCTCTCAAAGCCATCCTTGCCTCGTGCCATGTAATCGCGGGTCACCAGCTTGTACTCTCGTTCAAGTTCGACAGGTTTGCCCCCAATGCAAATGTCGTAGCATCTTGCTCCAGGCGCTCGCGATGGATCGAAGGCGAAGGTGATGTTCGATACTTGGGGGAAACGGCCCTCGAGTGCGGGGTACTTGGAGACACTATTCTCCAGGGCCTTCACGATGTTGCCGCCCCGAACTCCGATGACAACGCACGGGTCTTCGAAGGGAAAGCAGTTCCTGTCCAACTGTCAGCTTTGAAACAATCCTTGAGCGCGGAGTCACTCGCATCATGTCCTTGACCTTCAAGACACCGGGAGGGTAGATCTGGTCCCCTCGGATGGTACCCGCCGCCATGATGCAGCAATCGCCGTCGTAGTGGAATCTCATGAGGTCGCAAACAAAGTTTCCCAGGTTCGATTCCTTCAGCCGCACGGTGGTGAATCGAGCATCAAGCGGCGCAAGAGTGTATCCCATCGGTTTCTCAAGCTTGGGCCGCAGAGCTGCCGTGATCTTCTCGACAATCTCAACGGCGGCCTGATCCTGCGGTATGGAGCCCACAATATCCCTTCGAATGATGTGGAAGTCCCATCCACTGCTGCCATCTGTCTTCCGCCGGCATTCCAGGTAGGAGAGCTGCTTGAAATCTGACCCCGAGCGCAGAATATGTGTGCCGTTAACGACATCATGGGCGTAGTAATGGTCGTGTCCACCGAGAATGATGTCCACAGTCCCCGGAGTCACCTTGTTGGCCAGCTTGACGTCGTTTGTCTCGCGCTGATGGGCAACCACCACGATCATCTCGGCACCCTCTGCTCGTAGCTTTGGCGCAAGGTCTGATACCGTGGCAGAAGCGCTCAGATACTTCAGGTTAGGAGGCAGCGTGTTGATCGTGTCTAGCCACTCCCGTTCAACGACCCCGATGACGCCAATCTTGATGCCATTGGAGGAAGTGAGCATCATGGTGCGCTTGCAATGGCCGAGAGGGACATCTTCGCCTAGAGCCGGATCGAGGACGTTTGCGCAGAGCCAGGGAAAGTTACACTGCCCAGCCAGGTATTCGAACTGCTTAACTCCAAAATCCAGGTCATGATTCCCAAGACAAGCAACAGCCGTTTCCACGGCGTTGAGAGCACCTAGCATGTGCTTGCCTTTCGTCACCGAGCTCTCGAGCGATGGGTTGAATGCGTCTCCGCTGAAGAACGTCAATGCTTCCGGTTGGCCCTTGAAGCTTACATCGTGCTGGTAGTATTGGCAGACAGTTTTGAAGCGCGCTATGCCTCCAACGGGTTCTCGAGAGCCTGCTTCCACGTGGTAGACATCATTGTAGTGAATGAATCTCAGGTCGGGTGGCCCGCCTGCCACGTTGCCACTGGAATAGGTGATAGACTCTTGGTGGAAGTTAGCACTCTCTCGAGCATTGAGGAGACTTCGCAGACGCTGCAAGCTGCTGGACCGCGGAGCACGCCAGATCGCGCGCACGATGGCACATACCTCCTTCCCTCATCATCCCATTGGTCGTGCCATCCGTCGTCATGCCGGACATCAGCGCGTAGAATACGTGTTAGGACGCGAGACCGCTTCCGCGCACAGTGGCAGTCCTAGTACGACAAGCGGTCGCGCAGATACGAGAGAAGAGAATAAAGGTCGAAAACGAGCCCGAGAAGATGGTGAAGGTGAATGGAATGAGATGGCGTTGCTGCAAGAAACTTATCTAAGCATTGGGGAGAGCAGTCACCGCCGAATGGAGGTGGGATGACGCTTGGCAAGATCGAGGCGCAGCCGGCGCACGAGCGTTGTTTCGTGGCAATTGTGAAGCAGTAGAACGCGCATGGAGATCTTACAAACGAATTGTTGATGGAGATGGAGATGAAGACGAAGATTCGAGCTGGTCAACAGGTGAGCACCATTGTGTGATGATCGGATCATCTCGGACTCGGGATACCCCGGCACACTCGCACAGCGCGCTAGCTCATTCATGTGCGCTAGGAGATGGAGAGAATGGAATTATTAATATTGGCTCCAATGCTCGGAACGCTGCATATTTGTACTACGCAAGTAATTACCGAGGGAAGGGAACATAATGGCAAGGAGGTAGTAAGGATTGGGTCGTTATTGGCTTGATTGCTCGGAACGCTAGCAGAGGACTGCATGTTTGTACTTCGCCCACCCAACTCTCAAAAGTGAGGAACAATATTATTGGCGGTACTTTTCGTGACGCTAGTTTATGTCTGTATGCGCTCTGCTACGCGATGTCATGGAGACGGAATCTTGTCACGAGAGCTTTTTTTTCAGGAGAGGGATTCTTATCAGGAGAGATTGTTTTCGCAGGAAGCTAGCTCAAAGATGAAAGTGGGGACAGTAGCGATTCTTCAAATGATTATTTGTACAGTATAATATGCACGGGAGAAGAAGCCCTAGATACTCTTCAATTTTACAATTTAATGGAGATATTGTAGTGGTCCAGAGCAAGCGCCACGGCGCAAAGCACGCCCATGTACGGCACCAGTACTGTCATGGCCCCCACGTCGCTCATGTGGATCGTCGAGAGCGTCATGTTCACCAAACCGGTGAGCAGGTTGGCCAACAAGAAAATGGCCAATCCATTGCGATTGAATGCCCGCATGACCCTGCTGGTGGCTTCCTGGATGCGCTGCTTCTCGGCCGCCCTGGTCTTAGCTTTGTAGATGCCCGGAAACATGATCGTCTCAATGATACAGAACAGCAGCAGCTGCGCCGTATTGAAAGAGCAAACCCAGCACACATAGGCCAGGTTAGCCATTCGCCGGGAGACGAACAGTCGAGGCCCGTATCTCCACATCGCCCAGACTGAGAAGATGAACCATAGTGCAGTCCACATAGCCAGTCTGGGTAGAGTGCTCTTTGGAAGCTCAGGCTTGATTTGTGGCATCTCAACGGGTGGTGCGGCCGCTGAGGGCTCACCAGGCTCGCCTGCTAGGACAGAAGCCAGCCAATCTGCGTCCTGGTCCAACCCATCCTTCTGAGGCACCTCTGGTTCTGGGTCACGAGGAAGAATGTTCAGTCCAGTGGCCATACCGGCGATGAAGATGGCCAGGTATCCTATGAAAGAGAACACGCCCTCCCTGTTCTGCGAAAGAAAGTCTCCTGGAACGCGTGCTGAGAGGATGATGTACTTCTTCATGTCCGGCACGCAGAACAGGATCAGCTCATAGCCAATGGCCAGAACAAAAGCGAAGATGTGGAGCGTTGGCATGATTCGAAGAATGGGTTGCAGGATCGCCACTGCCGGCGATAATAGCGCGAGGGTGAAGAAGAAGTTCCAGTGCACACCGTACTCGCTCACGTGTTCAGCGTAGTCAAGACCTTTGACACTCAACAGACGGATGAACCCCAGGACAAGGAGGGGAAGTGAATGACGCATGGAAGCTTTCAAGCGTCCAGCCATGGAACGTGTTCCGGAATTCTCTTCCTTGAGCTGCTGGCGAGCAGCTACGACACCAGCAGCGAAGACGAAGGAACCGACGCCCATGTCCATAAGCGATGTTCCAAAGGACTCAGTCTTGGCAAATCGTCTTGGAAAGACAGGGAAATCGACCGCGAGGATGCTGGAGCAAGTGATGATCATCATCGCTCCCCGGTAGGTGGTGATGAAAGGTTTGACAGGGAGCGGATCCGGTTGGTCCTCTTCGTCCTCATCCTTAGAGCCAGTCGATTTGCCATTCACCTCCGCTTTGACGGGAGGCTTGGGAGGCTTCTGGACTTCTTTGGATTGCTGCAGGAAGGCGGCGAGGGCAGGGAGGAGAAGCAGGCCGTTGAGAATTTGAGGTGCTCCGGAGTAGACGGTCGTTGCGAACAAGATGGCCCCGCAGTTGATCAGGAAGTCCGAGAAAGCGGCGGGGAGGTTGTAGGGCTTGAAGAAGTTTTGTCGAGTCTGTAGCATGGCCCATAAGAAGGCGGCCGCCTGCGTTGTTGGTCAGCGTGGTCAATTTCCGCTGCCGGGAGGGTGTCGTACGGGAGCCACGAGTGCGACATGGTTGATTTCCCAGATACCGCCACCGCCCAGGTGCGACACGGCCGCGATCTTGTCAGCTTTATATTCGGGCGTCATTGTAACCCGACGCCCTTGCCAAACAGGTGTTGAAACGCGAGACGGGATGACAAGAAGAGGAAAAGATGGTCGAGGGAAGAATTTCACGCAGCGACTGGAGCTAATCTCTCCCAAAGACGCACGGACCTCCACGAGGAAGAGCCGCCAGCGCACCGGTGCAAGTTGCTTCTCGGGCCGTCGAACCTCACTTCACTTCACTTCACTTCACTTCACCTCTCCCACTCCATACTCCATACTCCATACAGAGATATGTTTGCATCGCAATCCATCCACCGCTCGTACATCATCATATACCATCATCGTGTATCACCGCTGTATTGCAGTCTAGCATGTAGGTAGGAGAGGACGATGCCATGTATCCCACCGCCCCATTTTTCATCCTAGAAGAATCAATATCAAATTGCAAGAGTAAACACCATGAAGAACTCATGCCGCTTTCTCATTTCCATTGTTACAACCACGCGATGAGGGAGATTGCGTTGCGGGCTCCCGCTTCTGCTCCTGGTCTTGGCGTGCGGTATGCAAACGCTGCACGGCGAGGAAACAGCCTGGCGCGCGCGCGACATTGGCTTATTCAGCGCGGTGCTTTTCGTCAGTGCGGCAGCAAATTCAACTTGGACTCGAAACCCTCGACACCTCCCCCTCATCCTCATCCTCATCCTCACCCTCACCCTCACCTTCACCCTCACCCTCGACCAGCAACTCCCTCCGCTCTTCCACCCCGCCCATCACCAACAACAACATCAACATCAACGCACCCCTGGCAGTGCATGCCAGTACCGCATCGCTCATGTCCAACCCACCACCAAAGGACACAAACACTTACACGCCGCGCGCCGACGACGACAGCAGCCATGCACCGCCAGTGCCACCGTCCAAGATCCCTACAGCGGCGGCCGCCGGTACTGCACCACGCATGACCAACCCACCACCAAAGGGCAGAGAGACCTGCATGCCACTCGTCGACTACGACAGCAGCCTATCACGGCCGATGCCACCGCGACAGCAAGCGCCGGTGCCACCGTCCAAGATCCCGACCACGACGCACGCTAGCTCCGCACCGCGCAATACTCCAACTCTCAAGGACAGGAAGACTTACAAGCCACTCGCTGCCGACAATGACGACAGCCTGCCACCGCCAATGCCGCTGCGAAACCCTCCGCCAATCCCAACTCCCGAGACGCCGACGGCCGCGTACGCCAATATCGCACCGCTCATAACCCAGCAAACACCCAAGGACAGGAAGACTAACACGCCACTCGCCGACGATGATAACCGCCTGCCAGTGCCAATGCCATTGATGCCACCGCCAGTGCCACTGTCCAAGATCCCAGCGCCGCCAACGCCGGGGTCGATGTCGGGCAACGCGTCTCGTCCATCACTGACCAGAGAAGGTACTCAGTCTACTGAACGCTCATCGCGCTCGTCGAGACTCCCGATCCCTGGAAGTCGTCACGCCACCGCCTCCGCTGGCCGCGCATCTACCTCCGGTCCTGTTTACAGCTCCGCCACTTCAAGCGTAGGTCCTATCACGTCCACGTGCGCGTTTCACACTGACCTTCTTTTACAAGCAGACAATCCCCCGGCTTGGCCGCAAACTGATCCCTTCACCGAATCTTAACAAGGAGCAGCCCGTCAAGACTGTCACATATCCCCGAGTGGATGAGTCTGGTGATCCACTGCCGATATCTTCCCACCCTGATGACTATCGACGTGCTGCCTACCAAGCCACTGCCCGCCAAGGACACGACGCTTCTCCGACTCCTTTCAGGACCATCAGCCCACCCGTCACAAAGCGACAGTTTTCTTCGACAATCAGTGCTTCAGACATCGATGATATGGTAAACGAACCAGTTGCAAACGATCATGAGAGGCGAGACAGTAAGATGTCTGCCATGAGTCGTAGCACCTCTGGACGCGTTACCTTCCATCCAACCGCATCAAATGCTGAATCGCCCGAACCCGACAAGTCGAACGAAATCAATGTCGCCAAGTGCAGCTCAGGCTCACCCACCCATTCAAGCCGTCACTCAACCCGTCCTTCAAGCCGCCCTTCAAGCCGAGCACGCACTCCCAATGCAGATGCTGCAGACCTCATATCTCCTCATGCCTCGCGCGTCTTCAGTAACGGCTCTCGTCGCCTCTCCAGTATGAGATCCAGTGAACACCCGCCACCGACAAGCCCATTCATGGATCCACTCCCCACGATCAGTTCACAGCCTTTCCTATCAACAGCAGCTCCGATGCCAGCGACTGATGCCGAGCGCGGCAGTGAAGATACCCTACGCGAGGAATCTCACCAGGATGACAACACCCAAGACACGCTCGCAATGCCAAGCCCGCGACGAAGTCTTTTCCGCACGCTCTCCCAGGCCAAGCGCGAAAATGAGCAGAAGCAGGACCGCGGTGAGCGCGGCCTCTCCATCGAAGCGCGAGAGCACCTGCACAAGACGCTGGCCCAACTCGAGGGCAAAGTGATTCCGGACAACCCTCGAGTCAGCCGCGAGCAGATGCGGCAGATGTTCGGCAATGTGGAGGAGGCCTGGCCGCGTGAGGAATCCACACTTCTCTCCAAGATGATGCTTGCACAAAAGTATCTCGACAAGACCGCCGCCCGGCAGAGCCAACCGACAGGCTCTCCGACAACTTTCGGCGAGAGAAGTGCAGGAGAGGAAGGCCCTCCGGCTCCGGGGAGCGTCGCCCACGCCAAGGCAACCCTCCACGAGCGGAGAAGCTACGCTCGTGCCACGGCGGCGTCTGCCTCCCGAACCGGGGGCCTCGGCCAGAAGCAGGCGGCGGCACTGCCAACGAGTCCCGCCCTCCACAGAGGCCGCACGATCCCTCCCGGCAGCATCGGCGTGCCGTCAATCCAAGAGGGCGGCCCTCCACCTCCCCGCCCTCGCTCGCGCACCCGGGATGCGCTGCACCGGATCGGCGGCCTCTGGCGCAAGGGCGGAGGCAGCGGCAAGCCGGCCTCACCGGCGGGACGTCAAGAGGCGGACATCCCGCCGGTGCCAAGAGTTCCCGAGCGCTTCACGGGACACCACCACCAAGCCCCGGCCTCACCCACCGCCGCGTCTCCCTCGCCCTCGGGGGATGGACAATCGCCCTCGGCGGGTGAGGCCGCCCCGTCGGCAAGCACGAGGGCCACCGTGGTATGTGCCAAACCCCCCCTTCACCTTTGCCTTTTACATACACTATACAGAGAGATTCAATGCTAATCATCCTTCACAGGCCGCCATACGGGCACAAGACGCGGTGGCTCGCGCTTCCCTCTGCGCGGCGAACGCCGACCTCTGCGCCAGACGGGCGCGGCGCGAGGCGGATCGGGCGGCCGGTGAGGCGGCCACGGCATTGGAGTTGGCCCAAGAAGCCCTCCGGGCCTCGATGGTGGTGAGCCGTAGATAGTTGTCTTTTTTTTTTTTTTGTTCTTTTGGGTTTTTGGAGCGTTTTGTTTGCTCTTAACTTTTTTTTTTGTACTTTATAGTTTCTGCGGTAATGTGAGCTTTCTCTCTTCTTGGCAATTTACATTTTCTCTCCGTAATCTCGGTCTTCTCAATGCCCAAGACGAATCTCATGATGCGCTTCGGTCTCTTCTTCATGCGGTGGAGATACCGTGTCATATTGTGGAACTGTACCCCTCAAAATCCGGACTCGGCACATGTATAGAACATGATCCTCATGATCATCTTCATTCCAAACAATCAAAAGGAAAAAGAGTGAAAAGGGGGGCTCAATCTCGCTCAAAAACATGGGAAACATCAAATCGTACGCTGCTATGACCTCTGGAGATCCCATCTTTCTCTCTTTTAACGCTAACTTTACCAATCAATCAATTCGGCCCCTCAACATGGAGATAGCACCCCTGTGCACCGGTGCCCTTATGTATAGCCCTCTCATCACTCAGCCCGACCACCACATTTCTGACCTCCGAAGTCAAACCAAGCGGACCGCAGACACCAACCGCGGACTCTCCTTCCGCGTTGTCGAGTAAGCTGCTGACCACCTCGCGGATTCGAGGTCTGCCAGAGTAGAAAATGGCACAAGGGAGAATCGGCAGGCGTCGACCAGCCATGATGTCCGAGTTCAGGGATGATGGGACTGAGACTGCTGTGGTGGAGAGGGGCTGTTTGCCTGCTGAAGTGGGCTGAATTTCTTCTTCGTCATCATCATCATCATCATCATCAGCATCAACACGAACGCAGCAGCAAGGTTGGCCTTCTACTTGTTCGCATTGGCAGCCACACTCCTTAAGCATGGCGGAGCCAGGATTGGTGAACTTCTCAGCACAAGTGACGTAGATGCTGATTTGCAGCTGAATGCCCGAATGCTCCATTTGTTTCGAGATGGTCGCCAGCTCCTCGCCGATCCACGAAGTCCAATTCGTGTCTTTAACGCACCATACAAAGTGTATGCGACGTACGGGCAATGTCCTGTCGCTCCGCACCGACCGATCTGCAATGTCCTCGAGGATCGAAGTCGTGAAAGTGACGCCCGTCGAACCAGCAATCAAGCAGACCGAATCGAAAGCAGCAAAATCGGAATGTCCCGCGCCGTAAGGGCCATCCAAGAAAGCCAGATGCGTGCTGACCTGGGTGTTCTTCTCGACTTCGTCATTCTTTTCAGAGACCAATGCGGTAGTAGAGCTGCTAGCTCCCTCCATGATGCGCTTGGTGAAGCCTTGGTGGCTCTTCAGAATAAACACCAAATCACCAGCGTGAGATCGTGGTGTAGATAGGATCGTGGCAGGATGGCTCTGCAAGAAACCGAAGCGTGGTATGGAGATCAAGACATGCGCTCCAGGACGCCAGGACTTGATGGCCTTGTTCGATATTCTGGCCTTGGTGACGTCGCCTTCTAGTTGTGTCAAAGTAGCACGACTGACTCGGAGGTTGTGCCATGCCAAAAACACAGTTCGAATGATCCGATCTGCCAGGTAAAGCCCAATTGGGATGTAGATGTAGACTCGACTAGTCAATGCTGTGCTTGGCAGGTGCAGCACAATGGCAATGATGAAGCCAAAGAACGTCAGGACATGCTGGACCACAAAGAACTCGTAGCTGAAACTGCGTATCGGCGCGATGGTCGTCAAGTTCATCCAGAGCAGTAGGGCAAACGCGGCGATTCCAGTCGGCGGACAGTCATCCGTCTCCCATTCCAGCCTCATCACACCGTACTTCTGCCATCCTGTACTCTGGAAAGCAAAGTGGAAGATAGCCAAGAGGAGCATGATCCGCGCCGACCATCGATGGATGACGTTCAGTCGCTCATACGAAACACCCGTCAAGAGGCCGATGATGTTGTTCTTGTTGATGAGGAGAACCAACAGCGGAACTTGAGCAACTGCCAACCATCCAGCACGAACACCCAGAGCTTGCCAGTACTGCGCTCCTGCGACGTGGTTATCCACGAACTCCAGAGCGAGTACAAACGCCAGATACGCCAGAAGCAGCGCAATCGTCCCCACCGGCGGTATCCTGAAAAAGGGAAAACGCGTAGCCGGAGACCACTGAGCATAACTCATCTCCCTCCCCATCGCAGTGATCGTAGCAAACCATCTCGCCGCAAGGCCTTTCGGCTTCGCAGGAGATTCCACCTTCCGCGCCGCCTCCCTCAGTCGCATCTGCAGAACCCACCATCTTAGGAGATTGAAAACGGCCGCAACCCCCACGGCCGCAACCACACCATACCAGAAGTACTTCGCGTAGTTGTTCCCGATGACTTTCAGCTCGTCGTCATCCAAAAGTTGATCGAGAAACTCGGCGGCCTGTGTCGTGTTCGAGAAATCCACGCCATCCGGGGAGAGAGGTGCGCTAGATGCACCACCCATGTCCATACCACTCATATCCATCGTGTTGTTCGCCGCCGCCAGCAGTTGGAATCGCCTCCGGTTAGATCGTCATATGGTGCTCGTGGCGATGTTTCACTTTGTTTGTTTCCCGCAGACCAATGGAATGTGTGCAAATCCTCGACCCTCTTCCTCACGTGGACCGTGCGTGAGCAAGTTGATTACGACGCGACTCGGAGTTATTGTAAATGGCAACAGAAGTAAAGATAACAAGCACATGAAATAATGCTGAGAAAGGGATCAACCTTTTATTGATCGCCCCTGCCGCCACTGGTGAAGCGGAACCTTGCTCAAATTTGGAAGCCACGACGTTGGCGACCACCGGACAGTTGGATTGCCGACCGGTCCAGCCAGCCGGCATTCGAACACGCCGTACATAAGCCGAACACCACTCATCTTCTCTTTGTCGTCTTCTTCACCTTGAACATTATTGCCATTGAAAGTAGTACGACGTATGATACTAGATCCCGCTTGCACACACTGGAAGAAAGATTTTGAGCCTCTTCAACCTTACATATCGAGAGGACTCGGGGGTATCAGAAGGGCAGCCCGGTACATGCGGAAACACACCCGTTCAGCTTTTCCTCTCTCATCTCCTCCGACCGTGCATGCACTCCTTTCAGCCAAAAAAACCTGGCCCCCAAATCTCTGTTTCATATACTCATTACTTGCCCATTCATTATGTCTTTTTGCGTTGTATTGATGATCAGCGATAGCAGCACCGCCATCTGGTCTGGCAATGGCCGTCACACAGCAGGTCGAGACCCATTCGCACACACCTAGGAGCAGATGGTTCCGTACTTGCGGGAGGTAAGTGGTTGAGGGAAAATGCCGGCATCGATGAGAGCGAATGCGTCCCATTCTGGAGCCTTGCCGCCTTCGGTCTTGAAGTTCCTGTTCGCGGATGAGGTCAGTGATCAACGCGGGAGACTTTCGGGTGCCAGAAGAGGTACGTACCACCAGAACCATCCCTGGGTGTACTTCTCGAAAGCCTCCATTTGGCCTTCGATGTAGCGCCTACGAAGTGTTAGAAATGGGAGAAGCATACACAGCCGGACGTTGATTCACATACCTAGTGTCTTCCCGCATCTGCGGGGACCAGGACTCGATGTCGTTCTTGCCTGCACAGGAACCAACATACTGCGATCCAGGCAACGAGCCGTCGTACCGAGCACCCTTGCCGTACCCGTTCAGAGCATAAGCGCAGTCGGTCATTGCACCGGTCCACTCTCCAATAAAGGTCCACTTGTCAGCACCATTGTACACGTATGCATTCTCGCAGATGTACTGCACGTGCTCTTGCGGGGTCTTCGACACGACATCGTTTTCGAAGACCTGATATTCGTGATGGTCAAGAGCGACGTTCTGCGCGTTGTGGTCGGATGGGGTGAGGAAGCCGTTGTAAGTGTTGGTGTTCTGGAAGCCGTCCTGGAGAACGACAACTCGCGACTGGCTGACGGTCCGCTGCTGCCCGAAGCCGTCCCTGTAGAACTGCTTCACCACATCGAGATCGAGTTCGGGAGTGAGAGGTTCGTTCAGGAGCTCGATACCCATCATGACATCGTCATACTTGGCGTCGCCGTACTTCTTCTGGAGGGTGTACAGGACGTTGAGGGTACGCTTGACGGTATCGCCAGTGGTCCACTCGACCTTGTCACATCTCTGCCCGGAGTTGTCGAAGCAGTTCTGAGAACCGGGGGCACCGTGAAGGTCGATCATGACCTTCAGACCCAGCGAACGAGCCCAATCGATAGCGGCATCGATGAAAGGCGCGGCGCCCTTGGAGTATGGAGTGCCAGTGTTATCATATGCCCAGAAGCCGACGGGAATGCGCACAGCATTGAAGCCCGAATCCTTGATCTTCTTGAAGTCCTCCCATCTCACCCAAGTTTCCCAGTGCTTCTTCAGGACCTGCTGGTATGCTTGTTCGGCGCCGAGGGATTGCGTCAAGGTGTATTCGTCGACGATGCCTTTCGAATCGGGGAACTGCTGGAAGATGGATGGCTTGATCCAGGGCTCGAGGACCAGCCAGCCTCCAATGTTGCAACCGCGGATAATCTCGTTGCCCCAGTTGAAGCCGCTGGGAGCACGGTGTATGACATTTCTGCGATGGGGTGTCAGCAAAGCGACGCGCGGAAAGAGCCTGGAGGTGTGCTGGGTACTTACGGAGCTGCAGAGGCGAAAGATGCAGCGCAGAGCGCGGTAAATGCTTTAGTGAACAACATGGCGAGAATCTATTGTGTACAGATCTTGGCAGTGATGCTGGGTCTCACACAAGAGAGAAAGGCCCAAGGCAGGAGAGGAAAGGAAGCAGCGAGCCTTTGGGCTTGGCGAGTCAACAGAACAACAGTCGTCGCTGCTCCTTGAAACGACAGCGAAACCGCGCGAGCTGGAACGGACGCTTCCGTTGGAATGTTGGGGGCTTGTTTCCTTCCCGCGAGAGGAATAGGCGAGACCGGCACACTGGAGTCAAGGGAATGACGATGTAGACAGGAATGGGTGATGGCGTTCACACTCGGACGAGTCGCGTGAGGCAGAGCAGTGCGGAGGCAGAGGCTAGGCGACGCGATGAAGAAAAAGGAAAAAGGGAGGGATGGAGGGAGGAGAGATGAGGCTGGTGATGAGTGGTTGTGCGGACAGGAGGGAAAAGAGGTAGGGTCACTTAGCCTGAAGACGGGGGGGAATGGGATGGCGAGGGACGAGGATGGAGGGTGAAAGCGTCAACGGTAAGATGGAAGGTGCTATTGTGTCGTGCCGTGTCGTGTCGTGTCGTGTCGTGGTGTAGCAGCGAAAGTCAGCAGCCGGAGCAAGAGTACGCAGCCAAGCAGCGTGTCTGCGTGTGCGCGTGTGCAGACCCCCGGCCAGACGAGATGTTGCGGAGATCAGCACCGCTCCCCGTGGCCGAGTGCGGAAAACGCGGGGATGATCCAGGCGCCGCCCCAATCAGCGCACGCCCGTCCCTGGAGCCGCTCCAATTTAAAAGGCAGTCCCTCCACAGCTCCCTGCTCACTGCGAGTCAGCTCTCCTGGTTATTATTATTCTCTCGCCGTCACATGCTTGAAATATTGCTGGACAGAGGCCAATTCAATCGCCGCCGCAGCTTCGGCCGATTGCAACCTCCGCCTGTTGCAGTGCCACCACCAACGGATGCCGACTGTGACCACGACACAAGCACGCGAGGTGACGATGCGATGCCATGCGATGCGATGGCAGTGGGTAGCAACAGCAACATGCACAAATCCTGCTTTGCTGTCTCCCAATGCGCAAGCCACGGCGACTTGGGCCTCCAAGGCGCAAATACAGCTATTACGGTGATCCCAATGACAAGGACAAGAACGGTGTCTGTCGATTCGAATTCTGCCGAGACACGCTAAGCACCCTAAGGATACGCGCTAGTGTGCGGCCTCTAGTCGCCGCATCCGCGGTGCACGACCCATATCGATGATGTCATGTCGGACTGACGAGAGTACGGTCGGGTAATCCGGCTACAAACATTACCCGGCTACGGAAAATGGTGTCTGTTCACAATCCCGACTTGCAATTTGCTTACATTTCCAATATCTTTGCATCCTCTCACTTCTCCTTATGAGCCATCATCGACAGATGCCGATTCTATCAAACATAATGAGGATAGATTGCTTGAGCTAGCCGTCGAGGCGAGGTTCAGAATCATCCCACAGAAGTTGCATGTTGTCGATTGCCTTACCTGAAGCATTCGCTCAATGTGAGTAGGTGTATGCAGCGATGGATCATTAGGCCACCCGAAACCCAACACGTGAAGGATTCGATCGATATCATGTGCCTTCGCGGGAACGTAGCAGAACCCCCAATTTGGGCAAATTCTTCGAAGTTGAACGTTAAGAGGAATATACCCCTCGAAAGTCTTTCTGTATTGCTTCATTATTCGTAGAAGCGTCGATTATCCGTTCTCCAAAAGTAGCATGCATAGAGTGCGGGAGTCAATCCTGCTGGTGTGACCCACCGGGACCGTCTCTCTCCAATGCTCGGGACGTGGGACAGAGGCAAGAGGTCCACCTGGAAGAAATGCTGCGCAGCCTGGAAGCTTTCGGGTTCGCACGGTCGATCTTCTGCGAAAGAAGTCTTTGCCTTCATTTAGCAACTGCCAAGCCGCGTTAGCGTATCTTTCCTGATGCATGTGCTCGAGGAGGAAAGGAATGGAGGCAATTTACTACCTTCTACGCGAGACGTTCGTTATGATGAATCTTGGCTCCACTTTCGGACGGCGGTGAAAGGTAGGTAACTAGCAAGGAGGAAAAATTGCCAGCCTCACCATCGCCCTGTCTACAATAATCGGGCCCCTATCCTTCCCAAAAAGGCGAGCCCTATCGTACATGCTCCAGGTAGACCGGTTGGTGGAAAAGTAGGTCTTAGAACAAATACAAAGTTCCGGTCGAGAATATCCGATGGCGATCAAGAATCCGATGCAGCTGCAAAGGTAGGTAAAATGCTTCCATTCCGTTCGTCCAGGATTACACGCGCCAGAGCACCTACGCTAATACACTGTATCGTGGCCCGCCCCATCAGTCAAAAATCTACATTCACATCGCCGGCATTCTCGATGCTTTCATCCACCGATCCGCCGCACTTCTTCAAGTGATCGTCCTGGACGCACTTCAAGCCAGAGTTTACGAGATCTGTATGAAGTCAGCGGCTTCTCGGTCCTTCATCCCAGTCGTGGGATACTTACCTCGCCGATGTGCTGCTTGTCAATCACGCTGTTCTGTCTCTGATCTCGCGACACCCGGTAGTAGTCGTCAACATAATCAGACCCGTTCATGTGCTTCAGAAACTCCTCGTCGTGCGTGATGACGATGATTTGGAAATTGCTCTGCGCCCGCCGAAGTCGGATGATCTCAGACAAGCTCTGCGCCAGAGCCCGAATGTTGTCGCTGTCCAGGTTTGTCGTGGGCTCATCAAGTGCAATGAGACCACAATTGACGCCAAAGCATTCGGCCAGTGCAAGGCGAATGATGATGCACGCCAGGACCTTCTGTCCCGCAGAGCAGCGGCCACGCATGTCCATCTCGGTATCCTGCTTCACCATGCACACTCGGTAATTGTAGCTCTTGTTGGCCTTGACACTTTCAGACTCGCTGCGGATCAGGATGGTGTCAACATCAGTGCCCATGTAGGTCTTGCGCCAGAGCTCGGCAACGATCTGATTGATTTCGTCCATCTTCAAGGAGTGGTACTTCATGATGGCCTTGTCCAGTGCTCCGGCGTAGCGCCCGAGATCTTCAATGGCGGCTTTGGTAGTCTCAACCATAACATGGGCCTCTCTATACCTCCGGGCAGTGTCCTTGTAGTCTGTATCCCAGTCCTTCATGGCCTGAGCCAACTGGTCGTCGATGGACTTGATCTGGCCCGCAAGACTCGCCTCCTGTTGAGCAGCTTCTCTGCGACGCAGCTGCCATTGCCGTACTTCTTTCTCATAGCGCTCCTTGTCCGCTTCGGCGTTTGTCTGCTCCAACGCAGCAATCTCCCGCTGGAGGTCCTGGAGCGCACGAAGGTCGCGACGGTACTGCTGGTTGTCACCAATCTGGCGCTTGACTGCATCGTAGTTGTTGATCTTCTCCTTCAACTCGTTGCACTCTCGGACAACTGCCTGGGCATCTTCCTTCTTGCGCCCCAGCTCTGCCTTCACATTCTCGATCTCGCGTCGGCATAGGTTCAGAGGTTCGTCTCCTCCTCGGTCGTGATATGCCTGGATCTCTTGATCGGCCAGCTTCAGCTTGTTGACGCTGCTGGTGAGGTCGTTCGCCTTGTTCTGCAAGATTCGGTCCTTCTCTTCTCCGCGACTTGCGATATCCTCGTATCTAGCGTTCTCAGCCTTCTCCTCGGCATCTAGGTCTTTGATCGTGGCATCTGCTGTGCTGATCTTCTCACGCTGCTCCTTGTTAAGGTTCTTGTACTCTTCTTCCTGAGCGTGTAGGTCCTTCTTCTCTTTCAGCTGCCACTCGGCTGCGCTGAGCTTGCCCTTGGTGTTGCTGATCTGGAGTTCAAGGCTGTTAATGCGTGTCCGAACCTTCTCGCGGTCACTAGCTGCATTGTGCTTGCGGGTAGATGCTGCCTTCGCTTGCTCGTCCACTTTCTTTTTGTCGGATTGAATGATTTCAAGACCTCGAGAAAGACCCTGCGACTTCTGCTTCTCAGTGAGATCTTGAATCTGAGCCTCGAACTTGACGATTTCGGCGTGGTACTTCACGATGCTTTGTACGGTGCGCGAGTGCGAACCAATCTCAGCTTTGGCACTGTTCTTGTCACGAACGGCATTATCGCGGTCTTCGAGCTCTCCGTTGAGATGATCGTGTTCTGAGTTCATTGACTCGAGCGCCTTCTGCTTCTCAGGAATAACTTTGTTCTTCATTCTCTCCCAAGTGTCAAACTCCGAGCTGACTGCTTTGGCTGCGCTGAGCTCCCGCTCAATGTCGTCAAGGCTTTGCGCCTCTGGAGCTTCAGTGCAGTATTTGTCCAATTCCCGCTTCACCCGAGCGAACATGGCCTGTAATTGCTCTTCTTTCTTGAAAGGGCGGGTGCAAGTGTAGCAACAGTTGTGTTGTTCACCAGTCTTCCGGCACAGCTCAAGGTACTTTTGAACCTTGTCGAACGCTTCCTTCTCCATCTTCACATCGTCTCGAAGGTTTTCCAGCTCTGCTACTTTTTCGTGATACTTTTGGGGCTGACTGCCATTGATGACCTTCGTGACAGCGTTTTCGGCAGACTTGAGCTCGGAATGCGCAGACTGCAGCTCCTTTTCCACCTCTTTGATCTTTGCGCTCTGATACTCTACTTGCTGAGCTGTGCCATTGCGCTGACGCTCGGCCTCACTGAGCTGCGCGACGGCGTTCTCGAGAGTACGCTGAAAGTCCTTTTCAAGTGACGCTGGAGTCCACCTCGGTCCGACAAGCGTGCCAATAGCTCCTCCATGGGCTTTCATCATGGTCTCTAGGCTCTGCTGGCGCGCTGTGAGTTCCTTCTGGACAAAGTCAAGCTGCGCTGAGTCTCCCGCACGCTGTGTTGCTTCGAGCAATTCCGCCTCGAGCTTGTCCTTACGATCTTCGAGTGTACGCAGCTCCAGCTCAGCACTCTCGATATCTGCATCCCAGGAGGCGTTCTCCATCTCGGCCTTGGCGGCGGTAAGTTTCTGCTGCGCGTCACGAAGCTGAGATTCTAGCACAACCTTTCCACCCTCGTCAATCTCCATGTTGTTTTGCCGTGACTGGAGATCGCTGATCTTGCGATCGTATGATGTGATCGCCTGTCTCGCAGTCTCCTTGGACTGCTTGTGGGCGGATTTCTGCTCGTTGATCTTCGTCAGTCGCTTCTGTTGGCGCTGGAGATCGTCTTGCAGGGCCGAGCGTGCCTGCTCGAACTCTGTCTGCTTGTCCTGCGCCTTCTTAGCGATACGTTCCATGAAGTCTTTGACTTGAGCTTCATCAATATCGAGAGTCAACCCTCGAATCTCGTGGGTTTGTGCAGTTTCTCGGATAAGCCGTTTGCGGCTCTCTATCTGGCGATCGAAGCTCTGCTTTTGAGCTTCGTGAGATCCCAGCTCGCGCTCTTTAGAGCCCAGTTGCTTTTCTATCTGCTCGGCGTCTTCGAGAAGCTCATGGTACGCTGAACTCTGCTTCTCAAGATCTGTCTGATAGACCTTCAATCGTTCGTCATGCTCTGCCAACGAGCGCTTAAGCTCATCATCGGATGCGTCGAGTTCAGTCAGATGGTTACGGAGACTCTCGATGCTCTCCTCCTTGGTATCACGAGCAATGCGTTTCCCACTGAGCGTGCCCACTACCGTCTCCGCTTCGCCGATCTTCGTGTAGAACTCTTCTGCCTTTGTCTCGGCTTCTCGCAGCTGGTCGGAGAAGTAGTCCTTCTTCGACTTGAGATCTTCCAGTTGCTTCTCAAGGCGTTCCCAATTCTTCGAAAGCTTCTTGGCTTTCTCGTTGTCAGCCTTCATATGGTCCTCCTCGCCCTTCTGCTGAATCAGTTCCAGACGCTTGTTCTTTTGCAAGACTTTGATGCTCTCGATCGCTCTCGTGTACTTCTGCGCCTCGAAGATGGAGTCGAACTTCTCCTTCAGAGCCGCAGGCTGAGATAATGGCCAAAAGGAATCTTCTTGGTGGCAGAAAATGACGTTCTCAAGGACAGCCTTGGAGACGCCGAGGAAGCGCGGCATCAAGCTGTCCATCTCCGCCACTCGAGAGCTGATCACATTGCGCTCGCCGTCTTTCAGCATGCGAATACAGCCTTCGAGCGCTTTGCAAGACCGGGTGGCTTTCTTGACGGTGAGCTGCAAGCTTCGTGTTGAGACCATCTTCATGCCTTCGACCGATGTGAACGAGATCTTCACCTGAGCCATCACTTCCTTCTCGCCGGTGAGGGCCGGATCGTGGACGAAAGAACTGCCCTTGGCAGAGTTTGGCGGTAACACCCCGCACGTGGCATACTTGAGACATTCAATGATGGTCGTCTTGCCCGAACCGTTTGAGCCAACAATGAGCGTGAGTGGTGCATGGAACTGAATGTTCATGGCCAATTGGTGGTCGAAGGACCGGACTCCCAGGATGGAGAGCTTGTCGATCTTCGACATCTTGACCACGATACTGGCTAGAGTGGGTGTGTGGAATCAAGATGCAAAGTCCGTGTCCCGGCGTCGAGCGTGGCGGGAGTTGTGTGTCGCGACTGTTTGCTTCGTGTCTAGGAGAAAGGGACGCTTGCAAGGTGGAAGGTGCAGAGTTGATCCATCGTCTTTTATGCCGTCTCTCGATCATTCATGGCGTCAGGTGAATGGAGGAGTGACAGGTGAAGTCGAAGCATAAGGTATGCACGGGAGTTCGCGTAGGCAGCCAGAGCACGGTCCGCTTCACGACACGTGGTCACGTGAGACCACTTCCGACCAGGAGGGTCCATCAATAATTGATGGATAGATACTTGACTCTTGGCACTGCGGCATGCGCCACCTCGTCAACGGCTCCGGCTGCGGCTGCATGAGGTATCCACGGTGGGACGGCGGCTGGACGGGGGAGCAGCGGCGGAGACGGCAAGGGCAACAGCCACGTTCCATGGTGAATAATCAGCATGTGTTAAGGCTGGGCCGCTACACCTTCACCGCGTGCCTTGGATGGAGAGCTGTTTCTGAAACACGCAGTGTATTGACTCTGGACGGACACCTGTTCAGGCTGTTCGTAGAAGAGCAGGCCTGATCCATCCGACCCACTGCTGGAGATCCAATGTAAAGCGGCCGCGTCCCAGGCTCCGCTGCACCACGGAAGTACTCACTACTTGTTGCCGAGAGATATCTCTTCCTACAGTACACCCACCCGACCCGCCGACACCCAGCGACCGCATCACGGACAGCGTGGTGGCGTGCTGCGTAACGAACGGCGCATATAGTCCCCTGCACCGGTGTTAAGGCCGGCCATCAAGTTCAGGTGGAGAAACTCCGCCGAATTCGAGGCAGTGGAGGGACGTCCGAGTCCCCTGCCTCACCTGCACGCGATTGCTGCGCATTACACCAGCCGCATCTACAGATCGCGCGATCGCAGCCCAGGCGAGTCCGCTGGGCCTCGCGCAGCCGACCACGCGTGCTGAATGTCGCTCTATCCTGGTCACACCGATGCGGGCCTCAATGGAGGCATGGCGGCGTCGTTTGGCGGCGACGCCAGCATGCTCAACGGCCTCGACATGGACATGAACTTGCCCATGGACCTCGATCTCGACCTTTCCGCTGCCGCCGCCGACCACACCTTCAATGCCATTACGCCGCAGCACCTCGGGCACGACAACAGCAATGGCTCCAGCGCGCCGGGCCAAGACCATGTACTGGGCACCGGCGATGGGAATGCCGATGGCAATGGCATGCTCACATCGCAAGCCCAACAGCAGCAACAGCAAGACGTTCCAATGACAGGTGCAGGCGCGGGACCTCTGCCAACCGGCTTCGGCATGCAACCGCAGGGCAGCAGTGGCACCTTGACCGAGTTCACGAAGCGGCGGAATTGGTCGCAGCGCATTATTGAAGAGCTGAAGGACTTCCTGCACATCCTCACGCCAGACGGTCGGATACTTTGGGTCTCGCCCTCGTGTAAGGCGATTACCGGCTACGATCACCACAGCCTCGTGGGCAAATTCATTGGGGAATACGTGCACCCGGATGACAGCGGAATCTTCATGCGGGAATTCAACGAGAGCATTGCAAGTGGGAATACGTTGCGATTCTTCTATCGCTTCAAGAAAGACGATGGATCATACATGATATTCGAATGCGATGGGCATCCGCACATATCCCCCGAGCCCGCAGGCGCGGCGCCTTTTGGCACAGCTCCATCTGGGCAGACTCTTCCTGTGGCAGGCGTATGCCGGGGCTTCTTTATGATGGCGCGGCCTTATCCAACAAAGAATGCTGCGCTGTTAGACTCCTTCCTTGAGCACAAGATTGAAAACGAGCGGTTGATGAAGCGTATCGAGGAGTTGAAGCGGGAGGAGATGGAAGAGAACGCGGAGCAGGACAGGATTTACAGAGAGCAAGGTGCATCGCAAGCGGGAGGAACACCCTCAGAATCTCAGGTGGCCTCATCAAGAGCGCAGGGAGACAGTAGCGACCAAACTGGGCAAACTCCGAATTATCAGGGCATGCCGCCGCCGGCGAAACCGCCTATCTCCAACACAGCCCTGACGAGACAGAATCTGGACAGTGCGCTATCGTCGCAGAAGCCGGACAGCATAGCAGATAAGATGTCGCGATACGAAGCGAACAGTACACATCTCGAAGGAATAGAGCTCCTCACGGGATTGAGGTACCGGGACGGAGAGCGAAGTCACGGCATCAGTACTGGAGATACTTCCCCTGCGCTTATTCGAGGAGACGCCGGCATAGCCATCCTGCTGGACCGGGATCGCGAGGGCTCGAAGAAAGAGAAGAAAAAGCTCAAGGTCGCGGATGAGTACGTTTGCGCTGACTGCGGGACACTCGACTCTCCCGAGTGGAGAAAAGGGCCAAAGGGGCCGAAGACATTGTGCAACGCCTGTGGACTGCGCTGGGCGAAGAAGGAGAAGAAGCGATCCGGCGACGACATTAAGAACAGCAATAGTCCTGTTAACGGAATGGCAAGTCAACAGCCACTACCTCCGGCAATAGGACTTAACCACTCGGGGCAGCCACCTGGCTTGCCCTTAAAGAATAGTAGCAACGAGAGCTGAGACACGGCGATAACGGCGTTGGCGGCAGCTGGGAGTTTGCGGCGTTCAAACCACGTGCGTACGCGCTCGTGTGGAGGCAAGGAAATTTGCTATTTGGTCTTTCCGAAACATGGGAAGAGTACAAAGGTGCGGTGGACATCGCAACCACGACATGAACATAGCGGTGTGCTCCAGATCTACGACTCATTTATCAAAGACGTAATCGGAAGCGATTTTGCCCATCAGTAACGTCAACTTTCGGCCTGAAGAAGCTGGTCTTCGCGCTCGTTCAACCATTCTCTGTCTCGAAACCCGGACTAGGTACCTAGTTCCCTACAGGATCCTGGGTCATCTGAAAGTCATGATGACAGCGCATCCCAGCAGAAGCGACGCTCGCAGCAAGTCGCATAGCGCCAGACCAGTACTATCAGGTAGAAGCCGTGGAGACTACGTCCCATGGCGCCTCGACATTGCATGGCGTCTTCTCACGTCGGAATGTTGGCGTGGTTCGCAATGACTCGCACAAAGCTAGTATTCTGCCAGAGCTGATAACCCGATCAAGCATTCCAGGGTTATCGAAAGCCGTAGAGCAGCTCTGTGAGTGGCGGATGCTAATAGCAAGCTGTTTCAAGCGCGGGCTTTAGTACAACACCGCCCTCTTCTTTGCTGGAATGTCGAGTCATTCACGAACGCGGGTAACATGCTGTACGCTGTACGGCACGTTGTGTCAAGGCAAGGCAGCGAATTGACAGCGTTGACCCCGATGAATGGGTCAGATTACATCACGTGCTTATCCATGCCGGACGCATAGATCATGACGGCGGAGGATCATGGAGTAGTGAGAGCAAGTCACCATACTACTGGGACAAAGCTCGTGCCAATTCCCCCGTTCGCTGTATTTGTCGTATATGGTCAGCCTGCAGTTTCGTTCATCGTTCAATCATTTCTTGATTTTGCTTTGCGACGGAGGAAGAATGGAGGTCGAAGTCCGTTCAAGCACTACGATGTGCGACAATGGAGACGTGGTATAGTGCTCTGCCATGTTTTGTCATTCACGAGTGATATTGAATGCTGTATGTGAAGTACATGCAGGTAGATCGAGACCTAGCTAAGTTGGTCCGTGCATAAGCTCAACCGCGACTTCCTACCCGCCAGCCCGCGCGTGCCGCTAGGGTCGGTATCTGGTATCGAAGTCGTGTATTTCACTCCCCTCTACCTTATCTTCCTTACCTTCCGAGCCTAAATACCTAGAATCTACCTTTCTACGCTATATCTATTATGTCTATAGCTATAGTAGATATAACTATAATATATACGCTTATAATAGATATTTATATATTTAATAGATACGCGAATACTAGATATACCTATAATTACTTTTAATAAATATCTTAAAGAAAGGAGTATTATAGTTAATAGATATAAAACTATAGAGATATATAGTAGCTAACTAGAGACCTATAATAGACCTCCCTATTATAGACCTTTTCTACTCTTCTCTCTTCTCTAGTACTATAATCTTCTTCTACTAAGATTAATTAAAGTAAAATATTCGGATTAGAAAAGTTAGCGTCAATACTCTGAGGCAAGTCCCGGCGGGAGGGCGGGAGGGCGGGACGGGCGGGGAGCTGCTGCTATATCGTAGGCCGCTCGCACTCCACCTCTTATTGCGTGCTGCGCTGTAGGCCGAGAGTACATGTGAGCCGCCGCGTGTTGATCTGAGGAGAACCTCTACTTTCCCATCGTCATTTCCACCAAACTATGTTTCTTCTACTACGGTAACCTTACCACTGCCTTTGGTTATTTCCCGGCCGTCTTCGTCCTTGCACAGTGCGAATAGGGTTGTCATGGCATCTCTCAGGCGCATCGCGCAGCGTCCGGTCAACGAGGCTGCAGTCCAATGGCGGGCGACTACCCGGGCTGCGGGCGTACGGAGTTTTACGACGAGCCAGAGGCGGCAAGAGGAGGAACGAGAGACGTTCAAGGGTCAACTCTATCAGAGCACGCATGAGCGGGTTCAGAGGGAAAAGGCGGATCAGGAGAGGTTCGCGCGGCATAGGGAAGCAGAGAAGGCGGCAAGAGGGAACTCAGGATTGTTCATACCCGTTGGTAGGGCACGCAATGATGGATCTTCCGCACAGTTCCAATTTCTGACGATGCGTAGTACTTGCGGTAGGTGTGTTGGGAGGCTGGTTCCTTGGCCAGAACCAAACTGCGGAGCCTGATGCCTCCTCTACCCTTCCGCTGTCTCGAACGAAACCGCCGACCCATGATGTGACGCCGACTACCTTACAAGCAGCGTGGGCGGATTTCAAGGCAATCGTCGGCGAGGAGAACATTTCCACACAGGAGGCGGACCGGAAGTCTCATGCTGGAAGCGAGTGGAGCACATATTCTGCACAGCCAGGAGATGTTCCGTTCGCTGTCATCAGTCCCGCGAGCACTGAGGAGGTTTCGCAGATCATGAAAGTCTGTCATCAGAGAAGGATACCTGTTACTGGATACAGCGGTGGTACGTCTCTGGAGGGGCATTTTGCTGCCACGAAGGGTGGCATCTGCATCGACTTCAGCCGAATGGACAAGATTCTTTCCCTGCACAAGGAAGATCTCGACGTCGTGGTCCAGCCCGCAGTGGGATGGGAGCTCCTCAACGAGGAATTGGCCGAACACGGCCTCTTCTTCCCCCCAGATCCAGGCCCTGGGGCGATGATTGGTGGCATGGTCGGCACCGGATGCTCGGGCACAAACGCATATCGATACGGCACGATGAAAGACTGGGTCCTCTCCCTGACCATGGTCTTAGCGGATGGCACAATCATCAAGACAAAGCAGCGGCCTCGAAAGAGCAGCGCTGGTTACGATCTCACTCGCATGTTCATTGGATCAGAAGGAACGCTTGGTCTCGTTACGGAAGCTACGCTCAAAGTCACGCCGAAACCTCAGAACACCAACGTTGCCGTCTGCACGTTTCCAACGATCAGGAGCGCCGCCGACTGCGTGTTCAAGGTCGTCGGTGCAGGAGTACCGATTGCCGCCATCGAGATTCTGGATGACGTCCAAATGCGATGCATCAACAAGGTTGGCTCCACATCGAGGGAATGGGCAGAAGCGCCGACACTCTTCTTCAAGTTTGCGGGCACGCCGACCAGCGTCAAGGAGCACATCACCATCGTGAAAGACCTGGCGAAGAAGTCGGGCAGCAAGACATTCGAATTCGCCAAGTCCGAAGAGGAGCAGGCCGAGCTCTGGTCCGCACGCAAAGAAGCTCTGTGGAGCGTCATGGCGCAGAAGAAGGAAGAAGGCGACCACGTTTGGACGACAGACGTCGCCGTCCCCATTTCGCGGCTCCCCGATATCATCAACGAGACCAAGGAAGACATCCGCAAGAGCGGCCTCATGGGCAGCATTGTGGGCCACGTCGGCGATGGGAACTTCCACGCCATCATCCTGTACAACGACAAAGAGCACGGCGTCGCCGACCAAGTCGTGCACAAGATGGTCAAGCGCGCCATTGAGATGGAAGGCACGGCAACCGGCGAGCACGGCGTCGGCCTCGTCAAGCGCGACTACCTCCCCCATGAGATTGGCGAACCAGCCGTGGATTTGATGCGAAAGGTAAGTCCCGAAACTCTCCATCCTCACGGGCGTTGTGATCTGGTCCACACTACCTTAAAATCTCTCCCGTCTGTCCTCTCCCGGACTCCTCTGTGCATCTTTTGCCGAGGCTTCTCCCACCCACGGTCGCAGGTGCTAGCAGCATGGAAGCTTTCGCCCTGGGCCCCCCCCCCCCCCTCCCGCTAGTCGGGTTTCCTGCACCTCACTCCTTCATTGACCCCCCTTATATACGCACGCGATACGCTGACCTTTTTTTTTTCCTTCCCGCTCCTAGATGAAGCAAGCTTTCGATCCCCTGTGCCTGCTCAATTGCGATAAGATTGTTCGCGCGGCCCAGCCGAAGCCGGGAGAGGTACAGGAATGGTAGAGAGAGACTACGAGCCGTAGCGTAGCGTACCGGGCGTTGGAACTTAAGTCATCTCTTCCCTTGCCGTCGACGGCAAGGAAGAAAAGGGTGTGTGTGTGTATACCTCATTCGCGTTGTGAATAATACGCCCAGTCAACGAGCCGGAACGGTCAAAAGAAAAGAAGAAAGAGAACTGTTTCGTATGGGCACTCTTTTTCTTGCATCTCGAATCTCGTATATTGAAAAGAACGAAGCAAGAAAGGGGATTCTGGACGCGGCTGCTACCGGCCGTTTTGCAACCCCACAGGCAATAGCTTTTTGTACAGTCATGCTATGGACAGACCGTTGCAGAAAGTCATCCATATCTCGCGTCACTTCGCTTGGCTCCGGTCCGCTCCACCTGCTATTATTCCATCGATATGGTATGTATGGCAACAAGTTGTCGAAATTGGCATCGCGCACTTGCCGCGAAAAAAGGCCGTCCCCAAAAAGGACAGCGATCACCCATCATCAATAATGACCAAGCGCTTTGCTGCTGCTGCTGCTGCTGCTGCTGCTGCAGGCAAATGTAACTCCGGCCACGGCCGTGTAACTCCCCAATATCCCCCCCCAAGATGATGCCCAACCCGTGCCCAACCAACCAAACGCCGCGCAACAATGACAAGACCAATATCCAAATGAATCGCTCGGGTCGGCTGGGCTCCCAAGGAGGAAGCCGTGCCGTAGTAAGTCTCCTCTCTATCCCGCTCCTCGCCGTCACGTCTCCGCTGTGGGACACGCAATTAATAACAAGACGCTGTTGAACGTGGCTGGCGAAGCAGGTAAGGCGAGCAAGGATGTGCAAGCCTGGAGGGACTCTCGCATGTCGTTCGTTGGGCTCGAGTGATTTCGAAGTCCCGTTGGAGTGGGAGCGGAGGTGCGTCAAATTTCCTGGCGGTGCCACATGCACGACATGTACGAAGGGATGCCTGTCGACCGACGTGGGGTTCGCTGTTGCTCGCTTGCGGAGGATGAATCCGCGCATCTCTGACGCACTAATCTGCGCGCTTTCCCTCCCTCCTTCTGCGTCTGCTGAATCATTCTGTTGTTCGTCATCAACAGGTTTTGGTTCAAGGGTAGTGTGCTGCAAGGATGAAGGCGTTCCCTCTCAGCTTTGGGGCCTCCGCGCGGTCCATACGTGGCTGTTTCACATCAGCTTAGCCCTCGCAGTCTCTCCAAGCTGCACGCAGCTGATCGACCATCCGTCGGCATCACAGACTTACAGGTTGATGTACAGAGGGAGATCTTTCTGTCCAATGACCCCCTTAACCCGGTTGCAGACCTCCAGCACCTGTGCGGGCGAAAAGTTCAGATATCGGGTGAAGAGCAGCATGCTTAGGCCCGTGAATGATTCCGTCTCTTCGTGGCCCATGGCGACTTGATATCCATGAGCCAGAGCCCATTCTCGTTGGTCCTTCCGAGCGCTGTGAACGAAAAGCGGGACGCGAATGCGCTTGTGTGCCACATCTACAAAGCCCGCATGCTCCAGCAGATCTTCCGTATCTTCTCGGTAGGCCATGGGCTTTCCCGACTGGCTGGAAGCTTGGCACATCCAATACCACCAATTGTGCACGTCAATAGCGGCAGCCGGGTAATGTGACTCATGTGTTCGAGGAGTCCAGTCAACTTCAACGTGCTCGATCTGGCCGGTTCCCGGCCGCAGACATCTGTATGCCTTGCCGTACTGCTGTTGCCAGTCCGCCACACATCCACAGAGCTGAGCCATGTGCACCAGATCCACCGAGGCATCTTCAATTGGCCATGGCGAAGAGTTGAAATCGACGGGAGCTTTGAAGATGCAACCCGTCCTTCCCGGGTTGGCACCGATTTGGTTTTCCAGATCGATACCAATTACCTCAGCGGAGGGGTACATCTTCTCGATGTCGAACATCCAGAAGCCTGTACCAAAACCGACATCGAGAATTCTCCTGGGACTTGATCTGAGAGTGGCGAGGTGTAACTGCTTGTTCAGGGCGACGAGATAGATTAGATGATGCATGATGTCCAGTCGTTCGAATTCGGTCTGCAGCGTGGTTAGCCAGAGCGGGCAGGATGTCGGGCAGGTGCTCCGTACGTCATCTGCTGGGAAATTGTAGACTTCGTCTTGGAACTTGCAATATGTCCTCCCGTGAAGAGTGAATCGCTCGACGCTGGGCGTGTCCGGAGCCAGGAGTGAAGTGATTGGCACCCTGGCAAAGGCAAATGGTTAATTAGTGTATGTGATTTTGGCTCATGCGGGGGAGGGGGATATGGCAAACCGGGACATTGTTGGCTGGTGACCATCATACGACGCAGAGGAATGGCCGGCAGCAGTGGAGTGCGCTGGCGTTGCCTGCAACGCGTACATTCGGTGGCGTCTCTGTCGGAGGTGCTCTCTCGTCGCCGGTTGCAGCAGCTCCACGGCGGTCATAGCGCGGCGAGAGGGCCAAGCGAGGGAGCGGAGACGGCGGGCGGAGGGCGGAGGGCGGAGGGCGGAGGGCGGAGGGCGGAAGGTGGGAGGGGGGGTCAGGTAGACATAGGGTGAGGGTAGCGGTAGCGGTAGCGATAGCGGTCGTCGCGAGTGAGGTGGCCGAGGCGGGAACAGTACAGAGATATAAGCCAGACCAGCGCTGCAGGCGCGTTGTCCGTGTTTGCAAGCGCAAGCTAAGAAGCTGCGCTGCTGCAGCAGGACGGGAGACGCAGACACGCACGGCACGTCCTCTGCGCCGGGAGGTGGAGCTCATGGACAAGGTTGGCGGGACGGAATCGACGGGACGCGACTGAGCTAAACTCTCCACCGCTCCGGGTCGGGTCCATCGCCTTGGCACAATTCCGACCCACAGACCGGCCTTTCAACTCTCCTCCTCCTCCTCCTCGTCAGTACTGTACCTACCTTATGATCCGTACCGTCTATCGGTATAACATGGTCAGTCCGAACAGCATCTCGTCGCGTCGCGGGAAAAGGCACCCTACGCCGACCCCGACCGCAACTGGGCCGCGCTTCGACTGCTCGTCGCCTGGCACTCCGCCGACATGATCGTTCTGGGAGTGGCCTTCTGACGCGAGAGACGCCGTGGCCAGATGGCCGATGTAGTACGTACATGTATGTAGCCTTGCCGGCCGCTGCTCTGCAACAGCTGCTGCACTGCTGCGTGCGCTCCGGACTCCAGCAGTGTCACTGCCTGGTAGGGTGAGACCGTGTCGCCACGCATTGCGCGGGCGCCCGAAGGTTGAGACTACTGCGCAACACGCAACACAGGTAGTCCGCACCGTACATCACAATCTATATCCTACTCCCACTCTCCATATACATGTCATGTACCTTTTACGCTGCGAGCGCGAGCTGGCCACATCCACATCGTCATCGTCATCGTCATCGTGACCGCCCGCCCGCCCCCTGTCCGTCCGTCGCCCGTCGTGGAGCATCTTCAGGCCACGCATGGCTTATCATCGAGCGCACCACCCACTCGGTCGCGTCTTGTCAAGAGATGGACCCCTGCTCACATGCATCGACTAGCCTCCTGGTCTAGACAGGGTTCAGCGCCGCTAATGCATGCAGCCCATATGCTCGGCTTCTCCAAAGCCATCTGGTCCAAGGCAAAACAAAGGAGTGGGCCGCGCTCGCTGCTCTGTGCTCCTGTGCTCCTGTGCTCCTGTGCTCTCCCCCCCCCCCCCCGCGTTGTGCGTGCTCGACCCTTTCACAGCAGACGAGACTGACAGAGCGCAGTGACTTGCCGAGCCCCAATCACCCCAATGAGGTGGTGCATCGTCCCAGACACGCCGGTTCCGATTCCCCCGCGGTGCGCCGTGAGGTATCGCTGCACTGGCGGCCAGGAATGGCTACCAGTCGGAAGTTTGCTACCGTGAGATGGTAGTCCTGTCGCGCCTCGCTTCCGTGCGTTGTACAGCGCCCACTTCGGCTAGCTTCAGCTCCGCTGAATTGCTCACCTGCAGCCGGGATAAGTCACGGGTGAAAAGCGGCGGCACCGTACCACAGCACCGTTAGCCCAGCGTCGATACGACGGCTTAGCACGGGCGTCCCCGCTCAGGAGTTCTTCCATCTGAGCGCTGCGCTGCGCAGCGCAGCTGACCAGACGTGCTAGTCCTGCAACCCGACCTGCTAGACGCGCATGAATAAAATATAGCTGCGCCGTCCAGCGACCCTCCTGCACGGCGGCGGCGAAAAGACAGGAGAAGCATCTATCGATCGATAGCATCCGGCGCCATCACGCTTGGCAGGAGCAGGAGCAGGACTGGTCGAGCTCGCTTGTCATGACGAGAGCACCAGCAACCCGGTCGTACGAGCTGCTGCTGCTGCTGCTGCTGCTGTCTTCCTGATTTTCCCTCTCTCACCGCTGCTGATGAGAGCGTGAAGTGTGCGAAGGACGGTACTGGGGAGGTCTGCACTGCGTGTGCCACCGTTCGCGCTCGATGAGCGGGCTGGTGCATGGGCAGCCCTGTCACACAAACGTTACTATCCCCTCCTCCGAGGTGTTCTTCCCACAGTTCCACCTAGGTAATAAGGTAGTGCTCTTAGCCGCCTGATGGCTAGGTAGATCGCCGGGGCCGTCGACTGATAGAGTAGACCTATCTTTTATTAGTCCTCCTAGAGACTACCTATGATACCTCTCTAGAGAGCTTAGTCTTTTTCTTATCTTTTAATTCTAACTCTAGCTTTAAATTACTCTACTAATTTTATAAGTCTATTACTCCATCTATAGTCTTCTATACTCTGATTTACTATATATAGATATTCTAGTCTACTAGAGAGTGTGTTTATAATATATTTAAAGTAGAGAAAACTAGATATTCTTTATAGTAAGAGCTAGATATTAATATATTAGTTATATAGGCTAGATTATTCGTAAGTGTTAAACAGGATATGTTACGTAGTTTGTAGCGGAAGTAAGGACTTAATAATCGAAGAAGAAGGACCTAATTTATATAGAGGTATCTAAGATAGTCTAGTATAAAGGTAGTAGAAGGTAAGAGAGAGAGAAGCCCGCTCTCCCCCTTCTAGCTGCTATTACTAAGCTTGGCGTGTCACGTGACCTAGTCACGTGACCACTCAGCTTACTACTAGGCCTACTCCTACTTTCCTCCTAAGCTACTATTTCATAACACTCCTACTTAGGTCCGGAGGAAAGAATTGAAACCCTTTAACTAAAGTAATATAAGAACAAACTCTAGGTCTTCTATTACCTAATTAGTATACTTCTTAGTTCTAGCTAAATAGTTTAGGGGTTAGAACATTAGGCCTATAAAGTCATTCCTAAATAGACATCCGCGAAGCGTCCCCGCGCTCTTAGGCTCTATCTAATAATTAGAGTGTACGATAGGGTTCTAAAGACCTAGGTTTAATTCCTAGTTTAGCTATTCCTTTTACTAGGCTAGCTAGAGTTGCTTTACAAAATTCTGGAACTATAGACTATTTAGGGGTTTAGTTAGTCTATTAGCTACTATCTCTTTTGTTAGGTAATACTCTACTACAACCTTCCTCTACTACTAAAGATTTCTAACAAAGTTGTATATAATATTAATATGTTTTGATCTCTTATAGATGTAAGCATCTTTAATAAGGGTTAGAGCTAACTAATTGTCCCCTTTAATAAGGACAGGTCTAAGTAATTAGGTAGTGTTATTATTAGCCTTAATCTTTAGCTAAAATAGGCACTCTCTAACAAGCTTAGGACAGCTTATCTTACGAAGCAATATAGCTAAGAACTGTAACTACTTTGTATATAAGTTTATTACTATATACTTAGCTTCTATAGTTAATATTATAATAGACTTTTGCTTCCTACTTAGCTAGGAGACTAGTAAGCTACAAAGGAACTAGACATACCTAAGGACAGAGACTCTGTCTACCTTGTCTATTATATAGTCTAAGTTAGAGTAGCCTTAAAGGCAACCTCTACCTCTCCTATAGTATAGACTAAGGTCTAGGTATAACCTTAGATACCTTACAAGCTTCTTTAATGCTTTTATATGTTACTTTAATAGATCTATAATATATAAGCTTAGTCTCCCTAGTAGGAATGTAATGTCTAGTCTTATTATTATTATTAGCTATATCTAGGTACTAGTATAACTCTAGTATTCCTGTCTGTTACACCTCTTATCTTAAGAGCCTAAAGGCTTCAAGCACTTATAACTGTCTAGAGGTAAGTGTGTAATATAGGCCTTCTCCTTAGTTATATTTATTTTAGTAAGGTTTGTCTAGATAAAGTGTCCTTAGTTAAGTTTTAGAGTTCCCTACACTCTGTCTCTTATAATTCTTATTCTAAGGATCTTCTTAGGTTCTCTAAGATCTTTGACCCTAAAAACCTTTCTAAACTCTCTTTTAAACTATTAAACATCTAATAGTCTTAGGGCTATAATAGGGATGTTATCTATATAGGTTAAGACTATTATGTCCCTTCCTTTATAGATAAGAAGGCATAGGTCCACTTCTAACTATATAACCCTAATCTACTCTAGCTTAGTAATATAGAGCTTGTTCCAGTCTCTAGCTGCCTGCTTTAGTCTATATAAGCTCCTTAGAATCTTTAGGACAGTGTTTAGGGGAATCTTAACACCTAGGGGTAGGGTTATATAGATGTCTTTAATAAGGGTGCTCTCTATAAAAGCATTGTTTATATTAATTAGGTATATCTCTAGATCCTTCTTATATATAATAGCTATAAATACTCTTAATATGTTATGCCTAACTGTAGGTACAAAGGTGTCTATAAAGTTAATACTAAATTTCTATAAATACCCTTTTACTACTAGTCTTGCTTTAAACTTTTTAATAGCTCTACTAATTATTCTCTTAATATTAAAAACCTATCTTAATAAGACTAAGTTTGCTCCCTTTAGTAGTAGAGTTGGTTCCTAAGTGTTGTTTATTACTAAAGCCTAAAGTTCCTTTTAGATAGCCTCTTTCTATATATAACCCTATATAGGATTAGACACGGCTTCCTTATATGTCTTTAGGATTAGTACTTACTACTAGGCTACAATTAAAGGTGCTATAGTAGCAAATGTATATTCCTCTACTTTATTTAAAAACTCCTCTACCTAGCTTATACTTAGGTCTAGATAAAACATTATAGAAATAAAGGATCTGTAATACTTTATACTTTAACCTCCTTTATCCTCTAGATCCCTTCTTCTTTTTAGAGTATAGCTTCTAAGGAAGGGTCCCTAATAACTAGTATTAGAGTTAGCTAACCTATTAGCTAATCCTATATCTCCTTCCTAAGGTAATACTATAGTCCCTCCCTAAGGTAGAGTTTCAAATGA